GGCTGGCGAGTCTGGTGCGCGTTTTTGCATGTTGAGGTGCGAGCGGTGGATAGCCGGTGGGCTTGGTAGCCGCTCGGGCCGATGTAGCGCTAGCAAATTCTGGTATACTATCCCTCCGCGACGATGGCTGGCGAGTCTGGTGCGCGTTTTTGCATGCTGAGGTGCGAGCGGTGGATAGCCGGTGGGCTTGATAGCCGCTCGGGCCGATGTAGCGCTAGAAAATTCTTGTATATCAACCCTTTGGTGTTGTACGTATATCATGGGGCCTGTAGTTGGTAGCAACGAAACCGGAAGTAAAACGAAAATCCCCGAGGGGCCCAGAGCCTGGACGAACCAAGCCGGATGCGGTCAGGGTTTCCTGCACGTCCCACCGATGCAGCCCAGAGGAAGGTCATGTCATCTTTTTCTTTTCTTGGTGCGAGTAGAAAATGTGTTTTCTCAGTTCCGCTACAATATACGGCCCCAGATTGCTTCGCATGATACTTATCAACATCGATTTCCATGTTGTCATAATCCTACTTCAACCAGGTCAACATCTGGATGGTGACGCGCCGGCGGACGGGCAAGACGCTGGGCTGGTGCCAGACGGAAGTGGTTTTCCTGCCTGCCACGTCAGGTTCTGTATTTTGTTTGTGGTCCTCGAAGTGTTGCTGCATGTTCGTGTTTCTACTAAGTTGATCCTGGAAAAGAACTGACCCTTCGTTCACAAGTGGCTCGTTTTTGTGTCAGTTTCCAAGTTGAAAAATAACCAGGTCGGGGGCTGCCGGAGTGCGGTCGCTGAAAAACGATGGGTTTCCGTGCTCGGAGCTGCCGCAAGCGTGACAGGTGCTGTAATAATTATCCATTTCTAACAAGCAGGCTGGCCATGTGCATGTGTTTATCTACCATGAAGGCGTAGTTACAAAAGCAAAGTATTCTTCATGCAGAAAAAAGAAAAACATCATCACCCAGGACCGGCGCCAAAAAATCATCGACCGGATCTGGTTTAACTCAGGGGACCGACGACCCGGCTGGACACGCCCCGTGCGTCACTCTTCAAGGTCCTGTATTCTATTTTTTTTTGTTGAAGGGTGCAACTTTGTATTGCCTCTCTAGTGCTGTACTTGTTACATTAGCGATAAATAACGCCACCGCGGTGCCTACAGATGAAGTCAAAGTTTCTGCATACGCTATCGTCAACACCTATCAGGCACACGGGGAGGGCGGAAAACGCAACATTACCCAGTAAAGCGTGGAGCACGAGCAGGGGTTCGTGGAAATTCCCAGAAATCATGAACGTGGCCCAGGAACTCCTGCGGGTCTTCGTGCGTCGGCGCCCAGGTTGATAAATCTTCCTCTTGTAGTTCTCGGGCTTTCGTTCAGAGTGTCGATCGATGGCTCTGGTTTGTTACTCTACGTTTGATGCGCACTACACGTCTTTGATCTACAACTACGCAATCAGGAGCGACGCCAAGGTTGTCCGAGAGGGACGGGGCGGATGGGCGGACTTGTGTGCCGCGCCCGTGCAGCCTCTGCGTGGCCCAGGTCAGTATTGCGTTTTCGCTTCTTGTCCTGGTGATCTAAGCTTAGGGTGAATAGATTACGTTTTTTCGTTTCGCCATGATTACTCATTAGAGCAGGATTAGCACGCACAATAAACTTAACAGCACCTCTGCCGCACGCAGTCCGACGGAGACCACTATGCGCAGGGAAGTTTTCAAGCAGGACGACATCCCCGTGGCCCAGGTTCTGTATTTTTGCTCATTGGACGACTAGATCTAGACCGTGTTTTTACAGTCATTCCCAGTCAAAACCGAGCAGCATATTTCAACCGACAATTCGCCAGGACCGCCATCAGCAGAGTCGAACCAGGGAGGGCAGGTGGCCCAGATACCCAGGTACTGAGATCAATTTTTACTGTCTTTGCCTAGCAAAAGCAATACTTCAGAAAACGAAAACGCGTATTAGCACTCCCTCTGTAGGTATCAAAAAACCTGTTTGTTTCCTACGCAAGTCAACATGCGTCATGCACATGACGATTGTGAGGTCGGTCTCTGCATAAGCACACTTCGGTTAATGCGAAAGACGAACTTTGATCAAGTTTAGCAGAATAACGAGAGAGTGTAGCTACACGACTACCTGTTTTCCTTGCAAGTTTCTTGCAAGTTTCCTTTCGCATACACGCCATTACGCAGTCCATCGTTTTTCAACCATTGCTGAGAATGCAGTGCTTGTTACAGGACTTCGCTTTATTCCTACTTGCCTCCATGTCAATTCTCTTCCTCCTCACACGTCCGACATAGGCAACGAAGTTTACCTCGATTACCCTATTCTCTTTGTGTAGTAGGTTCTTTCTGACTTCGGAAAGTCACGATTTCAAGCTTGTAGTGCACCTCTGTTCTACTTGAGTGTGACAGAAAGAAGAGACGAGAATGAGACAAGCAGGTGGGTGGTTGCGCGTTGCCTTGCCGCACTCTGCACCAACCACGAAATTCTCAGATTCATTTATACGCGCATTACTGTAATTATCAACACCAGGCCGCCACAAAATAGACGCGCGACCACCAGCAAGCGTAGGTCACCAGAAGGGAGTTCGCCACCCCCGCTGGCGTGTTTTGATATACCAGAAAGAAAGTAAGATAAGATGCCGGCGCCCGCCGGTGATGCGGCTACTGGAGGTGGACCATCTCCTGCATTTCCGGCACCAGGGGGCACAGGCACTTCGAAGCCGACCGAAGTGTCCTGGTCCGTGGCGACTCGGTTGACTGTGATCACGGCCGCTATGTGCAGCAACGTTTTGCTGATGAACGTGACCCGGGGAGTGTTCACGGGGGACGACCACTTTCGGTATCCGCTTTTTGTCACCTGCATTCATTTTCTCACCTCGTGGTTCTGCGCCTGGCTGTTCCTCCGGATGCGTTGGCACATACCGAAGCAGCTCAAGCAGCTACGAGGCGGGGGTGCGTCCCGAGCAGGAGCTGCTGCTGGTTCTTCTGGCCTTGTCACAACGTCGCAGGCGGCCACGGTGCTAGGAGGAGCGACATGCACCACGGGAGGACCACGACCTACTGGAAGCGATGAGGGCAACATAAACGTTGCAGCGCCCAGCAGTGCATCGGAGCAGGTCTATCCAGCAGCAACAGCTGCGTTCTCGTCGGAAGACCCTGGCATACCGGATACGATGGACATTCTAGAGGAGGACGAGTCGCTTTTGAGCGACCTGAGTCGCACCGGCGGCTTCGGGAGTGGACTGGAGCTAGTTCACCTGGTTTCCGGGGGTGCTGGCAACAATAAACTTTCTGACCAAAGTGGACAACCGCAAGGCGAACTACAACTAACGCAGGAGTTCAACAATGCGAAGATTACGAATCCCGCGGCAGTGCAAGCGCCTGGTCCTAGTACGAGTGCTATCGGTTCCTTCTCCTGGACGTTCCTCCGACGCCAGAAGCGGGAGCGCACGATTCCCTTCGGGCTCACCCACCGGCAGCAGCTCCTCCTCATCGGCCCGCTGTCGTTCTGCGGTGCGGCCAGCATCGCGAGCAGTAATACGGCTTTGCTGTTCTTGTTTCCGCACGTGCACGAGCTGTTGCAGCAGTTGTGCCCGGTCTTCAACCTTTTGCTGCAGCGCACCAGCAAGAACTACCACGTTTTCGTCTACTTGGCCTTGGTTCCGATCATCATCGGCAGCATGCTGTGTGTGAAGGGAATCTCCCAGCAGTCGGACGAGGGCCTTGCCAGTGGGACGCAGCAGACCTCTGGTACCGCGGACCTCCACCTGCACCACCCAAACCGACCAGCCTCCTCGCCTGGCGGAGTCCTTGATTTGTCAAAGGAGGCGGAGGAGGCCCATGCGGCCATGGACGTTGCGATGGCAGATGCCAGCGACGCATCCGGGGAGGACCTGTTTGTTGCGACGAAAATGTTAGGCGCATCCGCACTTCTACCGCGCGGTAATGAAAGCACGCTCTGCTTTGCGGTCATGCGCACAATCGGGGAGGTTCCGCTGCTCGGGTCGTATTTCCTCGGAACTGGCACAGACTCATCTCAGGTGGCACGGACTTTCTGCTCGTCGGCCGACCAAGTGATGATTTTTGACACGACCCAGCTTAGGGACCTGCTAGGGTTTTTGCTTTCCGTCGACATGGTCGCCATGCTGCAGAAGACGGCGAGTTCTACTTGGCGAGTTTTTGCCGCAATGTCCTTCGAAGCGCGGTGCGGGGTTATCCTGAGTAAAAACGTACCCACACCAGAGTCAGGATGGGGATTTTGCAACACAAACCTAGGAGTTTTGTGAGTCACGCATGACAAGTTGCAGTCCGTAGTGTGGTGCAGGTTCGCAAGGCCAGCTGCGTCAGAAATCCATCTGCTCATCCTGTTCACAGCATCACAAATTCCAAAACACGATCAAAAATGGCTCTCATGCGGATGCGCATTACAAGTCTTCCTGTCTTTGCAAATCTGCATTACAACTCTGGTGTGGGTACGTTTTTCCTCAGGATAGGGGTCGTCTTCTCCCTGCTCGCGTGCTTCTTCCGCGCGTTGAAGCTGGTGTATCAACTGTAAAAATGTCTGGGTCTGGAAGATTCTGACACTTGTCATGCACGTTTTGCATGAGCCATGATGTCTGTGATGCGTACCCTAGCAATACAGATTTTCTGAGGGCTTCTTGATGCCTATTCCGCATGGCAAATGCCTTCTCAGCGTAGGAAAAATTGCTTTCCCGTTGGTACTCATGCAATACAGATTTTTTTGGAATCCAAATGCAGCATCACAAGTTGCATTCTTCCAGACCCCGACATTTTTACATTTGATATGGTGACGCAAGAAATGATACTGTGCGGCGAAGATGTAGGAGACACAGTAGAGCCTGCGATAGCGGCGCAGCAACTTGTACAACCTGTAGGTGGAACTAGCAGCACAACAACCTCCACTGCACAGCCTCCGCCACACCCCGCTTCGCCGACGAAGAAGCAGTTGCAGTTGGCTACGAAGATTCACGCCCTCGACCCGCCGAAGAAAACGTCCGTAGTGTCGAACTCTGTTGCGGTCGAGGGGACGGCCGGAACAATCATTACCGAAGGCAATAGCTCAAGTTCACCAAATTACAAACGTGGTACGGAAGTGGAGAACTACCAAAGTTCTGTCGTTTCCACCCGAGCAAGCGGACAGGGAGGTGCTACACTTACGCGCGCGACCACCACTTCTCCGATCGAGTCTCTGACTCTGCCTTCAAAAGAAGCCGACCGGATTCGGCGGCGGCGCATGGCGCAGCTGATTGCCCACATCAAATCGTTGGACTCGATTTGCCTGCTGTACTACAGCAGCCCGGTGAACGCATTTCTGCTGGGGGCGCTGTCCCTTCTGTGGGAGGGCGTAACTCCATTCTGGCAATTCTGCACTTTTTCCTTGCACGTCCGCACCTACGCATTGATCCTGGTGTCCGGCGTGATAGCGGCGGCGTTCAACATCTTCTCCTACCTCCAAGTGCAGATGTTTGGCGCACTGACCAGTGCGCTAGTCGGGCAGGTGAAAGTGCCCTTTTCGCTCGGCATCTCCGTCCTGGTTTTTTCCCGACCCTGTTCCCCGTCGCAGGTAAGCGGGATTGCGCTTTCGGCCCTGGGCGGCATGCTTTACTTCGCTGCAAATCGCATGACCAAGAAGAAAACTACGGTATTAGCAGGCAGCCCGGGCGGGGACGAGAATGAGAAAGTAGATAGCACAATGAATGGCAACACACTCGGAAAAAATAAGATGAAGCGCGTGCAGCTCCTCGACACAACAAATCCAAAGCAGATGAAGGCCGAGGGCGAGACCGGGGAGATCAGCCGCCAAAGTAGCGCTTTTGTCGCGCCCGTCCGTACGTGGAGCAAGTACTTCGATCGCGACGGGTTTGTCGGCCAAGTTGTGGGTCAGCTGGAAGCGCAGTGCGTACGAGATTCGCAGTTTGACCCTTCGAAGCATGACTGAGGGTTGATGCATGACAGATGCGTAGCAAGCTCAATGCCCAGACATTTTTTCCCTATCGAGTTCTCTGTTGTACAAAAATTTCGTCTTGAAAAAAAGCACTGCATCCTAGAAATTGATTCGGTTTTGACCTTTTGGTCCTGTACAATGGGTTGTTGAAACTACACATAGATTGTGGACAAGTACTAACGCAAAAACGCAATATCTTTCTGTAAAATAAACGTTTGTAGTACTGCGCATGTTTCTACTACTTCCACACTTGCCGGCGATAGATTCACTACACAGGATTCAACTTTTTCCAAAGACAAAGAAACGACATGACGGCGTATATTGCCGTGCACGTGCGGCTCAGCAGCTCTAGTTGCTCCTAAAAGGGTGAGTTCTACCAGCACAGCTTGAGGGTTTTGTGTCCTGCCGCGCTGCTGTATCCTCGAGAACCTGACTGTGCTCATTTTTGCTTCAGAAGTGCAAGTGCACCCCTCGTTTAGAAAAAAAAATGCTTTCTGAGTCGTTGCGCAAAACGTGAGTCGTGTCAGTTTCACAACGCTGAGTCGGATTTAGAGAAATGATTTCGTGCGAGCGTGTCAAACCGTCGGACGAGACTTTCCCAAGGAAGTAACTAGGCGCTAGCGCTCAGAGAGTAGCGAAAAGAATTTTTTATCGAGATATCCCCCTTCCTTCGCACAAATCAGGTAGGAAAATAGTGTTTTTTGAAGCAAGTAGAAGCTCGTTGATTTTTTTTACACATCATGCGGAATTTGAACCTTTTGGCTGGCGGAGGGCTTTGGCCCTGCAATCGGCAGTTATAGAGCGAACTCTTTTTCTTGGTTGGAAACGAGGACGGTCCTCGTAAAGTGCTTCGTATGTACCACAGCTGTTCGTTGGCTCCCGCGTTTGATGCCAAGCGCAAAGCGCTAACGTCGCGGCGGTAGTTCAATTTTCTGCTGTTGGGCGGGCATAAACACGTCAGCGCGCCCTTGCAGGAACCGTCAACCTGTCCTGCTTGTTTAACGTCGACTGGCAGCGCCAGTACACCGGCATCACGGACCCGAGAGAGTCCGTCGGTTCAGCAGCTGCGGTCAGCGAAGATCGAAGAAGCAAAGTAAGATCAACTATACAGAGCAAAGGCCTGTTGTAGCGGAGAAGTTTATAGCGCCGGCGCCGACAGAACTGTTTTTATTCCGGTTCCTCGCAAAAGCACAACGAGTACCGGTACCGCGTCGAAGAACGATCACAGGCCGCGAAGAAGGAGATAACTCCTTTCCCAGTTGAAACAATGATGTCATCACCGAAGTACAGATACTAAGCCACGAAAGTAAGCAGTTCCTTGAACTGTGATCGCATCGCAGGTGCTGCACATACGTAAAGTTTTGTGGGCAGCAGAGCTGCTTTTGGGCGGCAACAGGACCAACAAGCCATCAAGCGACCACGGGACGGCGTGTGAGTGGAAAGCAGTGGCAGCGAGGTGTGCTGTCATCGCGAGACTCGAGCCCGTCCGGCCTGCAAAGCAGCACTGCACACCTTACTTCTACCGAGGTACCTATCTGCAGAAGCAGCAAGACAAAGCGCTTTGATCCTTCCCCCGTCCCGTTGAGAGCTTTGCAGGGGCACAGCGGAGACAGCGGACCAGGTGGTTCTAATTTTCAGTGAAGGAAGATAAAAACGCGGCCGCTGATTTCCCGTGGTCGTAGCCGGTCTCCTCTGCATCAGTAAAAATTGACCGGCTCTTTCTGCCCAAAAAGATGCCGGACCACTATGAGAAGCTGCTCCAGCGCGTTGGGGAGCTGGAGATGGATCTGGGCCAGACGGTGGCCGCCAACACGCGTCTCGCGTCCGACGTGCAGAGCCTGCGAAAAGTGCACCAGGAACTCGTCGACGCCTACGATCGCATGAAGACGCAGCACGTAGCCGCGAAGCAGGCCCTGTCGGACGAGAGGCAGCGCTACAACAAGCTCGAGCACGAATTTTCCGCACAACTGAACGAATGGCACGACAAAATGCTGCACAAGGCCAAGGAGCTCGAAGAATTGCAGCAGATGCCCGACCCAGCAAGGGAGATAGAAATGATCAGGTAAAACTGGAATTTTCATTACGCTAAGTTGCTTTCGTTGTCCTCGAAATAGCGGCTTTGGAAGCACCTACTTCTTGATGGGATCATCCAAGACGTTTTCGTCCAATTTTCGTGTCAAAAAATTTGAGCTCGGTGGTTAATGGTGATGCATCGTTGATGCGAAAAGGAAAACTCACCTCAGGTTAAAGGTGTCAGAAGAGCTTGAAGGGCCGTACCTCGAGAAGCTGGAGCAAGCAGAAAAGCGTGCGGAGCTAGAGCAGCGGAAGTTCAACGATGCAAAACGGCAGATCGAGGTGTTGAAGCTGGAGCTGAATCAGAAGAACAAGGAACTCCTGTCTTTTGAGGAGGACACAAAAGCCCGGCTGGACGCGCAGCGCCAGCTCTACCAGGGCAAGATCGATTCCCTGCAAAGTGACTTGGACAAAAACACACAACTGGCCGGGACCACGACCAGCCTGCGACAGCAGGTGTATGAAAGGTAGCTGAAAGTACTTAGATGATCATGATGTCGACATTGTTTTTTTGGATCAATTCGTGCTCGTCAGGATAAGGGTCGCAGTGGATGTGGTATCAAAGTCGTGCCAGTCAGGATTATCTTTCTATGCAGGATGCGATAGGAGATGTTTTGGTTTACATAAGTGCAATCACACTCATCTGCAGGGCCGCGAAGAACAAAGCGCTGCTAGAGGAACTCGAAACCGCGGAGGTTCGGCATAAAGAAGAAGTCGAGGATTTGAGAAAAACGGTGGCCAGTGCGCAGGCCAAGACGCGGGAGATGGAGAGCAGCACGCGCGAGCTGGAGGCAGCACTGCAACAGCAGAAGCGCGAGAAAGAGGACCTCAGCACGAAGCAGTTGCGTTACATAGCAGAAGTGGACCAGTCTCGCGAATCTCTTCTGCGACTCAGGCATCTCCAAGACACGGAGGCCGAGCGGGAGCGCGCACAGACCGAGTTTGCGGGCCGGCTCAAGCGAGCAGAAACCGACGCGGAGCTACGCAGCAAAGAAATTGAGGTACTAGGGTTCGGAATGTTGTGCCTGGGCGAGGCACAGCATGAGCACGCTCCGATGTACTCACAGCACTGTTGCAAACTGCTTTTTAGTAGTCATCTCTCTTTCTCACAGGTAAAAGACGAGGAGATAAAACGTCTCAAGGCGCGAAGCGAACAGTTTCAGAAAGAAAGCGCGGCAGCCATAACAGAAGCTGATCAACGTATCGCCGCTCTTCCTTTTCGTTTTTTTCAGTTGCTGCTTTTGGGTTGCAAAGATTTGATGTTCACCTAAAGAAATAAAAATCAATCTTACGTGCACGTGGCGACACGCAACATGCATTCATTCTTCATCACAGGCATTGCGGATGCAGAATTGCAAGTCACAGCGGAAAAAGACGCAACTACGCACGCCCTGGCCTCATTGAAGAGCGAAGTAGAGCACCTGCGCACCCAACTCCGCGATAAGGAAAGCACCTACACCAAGGACCTATCCGAGTATGAAAACAAGCTGGAGGCCCTGACACGCGAAAGCCATCAGCTAAAGCTCACTTGCGAAACCGAAGAGAAGGTACTGGTTTTGGACGATTTTGTAGTTTCATCCGGTCGATGAACAGAAAATTTTCGGACTACAGGCGAGTATAATTTACGAAAACCTCCACTTGCATCATCGACATTTGCGGTCGTGTTTCCTTTTGGTGATAAAAACCAAAAATTCATGTAACTTCTCCAGCGCGCTCGCGATAATGACCGGAAAGCGCGCGAGTACGACAGTTTGGAACGGCAGCACTACGACCTCGAGCGGCAGCACCGGGAAGTCAGCAGTGCGCACGCGACGCTGAAATCTACCAACGATGCCGCGGTGAACGAGAATCGGAAGTTGGTAGAAAAGCTGGAGGAAGTAAACCGTCTGCACGCAGAGAACCGAAGACGAACAGAAACAGACAGCGAAAAGCAGGTGAGACAAGTGGTTTTTGCTTTACTTGTTGTTATGTCAACCTTATTTGATGTGTTCAACAACATTCATTGAAGAAGCCAGCGGCAATATGGTGGCAGTACGTATCTATGTATCTGTGAGTTCGTTGTACAGTTTGCCCATATCCTTTATTTGCAGAAGTCACTCCAATTTTGTTTCTCCAAAATGAACCCCGCAGATGGAGACTATCAAGGCCACGCTCCAGCGAGCGGAGAAGCAAATAGATGAAAAGGAGAAAGCCCTCCATCGCGTCAAGGACGAAACAAAGCAGCTTGCTACCTCGAGTATACTGTTCACTTCTGTTTACTCCGTGTTTGTCCTATTTTGTATCTATGTATGTTGTTGTCGAAGTTCGCCTTTGGGAATACTATGCTACGGTCGTGCCTCCTGCCCGCGAAGAACGCACCTCGCCCGCGGTGCAGCTCACCCGTGGAGCCTCACATGCTATATCCTCCCCGACGACCACAACTGCAGGTAAAAAGAAGATCGAGGGGCAAAAGCAGAAGACGAAGCAGCTGCTGGACCGGTATACGAGTATGGTCACCGAGAAGGAGCAGGCTATCCGCATCGCGGAAACGAACAAGAAAAAATACGAGCTGCAGATGCTTCAGGTCCACAAACTCCTGAACGATCCCATACTAAAGGAGCACTTGCAGCCGAGCTTCGACCAAAATCTGGGCGTCTTCAAGGAGTTGCAGAACCTCCGCGACTGCCTGAACGACGCAATTTACAATCCCTCCGCAACAGTTTCGCCCACGACCGGGGTAAAGGAGCCGCCCGGGGCGCACAACGCCGGCGCCATGTCGTGAAAGTACCTCGTCCTACTTTCTCCGCAGGCCGAGGAGCTTGACTCCAGAGAACTTTTTTCTCTCGACGCCCTAGCTGGTAGTTTAGAGAGTCACTTATACCTAATATACGCAGAAAGCAGTTTGAAAACAGGCAAAGTTGAAACAGAACAGAACCTTTGCAGCTTCGCAACGCAAGCCGCGCCACCGCTTGCTAGAAGTGCTTGAGAACTTATTTGATTTTTCGCAACTTGATGAGAACTTCGTCAGGATGAAATCGATTTTGATTTCGCAATTGATTGTTTTTGAACTTTACGCAATGGAGCCGCGAGCTCAGGACTTGAACAAGTCCCCAGACCAAAAAAGAATGACCAAAACGAACAGCACGGCAGCGCCAACTTAAAGGTGGTATAGCGATGCAGTCACTTTTGCTACAGCGGAGTTTGCTCTCATTGTGGTCGGCGATATGTCGCTCGCTCGATCCGTCGACGTGATTTTTTTTCGCTGTCGTGTCGATCCAAACAGCGGGCTACGCGACAAGATCTTCACAATGGACTTCATGGAAGAGATAAAGATCATGCGGCTTGTGCGAAAACAGAGCCTAGCGTAGCTTTGTAATTTTCTTTTGCAAAATAGTGCTTTTTTTCGAATCTGCAGGTCGTGCTCTTGAAACGTCGCACTTCCTCCCATTTTACTTTATGGCTATATCTTTTTATTAACTTTTTACACATATTACATTGTACGAACAACACATACGTTCGGAAGTAGTTGGCCAGCATACGTAGCAAAAATAGACGGAAAATATTGAAACCCCCCAACCAGCATGGAGGCCTCTGCGCAACCATCGTCCTCGGCAGGGGTACGTGGAACAGACACTGGATTTCCGAATGTGGATGACATATCCTGAGTAAAAACGTCCCCACACCAGAGTTGTCATGCAGATTTGCAATGACAGGAACATTTGTAATGCGCATCGCCAGGAGAGGCATTTTTGCTTTTAGTCGTGTTTTGGAATTTGTAATGCTGTAAACAGGATAAGCAGATGGATTTTGATGATGCTGGCCTTGCGAACCTGCACTACACTACGGACTGCAACTTGTGATGCGTGACCCCCAAAGGTTCTAGGTTTGTGTTGCAAAGTCCCCATCTTGACTCTGGTGTGCGGATGTTTTTACTCAGGATATGACACTTTTTTTATCCATGCGCAGCGGAGTGGTCTATTGTCGACGGCGGAATTATTATCCACGGGGAGCTCCTCCGCGTCCTCGTCATCTTCGACTACTAGAGCCCGTGATCCGGCAATCTTTTCCGCCGAACCTCTACTACTCGCAGCCTATCTCAGATCGCGGGGATTTTCGGTGCAAGTGGTCCAGCACGACTTTGCCTACCTCCAGTCTTTCGGTCGCCTCCCCTGCGCGGTTTTTGGATGGCAGGTTCTCGATCTCGCGGAAATATGGACTCGGTGCATTCTTCACGACCCGTCCATAGCGGACACGGAAGAAGGTGCGGAGGATCGTGCGCTGGCGCTTCGGCTGCTGCCCGCGTTGGAGAGCTGTCTATTCCGCCACTTTCATCTAGACGGTTACACTGATGCAGTAGAGGGTGAACAACAAACACCAGAGGGCTTCCTGCGAACCGCGAAATTGCAATGCTACCGCTTCAATCTGCTGGACCCGGGGCGGGGATACCTCAGCTGCTCGCTGCGATCCCGGGCGCGCGAAATCGGAGACGAAGAGGCAGCTAAAGTGCTGATTCCTCAGAGCGACATTGCGCAGCTGTTGCGCCACGCGGCGGGAGTTTTGAGCCCGACGAAACAACCAGAAGGACGTGAGAGCCAGCGGTACAACTACCCTCTGGTCCACTTGGTCTTTTCTGTATATTTTGGGCTCAACGAGTTTCTTCGCCAAGCTCTCTCTCCAACTTTGCGCGCTGCCAACATGATGCAGTCTGTATTTGATCTAGCCGACCAGCAGCGAACAAGTGTTGAGTTGCCGCCGAAGGAGAAGTCGAATGCTAAGAAGGCGCTGCTGAAATTGTTGCGACCAGCAATGCTGCTAGACACGAGTGCCGAGGAAGCCGCGAGTACAGAGGACACAGATAATGGGGCGGCTGCAAATCCGTCAGCTAGAAATAAGACTGTCGCTTTGACACCCGAGGAAAGAAAAAAGCAACAGTGGAATCTGTTGTTTATAGCTGCTGCTACTGCGATGGTTGTCACAATAGGCATGCAGCGTCGATGAGATGAGATTCTGAGGAAGATTCGGCTCAGTACCTCCATCTATATTGATTTTATTTCTGTACAAGCTCAAGCAAGCGCTCTTCGGAGATGGGTAGCATCACCATCCCGCGTCCTGTCAAAAAACGCAAGCATAATGCGAGGGCTATGGTAAGTCGCTATGTTCCATCTTTGGTCGCCTTCGTCAGGCAGCAGCCAGGAAGTGATTTTCATGTATCGCACGACGATCGTACAAGTCGTGTGGTGCCGCACCGATACAAAACGAAGCATCGTCCAATCTTCGCCAACAACACGGAAAAACTCGGCGTTTTTGATGCATGTCGTGTAGTTGAGCTACTCGTTGTTTTCGCGTCCTCTGTTGTTGAAGGAAATTCATTTGAATCGCAAGTGGTAGCGCAGCAGCGTTGTAGTATGACTTTGTCATAATTATTCAAGAAGAAGAACAGTTACTTAATTTTTGATGACGGCATCAAGGACGTGATCAACAAAACCAGTAGAAAGCGAAAATAAATCATCATGGGCAATTCCGTTCTTAAGTGTGACCAGGCGAACGCGCACGCCACCTTTGTTGCGACCTTGGATCGGCTCTCGGACCCCACGGTGTGTATGGTGAGGATGCTGAAGCGGCTCCAAAGCGACGCGGAGGGGCTGGACCGGCTGCGCGCCGGGGCGAGATCATCGAGCGCCTCTTCCATCTACGAAACGCACCCAGAAGCTGTGGACCTGCTGAATGATGCTTTGCGGGCAGTACTTGAAAGTGAGGATGAAAATGATGTGGCAGGGGCGTCGTCCTCAGGCCCGGAAGGCCGCGATGGTGAACCGCGGACGATGAAACTAGCGGCGCTGTCCGCATTCGCAGCCCGGCCGGCGCAAGAGCGGTACGATGCTTCGTCCAGAAGAGCTTTAATCTAATAACTATAAGGGGAAGGCTTGGCAAAATTGCTGCTGAACCTTCAGAAGCTTTCTCTTCTGAAGGTCTTCTGAAGGTCCAAAATCATCACTGGAACCTTCTGAAGAAATGGAAAAAAGCCTCTTTTTTTTGAGCGAGCATACCATCGGTTTAACCGTGAGCATTTTTTTCTTCTGAAGGTCACGCCTTCAGAAGGTTTTTTTTGACCTTCAGAAGAAAAAGATGGAAAATGAGCAAAAAAACCTTCAGAAGGTGAAAAATGACCGCTTTGAAATCTTCTGAAGGTTGAAAACCTTCAGAAGGTGGCACTTTTTTGACCTTCAGAAGACTTTCCGACTTTTTAGACAAAAAAAGGCAGTGAAGTGTCGCAATTTTGGCCAACCTTCTGAAGGTTGAAAACCTTCTTCAGAAGGTTTTTCAATTGTGTCTCCAAAGCGACAACTTTTTGCGTCCTTTTTTCCGCATTCTTCAGAAGCTTTGACCTTCTGAAGACCATTTTCTGTAGAATCTTCTGAAGACTGAAAAGCTTCTGAAGACTTTTCAGAAAATACGCAAGACGCACGAAAGTGCTCAAAAGCTTTTCTGATGCGCGTTGCTTTGCTGGGCGTTTTAAAAGCATTGCTCGCGCCGCCTATTTCGAAAGTGCCACCGGCGCGCGCGCGCATTTCGAAAGTGCCCACAGGCACGACTTAGTGCGCGCCTTACTTCCTTGTGCGATGAAAGAGCGCTGCTTGTGCTAGAAGATATTTTCACAGGACGCGCTTTGGAGTTATTGTTCAGCTGCTCGCTCTGCTATTGTGCTTTTTCTCGAACTCCCCTTTGGGATTTTACTTTTGCATCAAAAAAAAGCCGTTGGCGCCTGCGGTTCCATTCTGTGTCGAGGCCTGTGCTGCTTTTTGCCTCTGAAAAGCAGTTTCTTCGGCCGCGGTGAATGCCCTGCCCTGGAGACGTCGGCTTTTTTTTATCTTTTTTGGTTCTTCTTGGCAGTTGAGTACTACCTGGAGCTTGGTCAGTGAGCCCGGCCGCGGACGGCGTCGCCTATGACTACCTGTTGCCTGTTTTCACTAACCAAGCAGAAAGCGCTTGCAATGCACGTAATAACTCCAAATTTGGCCGGCTCAAGAGCGGTACGATGCTTCGTCCAGAAGAGCTTTTTATGTATGATGCTTTTGGTCTTCTATTCGCTAGTACCGCTAGGAAGCTGCAATGCAGAGCAGATGATTTGAAAAAGGACGCGACAGCTGGCAAAAAAAGTACGAAAAAACACAGGGTCGACCTGCTGCTGAGGCAACGACTCATCACGCGAACGAAGCAAGCACATCTGTGTCGGGGACTCCTGACGCGGCTACGTTTTACGACGCTTCCGCCGAATCACGATGCTGTGAGGGATCTGAAGCTTTTCCTCCTGGCCGCGATGGAATGCATTGTCATCTACGCGTCGTTAGAGGAGCAGCTCCCCGCGCTGGGGGAGGAGGAGAGAAAAATGGTGTACGGTACCGCTGTGTCAGATCAGCTGAGTTACTGGGAAGTTATGTGAAATGTCGAGCCTAGGCAATGGGGCATGGTAGCGAGGCTACATGGTAGATCGTTGAATTTCTGCTCTGATCTATTTAACAGTGATTCATTCCTGTTAATACGTCGACCCTCGACCTGGTTCTCATTCTAGTGTTAAAGACCTGAACTACAAAGCTGTCAAATGCGCAAAAGTTCTGTACAATTTCCACTAGATAACTTTCATAGAGTTGCAAAACGCTTTCCACCGTTCAAAACGAATATCACGCATTCTTTTTGCAAAGTAGTAGACCAGCCGCTGCGGGCGTGTGAAATCGACTCCTACTGATTTTCTCTAAAATTGAAGTTACTTACCCGGAATAAACGAAAAATCTGTACCTTCGTTCTTTCGCTGACTTTCACGTTATCCGTCTCTGTACTTACTGCCCCTGACGATTCTATCCGTGGTAGGTTACCCTCCTGAAGCATGTTTATTTTTCTTGTCAGATTCCTTTGTCTCTTCACTCATTTCTTTTGGCTCACTCACCAATGAATTTCCATTCTTTCGACCACGATAGATGTGTCCAAAACATGATTCCTGATAGCGCCACGGCAACAAGTCTTCTCCCACCCACCGACGACCATCGCAGAAGTCCCCAGTAGCACTGCCTCGAACGGTGCCATGTTGCCTGCGCTCTCGAGGAACGATCTCCGGGACAGCTCCTGGCGCGGCTACGGTCCAAGCGGGTTCTCGCACCCAAGCCACGCTCCAGCAAATGACAACGCACCTGAACAACAGGAGCCAAAGGGGCCATTCGACAATCCGCTACCGGCCCCGTGGCGCGCACGATTCACCCTGGTGCGGCGGCCGGCGGAGGGCGAAACAAATAAATTGAACACAAACAACGGTCCGGAATTTCACTTCACCACCACGAAACCTACAGCGTCGGCGCAGCATCAACTTGACAGAGATCATCGCGACGGAACATCAAACAGCGGTTCGCGCGTCTCCCCAGCGGACAAAATCACCCAAGAAATCGAGTACTTCGTGCCCGTCTCCGATATCCCCCACGTGGGCAGTGTGCGGCTGGTTGCTAGCCGGTTGAAAGAACTGCAGGCGGAACGGAATCGCCAAGGCGCGCAGCACGGGCAGTACCTGATCACCTCACTGAAGCGGCCGGCGGGGCCTCCGCGCTTCGAAATCGGCTGTCACGCGTGGACGCGGGACGCGGACGGAAACTCCTGGCGGGTGCGCATCGTGGACATTGATCCGGTGTTCGGCCGCTACGACTGCATCGTCCTAGACTCTTCGCGGACCAGGCTACTGCTGTTTGAAGCCGAGCTGAACTGCAGAAAAAAAGTTTCGGCAACGACCCAGTTCCTGGAGTCAAGCTTCGGAGTAGCACAGGACGCGCTTGGAATCCTGTCTTGGACTGCAGCATTACTGCAAGACCTGCCTCGGAAGTGGGCGCACGATTACGTGGGTAGTAGCGCGTGAAGGGAAAAAAAAACTAAAATGACTACGTTTCGTTTTCCAAAACACAGAAAATCTTCCATCGATCGGCATGATTTGATCGATCGCCGCGAACTAGTTGGCTGCTATGTGCCCTCTCTGCGCATGTATTCATGCAGCGTGTTGTGAAGGAGCAACGCCTTTTTAAACAAGAGCCAGATCTTCGCTTTTGTTCTCACCTTTACAGATGCAAGATATAAGAAATACTGTCTATGAGCCTTAACCGAGATCGAACTTTCACTTCTCTTTCGACATACTATCGAGTTCGACGATACGACGCGTGTACGATAGAGGACACGGGCTGATAAGTAAACATCTGGTTCATAAACTTGTTAATACGCAACTCTATAACTAAGAGAGTCGATCAGAATTAAGTAACTAAACATGAAACTAGACCACTAACTAGTAGTATCGCTATTGAAGATGCTTACCACTTCATCCTTACACAGATACTGACATGAATCTTCCTGCAGAGTCAATTTCTACGGAAACGAATGTCAGGTACCAGCGTCACGTGCTTCAATACGGATCGACCACCATTTTAGCTATTTAGGTAGTCTTTATCTTTCAAAAGAAAACGCACACGCACACACACGACTCTCTCGTAGTCCTATTTGACACTGCAAAATCAAAATGGGAAAATTCAGCCTTGAAGCTATCTACAACGGCGACCCCACGGCCTGCCACCTTCAGGAGATGACGTGCGACATCTGCCAGTGTCTTTTTGACGATGCGGTACAGTTTCCGTGTACCAACAGCCACGTCTTCTGCAAGGACTGCGTGTCTTCTTGTGACGCCTGCCCGAACTGTCGAGAGCCCTTGCCCGCCGGGAAGAAGAAAGGCAAATCGATCCAAGAGGTTAACAAGCCCCTGAGCCGCATGATGAATAGGCTCCCCGTGCGCTGCCCCTACCATGATCTCCCTTCGCCGTCGTATGACAGAATTCGTCCCTCCAGGGATGCGGGTGGTGTCATCGACGCGGGCGCTGATGAAGGTTTGTTTTTATTCATTGTGTGACTTCGCTTATTTGCAGCTCGTGTATTTTTTGCCTGAGCGATTCGGATCATTTTCATTTCGATTCATTGCCATTTTCATTGCCTCTGATTCTGAGCCTGAAAGTGAGCCAGCTTGCAACTTTTCTCTTTGCTCGTCCTCCTGGTGCCGTATTCATATGCAGTTTTTCATATAAAACTACCTCTTTTCGAAAATGCAATCAGATCCGAGTCCGTCGCCACTCGCCGACGTCCTCCCTTCTTCATCTTCAACGGATAAAAAGCACCGCCCTGGACGGAGTTCGTTGTCGCTTTCGTCTGCGGCTGATGCAGACGGCACTCGAGCAACGGATCCGGCACACAAACGAAGGCGCGTGGAGCAAGAGGACGCAAATAACTTGCGTCCTCTCCTCGACGAACCGGCGGTGATCCCCGAACTGGTATCAAACGACACCCCCACAGACGATGATGAGTACCATTGTACTTGGACGGGTGAGTATGGGGATCTGTTGGCGCACCATCTTCGGGTTTGTCCTTTCCATTTCGTCAAGTGCCCGGAGGGGTGCGGAGCCCAGATACGACGAAAGGACGTAGAGAAGCATTTGAAGAGCTGCGAAAGTTGTCTGGTCTCGTGTGAGATATGCGGCATGCAACTGAAGAAAGACGAGTTAGCCGCGCACAACGAAGACCATGCTCAACTGCACGTGAGTATCCTGCAAAAGCGGCTGACGGACAGGTCCGGCCAAGGCGAAGATGTGGCGATGCTTACGCAGCGCCTGACTGCCCTGGAAGAGCTGAGCAAGGGTTTCAACACTGCAGAGTGGTGCGTGCCGACTCGAGAATGGTATGCCGATGCCAGCATGCCTCGTGACGCGTACGTGTGGTCACCCGACATTGATTTGGGGCGCGCGGGGGTTTGGAGGATCTCGTTTACCCGGGGGTCCGATTCCACTCCGTTTTGGCTCGGAGTGTGGGGCACGTTTGCAGGGGAAGTTTCCGTCCAACTTACGGACAAAGCGACGGGAGCACGCATTCCATTGAGCACTGGTAACACGGTGAAAGTTGTGGCAGCCTCTGAGAGGATAGGGAAGCCACCACGTTCAAATAACCATAGCTACATTCAAATGACGGCTCGGGGCTCCTATTGCCTCGAAGGAAAGGTCGAGCACGTCCGCAACGTCAAGGAGCTTATCCTCCGTCTGTCGATCTTGAAGATCGAACACGCAGTGGTTGACACTCTAAAAACCGATAGGGCGTTCAATCGCGTACGATCCTGATCCTACCATGCCGAAGTAGACACTCTTCGCGGCTGCAGATAGCTCGTTCTTCATTCCAGAGGCGGAAATCGAAATTGGTGAGAGAAAACACAAATGAAAACGATATTCGCTTTGCACAGGAAAACTGTACAAAGACTATATCTATGCTTTCCACAGGAAAACAAAAATGATATTTGCAGTGGCCTGTAATATTCAAATTGTCCAAGGACAGGGATGCGCGCCGCACCCTCTCGGTCAGCTTCATGCTTGCGAAACGACCCCGCACTAGTGGAAGGGCGACGGCATAAACTTGATGAATCTGAGCCGTTTAGAGCTCCTCTTTCGAAAATGTGTTCCGGACATACATGCACCGGACGTTTAGCGGATTTTTTTTCCGAAGCGACGCCCCAGCATGTGGCTTGACAGATGGGAGATCCTCGCTTTTGCTCGACCTCGCTCCGGGGCCGGGCCAACTTCTCTATGCGAACGCAAAACGTGCCGGCGATTTCGAGTTCTTTGCGTGGTAGCAACGTTGTGCCGTTTGCTCTGGAGAAGTCAAGTCATAGGAGAAGGCGATCTGAAATGTTAACGTGAGCGCAAGCGCGCCTCGGTGATGATCTAGCGCGCATGTTTCTTGATGGAGGCCCCGCTTTTCTGCTCGTCTTGCTACTTATATGCAAGGCGGAAAGATGTAAGTACTCTATCATTTTGAAGATTATTTCAACGTCGGTCGCTGCCACAGCTGGTTTTTTGAAGCGTTCATGACATGCTAGCTAATCACGAGATCTTTTCCAAATCAAGAGTATTAAAAGGTTCCCGTCGGTAAAGATCAAAATGTGATGGCTCTTGATGTTGCAGCAAAGAAACCCATCAGTCTCGCTTTCGCAGGAACTCAGGCGCAAAGCTTTCCTCTACGACGCACAGACGGAATCCAGTAGTTTGGTCCGAAATTCTTTGTTGACATCGGTCTAATCCGCATAATAACAACTCGCCTACAGATCCTTAAATGAGTTGTTCAAATTTGAGTCGTATTTTCAGGCGTCAAAAATCCAGTTTGTCAGATTTGCATAGTCTTCACGAGTCCTCTTCACTGTATTTTCACTAGCTTCAAGTAGTTTGTCTTTGGCCTAATAGCGAATTTCTGCATCTGCCATCATTCTCCACTATTTCAAGAGTGAAAAAGTAGGAAAGTTCCAGAGCTTTGGGACCTGATTCTTTGAACAGGACAAGTGCAGCACTTCGACCAGAGCAGTTCGACTTTGCACTATTACATTGGATTTGCCATCAAAAACTGAATGACGATGCGATTGCGGCAGCGGCTTTTGCTGGTTGCATTGGTTGCGTTTGATGTTGGGCCCGTGATCCAATGGCAGCACTTCTTTTCGCCAGTCGCCGGGGCGCTGGTCACGGCAGAGAAACCGGGTAACATTCAAGAACGCAAGCTGTGCCCTCTTCGTTGGCCGCAAGAACGAGAACTACCGCGAGTACCAAAACGCATTGACATGCTTCGTCGGGATGTGACTGTGGCCCTCCGACCCTTTCCAGCCGAAATGTTGAAAGATGAGCCAGGCGTCCGGGGGGGAACAGTGACCGCGTCCTCCTCGGGATTGCCATCGTTTGAGCTTTTCACGCAACAATGGTACAACATCGCGAGACGGTCGGTGGAGTTATTCCACGGAAATTTCGCGCGGTACAACAAGACTCTTGTTCAGAGTCAACGCAGTAAGTCGCCGGCGCGGAGGGCGCGGGCGAAAGCCCGTGTGTCCCGGTCGCCGCGCAACAAGACGAACAAAAAAAGCAAGGGCCGGGTGTCCCGGTCGCCGCGCAGCAAGAGGGACGAAAAGCGTGACGCGGTGCGTGCGCCGGAGCCGCGGATTGATGAGGAGGTTGATGTCGAGTCTGACATGGAGCTCGCTGACGAGTGGCTGGAGCAGTGGATGTCTTTCCAGCGTTTCCAGAGTCTTCGGGAACTTGGGGCGAAGCGGGAGCAGTCGAAAAGTAGCTGGGAAGCTGTGACACCCGACGGGGAGCCGGCCAAGCAGCAAAATATGTTTTTTGCTGCAAAAAGTATTAAAATAAATGAAATCCGTGGGGCCGAAGAAAAGGAAGAGAAAGTCATGCGAGCGGAGTTTGCGAAGAAGCTTAAACGGGCGGTAGAGAAAGCTCGAGAGTACGCGGTGGACGACGTCTCAGTCTCTGCTGGAGCTTTGGCGGGACTGCGGGGAAGCGGATCCTCGATCGCGGGAGAGGGAAGGGGGGGTCCTCGAGTCAACGCTGAGGATGCAGCACGGTCCCTCGCCGTGACGTTCTGGATGGCCGAAGCCATGTGGCGCCACTACGCGTTGCACTACACGGCGACACACCCGTACGCGCCCATTGCTGAGGAAATGGGAAAAGGTGGCCCCTATCAAAATGAAAAATCCCCCCTACCCATATCAAAGCGGAAACCTGTGATGCGGGATTTTGTTCGTACACAAGTCAACTTTGTTTTGCAGTAGAGAACTGCGCGCAGATCGTAGCCGTAGGCCTAGGCAGGGGCCTTTCGGTGTAGGCGTCTAGCATGGCAGACGTCTCACCTGTTGTAGGCCTTACAACATTGCAAGCCGCCCACATACCGCGGCGGACTCTGTGAGCTTGCCTGCTTGCAATACAGACAGGATTTGTCGTGACAAATCTGCGGCGGAAATTTTCAGAAACATGCGCGTTCCACTATGGGGCGGGGAGATATTTCCTCGCAATAGCAATACCTCTTCTCAGCAGGAGAAGTCCGTGCTTCATCCGGATATGCTCCTTCCGAAAATCACGGCGCTGCTTTTTGAGTTGTTTCGCCCGCAACTGGAGGCGAGGGTCGCACGAAAGGAAGCGGGCAGACGAATGCGGGAACGACAAACAAAAACTGACACGTTGAGCACGCAGCAGCAGCAGGGGCAGAGGGCAGGAGGAAGACGTCTGTTGTTTCCGCGGCCTTTTCTGCTGTACCTAGGCGGGGACGGCTTCGGCAGCCTTCCTCGGGAGGAACAGGACTGGGGGGGATTTGACTTCCGCGGCGCGGCGGTCTATGTAATACCGGAGGCAGTATTCGCTGGAGGGTCTGCGCCGAGGATAGTACGCGGAGGCGTAGCGAGTGGCGCCGGCGCAGAAGAAGAAGAACGCGCCGTGCTGGTTCCGCTGCGGATGCAGCCTCATGTTGAAGCTCCGTCCGCCCAGGCCAACGCACACGTGTTAACTCCCCTCCCGGAAGGCCTTTTTGCGAAAGTGGAAATGCCGAACCCGGCCCCGCTCACAGTAGGTAGCAGTTCCCTTTTTTCCTCATCTACCTCGTCGCGAAAATGTCTTTACGGGTTGTCTACCACTGCATCTTCTCCCGCCGCGTCCCTCTCTGAGCGAGCTCCTGCACGAAAAAGCCCCGGAAAGGTGCGGCAGCGTGAGGTGTTAACTGGGAGCTCGCTTGTGGTGCATTTGGTGCGGCCGATGTACTATTTGCAGCAGATCGCGCGGTCACATCTGATCGAGAAAGGAAAGCTTCCCTGGTCGGGCCTCCAGGGAAAGTTCAATTTGACGGTGCACGCGCAAACCCTGATCCTCCTCGATAAAATTCTTGACGAGGAAGATCTGCAGTCGCAGATCGACTATCACAGGCAAATATGTCTCCGTCTGGAAAGACGCAGCAAAATCGTGTTGCTGAGTGTTGCATGACACAGCGATCTTTTGTTTGGCGTCCGTGCATCACAAACTTTTCGGATGGTATTGGGGGTTCTACAATTTTTTGCATGAAAATAAACCGCCTTTCAGCACGACAAATACAGAGCTTGCTAAAAATTCTTTTGCTCTAGGTCAACTTTCGCGTCACAAATCCAGACCGAGACATAATGGTTGCAATTGATATCGACGCGGAGGCGGTTTTAGAGCGGTTAGCGAAGACGTGCTTCGTCGGGATGGGGTTGGACGTGGACGACCAGGAGGTGGAGGGAGGTCAAGAAGATGGTGTCAAGTTGTCGCTTATTCTGAGTATAAATGTTCCCACCCCATAGTCAAGTTGGTAAATCTGCAACACAAGTCTCCAACTCGTGGGAGTTATGCATGACCAGTTTCCATCTGCACCTGCAGCGTAGTGCTACTCAGCAACGACAACCGCACGACAAAGACTTCGCTTATCCTGTTCACAGCACTGCAAATCCCAGAACACAGCGTGCCAATTTCTCTTTATATTCGGATGTGCATTGCAGATGTTTGTGTAGACGCAGATCTGCGCGACAGCTATGGGGTGGCGGGGACGTTTTTCTCCAGGATATCGCCGGCCGCTTCGTCAAAGAGTCGTGAAAGATTCACCGAGTTCATGGAGACGGTAAAGCGCGCTCTTCTTTCTCCGCTGCCTTGGATCCCCAAGGGGAGCGACAAGATGACCGAAGAAGAAAAATACCGCTGGCTGCAGCAACTGACAAAAGAAGACATTTTTGTTTCTGTCGTGATGGAGCACAATGGCATTGCGTCGTCGTCGTCGTTGGGCCAAGATTTTGAGGAAAAAGTTGCCATTTTGCCGCATGATGACGAACGGACGGCTTTTTTCGCGCAGGGTCTGGCTCGATCGGCATCCTCTACTTCCTACTCTTTTGCAACGACTCCTCTAGTTCCAGGTCCGCATCCTCTAATTCCAGGCGTGGCTGCTACGACTCCTGCTGTTGAAGATGGTCGTCGTCTACAGACAAAACAAGACATTGCCAAGATCCTCGCGACGCGAGACATGATATCGTCCGGGCTGGCCACAGTTGCACTGCCGCTGGCGTTATCAACTGCAAGTATGTTTGGGTCCTCTGGAGGAATGCAAGACTTTTCATGCATCTCGCGGACCACGTGCAATGGGTGGTCCGGAATGCACCCACAAGCATCACAGAATTTGTCAGACCTCCCTCGTGCTTATCCTGCATGAGACGTGCGCCTTTTGGCCTACCAAGAAGTGGGTAGTTTTTGGTGTGCATGCAAACTAATAACAGGTCCCAAATGGAAATTATGGAAGTGGACCGCTCCGGAACTAATTATGTAGCGAATAACAGTTCCCAAGTGGTGGAATTGTTTCTTGGGAGTTACGGACATCGACCAGAAGCTCCTATCACTCTAGTTTTTATAAGATAAATATATAAAGATGGCTCGCGCAAGGCAGATTTTCATTTTTTTGGAAAGCGAGACTTTGCATATGCATGACAAGTTGCAACCTTCCAGAGGAGCCAAACGTATTTGCATTTGATAGGCACTTCCGACTGGGGAGGACGACGAGGACGAAAAGTGGGACACCGTGATTCTAAAGAATCTCCTGCTCGATGCGAGTACTACCACAGCGGCTCGTGAAGCAGGCGAACATCAAACTGGAGATGATACTACAGGAAGCGAACTAGGTACTAGTGCCCCTGCTTTCTTTCCCTTTGACAGCGAAGACCAGTTGCGAGAATACATGGGGGAAAAGCTGGACGAGGAGATCGAAACTCTGAGGGATGTTGAAATGGAAGATGCGCAAGTCGAGGAGATGTTGTCGTCTTCTACCTCGTATCAAATGCAAATATGTCTGGGTCTGGTAGGTTGCAAGACTTGCCACGCTAAGTTTGGACCGCGCAAAAATCTGTGTTGCGTGATTGCCAAAAGCGGTTCAATTTTGACCACGTTGGTGTTGGGAGGCAGTTTCTTACGCGACGAGAAGATAAGCATGATAGAAATCTCACAGAATCTGTCGTGCTAGGTTCTTCATTCTAGACCCCACGGGTCATAGAATACGTGCATGGCAATCACCTGCTCTCTGCCAGACCCAGACACATTTGCAGTGCATACCTCGTCGCCCACAGTGGCAGAAGTCCATGTCGACGACGACCTGGCCACGCGACTTGCGAAGATGAATGTCGGCACGAACGGTAATGGAAAAAAGTGTAGTAGGGGACAAGCTTCTATGGAGTTTGGTTCAGGTTCTGCTCTTCTAGCAGGTCCTCGTGGGTCAACAGCAACAGCTGGTGCTATGTCTAGTACTCGCGGAACAAGTACGTCGCATCTGCTCGCGGCCTACTTCCCGAACGGGGAGCTCACTTTTTCAGACGCGCGCGCACCGCACGTGTTGGATCCGTCTGTTGAACGGCTGGAAGAAGAAAGCGCAGCATTTCTCGCGGCAGCGAGTGTCGAGGAGCGCGTGAGGCTTGATAGAGTTCGGAAAAACGACCGCGAGGCCCTGCTGCAATGGCAATCGAAGTGGCACGAACAAGCACGGTCGGAGGCGGTTGCTGGCGAAAGAAGTGCAATCTATGGGAACCAGATGAAGCCGACTCAGCAGCGACGGAAGAAACGCGGTGGTCGTAAACAAGCTACTTCTCGATCTCCTTCTCCTACCACGCGCCGGCAGGCGAAAAGAAGTGAAGGAAAAGAAGGAGATGAGGAAAGTAGGCGGAAAGAGGCCGAGCGCCGGGCGGCGTTGCTCGCGGCAAAAAAGCAGAAGGTCGTGAACGATCTCACGCGAAAGTTGGGGAAGTTCCGGTTGGTGCTGAGGGAACTGCGCAAAACGGCGGGGATTTTGGAGGGGGGAGTGCGGGCAAACTGGCAAGGTTCCCACATCAAGATGCATGCGGAGGGGGGAGGCGCGTGGACACTTCGGGTCCCGCACGGACAGGGAAGCCACCGATGAGAGATATGAGAGAGGCAGGAAGATGCTGAGAGGCAAGAGAATCTTGGGGAGTATTACAGAAGGTGGCGATGAAAACGTGGGAGGTTGAACGGCGGAGAAAATAAAAGCCGTTGGGGTCGTCACCATTGACAACAATGTTTACTCGCTATTTGTCAAACAGGCTGTATTTCTAGTCAAAGTAGTGGCGCTATTTGAACGAAATCAATCTGAAAATCTCGAGTCCCCTCATATTTACAAACAGTATGCATTTGACGTGAAGCTGAAAAATAATGGTCGTGAAACACCAGCTCCTATGTCCAATCAATCACGGTGTACGTACTTGAAACTGCCTCTATGTCCAATCGAAATTATGTACCCAGACCTACAATGAGAATGAGTAGCGCCGTACTTCTCTCGCCTAATTCAAAGTCGACTGGTTCTACGTGTAGGATTGAAGCTGAAAGATCTCTACTTGGTTCAGCCCGTAAAAAAAGCGAAGAAGTAGTGCCGAAAAGAACTCAAAACCAAGCATAAAAGTCGTCTATTTTCCATGTGGTTTCGCGCGTGTATAATTTTGGAAATTTAAAAAGAAAAGCGAAGCCCCAAGGCATGTGAGACGATGATGGCAACGAGGCTGCGGCTCCCGCCCGTAGTTCAAAAGAAAGAAAGAAACCCTCGCGTCAAAAGAAAGAAACTTCGCCCGTTCAAAAGAAAGAAACTGCGCCCGTTTGAAAGAAAGACCGTTTATGGGTTGGACTTCCCCCGTCGCCCGTTACCCGTTCGTAGTTTCGGACTCGGAGCTTGCGGGTCTCGGTTTACTTGCCAAGGTCTTCGAGAGAGGCACTGTTTAGGCAGTGCCGGTGACGCTGTGTTTGCTTTCACTCGTCCCAGAGACAAGTTCGGAAGGACTCGCGATCTGTGTTACTACTTACTTGAAGGTCATACATCAAATTCAGAGCTGTTCTCTCGATCTGCAAGTATTGCTTTAGAACGAACGATCCCTGCCATCTTTCTATTCCAAAGTGAAAGCATAAGCGCACTTTTGAGGCTCTGCGATTACTTTGAGACTACACCACACGAAGCGATCCTCTGATGAATACGAAGTAAGTGCTACTCTGCCTTGATCAACAGCTACTCTTCCCGTTTTGAATCGTTTTGTTGGTTCAGAATCCGAATACAATAAAGTGCTTAGGCCAGCGTCGCTCCATGATCTTTGTGATTCGTACGTATGTACCACCTCAATGGCCAAAACAACTAAAATTAGAAGATCCAAAAGTCTACAACTAGCAACCACTGACGTGCGTTCGTTCAATCGAATGGATGTTTTTCTATATGACTTACCAGCGACAAGAGCAAGACTGTAGGAATGTAGCATTTTTACACAGCATTATACACTAGCGACTTGAAATAGGCTTTCCATTTGCGGCGCTTGCTATAACGAGTATGTTAAGACGATACGATTATCAGGTGTGCGACGCATGAACCCCGCCTCCTGCAAGAACGCATTTTATGACGCAGCAGCTGCCAGGTTGACTATGAAGCTGCATTTGAACGCCGGGCTGCACGACCTTCCTTCCTTCCAGAAGCAGAACGCTACTGCTGTGGTTTTCTTATAAGCGGCCGCCCGTTTTGTTCATTAATCATCCCGAGCTCCAAACGCCATGTCGGCGATTTCCCTGCGGTGCGAGCTGGAAGCGGGTGGGGCCGACTTTGACGCGGTGGTGGCCCGGCATGAGAAGTTCCTGGAGGCCCTGGCGACGCAGCAGCCGGCCGCTCGGTGGTGCCCCAGCTCCGCCAGCCTGTGCGTGACCAAGCGCCGCAAGCTGCGGGCGGCCGACCTGCGCGAAGAGCTGCAGCTCCCCTCCGAAGACCACGTGTACGACCTCTTTCACTGTTACCAGCAACACAAACTCACGCAGCAGTGGCACCGGTCCGAGATCAACACGAGGGAACTGGACGAGGAGGACGTGGCGTCGTTTGACCTGTACGACCAAATGATACAGAGCTTGTCCACCCCCGCGGAGGGAGGATCTACTTCTACAGCATCTTCACAGGCGGCCCCGGCGCAAATAATCACCTCGTCCACTGGCGCAACAATAAATAAGTCGAGAATTATACAGCAGAACCAGCAGCGGGAATTGCACTCTTTAGCCCCGGAGGAGTACCACCGGCAGCTGCTGCAGGAACTCCGCTACTTCCTCCACGCCGAGCGCGTTGCAGTGCTGCAGACGTTTGCGCTGCTGGTTGGCGAGTTCGCGAACATCTCCACGGCTGCGTCCGCGAAGGCCGCACGAACCAGCGGGACGAGCTCCTCCTCGAGCAGTAGCAGCAGTAGGCTCCGAGCAAGCGTGAATAACAACTCCTCGTCGAACATGATGAGTGGAGCGCCATCTCCTGCAAGGTCGGGTGCCGACGTGCTGCGGAATTTTGTGTTGCGCAACTGGCAAAACATGGTGGAGCGCACGTACGAGACGTATGTGTCCACGAACAAGATGGACCCCAACGCGGGGGAGGATCTGCAGGTGGGGCTGGAGCTGCAAATTGCCAGCCTGGAAACTCTGGTCGTTTTCGTGCACGCGGCGGAGTCGCACAACATGGCGCTGGAAATAACCAAGTCGTTCTCCTCAAACCCCTCGCACCAGGCAGTTCTGGTTTCGCGCCGCTCAACCATGCTTGAAATTGTGAACGACAGTAGAGAAACTACTTCAACGACTGAAGACGACTCTTTTTCTCAGCCGAAGATGACCCACACTGCCCCGCAAGCGCCGCCTGCCAACGCCCAGCAGCCACTGCAGCTGGGCATCAGTCTGCTGGACCTGTGCCAGAGCTTCGCGGGGACGCGGTTTCTCGGGTGTTCCCACTTTCTTCGTCCGAAGCTCGAGGGAGAGCTGTTTCAGAAGACGCACCCCGACGCCCACTTGCTCCTGGCCGAGAACGACTTGCTCTACCTGCGGCTCGCGCAGCACCTGAGCGACTTGCAGGTGGTGTTGCTGTTGCAGATCCTGCAGGCGGCGGCGACGGTCCCGGGCATGGACTTGGAGAACGCGGAAGTAAAGCAAATCCACCAAGAACTCACCGATTACTCCGTGTTGTTCGACAAGTGCGGCCACAACGTGTGGGTGGGCAACGATTTTGCGGCGGACACGCTGAGCAACCCCATGGCCTGGGAGGAGCAGCACATGCTGAAGCAGACCAGCATTTTGACCCTGGGCTGGTTCGTGTACGTTACCTCGAAGCCGGACTACGCACCCCTGGTTCACCGGCCGGACACCGTGTTCGGACGGTACAAGCAGGTGTTGCGCAGCGAAAAGCTGGTGGCCTTTGCCCTGCAGGAGATCGTGCAGCGTTCGCGGCTCTTTCCGACGGACGCGGCGCACGCCCCGCCGAACGCGCCCTTGGCGCGCTTTTCCCGGCACCGCGTGCTGGCGTTTTTGGGCTGCTCCTTCCAGAAGTTCCACGACATCCACCGCATGGTCTTCGTGCAGTACTGCAGCCGCGTCGCGGAAACGTTGAAGCTGGAAGACTGTCCGGTGCTTCTTCCGCACGGTTTGACCCTCGTGGTGCGGCAAGCATTTAGTATTTGTGGCGCCCCCGCCGGAACATCAGGAGGTTCATCTTCACCATCATCTTCGTGCAGCAGCGGTGTCGAGAGAGTGAAGAAACGCATTTGGGCACAGGACATCGCAAACCGTGCCGGGTTGCAGTTTCTGCTGGGACACATGGTGAACGACCTGGGCACCTACCTGCCGAATTGTTTGGATCTGCTCGCCGCCCTACTCCCGGGAACAGACAGTTTGGACGCGCAGAGCGACATGGTGTACGACAGTCTGATGCTTTTGATGCAGGAGACAAAAGTTCCGTCGTTCACCACACTGCTGCCCTCCGTGACCGACTGTGTGCGGTCGGCCAATCAGGAGACCGCGGAATTGCAACGCCCGGTCTACGTCGAGCACTTCTTCCTGCGGCAGTTTGGTGTGAGTTGCGCCCCCGTTTACGATGCAACGTGTACCGGGATGCGGGCCGGAACCCAGGGTCGGCTCCTCCGGAAGGCCGTGGTGGAGCCGCAACGCACCAAGCTGGAGGCCTCCGTGTGCGCCCACTGGCAGCTCGGGGCCGGCGAAGGGTTCTGCATGCTTCCGCTGGTTTTCACCACGCTAGACTCCTTCATCGACAAGTACAGCAGCGCGGTGGGCAGAAAGCACGACCCGGCGCTGCCTCCGTCCTCCACCCGGGACGCGTTCTCGGCCGACGTACAGTCTTTGAAGACCCACTTGATTGAGCAGAACCACATTTGCGTGCCGAGCAACGTCGCGCTGTCCCTGGCCGCGATTCGGTTCGTGTGCAAAATGGTGATCGCCTTTCCCGACCGGTGGCAAAGCAGCGACCTGCACCTCGCGGTGTCGGCCGAGGGAAGGAAACTGACGAAAGAACCGACCTTGACGCTTCCCCTGTTCCAGCGGCTCTTTCGCCTATTTCTGTGCTGCAGCGCAAAACCGGAGTTTCGCTCCTTGGTGCCCTTAATTCTTCAGGCGATGGCCACGTTTTTCCAGGATGTGGAGGCAATAGCAAAGTCAAGAACAGGAGGAGCCTCAAGTAGTACTGCTGCCTCACAGCTGCACTCCATGTACGACCCAGAGCCACGACCGGTATTAAACGACACAGCATCCACGTTTCACCAGCAGAGAACTACGTCAAGCACTATGATGGAAGAGGACCACCATCCGCAGCTGCAGACCACGACCAACCTCCAAGCGCAGTACGGACGCCGACGACGACGGGGAGGTGGACTCGCACCCGCGAGAGTTTCTACAACCGGACGGGACCACGCCGACCACTACGAAACGGCAGTCCCAGACCAACAACGAGAGGAACTACTAGTACAACCCGAACGCAAGACCAACAAGGCGCGGGCGTTTTCGCTGCTGCTCCTGCTCGAGCAGAACCAGTCCCAGTTCTTTGCCTGTCTGCACCAAAACTTGAACGCGGAGAGGGCCGAGGGGCACTACACCATTTTGCTCGCGACACTGAAGTTTTTCGAAACGATGTTTGACGCCGTGCCCCCGGCCAGCTGGGGAGCCAACTGGAACTTGCAGGCGGCGGCCACCCTCAACGTGGGCGGGGGCGGGGGGACCGCGATTCGCACCCTCGACGACCTGGACCAGTCGCGGCACACCGTGGTGCGGGAGGCGCAGTTTCTGCTGCTCGAGGAGATCCTCAGTTTCGTCCTGGCCTCTGTGTTCGCCAAACACGGCTCTGGCTGGGCGTACGCCGGGGAGAAGCACGACGCGTCCTCCGTGAAAAACGACATTGGAAAAGTTTGCATTCGCATCGCAACGGTGAATTTCGTCTCGCTCTTCTTCTGCAAAGACTTCTTCCAAGACGCAAGTAACATTCTCTCCACGCGCGCGGACGCGGATCTGGTCAGCGAGCTCTTCAACACGCTGCGCAAGCGCCAGCACCGGTTATTGCAGCTCTTTGCGGAAAATGCGGTCCTCCCGCGGGTGCTGCAGACCCTGGTTTGCGAGATGATGGTTTTGTCCTGTTCCGGCCTGTCATCCGTTGTTACTGAGAAGTCCAGCGGAGGAACATCATCGGCAACCGGCGCTTTGGTAGTTTCAACATCCGGAGCAAACGCACGCCCAAATGAAGGGTCGTCGTTACTGGACGAAAGTGCAACAAAGAAGCTCTCGCGGCCGGTGGTGTTCGGGTTCACGAACACAGCGCTGCTGCAATCGACGCCCCCGTCCGCGGTCAGCGACTACGAGAACACCACGCGCATCATCCACCGCTTTCTCTACGCGGCAAATTGGATGCCCAACGTGGCCAACGGCACCAGGGACCAGTTCCGCGCCACGGAATACGAGAACTTCTTCAAAACGAAATCGCAGAGCGAAGACTTCTTGCTGACGTCGTTGGATTTTCTGCTCGCGCTGCTCACGATTTGCTTGCGGCCGAGCGAGGATCTGGTCAACAAGGAGGCCGTCCGCGAGCTCGAGGAGTACTTGCTGTCGCAAACCAATACCCCCTCCTGCAAGCGGCAGTACTCCGTGACCTGCGGAGCCGACAACATCCAGTGCGAAGTCTTTTCCGTGGATTTGATCAAATCGCTCTTTCACCTGTCCTCCTGGAACACGGGAGGTGGTGGCATATCGTCCACCGCGGGCAGCACCACCAGCTCCATTGCGGTGGCCATTCTCGCGGCACAGACGCTGCAAAAGATGTGCCTTCTGTGGGAGCAGACGGACACGTTTGCAGCTAGTAAGCACCTGCTGTCCGAATTTCTCACCTTCAACTGCGCCCCGGCCTACCACGCGGAAACGGCGAAGGAGAAAACGAAACTGGAGCTGCAGATGCTGCTGAAGGACATCACCGACGCCAACGCGGCGGCAGCGGAACCTGCGTTGCCTGCGTTGCCTGACGGGAAAGAACCGACAGAAGTAAAGGCGGTGGAAGACGCGAAGCCGCCACAAGAGGGCCAAGCGTCGGGGCTGTCAGCAAGCAGAGGAGTTTATCTCTCCGGAGGACGTCCAAATAAACCGAGCGTGCATCTCGGGGCGTCCATTGTCCAGAAGTGGCTGCAGATGATGGTCAGGCCCGACCCAAAGCTGGTCGAGCTGCGTCACGCCTTGCTCTCGCTCGCCTGCGTGGGCGTCCGGACGCAGAGCTCGGTCTTCCTCACACTGGAAGCGCGCCCCGGGCAAAATCTCATCCGCAAATGCAGGCAGATCGTGGAGGAGTGTTTGCGCAGCTTTCCAGTGGAGAAGAGCGGCGGAGGGAGAAATACGACACCAGACGACCTCGCAGCGGAAAGTACACGACCCACCGTCGACAAGAAACAGAAGGAGAAGCTCCGCTGGGTCGCCAACAAAGTGCCTTTACTGTGGCACGCGATGCACCTGCTGGGCGAGATTGTGAACACGCTCTTTGTGGATTTCGAGTCGCTCGAAGACGTCTGGCTGCTTCTCATCAACGTGCAGGGGAAGGTGTCGCAAATCATCAAGGAGTGTTTGCCGTATTACCTTGACGTAACCGCGATGTCCTCCCCTCCAGGACGTCGAGGGAATAACGACGAGCAGTATGATCATGCTAGTAGGGTTTTGAAGGTAAAATACGCGACGCAAATTCGGTCGCAGCAGTACTACTTCTACCTGGTGCAAGTCGTGAAGGAGATCCATTTTCTCGCGTACGTGGGCATGGCGAAGGTTTCCCAGTGGATGGACACGAAGAAGTCCACCATTGCGCAGCTCCTGGACAAGTCCAAGAGCTTCAAGAAGCTGCAACTGCTGGTGATGGCGGTGCTGTTCGACGAGCATGACTTGTGGTCCCGAGACCCAGACGCCGCAAACCAAGCGGCCGCGGCGGCCATGAACAACACCGGTGGACCGTCGGCGAACACCTACATCTTCTCCCCGCGCACGCGCGCAGCTGACCAAAGAATGGAAGTAGAGCAGGATAATTATATGCAAGAAGCCAATAACGTGATAATGAACGCGAAAGACACAACTGATTCCAGCATGTTCGTACCTCCGTCGGCGTACACCGCGAGCCGGGAGCGGTTGTTTCAGCTGTGCCACAAGGCGGGAATTCAGGACGACGTGTACGCAAACCTGCTCTCGCGGGACGACATCACGAAGCAAGTGACGGGGACGAGCTACCGCAACATGCTGAATAAGGAGGTGTGCGAGGACTTGGACGACTACATGTACGGCAACTACTCGGGCGTCAGCAGCGCTTTGCTCCTGGAGCACCACGTGGTCGGGGGCACAAACGCATTTGCTTCCGATTTCAACGACGACCCAACAAGTTTGATGCAGCAACTTCCCCGGCAGCAGCAGCAGAGACTGTTCCGAAAGAATGACTTCGGTGGGCAATTCCGTTCGGGTTTCGGGACCGACAGTCTGAGTCACGACTACCTGGCGAAAAACACGGCCTACGGCGCGATTTCGCGCGGAATGCGCGCGACCCGGAGCTTGTCGGACGTAAGTGTGGTCCGGTCGGAGACCGTGCGTCGCTTTATCGCCGCCTTCGACCGCTTGGAGCGCGAACAGCTGACTAGAAAAAGGCTTCTTGTTGGGACGGGCGAATCCGCGCCGATATCCTCCACGTCCGCGACACTGCGAACAAAGACCAGCCTGACGCAGACCCTGAACCTTCTGTCCTATTATTACGACGTGAAAACTGGCGGCAGCGCGACGACCGGTGTTCAGAGACTCGACCCCATGGGTGTTGATGTTACCATGACCACGAGCAACAATCCAACCCCGTTTCGCACGCCGGAAAGAGGCGGATGGAACCACAACAGTACAGTTTCTAACAACCCGTACAACGACAGCAATAGATTCGGCGGCGGCTCCTATTCACCTGCGCACAGGAGTTGTAGAGCAGCAGTGTCCGCTGCCTCGTCAAAGCAGGCGTTGCTGGCCGAGGCCGACACCTTCGGGAACCTCTCGGCCATCGTGAGTCTGCAGCACGAATCCCTCGCAATGTATTCGCAACTGGTGTTGGCGGTGTGCGAGCTCGCCTGTGCACTGGCCAACGCGCCGAAGAACGACGATCCGCAGATGGTGCACGACCTAGTGTCTCCGCTGCTTCCGATATCCTGAGTAAAAACGTACCCACACCAGAGTTGTAATGCAAATCTGCATGCTGAAAATGTTTCTCATGCGGAGCTCCATGAGAAGCATTTTCTAGTCGTGTTTTGCAATTTGTCATGCTCGAATCAGCATGGTATGCTAGATCTGTGATGCTGCTGAGCTAGCTCAATCAGCACTACACTACGACTCCAAATTTGTCATGCAAAACAGCCAAAACTTGTGGATTTGTCTAGCCGATTCCCCATCTTGACTCTGGTGTGGGTACGTTTTTACTCAGGATATCCGAAGCTGATCCCCTACATCTCCTTGCTGCTGCACGACCACCAGATTTATCAACTGTAAAAATGTCTGGGTCTGGAAGAATCCAACTTGTCATGCTGATTTTGGATTCTAAAAAAATCTGTATTGCATGAGCAGCCAAGAGAGTCCAAGTTTTGCTACACGAAGAGAGCATTTGTCATGCGGTATAGGCATCAGGAAGCCCTCACAAAATCTGTGATGCTAGGGCATGCATCACAGACATCAAGAGTCATGCAAAATGTGCATGACAAACCTGGCAATCTTCCAGACCCAGACATTTTTACATTTGATAAGATTCTCACCGATCCGAAAGCAGGAGGTTCCGGCGTCTCTACGGCACTCCTCAACCGGGCTGCAACAAGCACTTTGCACGACTGCGCGAGCGAGGCGGTGCGCAAGCTGTTCCCCGCCCCGTTGCTCCCGACGCTGAGCATGTTTTTGACCATGACCACGCGCATCCTGCAGTTCCCCATGTTCTCGAGCCCGGCGTTCCAGTTTCCCCCGCTCGCCAAGTACTTCAACGGCGCCGTGCGGGTGCCGGAGGAGATGATCAGCGTGCTGAAAATGACATCCGAGGAGTGCACGCAGGGCAAGCTGTTCTCGCGGCAGCTGGCGCAACTCCTGAAGGTGTTGGTGCGGCAGCTGCAGAGCCAGGGCGTGAAAGACGTCCGGTTGCACAGCGACGTGCGGGAACGAAGCGGCGGGCAGCAATTCGCATGGTCTCGAACGGCGGCGCACCTCGTGCAGGACCGCAGCATGGTGTTGGACGCGTTCGCGTCTACTTTAGGCTGTCTGTTCCAGCTCGTGACGGCGTTTCTGCCCGAAAACGCGGCCAGCGAAAGAACCACGAGCGTTGAGCAGGAAGCCGAGATCGAGGAGATCTTCGTGCTGGTGCTCGAGAGCTGCACGGAATTGCTGCAGGTCCATCACCAGCAGACGGGCATGCCACTCGTGTCCGACCGGGTCTTGAACGAAAGCGACGATAATTTGTTCGACGATCGACTCCGCGGCGGAGAACAGATGTCAAAACTAGCGACTCCCCGGGGCGGTGGTCCTGCGCGAAAAAAGCAGCGGCGTGGCGTCGACTCAGCGATGTTGAATAGTAACGGAAGTCAAAAGGAGAGAACTACCAACTATATGACCGGCGCACAACAAGGTAGAAGTACGTTGACAGCGGCGCAGTCGGACGAGGAACACTACGTTGCACAAGCGGCAGCGAACAAGAGTCCCTCGTCCTACCAGTCTTGGTTTGCGAATTCGAGTGTGACCAGCGCCAGCTTTGGCAGCTTGATCCTCGCCATGGTCCAGCGAATCACGGGCATCGTTCCCGTCGAAAAGTACTACGATTTGTACGTGTCCTTGACCACGGTGCTGATGCAACCCACACCCAATGGCATGTGGCAGTTCACCAACTCCGCGGACCACGGGTCGTCCCGGGCGAAGGGCCCTTCCGCGGCCAAGCTCCTCCTCGCGGCGAAGCTGAACAACGTGCGCAAAGCAGTGAACGGCGAGCTGGGTCTGGGCGGCTCCATGAGTCAACAACATCTTGACGGAAACACTAACAGCAGCAGCGACGGCGGGGTCTACTTTGCAGAACTGCAGTTACCCGCATCCATGTCGATCACTGCGGAAGATAACGTGCGGAGAAAAATTGTGCTGGATCGCGAACCTGCACTGCAGCGAATACTCGCGCGGCGGATCGACGCGTGCGTGGGCCTCTACATGTCCATCAGCAGCTCGCTCCACGGCGCAACACTCCTGCTCGAACGCGGACTGCTGTCCCAGCTGGCCGCGCACCCGGTCCTGCAGACCTTCTACGGGAATGGAAAAGCCGAACTCTCCGCCTACGAGGCCGACCAGCGAAAGCCGTTGCATGCCTCGTGGTGCCAGGTTCTCGCCCTGGTCGGACACCTTCTCGCGACCGCAGCACCGTAATACTTTCTGGATTTGTCATCTTGAACGCCCGGTCTTCATGTTCGCGTTTCTCAGAATAAACCTTTAATATTCCCTCTGTAGGCCTGAAATTCTACGTATAGGATTGGGATTCTCTTTACGTATACTCTATACAGGGTCGACGGGGTGTCCGAGTTTTTGAACGCGTATGAGGACCGGTTTCTGCACGTACTGGAGGAGAAGGAGATGATATCCGAGCTGGCGATGGTGGAAGAAGTATGCGCGATGAGCAAAATTTTGTGCCACGTCCCCTCGCACGACGCGCGAACGGTGTACCTCCTCAGCATGGCTCTGAAGGCCCAGAATTTTCTGGCGTCCGTTGTCCATGTCGAACGTACTCGGTTGTTTGTAGCTAAAGTGGTTCTTGTACTTTACATGATGATCATTTTCGATATTTTTTTGCCTGCCAAAACGTTTGTTCGCTTTTGCCTGTCTTGTCTTCATTGAAATCTCCTCATATGCACAGATCACGGCAGCGGGTCTGAAGTCGTCCGCCCGCAATCGATTCCGGAGCGCGTCGCTGCTGGCGTAAACGAGCTGTACGGATTTTTTCCCGCGGTGGTGCCCTCCCTGTTTCACCAGAGATCACAGTATTCTACTGGAACTTTGTTTTTGGTTCTCTTCCTGATTTGGTCTCTATGCTGAAAGCAACTGCCCATGCTTCATTCGGATCAGTAGAACTGAATTTCCACGATAGCGAAATGCAAGTAAGTAAGTACTTACATCCAATTCCACAGGTACCTCACCTACGACATGTGCCGGCATGTCTTACTAAGCCTCTTGCGACTAATGGCACAAGAACCGCAGCTCTTGGCGCAGAATTTCTTCGAGGTGGACTACGCGGGCGACAATATCCTATGTAAAAACGTCCCCACACCATAGTTGTAATGCAAATCTGCGTGCTGAAATTGTTTCTCACGCATAGCCCCATGAGAAGCATTTTTCAGCCGTATTTGCAATTTGTCATGCTCCAATCAGCATGATATACTACGTCTGTGATGCTGCTGAGCTAGCTCAAACAGCACTACACTACGAGTCCAAATTTGTCATTCAAGACAGCCAAAACTTGTGGACTTGTCTAGCCGATTCCCCATCTTGACTATGGGGTGGGGACGTTTTTACGTGGGATAGACAAGAATGACAGGCTGACGAACAGCGCCCGGCTTCCTCGGGCGCTCGGTTCCTTGCAGGCGACGGGCGAGCGGGTGTTGGCGGACCCAATCCTGCTGCAGCCCGGGCACCACCGAGGTGCCGTCAGCCGAATACTTTACTTCGGTGGGCTAGCCGGCACTGCGCCGTATTACGCCGACCGCACGAAGTACAGCCAGCGGGTCCACTGGTCGGCCGTTTTCGAGCACGTCGTGGAAGGCGCGCGAAGGTGCAGCCACTTCCTCGCGCAGACGGTCCTAGTGCCCCCCAGCGAAGGCGGACCCGGGCAGGCCGAGACGAATCTGCAGATCATCCAGGAGCAATTTCAACTGGCCGCGAGGAACCTGGACGCCCGGGCGGACTTGCAGCGGATGGACGCAAGAGAGTTTCTTCCCGAGCAGCTCGACCAGGACCTGAATGTGTTAGACGACGAGTTCGCGTCGGACGACGACGAAGAAGAAGAAGACTTTGGCGAACTGTATCCCAGTATTAGCGTCAGAGGACAGCAGCGACAGGACGAGGTAGGAGGGAACAAAAAATTACCTCAGGAAGGAGCGCAACCAGACCACGGAACTATAGGCGCGAAAAATAAGCAAAAAGCAGCAGTCGTCCCAAGGTTAGATCGCGAACAGCTGCGCAACCTCTCTGCCGCCCAGCGGAGAATGCTGCAACCTGGTGCGACGGCTCGCGGAGGTGGCAGATCCGCGCACGCTTTTAACGTCGCGGACCACATTCACGAGGACCTGGAGGAAGTCTGTATCCCGCTGGCGTTGTACCTGGTCCCGAATCCTTTCGACAACAGCAACTTTCTGCCCTCTGCAAGAAAAGCCCTGTTTTCGCGGTTCGCCTCCCAGAGTCCGCTGCTGCCGTCGGTGGTCAAGAAACCGACCACGGCGGGGAACAACACATGGACCATGTGCACGATGTCATTGGGTACTCAATGCTTTTTATATGAAAATAAGCATAAAACATCGCTCTCCGAGTGGAGTGTTGCTTTGTTTTGACTTTAGTGTGTTTTAGATAGGCTCTTTTCATCCCCCATAATATACTGAGCAATTTGCATTTAGATTTTTGCGCGGCCTCGCAAGTTTCTGGGGAAGTTGATTTATCTAAAAAATCGTTCAGGTTCTTGCGGGGGTCAGTATCCGCTGGGGATTGTTCCAGAGGCAGTGACTTTCAAGGAGTACAGGTATCAAATGTAAAAATGTCTGGGTCTGGAAAATTGTGATGCTAAAATGTGCATGATGAAAACACTTCCGAATGCAGTCCGGCATGACAACTTCCCAAAACGCTTTCTCGTAAGCAATCCGCATGGGAAACTGCGTTTTTATTGCATGACAAAAGAGGCTGCGACTTTTGTTGGTTATGCAATACAGATTTTCTAGATATAGCATTACAAGTTCCAACCTTCCAGACCCAGACATTTTTTCAATCCATAACAGGGACTTGTGCACCATGTGCTTGGAGTTGTCGGCAACTATCCTGTGGAAAAGTATCGTACTCGTAGTAATCGCAATCATGCATTACAAATCTCCATCCCAAGGCAAAACAGCATGACAAATTCTATTTGTCATGCTGAGCTAATTTGTATTGCAATTACTACTAGCACCATACTTTTGCAGTTCATAGCAACGTGCGTCTACCAATACTGTGTCACCCAAGGTATAGTTCTTTGTTTTACCGATGAAACGAAAAACTTGTGCACGTGCTGATGCTCTAACTGTGATTCGCCTCTGCTTGAACAGGGCGGATTTAATTCATATTTTGCAGTAGCATCTAACCTAAAAATATTCTACAGGAGCCTACAATGATAACGTGCTGTACGCGCTTTTAAATCTGATGCACGAAATTGGAGAACATGTACTTGAAGACGGAACGCGCACTCTTCTGGAGGGTTTGGGCGATGAACTACGGGAGCGCAGTGTGTTGCAGAAGCGGATCTAAGGCGAGTGTGAACGCCCGGGATTCTCCGGAGAAGGGGATTCTTACGAGTGCGAAGACGTTAAGCGCCAACGAACATGATTTTAGATTTTTCGTAATTATGGGGTGCCGTAAAGGGGAAAGTTAAGCAACTTTGCAAGAAGCATCGAGGGTTATACTAGGCAACAGGAAACATCAAACATATGAATGAGATCGGCGAAGAACGCGATGAAGATATGCGACAGTGTATTTGTTTTGCATTACCAGGGCGAGGTACATGTGACTCGAATCACTAGGAACAGAAAATCCCATTAATCTGTCTTGGTGGGGCTACATGCCTTGTTGATTCTTTCGTGCAATGCTGTTCATTCCTATTCTTGGAGGAAAAGTCGGTGTTTTTAACTTCGGTACACGCGGTATTTCAATTACTAATACCTTGCACGACCATCATTGCTGGGTTTCTATTTCGGTTTTATTGCAAAAGCAGTTGCCAAATTCAGCTTTGTGATCGGTTCTGGATTTTATTTTTAAATCGATATAATGTTTTTTGTCGCTGGAGAGTTTTTTTTTGCGGGTGAGGGACGGAGAATCACTGAGCGAAACGTGCTTGGTTTTTGCCGATACTTCCTTCTGCGAAATCCGACACAATTGTAAAATATTTTTCTCAGGTCCACGTGTCATTTTTTCTGTTATTAGAGATTTTGACCGTGCAGTGAGGGCCAAGTAGAGTGTCCCAAGCACCCCAAGTATCACCCCTGTAAGCACGATTGCACAACACGAGAATAAAGTTTTTTGCGTGGAACGAAGCAAATCTTTTTTCGGCAACCGTATACGAATAGGAGATCACAGAGTTGTGATAGAGGGAAGTGAGATACTTTTTAGAGATACAATAGAGAACTAAAACAGGAGACAAAATGGTGGACACTGCGCAGTACGCTATGGCACAGATGGAGCTGACTCACGAGTCGGGCGGCGTGTTGGGCGCGCACGATGTGGTCGGTAGCACCTTTTACATCGCCATGAACGCCATGCTTGCGTGCACCGTGTTCTTCTTGTACGAAACAAAAACTTTTGTCGCTGATTATGTCGCTTGATGCATGTTGTGATGAAATAAGGACAGCAGCACTATCAAAATGGAACTAAATCCCGATTTACAAGCAGAAGGCATGTATCACTATGGGACTTAACTCGAAACGAGAAGGATAGATGCAATTCCACAAAACAAAGTATTGTCACGAGGAGATTGAATCGATTGACAAATCGTTTTTGCTTTCATACCGTCCTCGAGCGGGACAGCGTTCCCAAGCAGTGGAAGAAGTCCATCACCGTCGCCATGCTGGTTACGGGCGTCGCCACATGGAACTACTTGTACTTGATTTCGTTGAGTGATTTGCATTTTCGTTTTAGATTGGCATTTAGATTTTAGCTAGCTGAATGTGGATTTGCATTTAGAGCTGTAGGTTTGCATTTAGACTTCGACGAAAAACTACGCCATGATCAATGTCCCTCCCGTAGGCTGAGCAACGCTTCTTTGGCTTCTTGGCAATTGCGACTCACCTGAAATACTCCCAGGTTCATGAAGACCACGTGGGTGCGCACGCAGAACTCCCCGACCGTCTACCGGTACACGGACTGGTTGATCACCGTGCCCCTCCAGATTGTTGAGTTCTACCTTATCCTCGCCGCCACAACGAAGGTGTCCTCCGGTTTGTTCTACAAGCATATGGAAGGAAATCTTTTGATCGCATCTGTCAGCAGATTTGTACAGTAGGTGTCGTGTGCTTGTAGTTCTGGTACATACTATACTTTTGCTTCTGCGCGAGAAAATAGCAGGAGGTCGCATAGAACTGCCCTTGTCACAGCGAGCACCTGCAATTTCAGTATTGCGATTGATTTCATGAAAAGAGCTGACAGAGCATTAAGATTCTTTCTCTGCATACGTCTTTTGGTTACCTCCGTTATTATGCTCGTCGGTGGCTACTTGGGTGAGGTTGGTGCCGTCTCCGTCCTGTGCGGCTTTGTCATCGGTAAAAGAGATATTTTCTTTTGTTTCGCGGCAAAAGACCTCTTTGTCGCCGTGTTTAATGAGCAATCACCATGTGATGTACTAAGATCATTGAATTTCCCAAGGCGGTACTGCCGAGATAAGGCCGTTGGCGGTGTTGTTACAATGAGCCGTGAAATCAAAAACTACATCAATCAGGCATGTTGGGCTGGTTGTACATCTTGTTCGAGATCTTCGCGGGTGAGGCCGCCGCCACCTCCGGTGCTTCCACCAACAAGGCCGCCACCGCCGCCTTCAACACCTTGCGAATGATCGTGTCCGTCGGCTGGTATAGATTTTGTCTGGTTTATTTGGATTCTGCATCTGCTCTTGTAGACGTAGGACTGCATCAAACAATAGGATTCTTCGGCTTATGCAGGAAGCTTATTGTACCGCGATGCCGAACAAGAGGCTGTCTGTCAGTACATTTTGCAGCCGCCAGTGCATGGACGAAAAGGAAATAAATTCTTGTCCGAAATAAAACGAAATGTTCTGCATTCTGCACCAATGAATGGGCGAAAAATTATATTTTGTGTGCTGTCACAGTCACATTCACAACGGCATCATCCGTTTTACTAGATGTTCGTTTTTAAATCTCCCACCATGCGCATTAAATTCACAGGTGCATCTACCCGATCGGGTACTACCTTGTGTACTTGGGCCCGACCTTCTCCTACCACTCCCAGAGCTGCGTCAACGTCGTCTACAACCTGGCGGATGTCGTCAACAAGGGTGCCTTATCAAGCGCAAAAATGTCTGGGTCTGGAAGAATGCATGTTTGTCATGCTTGTCTGGCATGAGTCCTAGATCTGTCATGCACGTTACCCAAGAGCTCCATTTTTCTGTGATGCAGGAACGCACTTTGTCATGCAGCATAAGCAACACCTAAGAGGTCAGAAACTTGTCATGCTGAGCCAGCATTTGTGGCCTCATCATGAGACGCCACCCAGCATCACAAGTTTCCAGACCCAGACATTTTTGCATTTGATATGCCTTCGGCCTCTGCATCTGGGCCGCCGCCAAGTCTGACGTCAAGGCCGGCCAGCTGTTGAAGTAAGTGTGATCATTATCCAGGAAAAAAACTGTGTAAGTGTAACTTTGTAGGAAGATCAGCATCACAAATTCTTTTTGCATTTCAGGGAAAACCTGTCATGCGCAGGTAGTACGTGGAAACACCTTATTGAAGTGGCCTATGACGCACCTCTAGCATGACAAGTGTAAACAGTTTAGCATTTCCTGCGTCACAGACTTACACTTACACATTTTTTTTCTTGCATAACCATGTCGCTTGAAGATCGTCAGTCGACAATTTTCAGACCGCGAGACCCAGTTGACACGAAAAAATGTAGAAAAATATGACACTTCCAGTACACGGTTTCAGCGATTTAACAGAACAAGACTTCAATCAGACAAAAATACACGTTGCAGTTTGGTAAATTGTATCACAGTGAAGAAGCGGGGTGTGGCTGATGTCGCATGTCTGGTAGCATACGTTTAACGTTGTGACAAAGTATAGATCGAGTGCCGCAGTGTACGTGCTGCAACCGCGGGTTGCATGAGTCGAAAGTTTCAACAGTAAAAATCTATACAGAGTCGGTATGCTCCACAGGGCGTCATCAGAAAGGAACAGTCAGTATCTCACTATATCGAATTTTTTCAAAAACAAAACTACAGAATAAGCCCGTAGAACAGCGCAATTAAAAAAAGTGACTCTTCTCTGCTCTATTCCGCGATCTGATACGTTTTATTTCGTAGGCAGAACCAACAGACACTCCCTGGAGGAGGGTAGAAGATATAGAGGAGTACACAGCAGCAAAACGGGCAGGGTTTCGAATCAGACTGTAGTTAGAGCCAAAATTTTGTGTAATAGACTATGCGAATCAGACAACAGAACAGACTATGTAATGGTACGTGTTCAGAGAATCACAGGAATAATAGCATCATCACCTATAGGAATCATCAACTATACAGCATTTTATGTGGTTTTAATAGATACATCATCAGCATTTCTAGATACACATACAGTCAATGGAATCAGACAGAGGAGTACAGCTTCCACCGTCATCGTGGCGTTGTGTCGTGTGCTCTCCAACAGACTGGAGTATTACGATTCTGAAATGGGAAATGCGTAGATACAAAACTAAAATGTTGAGACATGATGCGCATGTTGTACCCTACCCGCTGGTGGCAGGGAAGAGCATGTTGCGACGAAAATATCATCCGAGAATACAGTAAAATTAAGCTGCAGAGTAAGGCAGCATTGGTTATGAAAGTCTTTAGGCTGATGTTCTAGCGGTAGATGTAAGTCCTCATTCACCACAATGCTCCGCAAGAAACGAGTTTGATAGGTGGATCTGCTGATGACGTTTGTGTTTTGATGTGCGTCGACCGTCGGTGACGACATGCAGCCTGAAACTCACTTTCATTTTTCGTTGAATGTTGAGGTTAGACAGATGCAGTTCCTTGTCAGTGCTACAAAGGACGCGGTGTTCTGTGGTCTGTTCGCGGGCGTAACAATCGCCCCGAAAAAAATGCGGTCAATCTCGTTGCAAACTTTCTGCCTTGGCGCCTCTCTGACCGCCCTTGCAGAGGACGCGACTATGTCGAACGTGCTCAACGCCGAATTCGAATTTGCAGATGAAGGGGAAGGAAATAAGGAATCCGTTGAGGAGCGGGGGTTCAGCCCGGTGCTCCCCCCCCCCCCATGCGTTCCAGAACACCAAGGTGAACGACGCGGCGGTGTGCGAAGCAATGAAGACGCCGCTGCTCGGAATTTTCAACAAGATGATCGAGCCAGACCTGTCTTCTTCCGAAGAGCTCGACGCCATGGACTGCGCCCTGAGTGCGCAGCGTATCAAGCGCGCCGGTGGGGACACGAACAGTACAATATTTTTCTCTAGGTCTTGCTGTAGGAATTTCGGCCAGTGGATAAGTCATATTGATTGCACAAAGAGGAACAAGTAATACACAGCTGAATCCGACTCGGATCATGACATATTGTAAAACGCTCCTTATCAGATGATGGCAACCTGAGCCGGGCCGAGAAGGAAATTTTCTGTGGGAGCGTAGCGCTGTCAGGAGGTGAGCGCATCAGTGGCGGGGTCACGGGATCGTTTCTCGAGTTCACCTGGCAGGACCTCTGGAACAACTGCAGACGCAGCACGGGATGCTGCGATGCCCACGAGGAGACGTTTGGAACCACCGTCCAAAGAACATACTGGGGAACAATCGGGTACGGGATGCCACAGGGCGAATACCACAGGTCGGTTGTTTCGTACGGCACCGTCGTTTTCAAGACGGGTTTCGGCGACGTCTTCACAGTGGAGTTCACGAACGACGTCGGTCGTCCGGGAGATATCCTCGTGAACAAACAGGACATCGTGTCGCATGCCCTGAGCCTCAAGACAGCAGCGAGAATGGATCGAGCAAGAGGACATGGTCTCTGGGCAGACAAGCTCACGATGTGGGCCTTCGCTGAGCTGCGCGGAAAACTACAACTGGTGGCGAGTTTGGGGGTAACAAGACCCTGGATGGTGTTGTACGGTGTGGACTTTAACAAGGTGGAAAGCAACATTTCGAAAGCGGACAACCTCGTTAACGAAATGAATCTGTCTATTGCGCACTTTCCAGACTGGGTCAAAAACGAAGTGAATAATTTTGATACCAATCCGCATCCAAGTTCCAACTGATTCTTTGACGAAGATGCTCGTAAGCAGTTTTCTTTTTCCTGAATAGAAGTAGAACAAAGATTGTCTAGATAGAAACCTCTGGAGGGAAATAGTTCGCGGTGCACAATATGGAACAGCAAAATCAACTACCAGTAGTGCAGTGTCAGCATCATCATCATCATCATCTTCTTCATCCAACATTGAACAGCTTCCCATACAGGCGATAATGAGACTAAGAGGTCGTAGAAGGGAATTCTAAGGCGAAAACGCCGAGCAGAATAAATTCATCAGAAGTAGAACAAAGAGTAAAGCAAACGTAGCGCAATGTAGATCAGCAGCATTTCTGTGATTCTATCTTTCCTTGATAGTCTTCGTTATTTTTGTTGTTGTTCGACCGACTGGGTCACGACAATGAACAACACAAAGAAACGCGGGCGATGTGGCCACTTTCCATCTTTGAACTCAAGTAGAATCAGACGTTTTGATGTGCGTCGACCGTCGGTGACGACACGCAGCCTCAAACTCACTTTGATTTTTCGTTGAGTGTTGAGGTCAGACAGATGCAGTTCCTTGCCAGTGCAACAAAGGACGCGGCGTCTGCTTTGTGCTTAAAAAGACTACACGATATCCGGTGAGTGCAAAGTGGCATCGTGCAAAAATAATGGGACAAAGTGGCGTTTCGAGGGGCGTTAAAAAGTACTCGCTGCATTGGGAGACGCACTGCATCTCGAGTACTGCACTTGCTCGTTTTCTGATGATACTGATAGATGATGATTTCTTCTGCGCAGTTCCAGTTTGGTACCGTTCAGGTTGAAGAACAGCTCGCAATTTTGACGAAAAATCTTACACCGACTACCAAGAAAAACAAACATGATTCCCGTCCGACGCGCCATCGTCTCTGTCAGTGACAAGGCAGGCGTTGCCGACTTTGCATCCTTTCTCCAGAAAGAATGTGGCACAGAGCTCCTATCTACGGGTGGGACGTGCAAATTACTCCAAGAGAAGCAGATTCCAGTGACGGAGGTGTCCGACTACACGGGCTTTCCGGAGATGATGAGTGGGCGACTGAAAACGCTCCACCCGAAAATCCACGGGGGCATACTGGCGCGCCGGGGAACCGACGATGAGGCTCTGGCGTCGCAGGGGATCGGGTTCATCGACCTGATCGTTGTGAACCTGTACCCTTTCGCCGCCACGATCGCGAAACCCAACTGCACCCTAGAAGATGCGATCGAGAACATCGATATCGGCGGACCGACCATGCTGCGCGCGGCGGCGAAGAACTGGGAGCACGTTGCGGTGATCTGCGTGCCATCGTTCTACGAGAAAGTGAAGGCCGATTTGGAGAAGAATTTCGCCAGTTCTGGCAAATACACGATTTCGCGGGAAACGCGCTTCCAGCTAGCACGGGCTACGTTTGAAGCTACCAGCCAATACGACGGCATGATCGCGAACTACCTGGGAGCCCTGCCACCGCTCTCGGCCGCCGACAGCGGCGCGGGTGGCAACGACAGCGCGGATGAAAAAAAGGCAGAAAAGCAGCAGTTCTCGGAATTCTTCTACAACAGCCTGAAGAAGAAGCAGGACCTGCGCTACGGCGAGAACCCGCACCAATCGGCGGCGCTGTACTCCGAGGAAGGATTCGCGAAGCCGTCCGTGGCGACCGCTGAGCAACTCCAGGGCAAGGAGCTGTCTTACAACAACATCGCCGATGCAGATGGCGCGCTGGACTGCTGCCTTGCGTTTGATCCCAAGTACAGCTGCAAAACCTAAAAGCGTACTTAGTCGTACCTAGTCGCGTTTCATCCATCGTCCAGTAATATGCGTTTGATGTTTTTGATTCTTACGGCCGATGCTGCTGATTTTCCGTAGTTTTAGGCTGAGTTTTTAAGTAACAAAAAATGAAAAGGGTACCCTGCTGCGTGATAGTGAAACACGCGAACCCGTGTGGCGTTGCCGTGAGCGAAAATTCGCTGGTGGAAGCCTACGAGAAAGCGTTCCAGACAGATACGACCTGCTCACGTGCTACAGTCTCAAACGTTACAATTGAATTCGGATTCTGTCTACTTGCATGATCAGCATATGAGACACACAAATCGTTCCGCTTTCTGCAATGCAAAGTTCGCCGGCTTCCAGTGCGGTTTGGGGCTCCGGAACTTGTCATGCGCAATCCTGTGCGAGTAAGGCAGACCATGCACTTTTTGCATCACAGAGTTCCATTTCTATCAGTAACGTTTGAGATTGTATCATCTGAGCAGGGTATAACAGACCCGACCAGCGCGTTCGGCGGGATCATCGCGGTCAACCAAGAATTGAACCTGGAAACCGCCGAAAAAATCGTGAAAAACCAGTTCGTGGAGGTCATCCTCGCGCCGACCGTTGCGCCGGAGGCGTCGGCAGTGGTGGCGACCAAGAAGAACGTGCGTTTGCTGGCCTACGCAGGAACAACAAGCAAGCCAACGACCACTACCGGCACTTCTGTGAAGGAAGAGCTAGAGTACAAGAAGATCCGCGGAGGATTGCTCGTGCAGACGCGCGATGAAGAGCCGCAGGACATCACTCTGAAGGTGGTAACGGAGAAACAGCCCTCGGAGAAAGACATGGAGGATTTGAAGTTCGCCTGGAAGGTGTGCCAGTTCGTGAAGAGCAACGCGATCGTGTACGCCAAGGACGGTATGACGTACGGAGTGGGTGCGGGGCAGATGAGCCGTGTGTTTTCCAGCAAAATTGCTGTGGAAAAAGCAGCGGAGGCAAAGCTGGAGCTGCAGGGGTAGAAGTGCTGTGGTTACGTTCTTTTTACGCTACTAACTTCTACTGTGATGCTGCAGCTGTGCGTTCGGTATGAGCGAATGATCTCTCATGTACAGATCGATGCGCAAGCAAAAAAGTCTATCTTCTATATCAGCGCTGCTATGGCGTCGGACGCCTTCTTTCCATTTCGGGATGGCATCGACACGGCTGCGAAAAGTGGAGTTGGCTGCATCATTCAGCCGGGCGGGAGTATCCGAGACAAGGAAGTTATTGACGCCGCCAATGAACACGGCATAGCCATGGTTTTTACTGGTTGTAGGCATTTCAAGCATTAAGGGAGATCGTCTCAAAGCTGGATCCTCTAGGTACATCAAAGATGATTTTTGACTTTCTGTTTCTAACATGTTTTCAAGAATAGCGTTGGCGTCCTTTCGGAACAACAGTCTGTGATCGGAATACGCAAAAAGTTACTTTAGAAGCACCTGCGCCCCCGCTCGTGCGAAACAAGGCGTTCGAAAAAGGTTTTTTGGAGTTAGCACGCTCATTTTCCAGTATGAACCGTGAAACGTGAAAGGTAAAAGCCTTTCGGTTGCATTTAACGATTTGGATACAATATTGTGCAGAAAGAGGAACGTTGCCAAAATGTGCAAATAGAACTGCGCTTGCGCCGGTGATTTGTGTGTGCCAGGAGATAAGTGAGTTTTCCGTTTTCCAGTTGTTTGCTTCTGTGTCGGTAGAATTTTGTGATGGTCACGTCTTTGCGTTTGCGTTTTTCGACGCCTCTGATCTTGTACACCATGGCCTTCAGCGTATTCTTGATTGACAGAAAAGATCCCCGAGTCCGCGTTGCGTTTCGATCAGAGTGGGGAAATTGAATCTCCAATAAGGAAGCGCAACGTACTAGCAAAGTCACGATATGGGTACCTTGAGCCAATAACTACGCGCGGGAACAAGCGGATCCGCTTGCCTTGCCGGGTTTTCTGCGTGAATGCCGACGATGGCGGTAAAGACGTCGCAGGGCCATCGGCGAGGACAACTACGCTGCGCGTCGAGGGAAAAGCTTTCGTCGATTCATCCTGGCCTTGGGATTCTCATTGCACACGCGAGCTGCACCATCTCCCAGTTTTCCTTTTCTACTCCAGCGCGAGCGGCATGGTTGCGAGCAAATACGCCCCCACTCGATCGGGACTTTCGGTCGCCGCGGGGCGACACAGGAGCTGGCGGCCCTCCGTCCGAACAAGCCGAGCTCTACTACACCCCCGCGGGCTCGTGCGAGGATTTTGCGCGGTTCATGGCACAGACCGGAGAGGAGCAGAACCCGTGTCTTCCGCTGAAGCGAGTTGCGGAGGCAAATTTAGATACAAGCACGGAAAAAACGATGTTGGACGAAGACGACGCCACGCCCGCAACTACCGCTTGTTCCCCCCCGCGCCGCGGTCACCGGGGCATGTCCGAAGTAGAGGCAGATTTCGAGGAGGAGGAGCGTGCGTTGCTTGTCACCGGTCGAGGCACTCACGTCTCGGACAGCGCGGACGAGGAACACGGCCACCGGGTTGTACTCGGGCGGGGGCACCCTGACTACAGTTACAGCAGCGACCGGGAGGACGATGTCAACGGTACTGCGCCTCTACTCGTCATGCCAGCACCCTTGTGCGGCACAGGGTCGTTACTTGTGCGCCACGCTGCTGGATACGAGGGGCGGAACGACACGCTAGCCACCTTGACGTCGATGGCAGAGGAAGAAAGAGGCGAGTATTGGAAAGAACGAGAAATAAACATGCAAAGCCGCTCGTTCGGGGCTAGCGAGCCGGTCGCCGTAGCAGAGCTGCAAGCTCCAGCTGCCGAGGCACTGGTGCCACCAGCTGCCGAGGCACTGGTGCCAGTTGTAGATGGTGAGCAGAAGAGCGACAGGAAGACCACAACTTTTAAGGCGCCACCGGCGGAAATCGACGTGCACAGTATGGGCCTCAATGGGGGAGATAATTCACCAGTGCGAGCGGGTGGAGAACCAGATGACAGACTAACGTATGTTTTTCAGGACTACAATTCCGTGCCTTCGCCGAGCGAGATGATGCGGAGCTCATCTGACGCCAAATCGGAGCAACCGCAGTCGTGGATGTCTCAGACTAGTACACCTCCAGCAGCTTTGAACATTCTCACACCGGATGCGTCGCCGCAGAGCCGACGATTGGCGCTTGAACAAATTCACCGCATCAACTCTTGGGAGCACTTGCGGCGCATCAGCACCCCGGAGCCGTGGTTGGATTCGAATCCAGCTATGTGCGGCAACGGGTTCGATCTTGATGTTTGCTTTGTGCCCTTGACTTTTCTTCAACAGCAATTTCGTACACCATTTGGATGCGAGTGTAGTTACATAAGTAAGTTGTATGTGAAAAGCGGTAGATGATGCTGCCCTTTGATTTGAATAGTTGGGGTCGGATAGATACTGTGTCGATCACGAAAGCTTTGTGACTCACTCCTATTTCACTTGACAGAGCTTCAGGATTGCCATTGGTGCAGATGCAGTTGCCGGCCACAATGACTATGGGTAGCAGCATGGCCGCTGCAATCGGACCGGAAACGATGTGCGCCGCCCCAATGGTGCCAGAACAGCGACGAAGTGCAGCGGCGTCCTCGGGCGACGCGACCTTACCGGGGGAAGCCGAAGGCAATGCCTGGCACACCGAGAGGACGCTTCCCGAACAGGTAGCGGAGTCGGCCCTCGACGTCGGCGGCCTCTCCTCTGCCGCGTCAAGTTCAGGTGGAGGTAGACCGGGCTCTGCTGGCCCAGCCAGCAAGGATGCTCCTGTCACGCGGGGTAGCAGGAAAAGAAGCGGTACCCCGACTGGAGCTGGCTGCGCACCACAGGATGATTCCAACGGACGGAACTGCAGTTCATCTAGTGAGCAAGGCGCGACCTTTGGACGAGATGCGCGGCACGAAGGACCAGAAGAAACACAGCCGAAGCAGCAGACCGCGGAGACCATCGATGAGGTTTGCACGCAGTTGCGGGACCAGCTGCGGGACGCGTTGACGATCTTTCGCGAGCGTCGGCGCGTTCAGGAGACGGGAGGACCGGCACAACCACAGGCACCACCAGCCGCGCAGCCTCTTCTGCAGCAGGGGCGGTCCTCCGATGCTAGCCAAAGCAGTTCGGGTGCTGCGGCGCCAGCATCTGTGTCTTCGTCCTCAGTTGTAGCGGTCCCCGGGTCGAAGCAGTGGCTGCAGGGCTTAGCGAACGACGTTCGACAAGCGCTGCAACAGGAATGCAGTTACGCTCATCTCGTTCATCTTGCGCACGCCGCCACTTCAGCCGCAGCGTTTTGGCAGATGAATGGTGGAGCTTACGACCCCAGTGGGCCACCCTGGCCGGTGCCTCCTGGATATTTCGGTACAGAATCAGCCTATAATCTTCTTTTCCGGCGTAGTTGCTGCATTCGATAAGGTGTTCCGTCCTGTTTGTGTAATTTTTCTTCTGCAGAAGTTTCGTAAAGTTATTTTCCGTGTTGAATTTCGATCTGCAGCCGGTCACAGTACCAGTCCAATCGAATCGCTAGTATCGAACAGCCAACCGATCACTTTCGCAGGAGACAATGCGGGTCATATGGCGATGATGGGCGCGGCGCCGATGATGTTCTGTCCGTACCCCTGTCCACCTCCGCAAGTGGGTGTGCCATCGCCGCCCCTGGGACCGCCGCCGCCGTACTCTCCACCATTTGCCGCTCCTCCCTACATTGCAGCTGCACCACCTCCGCGTACGCCGATGCCTCCGGCTCCGCCCGGCGGCTTCCCCCCGTCGACCCGAAATGGGGCACTAGCGCAACATCCGCAGGCGATGGGTACTCCGGTGTCGCTCGCATCTCATCTGAACTTCAACGCAGCTTCATCCCCGCCTGTTCGGCCGCCACACGAAGTGGAATTTCCTGTGCGACGGAAAAGAGACCAAGCTGTCGAGGACGACCGCGGTGGCGCAAGGATTTTCGTGCAAAGAGGGCCACGACCAGGGCAGCCTCGCGGGGAGCGGACGTTCGTGCACGCAAGTCAGCGCAGGGATGAGCAGGGTCGGCGTATCACCAGAGGGACGATTGTTCACGACGAAGACGGATCCACCGCCGGGACAGAAAATGATTCGCCAATGCGGGAAGCAAATGAAGAGTCTGCAGTTCTCGCGGAGTTGGTAGGAAATTTGTTGTTTAGTGCGCGGAAGATTTTTACGTAAAGCTAAAGACTTTTCTTTGTGATTTTTGAACATGAAGGGAGTTTCTGTTTTTTCGAGCTAAGTCTACTACGCCCAATGAAACAGGTTTCCACCTCTGGCTCTTCGTCAAGTGCGGGCTCAGCTGATTCGTGCGGAGGGACCAAAGGTGGGTTTCTCGGTAAGCAACGCGACTGCGCTGCTGCCACGAAGGAGGTCACAACGCAGCAGGACGCGACCCGAGCGGACGTGGCCGCAAAAGAGGAAGAGACCCCGATGGAGCTAGATGGCGAGGAAGCTCCTGCTCCGCAGGAGATTATGCCAAAGGATCGCGAGGAGGGGGAGGGGGAGGAGCTTCAAGACGAGGTGTCGGAGGAGACGTGGGCGCGGCGTTGCGCCGCCCGAAGACGCCAAGTCGAGATCGGGCTGCGGCGTTCGTATGCGAAGAAAAAAGTGTCACAATTACTACACTTTGTGTTGTAAAACATGCAAGGAAGTAGACAAACAACCTCTGTCATGCGCAAAATGCTTGCAAGCCTCGTTTTGTGTGTGTTTTGCCTTACGATCTCCGCACTGCAAGAGTTTTTTCTGTCATGCAAGGCAAGTTTGTGATGCTGAAACTGAATGCACTAAAAAACAGTGTGCAGCTGTAACACGTTTTTCCTTGGATACTTCGGAGCATCAGCTTATTGCGCGCATGGACTCGCGGTACTTGCCCGAACCGCCGTCCTGCACACAGGAATCAGGCTCGAAACGGAAATTTGACCGAGCACTTAGCAGATGGCGGCGCAAAATGCACTTCGTAGCGGATCACATGTCGTTCTTTCACAAATACAGCGTGTCGCCCTTGGACGCCAGTTTTTTGTTCGACAAGCTAGAAGCCTGCAAGGGCGGTTATTTCAGCCGCCATTTGGATGAAGCGACTTCACTCACCGAGAGCGAGTTTCGAAATCTGATTAGCGAAACATTCAAAGAAGCTCGGTGCCGTTGGTGAGACATGGTGGTTGTAGTAATCTCTTCATCTTAACTTACCTTTTGACCTTTGATAGAATGAAATCGGACTCCTGTTGACTACTTTATTGATTTATTCCAAAGAATACAAAGTAGAAGAAAACCGTATTTTTTTGTGTGTTGGGGACGGCGATAAGCAGGGCCTTTTTCATCTCCTAGCCATCCTGTTTTTCACCGTTTTGCTTTTGGTTTGTCTGTTTGTGAGACAGATCACACCTCAATCATCAACTAGGTTTCAAAATGACCCGTCTGCTAAGCACTAGAAACAGATCTGTCCTTATCAATCACATTTTGCTGACGTCTTCAGGCAACTTTTTCTAGAATAAAGTCAAGCCAAATTTTATTGCCCGCTTTTCGGACTGTATGAAACTGAAACGAAGCTTCTTGTTATCTTCTGCAGGTAATCGTAATGTTTTGGCCTGTAATCAATAAAACTCAGCCTCAGTGCAGAATTGCTTTTGGTGTCTTCTCCCTTCTGACACGGTGTGGCGATCCGCTGGTAAGGGAAAGCGTACGTTTGTCCAGGTACAAATGGGGTTTTCAATCAGTCCTTGCCAACAGAAAACCACTTCGTCGAAAGAAAAGAGCGGAATTAGTGCAAGCGCCTTTCTGTGGTTCCTGTTTCCGCTGAAAATAATGCTATCGCGCACCAGAATATTCTGTACGAACGAATGTCATTGAGCTATGAGTAGGTACTGGACGTGAGATTGATTATCATAGCGGAAGGACAAGAACGACAAGATGAGTTGCGCAGTTACGCTTCCTCGTCGTTGTGTTGCGCCCTCAACCGCCGGTGCAGCGGCAGCCGCGGCGAGACTGGCGCCCGTCGGTGGTCGCATGCAACATGGCGGGTCACAGAGCACGCGAAGCGGCCGAGTCGGTAACGAAAGGGTCGTTGCTTCTTCCTCCACGAGAGGCCTGCACAGCATGTCGCCAGTGCGACGGAAGCTACCCGTGGCAACGCTGTACGATAAGCTGGAAGGGTATGGGCTGAACTTCTACACCGGCGTGCCCGATTCCTTGCTGAAAGATTTCTGTGCCTACGTTTCGGATACGTCACAAAATCACGTCATAGCAGCGAACGAGGTACTTACACCTCCACAAGGAAGCTGCTCGTTTTATTCAATTTTCTGGACAAAAGTGGAGCTATAACCTGGATTACGCACTTTCTTAGTGTTAATTTCACCTTCGCTGGCCATCAGCATAGTGTGAAACAAGCTCGTTCATAACTGCCGTATATCTCTATTTCATCTACAGGGGACGGCGATGGCAACGGCTTGCGGCTACCATTTGGCGACCGGGAGTGTGCCGGTGGTGTACCTTCAGAACAGCGGGTTTGGCAACATAGTAAATCCACTGCTCTCGCTCGTGTCACCCGAGGTCTACAAGGTACCGATGTTGATCCTGATTGGCTGGCGGGGCGAACTATCAAATGTAAAAGTGTCTGGGTCTGGGAGAGTCATGCTGTTTTTGCATGACGCAGAAGGTCTGGCATGGAAGCGCCAGCATCACAGGTTTCGAGAAGCCTCCGCAATGCCGAATCCGCATGACAAGTCCCCTATTTTGCTGACAAAAAGTGGGCAGCTTTTGCTACGTATGCATGAGAGACTTTTCTGCGTTCTGAAATACGCATTACAAGTTGCATTCTTCCAGACCCAGACATTTTTACATTTGATACGAGCCCGGGGTGAAGGACGAGCCGCAGCATAACGTGATGGTATTTTGCTACCTTCTATCAAGTGCAAAAATGTCTGAATCTGGAAACTTGTAATGCTAAAAATGAATGATAGACGCACTGCAATACGTAGCTATGAGAGCTTTTTCGTGCCTATGCAACACAGATTCCCGAGTCATGCCAGACAAGCATGACAAACTTGCATTCTTCCAGACCCAGACATTTTTACATTTGCTACCTTCTATTTTTGCGATAGAGGAGTTGCGTAAAGCTTTACTCTTCACCCGTCTGTTCTCATGCAAAAAGGCCATTTGCATGCTTCAAAAACTTCAAACTTATTTGTGAGGAAATAATCCCACAAGAAGTCACGCGGAACGAAAACGAATCCAACAGGGCCGACTGCAGGAGGGGCTCCTCGACGCCGTGGAGCTTCCCTATTCCGTCCTGCCCGAAGAGCCCGGCCCAGCGTTGGACGCGTGCCTCGCGAAGGCGGTGGAGACGTGCCAGGCCGCCAACAGCCCCTACGCCCTGCTTGTGCGGAAGAACGGCTTCGAGAGCTACAAACTGAAGTCCTCCCCCTTTCCCAAGGAGCTGGCAGACAAGTGGAGCAACCCGGACAGTCCGGCGTGCCCGGTGTTGAAGCGGGAGGACGTGTTGAAGATTTTGGTGCCCTTGATGCGGGAGTGGAGCGTGGTGTCGACCACCGGCGTGCTGTCCCGGGAGCTCTACGAAGTCCGTGAGGCCGCGCAGGAACCCGTGGGCAGTGACTTTATGTGCGTCGGCAGCATGGGTCACGCGTCGGCCATCGCACACGGCATCGCCTGGGGAGGTGGTTCGAAAAGATTTTTTTTGACACAGCAAATAAGAACAGATTGGTATCTGTACTAGGCAAGCTGGTCGTTCTTCTTGTTCATTTGCTCTTCGGGAAAAATCATTGTGGCACCAATCAGCCTAGAATAAAAACCAAAAATTCTGCTCTTTCTCAGGTAACACTTCTGCCGGCGCGGTCAAGAAGCAGGCGAAGGGCGTGATATGTTTGGACGGTGATGGCGCCGCGCTGATGCACATGGGCCAGCTGGCAATCAATGGAACCTACCGCGGCGAGACGAAGTTGCTCCATTTGCTAATCAACAACGGCCTGCACGAGTCGGTTGGCGGCCAGCCAACCGTCGGGCAGAACATCAACTTTCCGGAGATCGCCAAGGGTTGCGGCTACCAGTACGCCGAGACTGCCACCACGGAGGAGGAGATCAGCAGCAGGGTAAAGGTACGCATTACAAATGCGTCTGGATCGGGATCTGGAAAAGTGGACGAGCCTGTTCCTGTAATATTGTGTGTCTTGCATTCCTGTAAAATCTGTATTGGATCATGACCAACTACATCAATAACGCGAGCGCTTTTGTCATGCAAAAACGCAGTTTTCTGAAGTGAATCTCAATCTACATCTAATGCGCACTACGCATGCGGTTGCGGTTGCGGAAGCGTCCAAAAAAATTGTCATGCTGGACTGCACTCAGGAGTATGCTCAACCTCAATCATCGCCAAGCAGCATTCTTTCCAGACCCAGAGATATTTGCAGTGGATAGAAGGAGATGCAGAACCTTCCGAGCGGCCAAAGTTCGCTCTTCCTAGAAATCCGTGTTAAATCTGGCGTGAAAGAGAACCTCGGGCGGCCGAAGACCTCGCCAGAAGAAAACAAACTCGCGTTCGTCAAAAAGCATTACTCGATGGGATAATAAGTGATGAGTATGGCGAGTCGTTGTGTTTGTGCTGATTTTAGAGGTCATTCTTATTGGGCGACCACGAGGTTTTTCTTCTTGTCGTTCACAGGGCCACTTGCGTCGTCGCTCTGCTTGTTGTGTTCCAAGGAAACCCGCGTATCTTTCAGAAGTAGTTCCGTGGAACAACAAGTGCTAAAAGCAGTGCATCTGCAAGTGAACTCATTGTTTCTTTGTGTCGTCCGTTCCGGCTGTCTTGTGGGTGTCCGTCTTCTTTGCTAAACCACAGTTTTGTGCTTTTTCGCTTGGTTCAACAAGATCGATGTTTTGATTATCTGCGCGGAACAATACAGTTACAGCCGTGACGAGATCGGCATATCTATGGGGTGCAGCGCCGTTTTGTCTTATTTTCCCGCTTTCGAAAGGTAGAGCATTAGAAATAGAAAACGAAATACGGGCAACAAGCCTGCGACGTCCAACTCCACTACACTTTCGGTTCGTTTGTTGCTTTGTCTCGTCAACACGAGCTGAATCTCCCCGTCTTCAAGATGGCGTCCAGTGAGCTGTTTGCAAAACTGAACAAGTGGAAGGACAAGGCGGATCTCACCGCGATAGAGGCGCAGGGGCAGAGTACGGAGGATAGGTATCTCTACAAAAAGGTAGTTTTTGGATTTCCTAGTAAGTGTGTTTCGCCCCACGTACTTGCTTGAAAAAAGGAAGAATCTTTTTCTTTTTGATTTGAAAAGAAGAAACATGAAAACAGGGCAAAGTATTGTCGTGCGAGCGACAGCACCGCGAGTACGTCTTCTTCCTTGTCGAATCGAGGAACTACTGCCAGCAATGGGAAGAACTGCACGACAGCATCCACGAGCCACCAGGGCGGCAGCTCTAGTAGCACCAGACCTCCTGCTGCCGGACAAGTAGCATTGCAGCAATTGCCGACTGTGGCCAAGGGCGGAGCGCAGGAGCTTGCCGCGAAACTTGGAAAGTGGAAAACCGCCGCGGAGGAGACCGCACTGGAGAGTACGATTGGCGAGACCACGGCGGATGCGAAAAGCACCGATCATATCGACGATAGCAGTAAAACGATCAGCACGCGCGGCAGTCCCACAAGCTGCTGCGAGTCGGACAGCAAGGCAAGTACGCCCGCGGAGACAGACGGACAAGGACAAGACCAGCCACAGGACCTTCTGCAAAAATTGTCCAAATGGCGAGATAAGGCCGAAAACCAGGGCGAAAAGTACCATGTTGTATAGCACACGACCGGCTCCTTACTTGTTCAGGACTGCATTCATTCCTTTGCGTGTCCTGCGTCATCGAAGACAGATCTGAATCTTCTGTCGATTTTGGAACGGATCTATTTTCGGTTTCAATCTCTCAGGTTCGAAAGCGTTCCGACGCAGAGCTGCGTCGACCGTCGGGCAGGCGACACTAAGTTGAAAGTAGGCGCAGCTGAGTTTGTCCCGGGCGGATTGAGGTGATTATTAGATCCAGACTTGATACATTGATTTGGACCCCACATCTGCTGATGGTCTGGTAACCAAAGCGTGCGCAAGCGCTCGCAAGAGCGCTTTGCGCGCGGGCTTGCCCGCGCGCAAAGCGCTCTTTGCGAGATGCTCATCCATCGCAAACGCAGCGCGAAGGCTTTGCCGTTACCATATGGGAGGAACTCAGGGGTATGCAATCACTCGCAAAATCGGGCATTATCAAGTGCGTTTTGTCTTCAGAAAGCGGATCGGGCAGAATTTCTGGGAGTTTTACGGAAAGCAGCCAAAACAGCAATTACCAAGTGGGAAAAGGGTAAAAAAGAGCATTTTTGCAACTCCGCCCGGTCTGAATCTCAAAAAAGATAGCTTCATTTTCGGCAAGGGCCGATGGTGTAATGCGTTTTATAGCGGAAAATGCGTCACTTCCGGGCAGCTCCGGCCGCTTGAAAATTGAAAAAAAGTGCTTAAAAAGTGTGTTTTTTCACAGCATGCAAGCGGGCGAAAAAATTTACCAAATTCGTCCGGAACCTGGAAGCCGCTTGAAAATTGAAAAAAAAGACGAAAAAAGTAACATTTTTCGCAGCGTGGAAGCAGCCGGGAGAAAACGCGGATTTTGTCCATGGCGCAGCGGCCGCTTGGTAATTGAAAATGACAATTTGTGATGAAAAAGCGAAAGCCGCTTGGAAATTCCCGCTCAAGGGCGGTTTTTCAAATTGTCACACGGCCCATACCGTCGAGATTGGACGAAAAAAAGCAGCCATCAAGCCTGCGGAGGTGTGTCCACCCCCCACGGTTTTCGACCTCTCTGAGGGTCGCAAATTGAAACCCTCCCCCCGCTTAGAAATGCCCGATTTCGGTGGCCCAAAAGGGCTGCCGGAAATGAAGGAAATGGCGTAACTTTTTGAAGTTTCTGCACTTTACCTGGACAGCGTTCCGCCGTGCATAACTTCATGCGCGACGGCGCAGTGGCCTTCAGAAAAGGCTTTGCTTTTCAAGGGGCATCGAAAGGATGCCCCGCTGCGAAATAGCAGACCGGATTTCGCCTTCAATGCTTATCGCAGGAGCCTGCGGGCCGCCGCGGGCGACAGTAGTTGCCCGCGGCCCTTTAGGGCCGCGGGGAAGTGGTGGAGCCCGCGGCGGCCCGCAGGCTCCTGCGATAAGCTTTGAATGCGAATCCGGAAGCCCCCGATGACCCGAACAGGTCAGGGCCAGGGGTCAGCTTGCACAAGGTTGGCGGGCCTTCGCGTTGGCTAGATGTTCGCGCACGCTTTTGGTTACCAATATCGCCCTCCGGGCGCGACCTTAATACTCTTCGTTTGGAGCATGCCTTTCCTCGTAGTTTTACTTTTTCATCAACAAAATTTATGTCTGTTGTAGCAAAAAAAAAAAAACAGCGAGATGCTCGGCAGAAAAGTCGCAGTTTCGGTGGAGTCCATGGCGAAGAGCGGGGTGGTTGGATCAGCCACATGGAGCCTGAGCAACGTCCCAGAAGCAGCTGACATGCAATCCGACCAGTTCTCCATGTACTTACTACTAAATTGCTTTTGATGTTGTCGTGCTGGCACGAGATCATGATGAAAAATCTCGAGCCACAAAGAAAGTCAAAGTTAATTACGCCGTCTTTTCAACTAAAGCTCAACACCACCTTCATTTTTCCTTCCAAAACTTACCCAGACCAAACCTGGCTGGTGATTGGCAGCTGGAACTGTGCAACAGCGTGGAGGACCAGAGCGTTTTGAAGTTGACCGGGCCCACCCACGTGGTCGGCGTGCGCGTTTCTTTCTTCGCTGGGAAGCAGCTGCAGATCGCGCAGCCGTGGGGCACGGAAGGAGTGATGACGAAGGTTTTCAAGAAGCTGACGTCGGATGACGCCGTCGAGGTGGGTATTCGGTGGAAGACGCCGCCGGGCCTGGTGCCACCGCCCGCTGCTAAAAATATTGCAGCTGCGGCTGCGCCGCAGGATCACGCGCCGGCTGGAGCGGCTGCGCCGTCGCTACAATCGTCGTCCACGGTCTCGCAACAAGCTACTACCGATCATCTTTCGCGAGGAGCGGACGATGCTGATGCTGCCGAAAAGAAACCAGCCCAGGAACAGCAGACAGCTGAGGAAGCTGAGCCGGACTCTACACGACCAGGTGGCACAGAGTAGAATTTGCTTTTTCGTACGAATCTTTGAACTGTGATGTTCTTGAATATCAGCTTCAGCCGTAGTTACTACGCAACCTCCGGGGACGGCTGTGCATGCCTTGTGCTTGCCATACGGATGAGCCGAGAGCCAGAAGGACCGACGCGCCGCAGGAAACAACATAACTCCGAGCCAAATAATAGCAGATTCTTTTTTACCGATACAATTTTCACGAACAGATTAGTCTTCTTTGTGTCCTCCTCTTACATTTACAGTTTGCTAACTGTTGCTACTTCTTTCATACTGTTACATACTACACATTGCAATCTGAATATCCGAAACCGAATGACAAGAAAAATCACCACCACTCGAAGCCCAAGGAATCATCGGTCTCTTTGCATCTAGGAAACCGATCATGGACCAAGATGAGAACTATATCTTGCCTACCGTCAAATCTAATGGAAATCTGTAGTACAACCAATGGGGAGGTTGTGTATCTGAATCTTCCTATACACAACATCGATTTCTTAGCCATAGCGATAGCCACGTACCGAATGGTCGTACTTTTTTTAAGTCTATCATAGCCGATCCATATAAACACGTTCAAATGCCACCCTGTCACCACTTCCTGACACCAGAAATGCACATGCCTTCCCTTGCTTCTGTATGATAAGTAGACTTTCCTATGAAATTCGAATTTCGTTTGGGTTCGTTTGCCTACACGTACACGGACCAGTCGCAGAAGCTAGAAAAGTCCACTGTGTCTCTCCGTCTCGTTTCCGTTTTTCGTCGTGCTGCTTGCACTTGCGTTAAGTACTCCGGAGGGTAGGATCAAATAGACCCTGTGTCGTGTGGTAGTACTACTGCCGACACGGTCATTTTGTCGATTTGAGGGGCAGAATGCAGGCTTCCCGGATCTTTGTGACCTGCTGTGAAGATGCTCCTAGTCATCAGCAGGAACAGGTGGTTGCGAGTTTGAGGTTTTTAAATTTTTGTGAGAGAACAACGCGTTCTTGGCTTCCTTTGGTGATTGCGACCCATAATCATGGCTCCCGTTGCTGGGAGCTCGGTTCGCAACAAGGCGACCAAGTCGCCCATGTTCCACGTCGGGCCCATGAGCCGCAATGTGGTGGATGCGTTGGCGGAGTTGTGCGACGAGTTGGAAATCACTATTGGGCTGCTTCCCTCCCGTCGGCAGATCGATTTTGATGGAGGATACAGCAACAATTGGACGACGAAAGGCTTTGCGGAGTACGTCGCGGCAAAGAACGCAAGCTTTGCGGGCACCGATTATGCGCTTCTTATGGAGCGGGACCACGGTGGCCCCAAGCAGGGCTCTGTGGAAGACGATGGCTGTGAGTCGTTCGCGACCGACGCGCAATATTTCGATCTGATCCACGTGGACCCGTGGGCGGCGTGCAAGGACCTGCAAGAGGGCATCGACATGACCATCAAGCACATTCAAGACATGTGCAAGCAAAGCACCGAGCCGAAATTCGAAGTGGGCACGGAGGAGGCTATTCGTCCATTCACTTCGGGGGAGCTGGAGATTTTGCTGCGCCAGCTGAAGATTCGGCTGACCAACGAGGAGTTCGCGCGTATTGAGTACGTGGTGATCCAGTCCGGTGTGGCGTTGGATCTTGCGAACCGCCAAAATGTGGGGGTTTACAACAAGGAGCGTCTGAAGGAGATGGTAAAAATCGTCCACAAATACGGAAAGAAACCGAAGGAGCACAATGGGGACTACTTGTCGCGGCAGCAGTGCCAGGAGCGGTTCACCAACGGCGTCGCAGCCGTCAACATCGCGCCGGCCTTCGGGCAAATTGAAACCGCCTGCTTGCTGACGCTGCTGCGAGAACAGGACATTTCCGCCTCTTCGCCGACCAACGCCTCTGGTAAAAGCCTGTTCGAGGAGATGTACCAGCTGTGCTACGACTCCGCAAAGTGGAAAAAATGGAACAAGAACAACCTGCTGAACCCGAGAACGGAAAAAGAGAAGCTCATCCTGATTTGCGGACACTACGTCTTGTCGTACAAGACCTTCGTCGAGGAGTTGAAGCCAAAAATTCTGGAAGCTGCGAGGACGTTCCTGGCCCAACAGTCGGAGGAGGTGATGGTGGAGCGGAACGGCGCAACCCTTTCCCCCGACATCAATGTCCTGTACGACAGCTACGTGGTTTCGGAGGTGAAGAAGTTTTTCACACCGTATCTGGAGATGGCGAAGGAGCTCCAGACGATTTACGGCGCTAATTCCTCGGGTTTGTACGGAACCAGTATCTCCGAGGTGCCCGGAAAAAACATCTTCACCGAAGAATGCGACTTGGAAAACCGTGCGGGCGGTTTGACGTTTCAGTACTACGACGGGTATGGAGACGCATCTGCGGCGGAGACGAGGAAGACGGAAATCCACCGGGTCGTGTGGTCTGCGGCCCCGTCGCCGTACTACTATGCAACCTACATGTTTCCGCTTCCGGGCAAGGATGTGACCAGTTTGAAGTTGTCGCTCGACTTCCTGGACGCGTACACGCTGTACTTCCGAAGCCACGGCAGCAACACCGCGTCTGGAACGTTGTCCTTGAAGTTCTCGTCTGCGGCCGGTGCTGGCACGGAGTCCACGCCTGTTTCCACCTTGGGCCTGGACCAAGCCCTCGACGTTCGCGGGTATTTTTTGGAGGTGGAATTGACCGGCGTCAAAAACGCACACGAAGGCACCACGTTCTGCCTGTACGTGGCGGGCATCCCCTCCTCGCGCAAGAGCGTGGTCAACAACTTCGTCGAGGACTGTCGGGCCGACAGTAAGAATTCGTTTACAAGGCGCAACTTCGCCCCATTCTCGGGATTCGTGTTGCATGTAACTACTTGGCTTCAATGCAGATCCATTTGAAAGCTTCGCATCACGTGCGTGTCTCCACATGATGGTCGACAAAAAATTATCGTGAGTTCTTCTCATGTTTGACGTACAGAACTATCCGTACTGTACCAAGCAAATTGTTCGAAGTCAGTTGTGCGTGTTGCGGTGGTGCTGGAAGAAAGTAGACTGCAGGAAGTAGATGAAAAAGAAATCCGGATGTTGCATGACAGAGCGGGGTGATTTTCCTTACCATTCTCTGGACAGTGGTGAACGATGCGGATAGTACTAGCGCTGCTGCAACGGGCGTTGCGGGTCTGACAGGTGGAGCCGACAAACCTCCCGTTCAGGCGACCATGCCGGGTGGCCGGCCGCGATCGAAATCGGTGGAAGAAGTGACGAAGGTGATCAAGAAATCGGAGTCGGTGAAAAAAGTAGTGAAGCCCTGGGGACACGAACTCTGGATCACCTCGCCCGAGAACATCCACCTGTACTGCTTGAAGGAGATCATGTTGAAAAGCGGCAAGAAAACCAGTCTGCAGTACCACGTGATGAAGCGCGAAACGAATGTACTGGTTGAGGGCCGGGCCGTGATGTGGTACCAGAAAAACGCAGACCCGCCGACGCTGGAGGCCAAACTGGCAACACTGTCGGTCGAGGAGCAACAAGGAAACGCGATGTACAAAGACGTGAACTTGGAGCTTGGGCAGCAGCTGCTGTGGCCGCTCTCTGCCGTGGGTGTGACCCCGCCCTTGATCCACCGTGTCGAGGCCCTGAGCGATATTCTACTGTACGAAGTTATGGATGTGTCAGGTTTGAAATCGTCAAAGTTGAAATAGTTTGCCATGCATAAAACGGATACCAGTTAGACCTACAGTTTGTTGTCGGTGCATGACAAATTTTCCCGGTCCTGGAAGCGAGTCTGTCATGCGGTTTAGGGCAAAAGAGCTGCCTTCTGTCATGCTAGTTAGCAGTCCAACTTTTGACCCTTACCAGGACTATAATCTGCCTCCCGTGGGTCCTCTGCAATAGAGTCACTTTTTGTATCGCATTTTATGCATTACAAATTATGTCAACTTTGACGATTTCAAACCTGACGCTTCCATAGAAGTGAGCACCCCGCAGCTCGACGACGTGATTCGGATCCAGGATGACACCAATCGTGCCGCCTTTGGTCGCATCGCCAGTGAGCACGAAAGTAGCCAGACGCTGAAGGTGTGCATCTTGGCCGCGGGTACCGCCCGGCACATGGGACCTCTGTGTTCGAATTTTAACAAGGCGTTGCTACCGATCCACGGCAAGGCAGTGATTTCTCGCATCATCAAAAAGTTTCTGAATGTGCCGACCACGGGCACTCGCCTGAAATTTGTGGTCGCGCTGGGCTTCCAGGGAGAGCAAGTGAAAAACTACTTGCTTGCCGCGCACAGCGATTTGGATTTCGACTTTGTCGAGGTGCCCGACTACGACAAGGCCGGTAGCGGTCCAGGAAAGACGCTGTGGATGTGCAAAGATGCGTATAATTATCTTGAACCACGAACATCGATCTTCGCGAAGATGGAGATTTTTCGGTTTTGTGGCAGTCTAGAATTCTGAAAAAATATATCATTCGAGTGAAGATAGGACATGTGCATGTGGTTTCCAAGAATCCCATACAACAGAATCGGCACTTCGGAGCCGTTTTACTGGACTTGCTGCGACACGGATATCGGGGACGGCGAAATTCCGTTCGCAAAGACAACGAGCGACTGGGTCGGGGTCTGCCAGGTGAATGCGGCGATTTCGGAGAAGTACTGCAACTTTGCCGTGGAGGGGGACCGCATCGTGTCCGTGAAGAACAAGATTGGGTACTACGACATGTCACCGGACAAGAGGAAGAGCAAGCAGGAGCCCGTGCAGGACCTCAGCGGCGGCATCTGGACGAGCTTCATTGGGTTGTCCTACATCAAGAGCGCGGACGTGTTCTGGAAGGCGATGGAAGAGGAAGTGGCGCACGCCGCCGGAAGTGGCGGATCGTGTGAGATCATTCCGGGTTTGGAGGCGATCATGCAGAAAGACTACGGTGCGGTGGAGGCGCTGCCGTTCGCGCAGTGGCAAGACCTGGGCTCGTTGGACCAATACCTGAAGGTACTGAGTTGTTCATACTCTTACGAAATTTTTTGTCGATGACACGTTGGATCAGGAGACACCAGACTATCTCGCTGTACTTACTTGAACCCATTTTGTGCAGAACTATAAATATATCATAGCCGCCATGTCCTTGTAGCCATGACACGATCTGATCATCTCGAACTCAATGTACGCAACCAGGTTGTGGCGGCCACTTTTGGCGAGAACTTCAATTTCCAAAAGCCGGACGAGTATCTGTACTTTGTGAACGGGCGGGTTATCAAGTTTTTCCAAGACGAAGCGATCACGAGGAACCGGGTGTTGCGCGCGCGCGCAAACCCGGGCGTGTGCCCCGAGATCGAGACCCACGCCGGACAATTTTTGGCATACAAATTCATTCCGGGCACGACCATGTACGTGACATCCACGACGCGAATCTTTCGCAACCTTCTGCAGTGGCTGCACGAGAAGGTGTGGCTGAAACCCGGGGACGCCGGGCTGGTGATGCCGGCGGACATGAAGCCAAACCAGGAGTCTTTCCAGCAGACCTGTGCCCGTTTTTACCAGGAGAAGACGCTGAAGCGCGTGGCGGCGTACCACAAAAAGTACCCGCAGGCCTTCCACATCTCGGAGGACGGGAAAAAGTTCGTGGACAAGAAGAACACCATCAACGGCATCGCGAACATCCCCAGCATGGAGTTGTTGCTGGCCGAATTCCCCTTCGAGCTCCTCACGGAGCACGGGGAGGAACGCTTTTTCCACGGGGATCTGCAGTTCGACAACGTGATCTACAATCCGGAGGCGGATTCCTTCTGCTGCATCGACTGGCGCCAGGACTTCGGCAACCCGAACACGATCTACGGCGATTTCTACTACGATTTGGCGAAGATGTACGGTGGGCTCATCATGAATTACGACTACGTCAAGGAGAACAAGTTTCAGTACGCGGAGACGGCAGGCGGCGACATCTCCTTCGACTGGCAGGTCCGTCACAGCGGCCGCTACTCCTACCTCCCGCTTTTAGAGGAGTTCATCGAGAACACGCTCAAGTGCTCCGTGCAAAAGGTGAAGCTGCTCGTCGGGATCGTCTTTCTGAACATGTCGCCCTTGCACGACTACCCCTTTGACAAGATGCTCTGGGCGTTTGCGAGAGAGTGGCTCAACACGGAGATCAGTAACTACAAAAGAACCAAACAAGGTGCCTAGTGGAGTTTTTCAATAAATTTTTCCATTGTGTATTGAAGCTAATTTTTGAATTTCGTACTGGTGCTTCATCGTGCTTGCAGCGTAGTACTCAAAACTAAGCCGCTCCAGTACATTGATTGTACTAGAGCGGCTTCGTTTTGATTGTGGAAATTAATTCACACTTCGGTCTCTCGCTGAGCACCATGCGCCTCTGGAGTTCAACTCCGCCCTGTAAAAGCAGTCGTTTGTTCTCTCTCAGCGCCAGGTCTAATATCGTGCGGATTTTTGTTTTTTTCTTGGAGATCCGTGCAATGTACGAGAAAGATCGAGATCCTCGTCTTTGTTCCTCCCATCTGATCTCAGATCAAAAATCACAGATTCTGTGAGAAGTTCGAACAAAAAGCTTTTCGGATCAAGGTAATACGCGAGCGCGAAACTGCGTCTGCAGTCCTATTCGCAAGACATTTCTTCTCTTCCATTTTAATGTAAGCTGTTCGTGTCAACATTTGGATTTGTGTGGTATTCTAGAGCATCTATCGATCCGTCATACATTTAGAAAAGTCTACTCCCACTTTCTATACTTTCATCAAGCCCGAGCCCCACTCACTCTCAGCGCCATGGGTTCGCTGAGCGGCGGCGTGGCGCCGTCTTCGGGCGGCGAGAGTGAATTTGCGCTGGCGGAACAGTCAAGAGTCGTGCCCGCGACGTCCGCAACGGTGCGGGCCACCGTGGCGCAGGCGATCGTGGAGTTTTTCCAGAGCCAGTACCTGGAGCAATTCGACGGGTCCTACAAGCCGATGATTTACGGGTACTGGGGCATTTTCGGGCACGGGAACGTGTGCGGGTACGGGCAGGCGCTGGAGGAAAAAGAGGAGCAGGTGCCCTACTTCCGCGGCCAGAACGAGCAGGGCATGGCGCTGGCCGCCATGGCGTTCGCGAAGCAGTCGCAGAACCGCCAGGCCTGTGCGGTGACCACCAGCATCGGTCCGGGCGCGACCAACATGGTCACCGCGGCCGCCTGTGCGCACACCAACCGGATCCCCCTGCTGCTGCTGCCCGGCGACGTGTTCGCGTCGCGCCTCCCCAACCCCGTTCTCCAGCAACTGGAGGACGTGAAAGCGCAATACTCCGTGAACGACTGCTTCTTGCCTGTCTCCGTGTTTTTTGACCGGATCTTCCGCGCCGAGCAGCTTCTTGACGCGCTGCCAAAGGCGGCCCAGGCGCTGGCCGACCCGCAACGCCCGGGACCCGTGGTGTTGTCGGTGTGCCAGGATCTGCAGGCGGAAGCCTACGACTTCCCGGCCCACCTGTTTCAGCGCCGAAACCACCGGCTGCGGCGGTCGCCGCCGGATGGGTCGGAGCTGGAAGGGCTGAAGAAGGCACTGCTGGAGGCGAAAAGGCCGCTGTTCCTGCTGGGCGGCGGAGTGGTGTACAGTGGCGCCAAAGAAAGTATCACGAGGTTCTGCCAGCAATCAGGAATTCCGTGCACCGAGACGCAAGCTGGAAAAGGTATACTACTCATAGTGAACCAATTTTGTTGTCATAATAAAACACTGCGCTTTTGTTTTCGTATGTGCAGTGTGTACAGTCGCGTGTTCGTGTATTGCAAGGCACGTACTACGCTATTTGTTTAAGCAAAACCAATCCCGCGCGACGTATTCTCTTTTGTACACTTCATTTTTTAAACGACCTAGGCTGCGTCCCGGACGACCTGTGTCTTGGCGGCCTGGGCGTGACGGGGACGTACGCAGCGAACAAGGCGCTGGAGAACGCCGACCTCCTAGTCGCTTGGGGATCTCGCCTGGGGGATTTTGTGACGAGTTCGAACGCCGGGGTTCCGCCCACCTGCAAGCGAGTGTGCGTAAATTTGCTACCCTTCGACGCCACCAAGATTTCCGCAGCGCCGGTGGTGGGGGACATCAAAATAGTGCTCGACCAGTTGCTGCAGGAACCAAGCCTCGGCCAGCTCGCCGTGTCTCCGGAGTACAAAAAGGAAATGCAGGCGCTGCGAACCAATTGGCTGGACATGAGGAGCAAGATCTGTGCGCAACCGACGTCCGACAGCATGGTCGTCGATGCCGTCAATCAGGTATTTCCATAGTTTTCCGTCCGGTCAAACTTTTTGTTCGAAAAATAAACTTTTTGTTCGAAAAATCAGTTCTTTTATGTGAACAAAGAAATTCGACATGCATCTGTGAAATTCCACAGTTTACAACCTGTGGCAGGAAACCGTAGCAGGGCTACTAGATACGTACCTGCTAGTACCTACCATTGAATCCAGCCCCGCGACCACCTTAAAACCCTTTCAGGTCTGTCATGCGATCAACGGCGTGGCGGTGGCTGCCGCGGGCGGGCTTCCGGGTGAGATGCACAAGCTGTGGCGGAGCAACGGGATATCAAATGTAAAAATGTCTGGGTCTGGAAACTTGTGATGCTGGGTGGCGTCTCATGATGAGGCTACAAATGCTGGCTCAGCATGACAAGTTTCTGAGCGCCTAGGTGTTGCCTGTTCTGCATGACAAACTGCGCCTCTGCATCACAGAAAAGCGGAGCTCTTGGCTAACGTGCATGACAGATTTGAGAGTCACGCCAGACAAGCATGACAAACATGAATTCTTCCAGACCCAGACATTTTTACATTTGATACGGGAGGGAAGACTACCATTTGGAGTACGGCTACTCGTGCATGGGGTACGAGGTGGCCGGGGGCGTCGGCGTGAAGATGGCGAGTCCAGAAAAGGAGGTCTTCAGCATGTGCGGGGACGGCAGCTGGCTGATGATGCACACGGAGATTGTGAGCGCGCGCCTGTTGAAGTTCCCCATATCCGTGATCTGCGTCGACAACAGCGGCTTCGGCTGCATTCACCGGTTGCAAAACGGCAGCGGGATCCGAGAGTACGGCAATTTGCAGACGTCTGGCGTTGATTTCGTGAAAAACGCAGAGGCACTCGGCGTGGAAATCTGCGTCAAAACCACCCCCCCGGACCTGAAGGCGACTCTCATGAAACACTGCACGCCGGAAAACCGAGGTTTTTATCTTTTCACTTGAACAACTCTGGTGGTGTTGCTCCGGGCAACGCTAGGAAATTTTGATTTTCTCCTGTTTGATTATGATCATGATGTCTAGAGACAACTTTATGCGCTTGGTTACAGGACGAGGAAATCGAAATTATAAAGCACTGGTATAAATGGTCTTTCGCTTTCAAGATTTCTGGTTGTGTGATTTCTTCTATAGGTAAGTGCAAGTTGTTCCTCGTGAACACCGATCCGGACATCTCCAGCCCTGGTTACAGCTGGTGGGACGTGGCCATTCCGGAACATTCCAAGCTTTCGAAGTCCGACCAAACTATCTCGGAAAAGCGAGTAGAGTACGAGAGGCGGATCGCGGCCCGGAAGTCGGCCAAGTTGTGAAGAGAGGCCCTGAAGAAGTGCTGTGTCTGTCGTCGTGGCGTAGAAGAAGTGCCGCCAGCACGACGCGAGGAAAAGATAAATTTTGCAAACGAAGAATGAACACAACCCGAATTGTTGACCAACGCGCCGCAGCGCAAAAGAACCTGAAAGCAGCTTCTACAGCGACCGGAGTACAATAAGCGTAAGAGGACGGCTGCCCCGCCGTCTTAAAGACCGTCTGACAGCCCTCGCAACAAAGACAAAATGAATTTCCAAAGTCATATCTCCGCGGCAAATGATGTGACCGGCGATAAACAGCATTGTTGTTTCTGACGGAATTATTTGATCCATTGGGCGACCATCCACTAGTGTTTGTGGTCGCGGGCTCGTCAAAACAGCCGTGTTTGGTCGTAGTAGCATAAATGAGATCCCCGTCTATTACGGACACTTGCTCGGATTTTTGAGGTCGATGGCAAAAGTAATAGCCAGTTCGTGGCTGTCGATTGATGGGCAGGAACAAGATGTCAAAGTTACAGAATAACGCAGGCAACCACCAGCTTATTCCTTGTTGACATCTTTTCTTCCGCGTAGTTTCTTTTGCGTGCCACAAATGTTGTTCCTTCGAGCCCGACCTTCTTCTGGAACATCACGGGTGGTGGCTGCCAAGCAGCAGGTCCGCTCGCTGTTCTGCGTGTACTCGGAGCCCACACCTATTGCCGATTTCAATCTTGCCCCTGATTCATCATCTTCCGTTTTTGGCCATGACGCGGCCGCCCAGCCCCACGACTATTTGTCCACGGAGGAGGCCAAGGCGGAGGAGCAGAGGAACTTTCTGGTGGACGCGGTACTGGGCAGAGCCGATTTATTTTCATCCCGGGGCAGCTCCTTCGACGCTGCGTCCGCGTCCGGCACGAACCCGTACCAGTCCTGTGCGCAACTGCTGGAGGAATTTTACCGAACGCCGCTAACCAACTACAATGGCCTGCAGCTGGCCGAGTACGCGGAAGCAGCCTGTCGGTGGCGACACCGGGAGGTGGGGTTCTGGGAGGATCTTCTGAACACCTGCCGCGCACCAGCGGCCGTCGATACCATCCGGCCCGCGCACCTGGTGCGGATTTTGTGGGCGTGCCACCGCGTGGACTTCCACGAGGTGACGATGCTCGACGTCCTGGCGGATCGCATGCTTGCGGAAAGTAGACCAACCGTGGTAGACGACGCGGAGGCTATGCTCGGCCAGCTAGATCCGGCATTGAAACTGGAGTTGCAGTTGCTAAAGCCGCAAGTAGAATCTTCTTCTTCGCGCGATCACTTCGTTTCATCCCACACCGTTGGATCCAGTTCTTCGAGTTCGTCGACCTCAAGTTCTTTTTCCTTGCCATCCGGGACCGCCAGCAGCTGCACCGCGCCGCGGCTCCACAGAAGAACGCAAGCGGTTGCTTTTTCTACTACATCAAAGCGGGATCATGCGAAGATCCTAGCGAGTGACGGAAAGAGCAATCTATGCGACGAGGAAGACATTTTCTCTGCTTGGCGGAGCGAAGCAAGTCCGAGTCGTAGTGGTCACGGCGCAGACGAGGAAGCGGATAATTATGTTGCGAGGAGAAACAAGCGCGTTGATCCGCACAAGTTCTTTCGGGAGCTGGATTTAGCTGCTCTGTCCCAATTAGCGATGCTCATCAGCGCGGTGCAAGTGCGGTGCGTTCTGCAGAATCGCACCACCCTGCACTTGCGTAAACTCATTCACCTTGCCGTGTCAGAACGGGAAATGGTAAAAAATGGTGTGGATGATCCGTCGATAATATCGAAGATCGGCACAGCTACAAGCGCTGGTGTTATTTCCTCTGGCAACAAGAAGCAAAGTGCTGGTGTTGGAAATGCCCTAGGATCCCGCTCGACAGGATCTGGAAAGAACATGGGAACGAGGAATTTTTCGACAAAAGGGGGGGAGATAGTACATCACAGTAGAAATGCGACCGCATCTTGGCTGCTTTCGGTTCCGCTATTGCAATTACTGGTTTCATCCTCCAATGCAGCACCGCTTGAACAATGCCGCCCCTTCAGCAGTGCCGCAAAGGGCGGCAAGGGGCTGTTTTCGAAGAACTTATTGCGGAAGGCGGCTAACAAAATGGGTTTAACCGGTCGTCCAGCCGAAGAGAAAGAAAAACCCACCGGATTCCGTGGGCGAACGCCGGGGGCAGGCGGACCGTTTATGCTGGGGGCCTCGACAAAGGACGGGCTGCTGAAAAAAATTCGCGTGGAGAGGGAATTCCTCAAGGCGGAAATGACCCAGGAAGCGAACCAGGTCGTTGCAGAGTCCTTTGCCCTGCGGAATCAGTACCGCAGTCTGGCGGAGCAGCTTCTGGACGCGATTCTCGATATTTTGCGGCGGCGCCACGTGGAAAACGTGGGATCTGTGACGACGAGCGCGGACGAAAGTCGGGGTCAGCTGCGAGAATTCGGCGGGCACGACGATGCCACGGAGCAGGAACGAGAAAGCCTGAGGTTGCAGCAGGAGACGCGTTCAAAAATGCAGGAAAGCAAGGGGCATGTGAGTCAATTTCGTTCGTGGGTCCTGCTGCTCACCGCGGTACATCGGATGAAAAGAGTGAATGCGGAAGCGCGAGACATTTTCGAGCGGGGTGCAATCTTCTGTTCTGAATTTTTGTCCATTTCGGAAAATTGGCCATTCGTGAAGCCGCGGGAAGTATTGCAAATCGTGAGCATTTACGGCGCTGCCCGCATGCGGCACGAACGCTTTCTCACATCTGTTGCAGAATTCGTTTGCGGGAGCTCGGCGTCTGGGGCCGAGCTCAGTCGATTTCAAGAAATTATGAGGGAAAGCTTGAACTTCTCACACGCAGAACTCGACCGCATAGCGCAATGCAGGACACTTTCGTTACAGAGCATGCTCTCGTGAGTTTACCGAAAAGGTGGTTAGCGCCACTTCTAGAAATTGAAATTCAGATAGATACCACGATTTGCAAACGCGAGTGACTTCTCCTGTTGCGGAGATAGGTATTGAGGAACGACTATGTTAGAACTATGTGTCAGTGTGTTCTCGCGCATTCGAAATTTCGAAGAGAGGCCCATCGAGATGTAGTGATGTCGATCACAGATGAGTGTAAAGAGTTAGAGGGAATAGAGTCTTCTAGCGCAGAGAAGAGTGAAGGAGGTGGAGAGAAGTGAAGATAGAGAGATGATGAGCACGGAGGGGCGGCAAGCTCATCTCAAGAAGCGTTTGTCTCTGGAGCAACTTGCATTCGAACGAAATCGTTTTGGATTCTCTTACAACTGAAACAGGAGAGACTTGAGTAATTCGGAGCTGCTTCTTGCTAAAATTCGTTTTTCTTTGTTTTTGTTTCGCAGTATTGCAAAGAAAAGGATGCTGCATGCTAAACCTGCTTTGTTTTCGTTACTTTTACTCGTCTTTGAATAGACGTTGCATTGTCGACGCGCATGCCCCTGTCCTGTACTGAGAAAGCTCCCTGTATTTTTGTTGTTGAGCCACTTTATCCGCCACTGGGCGAAGAATTTTATGTGAGAAACCAATAGTAGGATCCCGTGCTGTCGCTCGAGGCAAATTTCTAGGGCAGTGCATGTTTGAGCCGCGTCGCGACCTTATGGTCGGCGGGTCACCTCCACGATTACCGGTTCCTGGCGGGCCGGCTACCGCGACAGGAGACTCGGCGTAGGTGCACGCATCAAGAATCGCGGGCGTGGATCTCACAGACTCTCGGTGAGGGTCGATTATGAATCCCGACGAGCTACCGACTGCCCGCTTGGGCAACTCGGGGCTGCAGCCCCTGAGGCCCGGGAGTGGCGGAGCTGGCCTGCCACGGATATCTCCCCCAGACACACCGCCAGAATCCGCAAAGTCAACTGCACGACAGAGCTTCAACAACCAAGCAACGCCCAAGAAGATAAAATGGGTGCCCCACACCCACTCAAATCCCATGCACGCCCGGTTTTGCTACATGTGCCTGCACGGAGCGCTGGAAGGAAAAGACGTATAGCGTTTTTCATTTAGCAGCCATAGTAAGTACTTACAGCCAGCAGCTTGCTTCTCCGGTTTGGCTTTTGACTTTTCTATCTGCCTTCAACTGCATCGCGCCCACGTGGGCTTTGTTTCCCATTATAAAGTTCGCTTATTTTTTTGTTTCCGAAAATAAATTTGTGAAAACAGGAGCTTATTGCCGAAGAGATAAAAGTGGACGACGACGACCTGCCGTCAGCGGTGGAAATGCGAAATCGCGGATACCTAAACGTGAAGGAGCACGTGAGGCAGCTTGCCGACTTCCGGAGGAACAACCTGCCGGCCACGTGGCTGCGAGAGATTGTCAAGGAGGTGTACGCGCAAAACAAAAATCTGCTCTTGGAGCTGAACACGCAGATCGCGCGCGAGGATCCGCGGTCCCCCGTCTGTGGGGGTGGAACCTGGTTCCTGGTGTACGAAGACGAGGAGAAGCGGGACTGGAAAGTCGTGGAGAGGCTTTTCGAGCTCCTTCCGGACGACCTGCGGCACCTGGACAAAATGTCGGAGCTGCTGACAAAATTTTGCCGCTCGCGACCACTGTTCACGTACAACCCGCCGCCACCAAAATTGGAGGATTGGTGCAAGGTAACGATCCTCGAGAAGGAGAAGAAGCGGTTGGTGTATACGCCGATGGCAGATCTCTCCGGGCTCCCTCCCGACACGCAAAAAATGATCGACGACTTGGAAGAGCGAGCAGTGCAAACAGGGTAGATTTTTTCGCGCGTGGCTTATAGTTTTTTCGACTTGGAAGGGCGATTTTTTCGCGCGTGGCTTATAGTTTTGTATCACTGATGTTGTGCGACTGCGAGTGCGTACCCTGATCAAAAATGGTATGCGCTTTGTTCCTAATGCTTGTCATTCCCAATCCCATAAGTGCAGGCTCAAATAAGGAGGATCTCCGCGAAACGAACCGTATAAAAACAGGTCAACCGAGGAACTGCTGCCGTGGCCTTCGACTTTGAGAAGGTTGGGTGACTTCAAGATCATTCCAAGAAAATACACAAACGACGAGATTCCGGCCTACGAGCCGATGGAAGCGCCACTGCCACGAAGACCAGACATTCCGAATATCGGGGACCCGTTCCCGCGGCCAAACTGCTACATCCACCATTTTCAGGAAAAAGGAATGCCAGAGTTTGAGGTACCGATGCACAAACGCAAAGAATGTTGATGTGAAACTGCTTCTGTAGCAAAGGCCGTAGCAAAAGTTCTCCGTGCGTGTAAGTACTTACAGCTAAATTTGATAAATGAACGGAAGATATAATCATGCATTGTTTGACGATACATTGACAGGTGCCACTCGCAGACCCACAGCAGTTCCCACCGCGGAAAATTGACCTGGAATACATGCACCCGGCACACAATTATACCATGCGACACTTTCCCATGCAACCTTTCTTGGATCATCCGGTCTGGCCGCCCGTCGAGTTTGTTCAGGAATACGACGAACCTCTCGCCGCAGGCTTTGAAAAGCAACTGAAGAAGACACGAAAGGTCAAGAGAAAAAAGCTCATCACCCGCGGCATCTGGGAACCAGAGCTGGTTTCCATGCGAGGGGAGGTGCTGCCACCGTACATGGAGCGCGTGCGAACAGAAAAGCATGCCGGCACGGAGGAGGACTTTGACGAAATGCAAGTCGACGACAGTACTATAGCAATAATTGCGGATGTCTTTCTTGTTCTACTCTGTCCAGTTTTCTACTTCTCAAAAAACTTTTTTGGTATCCACTGCTAGAAGAATATTGCGCGAGCGAGCTGATGCTTGGAAGATCCACATTAAACCTCCTCACAGAAGAACAAATTGCCACACCTTCAACTAACAAACAGGCGTTTACGTGACCCTGAAGGGTGGCACGCGTCTTGTGCAGGATATGATTTCCATCATTTGCGTTCGGAGTTTCGCCCGCTTTCCGCCAAGCCCGGTGAAGCTGAAGTTTCCGGATTTCTTGAACAACATCGCGACCGTGGACTGGACGAACGAGAACACGATGCTGATCGTGAAACAGCGCCACGAGATTCTGATCAAGGAGATGGAGCGCGAAGAGCGCGAATTCCGAGAGGCGCAAACCAACGAACAGCAACTCCAGGCCCTGGACATCGACTACGATATGGCCAACCCGCCAGCGGGAGAAGCCGGCGTAGGCAGCCAATTGGGCGGCGGCCCGAGTCAAGATGAAATCAAGCACGGTATAACTAATTCTAATTGTTGAAGCACGTAGCAATGAATAAGAAGTACGCAATAGCCTCTTCCGCATGGGTTTCTTGCAATATTATTCGCCTTAGGATAAAACTTCACCAGCGAACTGGAGCAAACACTATCATGAGGATCACAACTACATGCTTTCATTTCACTCATTTTGCCACAGATGACTTCCAAATTATCGACGACGATAACTACCACGAGGATGGTTTGCCGGAAGAGAAGAAAATCGAGCCCATGAGCGAGGCCACGCGACAAGAGATCGATCAGCGGGAGCAGGACGCACAGCAGGCCGCCGCCCAGGCGGGCGCCGGGGGAAGCGCGGCGCCCCCCGGGGCGCCAGCAGCACCATCGGCATCGTCACGAGTTGTGCCGCAGCACGGAGACGGAGCAGACTCCTCTTCTGGCGTCGATCATGGGGACGAGACCTACGCAAGCGGGGCGGGAGTTCAGGTATACTTGTGCAACTGTTCTGAGCTGCGGCTTGATTCATTCTGATTTCACTCGTAAGAACTCGAAGCGTATCTATGTAAGACGTGGGTTTGTGCTGATTGTTTGTGTTTCAGATCATTCAATACAAGGGTCGGGGCCGTCTTCAGGTGCTGGAATTTGCACTTCCTTCGAAAATTATTGCCTTGTGCTGTGACATTGAATCTAGGTCACGACAGCGTTTTTTTTACTTTCCACTCTGTTTCTCTTCTACTGCACTTCTTTTGAAATTGATTGTGTCGAGAAAAATGATCACAAAAACAAGAATGTCAGGCTCCATCGATGCAGCCAAATTCGATGACGAAGGACCAGCTCGTGTTGCAGCGGCATCAGAAGAGGTTGCAGCAAATGATCGATAAGGACAAGGAAGAGAAGCGCATCGAACAAATCTTGACGAAAGACAAGTTCCTGGACGTGCTTGCGGGCAAACTGTCCGAGAAGATGTCCGTGAGCGCAGCGCTGACCCAGGACCCCGCACGAGGGCCGGGTCGCGTCGACACTTCGAGGGAGTTGTGGCACGCCGGGATGGAATTCAATCGTCCGGCCGGGGACTTGACCAGCTACCGCACGCCGACCGGTTCGCACATGACAAGTATGCAGCAGCCGCCACAACCAAACTTCATCGACGACGACGATATGGCCAAAGTCGAGGGGAACAAACTGCCAAGATCGTACTTGCTTTTTTCACGCTTCTGTTTTCTTTTTTTTTTGCTTTTACTTGTGCTCGACAGCGCGAATTGATACAGCATGTTTCTAAATCTCCGTCTTGTACGGCGGTTTTAGCGGTCACTATCACTTCGATGTATAATACCTTTACCTACAACTTCAACAGACTTCGTGGCGACGACGTTGCGGGTCCCACGCCGGCGTTGGCGAAGAGCAAGATCGCCGATGCGAACACGTATACCGAGGAACGGGCGCGCGGCGACGCGTATGTGCGCATGATCACGAAGCCGGACGAGGAGGGCGCGAAGAAGCACGCAAAGCCGTACAACCCGATCCTGATGGAACCGGACGACAATTTGGTGCTGGGCGAGCAGTTTCACCTCAAGCAGGGCAAGGAAGACGACGTGGAAGAGGATTTCGCCGACCTGGAAGACTCCAACACCATGCTGTTTTCCTTCGTCCGACACAACCGCTACGAGGCGCTACAGTCTCTACTGGAACAGGACGCGAGTCTCATTCACGTACTTACTTACTTTCTATCCAGCTTTTAATGTTTGCGAGAGTGGCTGTGGTTGAGAAAAAAGAAAAAGAAAATGCACATCGACCACAGAACCATGTAGTAGAGTCGAATTGCCATCGGCTTTAGTACTCTTTTATCTGCACCTCGTCCACACATCAGGCTACCGACGACCGCAAGAACACGCTTCTGCACATTGCCTGCCAGAACAACCACCGGCGGATATCGAAGCTGCTCATTCGTGCCGGCGTCGACATGGACGCACAAAACACGAAGGGAAACACCGCGTTGCACTACTGCTACGCCTACAACTTCATGCAGCTCGCCGGGGTGTTGCTTGCCAAGGGTGCGGACGACGGGCTGCTCAACGAGCTCAACCTGCCCCCCTCGAAGGGGATCGCCCTCCCCGACCCGCACACTGGCTTGGTCAAGCACGAGAAGCAAATCGAAAAAGCGATCCGCGACGGCAACCCGCAGACACTGGATCCAGCGGAAAACTTGAGGCCGAGGTGAGCAGCCGCATGATCGTGTTGAGAAAGCGGTTGTACAGTACTAGCGCGGAACAAAAATGTAACTTCGACGGTCTTGGAAGTAGTCTTGCCATCTCCTCGGGTGTCTCACGACGAGAAAGAGGAGGAACAGGACGGAGTAGACCGAGAAAGTTAGTACCTCGGTCACGGTGGTGGATGTTGGCATCTTCCTGAGACTTCTTTCCTGGAGGAAACAGGAAGTACAATAGTACAATTCGTCCAGACCACCGTTCTTGTATCAAATTTCCAGTTTCAAATGTTTCCTGAGAATCTTTCTACTTTCCTGAGAATATTTCCTGAAAATTAGCAACACATCGCTGAAAATCTACTTTCCTGAGAATATTTCCTACTTTCAAGCAAGATGCTCGCAACGGTGTCGCATCTTCGTACTGCGACAACGATATTGCGAGTAGTGCGGAGCGACGGCTCTGTTTTGTTGAATTTACAGACCTAGAATTCATCAAACGCTTTTCTTTGCGCAAAGCAAGAAATGAAATTGAGCTTTGTATAATGGAATGAAAGACCACTTGAAACGACCTTTTGTTAACCTGTACTGTCTGAAATGTTTCAAACTCAACTGTATGTGCTTTGGTAGGTGTAGCGGTTGGCGGTTATGTACCACACCAGGAAATTTCGTTTGTAGCACGAAAAAGGAAGGGTTTGTGTTGAAGTCGCAGTATCGATCGTTTCCTGCCGAGGAGCATGGGCCTGATGCATGTTGTCCCAAATGATCTTGATGGAATGAAGGATCCGAGAACGGTGTCACATTTTCGCAGAATTGACAGGCTTAGATCCGAGTTCCTCGTCCGCTTCAAGGGCAGAGAGGTACAATTGCAGTTTGTAAATGGATTATATGTGAATGTCCGAATCGGTCGCATTTGTCGTGATGAGCAAGTAAAAGATCTCCTTGAAGATCCAAACTCTCGCGGAATGCACCAAAAGTTTCAATTTGAAGATGGGCGGTTCTAAAATGTTCCTGGCCTGTCGCTAGATCTGACGTGGTTAAGTCCCCGCCAGTTCTTATCGTTCCGACATGGAGGATTTTCTTGCTTCTCGATAACACCAGCGACAGGCGACTTCTATCTAAAGATTAAGAAAAACGCTCCTTTGTAGACAACACGACGCTATCGAAAACTTACTCGAACAACACACGACAGAGGCTAAATTCCATGATGATGTCGTGAGTTGTTACAAAACCTTACAAAGAAATATGGCAGAGGCAGGCGATTCTTCCGTAGTACTACGTAGTGAGGATGCCACCCGACGTCTGGTTCCTGAATTCACGACCTTTCTAGAGAGAAGCGGCATTGAATCCGACCAGTACTACAGAACGTTAAGGAACGCGGCGGTGTCCCTTCCGCGTCACGTACGCCTGAACCCACGCAGCTCTTGGGTTCAAGGTCTACAAGCGAAGGAAAATAAGGGTGAAAAATGTGGAGTCAAAGGAATGGGCCGTTCAATGGCGTTCGTCAGCGAAATAAAAGCCTCTCTAACGGAAGCTGCTTTGCAGCGCAAGAACGCCGAGGGTAACAAGAGTTCTGCTAGTTCCGAATCGAAGGGGCACGAAGAACGGACAGAAGAGGACGAACGGACAGAAGAAGTCGTGCGTTCGCGAGATGAGGAAAAAAACGGCGGCGCTCCTTTACCAAATCAAAATGCGAAGCGGCGGAAGTGCGAAGAAGGAGAAGCCAGCGGAGGTCCTCCGGCCGAATCGAGTGTGTCCGACGAAACAGCGATCGAGGTTCGTCCGGTCTCCTGGCTGCCGGGTTTTTACTCCGTTTTCCCCGCGAAGACCCCACTTCGAACAGCAAGTATCTTTGGCGATGCACACGTGTACGGCTGCGACGCAGCGTCCGGCGCTGCTGTGCGTGCGCTGCTGGAAGGAGTTGAGATGACGACCAAGGCGGAGCTCATTGATATTAACGAAGTTTTCCCTCCTCGTACGATCCGTGTCCTAGACCTCTGCTGTGCGCCCGGTACGAAATTCTGTCTCCTTGCCGATGAGCTGTGGACGCGGGCTCTCAACGCGAACATATCGGTGATTGGTGTTGATGTGGATGCAGCGCGGTTGAACGCCTGCCACACTGTGGTGGCGAAATATTTCAGCAAGGAGCTCGCAGGCGCCGAGCCTGGTGATGTTAATACACGGAAGCTTTCCTTGCGTCTCGAGTGTTGCGACGGGCGGGAATTCTTCTTACAACCCAAGGATGGTTGTAGCAGTATCACTGAGCAGTCCAACATAGCTGCGACGAAGAACGCCAGGAAGAAAGCAAGACGGAGGATGAACGTGGGGGAAACGAAGAAAAACGCATGTAATATAATTCCTTCTGTGCGGGAAAGCGAAAGCGACAGCCATCACCAACATCAAGGAGAGCAGCAGGGCATCTTTGATTTCGTCTTGGTTGATGCAGAATGTTCGCACGATGGCAGCCTCCGACACGTGGAGAAATTCATGAGTAGTTCTTGCGATGTTCTTCAAGACGGGAATAAAGTGAATCATACCGCTGACAACTCAACTTGTTACCCCCCAGCAAGACCAGCGTCTTCTTCTTGGTGGGACGCGGAGACGTTGACGCAGAAGATGGTGCACGTGCAGAGTGAGGAAGCGTTGCAGGAGCTGCTGGATTTACAAAAGGCTTTGCTCCGGAACGGTTTTCGCAATTTGAAACCCGGCGGATTGCTACTCTATTCCACCTGTTCGTTCTCCAAACGCCAAAACGAAGACCTGGTCGAGGAGTTTCTGTCAGAGTACGCGGCCTCCGCAGTGCCGGTTGAACTGTTTTCGTTTGATGCCGGAACAGCGGAAGGTGGGGACGAGAGTGCTACTGCGAAGATCATTCCGTGTGAGTATACTGGGGATGATGCAGCTGGACAGCGGCGAACGATGGGGCGATTCAGCCCAGAAAAAAGCAAAACATCAGGATTGTTTCTTGCGAAAATAAAGAAGAAGCTTACAATTTGAGCATGATTTTCTTCGCGAGCCATTTGCTAGCATCACAAATTCAGCGACATTCATAAGCACCACATGGAACAAACAAGTATCCTTTTTCTCACTTGATGAACATGAGGCAGATTTTCAATGCCATTTTCGTTGATGCTGCACGTGTTTTGTTTACGAAGCTCGTTTGTCGGTTTTGCAGTTTTGAAGCTCGTCGGTGCTCTTTGTTGCTGTTTGTACTGTAATATCCCACCGAACAAGAAGGGGTTTGACTCACGTGTGAATCGTTTTGGTTATTTGGGCTGTCCGACTTTTTACATCGGTCCTGCTGGCTGGTTGCATCCGCATCGGTGGAAGGGTGGCGCGCCGACGTGCCGTTCTCTTGGGGGAGGGTTACTTCGAGTTGTTGCTTTAAGAAAAGGCAAAACAGAATCCTGGTTTTTTCGAAACATGCAAAAGTCGGAAACGGTAGCGACGCAAAGGAGGCTTCTATATGAGTAGTTTCAAACTGGTCAATGTGATTCTTCTTTCTTCATTCCGGAGCGTGTCAATCTCATTAGTACATTATAGTCAAAGGCCTTCGGCGTCTGCTAAAACATACATCGCGTGTGTTCATTTTTCACTCATTCGTTTTGGAATGGGGCAAGACGATAAGACTCCAGCGGATCTTAAGAATGAACAAAATCTTGTCCCCTCAACCAGTGAATTCACCGCTCCCGTTCATCCCAGGTCGGGAAATTCCAGCGGTGGAAATGCGGGTTTTACGGAAACGGGCGACGAAGCGACTGAGTGCGGTGGCGCACCACCCGTTGCGGCCTTCCGGCTGGAGAGAGTCCCGGGACGAGGCGTCGGCGCAGTCGCTATTCGTGCCATTCCGCGGGGCGAGCTGGTAATCGCGGAGACCCCAGCAATCCGCATTAGTGGGAAGGAGATTGCCGACGGCACGCTCCGGGAGGAACTGGCGGAACAGAAATACAGGCGATTGAAAGATGAGCCGAAGCAACGCTCCGGGGTGGCGGACAAGTACAAGATGCGCGAGGATATTAGTTCCAAAGCAGCTACAACAACATCATGTGCCCCCACGCGCGAAGATTCTGACGCGCGCTCGACGTATCGTGTGATATCGGCACAGCAATGTGAGAACCTCGAGGAATACTTTCCTACGGAGTGGTCTGTTGCGGAGAAAGTCTGGAGCATGTTCGATATGCACGAGGAGGAACATAATTGCCACGGTGCGTCTAGTGCAGCCAGGCGGAACGAAGATTATGGGGCTACTATTACAGGAGCACTCGCGGCGCGCGAGCACGAGCCGTCGGGCGTCAAGTCTGCTGCTGGTATCTTCCAATCGAATGCCTACAGCTTCGATTCAGGCCACGCTGTTTTTAGCAACCGAGACACCGGGAACGCGCAATGGGGACTGTATCCTTTAACGGCGAAACTGAACCACAGTTGCCGCCCGAATGTGGCTTTCTGTACGACATCGGATGTTGAAGGATGATGGTGTTTTGTTTTTCCATAAGTAGGTGCAGCGTATCTATTTCTGTGTATACCACGACGTTCATGTGGAAGTAGATGGCAGCACGTTTTGTACTAGAATTCAAACTTCCACCACATCACGAGTAGACTATGGTTGATGTATGGGCACGACTAGTACTACACGAAGATGCTGCACCAACAGCACTACATTCTTGACGAGTCGTTCAACATAGATGTGATTTTTGATTTGCATATCCCCCCACGACTTCAAGAAGGATTGGGTGATGCGCACGTTCGCGTCCCGCGACATTCAGGCCGGTGAGGAGATCTGCCACTGCTACAGTCGTGAAATTTGTTTCCAGCCGCGGGCGGCTAGGCAAAAGTATTTCGAGGAACAGTTTGGGTTTCACTGCGAGTGCGAGGCGTGCACCAAAGGACACGCACCTTCATCACCTGTCGGCACACGTAGAACTGTAGCATCACCTCCAACTACCGAGACGAACATCAATCCGGATTCTGCTTCTATCGGTCAAGAACCGCGTTGTACCAGCGAGAGGCGTACTACAAGACAAAATCCTCATCCATTCAAAATTTCGGACGAACAGCGGGCGCGAGCCAAACAGGTGGAGCAGCAGCTGGTTTTTCTGGCGAACCAGAACAACTCGGATGATCCGCGGAGTCCGGCCTCATCATCATCTCCGGGAGACGACATTAAGGCGCCGGCCTCCACGTCGCGGAAGAAGAAGAACAGCAATAAGTTTTTCCCCGCGTTCTCGCCGCGCGTGCGCAACAAGGGAGCAGCTGGTGCTGGAGGTAAGCAGGGCGACGATCCTTTAACGTACCTACAAACCATCGAGGAGTATCTTTCTCTGTTGCGTGCAGAGGGCCTCGACCGGCCGGAGCATTACTTGGAGTTGGGTGCCATTGCCTTCGACATCACCGCCGTAGCGTTGCAGGACCTGGCGCAGGCGGAGAAATGGGCGGACTGCTGTGCGGAGAATGCCTGCATCATGCTCGGGAACGACTCGGACCACGCAGTCGTAAAAAAATGGCAGAAGAAAAAGCAAAACTTGTTGCTTCATGCAAGGATGATTTGAGCGGGAGCAGGAGCGAAGGTTGCTGTTCGTGTACGATATTAGGGCAAGAAGTTTGCTGGGAAAATGAGGAAAAGTTTTGAACTTTTGTACTATTCCGGTACTGGTGGTGCTGGTGTTTCAAAAATAATGTACAAACTCTGTATGATTGGACTTGGAGTATCTGCTTTCAAAGTCTAGTGGCCTTTGATGTTGCAGGGCCGACATTTTTCGCGAAGATGTGGAAATGGTAAAAGTGGTGGATAATTGGAATTCCGCAGCAAAGCCGATTCTGATTTGCACCAAGATGCTGGTTCAATTGGGAGCTTGTTTCCGGATGTTCCCAACTTGTTTTTGTGCCCTTGATGATGACGCGATCGGGCAGAAATCGTCTTGATGAAAGCAGAAATCGTTGTTTGGGCAGAGAGTCGATTTCAACATTTTTTGACTAAACTTAAGAGGGAGGAGAAGTAAAGAACGAAATAACAGCAAGCTGCACCTGCTGCAACAAAGCTATTTCTTAGCAGAATGACGTTAAGTTCGGCGCTCGCAGGATGCTGGAAATCGACGACGAGTGTGTGTTGCTTGAGAACTTGTGGATCACCAGGATCCATGCGCGGACCGCCACCGGGATTTTCACTTGTCGGCGTGCTTGCACCATTGTCAAGAAATGGAACAACGGTGTTGCATGCTCCTGTACTAGGCGGGGACGCTACTGGTTCGAGCTCGACTCCATCATGGCTAAAAATTGCAGCGTCGCGCAGTCTCTTCACGCTTTCTCCAGCGCGTTGGTGGGGCAAACGGCCGACGCGATACAGCAAGCTCCAGCGTGAGGTCAAAACCGAGTACCCGCCAAAAAGGCGGTCGAAAGTCTGTCGACTACCGATTCACAGCAAACTGTGCTTTGTCACGGACGGGTGGTATTACAAGGAGGACGAGCAGTTTAACACGCCTATCCTTTGCTTCGCGAAAGCCCAAACCCACTCGCAGCTAGACCACTTAACGGAAAAAGAATGTTACAAACTGGTCGAAATGGTGCCCGAGCTGCTGAAGGAGTTTGAACGTTGTGAAAAGGAACTGCCCGAGTACGAAGCTGCAGACAAAAGCAGGTGCTTGCCACTGGTGCTGTAAAATGAATTCGAATGAGAATGAACAATACTATGGCGACGTTGTGCAGCTGTGTATCTTCGGGGTCAACAACATCCGTTGCTACCCTTCCATTGCGATGAAAAAAGTGTGCAGTCTTGCATGCGCAGTTCGCAAGTTCGGCTCGCTTTCTTGCTGTCATTTGGTAATCATCGGGCGTATTCGTGCTCGAAGTCGTGGAACTACAAATACAATACCAAGCAAGCAATAGCAAGAAGCCGATTCGTAGAATCTTTGATCGCCGTCAGCTATGCTTGTGGTCGTTCTCTGAAAATATCTTGACGCTGCTTGTGATTGATGCCGTTTTCGTCCGTGTAAAAAAGATCATCGTGCCTCCTCCGTGCTACAAGACATTCTACGTTCGAATCTGAAATAACTGCCTCCTCCGTATCGTTCACAATTCATGTCGTGGTTTACATTCTCACGTGCTGGCGTATCGTGATTCGTTGGAAGTCAAATAGCATTGGTTTCAGAAATAAGCACTTCGTCAACCATTATTGACAAACAGTTTTCTCATCTCGAATGAATACTTACCCTGTTTTCCTTTTACGTGAAGTATCATAGTTAATATCCCACGTTGACCCCTAACAATAACTCACTTCTATCGTGAAACCGGTTTATTATAGGCGGCCCTTTTTTTGCTGAGGCCGGAGCTAAAAAACAGGTTTTTATTTCGGCTCGGTCATATTAAGTAGTTGAAACTCGCGCAGAAAAAGATGTACGCCGACGTGTCGCGGCTGCGACGGGCGGCGCAGGGCCAGCAGTACCCGATGGGGGTTCTGCGTCCGGGTGAGGACCGGAAGAAGCCGCTCGACACGCTTTTGTTCACCCCCGGTATGTACTTTCGGTACAACATTCGCACCAACACGTTGTACCACCAGGCGCTGCGGCAGTACCCCTCGACGGTGGAGGATTCCGGCTACTACTACGAGAACCCGGTGTTGGCGTTCTACACGGACTGCGCCGCCGCCATTCCAGACCACTTTTTCAACGAGAACGCCAAGGAGCACAAGCGCGTGGTCGAGAAGCGGCTGAACCCGGTTCGGGAGAACGTGGCCACGTACTACATGAAGTTTATGGAGTATTTGAAGGAGGCCCTTGCGACCTACAAGTGCCGCAAGATCTACCTGCCCTTCTCGGGGGGTTTGGCACACCAGTTCGAGATCCCGCAGGTGGTCTACCTGAACACCGAGACGCGGCAGTGCGGGAAGTTGCAGCAGGGGCACTGGTGGAACGTGGACCACCGGAAGGTTGCGGCCCTCGGAGTGCTGCACTCGGATAGCACGTTATACGATACGGCGATCCATGACTCCACGGAGTACACCACGACCGTGGAATTTCTGGACCTGGCCCGGTGCTCCCCGGAAGTCGTCATTGTCTGCATCATCCGCCGCGGGTGGGGTGAGGGCGAGGTCACGCCGGGGATCCTGATCGAACCTAACAAGGAGGAGTCGGAAGACGACCCAGAGGCGCTGTCAGCGACGGCTTCGGACGAGTACATCGCTCACTTGTTTTATGACAGCAATTGTAGAGTACAACTTGGAACTGCAGAAAATCAAAATGAGAACTGTTTGGTTTATACATTTAGCGATCGTGAATGAAGTTTCCTTTACATCATCTTGAAAAATGTTTGCTGCACGCTCCCACCGTTGCTACTAGGTCTTCAGGTGACATGCTTGACCAAACGTCAACCTTCCCAAAAAAAAATTTGCCACAAAAAAACAGGGAAGTGATGATTTTCGACGACCCGCGCCCGGATCCGGACGTGAAGCCGTCCCTGGAGGCCGTGAAATCCGACGCAATCCTATCCAATAAAAAAACGTTGTTAGTGTAAGTTTGTGATGCGCAACACTCAAGATGATTGCGTGTGTCATGCATGGCATGCATCGTAAGGCCCATTAAAGGGCGTTTTCACGTACTATCTGCGCATGACAGGTTTTTGCTGTCATGCCAGACAAATTTGTAATGCTATTCCTTCAAAAAAGTTACACCTACAATGTTTTTTTCTTGGATAAATCCGGGTGTCGCAGCTGGTCGGCGACACCATGAGGTTCGCAATCACGGAAGACCAGGAGTGGGGGCGACAGGCGCTGCTGCACTCCGTGGAGAACTTGGTGGAGTCGGGGAAACTTACCTCGGAAAAGGGCGACATCCTGCGCGTCCTGGAGGAACAGATTACGCTCGCCGACGATTACTTCTACCTGCTCGGGGAGAGGACCGAGTTCTGCAAGAACAACTTCTCCATGCTGAACCAGTTGAAAAACAAGTACGACGTCTGGCTGTCCTACACCTTGTCCTTGATGCAGGAGCGCGACCCAGATATCTTGATTCGCGACCGCAACCACGCCTTGGAAACCGGAGAAGTGCTCGCGAGTCTCTGCAAGCAGCTGGCAGCCTTGGCCTACGATTCCAGTGATAGGGTAAAACTTTCATTTTTGGTGTGTTCTACAAAGAGTCTTCGAGTGCTGTCCACCCACTTGGCATGTTCATAGAAGCATCATGGTGACGTTGTTTTTGAAATTTCAGCAGATACAAACAGGGGCGATGTTTATCAGAAAATAACCCGAAAAATCTATTTTATTCCAATCCTCCCCAGGTCGTCGAGCTTGCCTCCGTGCTGGCGCCCCAGCTCGTGCACTACTTCTGCGTGAAGCTGTACCAAAACGGGGACAGCAAGATGGGTGCGGGCACGGGTCCGGCCTTCGAGGCGCTGGTCGCGAACATGGCGCGCACCTTTTTCTTCGACGAGCTGCAGCTGCACGCCTACAACCTGTTGATGGACCTGCAGAACGCCAGCAACTGGAAGGCACTGCTTCCCATCGTTGCCGGGCACATCGCAGAGAAGCTGGGCGTGTACGTGCTGTGCACCTTCAGCCTCACCGAGGGCCAGGACCCCGTGGCCAACCGCTGGGCGTGGCGCCGCGACGCCGCGGAGCGCATGATGACCAACCTGCGGGAGGCCATCCCGAATATTCTGTACCCTGACCGGGACAACCACGTCCTCACCGCGTTTGAGCCGCTGTTCTTCCGCTTCTTGCGGAACGACCCGCTCGCGGCGGCGGAAGTCCCGAAAATGAAGCGGTACGGCGAGTTTTTGGCGACCTTGCTCACCCACGACGGGTTTTTGGTGCGCCAGTGGGGGTACCAGAAGGGAAAGGAGTACAAGAACCGCGCGAAGATGTCCGAAATTTACAAGCAAGCGATCACGGAAGTCAAACTGCGAATGGAGGTATACATAGGAACGTAGCTGTGTAGTTTGAGCGATTTACAACGATGGAAGGTGTTTTTGCATTTTACTTGTTTGATTGAGCACATTTTTGATTTTTGTCACAGCTGTGAAGCTGCTGCTGCTCCTTGGATCCAGGTTTTTTTTCTGGATTCCAGCCTGTTTGCGTTTCTTTGTGGTTGTTTCCAATAAACCAAAAACCCCTCCTGCTACTATCTAAACAGCGCGAGATGCTCTCTGGGAAGTACAAGGATGAGGAGGCCGAGAAGTGCTGGGCGGCTTGTTGGGAGGAGTTGACGATGACCATCAACGCCTGTTACGTGGAGATGAACATGACGGAGGGGTTCGAGCCCCGTTCCTTTCGCACCTTCTTCCTGGAGCTGCTGGCCGAGCAGGAGCGCGAGATATTGGAGGAGGATTTCCGGGGCAAGGAACCGGACTGGCAGAAGGAAAACCGACAGAAGCTGATGCAGCTGCTGCTCCAATCGGTCGACGACCGGGAGCGCGAGGTGATCGAGGAGGTGGGCGCCAACACGGCCACGAAGCCCAAGTCGTCCCGCGCCGTCCTGTTCACGAACGTGCTCCAGATGGTGAACGGCGAGATGCAGAGCCTGCGCAACCTGGTGCAGCTGTTTCTGCCTCTTCTCGGGGAGCACTCGAAATACTTAGAGCGCCTGGAAAAGGCCGTCGAGGCCGCCAAGGCCCGGGGGGACGCGATCGCCGCGCTGGACCTGCAGAAGGAGCTGCAGCAGGCGAAGATGGAAAAGTACTACACGATCAGCGCGATGTCGCGGTATGTGGCGGTCTTTCTGCAGCTGAAGTGCGTGCCTTCGAAGCACAAGCGGGACATTCTCGAGGAGGAAAACGACCGCGCCGAGGCGCTGGCGGACTCCGTGGTGAACACGCAGTTCGGCTCCCACGCGCCCGCGGTGCTGTCGCACGCCCCAGGCGACGTGGAGTACTACGACCAGTCGATTTTGTACTTCTTCGACCTCTTCCTCTGCAGCTGCATCGAGGACATCAAGTACACGCACTCTATGCGCGAGTTCATGAACCAGTGCCGGTTGCGCGTCATGGAGTTCTTCTGGGGGGTGGACATCGACCTGGTCGCGAAGAAGTACACCATCCCGGGTTTCCAGGTGGCCACCATCAGCGACTGCCCGCGCGAGCTGTTCATCATGACGGCGGTCATGTTGACCAATTGCGTGCAGCAGAACGTCGAGGACAGCTTCCAGAACGCGAAGGAGACCATGGAGGTGTTGTCCGACCACGTGAACGCGTTCTTGATGGACGTGGTGTGGCGGAATAACCAATCGATCGCGGAATCCTCCGCCGCGGGCAAGACCTCGATCACGCGGGCGCTGTCCGACGTGTTTTTGAAGCCCAAGCAGAACAAAACTGTGCACTTCATGTACGGCAACAAGTTGGCGCCGCAGGCGTCGGTGCTGCTGTCTTCCTACGAGCAGTCGATGGGCTTGATCCGCACGTCACTGAAACAGCAGTTGCCCATGATGGACCACTTCTTCAAGAAGTGCAACAAGCACCAGGTGCAGGCCAGTGATTTGACCATGCAGGACCGCGAGCGGGGGGTGATCGCCGCGCTCACCATCGGGTGCGTGAACCGGTTGGAAAACAAGGTGAACCTGATCGAGCTGGTCGAGTGGGTGCACCTGTGCGTGTGCCGCAGTACCAACCACGTGCCGCGGATGATGCGGTCGTTTTTGACCCACTTGATGTGCCACATCGACATCTTTTACCCCTGCGACAAGATGCGCCGCGGGGAGATCATCGCGACGCTGAGCGGGCTCTTGCACAACGCGCGGTGGAACACGCAGGAAGGCAACCAGCCGCGGGAAATCTGCTGCAGCGAGCCCATTGTGGCCATGGAGGAAGTTGCGGAGTTTTTGGTGCGGGTCTCGAACGAGTGGAGGCGGAAAGTTTCGGTCACGAGCTTTGTCGACACCGACCCCATCGCGGAGAAGGGGGAATTGTCCGCCGACGACCGGGTTTTGTTCTTTCTGCAGATGCTCGCGACGCACCATTTGGGCATCACCAACACCATGCAAACGACCGTGACGATTCTGTACGAGATGTTGCGGTATCCCTGTACGATTTCCGCCGAGGGGGACGCGCTCTACATTCTCACCTTAAACGCGGGGCTCCGGCAGTTTCAGGCGTTTTTGTTGCTGACCAAGGATTTCTTATTCGCGGAGGAGAGCGGCTACTTGTCGCAGACCGCGGTGGAGGCGTGCCTGGTCTGCCTGCAGAACGTCGCACTCAAGCTGGCCGGCACGGACGTGGGCTTGAAGTGCAAGTGGATCCAGCTGATCGTGATGCAGGAGATGCGGCGGCTGACCGAGGACGACTTCCCGAAGGGTTTCGAGCGCCTCGCCAACAAGATCTCCGCGCTGGTCGCGTTTTTGATTCCGGAGAGCGTCAAGGGGTCCAGTGCCCAGGACCCGGTGGTCGTGGACACCGTGGTGAAATTCATCGAGAAACAGGAGAAATTCATCCTGGACTACATGGACTTTTTGTACCACGCCATCCAGCAGGACCGGGCGCAGGGCAACACGAAGTCCGCGTTCAATCTGACCGAGACCTACGAGCGCTACATTGCGGAAGCCATGCGGGATCCGCTGCGCTGGCAGTTCGAGTACGGCCAGAGCGCCGAGGTGCTGCGCAAGCTGCCCACCGCGTGGAAGGCGGAGCAGACCTCCGAGGGCATCGATCTGCAGCTGGAACTGGGGGATCGCGTCAAGGACATTTACCCCAAAGTGTTCGGGCCGGGCACATCCGCGGAAAAGCCGACAGAGACGGTACTGGTTCTTGACTAGGTTTGATGTTTGCATCATGCACATACATGATCCACCAGATAGTGAGATGTAGTATCTATGTAAGATTCTTTGTCGTAAAAGAGATCACATTTTATAATTCCAAACCAACACCTACCTCAGGCCGTGCGTGAATTTGAATCGGCGCAGACTGCGCTGACGGTTGCGGAGCGCATGGCAGTACCCACCGAATACGTGCCCCTCCGTGCGTCCGCCATGGCACCGGAGGATTTCCGTGTCGCTTTGCAGAGCCAGATCCAGGCGCGGGACTCCGGAGAGCCTGAAGCAGGAACAACCCGAGCTTCCGTCGGACCGGCTGGAAGGGCGTCGCAAATCGGAAACGCAAGTACGCGGGAGCCTAGTAGACGAGCCAGCGGAAGTGCGTTCAACGAGCCGCGGGCAAACCGAGACAGCGCAGCGCAAAACGCCGGCAATAAGAGTGGCTCTTCGCGGAAGAGCAGCACCGACAAGAGTAAGAGTAGCAAATCGTCTAGCAGCCGAAAGGCCGGATCATCATCTACGTCCTCCTCGTCGTCCTCCTCGTCGTCGTCCTCCTCATAGAGCGGCGATCCATAGGACTAGACAGAGGATCAGGATATTTTGACCAGCTGGGCTTCGATTTCGGATGTTCTTGAAGATCATCGGATGATTTCTTTTTACCCTTAACCATCAACGTGTTTTTTTCTGAATTAGCAACCACAATGTTCAATCGTGACATCTTGACAAAAAGTTACCTTTCAATACTAACTCATCCCATTGGAAGATTTTTCTTTAACATAAGTTTGCAAATCAATGCCAGAGTTCAAAATGCTCTAGTACATGCAGAATGTCTCAAACTGTGCCATACTCACCTGTTTTGTAGTATAGACGATGTTAGAAAGTAAACTTTTGTTCACAACCTTTGTAAAAAATTATCTTGCATATGCATAGTTTGGTTTCTTTGACAAATTTTCTTTTAGTAGTTTATAGCACAATCACATTTGCACGATAGCGGCCAGGACAGCCGCCGTCTGGTTTGTACGATTTCAACATACATCTTTAAACGGGAAAATTTACATTGTACATACCTTCTGGAGAAAAAAAACAGCCCGCAAGACGAAGAACGAGCGTGGTCGTTCAAAAAAAAAACGGAAATTCTAGTGCTGTTCCATTCGGTGACAGATTTTGACAAGAAAGCGAAACGCCATGTCGTGACCCTTCCGAATAGCATCTGCATGATTCTTCATAGGAAAGGCACAACATCAATTCGAGAGACCACGATGCTAACCAAAAAATAATCAAGATCCGTTAACTACGCCATCGCAAACCTACATACAAGCACAACGTTGAAGATTCGATCGAACTCGAACGGCAATAATCGCTGCATGTTGTCGATCATCGTTAGAGTTGTAAGCAAAAGCATATATTTGAATTTTTCAGACGACATACGCATAGACAAGTAGTATTTTTTAGCCATGAACCATAGACGCCATCTATGAAACGCGACCGACGCTTTATAGCTAAAACCGAGAAGTAGAGCCCGAGTCAACATTATTTCATGTTTACGAAAAATGAACGAAAATAGGGCAGCTGTAGGAATGGCCTTGGCAAGAGATCGCATGCTGCTGCGTTGACTGTGGTCGCAGGCGACTAGTACAAGACCCTAAAAATAATGACGGACCCGTTTGCCGCGGTTGCCAGCGCCTCCGGCTTGCCGGAAGTCAAAGCTGCGGCCCGTGCTTCATCGCGGACGCAGGGTGCGAAGCAGTTCTTTGATGTGCTCAAAAACGAAGCCGCCGGGGAAAGAGTGGAGCAGGCAATCTTCGCTTTGACGAACAATGCTGACGACAAAAAGTATCTATTCGCCTCTTGGACAATGCATGGTTTTTGTTGACATTTGCATTACTCCGAAAGCGGGGGTCGTAGGGTCCGGGCTGCCGAACCCGTGGAGAACTTGCGAAAAACTCGGCTACGCGTGTTTCTTGTCTAGAATATTAGAGGCTGCCGGCGGTCTTTCAAATATGATGATGATCCCGATGATGCAGCACTCCGCGAAAGTGACGCGGGCTTTCGCGTTGAGACTTCCCGTTACGCCTGCGACTGCTAGCCGGCGCGCCGTTTTGCGCCGAGGGGCCTCTGTGTGTCCGCGCCGCGCGCCCCTCCTCATCTGTAGTTGCCCGCGCCAAGTCTTGTAGGCAGGCTGCCGGGGCCGTCCGCTTGCGCCTTTGGTTTCCTTGGCATTTCGTTGGCCACATGCGCGCGATCTGCGCACTTGCTTCGCAAAGAAGTTGCTGCAGCACCATCGTGTAACGTACGTTACACGATGGCGCTCTGCTTGTTTGCCTTATCGCTTGCCGGCCTAACCAGGGGAGAGAGCCCTGCTTTTGGCCTGTCCATGGCACCATCGTGAGTAAAGTTAGCCACGACGGAAATGCGTTTGGTTGTTTTCGCAGCTTCGGGCGCACTGTGCTACGCCTGGGAGTTAAGGCCGGGCGGGGTGGCTAACGGCTCCACAGGCGTGCCAGAGGCCCACCAGAGCAAGGCAGCTTCCAGCTGCGTGGCGCGGTTTGGGCGGTTGTAGATGAGGCGCCGCGGTTGCAGCCTGGCGCCCTATTACCCAAGAAAACCGGCCACGGCTCTCATGCGCCAGAACTTGCGCCCGAACAAACTTGATCCAGAACTTGTTCCAGAACTTGTTCCAGAACTTGTCTCAGAACTTGGCTCAGAACTTGTCTCAGAACTTGCCAGAGTGGAGCAGGCAATCTTCGCTTTGACGAACAATGCTGACGACAAAAAGTATTCGCCTCTTGGACAATGGTTTTTGTTGACATTTCCAGCGCCCGTGCTCTCTGCTCGCTCGAACAAAAGATTGACCGACGTTCTAGTACCTCATTGCTGCTAGCCGTGGCTGTCAATTCATCTTGCCAATTCCGTTCCAGCATTCATTTGAAGAGAGCCCACTATCTGCAAAAACAAAATCAAACAGCTACCGTATGCGCATACGGCAAGTCATCGGCGTGTTGAAGCAGGAGAGGTTCGGGGTGCTGCGTGAAGGTACCGAAAGCTTTTTTTTTACGCACTGTGTAGTGGGTTTGGGTGGCGTCGCATGGATCAACAATGGGATGGCAGCGTGCACCAAACTGACTGTATAAGTTCAAATAGTGATAACCATAACTAGTGCGTTGGAAAAACTACAAAAACTATAGGTATCGTTCGCGATGTGGTCGATCTTCGTGACCTGGTAACCACCAAAGTCACAGCAGCAGCGGTCAAGCCCGCATACCTGAACGAGATCAAAGAGCGGCTTAAGGACAAAGAGGTACTTACGGACAGAGAATCCATTTCTTTGACGGGTCCGTAGTCGCATCCGACTTCGAAGTGAATACTTATTTTGTCCGAACGCAAATCTAATTCTTCAACAGGTCATTTTCCAAACCAAAAACGTAAAAACAGTCGTCGCAGCAGGGCGGATCGCCATCGACGACGGGGAACCATTCGAAAGCTTCATCGCCGGAAGGAGATGGGACAACGTCGGATGCCGTGGAAGCAAGCAAGGCAGCATCGGCGTCTTCTACGGCACCAAAAGCGCAGATGCCGCAACCACCGGCTGCAGCACGCGTGGCGGAGGTAGCACAACAACCCGCAGCGCGCGCCCCACCAGCAGCACCTTCCACCGCCACAGCACCACCCGCGGGAGCGGGACCTCCCGCGCCAGCCGCTACAAGCAGTCCGTTTGGTGCCATGGGGCCGCCTCCGCCAGTTGCAGCATCGGCGCCAGCACCGGAACGCGAGAGTACCGCCACCTCGGGGGGCACATCTACTCCCCCGGTTCCAGCGCCAAGTGCGTTTGGTGGACCACCACCGTCCGCGGACGGCAGTAAAAGTTCGGTTACAACCCCAGCGGCACCGCCCGCGCCGCCCGTGCCGCAGCAACAGATGATGAACCCCCCTCCCACTCCGGTGTTGCAGACAAGCAAGAAGAGCCAGCAGCAGGTCCCTCCACCGCTCGCGACCTCCCAATCCTCCCTCATGCCCGTCGCTCCGCCACCCGCCACAGCGGGAGCAGCAGGTAGTCCCTCGCCGGCAAGTGCGACGTCGCAATTTCCCGCGTCAGGAAATCCTTCTCCCGCCTCCGCGGCGCCCCCGTCGGTATTAACAGAGCATCCGTCCTATCAAGTGTAAAAATGTCTGGGTCTGGAAGAATGCAAGATTTGTGATGCAGGTTTTCCATGACCCATGAGGTCTGGAATGCGAAACCCAGCATGACAGATTCTTTGCGGTCTCTATCATGCCTTTCCCGCATGGGAAACTCCCTCTCAACTTAGTCAAAAGCGATAGGAAGGAAAGGAAAGTAGTGAATCGCGCAAATTAGATAGAGAGGATCAAGAATGGCGTTTCTAGTGCCACGCTTCAAGCCACCGCCGAAGAAGGAGAAAAAAGAAGAGGTGCGAAAATTAGACAGGCTGAGCACGCTCCTGGAGGAAATGGAAAGGGATACAGAGAAGCTGCGAGAAAAGATAGAGAAGGAAAAAAAAGACCCAAATGAAAGAGCAACGGTAGCCGAGCTAATAGAAAAAAGGGAAAACGACACAAAATTGACAGGGAAGGCGAGGCCAACCATGACGATCGATGAGATAAATAAAAGGAGGGGAAGCATGAAAATGCGTATACTAAAGAACCTGATAGAAGTGCGGAGGAAGAGAAAGACACCCATGACAAAGTGGCTGCGTAGGACGCCGGAGAAAGACGCATCAGGAAAGGCGCTAACAATGAAACAGAGACAGCATATAGCGAGGGCAATGAGATTGAAAGCGGGGGCGGAAAAAATGAAAAAGCGATTTGCCGCAGCGATAGGAAGTGAGGAGACAAACACGGAGCTGGAGGACGAAAGAGACAAGAAAAGGGCGCTAGGAATAGTCCGTCTAAGGAGGATGAGCAGAATACAGTGGAAGATACATATCGGCGATTACATGAGAAGGTGGAGGGCGCAGAATAAGAAAAAGAAGAAGGCAAAGGCTCTGCTGAGTAAGGATAGAAAAGAAATAATCAATACAAACTCGAAGAATGCACGGAAGAAACTAGCGCACGCGCTCGAGTCGGAGGAAGGATACAGGGAGTGGCAGAAGCGGGCTCGAGCGCTAATAGAGACGAAATCGTATAAAGGGAACGAAGCCCTAGTTAGCTTGTCGCGGGTCGAAAGATTAGAACACGAAAAGAAGAGAAAGCAGCGGGCTGCACAAGGACAAGCAAAGAGGATGAAAGAAGCTCGGAAGAGGGAAAATAACACACAGAGAGCAGACCGGCTGCGGAAAATTCGGGAAAGGAGAGAAGAAGCGGACAAAAGGGCGACGATGAGGAGCGCGGGTGGTGGCTGAGGGAAGCGTGCAAGTCAACAAGAAAAATTGGGTCGATGAAAAGATAAGATCTAACTAAGGGAGAGAATAGAGATCAAAAGGAAAACAGTTTAGCAACAACAAAAGAGATCAGTAAACCGCAGGGCACCGACTAAAAAGATGGTAGAGAGGTGCAGTGTGTTCAAAAAATATAAGATGACCAAAAAACAAAAAGCAGCGATGAAGTATATTGGTGAAGCAGAGAGAAGGCGTCAGCTTAGAGCTGTAGACTGAGAAGAAGTAGTAGACTTTTTGAAATGGCGATGAATAAACAGGAAAGTAGCGACCTCGTGCATTTTATGTCAAGTTTTTAGTATTATTTTGTTCCCTTTATTCGAAGAGGGTAGAATAGTAAACAGCTAGCGTAGCAATAGTAGGAGTAGACGGCTCTGATAGTCAAAAACAGTTAAAAATAATACAAAATAGTGAAGACAAGATGGACGGGAACGAAAGAAATGAGGATAGAAAAGTGCAGGAAAGCCTGCTACCGCGTGAAGCACCGGAAAGACGAGACGATAGCAAGGAAAGGACGGGCGCAGAAGAAAGGGAAGGCGAAATGGGAGAAGAAAAAGAAGATTGCAACGACAACGAGGAGGAGCCGGGCGGATTATGGAAAGGAGAAACGCAAGAAGAAACGGGGGAAGAAGAGAAAAAAGAAAGAGATGATGGGCAGGATGTTCTAAGAAGAGAGCGACATATGTTCTGGAACATAAACGGGGTTAAGCGCCTGAATGCGATTAGACTAGTGAAAGCTTACAGAGATATAGTGCCAAAAATTACAGGGGCGAGCTGCGCCGAGCTGAAGACCGCCGCCCTGACACAAGATCAGGCAGCCTTCAAACATGTAGAAGAGGAGATGAAAAGATTAGGAATGGAGGGGAGGCCAGGGATATACTTCGCAGCCGCCACAGACATGAAAGGCGTGGCGTCAGAAATGAACTCGGGAGCCGTAGGGATAGTATACACAGACGAAATGAAGAAGCTACCAAAAAAGACAATGAGAAAGGAGATTTTCCGAAGGGAGAAGGGGGGCGCATTCTTCCAGAGAGATGTGACAGACAAGGAGGATATACTATTATGGATGATCGCAGCGGAGGACGAAAGAGGAATGCTAGTGGTCGCGTTCTATCGGAGACCGGCAAAGGACACACCGAAAGACTGCGAAGAGGTAGCGTATATAAGGAAACAGATGCAGGAAATGACTTCAGCGCTCGAAAAAATGATAGAAGAGGCAGGAATAGCAATACTGGCGGGAGATCTAAACTGTCAGTATCAAATTGATGAAGGAGGAAAGGTGAAATTTGAAAGGGAACGCACAGGAGTGCAAAAAGTCTACTTCAGCGAAATAATAGAACCGATACAGAAGATTTTCAACAAACACGCTGAAACGTTAACAACAGGAGGCCCAACATGCTTCCGAAACCCGGAAAATCCGACAACGATTGATATAGTAGCGATAGCCGAAAAAAGGGCAAAAGTTGTGGCGAAGACCTGCGACAGAATTCAAATACCGCGGACAGTAAAAGAGGAAAACGGAGAAGACAAGGAGGCAGAGGGGGAGAATAAAGAAGAGGAGTCGGACCACGTAGCTCTGCTAGCAGACATAGTGTGGATCCCAGAGCCCGAGAAACCCACAGAAGAACAAAAACAGAAGAAAGAAAAAGAGCAAAAGAGGTGGAAATTTAACGCGCGCTATACGCTGATGGTGCCGACAGTTGAAAGCTCAAGGCAGCGGATCGAGATCATAAAAGGGAAAGAAAGACTTCAGAAGAAAAACCCTGTCACGCAGTTGGTGAAATGGCCGAGAAAGTCGGTGACGTTAGAAAGACTACAGCAAGTGATGGAAAAAGCAGGGACGGTGCCAGAAGATCGTAGGAGCATGCTAGGGATGCAAAAATGGCTGATGGAGAAACTAGGAGAGGCAGGCGTGCTGAAATTAAAAGAAGTACCGAAACAGGACGCGAATTACGAAAATTGGCAGAAGAAGAAAAAAGAAGAGCGAAAAACGCAGGAGAAAGAAGAGAAGAACGAGGAAACCGCACGACAGCAGGAGCAAAAATCAAAACAGGACGAAATGGAAAAGGCATGGCTGGCGTCATTCGCAGAGAAGCCAAAGAAGGAAGAGAAAAACGAGAAAGCGGTTTATGAGACGGCTAGAAAGGTGAAAGAAGCTGTGTGCGGGGTAGGCAGAGGAATGCCGATGGGGGAGGCGAAAGAAGTAACAGTAGGCGGCACACTAGTGCAAGGGGTGGAAGCAGCGACAGAAAGGATAGCGAGTAGCCACCTCCTCAAGTGTGAATTCGTGAGAAAGCAAAATGACAAAAAGCACACGTATGACGGAAAAGAGCTCGAAAAAGCGCTAAGACAGCTCACGCAAGCATGTAAAGAAGTAAAGAGCATACGATTTACGGGGCCACAATTACAAGCACATGTCTCAAAGTTAAACAGTGAAGCAGCAGGCATGGATGGGCTCCGACAAGGAATATACCGCGCCCTCACACCAGAACAATACCAAGTGCTAGCAGAGGTCTTTAATAGGTTTTTAGAAGAAGTGGAGGAGTATGAGATGAAAAGAAATGAGGGAAGGGGGCCGAAGCTCCTGGAGGAGCACCTCAATGCGGCGCAGGTGGAACTGTTGAAAAAACAAACAGCAGCAACAACGGCAATAGAAAAGATCCGGACCGTGATACAGGGGACAGCGATAATGAGGGTGTTGCTGAGCGTAGTGGTATATGAAATGGTGCGGGTAGCCGACAAAAATGACGCATTCACCCGATGCGGTTCAGCATCAAAACCAGGAGCAAGCTGCCAAGCCACAGCGCTGCAGGTCTTGGAGACATGTCACGAGGGGGAAGAGAGGGGCGAAGCGGAAACACCGGACGAAAGAGAGGAGGGAGGTAATGGGAAGGGGAAAAGAAGAAAGGAGACGGTAGTCTTTGGGCTAGATGCGTCCAACTATTTCAACAATATAGGGCTACCGAGGGCAGTAGCAGCATACAGAGCTGCAAAACTACACCCGTGTTTCATAAAGTTGATAATAGTAACAGCGTGGACAAAGGATTTATGGATCAGAAACGGGGATTGTTACGGACATGTACTAAGACACCGCGAACTCATTCAGGGCGCAGTAGAAACGATGTTAGCGGGGACCCTGATTTTCCTCCCAGGGGTAGAAATAATCGCGGAATTCCTCGAAGAAATCTTTAATGAAGACGGTAGGGCTGAAGAGGAAAGGCTAAAAATAGCAGAAGCAAAGATGAGAACGAGGATTAAAAGGCTTTACAAAGGGGGCGACATCGATACAACTTTCCCCGATTACAATGTCAGAGAAGAAGTCGACGAGATCTACCTCAAAGAAGCCCAGCCAGTAGTCACGGGATACAGAAAGGGAGAGAAGGTAACGACAGAGCAGGGAAAAAGAAAGGTGAATGAGAAAAGAAAAAGGGTGGAGACTCGATACTACTCAGGAACACTCCCCGGAGACGGGAAAAGAAGATGGACCCTATGCGTGCAATACGTGGACGACGGCACAGTTGTAATAAAGTTCTTTATCGAAGATATACAAATAGTAGCGCGCGCGCTCAGAGCAGCACGCTGGGCATATGAGGAAATATACGCAACCGAAGGACAATTCTTGGCACCACAGAAGTGCGAAGTTGCAACGTCGATAGAAGACCCGCTGAAGGTAAACGTGATCAGACAGGCCTTCCAGCCTTTCGGGATTTTGTTCGAGGAAAAGATATTTCTGAAGATTCTGGGGATCAAAATAGTGCCAAAAGACAAAACGGAGCAAGCCAAGGCCCTGCGGGGGCAGGTAAGACAAAGTATAGGGATAGGACAACACTTGGCGTACCAAGTAATGGCGAAAAGGGGAAGGCTCAACGGCGAAGAACTCACGTGGGTAGTGCAGGTCTTCTTCGTGTCGGCAATGATATACTTCCTGCCAGTGATGCATTTATATTTCGACCTAGGAGACTGGGCGGAATTGATGGGCGAAATGGCGCTGACAATAGCCGAAACATTGGGAATGACAACGGAGGCAGTGGAAGAGCTGATGGCCCGAACAGAAACAACGGCGGAGACATTCTATAGGGTAGTGTTCGGGATGAATTTACTCGGACTAGCTGACCCGTACACGATGGGACTGAAAACGTTGCGGGCAACGGCGCAGGCAAACTACCTAACAGACCCGGCCTTGTTCGCACCATTAGCAACGACGCCAGTGAAGGTAGTAGGCGAAGCAAAGGCGGGCATCCCGAAAACAGAAGAACGAAAAATGCTGAAAAGAAAAGAAGCCGACATAGCACTGCTGCGGGCGCTGAAGGACGGCGCGACAGTCAGGCTATCGCCGGGGAGTGACCTGCGTGCAGTGGGGATCGTGAAGGAGAGAAGCGCGCGGGCCCCCCTAAGGGTAGAGGATCAGTATACACACAGGGGGAACGCGGGATTGGTAGTCAGCAGGAACAGAAAAGGAGGCCTCGGGAAGAAAGGTCAGAGCAATAGGATGCAAAAAATATGGGTGAAGCATGCCGGAAACGAAAGAAGTACAACCGTCACAGTACAGGAGGCAAGTGAAAGGACGGAGACACACCTGAGGACGATAGAGACAAAAGTGGAGCACCTAAAGACTGAAATAAGAACAGAGGAAAGGACTTTCGTGGCATATTGCAACAACGCAATGAGGGCCATAGAAATAGTCACAGAGAAGAGGAAGAAAGAAGGCGGAGCGGTGCAGATTATACTGCTAGACTACAACGAGTTAAGGGAGAAGACCAGAGGGATACTACGCAAAGGGCACGGAATAGGCTTGGAGCTACAGGAGACAATAGAAAAAGCCGAAAGTGAGGACCCGGGCCTAAATATAGTAACGAGAAGGGAAAAAGGAAATGCAAGCAGAGCAGAAACGATAAGAAATATAGACGGAGGGACAAAAGAAGAGATACCGCTCAGGGTGGCCAATGTGTTAAATCACGACAATGAGTATACGGACTGGGTGCGGTTCGACTTTGGGACGAAGCGGATTCCACTGAAACCGGTGTGGGAATGGCCGGAAATGTCAAAAATAGAAAGGCAGGTATACATACATAGGAAAATGAAGGATGAGGAGACAGAAGGGGACAAAAAGAAAGAAAAGGCAGAAGCTGGGGATGGCGAGGAAATGAAGCAAGGCTTAGGAGAGAAAGACAGCGCGAAATCACAAAAGAGGAAAGAAACGAAAAAGAACACCAACACAGAGAGGGTAGGAAAGGGGAGTGGCGCTGCAAGTAGTCAAAGCAGAAATAGCCGGGAAAATGTAGAAAGAAAACAAGAAGAAAAAGGGGAAGAAAGAAGGGAAGGAGAGACACTCTCAGAAACTATACTGCGACTAATCGAGAAAGAGAAGAAGAAAGCAGAGGAAACTGGTGACGAGATGGCGCAGGGGGCATTCAGAATAATCCAGAAAGCGACGAAACTGTTGCAGGAGGTAGAGGAGGCGAATAAAGAAGATGATGGTAGAAAGTTAAACGAAAAAGAAAGGGGGCGGGAGGAAGGAGACCAAGAAGAAAGGATCAGCGAAAACGGAGAAGAAGAAGAAAAAAAAAGCTTCTACGAGGCGCAAGAATATGAAGGCACTCGGAGAGGATACGTGTTTAAAAGAGGGGCGATGGGACAGGGATACTATATAGATCAGGGTCCAGAAGAGGCAACGCGAACATTTTTTCGGAATCTGGTGGCGTGGGGGGAAGAGGAGAAAAGGGACGCGATTAATAAGGAGCGGGCGGAGGAAGGTCAAGACGAAAAAGGGGTGGACCAAGAGCAGCAAAAACGGAGAAAAGTGGAGAAACAAGACAAGGAAGCGAGCCAAAACGGTGGTAGCGAGGACGAAAAAAAGAAGCGAACGACGGAGGCCTCCAATTTCCCCACAGTCGAGAAATTAATGGCAGATGACCCCATGACATTGATGCAGAAAGAGAATGTACAAAGGGAGAAGGAGAAGAGGATACAAGAGGAGAAGAGGAGGAGGAGGCAAAGGAAGTACGAAACTCCTATGCAGCGAGAACTAGCCCAAATGTATAGAGCCCTAGAAAAAGAAAATAGTGATGGAAAGTGAATGAAGAAAGAGAAAAAAGTGACTGCAATACGTTTATTTCTTTTGGATGAGATTGATGAATGGATAGCAAAGTAGAGGCAATGTGAGGCCTTATACATGAATGAAATAAAGGAGCAAAGAAGACACAGACCGGGGCTCAAAGCGAAAAAGAAAATGCGGGGTGTTCTGGCGGGTGCAGAGGGAAGAGCGTAGACAAAAAATGTAACAGAAAAGAGCGAAAAAAAATGAGGCGACTGCGTATGGTTCTTCTTTCGACACGTTCCACGCCAGCCCGGAGGGGTGCGGCGATGCTAATCATTTCGTTCCCGCCAGCCGTAAAGGCACGGCGCTGCCTATCCTCCCCTCGTACCGCCGAACCGCATGCGCTGACGCATTAGGAAACGAAAAGAAAAAGAAAGAGAAGAAAGAAAAACTATATAAAAGAAGTGGTGCCAGGGTTGCTATTTTAAAAGACTGCGCTAAGGCAGCACCCCCCTTCCCCAAGGGGTCCCCCCGGGGCGGGCGCGATGGCGGCTCTGCGAATGCGGAGCTCCGCGGGCCGTTTCTATGGAAACGCATATAAAAGGGTGCGGGAAGAAGATCGGCAAAACGTGTCTGAAAGGGACACGCCGTTGGGTTGCCCGCCATCGTGATAGGATCACCGTGTCTGATCATTAGACCCCCAGTATACTGTTTAGCGCGCAACCGGCCACGCACGTAGTCCTTCGAGCAAGTTTGTAAGACTAACCCATCAAGGCAAAACTGGAACTCCACCTTGCTCGCGGGCTTGGATGGTAAGGCAGGTCAGCCACACATAGCGCCCACTGGTTGTAGTCATGCGTAAGCAATCGATAGCGGTTTGGCAGGTGCAGCCGGGTGGTAGTTAGGAAGTGGACCGTGTCTCCACCTAGGGGTATTGGCAGAGGCTAAATCTGTTCTAACGCCCAGGTATTGGCAGAGGCTAAATCTGTTCTAACGCCGACCCGCCAGGAGTTAAATGGTACTACTACTACTAACTTAGTCAAAAGCGCCACCTAGGGGTATCGGCAGAGGCTAAATCTGTTCTAACGCCCAGGTATTGGCAGAGGCTAAATCTGTTCTAACGCCAACCCGCCAGGAGTTCTGTTCTAATGGTATGTAGTGAGGTCACCGAACGGTTCTAACCGGGGAGTTTTTTTGCCAGCCAGACAGCAAAACGGCCGCCAGTTTTCAAGCGGGCGGAAGCGTTTTTGGACATAAAAAGTTTTCACTTATCAAGCGGCCGGGGCTTTGATAGCAAACAAGCCCGGTCGAAAACTATCGATTCGCACTTGATAAAACGACGCAGGGGAGCCGGCAAAAGGGGCGCCCTTTTGAGGCGCCCACCGCCTTGGTTTCTGGCGATTTGGGGCGCCCAAAAAGGGGCGCGCAAAAAACGCGCCCAAAATCAGAACAGCGAAACAGCATGGCACGGCCGCGATTTCGGAGCATTTTGGGCGGCCGCGAAAGCGGCCGCCTTTTCGCCGGCTTTAGAGCCTGGGAAGCATCGCAAAAAGCGCCGGCGTGAAAAATAAAAACGCGAAAAAGAAAAAGCGCCCCAGACGCGCAAAGCCAATCCGCATGCTACGGGCCCGATTTTTCTTCGCTTTTTGGGCGCCCCCCGTGGCACCCGGATCGGCCCCATAGCATGGGGGCTGGCCTTCGGAAAGGAATTTCGGGAATTTGCCAAAATTTGCGATGTTTATGAAGCGGCCGCCATACCGTGCGGCCTAACGTTACTCGCGGCGGTATGGTGAGCCCATAAAAAGCAAAGCCACGGCCAAGGCGATGGCCGGCAAGAAAACGCCCACGACCTCACTACCTCCGCCCCGGCGGCTATATTTGGTACTACTACTACTAACTTAGTCAAAAGCGGACAGCTTCTGGCACTCACGCAACACAGATTTTTGCATTATTTAGATTTAGCATGACAACTTCAAATCTTCCAGACCCAGACATTTTTGCATTTGATACGTCCGCAAGTAGCGTCATCACGGCAGAATCGTCGCGCGTGAAACCGTTGACGCCATCAAAGCAGCAAACGGGCGGGGACCCTTTTGGTGATGTGGATCCCTTCGGAACTCCGGGGCAAAATCCGTTTGGAACGCCCGGACGGCCCCCACCGGAGGTGCTGGCGGCATCGAAACAGCAGGCCGCTGGTGCGCGCGTGCCACCCGCGCCGGCACCAGCAACTTCCAGCAGTGCATCTGTGGTACCAGCAGGACCGCAGCGGGCGCAACCAGCCGCCGCTAGTACCGGTCGTGAGCCGCCCCCACAACCTACGGGTACAGCGAACCCTTTTGGAGGACCAGCACCTGCGTCGCGAGTTGCAGCCCCCGCCGTGGTGCAACAACAACAGCAGGCTTCTCCCGCAGTACAGCCGGTGAGGGCAAACACAACGCCCACGATAACAGAAGCAGCGCAGCCTCCCGTCGTGGCAAGTGCGAAGCCGAAGGTTCCGTCGCCAAGGGGAGTGTCGGTGCCTCCCGTCACCTCACCAAATTGGTTCGAGAACGAGCAGAAAATGGATAGCATCGAGGCAAAGCTGCAGAAACTGCGGGAGCAACGTAGTTTGGTTTTTTTCGAATGAGGATGCTTGAAAAATTCGTCGATTTTAGTTTTACGTTGATGAAGAAACTACTTATATCACTCCGGGGAAGAAGTGACGCTCCATTGATGATCCCGATTATCTGGTAACCAAATGCGTGCGCGCGCGCGCGCAGAGCGCGCGCCGGCCCACGAAGCCGGCGCGCGCGCTCTGCGCGCTTGCGATATTGCTTAGCAAACGCAGCGCGAAGGCAGTTGCCGTTACCATATAGGGCAACCGCCGGGAGGCGTGAAGGTCAGGGAAATGGCCAGAAATGAAGCGGGAGAAGGGAAAAAAAGCGGACCAGATGGGAAAATGGCCAGGAGGTCAAAAATGTCGCAAAAACGGCAGAAACCAAGCGGGGGAAGGTGGAAAAAGAGCATTTTTGCTGTTTGGCCCACTTGATATCTGAAAAAGAGACGGACTGTTTTTTGCTCCGCCCGCTGGGCAGCTGCGTTGGAGAAGCAGGCCCGCGACCTGTTCGGAAGCCTTGGGCCGCTTCGTAACTGGAAAAAGTTGGAAAAAAATGACAAAAAATTGCTTCATAGCGTGGGCGGAAGCAATCGTCGGATTTTGTGCAGATCACCCGGGCCACTTAGAAAAAGGAAAAAGATGAGAAATTGCGCAAAAGCGCAATCCTTCCGCAGGCTTCAAAACTGCCAGCCAGATGCGGGCGGTAAAAATGTGCAGGTCGCTGGGGCCACTTAGAAACCAGAAAAAAGCGCGAAAATTAAAAGAAATCGAGAACCCTCGGCAGGCTTAGAAACTGGCCACCAAGGGCGGTCCGGCGGGCGCGCGCTTACGCCGTACCATCGCGATTGGGGAAAAAAAACCGCACTAGAAGCGGGCGGGGGTATGTCACAAAATCCCCATTTGCCCTGGGTTGTGAGCAGAAATTCGGCATCTTCCCCGGGTCTGAAATGGCCGATTTTGGTGGCCCGGAAGGGTTCGCGGGTTTTCGGCCTTCCACATACCTCCCGGGCCAGGGGGCCAGTTTGTCATGCAGGGGGCTAGAAAGGATGCCCCGCTGCGAGCTAGCAGACCGGATTTCGCATTCAATGCTTATCGCAGGAACCTGCGATAAGCTTTGAATGCGAATCCGGAAGCCTCCGATGACCCGGGATAGCAGTGGGATTCTAATTAAAAAGAAATGGTGGTGGCAGCCGCGCGGCGCAAGCGCGGCCCGCAGGGCCGCGCTTTCGCCGCGCGGCTGGTTAGGCTTTCGCGCTGGTTAGATTTTCGCGCACGCATTTGGTTACCAATATCGCCCTCCGGGCGCGACATTCATATGATTTCTATACTAACTTTTCACGCATTTAATCGATGAATCATTAGATCTATCTTGCAAAAAACCTTTTCCACCATCTGTTGCTGCAAACGACATTCGTTTTTCTTTCAATGTGGAGACGTTGGAAATCAAAAGCGTCCTATCGTCTACCTTTTGCAGCCTTCACGCAAAGTTGCATTTTTTTGCAAAAACCAAACACAAAAACGTGGTTTTCGTTTTCAGTTTACTTTTCGTTTGCCTTTTCTCATGAACAAAAAAAAACAAACCAGGTATCGACATGGAGCACCAATTTGCACGCACACGAGAGACGGTCACGCAGGAGCGAACCCGCCGAAAGTCGGAGGTTCGCACCCCCGACAGCAAGCAGCAGGCTGCGTTCGAGAAGGATCGCGTGCTGCTAGAATCCGAGCGCGCGAAGTTGGACAAGGACCGATCGGCTTTCGAAGACCGGGTGCGGCAGTGGGAGGCGGACGTGCAAAGACAAAAATCCCAACTGGATTCCGACAAGGCGCTTTTGGAACAGCAGAAGCACGCTTTCAACCTGTCGAAGCAAGCCGCTTCCAGTCACAATTCCCCCACAGCCTCCAAGGGCTCGGTCATGGGCGTCACCTCGCAGGAGCGAGAAGCATTCCAGGCGGAGCAAGCCGCGTTCCAGGCCGAGCGAGAAAACGAGCTGAAGAAAATCGAAGCGGAGAAAAAGCGATTGGCCGTCGAACGAGAAGTGTTCAAGAAAAAACGTACTTATTTTGGCGATACTTACTATACGTGCGTTTTCTGGTTTCTGATTCCAGTATTTTGGTTCTATAATTGGAGTCGGCAAAAAAAATCCGCCAGGGTTTTTTGAGTCGTTTGTTTTTCGCATCTTGTTCTGTTTTGCTTTCGCTGATTCATTGATTCCTTCCTCTATGCTTTGATACCTGTTCGCTATCGAATGAAATTCAGAAGCAGAACTGTTGGCGTCGGGATCCTCTGGAGCCATTGCCCAGGCCAATCTCGAAGCGGTGGATCCGCAGCTGCGAGCTAAGTACGAACACTTGAAAAAGGAGTACCGCAACCGGGCAAAGGAGCTGGAGGACGTGAAAATGGAGAACACACTGTTCCGCCGGCTGGAGCAGAAACGAAACCAGGAACAGAAATTCACGGAGGAGGAACTGAAATACACCTACGAAAGCAAAATCAAGCAGCTCAACGCCTTGCTGGAGGAGAAGCGTATTACTTACTGCTGAATTTTTTTACTCACACCTGCACCATTGATGCAGACAGACAGAGTGTTTTCTGTTGTTGAAAATCCTAACAGGAAACAACAAATGTTTAGGATTTACTCCTCTGATTGATATCAAAATGAAAACAGAGGGGCACATCAAGGCGTTGGAGGAACGTATTGCGGCCGAGGTGCAACGGAAGATCAAAACCGGCGAAGAGATCAAACATCGAGAGAGTTTACTGATAAAGCAGAAAGAACTCCTGAAGGAACACCACATTCGGGAGAAGGACTTGACGCGAAAACTTCGCTCTGCGTCATTATCCGCGTCCATGCACACGAATCAGAGCTTGGTATAGTACAAGTACTTGTGATGTCTATCTGCTCCAGTTCTGTGCAGCATGTGTGTATTCGAAAGCTTCTAAACTTTCTTTTGCAGTCTTGTTCTTTTTGTTTTTCAAACAGGTAGCAGGAATTCTGTATCTGTTTGCTGTCGAAGATGCTTTTCACCACCGTCTTTTAACCAAAATTCAGATCAATTCCACTACTGGGACGCGCCCCCCGCTCCCCCCAGGGTTGTCGATGCGCGGGTATGCGAACCCATTCCAGAAGTACAAGACGGACGGGTACTCTTCTCGCGACCCGAGCATTGCCGGACGCAACGAGGGTCGGTCGCCCGGGCTGACGTCGCAAGACGGTATTTCCTTGCAGGGCGACAACCCATTTTCCAACCCGCACGCCGAGTTCCCGGTTTCCGACTTCGGGCCCTCCTCAGCGATCCATGCGGCGTTCGCGGCCGGGGGGAGTAGCGCGGCGGGGCCGACCAGCTCTTTGCACATCCCGAGCAGCATGGTCCACACGCAGTCGCAGCAATCGCGCTTGAACACGAGCAGCATGATCCTGGATCCGAAGCGCGCGACCGGTGGCACGACCAATTCCTCGACGGCGGAGAGGGAGGTGGACACGCCGATGTCCACAACGCAAACCGCGCAGGTGGTGGAAAATATGAACAGATTCGACCCCTTCGGCGGCGCCGCGGGGGACAACGTGTTTGTGAATCACGAGGCGCTCTCGAAAGGCAGTGGCAAGGTCGTGGACGACCACCATTTTGCGCCGAGCAGTCGACAGGTATCTGCCCCACCTTCCAACAAGCATTCGAAGGAACAGCCGCAGCCAATGGGTGTCGTTCTGCCCCCACCTGCGGCAGCTGGTGGTGCTCCTGCAGCCTCCGTTGTACAACCGGTGGTCAACAACGCGACAGCCAGCAAAACAAGCAGTTCGCCATTCGACGCTGTGCACCAACCCTCAAAACCGTCCTCCGTGCAGCCTTCCCCCTTCGATTCCATGTTTGAGCCGAGCAGTGCGACGCCTGCCTTGGAACAACAGCATCAACGACCGCCAAGTAAACCAGTGGCTCCAACCACCACTTCTCACCCGTTCGGCGGGCCCGGGCCCAGTGCCGCAAGCGGACCCTTTGGTGGAGTTGCTGCACCTACTTCCTCCAAGCAGAACAGTGTCGGTGGTCTCTTTGAGGAGCAACCTGCTCCTCCAACGGTATCGAAGGAACACGTTGTGCCGCCACTGAACCTCTCGCGAGTCAGCAAGGAAAATAACGCGACGAACGCATCGAAGACATCGTCCGTGCCGCCAGCGGGTAGTACTAGTAACGGAGGTCCCTTCGGCGCCGTTGCGCCACCGCAACCGCGGGGAACGACGAATCCGATGATGGCTGTAGTTGCCCCCCCGGCGGCCACCACGGCTGCTGTCCCCGCACAGAAACCGATGCAGACGCGCGCAGCCATGGACATCAACTCGCTCGCGCAGGCTGCGCCTGCTCCTACCAGTACTTCGAAGGGTCCCTTTGACTCCCAGGATGACGACGGTGATTTTTTCGCGATGATGGGCGCCCCCGGTCCGGCCGTTCCGACGAGGAAAAACAGCAACTTGGCAAACGGCAGCACTCCGCAAGCTGTCGTGCCCCCACAGCCTGCATTGCACAACTTTGCAAAGCCCACAGGTCCGTCGCCATCTTCTCAGGCGTCTCTTTTCGGAACCGGGCAGCAGGTACAGCAGCAGCAACGAACTAGCGCCGCAGCACCGCCGCCACCGACAAATAACGGCATGAAGAAGTCGTCCGATCCGTTTGCTGGCCCGCATGCGAATGGCGGCGACTTCTTCGCTTCCATGGCAAAGCCCACAGCACCCTCAGTGGTCGCGCCTCCCGCACCAGCCGCGCCGTCAAATAAGATGAGCGATCTCTGGGGCGACGGTCCGGACAGTCTGTTCTAGTGCGGGGGAAAAGTAGTCGGAGACAAAGGCAAACGAGGACGAGAACTGCGTAAGCATTGTCACGCCCGCCCGAAAAGGCTAGCTACTGCTCTCGGAAGGAAAAAAATCAACAGTATTTTATCACGCTCAAGAAATTGATGATGAAGCATCGTATATCGTTTGAAATCTGTATATGCTACAAACACGACCTTTCACAGCGACTCGAGTACTCGCTTTTGCCGACGCGCGCACCAGTTTCAAGAAAAAGGGGGCGCGTCGGGTCGCTCTGTATGTAAAAAACTTTGTACAACTACTACTCCGTGGTATTACACTTTACACCCTTCGCCCCCAACTGCGTGCGACCACGTTGAGCCGATTTGTCACTTCATCAGGAACGATTTGTCCCACGCTACTGCTTTGCTGCTGATGCAACGTCCGGCAATTTTTTGCGTTGGACAGCACTCAACTAGCTTGGCGATTGGGTAGCGCAATCTTTTTCTTGATTGGCGATCGACCTCAACACGCATCATGTAGAAACAATCATTCATGTTTGTACTTACACACCGACCCTGGCCACTCCGTAGCGATACTTGGGTCCAAACCAAACTCCGTGTTGTCCTCACGCACGATTTTTATTGGCGACGTTGTGAAGCGACGACCTCTACGTCAAATTCACATATCTTGTGCGACACCGATATTGTAGCAATTTTTTGTCCGATGTAGCAGCAAGCTTTGATTTTTCTACCGCGAAAATTTCAACCCCTAGTAGAGACCTTCACCTGTACCGAAACAAAAAGCATCACTCCATCGAGTGATTGCAAACCTTGGCGTCTGTATTCGAAGAAAAACTACGAATTTTTATAGTACGCGCTACTCGGGGTGTGCTGGCGCAGGAGGAGTGCTGGTCTTCACACTCATGGCCCCCGTCGAGAAGGAGTTCCAAAATTAATGTTCAAACTCGTTGGGAAACTCGCTGTCTTGTTCTTTGTTTTTTTTTTTTGGTGCATGTTGACCGACGACGAGTGAAACGGTTTCACGACTCTTGAACGGGCTCCTTCAGTGTAGAAGCGCTACTATTTTTGTTCAATTCGATCGCTCATGATCAAGATGATGAGATGGATCACATGCGTTTTCGGCAGTGGCGGGCCATTTTGTGTTTCGCTATCGTGGACGTAGTCCAGCTTTTTTCTCCGACGTCCACTTTGCAGCAGTTCCCGTTTTTAATTACGGTTGTCGCTGAGCAATACCGGACGAGCGTCGAAGAAGTAGAAAATGAGAACGAGCCAACTACCGCTCCTGAAAAGCTCCCCCGGGAGATCACCTTCCTGTTCACGGACTCTCACGGACGCTTGGCCCTGCAGCATGGATGCATGTGCGATGGCGGCGCCAACATTTACACGATTCCAAACGCCTACCGGCAGTTCGCGCAGTCCTGGCGGGGGATGCAGTGGCACCGTTGGTGGGACGGTACCGAGGACCGGTATTTCTACCCCCACCGAAACGGTGTCGTCTGCGAGCGCGACTCCCTGGCGTACGAAGCACGCGCCCGGCGGAGGCGGCGAAAGCGGGGAACGGCCAGGCGTGGGGACTACGACAGCGGTGGACCACGCGGAAAGAACCACGCCTCGTCGTCGGCGGAGGACGAGAACCGTTCAGCGCGGACCGGGGATATTAATAGTAGTGCCAACACTAGAAGTAGTAGTACCGGGCTAGTGCTGGAGGGGGCTGCTCCAGGAGATCATGACGGCCAAGGTCTTCAGAGCGCGCTGTTAAAAGGAGACCAAAATAAAGGCAAGCGGCGAAAGGAGAAGAACGCCGAACACGACGACTTCTTGCTAGAAGAGGACCTAGACGACCACTATTTGGTGAACTCGGTGATGAATATGACGCACTTCCAGCACCGGTTGCCGAGCAAATATCCCTGGTTAGCAGCACTGCAACCGTGGGTTTGTGTGGTGCGGAAAAAACGAAAGGAGAGTGGTGCTTATCTGGACATCACAGTCGCGTTTTGGATGGCGGTGGGGACGCGACCGTTCCGGCCCTCCTTCCTCCTATCGCTGAAAAAGCTTTTCAACGTGGGCACCCGGGAGCGAGGAGACCCAGACCTGGTGCTTGACAAGCAGAACGGCGCGAGCATGGACGTGTTGTCCTGGTATCGCGAAAACTTCTTTCCGTTCTTGCGTGAGTTACTGGCGATGCTGATAATACCTGTTGTACCAGGACGAGGACAAGATGAGGCCAAGGACATCGTAAGAAAGCCTACGAACAACAACGCGCGTTATAATCTTCTACCGCCAGCAGCTGCTGCTGGTCCTGGTGCTCCCCCTGCCCCTGCCTCCCCGTCTCCTGTCGTTCCCCCTCAGCGCAACTCGGTTGTCCGTGCAGTGTTCAGCTTGGACTCGATCTTTTTGGCGTGGCTGCGCTTTTACCCGCATTTCGTGCGAGTGGCGGAAGAGACGAAGCGCGGCGTCGAAATCGTCCGGCCGCCGCAAAAAGAGCCTCGCGGGGCGGTGGACCCCTTCTACCAACACGTCGTCGATGTGCTGGAGGAAGCATACGAGTTCGAAGCCTGCGGCACGAACAGGACCGGGAAGCCTGTTGAAGTAGACGCGGTCGCGGAGAAAAGTTGGCCGCGAGAACAAGTGAGTGCAATAAATAAGGCGGACCAGCAGCACACGGTGGCCAATTCCAGCGCTATAAGTTCGTCTGCGGTACTAGTACGGCATGATCCCACTAGTGGGCAAAGGCGTGGACGAGAAGTTCAAGTTGTACACGCTGCTCTGTCCCCTTCTTGCGAGAAGAACTCTGCCGTTGTGCGCGCTTCGCAGTACGGGAACATGTTCCGACGGGGTCTTCCCGGAACTCGTCCGACGCGCATCGAAACGGGGGTCCGGGCGGAGGTCTTGTCTTTTCTGGACAGCGACTATAAATTTGAACAAGGACGACAAAGTCAAAGCATGCGCGTCGTGCCGGGAAACAAGCGGAACGACGACGAATTTTCCAGGAATAAAGTTTCCTTTGCCTCTCGCGAACGTTACTTGCGGCTCCATCCTCACCGGCATGGTGCGGGCGTTCTTTCGGCTTTCGCGTTGAACTTCACGAGACTGGTGTTTGATTTTGAAGCCTTTTTCGCCGAGCATTTGGACGACGGGCTATTGTTTAACGCCAATCACTCCGCTGCGAGAAATGCAACATTTTTACCAGAGATTGTGATTATGAACACGCACCGGCACTTGCCCCGGTACGCCTGGTTGCGCAGTGAAAACAGTTCCTGCAAAGGACTTGACTCCGCCGGTCGAGTGTCGGAGCAAGAGCTGCGGCGAACCACGCACTACTGGGGGCACTTCTCTCCGGTGCACGCGACGGTTCTGGGCATGGTGCAGGCCGTGAACGACTGGCGAAGTGGAAGCGATACAACTTCTAACAGTGCTAGAAGCAACGAGAATTATTCAGTAAGCCCAGAGCGATCGCGCCGTCCTTGGGAATGGTTAGATTTCAACGCCAAATTTAACCAGCTCGTGTCTCTGCACCGGCGGAACGAGGCGGATTACAGTGCCGGCACTTCTGCGGAGAACCTCCGACCAACACCCGCGGGGTGGATGCTACCCGTCTCCGCGTGCAACAAAAGTCATCTGTTTGAACTCGACGGGCACCACCTGGGGCCCTGGGCCAGTAGCTATCATTACCAACTCATGAAACAAAGCAGGACGCCGGTGGAATGACATCATTTTGAGCAGAACATTGAGTACTTATTGCGAACGGTAGTTCTTGGATTGCGAGACCTAAAAGTACTTATTTTGACGAGGAACAAAATCAAAATCTTTGGGTTTGGCACACGTAGTACATCTTGGGGCGCGATAACCCATGCCGCTTGTGAGCCGCGTGACGGTGCGGTGGTTCGCAATTTTTTTGGCCGATTTCGATAAATACGAAAACAGAACTGCCACGTTAGTACAAGATTAGAAAGGAGGTCAGAAACATGATAGTACACCTTCCAAGACAGTAGAGTGGATCTAAACTTCGTTTTTTCTTTCTCTGGTACAACAACGAAGCGCAAGAAAAATGCGGCAGCCGGTGCCTCGGGCACACCTTACGACAGGGCGTTCTTTTCTGTTGCAATTGCGGTCTTTTGCTCGTCAGTCGAAGGGAAGTGCCATCCGACAGAAGGCCGATAAGAGCCGGCTAAGCAGCCTGGACCGCGAGCACCAGAAAACTAAAAGACTGGCGGTCGACGCCCTGGAGACGCGGAACGAGTGGAGCACGACCAGGGACCCCGGTGCCACGGACGCCGCGGAGAAATACGCAAAAGCAGTGTCGCGGCGATCGCAATTCGAGCTTCCGGAGGCACCCAGTGGCGTGCGCAAGAGAAGTTTGGCGCAGCTCGGTGGAGGCGAAAACAGAAGTTCCTCCTCGTCGTCATCTTCGAGTGTACTAACCACTGCGCAAAGTGGTCGCGCACCGAGTCAGCGGTCCGTCGGAGACATCACCGACGCGGAGATCCGCGGAATCTTTCCCGCCGACGTGCTCTCGTCTCCGTATCCTGCGGCGAGCCGGCTGGTGAAGCGTCCACATCTCTGGATGGACAGCTGCATGCCAGGGGAAAGCGCTGAAGATGAGCACGGGGACGATTCCGACAGCAGACTAAAAGAGATCGCCGAATGCGAAGCGGAGTTACAGCGGCTTGGAGCTGGTGGTGGTGCAACTACAACAACTGGGAGCGACCACACTGAGACCAACGATGTTGACCTCGCGTACACGGACCTAATCGACGGCGACGACGATGCATTGGTCGACCAAGCATCCTCGACGTCTTCGCGCAGTGCGGCAAAGAGCGATTACAACACGCGAGAACAACAAGAAATCGTGGTTCCCAAGTTGGCCGACGTGGGTAAGTTCGAGCGGTTTTCCCGTGACGACCTACTGGAGCTGCTGCCCGAGGGTTTGGGTGGGGAGCTGTCGCGTGACCTGATTTTGATTCCAAGCCAAACAAAAGATGTCGGTTTTATGCTGCGTAAGCCGACAGTGGAGATCCTGACACAAATGGCCTACCTGCAAAAAGACGCAGAACAGGTCTTCGATAAGAACAGTGGAACAGGCGGACCTCCACAGGATTCGACATTAGACGGAGTGTTCGACGTGCGAAGTAAAAATTACGGAAAGAGGAATTTCTTATCCCCGCCACATCGAAATCGGGCCGCCTTAATTTCTTCCCGCGCAGGGTGGCTGTTGGAAGGGAAGAAGGGTGTCGGGAAGAGCGCCGTTTTGAATCACGTGGTCGCGTGGGCCCGGAGGAACGGGTGGCTGGTCGTTTTCGAACCGTTCGCTGCAAATTATGCGAAGGAAATTTCGGACATTGCCCGGTCCTCCAACTCCGGCATCTACGTGCAGAACTCCCACGCGAGACGGTTTCTGGAGCGGACTTTGTTGAAAAACGCGGAATTCTTCGAGCAGATTCCGGTCGACCTCGCCGTGTACGGCAGGGCCTGTGTGGACGGGGAACCCAGCGGAAAAGTGCACCAGGTCTACGACGAGCTCATCCAAAAAGCGGTGGACAAAGAGCTCGGCGCTAGTACTGCGGGAGAAGATCATGCGAATACCTCCTCCTCGTCCTCAACAGTGGAAAGGAATCGCGAGCGCCTACGGTGCTTCGAGAAGTACCGCAGGCGGGTGGTCCTGCCCTCGCTCAAGGCGCAGCTGCCCGAGCCCGAGAACCTGTACCAAATAGTGCAGTTCGGGCTCGACCACGAAACCTGGGCCACGCAAGCGGTGGCGGAGCTGATGCGGCAGCTGCAGGTGCAGACAAAGTTCCCGGTGCTGGTCTGCGTGGACGAGTGGAACGAGTGCTTTCCCGTCTCCGATTTTGTTTCCATGCGGTACGACGGCACCAGATTCGGCGGCTACATCCCGGCGTACCACTTGTCCATGTGCCGGCGGTTTTGCGATTTCGACGGGCACCGGTTCATATCAAATGCAAAAATGTCTGGGTCTGGAAGATTTTGAAATTTGTCATGCTTGTCTGGCATGACCAAAAAGTTTGTGATGTGTGTCCAAGAAGAGACCCTTTTGCCTGTCATACAAAAACGCAGTCTGTCATGCGAGAAACGCAACACAAAGAAGCGCAGATATTTCTCATGCTTGCCTGTGCATTACAGAGCATTCACTATTCCCAGCGCAGCATTACAAGTTTCCAGACCCAGACATTTTTGCAATGCATAGTTCAAGCGCGGGCTGAAGCTGTACTCGACGTCCTGGTACCGGATGAACCGGCGGGATTACCGCCCGGAGCTCTTGGGTGTGAAGCCGGAAAGCATCAAGCAGGTGCGCGAGTTCTCCCCGTTCGAGTTTGCAAACTACTGTGCGTATTTCCGGTTACAGAACATTACCTACAACTTTCCGCGGGAGAAGCTCGAGCAGTTCTGGATGCTCACCCAAGGAAATGGGTGGCAGGCACGCAGAACGCTCAGTATGCTGTACTAGTTGTAGTAGAGCAGCGAACATGTTGTGCAGCGTCCTCGAAGTAGACTCGAGTTGTTGGGAGCGAGGAATTCTTGCGTATGGTCCTCTCGGACGACTGACACCACTGTCGTGTGAAAGGAACGTGCGCCCTCTGCTTTCGTTCTTCCGCCGTTTGGCTCAACGATCATGGCCGTCTTGCGCGACAATGAGTGTTGGCCATTAGGCGCTCCCGTTCGTCTTTGAACGATTTTCCATTTTGTTTTAGAAAGCAACCACAAGACGGAAGTGTTCATTTGATGAAGATGGTTTCGGCCTTACTTCACCTATAGCGTTCTGGGGATGGAGTTGTATCGTGCTTTGTCGTTGATTTGATCGTTTTTTCTGGCAATGAGAGAGCAAAAGGAACCTTGTCAGAATAATGGTGTGAAGAGGACAAAAAGACCATTGTTGCAAGAACTTCAGGAGAGGTTGAGTCACCTGTAATCAGTTTGGAGGGGTAGACGTCGTGGTGTGCACCTGGGCAGGTCTACTGGAAGTTGAGATATTTGCGCATGCTGCCTGGTGACAAGATCAGGAAAATTTTCTGAAGTACTTAGAGCTTTCGTCATGTTGAAGTCTAGCTAAGCACGTGGTATTGTTTCCCCTAGTATAGTAAGTAGCCTTGAACAAGATGGCGTCTTCCGGAACAACCAGCCAGAGTGAAGAATCGCGGTTGTTGAAGGCCGCGGGGGCGGCAGTTGAGGCACGTTCGCTTTCCTCAACCGAAAAGCAGGAAGTAGTACAGAAGCCAGCGTCGTCCGATGAGACGTGGCTTGGGCGACATGTCCGAGAGCGGCCAGTATTGACAACAATTCTGTGGATACGCCGAGGAAAAGGCTACAGCTCTTGACTAGACGGCCTTAGAAGTGTGGCTGGATGAACATGAACATGTTGCTTCGCCTGCTTTGCATGAGAGAAGAATAGGGTTACTTATGATACTGCTCCGAATGATAATGATGTATAATTAAATCTTGTTCATGGTCTCATCAGCTGAAGAAAGTAGCCCACAGTCAGGAAGAAATTTCTTTTTGCTGAGGATGGTAGATGCCGTTGATGCTCGCGGCAAGTGCCGGATTGATAGCATTCAACAAGACGCTGGTGAACGGTCCCTTTCCGTTTGCTATGCAAGAAAAAAACTGTGTAACAGGTGTAACTCTGTAATGCAGAGCATGCAACAGTAGAGTTAAGTACGCCTGTCATGCGCATGCCAGACGACCATGAAGTCCTCTTTTCGTGTGTGTTTTCCCTTACACGCCACGAACTACATTGGCAGGCTTTCTGTGTCATGTAGAGCAAATTTTTGATGCTGTCAGGCAAAGTCACACGAACACAGTTTTTTTCTTGGATATTTACCACCGCCCTGACGTGCTGGCACATGTTCTGCTGCACTCTGTTCGCCTGGACCATGTTTGCGTTGCAGCCGGATTGCTTTCCCACGATGAAGACGCTGCGGCAGCAAGCGGATGCGCACCAGACACGGCAGAGTCTGCTTTTCGTGGTGCCCATCGCGGTGTGTTTTAGCTCGTCCGTGGTGTTCTCCAATGTTGCGTACAAGTACGCTTCCATCGCTTTTCTGCAGATGATGAAGGAGCTGAATGTGGGGATCATCTACTGTTTCTCCCTTCTCGCCGGGATTGAAACGGTGCAGTGGCGTCTCATCCTCGTGCTCACCGGGCTTGTCGGCGCCAGTTACTTTTCCATCACGGGGGAGGCCGATTTCGTGCTCCTGGGCTTCCTCGTGCAGGGGGCGTGCCAGCTGCTCGAGTGCACGCGCGTGGTCGCCACCAGCAAGGTACTCTCGACGCTCAGCCTGGGGTTCACGCGCATCGACGCCATGTCCTTCATGCTGGTCATGTCCCCCGTGTCGGTCCTCTACCTGTCCGTCGTGCTCTGGATCCGCTGGGACCCCTTGACGCAGGTATGAGATGAGTGCACGACTCCCCCTCGTCCCCGTGCTTAGTACTCATGCAACATGAAGACCCCTAAGCCTAATCGGCTCTTTGCCTCTTGGCATTACTTGCATGACGCGTTGTTCATTCTGGCGGCCCAAACAGAAACAGCACGACAATCCTATGCAATTTTTACACGCAAAGCCTCCATTCTTGGCGACGCTACTTGTATCGCTGTTCACCACGCAGGGGCCCTACAAAGGATGGGGAGCAGGGGAGTTCTTGTGCACTCTCATAACAGGAGCGGTTCGCGGAGAACTTTTCCCTGCTGGCGGGAAACGGGCTGGTCGCCGTGTATTGCAAGAAAAAAGTGCTACAGTTACACATTGTGTTGCAAGACCGGCAACACAGAGGACCTTTCTCATGCAGGAAATGCTTGGGAGCCTCGTTTCCTTCCTGTTTTCCCTTATGACCTTCGCATTACAAGTTTTCTCTGCCACACAGAGAAAATTTGTGATGCAGAAACTCCAACAAATGTGTAACTGTAACACTTTTTTGTCGTGATACCGTGCTGCTGAACATGATTATTGTGCTGACGATGACCGCCTTCTCGCCATTAACCATGATCGTGGCTGGAGTCGTCAAAGACGTCGTCATCGTCTCCGCGGGCGTACTGCTCTTCCACGAAGTCATTTCCGCACAGCAGTGCTGTGGCTTCACCCTGCAAGTCTGCTGTGTAGCCTGCTACTCCTATCTGCGCGCGTCGTCGTCGTCGTCGTCCGCACCTGGTGCCAAGGCCGAGCCGCCGAAAGAAGTAGTACGTGGAGAGGATCTTCACGCGGCGGACGAAGAGACCAAAATGCTCCTCCGTTCTGGGGAGCACCCGGTCGTGTCGACGGATGATGACGGCAGCGGAAGTGCGTCAAGCTCTTCTGGCTTGACTGGCTCTGTCGCGGGCGGGGACCTAGTGGATCATCGGCACCATCAAATTCGCTCCAACAAAAAAGCGCCGCTGGTGCGCGTCGACAAGGATTATGGTACGACGAGCAGTACTAGCCATGGCATTTCCGCCGCGGAGCAAGTTTAGACTGATGGATCTACTTGCAGTGGTCCTCGTGCAGTTGCCGGAATGGGCAAGGCATCATACCTAGGACTATAATTTCCACACGGCATCCGTATCTACAAGTAGACGGCTCTTTTTAGTGTGTGTCTGTTTTTTTGAGGATAGAGCCTTCTTTTTAATGCAATCTGATCAACATCAAATGTTTCAACGTACAAGTCAGTGGTGAGATAGCAAAAGCCCAACGTTCTTTCAGCTTCACAATGAACACTGAAAAACAAAAAAAGTGGATGCCAGTCAAGAAAACCAAGAAAGCAGCTTGATTATGGCTATGCGGGTCCTCAACGGAAGTTGGTGAATTAATGGATCTCTAAGAAGCTACAGATGAAAAATAGAAGTCGTTCTCCTCTTCGAAGCTGCACATTGGAGAGATTCTCGTTGAAGGCGAAGCGAGCGAAAACTATACCGATGACAAAGACAGCAGCGCGAGCTGCGGAACATCAACCCGTATAATTTTTTGTTTTTCCGAGCCCAGCTCGAAATAATAATCATCATCGCGTCCAAATTTCGGACGAGTGGGTGGACGAGTGTACACAAGGAACAAATTTTCTGTGTCGGTAAAAATAAAACGATCTTTTCTGTAGCTACTCCCGTGCGTCGTGAAGACCGTCGTGCGTTCGTGATGGGGAACAGTTGTGGGGGATGCTTCCAGGGGATCGAGCAGTCCCTCGCGACAGCTAGCGGGGGGTCTACTTCTTCGTACCAGCCAACCGGCAGCTCGTTCCAGCAGCAGCCCCGGAGCGTGTACGCTCTCGAGCCCGCACCCCCCGCTGGTTCAGCCACACCACCAGCAGCAGGCGCACCACAGACAACGCTGCAGCCACAGACGGTAACTTTTGTCCGTAAGAAGTGGAAAGCGGGCTGCTTTCCACTTCTTACGGACAAAAGTCGGGTAGGGCGGAGGCCCCTGGCTAGTGGCCTAGGGGCCCGCGAGGGAGGGCCTAGCTGCGTTCCAACAAGGGGGATGAGAGGTCAAAAGCCTGGCCGCGAGGTCGCCTCCTCCACAAGAAAGCTTGCATGCGAGCGGCCCCACGAAGAAGGCGGCACATGTCGAAAACCACTCGCGCGCCCCCGGGAGGGCCTGGGCGGCCCGGGTCCGGTCGGTCGGGCGGGGGCGGTTCCGCCCGGCCTGACCTTTGTAGGCCCGTGGCGAGGAGCCGCCCCGCCATTCGCTCTTTTTTTAAAGCCCTGCGTTTGCAAGAGGGGGTGGCAGCGTTTTTGTTTTGGGCCCTTTATTTCTCCCCTTCCTATCGAGGGGTGGCCCTGTTGCATGCGCGTCACTGTTGCATGCTGCAGTTTCGGCTAGGGTGGCGCGGGGGTTGTTCTCGGGGGGCAAAGGCGCGCACCCCCGAAAACCCCGAACCGGCCCAGGCGGCTTGCCCCAGGCATTTTCGCGAAGATTCTCGGCGCGTTTTTTTTCGCGCTGCCAAATAAAATCTCGGTCCACCCGCCTGGCCACGTTGAAAAACCCCAAGCGGAGGCCCGCGCGCTGCAGGGAATCTCGAACCACAGGCGCAGCCGCTTCGGGGAATCTCCAGCGAAATGCCGCCGCGCTGCGGCAAATCTCGGGCCGCCCACGTCCTTGGCCTTTGAAGGATCTCAGGCGAAAGGCCGCCGCGCTGCGTAAAGTCCCGAGCCGCCCCAGCGCGCCTGCTGGCAAATCTCGGAGCGGAATCTCCGCGCCGGTATCTGGCAACGGAGAAAAGGCCGCGAGATTCTCCTTCACGCGGTGAAAAATCCCTAAGCGCCCCCGGGTGCGAACGGTATCACGGGGGGGGCTTTGGCAATTTTCGCCACACCACACAACGGTATCATGGTTCAGCCACACCACCAGCAGCAGGCGCACCACAGACAACGCTGCAGCCACAGACGGTACGAGCGTGATTCACCCACCTGATGACGGATTCACCCACCTGTGATTCACCCCTCACCCACCTGTCCCCTCGATTCACCCACCTCCGATCGTGTGGGTGTGTTTCGTTGCGTTTTAATTTATCTAGTATAAACTATCCTACTCGACGACACTAACTATGCCACACAACCGCGACCCGCTGGCTGCATCGCCCAGCGACTGGGCGCCTACAAGGACAAGCAAGCGTCTCGCGGTTAACTCGTAAAAGGAAGGAGGCAGGCTTTTGAAGGAGGTGAGCCTTGAAAAGGAAGGAGGCAGGTTGTTGAAGGCGGTGAGCCTTGAAAAGGAAGGAGGCAGGTTGTTGAAGGAGGTGAGCCCTGAAAAGGAAGGGCGCAGGCTGTTGCGGAAATGAACTCTGGTTAGAAAAGGAAGGAAGCACGCTCCTGAAGGAAATGGACTTTGAATGCGTGGCGCGCCGGGAGTACTCCGACTGCCTAACGCAGATCTTAGAGGCAGGATTGATCGTATCCTGATTGAAAATGTCCCCACACCAGAGTTGTCATGCAAATCTGCATGGCAACAAAGTTTCTCATGCGGAGCCCCAGGAGAAGCGTTTTCATCTAGTCGCGTTTTGCAATTTGTGATGCTAGAATCACCATCATGTGCTAGATCTGTAATGCTGCTCAGCTAGTACTTAAAAACACGACTGCAATACAAGGACAGATTTGTCATGCGAAGTAACCAAAGGCGATTGATTTGTCTAGCAGATTTCCCATTTTGACTCTGGTATAGGGACGTTTTTACACAGGATAGATCGGCGTTTTCAAAAGCAACGTGTCTCGAGCCACCACCACTCGCTGGTTCAGCCACACCAGCAGCAGCAGGCGCACCACAGACAACGCTGCATTAAGGCTTACAGAAATTAGTTCCTACCCTTGTTCCCGAAAGCTTAGGTTTGAAAAAAATGGAAACAAACCGCGAGGGGGGTTTAGCTTGCACACTCTCGCAGTCGCTTGGAATGGCCGAAGGCCATGAAAAATGTGGCTGGGAAGCAGCCAGCGCGCGAGCTTGGGGGAGAACGGGCAGCCGTCTTCGGCGGGGCTGCCGCGCTTCTCCTGCCGGGCTGCCAGGAGTGGGCCTTACGCTCCTGCTCGTTGAAAGCGCGTGGCTTTCAAGTGCCCTGCTATTGGAAATGAGTTACTTGCATTGCCTTGGCATAGTAAGTATTTTGTTTGTTGTGCTAGTATATTGCAAGCAATTCGTGTTCAGCGCCAGGTCGTTAAAAGCAGCGCGCCTTCAATATAAGGGGTCGCCCAGCAGCTGCCACACTCTAGCCTTTCGGAAATGCGTTCCCAAGGTTTGCCGGAAATCCCGGGAGCATATTTCGGCAAGGCCCCCACGTCGGCTTTGTACTCTGGCCGGCAGTAGGTCTGAAGACCTCGCGCAAAATCATCCGACGTCGGGGAGATAAAGAAATGCGCCCCTGGGATTTTCGCCGCGTCGAGACCTGGGATCATAGTTCTGCAAAACCCCCTCGTAAGATGATTCTGCGCGGGTTTTTCTGTGTTTCAAGATCAGAACACAAACTCGAGTAGCACTCTCGTGCTCTGGCCTGCAGAAGTGTGCTCCTAAGATTTCTTGATATCGAACTCAAATCCGAGAATTCCTCAGATGCGAGCTCACATCCGAGAACTCCTCACATGTGAGCGCACATCCAAGAGTTAGAAGGTCAGAAGAACTGCGCAGCATAATCTTACGCGACAGGCTTACAGCAGTGCGCTCTTTGGATTTGTGTGTTGCGCCTCCAATTGCCTCACTTGGAGTCGCGGTTCAAACTTTCACACGCAGAGCGCGGCGATTCGCAAGTTTAGCCGAACCGGCGTAGCGATTTTGTTTCTGGTTTTCTGACATTGTGTGCCCATCACAGGACTCCTGTGATAGGCACGCAACACTTTGGGGGGTGCCAGAAATAAAGCTGCCGCGCCACATCGGCTGTACTTGCGAACTTTGTTGCCTTGCGCGTGACAGTTCGATCCGCGTGTCCAAGCGAGGTGTATGTAGACGCAACACGCAAACCCTGGGAGCGAATTTCTGTGAGTCACCTGAATAAAATTGGTGCTCAGAGCGGTTTTGCTGGCCAGGGCACAAATCTTACGCAGGCAGCCTACAGAAATTAGGTCTCAGGACCCCACATCCGAGAACTTCTCGGATGGGGCTTCACATCCGAGGAGTTCCCGGACGTAGACTCACATCTAAGAACTCCTCGTGTGTCAGCTGCAGCCAGGCCACACCACCACCAGCAGGCGCACCACAGACAACGCTGCAGCCACAGACCGTCGAAGTCGTTATTGATCGCGTCCTTGTTTGCTCGATTGGAGTCGAACTTCCGGACTTTCGTATGCGGTATGCCGTGATTTATTACATTTTGAATTCATTATTTATGAATTTCTTTTTTTTTGTAGAGAAGAGACAAGAGGTAGAGGCATACCTGCAAAAATTAAAGTTGCTGGTGCTGTAGTACGGGTATGTACTGCATTCACTGACAATATCGGGGCGAGAGATTGTATTTAAACAACGTAGACTCACTATCACTACCTAGGTAGTAGAACTACTTATCTTTGTCCTCTTCCTCTACCAAACAGACATGTCGGGGAGTGACGAAAATTATCTGTCGGTGGAAGATCCGCACGTTTCTGAGAACGGCGGACATTTAGTTGCCCAGAATCCACCGAACCATGATCGCGACCGCAACGCGCCGGAAGCAGAAGCTGTCGCAAGAAACAAGAAGGGAGATAAACGTGTGAAGTTTGCCATGTTTTCGTCGCCCCCGCAGCAAGAACATGAGCTAGGGCGGAAGAAGGAAATTTCTTTCGAGAAACAACAACGTAAGATTCTCCTTGATTACGAAAAAGGTAAGTACAACACCCAAGCGACTTTCGGGACCCATGACGGCAAGATCGTCGGGCGGCTGAACCAGTTGCTGGAGAAGCAACGCGGTAAACAATCTGTTGCGCAGACTTCTGCCTGCGGTGGTTCTGCGAGCAGCTCCTCTTCGTCTTTCCAAAATAACCCGCAGCAGGCGCACCACAGACAACGCTGCAGCCTATCAAATGTAAAAATGTCTGGGTCCGGAACAAAACAACTTGTCATGCTAAATCTGAATCATGTAAAAACCTGTGTTGCATGATTACCAAAAGCTGTCCACTTTTGACCTAATCGAGAGGCAGTTTCTCATGCACGATAGGCATGATAAAACTCTCACAGAATCTGTCATGCTATGTCCCTCGTACCAGACCTCGCGGGCCATGGAAAACCTGCATGACAAGTCTGGCATTCTTCCAGACCCCGACATTTTTGCAATTGATACGACCACCACGACGACGATATTCGGACTGGAAACCACAACAACGACAATCGCACCGGATGCGCCGTATCCCAACAAAGGTAGAAGTGGTTTTTGTCTATGCTGCTGGTTCTTGTTTGTTTGCGTATATATTCTGTGCATAGAAGATATCATGGCGCAAGAACTGTTTGCCGCTGCCGGCTATTACTTATGTAGCAAATAATTATTTTCGTAAAGGGAAATCAGAAATCAAAACTGCACAGATATGCTCCTGACAAAGCCGAACTACTTTCCGGACAATTTGAAACACGAGAACATCATGGTCCCGCTGGAGGCGATGGCCAGCAATCAGCCCACCGTGGACTACCTCTTTGGCTACCGGTACCACACCGATGGGGAAGAGGGGTACCTGGCGCAGGCGGGGAACCTGCGGAAAATCATCTACCGAAACGTATGACTTGCTCAAACGTTACAATCTCAAACGTTACAATAGAGTCTGGAATTTGTGTTGCATGATGGGCATGACAGACTCGCACAGCGTTCCACCTTTTGCAATACAAATTTTCCCAGATTGTAGTGGGGTTTGGAGCTCCGGAACTTGTCATGCGCAGCCCTATGAGAGTTGGCTAGATCATGCTCATCATGCAAGACAAATCTCAGATTCTATTGTAACGTTTGAGATTGTAACACCCGAGCGGGTTATAAAACGACCCCCGGTACGGTGTGATGAACGTGATCAACGACCCGCGGAACGTGTATCAAATGTAAAAATTTCTGGGTCTGGAAAATGCAACCTGTCATGCTAAATCTGAAGCATGCAAAAATCTGTGTTGCATGATTACCAACCAGCCACACCACCACCAGCAGGCGCACCACAGACAACGCTGCAGCCACAGACACGTCCTGTCGGGAACAAGATTGGCGCAACAACTACATCTCCGGTGAGCAATGCCGCACTTGCTCCGTCCACACCCGACGAGCAGAGTAAGACCTCGTTCACAGCGACCGGTAGACGAAAAGCATTCCTGATTGGTATCAACTACTACGGGACGCAGGCGGAGCTGGCGGGCTGCGTGAATGACGTGGAGAACATATCTAGCCTGCTGATCCGAAAATTTGGTTGGCGGCAGAGCGAAATCCGCACGCTCGACGACGACCGCGGCCGCAGCTACCCGGCGGTGCACCCCACGCGGCAGCGCATCCTGGAGTCGTTGCAGTGGCTGGTACTGGACGCGCAGCCCGGGGACACGTTGTTTCTTCTGTACTCCGGCCACGGCGCCCAGGAGGTGGATCCCAACGGATACGAGGAGGACGGAATGAACGACACGATTCTGCTATCCAAGAAAGAAAACTGTGTTAGTGTAGATGTCTACTTGGAGTGATAGCATGACAAAGCTTTTCTGCATGACAGAGAAAGCCCTCTGGAGTGCACAGCTAGCACATGAAAATACACGCACATCGAAATAAGAGGACTTCGTGGTTATCTGGCATGAGTAAAAATGTAAAGTGTTCGGCATTTAGTCCATTACAGGCTTGCACTTCTATACACAGTTTTTACTGTCTTGCATATCTGCCGGTGGATTTTGCGGAGAACGGCATGATCTCGGACGATGTTCTCACGGAGCTCTGCGTCCGCCCGCTGCCCGAGGGCTGCAGTTTGACCTGCATCATCGACGCCTGCCATTCGGGAACCGCGCTGGACCTGCCGTGGACGTGGCAGCCGGGCCTGGGGACCTGGCGAGAGGACTGGAACCCGTTTTTCACGAAGGCGGACGTGCAGATGTTCTCGGGGTGCGCGGACGCGGAAACCAGTTCCGACGGGGGCCGCGATCTGTACGGCCGCCGCGGTGGGGCGTTGACAACCGCCTTCTGCGAGATTTTTGCAGCCTCGTCGCAGACCCGCGGGGCGGGCATCGGCTACGATGAGCTGCTGGAGCGGTTGCTGCAGTCCATGCGCGTGAACGGATTCTCGCAGACTCCGCAACTCAGTTCGAGCCAGGCCTTCGACCAGCGACAGCGCGTCTTCGCCCCTTTTGTTGTACAAAATGCGAGTTCTTCTTCGTCGCCGAGGCTGCTGCCGCAGCAGAAAAAGATCTGCAGGAACCTCAACAAGAATCCGGAGTACGGTCTCGTTTTCCGCAGAAAGTTCCCGCCGCAGCCGGCGCCACTCACCGGGTCACCACTGGAGTCGATGCTTATGGACCTCGGTATTGTCCTTTGGTGCCTTTTTTTATTCACGAATGTCGTGCAAGATACGAAGAGTTCCTCAATTTTTTCACGTCTCTAGAACAAAGTAAGTATTTCGTCGAGCAGGAGTTAAAAATGTTGAAAGTTTCAAATTTTTTACCCCGCATTATCAGGTATGTTGGTGTTACAAGATGCGGTGGCGGAGGAAATCGGGGGTGCTGTGGTCGACGGTTTGGGGGATGTTTTCGGCGGCATGGGCGACCTGCTGGGCGGTGCTGGGGACCTGCTGGGCGGTGCTGCGGACGACGTCGCTCAGGACATCGAGGAACTTTTCTAAATCGTGTTTCACAGGAATGAATGCAAGCTGATTTGGTGGGCACTCCACTGTTTACTACGTCCACGTCGTACATTGAGCATGACAGGAAGCGCTAGTTGTGTAGCTGTGCGGTATTCAGTTGATGCTTCCTTGCTCGCTATCGTGTGGTGGAAGCGTGCTGTACTTAATGTCGTTTCTTGCATCGTGTCGTGCTCGTGCGGCATGTTGAAATATCGCTGTACTTCTACAACGTGGCATGATCGTCATCCAAATCTTCTTTGAGAGCAGGCGTCGCGTGTGCAAACCTTCAATTGACAACCTGTACGAATGGATGCACAGCGACATGTAATAAAGAGGTTCTTCTAGATGAAGTAAATGATGTAAAATACTTGAACATGACAAACGGACACACATTCATATGTTTGAACTTCACCGACGAGTTTCGGTATCTAGATCAAATAATATTATGGTAAAGCACAGCTCTCGCTCTCAGGAAGTGTGCCGATGTCCGTTCAGTAATTATACCGTAGGCTGGGCCACGACGCTCTATGATCAGCCATGAGAACCAGGCTGCAGCTGGTGCATGGTTGTAGATATGTACTAGAATTGGAGACTTTTATTTAGTTGAACTTGGTCTTGGACCCTAAGTCGCCGATGTAGGACGGAGGAGAAGCTGCAGTGCCTTCCTAGCCATCGATCATTCTCAGTCCTCAAGTGATGAAACGTAGTGATTTATGACATAGGTGAACACAATCTGCCTTCGATGCACACACACCCCCAGCAGGAGCCCTATAGGTTCCACCTACTTGTGTGTCTACAAGAAGAGCCTTAGTTTCCCCTAGGCCTTCTCCAATTATTGATTCCCATATGTAGCCTCGTACTGTTTATTTGCTTTATTCTGTGCGCATGCACCCACGCAAAACCTGTGCAGACGTCAATAAACTTTTCATCTCGACGATGAATTGTGTATGATTTACCCCGGAAGGAATTAGAAATTTCCCCTAAGCGTACATATCTTTCGAAAATCGTAAAGGAAAATGGACGAGCTTCTTGGCCATAGATACGTGCCTGTGGGCCGTGCGCCACCGCCTGATGAAGGTATGATTTGCGTTGACCAGGTAACGGGTCAAATTGTAATCGTACCGGACAACGTCGTCAAGGTCCTCAAGCAAGCCGAAAAACGGACAGAATTATCCGCTTACAATCGTTCCGCCCTCGCAATGCGCTCTTCGGGAGGAAGTCTGGTGTCTTCATCTGCGCGGCCCTCCGGATCACACAGTGGCAGCCACATCGTGCAAACGGGAGGCGCCACGAAAAATGCCTTGCCGGCGGCCGAGGAAGCGCAAGACACTGCGGCGTCGAAGGTGGCCAAGAAGAAAAGAAATAAGAAAAACAAGAAGGCCTCCCCTGATGATGCAGGAGGAGCAGCGACCCCCGGTTCCAGCCCTAGTGCCGATCCACCGAAAGCCGTTTTGCAACCTTCAAATATATCACCTGAGGAGAGAGGTGCACGATCTTCAACTGGTGAGGCTGCTGATACAACTTCCAAGGGCTGCATGAAGAAAAGCGATTCGTCAAACACACCCGTGCACGACTTTGGCGACTCGTTTTGGCAGAAAGAGGTGGTTGCCATCGAGGAAAACTCCTCCTGGTCCCAGGAGGTCGTAGCCTCGGGGCCCGGGAAGCATATGTGCTACTACCTTGCCAACCTCGGCTACAATTCGGTTGTGGAAACGTATCCCAACCTGAAACCGCAGCTGATCCTGGGTAGGAACATCACAAAATTACGGAAAAAGGACGTTACAGGCTACTTTTGCGAGAAAGCGCCGCTCGGCAAAGAAGTCCAGCTGGCGCTAAAGACCAAAAGCAATAAAACACAGCCGGGAAAAGACGCACAATGGGCCGCTGATCTGAAGTTGGACCTGGGCAAAAACGAGTCCCTGAAACAGTTCGTCTACGACCGGACGGAGAAATTTCCGTACGAGTGCGCGGAAGACTTCCTGAAAGACATTTTTTGCCTGCACGAGCCCGGCTCTACTTCGTCCCCGAAAACAAGTCAACGCGGGGGGGCAACATCCGAGCAATCTGCAGCAGTGGTCACCGCCATAGCAAACGAGGTCTTGTGGTACGATGCTAGCGTGAGGTGCCACTTGCGCGAAGGACTTGTGGTACTTCTGAACGCGAAAAACTGTCGTTCATTTCGCCTCGCTGTGCTGGAGAAAGTGTGTCACGCTGCCGTTCAAGTATTGCAAGAGTTTCTACCATCGGCGGCCAAGAAGCAGGAACAGGTTGACAGCGCCACGGAATCGACATCAACCACCGCGGAACAAGTGGCGAGTGACGAGCACGTCGATATTGAAAATTCAGCAAATAAGGAACTCGTGCAGACTGCGGTGGCTCGGTTTCAGCATTTTTGTCAGTGGCTGCAGCAGGAGCTCGATGATTTTACATTGCAGCTGTTCGACGACGACGGGAAAGCAGCAAAAGCAGTGCGCACCGAGCTGACCGCTGTCGTTAACATGTTTAAACTCTGCTCCTCGAGTAAGGACAGCACATACAGCAATAACTGCGCTGCGGCAGGCGAAAAGAAGGATTGTGCGCAGGGAAAGAACTTTTACTTGCAAACCGAGGACCACCAGCTCGACGTCTTACTCTCCTGTTCGAGGCAGCTGCTGGGTTCCGCAGTTTGGAAAGGAGTCGGATCGCTCAAGCACCTGATTGCGTTTGTAGAGCAACTTCATGAAGTCGGAGATGTGGGGGACAGTGTGTGGAAAGAGCTGACATGCTCGTCCGGCTCACTGTCGACATCGACGAGTCTTTCTTCGACAAAACGGGCGGAAGTCGTTGCGGCACCCTTTGAGGAGGAGGATGATGACTCCGAAGACGAGCAGTCAGTCTCGGAGTACGAAAGCCTCGACGGGGATGCGGACGAAAATGGCCTCTCGTTAGAGCAGGCCAGAGCTCCTGCTGCAGATGAAGACCCGAGGGCGCCGCAGCGGCAGACTTGTTGCATTAGGCTTCGAAAAAAGTGCGTCGATAGCTCGTTTGGTTCCTTGGAAAAATCCTCACACTCTTTCCCCGAGCAGTCGCAAACAGCTATTTTTTCCGACCTTCCCCTGCTGCTCCGGTGTTATCAAGGTGCCGCCTACGTTCGAGGTCTGCGCTCGCCGTTGGCAAAACAGCGTTTTGACGAGCTCCTCGCCTGCTTCGTCGAGGACGAACTAAAAAAGTTGACAGACCTGTCAAAGGTAGCAGCGGTAAGACCGCATGAGATAGACGAAAGTTCGTTTGCCGCGGACTTTTGGCCTCCTGTCTTGGACTTGATGTCGACAAGGAATGGCGAGCTCTATACGCAGTTAGACCCGCAGCCGTTTGTTCTTGAAGATCAGCTTCCCATGGCCTCGGAGATTGCAACAACTGAGACTGCTATAGCACAGAGTACGCCTGCCGAGGTGTCCATCGGTCGCTGTGGCGTCGCCGGTGAAGACAAGAAAGAATTAAACACGGACCGTCTAATCCGCGCCCTGCGTGATCCAATAGAATTCCTCGACCTTTTTCTTTTCGAAGCTGCGCGCGCGGGCAACCCGTGGATTGTCTCCGTGCCGTTCGCAATGGAGAAGCTGCTGACCAGCTTTCTCCAACACGCTTTCGTCCAAGACCTGTTGCGAGATCAGGACGCTGCACTTCGTCTCGGAGCTATGTTGCGCAAAGCTTTGGGTCGACTGCGCGAACGAGAGCCTGGCTGTATGTGTTTCATCAAAGCGGCGCTTCCAGATCGACAGGAAACAAGCTACGAGTTCTTGTCTCGACTGCAAGGCGTCTTTGCCCAAACATTTGACAACTTGGGTAGGAGCAGGTACCTGCATCAGGTCCCGGAAAGTATTTTCGTTTTCCTTCCGCTACTGCTTGATGGCGTCGGAGACGTACACAAGCCCTTGCAGCTACGTGGAGATGTCACCGAGCACCTGACGGGTTGCCTGTGCGATGTGTTAGATTTTTTGGGCCAGCGGGTTTGCACGGACGACGATGAGTTTGGCTTGGATGCCACTAGTCGTACCATGGCGAATAAATTTTTGCTGGCAGAAGGAGCGCGTGACGAACAATGCCGTCGAAATTATCGAGCTGCTGTTGGCAAGCTTGTGCAAGCATCGAGAGTGCATTGCGACACAATTTTCACTGCGTCACTTCCGGTGCGCGAGGTCGCGGAGAAGAGTCGAAAGTACTCTGTCGCAGGACAGCTGGACCGAAATTGCGGAAAGCTCGTCGACGCTCATGCTGCTGTCACCGGCTGCATCCATGCATCTTCGCCCGCCGCGCTGACAGTCGCAGACACAGCTGAAGAATTCGTCGACACGAAAGCGCTGTTAAGCTGCTCATGGGGATTCAAACTTGAAGTGGTTTTGCCCGTGCTGGATGCTCTTGTGCAGACGTGCGCCGACCGGGTGCAAGCGGTCTGCATCTTTCTTCAACGTGAAGAACGACGCCAGCAGCAGCTCTTTTTAGACGCGTTCAAGGAAGCTGAAAAACTGGAGAACAGAATCCGCAACACGATCCTGCAAGACGGAATCGGAGCGCTTTTGAAGGGGCACCTTCTCGGCCGAACTTACGAAGCGTACTGCGCAACCCGGGACAGCCGACCTCTTCCGTGCGATCCCGATGCGGAGCCGATCTTCGCCGTGATGACACTAGGCAAAATGACGGAGCGCAAAGCGGCCGAGGCCACAGGGAAGAATCCGCTTGCCAAGAGCATGGCAGCAGCAGCCGAGGACTCCAATGCAGGGCGGACGTCCCGTGACCTGCGCGTGGCGTTCGAGCGACATTGCAAGCCGAAGCTGATTTTCGACCAGCAGGGGCAGTGTACCGGGTTGACGCCGCTGAAGCTCCTCTGTCTACTCTGCACACACGCAGCCACGGCAACGGCAGAGCAGTTTCTCGATTTTGTTGAGGATACGACTGTCGAAGAACTGGAAGTAGTCGGAGGTGTTGAAGATGAAGATCTAGAGGAGCGCGGGGCATTCAACGCACAGAAATTGGTAGAGGATGTGGCTGCTGCGCAGCAATCCTCGAAGGATGACGAGCCTGCAAAGGAGCAAGCCTTCACAGGAGAAAATCTGCACACCAAGGATGTGGTTGAGGGGCGCGAGCCTGCTGCGCCGACACAGGTGGAATCAAAAGTGGTTAGTGCAGAGCCCTCGTCTTCAGTACAACCACTGGCGCGCGCAGCTTCGGCAACAGAAGTCGATCAGACGGAGAAAGGGATTGCTTCCTCTGTTGAAAATAACTGGATTCAGAGAGGCGTCGGCAAAAAGGATTTCTACTCAGAGGAGGGGTATGCGCTCGGAATCATCAACGACAGCAACCACATCGTCGTCAAAAATAATTTTCGCCATGAGTCTTCGCGACGATATCTTGAAGACAACAATATCAAGTGCTTCGAGTCGGACATGCACATGAAAAACGACTCGCCGCGCCTGATATGGGTCATGTTCACCATGGCGGAGACAAACATCAAAGACACCAGGTTACAGCGGCCAGGTTCCTACGTACAGTTTCAGATAGACATGTCGCGTGCCCCGATCCTGGAACAGAATTCACCGCACGGAAAGGCAACGTATTTTGCGATCAACAGCAGTGTTTGGAGGGCTTCCTGGCAATACCAGAGCTACGAGTGGGTGCTGCAGGAACCTACTGTTCACCATCGCTCACAGACCCGTTTGGACCGGAAACAGAGCGACATGCTGAACGAGGAGCTTTTCGCAGATCACACTGACGTCGCAGCGACCGGGAAAGAGCCGACAAAGCGCGCTTGGGCATGCGTGTTTCACGACATGAAGTTTGCGCGCGAAGACTTCCGGCAGCAACACGACGGCCGCTCTTTGCTGGGACAAATCGCGTACCGCGCAGACGACTCGTTCGTGAAGAAGGTCGGCTTTGTCAAGCCGTTGGGGCCCCGCGAGGGCGCTGAGTTTCCCGAGGTCAAAACCATGCTCGGAAAAAACAAGATGGAGAACTTCGGCAAAAGTGCGCAGTTCATTCACGTCGACCTCAAGGGCCTGGCAAGGCACGCGCGGCTGGAACCGATAAAGGGAGACGTGGTTTCCTTCACTCTGGATGAGGACTCGAAGAAAGTCAGCGAGGTGGTGAGCGGAAGAAAGAAATACCTTCCCGCACGCGATCTGCACGTTGTCCGCTATAAGTCCACAATAAACTCCGGAGCGAGAACCGGCTCCGCGTCATCTCCCATGCGTGGCTTGCGGCATCTTCTGAAGCTACTCGAGCCCGTATATACGAAGTCTTTGACTAGTACTTCGGTAGCTGATTTTGAGAAGGAACTCGGCTGGTACAGCTTGGTATCCGAAGCACTGCAGCAGTTTCAGGATGTGGCGTCGAGTCCGGAGGACGCGACTACAACGAACAGGACCCGCAGACGAGCGAATACTGCGTCCAGAGGGGATGCCAGCACCAGAAATGGCCCAGGAGACGGGGACCTGAGTGACTTCAGCGACGCAAGTAGTGATGCGTTTGACGAAGAAGACGATGCGTTCCTGGGTCCCGGTGACGAAGATGTGTCCATGCGGCAACGCAGTCAGGCCGAACTCGAGGCGTTGCGCAAAAGAACCGCTCTAATCACCTCCGGCGAGAGCGGAGCCGCTTTTTTCCAGCTTTGTGTCGAAGAACTGTTGCAGTTGCTCGACGTTTCTTTTCACTTTCCTCTGACAGCTGATGAAATGGCAGAAGTCGGCGCGGGCAACCAGGATTTGTATTTGCAGGGAGGTGGTGGAGGAACGTTGGGCGCCACCAGTTACGTGACAAGCAGGTCGTCTTCAGTTCTTCCGGCACGATCTTCAGGCGCAACAACTGTATGGGGCGTAGCTCCGTCTGTGGTTGGTGCAACGCTTGCTGAGGAGCGAGCGAGGCTGGTGAATGCAATCCTTGGTCTGATGATGTCTTTTGAACGCGAGTACCGTCAGCGCGTCGGGGTGACGGTTAAGGCCCCCGGTGAGCCACAAAATCCGAACATCGACCCTCGCCAATGTCTCGATGCAACCCGTCACAGTTCGCTTCTCGTGACATTTTTGTCCGCGTTGACGCATTTGGCGGAATCTCGTCAGAGTGCCTCCGCCGCGCAGCTGGATCTCGTCGCTCGTGCCTTAGCTAGGTGCTTCAAGTTGAAAGAGAAGGCAAGTCCAAATAGCAGCCCCGCCGACTCGGCGTTCCAAAAGCCTCGGGGGGACCGAGGGCAGCAAAAGCAGAGTGCGTTGTCGAAGTCCAAGTCGAACAACAAATCCAGCGGATCTGCCCTGCTCCTGAGAAGTTCCTCATCATCTTCACAGCAAAACGCCTCTCATCTTGCCGGTTTGAGTGTCGTTGGTCTTACGGGCGTATCCGAGCTGTTTCAGTTTGTGGTGGCCAACGTGCAGATTTACGACCCGAATCTCATCGAGGGCTTTCGCGCGCTGTTCTCCTCCGGGCCGCTGCGCGCCCTGCAGACGCGCGCAGAGACCGCCTTGTTGTACGACGTGCACGGCTTCCTGGAGCAGGCACAGAAGACCCACCTGAACGCCATGAGGTTTCTCGCGCAGCGGGCGCAGGTCGCGCAGGGAACCCGCGAAGAATTGGAGGAAAAGCACTGGTCAGAGTTGCCGCTAATCCCTACCCTAGACGAACTTCGGGACGACCGACTGGGGAATCTACCGGTAGTGCCCGACGTTCGGGCGGCCGTACGGAAGTTCATGAACGAAAGCAGAGCGGGCGCGGACAGCGCACGAGGAGAAACTACTTCCATAATCGGTCTGCGGGGATACGAGAGCTATGAGCACTACATGAACACGATTCTTCGACAGCTGCGGCAAGATACCTTTTCGAGTCTGCGGATGGGCGTGTCGCGTTACATCCGCAGCCGCACCGTGGATTTCGGGCTCATGCGCATGTACAACCCGCAGTTCGTCGGCTTTCACTTCCGCGACCAGGACACCATCTCGGTCGTGCTGAAGGTGCAGGCGATGAAGGATAGTCGGACCGGGGACTACAACAAGTACTGGGCGGACAACGGCGGTATGATGTACGGCAATTTGATCGTTATCTCCCTAGACGGCGATTTTGAAGACGAGGGTCGGCTGGTGTACGCTCAGGTAAGCTGGTCGGACAAGGAGATCTTGCGCACAGAGGGAATTTTCTTCGCGGAAATTCTACCGCGGGAAATCACGGGTAGCGAACGGAGTCCGATGGAACAGGTGATCGCGCTGATTGCGGCGCTCTCCAGTGGCGACAATGAAGCGGTGCTTGCGGAAAGTCCGGCGTACTACAAGGCTTTTTCTCCTGGCTTGAAGTGTCTGCAGGGAAAAAAACAATTGGAAAATCTGCCGCCGTTCGCCTCCGAGTTCATTTTCGGAACGAAGAGCTATGCCGGACCTCATCTAGTTCCGGGTCGAGAATCTGGACCACGCAGTGGGGTTTTTCCTGCTTGGTCGACCCCAACAGAGCCTGCGCCCTTCTACCTGAATCAATGGCCCGGAGCGACCGTCGAGATCGGACTTTTAGATCAGCAAGCAACGTCGGAAGACGGCTCTGCCGTCGAGTCAACGTCGCGTCGCATGCGGGTCGACGAATGCGTGCCGGTGTTGCTGAGTAAAAAGGGAGAAGAAGGTCGAAATGCGAACGATCGCAGTCTCGACAGTAATGTTGCCACTGCGTTGGATGAATTTCAGCAGCACGCGGTGGGCGTCGTTCTCTCTCGCGCCATCGCGGCCATCCAGGGCGCGCCGGGATGTGGGAAGTCTCATCTAGCGGTGCTCCTGGTGCGCCTCCTGGCGAGTCTGCGTGACAAGAACGGGGCGCCGGTCAGGCTTCGCTTCCTGATCGTTACCTACAAAAACAAGGCATTGAACGAGCTCGCCGAGGCGTTGCTGAAGTACTTTCCGAAAGACCTGGTGCGCGTCGGGTCGGGCGGGACGGGCGAGGACAGTTCGGAGTTGCTCGAATCGCGAAACCTGAACCTGCTCAAATCGGCCTACCAGCAGACGGAAGAAAGTCACGCTTTCAACGAGGAATGGAAGCGGGCGGACAAGCGGCTGGACGTTGTGTCTACGGAGATGGAGGAGTTGGCAACCCGTTTGGTCAAAGCTCGCTTCTGGTCGATTTCGCTCTTCGTGCTGCGGAGTCGGCCGGGCCAGCTGGAACAACTGCTGCGAGGCGCCGGCGAGAAAGGGCATCTGCAGATGAGTGTCAACGAGCTCAGCAAGTGCCTGACAGAGGCCGAACAGTGGGTGACGCGGATGCGACAGATCCGGAACAAGGACCTGACTCTGGCAAATTTTCTGGATTGCGAGGCCGAATACCTCAAGGATCCGGTGTTGCACAAAACACGACTGGACCTGTATGCGTGCCTGTCTGACGCGCTGGAGAAATGGGTGCCGCAAATGCAATGGTTTCAGGCTGTCGCCGAGCGGGTGCGTCAGCATAAGGTCATCGGCGGACGCAAACTGGACCTGCAGAACGATCGCAAATTCAAGAGCCTCGTGGTAGAGTTGAAAGACGGAAAAAGAACACGAGCGTTCGAGGAAAGGAACGCAGCGCACGAACTGCAAGAATCTTCCGGCTCTAACAGTGCATCGTCAACGTCGCTTGCTGCACAGAATTACGCGTCCAATGGTGCTTCCCTCGAGGATGACGACGAAGAAGATTTCCTAAAAGAAGCGCAATACCAGCGAGACGCGGGAGAAATGATGGACAACAACGTGTTAAGCGTGGAGCCGCGACGTGGACGCAGGTACAACAACCAGGGTCAGGGTGTGCGCGGCAACCGCATGACCTTTAAGGATTGGGAGGATCACAAGAAGCACGTCATTTTCCTCGATGCGAGCACGTCTGACGCAATTCGATACGCGCCCGAGGTGACCGAGTACTTCGCCTCGCGGAAACCCAACCTGCTGAAGCGGAAGGATCTTTGGTCCCTTGACAACGGGGATCGGGTGTTGCTCGTGCAGTTTCTGTTGCAGGAACGCGTCGATGAAATTGTGGAGAAACTGATCGTGAAGGAGCGGGAGTATACACAGCTGAAGGAAGAAAGGAAGAGAATTGCGGACGAACAGCGCGCGGCGGTCTTCCGCGCCAACCAGATCTGTGTCACGACCATCACCGGTGCAGCCATCTACGCGAAAGAGATCGAAAAAGCGGCTTTCGACGTGGTGCTCGTCGAAGAGGCCGCGGAGGTGCTGGAAGGCCAGCTGGTCGCGATGCTGAACGGCAGCGTGAAGCACCTCATCATGATCGGGGACCACTACCAGCTACCGCCTCCGGTGCAGTCGTCGGTGCTGCGGGAGCGGTTTTTCTTCGGACGAAGTCTAATGCACGAGCTGATCGATATGTGGCAGGCAATGGAGCTGCTGTCGCCCGGAGGTCGTGGGGGAGCTGGAGCCACCGCAGCAACGTCATCAAATGTCTGCATCAGCGGGGAAGCGATTTTGATGCGACAAAGCCGTATGGATCCGGAGATCGCGAAGTACTTGCGTGCCGACCGTAGCGGGGGTCGAAATGAGGCAAGATACCCGAAGCTGAAGGACAATCTGAACATCGTTGGCAAGTACACTCGCGAGGCACTTCCCCTTGTTTATCCGGTGGAAAAACGCGACGCGGTGTTTATCGCTGATTTTCTACACCACGCACCTGTTTTTTTCTGGGACACGCCACTGAAGGGAACCTGGTGCGACGAGCGGCAGGAGCTCAGCTTCAAAAACCATGAAGAAGCCGAGCGCCAACTTGCAGTGTTCATGCTGATGGTATCCCAGGGAATTCCGGCCCACAAGATCACGATCACGGCGCCCTACCGTGCCCACATCCGCTACATCAAAACGGAACTTATGCCAAAGGCGAAGAAGGCGCGAAGGGACTATTTGATGTGCGCGTGGTCGATCGCTGGACTTGAACTTGCCGAGGAAAGGGAGGCCCGGTTTGCAGCATTAGACGAAGATCCGCTTCTGAAGTGCTTCGACGAGGTAGTGTGTACACCGCTCGACGGGTACCAGGGCAACCAAAATGACCACATCATTCTTGCGCTCGTGCGGTCCAACTCGACTTTGGACTGTGGCTTCTTGAAAAAGGAACCAGAAGGCATTTGCCGCCGCACTGTGGCGCAATCGCGAGCGCGCAAGTCCTGGATCATTATTGGCAGCGCTGACTGTTTTGGGCACGACCGCTGTGGAGGTGGCAATTCGAAAGCAGCCCGACGCGGATCGAAAGACAAAATTTCCATTGCCGAGGAACCATCGGAGCCAGAAAAAAATGGCGGATCATTTCGCAGCAATTCCGTTTGGGGTGCTGGTCTCATTGATCATCTACGAAAGGACAATCGGGTGTCGGAGACCTTGCCGCTCAAATGTCCGAGGCACGACCCTCCTGTGCGAAACTCGAACCCGGCTTCTTGTGGTGAAGAAGGCACGACTGGAGAGGCAGCTATTGCTTCTGGTGCTAATGCTAAAACTCCATCGTTTTTTCCCGCCTGCGCCAGCGAGCTCAGTGATCCCGTCATCTGTCAGGACTTGCCAGAGGTGGAGTCCGACCAAGATCCACTGTCGTTCACGAACCGATTGATTTGCACGAAAATTTGCAATAGAGAGCTACCCTCCTGCGGACACGCCTGCAGGCGGTACTGTCACGCCGGGGAATGCGATGCGCGATTCTGCAGGGAGATCGTGTTGACGCCGTGTGCGAAGTTTCCGGACAAGCATCTCGCGCTTCGCCGAGTGTGCAACGCGCCGGAGGTCGTGTGCCAGGCCGAGGTGCAATTCACTTGCAAAAAAGTGCGAAGTGACGGCGGAAGACAGGTGTCTTGCAACACAACGCTAACACGTAAGTGTTACCAGAACGGAGACCTGGTACAGCACCTGGTCGACTTTCCGTGCAAAAAATGCACTCGCCCGATTGAAGCGCCCTGCGATACAAAGCCAGCAGACCTGCGTTGCAAGGAAAACTGCCAAAGGAAACTCGCATGCGGACATGCCTGTCCGCTTCTTTGTTGGGAGGAGTGCAGAAAAGCAAAGTGCCAAGTCAGGGTCACGCAAAAGTGCGCCGCGGGTAAACACACCATAGAAATGCCGTGCTGGCGAACGACCGGCTTTGGGAAGGTGTCCCAGCTGCAGTTTATTTGTCGGGCGGAAGTTGCTTTTACGTGCCCGGTGTGTAACCGCAAGCAAAAAAAGTTCTGTGGGGAATCAGAAACGCACTGCAACTTCCCCTGCGGGAAACTTTGCAGTGCGGGGCTGCATGCCTGCACTGCCCGCTGCGGAGAATGCGCCGCCACCGGCACCTGTTTGGCAAGTGGCGAATGCCGCAAGTGTGCGGGCGACGAACTGCAGTACCAGGTGGATCGCATTTTCAGAAACGCTGCGGGCTCGAACGCGCCCAACAACACGCGGCGGCAATTTCGCTCTTTCAAGCTGTCACAGCTCAGTTTTCCAGAGCCCGCGGTCTACAACTTGTGGTTGCGGTCCTACGGTGGAGCAAATTATGCGAGAGACCACCACGACCAAGAGGCGAAGACGCCGGTGCACCTGGAAGACACCATTCAGGAGATCAAGGACCTGCAAAGAAGCGACATTTTTGGTGGTGCGGCCGGTGAAAAACGGCTGCTGGACCTCCTTCCGAAGGACTTGGACGTCGTCCAAGTCAGCTTCGGTATGTGCGTCGCCATGGACCCGCAGTTGCTGTACGTGTTGCGACGTTGCTTCGGTCCGGAGCAGAAGATCAGCGTGCGTTTCTTTCGCACGAAGGACGATTTCAACAAGGTTTCCACCGCGAAGTTTCAGCAGGTCGTGCCAAGCGAAAAAGATACGTTCGAATTCGAAGAAATCCAGCTCCGGCCGTTCCCCGCCACGACAAAGCCCGGCCTGGTGTCCCGGCGTCCAGAGGTAGATCAACATGATCCCACGCACGCGATACTGGACTCGGGGAATATTCTGCACTTTCATGAGTTGGCGGCTCTGCAGACCGTGCGAGTGGGCGCCAGTACGTTTACGACCGAGAAGAGGCGCACCAATTTTCGCTACCTGCTGTGGGTGTTTCGCAGTTTGATCCGGCGCTATCCGAAATGTGAGATCAAGATCCCCATCTATCGGGACAAGGCGGACGCGTTCAAACGCGACCACGTAGGCATTTTCAACGAGATGCTGCGATTGGAGCACGAGCGGTGCGTCCAGGCAAAGGTTTCGCCGCGGACGGAACGGGAGTTGTTCACCATCGTGCGACACGGTCAGGACGTGGACCTGTACTGCCTGAAATTGGCGGTGCTTTACAGCAGTCCGGCGACGCGCGTGGCGATCGTCACCAACGACGCCTACCGGGAGCATCGCGAAAATTTTCCGAGTTTGAAGACCAATTTCGACACGGGTAAGCTCTTGGTCCCGTTCACCATCGTGCCGGAGGAGGAAGTCGCGTTGTTTTAGGTCCGGGCCCGAAAGAAAAATTACGGGATACAAGAGGAGCATCATTCAACTTTTTTCTCGTGTGCATTTTCCGACAACAGAATCGGATCCGATTCCGTTCCATATCCCATGGCAAGAAAGGTGCAGTAGTCTCTTGCACTTCGCAACATGATTAAAACTGAAAACAAAAATGATATGTCACTCACGTGACCTCATTCATATCTCGTCAACAAGGAGAGCTTAAACATATTCGCGCACTTTCCTTGCTGCTCTGCATGTATCTATGTACGGAATTTTTTGAAAGAGTTAGAGTGGATCGTCTCAGCGATGATTTCGCAGAAGCCACTGCTCAGGCGTTTCATGATAAAACAAGGAAATATGACTTGGACGATTGAAGTGCGGAAATCGCATTTAGACACCACTTATATCAGAATTCGCATCGTCACTCGGGACGGATTCGTAACGCAGACAGGCACAGTCGCAGATGATTTTCTCGAACTACTGCACGGGTGTAGTCGTGTTGCCTCTGAGTCTGATTATCAGATGGAGGCTGGAAATCGAAATAAAACCTTGACTCCGTGTCTTTCGGTTATGTGATCCGTGCGTGTTGACTGACATTGATATAAATATACCGGTTCGTTTTTTGTGTTGGCTACTACTGAGTATTAGTGCCAAAGAAGCTTGCAACACTTGTTTTTTGCTTCTCCTTGTCGTAGTATCATCATGTCCACCACGTGCGGCAAAAGCTCTCGAATTAGAAGTGAAGTCGTCCCACGCAGAACTTCGATAGGAATCAGGATTGCCTTTCGAGAAGAGGAATTGGATTGAGTGCTGGCGTTAATTGTTTGCGTTAAGTACTCGATTGAATCGAGCCTTGATGTTCGATTGAGTGCTTCGTCTTCATTTGCTGACCTCGGCGGAGATTGGGAAGCTCCGCGGAGGTCGGGGAGGTCAGCAACCTCCGCGGAGGTTGGGAAGCCTCCGCGGAGGTCGGCAACGTCCGCTTAGGTCGGCAACCTCCGAGGAGGTCGGCAACCTCCGCGGAGGTTGGGAAGCTCCGCGGAGGTCAGCAACCTCCGCGGAGGTCGAGCAGGTCCGCGGAGGTCAGCAACCTCTGCTGGGGCAGCTCCCGTCCGTGTTTCCGGTCGCGCTTTCTCTTTTTTCTCATGCATTTATTGGGGAGCCCCAGGCCCAGGTCCAGCTCGTGCTTGCGGAAAACGAGCGCCCCTGTATTTTGTTGTGTGTGACTTGGCTTCAAAATGTTTTCGAGTTTGAGCGGGTCGCGAAAGGCGGGTGACTGTAGTAGCCTGTGTTGAAATCAGGGGTGGTGGGCCGCTGTGTGTCTCAACAGAGTTTCATAGTGCTTTCGAGTTTTGACTGTGAAAGAGTGGGCAGTTGTTAGTCGTGGCCGGGACAGAGTGTAAGAAACAAGATAGAAGATGAAAAGTGAAAGAAGTAGCAGGAGAGGGGGACAGGTCGTGTCTTCTTCGTCACTGGTTTAGTCTGCTTGATGAGAGACGTCGACATCGCATTGACCATGATGATTCCCATTATTGTTGCAAAAGAATGCAGTGCAAGCCACAGCTTGAAATTGACAGCCAGTTTGAAATCAGCATGGCGCGCACGGCTTCGCCCTGCCGCGTTTCCGTGGGAACGTCGACGCTGCAGTCTATTTGCCTCTCGTCCTCTTCATCGTGCATGCGCGCGAATGCGGCCCTCGTCGTAAGCAAGGCTGGGACAACAGCAGGCAGGCCCGCGCCTCCCAATGCAAATCCACCGCATGCCAACGTGCATAACGTGTTGACGTTCACGACGGGACCAGTGAATGCGCAAAGCTTCGCAAACACGGACGAATTGCGAGGGCTAGCCACGTTCGCGCTAGTGGACGACATCCAGGCCCGGGTGTGGCGTTCGTACCTCCCGGAAATTGTTGCGGAAGCGAGACACCTCCGGCACCAAGCACTCGAGACACCGTTGTGCCGCCTCTTCTCTCTGCGTCATCAGCGGGACGAGCATCTCCATCGGGAGTACTACGTCACGGATTCTGAAGAAGGGTCGAGTTATGTGTCTTCCAGCTACGTGGGCTCTCCGGTGCACCAGCCCTCTTCTCCGGCTAATCAGGGCTCGGCGACGGTCCTCGGCCACGAAGCAGAAGAACCTCCTGCAGCGGAAGGAAGAGTCATATTCGGAGCAGGAGAGAAATCAGGATGCCGCAGCCCGGGTTTGGAAAGTGGCGAGCGGTTTTTGGGTGATGAAGAACGAGCTGCTGACGTTGATGTTCCTGCTCCCGAACAAGGGACGGACCCGTTACCAACAGTCGGTCCGCCACATAGACGCGCATCGGATACGGAGCAGATGACAGGATCAAGAAGCGCTTTCGTGGGTGCGACGTGTGTCGAGCCTGCAGCTGCATCTTGGGAGTTTGCACACCTCGAACTCACTTCGCCAGCAGCACGAAACGGGATCGGAGGCAGCGCCGGTCCTTTCTCCAACACGAGCACGACGAAGGGTCTGGATCTCGCCTGCCTGGTCGCGCTGAGGGAAAAGTTTTCCGTGCGGGAGCAGAAGGAAGCTGTGAACCAATACGCCGATCCAGTTTTCCGCAAGGAGCGGTACGCGATCGAGAATTCGCCGTATGCCAGGGCGCTGATTCGTTCATCCCCATCTGCTCGAGCAGCGCCGGGTCGTGGTAGCGAAGCTTCTGAAGTTTCTGAAGAACCAGGTTGCGAAAACCTAGACCAACCCCGCACGGAATCGGATGCACAACTACGTGCCAGCAATAAGCTGCCTGTTCGGACACGCACAAGCAGTCAACGGGAAGACGCTGCCGCAAACAGTGCGTACCCGACGTCCTGGTCCGAGATACTCTCTTCACCTGTTCACGTCGATTTTGGTACAGCGCATTCATCTTCGAAACTGAGGCGGACGCGCGTAGACCTGGACTGCAGCGTTTGCAGAAGTGTCCTATCTGTTCGGGAAAATTCCGTGTCAAAAAAGATGGTCTGCCTGCCGTGCGGTCACGCAGTGTGCGAAGGAGCTTGTTTGCAAGAGATACTGGATCTGTTTCCGGGGCATGACCGGTTAGTGTGCCCGTCGTGCGGCTCGTGCTGACTGCCTGCGTTTTTTTTTTTTTCGGTTCTCAGGAGTTGTTACATTGAAAGTCAAACTAGGTTGCACCTCACACTGTTTTAGTATGAATTACTTAGTATGAAAAGATAACGGAGTCAGAAGTAAGTTGGTAAGTACGAACAAAAGCTGTGGAGGAGGTACAGTCGGTCATAACCATAGTCAAGATTATTTCTATGTGCATTCATCATAACAAACATGAGAAGAACAAGAAGTCGTTTGCTGGGTGTGCATCTGCATGCCAGTTTGTAGGTGGAGCTACGTGAAAATCAGATGCCCCCTTTTGAATTCTGAGTAGTTACTACAAGTAGTAGCACAGTAAGTATGAATTGGGACGGTCGGAAACCCACTCTGAATGTACATTTGCGTTTGGATATATCATTTCTTCTGCAGCAACTTTTTCGTCAGTTACAGCTGGCAGACGTTTGTCAGGGTCGCCGCGGCTCTCTGCGAGGTGTAAAAATCGCTGGCGTCCGGGTGCGCTTCTGTTTGTGTTTGTTTTGTTTGTTTCGAAATTCGCAAAATTCGACGAGAGCCAGGGCGAGGTTTCAAAACACGACAGAGAATTTGGTGGAGAGAAGCCTGGGTTGAAAATTGGTTCGTTTCGTAAATCGTGGATCAGTCGGACCCTTTTTCGGTGTATTCTTTTGTTGTGACAAGAAAAGTAGCTGCAGAATTGGCACAGTCTTCGAACACAAATTCGCTATTGCCTCGCCGTTTCCACTTTTCTCGCATTATGGAAAAAATAAAAAAGTCTTCCTTCGGCCCAGTAGCAGTAACACTTTGACCTTCGTCAAATACCCTGCTGTACTGGCCCTCGACGCAGAAGTACATCTCCTGTAGATTTGTTTTGTGGTTGTTGTGATATGCGAAAAGAAACCCCTCTTCGACCCGCAGTGGAAGGGATAAATACAAGATAGTTTATTTGTGTACTTGAATAGAAGAAACCAACAATGGCGACCGGGGCCGGATCCTCTCCCAGCAATGAAAGGCAGGTAGCCGCATCTCCCAATGACGTGCCATCCCATGTACAGATTCGAGTGCGGAACTTCACCGGCACCGAGCACGTCGCTTTCCTTGATACGTCGACTTTCAAGACCGTGCGGGATCTTTCCTGCGAGGCTGTCCTCTGTCCAGCGTTTTTCGATAAGGACGATCTACCGCCGCCCTGCCTCATTCGCTGGACACTTGTGGAGGAAGACGGTTCCGGTGGCGAACATTCTCAAAATGCCGATGCCGACAACATGCTTGTTGACGACGAGCATGCGTCGCGATCGCAATCTAAGTCGAGCCAGGAACACGACATGCGGAGCTCCTGTCGTGCCAGTCCGAGCGACGGCGCCGATGGGGTAGAAAGTCAGGAGAACGACGAAAGCAAGAAAGTCCAGGGAAGCCAGCAGAAATTCCTCCAGGTGAACAAGGAAGTCGAACAGGGCCAGGAAGACGACCAGAGCCAGGAAGTCGAACAGGGCCAGGAAGCCGAGGGGACCCCGGGCCCGGGAGTCCAGGAGAACCCGGAAAACGAGCAGAGCCAGTTAGACAGCGACGCGGACGAGATGTCGGAGTGGGAGTCTGAGTCGAGCTCGAGCAGTGTAAGCAGCAGCCAGAGCTGCAGCATTGCAAGCGAAGAGTCCACCTCGGGGTTTTTAAGTCCGGACACAAAGTTGCAGTTTGTTCAACATGTTGTCTACCAGTTTGCTGTGGTTTCGAAAGCCTGCGACATGCGGCTACGGCCTGACGAAGCTGACCAAAGCTACAGGCGACGCGTCGCGCGCATGATTGATTCGCTGACCTCCGTCGAAGAGGCGCATGCGTTTCTTTACGACCACCCCTACAGCAATATTCCGGCCCAGCATCTCGACTTGTTATGGGGCGTCTTACCAACCCAGCGCGGGATACAAATTAAAGTCGCTCCCACTCGATTATCGTCGAGCGGCAGAAGACTTCGAAGAATTCGCTCAGGGAGGTGGAACCTGATGTGCGCTGCATTAGAGCTGACTGCAACGCAGTGGAGTAAGCGGCTCCAGACCATTCAACCGCAGCCACCGCAGCCGCACCACTTGCTCGTGGCACCCTTTTCGAATTCGTTGAACACGTATCGGACTTATTTTCATATGGAGAAAAACAACGGACCAGACGGTCATCACAACTACGCAGGGGAATACTTTTCCCCGCTAGAGGATCGCGTCCACCGTCCTGGTCAACCGGTTCGAGTGATGCCGTTTCCTGGTCCAGATCATGTCTTTCCATCGCGTTCCCTGTTCGCTTTCGGAGTTGCGCAACACATCTTCCACCACGGCCCGCACGCGGAAGATAGCCGAGCGCGTGATCTTTTCAACCCGCATCTTGGGTTTCCTCAAGGTGTAGGGCGGACCGAACTCCTGCGTGTGTTGGAGCGAGCGCTGGAAGTAGCTCACGTCGGGGGAAGATGGGCTTTGAAAATGTTGCAGATGACGATCTTCGTGGACCCGTGCCCGGATAGGCAACTTGGAAGTCTATGCGACATGCAGAAAAGCGGCGACTTTTGTCAGACTCTGCTGAAACAGTTGGCGAAAAATGGCGACAGTCTGGCTGAGTTTTTTGCGTTGCTCCCACACCATGACAGTTGCGAGGGTCCACACAACCAGCGTGAGTGGAAGAGGAAAATTCGAATTGGAGTCGAACGCACACTCGCCACGATCTCCAAGCAGCCGCACTGGTCCGACGACCTGCGCGAAGAATACTACAGACGTGAGCTTCCCGAAAGCATTTCTGACGCACTAAAGGAAGTATCCACGCTGCAGAAAATGTCCCTTGACCTTGCGGAATTTCTCGAGTTAAAAATCTGCCAGAAAACCAATCTGAAGTACGACTCTGCGCTCCTGCGGAAGACCCTGCGGGACGTGATCGAGAACACCAGCCTGGGTGGAGCCGGTAGTTCCAGCCTTGTGTACTGGCTTCGATTGCACACCCGCAGTACAGTACTGCGGGTGTGCAATCGAAGCCTACTGTCGGGAAGTTCACGACGTGGTAACGGAGGAGCTCGGTGTCACAGTTAATTGGGAGCAAGTGCGCGTTGTTTTTGGCAAGCCCACGATCACCTTCCGCGCCGACAATGAAGGACCGACGGCAATGCTTGCAACCGGAGGTGCTTCATCCTCATCAGCACCGGTACCGGAACAAGTGCCACCGCCAAACCAGCGCGCGTCCGGAGCTGAGGTTTAACACGCCTGTCCCGATTTTTGAAAGGTTGCTTGCCTTCGGTTCTTTTTGAACAGAGTGAAGAACAATTCAATAAAATAACTGAACGAAAGTGTGGACTGCAGAGATCATTAAATTAGAAACTCTGGATGAATGCCACAGAAACGTTCGAGAATGTCCGTGGACGATATGAAATATCAATCGGCGGCAAGAAGCAAGAACAGCTACAAATCGTGTATTGTAAAGTGAGGATTTTCATCTCCTGACACTCACGACTGGTTTATTTTTCGTCAGGAAAACGAAAGAGAAAGGCGGATGCGGATCCGATCCTGCTACATGTTCACCCAGCTCTGGTAAACCGACGGATCTAGAGCCGGACCAACGTATTTTTGAACGAAGGAAAGGCACATTTTTTTCAGCGTACCTTCTTGGCGAGTGGTCAGGAGCGCTCATCTGGCATTGCGAGTAAAGCAGATGATATAGGTTTCACGCGATTCCGTTTTTCGCCAAACAAGATGTCCAACGCAGCGCACGCTGGGCCTGCCACATCGGGCCCGCCATGGGAGGACTTGGACTACCCACGACTAGCGAGCACGCGCCAGCTAGAACTGCCGCCCGGTGTGACGGTGCCCTCTCGACTCCCCGAAGAGCGGTCCCTGGACGTGGACGGTACAAGGGTCCTATACTGGTCGCGTTTTATACTCGGGCCCCGAGGCGGCTGTAATGAGAACGACCCTGTGCGCCTGGTGGTTTGCCTTCCCGGGTTGTGCTGCTCGAAAGCGGATTTTCAGGCGGCTGTGTGCCACGCGGAGCACCCGGATATGCCCATCCACGTCGTCGCTATGGACTGGCCGCAAACAATTTGCGGCGAAGGCGAGCACGGAGCCGCCGCTTTCCCGACGATGACCGACCTGGGTGCGTTCGTAAGTAAGTTCGTTGCCGCAGTGTGGGAGGAAAGTGCGCGCGAGTTGGCTCATGTTTGTCTGGAGAAAGAACCCGTTCTCGTCGGTCACAGCATGGGCGGCGTTGCAGGTCTTTTCTGCATAGGGAATGACAACTTCCGGCTAGTTACGCAGCAGACACGTCGCACGACGTATCACTCTTTTGTCAATGTGGAGGGGTCGTTTATCGGGTCGCGGAAGAATCTCATCGTTCATCTATGGGAGGAGCATTTTGCAAAGGGAGAAGAGCTTCCGCTTGAAACGCTCCAGCGCGAACTGGGCGAGAGAAATGAGGAGCCCGAACAGCTGCTTGCAGCGCAAAAGGAAGAGGTGGAACTACAGCCGACGAGTAGCTCAAGAACGGAAATTGAGGTGGGTCCGCGTCGCTGGCGTCGACACCTCGGGGAGTGTGGCGGCGTGCAGGCGTGGAAACAATATTCGGAACCTCTGGTGCGACATTGGACTGACGAAGGGAGCATAGAAAAAGCTAAAGGATGGTACCGAGATTGCATCCTGTCAAAGCAGGCCGTACAAGCCGGCGCGACGTGGACATCTGAAAAATCGGCTCTGGCGGCATCGCGACATGCAGCGGACACGCTATACTCCTCGACGGCCGACGCGACCTTGGTCGGGGCAGAAGCGGCTTCACACGTTGCCGCGGAAGAAGTAGAACCCAGAAGCCTCCATTTAGACGTGCCAGTGGAGCAGGACAGGGCTGAAGAGAATCCACGAGATGATCACTATAGCAGCAAAGTGCCGGCTTTGTTCGTGATCGGGGAACACAACAAAACGAACTTTCAGAAGGAGTATGCGTTTCTGCAGCAAAACAGTTATGATGTGGTTGCTGTGAACGGCGCAGGCCACTTTCCCATGATAGACCAGCCACAACAGTTTTGGAAGCTGGTTTCAGATTGGATTCGAGAAATCGACGGTCTACGTCGACAGCTTTCCGCAGCATCTCAAATGCCTTTTGGGGCAAAGTCACGCATCACTGGTTGCGCAAAACTGAAGGATCATCTACCGGTTTGCTGTTCATGCGTAGTGTTTGTTGCTTTCAATGTATTGAAGCACTGTAATAGCTATGTTGTCAGTTGGTTTAAGTACTCGGTATTTGCTTTCTTTTTGTTTCGCCGCTCTTCGAAAGAAGTGAATTTCTGACGTCGTGGCTACTCAATGCCGTAGACAGCTGCAAGGTGCCTTGTGTACTACTAGTTCTTTTTATTGTTTCGGAAAAATGAAATGCAAGCGCGAGAAGCGCAAGTAGTACCCTGTGTGTACCTGTAAGGTCGTGAAGTACCATCAGAGTCTGCGACACAGAAAATGAGTCGAGCTTCTCCAGACCTCGAGGCTCCGCTCCTTCTGGTTCGAAACGATGGACCGCCGGTGAAAGGACCTGCTGGTGTTGCTGTCCAGTCTAAGTCTCAGCTTGCGCAGCAGAACCCAACGCGTCTGAGCATCGATTGGAGCAGCACGACGGGACTGCGGGGCCTGTGCGCGGTGCAGATCATGGTGGGTCACTTTTTCTTCGGCATGGCGCCGCGGAGCTTGCGACAAGTGTGCAACGATCCCGGGGTGACCGACAAGGCGTACGCTGTGATAGTCGCCATGGATCAGCCGGTAGCGCTGTTTTTCCTCCTGAGCGGCCTTCTGTACGGCGTTCTCTACTACGACAAGCTGGACTGGATACAACCCGTTTTTAGTAGCAGCTCGCATGATAAAAACCAGCCCCAACAACGACCTGAATCAACAAGTTCAAAAAAGACCAACTATGAAGTCTGGAAGACATTCACACAACGGCGGTTTGCGCGTTTGGCTCCTGCATGGTACGTGGCTCTCCTGTGTATGATGCCGTTTTACCTGCCGGACGAGAACCTCCGACCGCAGCGAACGAAGGTCGAAGGCACGTTGACGGCGGTGACGTTTTTGCAGAGCGTGCTGGGCCCGCCCGACGGGTTTCCTCACGTCATTCCGCCACCGCACGGCCCCGGCTGGCAAATCTCCGCCTTCATGCTCTCCTACGCCTGCTTACCGCCGGTGTTTTGGCTGTTCAAACGGTACATCTACATGCTCTATGTAGTATAGCAGGTTTTTGAAGAGTACAAGTGGTACTTTTTGTCTAAGTTCGATTGAAACAAATGAATTTGATGAAAGTCACGTTTTGTTTCATGCATGCTTGGATCTTGATCCGCTTTGTTTCATTCTCTTACCGCCAGGTTGCCAGACGTTGCCTTAGCTTTGCTGATCGTCGCGCTTTTCGGTGTGAGCCTGGGGGTGATGCAGCTTTGCCTGTACTGGATTCCGATCGGTTTTGTGCACTCCTTTTTCTTCGCTCGTTTCCCGAACGTCATGATGGGCGTAGCGCTGGGGATGCTAGCCAAAAGACGGGTCTGTCCGGAGAAGCGCACGCACCAGGAGAGTTTTATTTGGTCGGCGTTCGACAGAATGTCAATACTGTCGACTTCTCTACCCACGAATAAAACAAGCCTCGTCAGTGAAAAACGGAAGTGGCTTCTGGACGGCTGCTTCGCAATCTACGTGTGCTACAATGCGGGGTATGTGCCCTTGACGCATTACGACGGGGACATCTGGCTTCAGTTCTACCTGCTGCCGCTGTATTGCGTCTGGCTCTGGTGGCTCGTCGTGGTTGTGGATAACACAAAAGGCAAAGAGATTTTGGAGCCCCCGCAGAGGAGCAGTGCGATGATCACATCGGGCGGAGAGAAGAACTCGACGTCTTATTCCAGTACGATATCGGAACAAGCTCAAGCTGCAAGAAAGCCCACTGTTGTCGAGACTGTTTTGACGTCAGAATGCCTGCAAACTACTGGGGATTGGTCTTACGTGTTGTACTGTTTCCACTGGCCGACCTACTACTTCGCTACTTGGTTACTCTCTGGGTTCTCGACGGAATTCATCTGGCATCGCTGCTTGATACTCGCGCAAGGCAATGGCTGCTTCGGAATGGAGTACTGGCATTTGCCGATTGCCGTCGGCCTCTGCTTTTGTTTCTCCGGGTTTTTCTCGATCTACGTCGAGGACCGAATACGGAAAAAGATTGACGCCGTTTTGGGATAGGAAGATGAAGTGAGCACTCGTTTATTTGTTTTCAAGTGTAAACACTCGACAATATCGATGTAACTAGTCGATTGAGCATTTCTTATTCAAACATAAGCAACTACGCGCACAGGCAGATCTACTGAATAAAGTCATATCATACGAAAAACGAGTGGCACGTAGTCATGAAAGTGATGTTTCGCTATGGCTCGAAGCATTCTTTTTCACCAAACCAAAATGTATAAAAAGTGAAACAGCAGACAGAGTTTCTAAAATCCAAGTTTTTCGTGGGCGATGGCGATTGCGAAGAAGAGAAGGCAGCACCTCTCGCTTCCAGCTGTCCCGCCTTGCCCGGTATTGGACCTCGTTTTATGGAACGGCTCCTAGGGCGGAAAGACGAGTCTTTCGGGCGGAAAGACGAATCTTGTCGTCTTGGAACGCAGCGTCTTAGAGGACGCTCCCCAAGGATAGTTTGCTTCCTGAGTACGATGCTTTCCTTCCCGACGGGAATAACCCTTTGCAGAAAATTTGCGTTTTGCTCTTCAGGAAGACTACGCTTGTAGTGAAGATACGATCTTTCTTTTACGAATTGAAATTGGTCCGTGTTTGATCTGTTGGCTCCCAGCAGTACGCCAGAACCTCGCATTTTCATCACAAGAGGATACTTGTTTTGTCGATAGGGTTAGAGAGATAAATAGTGCCTATGTATCAGATCTAGTAAAGTCAGTGGCATCCTGTAACGCTCGCAATTATTTGGAAAGACATGCGTACTATCGGAAGGATTGGGCTTGAGGCCCAGTACAACGCGCGAACCGGCTCTGCAGTGAAGGCGGAGCATGTCTGGTTCGTCCGTTCCATGCTGGCGTTACTGACAGCCGCTGCGGTTTCGCTTTGGGATTTCGTCGTGCCATATTTTTACTTCGAGCTGTTCCTGCCCACAGTTGGCCGCTATGCACTTACCGAAGCGTGGGTTGCCAGTGGGGCCTTCTTCCTCTGGATTAACGTTTTCAGTCTCATCCGGACCGCCGGGCTCCGTAGCGAGACGCTTAATAAGTGGCACATACACGATTACAAGGCCCGCATGGCCGGTCGCGGCTGGACCGTAGAAGCAGAGGCGGGGGATGTTGGCACTGTTAGCCACATATCTTCCGCCGCCAGGAGCGATGTTGTTTTCGCGAGCAGCGAAGTAGAGGCGGCCAAGACGACGTCCCGAAAAAATCTACGCCAGGAGAAATGGACGTGGAGGCAGTATTTGTTTCAGAGTCAGGGCGCAAAGAAAGCTTTTCTGCCAGTTTTCGTCTACATGTTGGCGATATTTCTATTCCACGAGTTCGTACGCAAGAGGCCACCGCTAACGGAGAGGTACCCGGATAAATTCCGTTGCCTGGCGGAACTGGGTTTCGGAGTGGTTGCGTACGTATGGGCTCAGAGAAATTCATGTCTAGTACCATGTTCGAAAATTTAAATTTCGCAGTTTTCGAATAGCGCCAATGGCAAAACATTGCGCGCCTCCTTTGCTTGTGCAAGTTGCCCAGCCACGGAGCTGCTGCCAGAGTCGAACCGCTACAGTTCTGCAAGAAGTAGCGACGGCAGCGCCGGCGCCGCGCTTTTTATTTCGCACGTTAAGCGCTTCGGCCCTCTGGGTTATGACCTCACTCCTGGCATCCTGCTCTGTTGTGGTCGTCGCCCGGGCACAGGCCTGCCGCCCACGTTGGGGCCTTTGCCCGAAGAAAAAACTGGAGCAGTTGCACTGGTCGCCGGCTTGTGTTTCTCGGTCTTAGGTGTTTCGGCTCAGTTTGGTGGCTCTGCGTGTTTTCGGTTTTCGGCGGTTTTGTCGGCCATCGGGGGCCGCGATTTGGGGGCAGGGCATAGGGGTTCTGGCCGCCGGGAGCGTCTGTAGTTCGCCCCTCTGAGTGGCAGAGCGACACCTCTACAGACGGCAAGCATTCACGATCGGCACTGGCACTATGAAGATTGTGGCTAAGAAACCAGCTGAGTGGAGTGCGTTGCGAACCACTTTAGGGCATGTTCTGAATAGTGAGGGGCCCGGCTCCGGTTTTCAGGGGGTGCGCTCTGTGGTCCCCTCGCGGTGTGTAGCTGCAAGGCTTTGCCGGAAGGTGGCTGCCCGAGCCCTCCTTCCGGCGCCCTCCAGGCATTCTCTTGTGGGGTGTTTTAAGTCGTCGTCGATGTGGCGCCACGCTAGGGCCAGCTCGGAAAAGGAAGGGCATTAGGTCCGCGCCCGGCTTCGCATAGGCCAGGGCGCAAGAGGTTTCGGGCCGTGGACAAGCAAAGCCAACAAAGCTGAGCGCCTTCGCCGTGGTTCGGCAAGCTGGTTGCCCTTCGTGAAGTGAAGCGCCTCAACTCCGGCCATTTTTGTAAAACCCGCCCCCGACTGCGAGGTGGCTCGAGGCGAGACAAATGACACGGCCCCACGTGGATGCCAGCATAGGCAGGCTCCTCCCGCTTCGGCCTCTGGGGCAGGTAGGTCTGCAAGGGTTGAGCGGCCTCAGCTCAGAAGGGGGCGATGGGCTTTGCCTTCAAAGCTGAAGCGCCTCGGGTCTGGCCATTTAGAAGAAAGCAGCGGGAGGGCCGGGGCCGTTTCCGGGTTGGGACGAGGGGCGCCTGGGTTCCGAAGAATGTGGCGGAGGTTTGGAAGGAGGGGGTCCAGGCTCCGGATGAGGGCGCTTGGGCTGTGGAAGAAGTGGTCTGGGTTCCGCGTGAAGGGGGCCGGGGCCCACAGGAGAAGACCTGGCTCCGGGAGTAGGCGGCTGAACTTGTAGAGGAGGTGGTCCGGGTTGGGAAGGAGAAGGCTCGGGCCCCAGGGGAGGTAGCGGGGGTTGGGGGAGGAGGTAGTTGGGACATCTGCTGGCGCTAGTGCAAATTGTTGGGGATGAATCGTTTTCGTTTTGGATTTGCGTTCGACTCTTCCGGCTACACCTTGCAATGAGTCCAGGCAGGGACTCCTTGCAAGGACTCCTTCGAAGGAGTCTTTTAAATTTACGCACTTGAATTTATTGCCATTGGCAACAAATTCAAGTGCGTAAATTTAAAAGACAGTAAATTCAAGTGCGTAAATTTAATTATGAAGAGAAATAGTTGAGACTCTATTGAAAGAGTCATTGCAGTGAGTCGTTCCAGTGACTCTTTTAAATTTTCACACTTGAATTGTTACCCATCGGGGGTAGCAAAAAAAAGAGTGCTGAAAGCGACTCGTTTTTCGAGACCAATAACAGCCCCAACAAATTTTCACACTTGAATTAATTTCCACCAGGAGGAGTCGCCTTCGTCAGTGGCGAATAGATTTTCAGTTTACAATGGGCATTTTCACCTCTAGGTGAGAGGCGAAAGCGCTGTCGCCTCTCACCTAGAGGTGAAAATCCTCATTGGTAACTGAAAAGCTTTTCAGTTACCAATGGGGATTTTCGCCACTCGGTGAGTGGCGAAAGCGCTTTCGCCACTCACCGAGTGGTGAAAATCCCCATTGGTAGCTGAAAAATGTTTCAGTTACCAATGGGGATTTTCACCAGCCGGGGGCCGGCGAAAGGCATTTACACACTTGAATTTCTCAGGCTCTAAAAGAAAAGCGGCGTTTTTCTTTTAGAGCCTGAGAAATTCATGTGTGTCAAATTCGATTTCTTCAAAAAGTTCAACCTTTGGCCGCCGTGATCCGGAGCTGGCAATCAAGCCAGCCCCGACGGTCGGCGACCAACCGCCTTGTTGGCGAAAGCGGATTGGTTCAACATTTACACACATGAATTTCTCATGCTCTAGAAGAAAAACGCCGCTTTTCTTTTAGAGCCTGAGAAATTCATGTGTGTCAGATTTGATTACTTGAAAAGATTGAACCTTTGGCCGCCGTGATCCGGAGCTGGCAATCAAGCCAGCCCAGACGGCCGGCGACCAGCCGCCCTTTTGATGGAAGGGGATTGGCTCAACATTTACACACATGAATTTCTCAGGCTCTGAAAGAAAGACGCCGTTTTTCTTTCAGAGCCTGAGAAATTCATGTGTGTCGAATTTGTTGGCTTCGGAACCTCAAAGCCGTGGTGGGCACCTCATGGACTAGGCAATGGAGCCAACCTCGGCGTTCGGGGATCAAGCGGCTCCGGATCGAGGGCCGGCTTGTTCGAAGTCCACAAAAGAGAAGCTCCAGAGTTCTGGAAGAAAAACGGCGCGTACCTTTCAGAGTTCTCGAAGCCCCCTTTTCGGGGCCTTGTTGACTTTGGAAGCTGAATGGGGTTCGCCGGGGCCGGGTTTTGGGCGCGTGTTATAAGATTCGCAGAGGGTTTCGAAGTTTGCGAATTTTAAATTTTCAGAAATGGACTCTCACATGAATTTCCGAGAGCCTATAGTACGACTTCTTGATGTTCTGGATTCACGTACTTTTTCTGCACCAAATTCCGCTAAAAACGCTCTGTTCGAGGAACCGTCTCGTGGACTGGTGGGTGACCACGACACAGCAGCGCAACAAGACGCTGGTGCTCACAGCGTGGTGGGGCCGTGGGACAACGGCGCGCTCTCAGGATGAAGACCGGGAAAATATTGAATCGTCTGGCAAGAAAAACCAAGTGTGGATCATGTGGCGCGGAAGAAGCAAAACGACAACGAGGAAATCAAGTGAAGAGGACCACAACTCCTGTCGGGGAAGCACAGTGGTCCCTAGGTCGGTTCCGGCTGGCACCACAACGAGAAGTAACAACGCAGTTACACAACTCGTGGAGAAGAACAAGAAATTCGATCAGATCATGCAGATCGGCCATGATCATGTGAGCCTTGGTGCCCAGGCTACTATTTGCCGCTCCTTCCAACCCTCCAATCCACCGGGTAAGGTCAGCAAGTGGCACTCGCGACACCATAGTGCGGCGGCGGCGGCGCTGTGGCCGGTGGACACGGTGCACCACGGGCTGTTGGACGGTTTTCTGCAGGTCGCAGTCAACATTGCGGTGCAGCAGAAGAGCTTTTTGTTTTTCCCGGGCAGTTATCAAATGCAAACATGTCTGGGTCTGGAAACTTGTGATGCTAAAATGTGGATGAGGATGATGGAAACACTTCCGACTGCAGCCCACCATGACAGTCCGCAGGGGAAACTGCGTTTTTGCATGACAGCACAGATGGCTGCGGCTTTTGTCGGTTATGTTGAGCTAGCATTACAAGTTCCAGCTTCCCAGACCCAGACATATTTGCATTTGATAGCAGTCTTCCTAAGCACGACTTCACGCGTTTGCTGCACAATGTGCTGATCACCTTTCTCTTGACCGAATCCCACTCCGGCCTGGATGCGCCGTTTTCGCTGCACCGCGTCCTGGGTAAGAAGTTCTACGTATGAAATGCAAATGCATCGTACTAGTAGAAATCGCATGACAAATTCTCTCAGCATGAAAAATGAAGTTTGTAATGCGGATTGAGGTTAAGAAGGAGATTTGTAATGCATGACTGGGATTATTACGAGTACGATACTTTTGCACAGGATACTACGGCGGCGCTTGGAATCATGACGCGCATCACGCGGGCGGAAACCGTCACCTCCAACAGTTCTTCTGCTACCTGGACTGGTTCTTCAAGCTGGACGAACAACCTGCGTGATGGGAGTGTAGCGATGTTGAGGTAGCCAGGACTAGGAGGAGCAGTATTTCATCTGGCAGGAATTATGAATGTATCACGTCGTTTTTCGACAGGTCGCGGGCGTCGTGGTGAAGCTTTTTACACATTTTCCGTTTGTTGTCCTGCCATACTTGTAAAGTCGCAGGTGGCAGTGGCAGAAGCAGTAACTGTACCATAAAGCATGAGGCCCAATGAATGTTTCACTGTGAAGTACAACTTGAGCTCCATTTTCGCTGTCAGATTCATGACGAAGAAGGGACCACAATGAATACTACTATTTTCATTCTTGAAGCGACCTTTTTTTGCTGTTAGACGCACGTGTAGCTACTAGTACTAGAGGCTTTCACCTAGGGCCGGGTACGGTGGCAGTTCTCACTACACCGGCGTCGCAGCACAAAGTATAGATGAAGTACGAGTGATTTTTTTAAGAGAGCGAGCGGAACGAGTCGAGGTGCAGTCAGTCAACAATCCTCGGCATGATCTTCGCTGCGATTTATTCTGGCGATATCTATTAAATTTGTCACCGCGGAGGTGCATCTGGTCTCGTCTCAAGAATCAATTGTCAACGAGGGACCTCTTCACACAGCAGGGTCGCCCTCTTGCCCAAAGGGACTCGCTTACGTTGAGAGGCAGATATTATTCGCTCGTCCCTACGCGAACACGGTCGTGTCAAGAAGATGTCCTTGTACAAGCGTGTTGGAGGGCGCGGGCGCGGTAAAAGCGCCCAGCTTGCGGGTGACCTGGATCTGCCGAAGACTGCGGGCTACGTCTTGCAGGACGTCTTCCCGGACAAGGACGACGATTCAGTGCAGGCCGTGCTGGCTGCGTACCGGCAGAAAGTGGCAGCGGAGATGAACGACGAGGAGGACGCGGATAGTCAACCCTCCCCAGACGACGACGACGACCACGGTTCGGATCCCAACTATTATCAAGTCAACGAAACCGCCGCAGACCACGTTTTGGTCCTCTCGAGCGTGACCCGCCAGCTGCGCGAAAGTCTACGATGCCGCGGGGAGCTGACTTTCTTCGCGTCCGCGAAGTTGCACTTCCACTCCTCGGTCGCTTGGCTGATCCTCTGGTTCGTGTTTGCCCTGCAGGGCTTCATTCTTTTCAAGCTCCGGGACATCACCTCCTACTACAGCGGGGACTTCACCGCGAAGCTGGTCGGTGAGGAGCGCGGTGTCTGCGCCAACGTGGGGCACTTGAAGACGGATCTCGACGCGAACGCTCTCCTCCCCCCGGCCGTGTGGTCCTGCGCCCCCCCGCCGCTCGACTACGCATCGCACTGGAGTAACCTAGACACGAACCAGGACGGGGTGTGGTCCCTCTCCGAGGCGGAGGCGACCGATAAGACGCTGCCGCGGTCGAAGTCCAGCCTGCTGTTTGAGCACTTTTTGGGAAAGATTCGCGACCAGAAAAATCCGGACACAGGGGAAAAGATGTGGGAGGAGCAGAGCAAGCAATTCACGGTGATTCCGAAAGAGGCGTACGTCGGCGACAAAGCCCTCACTTTACTGCAGAAGGACATGCTGATTCTGTGCCAAGTGCTCGACGCGAGGTTGTGCAGCAACCTGGAGCTCGACGGGCATTTACGGCCGTTGTTTCCCGACGCGAAGCACCCCAGCCAGCGGATCGCGAAATGCGAAGACCTATGCTCTGCAAAAGTATCGTACTCGTACTAATGGGAATCAGGCATGACAAATCTGGTTTCCTACCCAAATCTGCATTACAAATTCTAATTTCCTTCCTGATACAATTTGTCATGCGATTTATACTAGTACGATGCTTTTGCAATGCATAGGACCTAGTCAAGAGCCACTGCGACTTCTTCGGCGGCGAAACGTACAAAACGTATCAGGTCCGCCACGGCGAGCTTTGCGGCGAGTACCAGATCCGCCAGATTGTGGGAAACGGGGCTATCAAAAGTAAAAATGTCTGGGTCTGTCAAAAGTAAAAATGTCTGGGTCTGGAAACTTGTAATGCTGGGTGGCGTCTCATGATGAGGCTACGAATACTGGCTCAGCATGGCAAGTTTCTGAGCTCCTAGGTGTTGCCTATTCTGCATGACAAACTGCGTCTCTGCATCACAGAAAAACGGGGCTCTTGGGTAACGTGCATGACAGATTTAAGAGTCATGCCAGACAAGCATGACAAACATGAATTCTTCCAGACCCAGACATTTTTACATTTGATAGGAGTGCGGGAGGCCCAATTCTCCGAGGTGGTGCGCTACAACAACAAAGTGGATGGGGTCACGACAATTACCTTCTCCATGTTCCTCGCCGTGATCCTGTGCCTGTGGCTGATGGTGCTGCTCAGCGAAATCAAGAGCGCGCTGCGCATGGGCCTGCTGCTGCTGTTTTTCCCCGTCGCACAAACGCCATCGCCTGCGGAGGGCTCCTCTTCGCCGGAAGACCAATCATACGGAGGTTTCAGCACGAGCTACGCTGCCTACGCAGCGCCGAGGCCCAAGGCGGTGCGGCACCACACAACGCCGAAAGTAAGATGGAGGGCGTCTGTTTGTGTTGAGTCAAATTATGCGAAGTTTTCATTTGATTTTGAAATATATAACTACAAAACCACGAGTTGGATATCAACAGCACTTTCGTAAAACCAAAACAGGAATGGTCAAAAGAAAGATAAATACATCGATAAAACCAGATCAGTGTGTACACCAGTGGGGGAAAAGCGTTCCATATCCTTGCCACTTCGAGCGTCCTCCACAAGCTTCAGCTAGTTTTCTTCGTGTTTCTGCCAAGGATGTTCATTCTGGGTCTGCTGATTGTCGTCGGGACCGAATTCCTCTTGTCGAACTTCGCCTACATCGACTTGATCCTCAACGCAGTGGCCCTCGGGTTTTTAGTCGACGTCGACAAGATTGCGTACGGCACGTTCTCGAGTCGCGACCGCCGGCTGCTCTTGAACAGCGTGAAGCCGCTCCGGTTTTCGGGGACCAGAACCGAAGGACGGTCCTGGCAAGCGCTGCGGTACCGGTTTGCGGACGCTTGCTCCCTGGACCACGGCATTTTTTCCCTTTTCGCGGCCGTCGTCGCCATCGGGGCCGGCGTGGCCCTGCACACGCAGTTCGCGCCCGGGGGCTTGCGGGACGTGGCGCACGCGCTAAAGTGCTTCTGCACCATGGACGGGGGGTACTGCCTGTCGAGTCGCAAGTTCCAGGCCAACGCCAATAATCAGATCGTGCCCTCGGAGGACTCCAGCGCACTAGTAGACAAAATGAAACTGTTCGCGGGCGGTGCCAGCACGGCGCTGGAGGAAGCTTGGTGAGGCGGTGGGGGATGTTGCCTCCGTGCAACCAACATGGACGTGACAGGTCTGAAACGAAAAATTAGTGATTTTCTTCACCTCCGGTGAGTTTGGTAAGTATGATTCTACTGCAACTTCTAGAGGAGACGCGAAGCGAAAGCGATTTGAAACAGAGGACGAAAAAAAACGTGCATAATGGTCACGCAGATTTTTCAGCTCGCAGGCGAAATAGAGTTGGAGTTCGTTGCAGCCAGTGAGTAGCCTCCCGATCTTGACCAGTAAGGAAGTGTTCCCGGGCGACGGGAAGAAGAGAGATGAGAGTTGCAGCTTGCATGCTTAGAGGGCGTAGTGCTTGGTGCGGCATCAACATCATAATTCCAGATTGTGCCGTTTGTTTGGAATCCGAATCCACCCGGTGGACAACACTGTCGAAACCCGAAAAGAAAATGAGAGACAACAACATCACATCAAACCTCTGATCGTAAACAAGATGACACAAGGCGGCATTGTGCTGCGGGCTCACGGGGGACACGCTAAGTCCGCAGCCTGCTTTTGCGTTTTGGGTCCTCCGCAACTGCCACTGGAAAAAGGCTAAGCAGTGGTGCGCAGGGAGTATCGAATCGTCAATACCTTGGAAAATAAACGGCGGACGCGTAGTTCTTGACGTTGCAATGGATTGGCGGCTGACCATCGAGCATCGTCACCGTGACCGACAGTGAAGTCGTTTGGAAATAAAGAACAAATAAATCTGGTCAAAGATGAAGCTCTCGGTGGTCGACTGGGTGGAGCGGTTCGGCCTGGGGCTGGCCCAGTTCAAGGTCATTCTCACGAGCGGGGGCATTTGGATGGCTGACGGTGCAGAGCTGCTGCTGATCTCCTCTGTGACGAAAGCGTTGGCTGACGAATGGTATGAGTGTGAAATCTTCGGGAAAAGATGATGGATGCGCAGCTATGAATTTGTTGATAATTTCCATATGTTTTCCGTTTCCGGTGTTTCCGTGTATGAGTTGTTCTTTTTGATGGAAATGCAACAAAACACCCCCACCACTCAGGGACCTGACTGCGGTGGAACGCGGCTCTGTGGTGAGCATCGTGTTTATCGGGGTTCTTTGCGGGAACATGCTTTCCGGCCACCTCGGGGACCAGTTCGGACGCAAGATTCCTGTTCTTGCCTCCTACATCGCCATCTTCGTGTTCTCGCTCTTCAGCGCGATGGCAGTGGACTTTTACATGCTAATCTGCCTGCGGTTCTTTGTTGGGGCCGCGTTTGGGCTTGGACAACCCTCGGCGGGGGCGCTGGCGGCCGAAGTGATGCCGATGGCGTGGCGAATTTTGCCCCAGGTGATGGGCCAAGCCATGTTTCCCATCGGAGAAATGTACAGCGGCCTCCTTGTCGCCATCGACGACCCACAGATGAGGGAGCTGGATTGGCGGTACTTAATTCGGATTCGATTCAACTTCAGTACCAGCCCGGCGCATTGAACAATCGTGCTGCATTGTTCTTCGTTGGTTTTAATAGAGATCATAGATACGACATACTAAGAAAGTAATGCGAAACTACACAGGTGGCTGATCACCATGGGAGCGCTGCCGTCACTGATTCTGGGTCTGTACGCCTACTACGAACTGCACGAATCACCGATGTGGTTGAAAACGCAGCCCAACCGCGAAAGCGAAGCCGCCGAGGTACTTGGCAGCATGCGACGAGCGAACCTGCGATGGCGCGTCGGCGGCACGAGTTTGACGGATCTGCTGACCCCAACGCGGAGTCGCGGCAAACACGATCAACTTTACGCGGCTGTAGAGGGCGGGGGTGGGGGCGACGGCGAGGCGGCGGCGGACGAGGAAGAAGTGTGGCACGGGCCGATCGAGATTGCGTCTACGAAGATCACAGGCTCTCCGGGTAGCCCCGCTGACAGATTGCAGGATAATTCTACTACGGGCGACAACAACAACAAAAACACCGCCTCGCTGGGTTTGCTGCGCAAGGTGTTTTCGTACGAGTACGCGAGCAGCACGATCGTACTCTGTTGGACCACCTTTACCCTAAACTTTGTGTACTACGGAGGTTTGTACGCGTTTCCGCAGCTGCTCGAAGGCATCGGCGACACCCTGACGGTCTCCCCGGCTGTTTCGCTCGTGTTGGCCGCGGTGTGCGAGATTCCGGGTTGCGTGATCGCTTTGTTGCTCGGGCTGTACTGCTTCCGCAAGCCCGCGCTGGTGCTCTCCTTGCTGCTGTGCTGCCTGTCCACGGGGCTGTTCATCGGGGGCGCCAGTTTGGTGGCGAAGGCGGAGACGAAGGAGGTCGTACAGGCGATCGCGGAACCGGACGTGCCCGGGTATTCCCCGCCCGTCCCGGGCGTGGATTGGGAAGAGCCAAGTACCAATAAAGCCGCAAACGGGTTGTCCTCGGGGAAGCTGGTCGGAAAGACGACGGCGTCCGCCGGGGCCGATTCTGCTCCTTCGACCCCGGAGGTTGTCGCGGAGGACCAGAGCAGACGAGGTCTCGCGCCGGAAGATGCGTCGGCAGGAACGAGCACAAACACGGACGGGGGGCCACCTTCCGCGTCGGCAAGCATCTCACCGCCGGCAGCAGCTGCAGGGCCCGCAACGAGGACCCCAGAAAGAACGACCGAGCAGCCGCTCGTGGGTTCTCCCGGACGAGATGCAGACAGTGTACCTGTGGCTGTGCCGCCGTCGAAAAATGGAGGGGAAAGTCCAACGCCTACGCCGCCAGTTGCAAAGCCGCGCCGAGCTCGCAAGGACGGGGACGCAAGCGATGCAGATAAAAATAACAAAGCGACGAAAAACATTTGGGACGAGAAGACCCAGAAGTTTCGATCGAACAAAGAGCCCGCACCAAAGGACGCAGCCGCAGCAGATGAAGGGAAAAAAGCAGAAAAGAAGAGTAAGAAGCCGAAAAAATACGTGGCCACCGTTGCCGGTCCTGTTTACAAGGGGCAGAACAACTCCACGACCGCGAATTCCGCCGAGGAAGGGGAGAATGAAGGCAAAATAAAGGTACAAGACGCGGCGTCGAACAGGGGGCAGATGCAGCGTGCTACACCTGCTCCAAAATCTGTGGAGGAACAGCGAATCTCGGACACGACTTTGGCGGACCGTGCCTTGGTGCAGGAACGGACCATATCAAATGTAAAAATGTCTGGGTCTGGAAGATTGGAACTTGTCATGCTAAATCCGAAGCATGCAAAAATCTGCGTTGCATGATTACCAAAAGTCGCCCAGTTTTGACCAAGTCGGGAGGGAGTTTCTCATGCAGGATAGGCATGAGAGAGATCGCACAGAATCTGTCATGCTAGGTCCTGCATTCCACACCTCATGGGTCATAGAAAAGCTGCATGACAAATCGCCCAGGGCCGGGAGATGATGGTGATGGCACTTCGGTGTCCGCCTGACCTACCTTCCCTGCGTGACAGCCATCTGCGGCCGTTTACAAAGGGGGAGGCAAAGTGTGCCGCACTTCTGTTTAGCATGACAAATCGCCCATTCTTCCAGACCCAGACATTTTTACATTTGATAGACCAGTTGGCTCGTGCAGTTTTTCAATTTAGCGATCCCGCAGCCGATCGTGACGAAGACGCTGGCCAGCCCCGGTTTGAGCTGGAGTAGCGACGCGCTCGCTCCTTACACTCGACAGGACAGTAAGAATGCTGGCCAGCTTGTTCACCTCCAACACGAGGAAGAGCATGATCATGCACAGCAGCACATACCTGTTACCTTTCTCGAGACCGGTGCAATCGAGACGGTGCACCATAATTATGCCGGTGATCAAGTCCATGTCGCGACCAGTCGAGAAGATCAGCGACGGCGCGCACGAGGGGAAGACGACCAGGATGATGGCATCATAAGATCAGGAGAACTTCTGCAGCAACCCGGCGAAGATGCTTCTTCTGTCTCCATGGTTTTGTCCGCGCAGCAAAAAGCCACAAGCAAGACGGAGGTTTCATCAGGGCGCGTGTTGACGGACAGCGAGGCTGTAATTGGAGATCATAAAACTACTTCTCAACAAGCCACCGACTCGTCCACCGACGGTGACGATTACAAATTGCTGGCGAATTTTTTCCTGCAGGCCGGACTGTTTGGCAACAAGATTTGGGTGCAAGTCTGCTTTGTGCTGATCTACCTCTACTCCGTCGAAGCGTATCCGACGCAGTACCGCAATTCCGGCGCGGCGGTGTGCCTGGCAGCGGGGCGCATCGGGGCCATCAGCTGCCCGCTGATCTTATGAACTGCAAAAGTATCTTACTCGTATAAATGCGTTACAAATTTTCTCAGCATGAGAAAGAAAATTTGTCATGCTGATTTACTTTAAGAAAAAAATTTGCAATGCAAGACTTGCATTTATACGAATACGGTACTTTTGCACAGGATAAATCTACGAACTGCTCCCGCACCAGTTCTACTTTTTCGTCATCATGGCCTCCCTCCTGGCGATCAACTGTTTTTTCTTTGTGTTTTTTCGCCTGCCGGAAACCGCCGGCCAGCCGCTCGCTCCGGACGACAGTTCAAAGGCGAGGCAGGGCTATACCAGTCTTCTGTCCGTTCCGTTTGCGTTTTTCATGGCGACGGCGGCACCAGAAAAAATACTTAATGCCAGTAGGTATTCAGAAGGATGAAAAACACGACATGCCAATTGCAGTAACTCAAAATGATCCACCAGGGCCAGCCAAACAAGGTTCGCACAAGGTAGTGCATAAGTAACTAGGTACAGTGATCCTTGATTTACTGTGCGGAAAAGCTCTCTCCAGAGGGCTGTTGTGGGTCTCATGTACTACACAGAGCGTGGGTGTGGTAGATCTTTCACCTTCATCTTGCATTTGGCATGTCATGCTTTTCCTCTGGATATTGGATCCTCCAAAGATGCGGCAGTGCCGCTGACGGAAGGCACATAAAAGAGAACTGTCAGAACATTAGCAAAGGTGAGTTTTCTTTTCCAATCGACATTTTCTACTCAGCTCAATTCTACCATAAAGAGCGCCACTTCGTGCTGCCCGTGTTCGGTAAAATTTAGCGTCACGGAACATCTGCATTCATGGTATCGGTTTTTTGTAGTCGTACATGCAGCTCGTGCTGGCGACAGCACGCATGTTCATGCACCTCAGAAAAGTTGTCGACGCTCCTGCTTTCGGTTTTTCACACGCGCGAAACTGGCACTACTGTCTCTTGCGATCATCCATTTTGATTTTGTGCTTGAACGCTGACACTGCACGCACCCTTAGGTCTCTTGATCTGTCCAACCTCATCGGATCCGCGACTGGTATCACAGTAGTTCTACTTTTTGCAACCCATGCATGGGGATGTTTCATGATGTTGATGTTCCTATTGAACAAGATGTTAAGCTTAAGTTTCTAAGCACATGCTCGCACACAGAGGCTCCTCCCTACTGACTTTCCCATTTCGTGAAGTTTTGTGCGCATGCCTACATGAACATCTTCAGCTATTCCTAAACCGACACCATGTAAACGTTTTACAGCCTGTTTCTTCTACGCCTTTTTTTGTTTTATTCCAGCGACATCTTTGTGCCAGTAGCAGTACCAGTACCAGTAGTAGATATGACCAAGAAATTTCGATGTCAGCGTCAGACACAACCGGCACCCCCTGCTTAGTTTAAGTTTTACCTGGTGAAAACAAATTTCTTCCACGAGTCGTGTACGAATCGATAATACAAAATGGGTGCGAAGCAAAAGTTTTCCTCCATGGACGTGGGGGCCATGGTGAGCGTGTTGCAGAACAAGGTGCTTCGCAACCAAGTGGCTAATGTGTACGACTTGGCGGCCAGTAAAGCCTTCTTGCTGCGGTTAAAAAATCGCGAGAAGGATTCCAAGGTGGCCGGAACGGAGTTTTCCAACATCATTCTCGAGCCCGGCACCAGGTTTCACATCACGAAGTTTGACCGCGAAAAGAGCACCGTGCCCTCCTCCGCCACCATGAAGCTTCGAAAACACTTGCGCAATCTTCGGCTCACCGACGTGCAGCAAGTGGGGCTGGACCGCGTGGTGCTTTTTACGTTTTCAGGGGCCGGCGGTGCGAATTTTCAGGCGGGCGGGGACCCGACCGACAATGTTCCGGAACCGGCACCCACGACACAGCAGCCCGTCAAGCTGTTTCTAGTCCTGGAATTGTACTTTTCACTTTTTTGTTTGAAGCTGCTTTGATGTGCATCTAAATGTGCAGAGGGCTCGAAGTTTTCATGTGCCCACAACAAGTCGTGTGGATGTGGTGATTCACTACAAGTCGAACGATAATTGAAAGCGCTTTTACTTAATCATTTTGCAAATAATATAACCCTACTTCTCCCAGGTTTGTCCGCGGCAGTTTGGTGTTGTGTGACCACGACATGAAGGTGCTGTTTCGGTCTGTTACCTATGAGTACGCGACGAATCACGTGCCGATCGGCGAAGTGTACAAGTTCGACCAGCCTGCCATGACGTGTTTGGTGAATCCAAAGATCGCCACCGATCAAACCGCCCCAACCGTTCCCTGCCCAACCCGAATACGCGAGTTTTGTGAGGCGATTGTGGCCAAGGAAGACGAGGAGGCGGCGAAAGCAGCGGCGGACGACGGCACCTCCGCGGCTGCCGCCGGAGCGGGAGGTGGTAAGAGAAACAAAAAGAAAAAAAAAGGGGGCGACAAGAAGCTCGATGCGGTTCTCCTGCAGCTTCTGTACTGCGTCCACCCTAGTCTGTGCAACTTCGCGCTCGAGCAAGCCGGACTGAAACCGACGGTCAGCGTCCGCGACGCGCTCCTGGACGGCGAGAGCTTCGGCCAAAAGATGGCCGCAGCGGCCAGTGGCTGCCTGGAGATGATGCGGTCGGTTTCCTCCTACGACAACAAAAAGCCTGCCACGCTGGGTTGCAGTTTGGGAGGAGACCCCAGCGCCTACCGCACGGAGGCCTTGCGCGGCTTTATCTGCATTGACGACAAACAGTACCTGGACTTCTCTCCCGTCAAATGCCTGCTGCAGCACTACACTGAGGACATGATGGCCACAAGTACTGAGCAGGACGGAAATAACAGTACTAGTAGTCCAAGCAGTAGCAGAGCAGGCATCCTCAAGACCACTGCTGCAACGACAACAGACGGCGCCGGCGCAGTTTCTTCAGTGGACAATAAAAAACCTCCGAAATTGTGCCGGGTTTTCGCGGACTTTGGGGAATGCGTGGACGAGTTCTTCTCTCAGCGCGAAATCCAGAAAATCGAGGAGGCGAAACAGCAGAAACAATCCAAGGTGCTCTCCAAGGTAGAGCGCATCAAGAAGGACCACGAGGAGCGGTTGCAGAAGATGGAGCAGATTCAGTTCGACGCGGACCTGAAAGCGCTGCTGCTGGAGGAAAATTTGGAACTTGTTGACAACTGCATCACGATGCTGAACGCCCGCGGCCGGATCGACTGGCAGCAGTTGTGGCAGGAAATCAAGATCCAACAAGGCCTCGGGCACCCCCTGGCCCAGCACATCCATTCCCTGGAGTTTGCGAAAAACCAGTTCACCATCCTGCTCGAAGATTCCGTGTCCACGCTAGGAACTGAGCAGGAAGAAAGTAGTTCTTTGTCGAAGACGAACTCGCAGGCGGTCGAGTCCGAGGAGGAGGACGATGACCTGGATGCCTTATTTTCCGACGACGACGACGGGGACATAAATAACGAGAAGGAAGGTAAGAGCAAAAGAAAAAACGCCAATGCGCAGACCCAACGCCAAGACCTGCCCATGGTCACGCTGCCGATCGACCTCGGGCTGACCGCGTACGGCAACGTGGCCAAGTTGCACGCGCACCGCAAGGCGACCAAGAGCAAAAACGAGAAAACGGTGCTCGCGAAGGACCGCGTGCTGAAGCAGGCCGAGAAGAAGGCGCAGCTGGACGTGAAGAAGATCGAGCGCGACCACAAAGTCCAAAACCTGCGGCAGGTCCGGCAACTCACCTGGTTCGAGAGCAAGTTCCACTGGTTTTTGTCCAGCGAGGGCTTCCTGTGCCTGCAGGGGCGCGACGCGACCACGCAGGACATGCTGATCAAACGCTACATGGACCCCGCGCACGACGTCGTCGTCGGCACGGATCACGTCAGCTACCACGGGGCGACGGCGGCGCGGCTGGTTTTGGTCAAGATGCGTCGCGACCTGCTGGAAACTGGGAGTTGTACTAAAAAGATGGAAAACTACCAACTCGAAATTCCGCCCTTAACCCTGCAGGAAGCCGCGGTGCTGTGTTTGGCGCAGAGCGAAGCGTGGGCGAAAAAGGACTTGGTGCCGTGCTGGTGGGTGTTTGGGAAGGAAATCAAGTTTCGCAGCCTGGAGATTGAGGGCAAAGCGTACTACTACGACATCGCGGCGTCCGCCAAGAACTTGCTACCGCCCTCGAAGCTCGAAATGGGCTATTGCCTGCTGTTCGAGGTCGAGTTGTCCAACACGCGGCACGCAGGGGAGCGAAAAATTCGGTCCGGACCCGACGCAGATGAGCAGCAGCTTGCATCTTCTGCGAGCAGCCCCAACATCGAGGACGAGGATGAAACTGCGGAAAATGAGGAAGAGAGGAATGTGGACGAAGAGGGAGGGCCATTGAAGTCCCATGAAGATGAACAAGCAGAGGACCAACACAGCAATTCCTCACAGGACGATGACAAGGAAATAAGCGACACCGAGGATATCGTGCAGCAGAATTATGGCACTCCTGGTCCTGAAGAACATGCTAGCCCAGCACGAAGCGCGCAAAGTCGGTTTGCAGCTGTTGAAAGCGAACAGAAAGAGACGCTGCTACCGACGTTGGAAGAGGAAGTAAATGCGAAGCTGACTAGTAATGGACGTGAAATAAACAACTACACCGGTCAAGCGCAAAGCCTGGAAGATTCTAAGCTGTCGGGGCTGGGAGAAAAAGATCTGGACGAAAGCCAGGTGAACGACGAGTACAAATTTCATCCAACCGAGCGCATCGCGGGACCTGGGCACAAGAAAAAGTTGACGAAGAAGGAGCGCGAGTTGGCAAAAAAGGGCATATTATCAAATGCAAAAATGTCTGGGTCCTGGAAGGATGTAACTTGTGATGCGCATTTCAGAACACACAAAAATCTCTGATGCATAGGCAGCAAAAGCTGCTCACTTTCTGTCACCAAAATGGGGGATTTGTTATGCGGATTCGGCATTGCGGAAGCTTCTCGGAACCTGTGATGCTAGAGCTTCCATGCCAAACCTTCTGTGTCATGCAGAAACAGCATGACTCTTCCAGACCGAGACATTTTAATATTCGATACATAGTTCCACCAGCACCGCAGCAGCAGAACGACGCAGCCGACAGCGATGTTGATGAGCCTACTGATGGCGGCAGAGCTAGAGCTAGAGCTTCCAATACGAAGCAGAATCAGAAAAGTAAGAACTCTACTCCTCCTACAACAACTGGGAGCGAAATAAATCAAAAAGGTGCATCTACATCTAGTACTGCACAGCAGGCCGTCCCGAAAGCAGTGCCGCGCGGGCAAAAGGCAAAGTTGAAGCGCGTGGCGAAGTATGCCGACCAAGATGAAGAAACGCGAACAGCACGGATGGCATTGATAGGCGCGAAAGAGAAAAAGGTAGCTCCAGTCCTAAACGCCGGCATCTTCGGCGAACAAATAAATCCGGGCGACGACAATGATGCGGCGGATGGTTCTCCTTCTGGACGAACCGTAGATCATGGGCAGCAGAACACAGGCGACAAGAAAGGGGGAGCAAAGCCGGGCGCTAAGGGTAAAGGAAAACAAGCCGGCGGTACTGCGCGAGCGGAGACAAAACCGAAAACGCAGTGGCAGCTGGAAGGCGAGCGAACCGCCATTCAAGAGGCACTGCTGCTGGACCCATTGACCTGGGACGCGCGGTTCACCGGCCGCCCGTGTCTGGAAGACGCCGTCGTACGGGCGATTCCCATGTGCGCCCCCTGGAGTGCGATCAACAAAAGTTGCTGGTTCAAGGTACGCCTGACGCCCTCCACGGGCAGCTCCGCTATGAAGAAGGGGCGACTACGCGAAATTGCGCAGCACCTCTTTTTCGACGACCGAAACCAAAGCGACATCAGTCTGCAGCTGCAAAAAGAGCAAGCGGAGGGTGACCAGTCGGTGGCCTTGACGCCGCAGAGCGTTCTCTCGCAGTGGAAGGAGTACATGCATGCCATTCCGGACATGGAAATCATGAACGCGCTGATTTCGGGTTCCCAAATTCAAGCGGCGGGCGTCCAGAAGGTCCAAAAACAGATGAAGAAGGAGAAAGTAACGAAGGCCAAGAATAACCAGCAACAGGGAGGAAATAAAGCCAAGAAATGAAATAGCCTATGCGCGCAAGAACCAGTTTGTCATTGTCTCTAAGCATTCGCTGAGCAGATCTAAACAAAAAATAAAGTAGAACATGAAGTATCCGTCCCATGACGAAAACATGAGGGAGGCCACTGACGGCTTCTTCTAGCGCTTTTTTTTTTTGCACTTGGCGCAAGAAAGTCGCGCGTGTTCTCTTTCTTCCTAGTCGACTATGGTGGCGATTTTCTGCTCAGTGTTGTTTGCACGTGCAATAATGTCTTTCTGAACAGAGACAAAATGTTTCCTGTGTTTCCTTTGGCACGGTAGCCTAGATAAACCTTTTTCGTTGCAGCTTGGACCACACTTAGTACGTAGGAAAATTGAAGAATATCTTCTTCCTTCCACCGGCGCGCTTTCAACTCGCAAAGATGTTGCTATCATTTGTGGCTGACTACTTTCCGGAGGCCTTGCTAGCCTTCGATCAAGTGCATCTCTGGTTGCTGGAGAATCTGCACTTTCTCTCTCGGTGCCTGGCCGGCAGCTTGGTGGGTTTCGTGCGGAACTTCCTTGTCGTCTTCCAAACTTATGTTATGCCAACTCTGAACCTTTACGTTTTGCCGCCGATGGGAATTGGTCTCGCTTGGCTGTCCCGTTTCGTCTCCACCGTTGCCGAAGACGAGGCAGTGGCTGGCAAGGTTACAATTTGGCAGGTACGTCCTTTTATTTTAGCTGAGTCTTCATCTTCTCGATTCTGATTCATCAGGTACGGGCACGGCTATCGTCACGATGAATCTCACGCGCACAAGAAATCGCATGAATTCGGACGCTGCCGTAACGGGATAAAATCCAGATCCAGTGGAGATGGATGTACCCTCTGTAATTACTTTGCAGGTCCGTCTTTCTCCAGCGGACATCGATGCCCGCGTGAAGACAGTCGAGAGTCTGTTGGACTTCGGGGACAATGGGGACTTGGCACTGGGCTTCTTGTCGTGCTACATCATGGTTTCTGTGTCTCTGTCTCCGTTTATCGTGGCGTGCGTGTACGGGCTGCGGGTGTGGCGGCTGCGACGCAAGCAAAAGGCACTTGCGGAGACGTGGAGCGCTGCGCGCAGCACGCTGGACCACCACTTGCAGCGCATTGAGGAAAAGCAGCTGCCGCGCGGAAGCGAAGCGAAAATCGACGAACTTGTTCAGTGCGGGGAACACGTGATTGCCTCCTTGGGCAGTGGGGAGCCGACTTTGCTACGCTCTAAGGATCACGAACAAAGCACGTTGACAAAGAGAAAAATCGACACAGATAGTACTGATGGCAGTGCCGAGCAGCACGCGGAGATGCGGGATCACGAGTCGGATCGTGGGTCGGCCCGCCAGGAAAATCACTCTGCAAGGGCCGCCCCCTGCAGGAGCTATCGGCGTCTACTGTTGAACCTTGCCAATCGGGCGTTCGTTTGCCGGCGACGGCCCGTCGTGATGGTGCAGGTTCGCGACTTTTCCGCTGGGTATGGGGAGACCTTCCGTTTGGTCGCCCTGGAGGAGGGGTCGGTCACGGTGGATGCGGTGCGAGCGAAAGCTCATGAGAAGGCGATTCGTGGCTCGCGAGAAGGTCCGCTGATGTGGATAGATGACGGCAACACTATCGAGATCTCTTGCGACGAAGATCTTCGCCTCTTGCTCTTGCATCGGAAAAACAGTATCCCACGCTTGTGGTTCAAGCGGAAAGCCGAATGAAAAAATGATTCAAATTATTGGTTGGCTCGATCTCGAAGCCTGGGAGGCATGAGCACAACCACACAGATATCTAGTATTGACGCCTCTTAGTTTTACTCAGGGCCAGGAGGCTTGTCCTCCGACTGACAAGAAACCTCTGTACATGAGGCAAAGAAGAAAGAGGATCGCGACCGAGCATTTCTTCTATTTTGTTTACCGGAGGAGCTCCGCACGGGGCTGAGAGCATTTCCACCTCGCGCGTTGTTGTTGGTTTTTGTCACGTTACGTTACCCGCCAGTGTGTTCTGTTGGGTTCTCAGATATCAAGAAGCCAAAAGATGAAACGAGAACATTAAAAACCCTTCATGGTGTTCGAAAGTGTGGCCGTTCCTTGTGAATTCAGTTTCGCACGACGTCCTGGAGCTTTTTGTCTGAGCCCTTCGTTTTGCGACAGAAAGAGGGCGCATGAATTTAACGAGGAAGTAACTATTCACTGGCAACTGGTCGCTGACGGAACACGGAGATGAAGATGTGTGTCACACTTCTGCTAAGCTGTAGTTTAGTACAGTTGAGGATATCGGATACGGCTCGACTTTTTCCATCGCTGACTGTCCCTGTCAAATCTTATTGAATGGATTCCGATGCGACTCCTTGTCGTCGTATGACACTGGAACGATGGAGCATCCCGTATTAATTTGTATGTAGTGAGGTCACCGAACGGTTCTAACCGGGGAGTTTTCTTGACAGTAACCGCCAAAAACGATCGGCAGTCTGTAATGCTGTTCTGCGTTTTTTCGCATGAAAAAAATCAACGCGTGCCATCCTGTTTGGCTTTGTTGGCAACGAATCGCCTGCGGATTCTATCGGTCGCCGATTGATAAAACGACGCAAGGGAGCCGGCAAAGGGGGCGCCTTTCTGAGGCTCCCGCCGCTTGAGTTTCTGGCGATTTGGGGCGCCCAGAAGGGCGACCGAAAAAAGCGCGCCCAAAATCAGAACAGCGAAACCGCATGGCACGGCCGCGATTTCGGAGCATTTTGGGCGGCCGCGAAAGCGGGCGCCTTTTCGCCGGTTTCTAATCGGGGGAAGCTTTGCAAAAAGCGCCGGCGCGAAAAATGAAAACGCAAAAAAGAAAAAGCGCGCCGGACGCGCGAAGCAAATCCGCATGCTACGGGCCCGATTTTTCTTCTGTTTTTGGGCGCCCCCCGTGGCGCCCGGATCGGGCCCATAGCATCGGGGCTGGCCTTCGGACAGAAATTTTGGGAATTTGCCAAAAATGCGTCACGTTTTTCAACCGGCCGCCATGCCGTGCGGCATAATCAATCTTACCCACGACGGAAAAACAAGCGCAGAAAAAACAAAGCCGCGGCCAAAGCGACGGCCGGCAAGAAAACGACCGCGACCTCACTACCTCCGCCCCGGCGGCTATATTTGGCACCTTGTCATTCATTCCAGGGCGTTCGTCCACCTTCGTTTGCCAAGATTCAAAGTTGAAATTGCGAAAATTGAAGTGAAAATGGCATCTCTCGTCGAAGATGGTGCAGCAAGCGATAGTCGGACCGGTCCTCCGGGCGGCCAAGGCGAGGAAAACGAGGTGGAAATTTTGGAGGCCGACTTCTACAAGAAAGCGTCGTCGTCCGCGTCAAGCAGTGCGGGCAACAAGAGCCGCTGGCAGCGTCGCCGGTTTCGGCTGAGCAGTGACGTCATGACGTATTGGGATCATGCCGGTCGCAGTGGCTCGTCTTGTGCCCATTCAACGACCGAACAGCGATTGAAGCAGGAGAAGGTCTTTTACTTGCACAAGATCACGTTGGTACGGGAGCGCGTATCGACGACCCATCATGGTAGTACCACAACTATCAGCTCGACGAGTGCATCAACCAACACTATGGGCACAGTACCGGGTTTTTTTCTGGATCTCGGCTACGCTGGGAAGTTGTTTTCACTGCGAGACCATCGTCCGGACGAGCTGCGGCGCTGGGGTCAGGAGCTTCGGAAGCGCTGCGCAAACTTGATGAAAACGAATTCAGGCAGCGGCGCAAGTAAAATGATGTCCTCATGCTCGTCCGGCGCCACCACACCGACAAACATCATGCGCGAAGCTGACGCAGCCAGTGAGGCGTCCTCGCGCTGGCTGCCGAGCCTGCTGGATAGCCAAACCGACGGGGATGCAGACGACCGGTTTTCCCTTTCCACACCCTCCGTGATGTCTACTTCTATCCTGAGTAAAAACGTACCCACACCAGAGTTGTAATGCAGATTTGCAAAGACAGGAAGACTTGTAATGCGCATCCCCATGAGAGCCATTTCCAGTCGTGTTTTGGAATTTGTGATGCTGTGAACATGATGAGCAGATGAATCTGTGACGCGGCTGCACTTGCTAACCTGCACTACACTGCCGAGTGCAACTTGTCATGCGTGACTCACAAAACTCCTAGGTTTGTGTTGCAAAATCCCCATCCTGACTCTGGTGTGGGTACGTTTTTACTCAGGATACCTTCCGTTGAAAACACACCAGTAGCGGGAATGTCCCGAAGCTCCAGCCAAGTAGCTAGCGAGCTCGAACGGGATGTAACTTACGGAAGCTCCTGCGCGACGTTTGCGGACCACAATTATGTTGCGAGCCACGATCATCTTCACGCAGCACAGTGTAGTAAGAACCCCGGCAGAGCCGAGAGTCTCCTCAAGGCTTTGTCTCGGTTTCACTTGCAAGCGCGCAGTTTGTTTTCGTCGCCGGCCGATGCAGACGACGACTTCTGCGAGCTCGTCCTTGCGCGCATGGACGCCTGGTGTGAGTGCGAGTACAGCAGGCTCGCCCAGACTCAGCGCATTGCCGCGTTCGTGGAGCGAAGTAGAAAAGAGTACGCGACGACCACGACCACGGCGGCGCGAGGTGAAGTAGTAGGAAGCGCAGAGGTGTTGCAGCGCGAAAATAATCCTAATCCACCTCCTCGTCCACCACGGGGCTCATATAGTGCAACAACCTCTACCAGCGCAGCGGTACCACTTGCCGGGGAGGCCGGATTTGTGAATCAAACGCCTGCTACATCGACAGCAACCTGTTGCGCCGCCGCCGGGGGCAAACAAGACGGAAGTAAGGTTGTTGGAGACGTGGATCCAGCGCTTCCAGAAGCGGCGGGACTACCGAGATTTACGCGCGCACGCATCTGGCTCGATGTGTACTTGTGGCTGACCGAAAAGTTGCCGATCACCGCGGCGGGCGGTGCTAGTACTACCGAGGAGCAAAAGCGAACCGAAAAATGTGAACGGGTGCTTCGCTATTTGCTGCACGGCTTCGAAGTTTCGTTGGCGGAAGAAATGAAAGCCCGATCGACCTCCCTCATTCGGACCGGAGATCAGGAAGTCACCGGGAGAGAACAAAATATAATCACATCCTGCGAATCGAAATCGTCCCTCTCGACAGGTGCGGCTGGCAGCTCCTGTGCGCCGTGTTTGGTAACATCGCCACAGAAATTATCGACCACAAGACGGGCAAAGAGTGAAGAAGAGACTCATCATGGTTCTTCGGAGAAGATGCTCCTGCGCGTTGTGGAGAAGGAGCAAGAATTGTCACTGGAGGAGCAGGTGCACGCCCTGCAGCCAAATTTGCGTGAGCTCGCGGAGGAAATAAAACTCAACCATAGGCATTGTTCGGCCTTGGGCAAAGCTGCTTCGGAGGATGTGTCCGCGGCTTTGAAACTGTTGCAGAAATACAACAATGGGCGAATAGACACGATTTCGTCCGCTACCGCTTCCGTAGTCTCAACAGGCAACGTGATACTCCCCGCGGCTTCGGCAGTTTATTCCGACACGGAGTTCATCGTGGAGCGAAAAGATGAAAGTGCTCGCTGCCAACCGGTTGGGGCCGCCACGTCAACCATGGCGACGACGATCAATCAACACGTTGGGTACGCCTTGTGTGCGTGGTTCAACCTACTTCTTTCGCAGCTCCGTGGGGGACCTCACCTGAATTGGGCTTCCGCGGCCTTGCTAGAACAGGAGGACGGGGAGAAGGAAGAGTCTGCGCAAAGTCGGTTCTTGAAGAAAATGCGAAGGAGCACAGTCACTTCGATGCAGCAGATGATGACCGCCATTCGAAAGAAAACGGGCAAGAATAAAACAGCGGCCGCACTGGTGGTGCACGAGCCCCCGTCCGACTCTCACGGGCAGAAGATCACAGGGAACATTGTTTCTGCTCGCGAGGACGTGTCCGAGAATGATGCGGAGAAAGAAGCCGACAGCAACATCAAGCAGCTGGAGTTGCAAGCAGAGACGTCGGTGTCTTTACAAGAGCGTCCAAAGTCCACGACTCTTGAGGGTCAAAATGAGATAAACGTCGGAGCTCCTTCTACGACCACATGTCTCACTAGTCTCGTGACGCCAAAGTCGCTAACGACCGCACGCCCCCAGCAGAGCAGGACCGTTAGTACAACGGACGAACACCAGCACATGGTTTCTACCTCTACCAGTTCCACAGACGAACAGAAATTTGATTTTCGCCGGTTGAACGATTTGGGTGTGCTGAGTTCGATGGCTGACATGCTGGCGTGTAGGTTTGACGCAGCACTCGCGGAGTCGTTTAGGGACTTTGCAAAGCGTTTTCGGCTGTTGGCGGCCGAAGCCGCGACCACCTGCCTCACGCCGCTACTAACTTCGCCTCCCTGCCTCCGGCTGCGAAAAAACCTCTGGAAAGAGGCCAGCAGTGGTCCGTGCACGTCGATTTCCAGTTGCTTTGCCAAGCTTTTTTTATGGGCACACGACTTTCTGCTGCGGAGCCAAGCGCAAATGGCGTCCCCAACCAGCTTCCATTCCTTGCTTGATGCCACCGCGCGGTTGCTGTTGATCCGGCCCTCGTTGAGGGGACTGCTGGTACACGCTCCGTTGCGTCGTTTGGAGCGACAGTTTCTGGGCGTCAAGCCGGAGGAGAGAGACCTCAGTGTCGCACAACTTCTGTTACAGCAGGAAACCCTACTGCAGCGGGTGTTTTTCAACAACTTTCAGCTTCAATATCCGAAAAGTTCGACTAGCAGCGGAACAAGGGTCGTCGTCGTTGCACCTCCTCTTGGAGGGGATAATGATAAAGAGGCTTTTTCGCAAAAATCTTCCACCTCGTTTGCTGCCTCACAGATGACGTTTGCGAAAGGTGGGTCCACCTCGTCCTGCAAGAACTACCAGTTGCGCCCGCTGGAGCTAGTGCGGCGGGTTCTGCAAGAGGAAGAGACAGCTGACGTTGGATTGGTGTACGTGGACCTGCGAAACGAATTTCCCGCGTTTACTCTGAAAGCGATGCAAAGACTCCTCAGCTGGCGCGACCGCGACACGCGTCCCCAGCGCCAGGAATTGGCCCGCGAGATCCACCTGCTCGAGAAGGCCTTGCTGCTCGAACGCAGAAATACCAAGAAAGACGGAGGACGGGGAGAAGGTTCGTCTACCTCCGCGGAGAATTATCCACCGAACGATACGGCCTGCGCATCCGCCTGGAATCACGACGTCGCTGCACCCGGGCAGGAACAGGATGACATCTTTTTCGGTCTGCTGCAGTGAACAAAATGAAAACGTCGAAACAGTTGATGTTCACTAGATAGAAGACGGTCTGCTTTATTTCCATGTCCTCCGATAGAAATAGAATATTGATTGTGTGTGATTGTATATGTATTCATCATCGAGATGCCTGGAAGTAATGATCGATCCATCGTTTCAGGAGCGAGAAATTGCTGATTGCTCCTCCCGCATAGCCGAGCTGATCGATTTCCAAAGAGCTGGATGGAAGCCTCGGAGCACCATCGGCGTCGGCGGCCTCAAGGAAATGAGCCTCAGGGGTTTGTGAAGTTGAAGGAAGCTGCAGACAGATGGAAATTGATGGCGTTGGCACTATTTGCGTCTCTATCTAGACTATCACGCCAGTCACTCTTCATTTCGAGACTTCTGACAATTCAAGTTCCAAATATTGACCTTCAAAAATCGACAAGCAGTGAGAAGCCACCCACTCGGTCACTTTTTCTTGTGTGCGAATTTCAAGCAAAGAACTTGACTTTCTTCGAGATCGTTGATTGACTGTAGACGTCTTCTACTTCCTCTCGCCGTTGCTAGTTTCTCACTCTATAGGTATAATGCAAATGTTGGCGCTCCATTGTGGAAAGAGCTTGCGTGGTGTCGCCGCGACCTGGCTAAGGATGGAATGTGACAGTGCGCCTACTTGAGCGACGCTGGTCGCCGTTTCGTGCGTGGCTGAGGGATATGGTATTGGAGTGGTAGACTGCTCTCGAGGGCGAACAAAAGCTGGCGAGGGGCGTGCTAATGCTTCTCCAGCCGCGCGACAGTTCCGGAGAGTGAGAACGTTTGCGACTGCAAGAGAGTTTTGGAAAACGAAGCCGCTGGTTGGAAGTGCACGCACCAAGTGCGCGCCTGTTGGTATCCTAAGCGAGTAAAAACGTCCCCACCCCAGATTTGCAATTACAGCAGGAGCGTTTGATGCAATGCGCACCCCCACGAGACGAGAGGTGTCTGGAGTCGTGTTTGCTAGTTTGTAATGTTGTAAACAGGAGATGGCTTTGCGATGTGACTGCGTGGGCTCGCTAACCTAGACTAAGGCTGCAATGTAATTAAGGACTATACGCCAGGGCTGCGCGACCTCCTTTTAGAGGCAAAGCTTCTAGATTTGCATTACAAAGCTCCGAGCTTGACTATGGGACGGGGACGCTTTGCATAGGATAGTTGGAAACTTCCCCACCGCAACCTGAACGCAGCGGGAGGTGAACGGGCTGAAGCCTGACGCACTGGGTGGTGAGCGTCCAAGAAGCGGGCGTTGTGGTGGTGCGAGGAAGGGCGTGTATTCTGCATCAGAGCTATGTATTGCGCTCCTTATCACAGAAAGCTTCTAATTCCAAACCTTCGAAAAAATACAAATCTCAGGTATGATAATCTATCCGGGCCTGCAGTCAGTTGCAGGAGCGGCGACATGATTCAGCAGACCAACAAACCATCAGTGGCGGAGCGTGCGTGGGCGCACGACAATCCATCGGCTCGATACTGCAGCACGAGCCTGATTCCATTAGTCTGATTCCACTCGTAAAGCTGATTCCAGCAGGCGGATTCCATGTTTTAGTCTGATTCCATCAGCCTGATTCCAAAAATAAGTCTGATCCCGTAAATGCTTAAGTCTGATACCATCGACGACCGTAATGATCGATCCATCGTTTCAGGAGCGATAAATTGCTGATTGCTCCTCCCGCATAGCCGAGCTACGTGCGCCTGCTTTTGCGCTGCGGTTTGTGCCCACTGCCGCAATCGGTTACCCCGTTTGCGGTAGACCTGCTGGCAGCGGCGATGATGGGGACAAGGCAAAACGAAAAAAGTCGCTTCACAAATTTCAGCCACTTGAAGTGTTTCTTGGACAACGCGCACCCACTCAGCCGCGAGTGCGAAAATAGATTCAAACTACGTATGCGAACTATATCAAAGATGCAGCCGGCGCGCAAGCAGGCAGTGGGCGTCCGTCTCTCGCACATCATTCGGATGTGCTTAGCAGTTGAAGAGGCGGATGACTTGAAGGTCGGCGCTACCTTACTCCCAGGCGGCGAGGGGATTCTGATGAAGAAAGCGGTCGGCTTCTTCATCGCTGCATGGTTTGCCATGCTGCGTTTGGACGACATCGGTTCAACTAAATGGACTCCGCACTAAGTTTTCGTGGACGCGCAGAAGCTGCAAGTACTGACTGAGCGTAGTGAGGAGATTATTAGAATTCTGGAGCAGGTGCGGGGCGGTGATCGGTCGGCGAAACTCACACTGAAACAGATACAAAGTTTTGCGAGTCTCTACCGGCACTGTACGCAATGCCGGCGGCAGTTCTTGTTTTTGGCTCGTGAATTCGATAACTGGAGCCGGCCGGGCGTCTTTCCGCGCTTAATCGCCAGACAGGGTGAGAGAAGTCGTCTCCAGCGGCAGGTCGAGCTTTGTACCTTTGCGGCCACCCAGGCGCCCCCTCTTGTCCTCAAGCAGAATCTTGTCGACAAACCAATTTGCCACATCTACACGGACGCGTCGTGCGATGACATGAAGACGCTCAATTCATGGCTCAAGGCGGGCCGGAGGACCGGGCTTGAGCGGTTTAACATTTTTGTCGGCGGTTTTTTGTACATTAGCGAGGGAGATGTGGCTGCTTTTCGAGTACAGCTCACTACGCTGCCGGATTGGATGAAGCAAGTGGAGATTACCTTGCTGGAGGCGCTTGGGCCGCGGATTGCAGTCGAATTCTGGTCGCAAAAAATCAAGGACAAGTTTGCGCACATTCACATGGATAACTTGGCGGCCGTGTTTAGCCTCGCGCGGAATTCGAGCAAGAATTTTTATGTGGCGCAAGTTAGTCGAAGTTTTCATGATTGCACTTCCCAGTGGGGAATTGAGTGGTATGTTAGTTGGATTAGCACTCTTCGGAACATCGCTGACGTTTTGACTAGAAGGGAGCGGCTTTCTCTTCTTGAAGCCGCGTTTCAGGGTGTTCCTGTTTTTGACATCCCACAGTCCTTTTTGATCGAGCATGAATTTTTGTGGGGTGATTATGAATTCAGACGAGTCCCTAGGGCGACCCTTCTTGAGGGTGGTGATTTCACTGCCCCAGGGAGGACATAGTCGCTCCGAAGTGAAGCTCTCGTTCTTATTGACTCTTTATTTTTTATTTCTTTTTTCATTTCATTTGTTTCATATGATTTTACTTGTACTTAGTACGCTGTTAAGACTGAAGTAAAGGGTGATTGTTTGCTTCACACATGCGAAAACCAAGTCAAAAGCGACTGGTATCGCAAGGTGTGCCCTTCGTGCAAATCTACCCGTGTGTAAAGTGTAAGTCTACTCGACCTGGTTTAGGTCGGTAGAAGAAGCTAGCCAAGTGCTGCCACCGCATTTAGGCCGGTGGAGCAAGAAGGCTAGCTATGCGATACCATTTTCGCTATATGATGCAATCACCTTATTCTGATCCTCGCTCTAAGACAAACCGACCTGATGAAGGGTCGGAGTGCACTGCTAGTGATCGCTCGCGAGATGAGCGACACCGCAAGCGAGGTCAAATTTCGATGCGAAGCGATGAAATTCGAGAACGAGAGTTTTCTCGTCCAACAGAAACCAAGGCGCTCATCTGAATTCGTACGAAGGTGAAAGATAAAGATCGGAAGATGAAAACGAAGCCACTGAAGGACTTTGATGGGCGTGTGGCTGATGTTCTTCCGATCGTACTCATTGAGCTTTCAGGATGTAAGAACAGAACTATATTTTCAATATAAATTGCTGATTGCTCCTCCCGCATAGCCGAGCGGGATCGATTTCCGGAAGGCACAACTTCAGAAACCGCTTCGGCAAAACTCTGATTTCTCTTCAAGAACTATCAGAAAGTCATTTTTGTTGGCGGCAAAAAGAAGCTTGAGTTACAGAGCAAAGCGTCTAAGAGTCGAACGCATGCAAATATCAACTTCACTCGTATACAGGAGTTCGACCGGAAGCTGGCCGAAAAGCTTTCGGAGAAGCGCGAGCCTGCGGATATTCTTACGAGAATGGAGAGGATAGAGCTGCTAAAGAAGCTCTACCCACGTTGTAGCCACGAGGACCTGCCTACGTCCGACGCGCTATCGCCCCTGCTATGGGGCCTGGAGACTGACGGAGCAGAGGCATAGAGTCCTTCTTCCAACTTTATCTTGACCCAGCAGGTGGCCTCCCCGTTCTGGGTACGTCGACCTGCGAACTCTGCGCTCGCGTTTGGGCGCCGACGGTTTTGGGGTGGAAATGCCGCGGCATCCATGGCCGCTGCAGCTTGCACTTTAGCCTCGGCGCGAGATCTATCGCTGGTGTTGCACGTTGTTTTGAACACCAAGCGATCTAGTGAATGTGATGGCATTTCGATGCTGCTGTACGTGAAGAGGAACTTCTGCACGTAGTCGCGTTACCGAATTTACCTCACCTTACTAGTTTGCTGGATCTCGCATCATTTCGCTGCAAGTTTGAACTTGCTGATCCTCATCGTAGTTACCATATTCACTACTTTTGGTTTGCGAGGATTTGCGATCAGCTTCTGCTTTTGCAGCTGAAAGGATGGACACCAACACGCGTTTTGCGTATTCTGTGCCAAAGTTTACAGGGCAAGATAAGATGAGAAGTAGTATGCTACGAAAGCGGTAGCTTGAGTTTGTGTCGAGCTGTGTTCGGCAAGAAGGATTACGGTCTTTATAGTAGGCTGGCTAGGTTTGGTCTATAAATTGCTGATTGCTCCTCCCGCATAGCCGAGCTGATCGATTTCCAAATGACCGATAGCGATAAATAGCTGATCGATTTCCAAGTGATCCAAATAGCTGATTTTGAAGCGTCAGATGCAGCAATCAAGGACAGGAGCTAGGCAACGGATCGGAAATGTTGGAGCAACCATAAATGGACGTGGGCCGCGCGCTGCCGCTGCCCTGCGAGGACATCCAAACGTGTTTGGGTTTTCTCCAAAAATGTGGAAAAAATTGTTCGAGATGATGAATCATCACAGTCACACCACTTAGACACTCATTTATTTTTTTCATCACTAAATGGATCCCAATCCCAAATGTCTATGTAGAAGAAGAGTACGAACGTGGGTCTACTGTTTAATTTCAACAGGAAATCAATGAGGACGAGGAGATATCTTGCCAAAGAAGCACTGCGTGATTGTGTGGAACGAACCTTTTTTTTTTTGGGGTTTTGTGGATATTTCGTAACTCTTGTCGTTTATGCATCATGGCCGTAGATCCTCTGAGTGCTGTTTCTCGTAAACATTTTTCTACTTCGCTGTTGCTTGCTTCGAGCATTTTTTGTTCAATCAGCTTCAGCTCACAAAACGATGAAGCTACTTACTTGAAATACAAACGGAAACCACGACAAGTAGGTGTCATGTCGAGTCCGTATCGGTCTCCTGCACACCGTTATATAAATATAATAGGCTTTGAAAGAACCTAGGTCAGCGTATTGTACCAAAAATTCGTCTTGTTTACCCGCGATTCACTTGTTTCTCCAGTACGCGAGCATTTATCTTCGCGCGACCACCTACTTCGGCGGCAGCGGGCGTCCACTTCCGACGTAATATCGCACGACCTAATTTGTTTTCCGCAAAGTCGTGAAAGTTAAACCTTCTTTTTACCCGGCAGGAAGACAAGCTCCAGCACGAAGAAAATGCTGTTGCACCAGCAGGCACAGCACGACCAGGAGCTACCAACATCGCCAGCGTCACGGGCAGCTCATAGTGGCCGCGACAAGACGAACAATAGCTTCCTCCACTTTGGGACGGCCAATGACCCGCGGTCGCAGGAGGAGCTTGCTGCGGCGTACGTGCGAAGCGTCGAGGAGGCGCGGCGTGAAGCAGAGGAGGAGAACCGGGTGCGGGTATTGTCGCCGGAGGAGTTCGTGGAGAAAGTGAACCAGGGTGAAATCGGCAACACGATCAACATCCGGGAACTCGCGGACCCCGTGGAAGCCCTGCTGCTGCTGAAGGACAAAGGCCGGGTTGCCTTCGGGTTGGGGAAGAACGACGTGGCGAAAGTGTTGTACGAGAAGGCGGTGCTGCTGGCGGACGTGATTAAGCACCAGTCGCTGAGCTGGAACCTGGGGAACGTGGAGCAACAGCAGGAGAAGGCCTTGCTGTCCGGAAAGCAGCCGGACCCGGACGAGTTTTACACGAACAACCAGAACCCGTACCACGACCTGCAGCTCGGCGGCAAGCACAGCCGCGACCTCGAGCGGGGCCTCCGCCCCGTCCTGCTGGAGCGGTACCGCGACTGCGTCCCGCTGCACTGGGAGCTGGAGGTGGTCGCGTTTGCGCCCCTGTACGCGAATCTGGCGGCGGTGCACGTGGAGCAGCAGGAGTACATCCTCAGCTTCCAGAACGCGAGCAAGGCGTTGCTGCGCCACCCCCGGTACGACCGCGCGCGCCTGCGCAAGGTGCAGAGCCTGGTCGGCCTCGCGAACTGGCTGGACTGGGAGCTGAAAACCGTGTACGACCGCGGCGGGTACGAAATCGAGAACTCCAACAACCACAGCGTGACGGTCCGGGACTTGAGCTGGTGCTGTCGGCAGCTGGCCATCAAGTACGCGCACCAGTACAACGGAGCAGAGGGAGATGAAAAGAAGACCACCCTCATCCCCGAGGCCGCGCAAGCTTTGCAGAAGGACGTCTACAGTCTGAAGGGCCTCAAGGAGGGTCGCGGCCTGCTCGGAATGGAGGCGCAGCGGGTTTCGATGACCGAAGAAACCAAGGCCTCCCGGCAAAGTTACCAGCGCAACCTGCTACCGCTTTTGGAATTTCCCGACGATTTCGCACACGTGCCGCCGGCCTTTCGCAGTGCGAAGAAGGTGGGTGAAAAGAACGCGAAGATCTGGTACGCCGACAGCTTTCCGTACGTGGAAAAACGACAGAAGACGATGACGGTGAAAAAAAATAAGTGCGGTGAGCTGCACACGCACAGCTCCTGGAAGAAGAAAAAGGACACCAGTGCGGATCATCATGCGACGACCCCCGCTGGGGACGAGGACCACACCAGCGGCATGTTTCGCTATTACGGAGAGGCCGGCTGGGAGTGGTCGCATTTGGCCCGGCTCGTCTGGTCTATGCTGCAAACGTACGGCGACGTCGGAGTTCTTGTGCCAGAAAAGAAGCAGGGCAACAAGATGAAAACTTCTACCGAGGGCAATGAAAATGATGTTGACGCAGGAGTTCATCTTGTTGGCAGCCCAGGTGGTCGTGGTGGACCAACATCCAGCCCCGGACGACCGAGCAGCCCCGGTTTGTCTCCCCCCGGGTCCTCGTCGACCAGCAGTGGCCCGGGATCGTCGTCGACCACGTACGCGTTGCTCGACATGGACCTGCGGGGCGGGACCATGCCGACGAAGCGGTGCAAGAACCTGGTTATCGTCCTGCACGGGCACGGGGACAGTATGAACCCCTTCTTGAACCTCCCCACGAACCTGCACCTGCAGCAGACGGCCTTTCTGTTCCTCAACGGTCCGGACGACGAGTCGAGTTTTTTCAAGGAGCGCGCCGGCAAGCCCTGCCGGTCGTGGTTTCCCAACTTTGAGACGGGCGCCGCGGCCATGGGGGAGTATGTGGATTCCATGGAAGAGATCGAGGAGGAGAACCTGGACAACTGCGTGCGGGTGGTCAAGCACAAGTTGTTTCCGTTGCTGGAAAGCTTGGTGCACGACTGCGGCTGGGGCTACAACGAGATCTTCCTCCTGGGCCACGGGCAGGGCGGCGAGGTGGCGCTCGAACTCTTCTACCAACTGTACCGGAAGAGCCTGAAGGCGTCCGCGGAGGAGAACGCCAAGCACGGATTCTTCCAGCTGGGCGGCATTCTTGCTTCCAGCTGTAGCTTGCTCCCCGCCCGGCGCCTCGAGTTGCGGGCCCATTTGACCGAAAAAAACAAGAGGGCGGCGTTGGACTCCAAGCAGCAGATGGCAGCTCGTCCTTCACCTTCTCCGCCGGGCGCATCCTCATCTGCGACTGCGAATGATATTAGAAATAAGTCTACTCCGATGAAGCTGCTGCAGGAGGTGACTGTTGCGGACGCGGAGATGAAACCGAAACCCACCCCGATCTTCCTGGTTCATGGGAAGCTGGACAAGCAGATTTCTCAGAACGTGTTCGCGAAATCGTGCGCGTTGCTGGGAAAGATGCCGGATCGCTGCGAACTGCGGATGCGCCTGTTCGCCAACCGCGGCGGGACCTTCTTGAACACCAAGGATCCCGAGGAGTGCACGTTTGTGAACCAATTTTTTGCGGACGCCCTGCACGGCTGGGGCCGCCGGGCGCAGGAGGAAACCATGAAGCGGGTGGTGCAGCGCGACCAGTCTGTTGTCGCGATGGGGGGACAGTAGACGACGGTAGGACTATGACGAACAGCGGTAAGAACTGTCGTGCGTGGATCCAGTTTTCAGTCTCTCGACCATGAAGATCTTATCTATAGACACTACTTATCAATCCATTTTCAGTCAAATTCTTGTATCTTCCGAGATATAATGAAAATAATAACGAAAGCAATTTGATGTTCTTTGAAGTACATGTACACTTCATCTTCGTAAAAATCTATGAAACATCCTCAGCGACCCACTGATTGCGATTACTTTATGGTCCAGCTAGTAGTAGTATCATCTTTCTTTAGAAACCCTCGCATGGCCGAATGACTAGGCGGGTACAACTGGCAACGGTGACCTCGTCATCGTCCGCTAACAGTAAACAAAGAGCGTTTAACTCCTCCCATCTAACGACAAAGACGAAAGCACTTTACTTAAATGATATATGACGACAACTAACTTTTGCGACAGGATATGGATAAAAAAATTGTGTAACGAACAGCACCAGATGTTGTGCCTGCGTGTAGATACTCACGGCACTCTGTACTTGAGCTTCTTCACTCTTGATGTTACTTCCAGGTTGCGCTCCAGCGACCTGCCTACTTGAGCACTTCGTTCTTGTATCTTCAGTTCTTCTTCGTGCAGCGACCCGAGCTGTATGCTCCTATTTTCCAAGATTCGTTCGCGGTCAGTTTTGACACAGACAGCGGATATTATCTTAATCTTCTCGACCGGCGAATTTTTCAGTAAGCAAATTACAGCGACAAAACGACAATACAACTACAATCTAGCGACCAATTCTTCAATATTAGACGGACCTAAAAAGAGAAAAATTTAGAAAGAGACAACACCTTATTTCATTTACGACCCCTGTGCGACATCGACAACCACAATTCGCAGTATGGAGGTTAGCAACGGAATGCACACGGCAAGTGGTCGCCTGGCTTCGTGGATCTGTCTTCAATGTTCGAGTCGTAAAAAACTACCGCCCTGTAATAGCAAGATCCTGCTACCGCCACCTGCCGAAAGAGCTGCTCAGGTACTGGAAAATGCATGTCGGGATCCAGTTAGTTCATAAAATCGATTTTCACTGGTTTTATTGTTTCTGGATCTCGACGGTTAAGCGTCTCGTCAGAAAGGTTGCATTCCTCTGTCTTTTTTGCTCGTGGCAGCACCGTGCGACGGATTAGTCAAAGGGAAGTAGTGCTTGCTTTAATTATCAATGTGTTATTTCATCGGTAGTTGGTCTATTGCAATAAAGGCGAATTCCATTCGGTGAGGAAGAAAATTCTGTGATATGGTATGTAAGTACTCACTTGCTGCAGCTGCAACATGCCCTTGCCGCGTACGAATGAGAATCTGATGCCCGAAAAAAGCACGCGGTAGTAAGCTCAGGAGGAAGTAGGAGCGTTCCACGACCTGGAAAGTGACAGTGGCGTCGGGCAGGACAAGCAGACACATTACCGCCCAGCTGTCCACGCAGTACCCGAGATTCCATTCTAGAAGTGTGCTGTTAGAGGCTGTGTAACAATTGGACCCCCTTTCACCAGGGGGGTAGTGGCCTGCTGGAGACCAACCTCCCCCCCCTTTCGTCGGGAGCCATGCGAAGTAAAAAAAGATCGGGCGCGGTGCGCTTTGAGTTGCTCCCTGTGTTGCCGGAAGTGAAAAAAATTGCGCGCGCCCGCTGCCGGTAAGCCGAGCAAGTTCGTTTTGTTCATTTTATTTATTGCTGCGCGCGCGTAATGTTGGCAAAGTTAAACTTTTTGGGGCGCGCTGCTTGCGCCCGTTGCGACTGCATTTACATCAACATCGCGCTGCGTGTGCGTGCCTACTACAGCTGTAAGCGCCGGCCCTGAAAACGCGCGCGTGCCTCCTCTCCCGCCGCAAGCGTCTCACGGCATGGATGAGGAAAGGAGAGTTCGGGCGCGCTTTGTGTGCCCACCGACTTGTGAAACCCACCAAGCTGTGAGGGATGCCCGCAGTCAACATACGGGGCACCCACAATCGGTCCGGGGCGACTTCCTGGTCGGAATGCGAAAAAAAGACAGCTCAGGCGCGCGCCCTCCTATTTCTGCCGGCGCCCCCATGTCGCACGCGACGCGGCGGGTTCGGAGCGCGCCCACAGATAACAAGCAAAAAGCCTCCTTGGGCCTATTAGTTACGTGCGCCTGTCGTGTGCCTGCTGCCGACCAACCAACTTCCCATCGCGAAGGCGCCACAAAACGAAGGGCCGTCTGGCGTTACGAGGCGAGACCCCCGGGAGCCCCCCCAGCTCCGCGCCGGGGTGCCAGCTCCCGTCCTCCGCAATTGAACCAACCTGCCCCCCCTCCCCCTTTCGCCTTCGCGAAAGGGGGCCGAAGTTGCACAGCCTTGTGAAAAATGCAACGAGGCTACTAACTCGCTCGGCGGTCGCTAAGAAGCAGGCACGCGACTGCATTTCTAAACCGAGTTTGGCTAGTACGGGTACGCAAGATTGCTCCTTCCCACTGACGACACCGTAAATCGGCTCCTTTTTCGTAAACCGACTGACGACCACACTGCGAGCGAGGTTGCTCTGGAACTTTCCAACGATGATGAACTTCTTGGGCTTGTTTCTCCTACTTGTGCGCACGGGGCCGCTTCTCGTCCGTGGAGAAATACGGTTGCACGAAGGCGACCAGGACGAGTTCAGCGCCGGTGCCTCAGCCTCAGCTTCACCACCAGACCAAACGGAAACGGAAGCCGATACCGGAAATACGAAGCCTGCTCAACTACTCCAGCACAGCTGGGAGCTGTCCTTTGCCGGAGACACCCACCCTGCTGTCGCCGGTGATAACGGTAACGGGGCGGATCCGGATGATGAGGAGCCTGAGAACGCGTTTAGTGTGATGATTCCGCGTGACGATGCGAGCGCGGTGAACTTGACGTCGCGCGCCCTCATCCTACATCCTGGCAACAATTTCGAGGCGCGGGGCGGCAGCGCCTTCATTGCCCTGCAAAGCTGGTCCTGGTTGGGTGGTTCTGGTTCTGACCTAACCGTTCCTTTCTGGAACCTCCCCACTGACGTGACTTCCTACCTCCGCCAGTGGACCTCCGACCGAATACGCAAATTTACGGAGTCATTACCACGGTTGGGGGAGGACCTCTCGTGGGACAACTTGAAGAAGATAGGTGCAAAGCCTCAACACAGGACGAAATTTATATTTGAACAAATCAAGACGCAACTGGGGCGGTCGATCACAGAACCGATTCTCAAAATGATTATCGGCGGAGAATCGACCTTAGAGAACTTTTCACGCGGAACTGCTGAACGTTTTGCCGAACGCTTTCTGCTTGTTCTGATGCCCCTCGTGGACCCCGACTCGACGGACAAGATTGATTCCGTCAGGGAAATGTTCAAGAGCTATTTTCTGAAGCCCGGCGGACTAGCGACGTGGTTGCGTCATTACCTCGAGCATAGACTACTCCCGAAGATCATTCACGGAATTGAGGAAAGCGTTCTGGGCACGACGTATGTGTCGATCAAGCAAGAAGAACGAGGAGCATCGGATACGATAACTACGCGACCAAGCGTAACCGACCCGGACATAATTGACCACGAAGCAGAATTACTAAAATTACAAAAGAGGGTAGAAGCGAGAGCACGAGGCAACTCAGCCTCAGCCCCGGAGCCAATGACAGCAGCAGAGCTTCAACAAGAGAAGGAGAAGCGCAGGAAGCTTCGTGCGCGTGCTGATCGCCATGTTAAACATCTGCAGCACTTAGAGCAGGAGACGCCCGAGAACAAATTCCAATTAATACAAGCAATGCGCATCTGGAGCTGGACCACTTCCGGAACGACATCCGGAGAAAACAGGCACGTTGCGGCGCCCTACGAAAAGGTGAGGCATTGCTACGACGAGGAGCGCCACCCCCACGGTTCACAATCTGCAGACCTTTGCTACGTCGACCACCACGATGCTGCTTTTATACAGATTCACGCAAATCACCAGGAGTGCAGCCATAGCCAACAGCACGAGGGCGAGCGCCAGCACAATCGTCAACGACGCAACGGGCAACACCAACACAATGGGGAACTAACTCCCATGCCCAAGACGAAGGCAGGACAGAAGCACTGCGAAACATTGGAGGGCGTGGAGCTGTCATTCAACACGGATCTCTTGCCTGCGCACAAGCTACTTCAAACTGGTTTTCTGGGAATCACTTTAGTGGAGTCGCTGGCCGATGTTATGAGCGAGCTCTTTCTCGTCGCGATCTGGGAGGAGTTGCAGGACTCATTATTTGCGTTCTTTTTGGACTCCGCACTGGTGGTCGTCGACGTGATAATCAGCACACTCGCTTATCTTCTTCAAGATGTAACGGGTCAAATAACGGAGTGGCGCAAAGCAGCCGAAATATCGCTCCAGGTTTTTATTGGTAACGCGCTCTTTCATGCGTTCGATGTTTTGCCGCGTACTGTGATACCACAGGCGATTCGAGATGACCTAGCTGACAGCAACAACGCGGAGGTGATCGAATCCTTTATTCTTATTCCTCTCGCCGCCGCGCTTCAGAAGAAGGACCATGCCGCCAAGTGGAATCGTGGCAATTATGTGGCCATCCGGCCGGAACAAATTCTGGAACGAAGACGAACAGTAGAATTCGAAAAATTTGCGTCCCGGTGGAACAGGTTTGTTATTGTTTCAACAGGACAATCCGGTCCGCCCGGATCAAATCCGCGACCGCGAGCCACAGCAGAACGAGGAGAAGGGGACTTCCTAGAGAGGAGTTGCGGCCCTGCGGCATCACGGGCGCTGACGTTGTCTGCGCAAAGAGCGCTTGCGCGGACAGTTGGAGATACCTTTCTGCAATTCGCTGACGCCAGCACGTTTTTACAAAACCTCAGGGTCGCCGACCCTGTCTTAGGATGGTCATGGGCGTTGGCGCGGCCAGTCGTGCGGAAATTCGCGGAAGAAGCCGCCTTTCAACTTATCGCCTTGGCGGAGGCATTTTCATTGCAAGTAGCCGCAAGCGCAACAGAAACAATATCAATAGATCGTCGCATCGCCGTATCAAAGCTCGAAAATGAAATCCGTGCCGGTTTGAGCGAAGCGGTCAAGAAGAAGGTGGAAGCGGTACTTAAGGAAGTTTTCGGCGACAAATATCTCGGGAATAGTGGGGCGCAAAAAGAAACTGCCGCCGCCGTGCAGCTGGCAGTTTCTCTCCCGTTGCAACCTAAACTGCGCGGTGCGACGTCGTCGCTTATTCAGGAGAGTGACAGCAGCGCGCTGGAGCGGGACCGAGCCGAGACTCAACACGGAGCAAAGCAAATTGCTCATAATATGGCGCACACGGTGCCTGAGCTCGAAGATGATCTGCTTCCGCCACTCGGCCTAGTCCATGCCAACGGAACTGAAGCCGCAGAAACCGATCTGGAGGAGGCTTTCATCCAGGCGAGGAAGAAACCAGCGGCATCGACACATGACCAGGAGAATGCCAGCAAGACGGTTGCTGAAAAAGCGCAAGCTTTTATCAAGTGGTTCGAAGACGAGGTTAAGAAGCTCGTCAATGGCGGCAATGAGTTAGGAAGACAAGTCGAGAAAGGAGAGTTCTCGTTCTACTTCTGGCTAAAGGCGGCTGCGTTGAACAGCATCAGCGCCAGCGGCTTCAAAATTTACAGCGCACTGGACTTTCTGGAAGATGTTGATAAGCTTCTCCACAAGAGTACAGCCGGTGCGGTCGCGGTCGAAGTTGCGCGGAAGGTCGCATTATCACAGGACCCCAAATTTGCACCGGCTGAAGTCGCCGCAATCTTGAACGCCGTAAGCGGGACGATGCACAGCAGTTCATCGCTCAAAGAAGCGGTCAGCTTTTATCCGCTTGTAGTGCAAAAAGAAAACCCGGAGCAGGAGTTGCTGCGGGGGCTCCGAGATGCTGTCCCTGTCCTTCACAAATTTTTTGCGAACCCTGGGAAAACGTTGCAACGATTGAGGGAAACGTTGCAGCGCCTGGACTTGGAAAGCACAGCAAAAGCTGTCGTCGAAGCCATTGTGAATCGGGGGTTGGAGTATGCCAGAAAGTTGCTTAAAGCTCTCCCCCTCTCGGGACATTCGCAGTCACATTCACATTCGCATTCACATTCACACTCACATTCACATTCACATTCACATTCACATTCGCATTCGTCACAACACTCGTTCACGCAGACCGAACACGGATTCACTCCGGCCCGACCAGCAACTGCGTTCGACCTTTTTCCCAAGGAGCAATTTTTCGAGGACGCACGGAACGTGTACGTGGGTTCTTCCGAGCCTTCTTCGCCGACCGAAGCCCATTCTACGCACGAAAAACAGGACGGAAAGGTGGACGAATGGGCGGAGTATGAGAAGACCTCGTCCTCCTCAAGCTCGAGCCCGATCATAAGGAAGTCGAGCCCGCAACACGACGAACAATCAGGATCCGGACTGTTTCTGTTCGGCGAGGAGGAGGACGAAGAGGCGGACAGCTTTTCATCGTAAAGTACAGCAGCGCGACAACTTCACGGGGACGATTTCCATAACGACGAAGTTGCAGCATTCTCGACCCCGACCGCCTCCTCCAGTTTTACTTCCTCGACGTCCTCTAGTTCCTCTACTTCCCGTATTAACAACATCAACACGAGCGTGGACCTGCCGAAATCGGAAGAGAAGGAGCAGAAGTTGAAGGAGGAGGAAGAGGAAAAGTAGAAAAAGACAGGCGGGAGGGTGGACGAGCAGCAGCAAATGAAGCAGGTGTACGAAGGAGGTGTCGATGACGACGACATCTAATCAGACGGGAAGATAGCAAGATTCCCATGCTGTTTCATCGCGACGATGAATACATGTAAAGCCCAGCCAATGCAAGATCGAGCCCGCACCAGCATCCTGTTTCACTATTCTCGCGCAAAAGCAACCTCCACATGAAGGACCCCGACGACTCGGCCCCGCCCTGTTTTACTGTCCAGCACCCTGGTCATACACATGCGATCGACTGTAGTACAAAACGCATCCACGACACCGACAAAATTGACGCCCACGATAGGCAGAGGGAGACAGCAACAACATCAAGCGACTAAACGACGAAACTTTGATGAAGCTGCGGATCTTTCTTTCATCGACAGTGACAGATGTCGAAGAAGCTGGAAGAGAAAGCTGATACTGAAGACCGAAGATGTTCTTGCAGCGTGGTTTGGTTTTTCGAAAATGAAGAATTTTTGATCTGTCTCTTTTTTGTGGATCTTGAGAAGTAGAAGTATGAAGACGATGCGTCTTTCTTTTGTGGGCTATGATGTGTCTTTCTTTTGTGCGTCTCAAGTATGTGGTGATAAGTCGTACTATTGGTCTCTGTATAAGTATTCCCATTCGTCGAGGACGAAAATGCTGTGATGCAACCTATGGCGTACTCAGATGCTATATCGCCAGGCCTTGCGGCGTTTGTCATGCAGGACTATCAACAACATGCAGGAGCCCGATAGTCTAAACAGCTACGAAACCTGCCTCGCAAATGCATGGGGCCGCTGACGACGCAACTTCTGAGGCCGCCTTAGTGCTCTTCCTCTTGTGCGTCACCCTGTGCAGCATGGTGTGGAGTTTTTCCCGGTAAAAATCCCGGGTCCCCTGGTGTCTGGTGTCTACAGGAGCTAGCTGCTTGGCGATCGGATTCCATTTTTGGATGAAATTGCGCGCAAGCCGGACGTCAGCGACAGGAAGAGAGAAAGGAGCTTGCGCTGCCACTTCGTCTGCTGATGCTACCGCATATGCGCGGAGAGGCGCGTGCTCTGGCGCTGTTTTTTTCGAGCTGGTAGCGGTGCCGCTTCCGCTTTCTGGGATAATCCGCGCCTTGATTTCATCGCCAACCGGTGTGTAGCCAGAAGGAGGTCCAGCTGCGCCACCTACTTCGGCGTTGATGGTTTCTTTGGCCCCGAGGTTTCTAGTTCCACTACAAGAGGCGAAGCTGCTCGCCATGTTTAGTGCGCGACTGTTGGTCAGCATGTCCTGGACACGGTCAAGAAGGTGCTGCTCGTCTTTTTCCTTCTCCTCGGGAACACGAAAGAGCAACGTCTCATACATCTTCCGCCGGACGGGGTCGCAGAGGTTATCGGGGAAAAAAATTCGCCACCCCATACCCAGGCTGGAGTGATCTGATGCTGATTTGTGGCCACGATTCACGCTGTCATGCCAAACGGGAAAAGATGCGGAAACAGCATGACAGATTGCCTGCGAACTTCGCTTCTTGTTGCTTTACCAATACAGTCGAGCTGCTCATGCAAATCCAACATGACGGCTTTCCTCTCTGGTTTGGGGTGAGGGGGTTTTCCTCACAATAAAGACAATAACTCTTGACATCTTCCGTGTGGGCACAGCTACTTAAGTAGGGAACGCCGCAATCACATTCAAGCCAACAGATTGTGCCCATGTACTTGTTGTGCAGCTCCTGCCCACGTCGTAGTGGTGCTCCTTTTTCGTTGCCGCCCCCTTTTATGTTGCCGCTCGGCTTTACGTTGCCGCCCCCTTTTACGTTGCCGCCCTTTTTGTTGGGTGTTTTCCCTTTGCCCTTTCCACCTCGTCGCTTCTGGTTGAGGTTTGGAAGCTGGAATGCTTGTGCGGCAGCCGCTGGGTTTGTGCTCGAGGAAGAAGCGCTGGCATTATTGTTGGCGAGGGTGCGGGAACTGCTGGATGAAGAACCGCCAACCTGCTCGCTGTGAAAGTTCAACATCTGCGGCAGCGCTGCGACTGGGGGAAATGTTGCAGGATTGGATGCGACGCTGCTAGATGATGGACATCCACAGACCTGGTTAGCTGGGTGAGCACACGCGGGTATTACGGGGGCACTGTTGTCAACGACTTCATCGCAGAAGAAATCGTCCGCGGATGCCTGGAGGACCAGGGCGTCTCCGGGAAGTGGTTTTCTTTTCTTCTTCGGCGCCATCTTGTAAAAAATGGAACGCGGGCAATTATTTTCTTTTGAACTTTGGCAAATTGGTCGTTGGGCTTACGTTCGTATGACTTTCCTCTCGCGATAAAAAAAAAACCCACAAATGCTGTTGGGGAAAGTAGCGCTCATCTCTCATGAGAAAAAAAAGGATTTGTCACCGCGGGGATGGATGGGAAAAAAATGGTAGAGCGAGCGTCGCTGTGATGCAGGACCGAACTCCTTGACAGCTTGCCACCCTATGCTAGTAGATGCCACTGCTCGTTATCAGGGGCTTCGCTACGGTCAGGGACTCCATCAAGCTATGAGAGAGTGTCAAAAAACATTCACCATAGCGGGTCCCCGCTACGATCAGGGGCTCTACCGACGGACTTTGCTACCAGGGGTTTTCTTTTGCAATTTCTACCACCTTTGATCGCGCACAGAAGTTTTGCTATCAGGGGTCTCGCGTCGCTATCAGGGGTCTGCGTCACGGTCCGGAACTACCGAATTTGCTATAGGGGGACTACCGACTTTGCTATCAGGGGTCTTTACGTCCGGGGTCTTTACGTCCGGGGTCTTGCTAGCAGGGTCCGGGGTCTTTCTATCACCCTTCTTAACCCGCCGAAATAACACCTTGGTCTCCCTCACCCGATACCTGCATGCATCAACCCAGAATCGACAATGCCGCCAAAAAACGAAAGCCGCAGAGAGAGACTTCGAGATCAGAAAGCAATGTCGGGGTTGTTTGCAATGTTGCGGCGTTGCAACATTCCCAGGGACCGCCCGCGTGGAGGACGCACATGCAGGGTTTTTGGTCCCCTCAGTGCCACAACGCAGTTTGCTGTGGCACTTCATGCAAAGGTCGTATGAAAACTTGTTTGCGAGGTTTCTTCAGAAGCTTTCTTAAGGAGCTCTCTTAAGAGGTACCGCCTAAGCAATTTTTTTTAGAATTCATTTTCTAAGAGCCTCCTATAGATTATAAATTACAGGCACACCTTGACTCATTTCTGAATAGTTATTATTATTCCCATTCGTCGAGGACGAAAATGGTGTGATGCAACCTTCTGCAACCTGCCCCCGTAGCTTTCGGTGCCGAGTACGAAGTAGAATTCGATGCAGGAACACAGAAAAATGCAGCATCCAATCGAAGAAGAAGCTTTCCACGACTTGGAAACTGAGAGTGACGTCGGGCAGGACAAGCAGAAACACATTTCCGTGCAGCGGTCCGCGCGGGGCCCCCCGCGGCCGCCAATTCCAACTAGTCCCGCTTTTGTTGAGATGCAGATGCAACCGGTTCCGCACACGCTTTCATCGGGGAAAATGCGGTATCTCGGCCTCCCTGAACAGAAGATGTCAAGGCCAGCGGCTGTCGTGGAGGAGGCAATAATGGTAAAACCGATCGCCGCGCCACAGCCGCAACCCCGGTTGAGTGCAGTGTCGCCCGGAACTGCACAAGAGCAGGAGGTGGTGGATGAGGAGGAGATGCATTCTCTAGCCTATCTTCCCGCCGCGGAGCACGTGCCCTACCAGAATCTTTTCGGGAAGGTGCTTTTCGGAAAAGGGGGCTACTACGGGCCCGCGAACGCAGCAAACGTGCCCCTGGAACGGCGTCTGAAAATCTACATCGCGCTACGCATCTACTACATTCGGCACATCGATTGTAAGGAAGGGACCTACGAGCTGTCCTTCCGCCAGCTGAGAACCATCCGCAAGCCGCCGGGGATGGAACACGTCCTGCCCCTCCTCCGGGAGCGTGCGAAACTGATAGGGGCACGAATGAGCAACGTGCCTCGAAATTCCCATAGTGCATCAACTCAGCAAGTGCCAAGCCCCGCACGAGCCACGACCGAGCGGACCAGCAATTCGAACGCTGCTTCACCACCTTCCCGCGACCACCACCACCTGGAAGGTGCGGTCGTGGAGAAACTGCAGATCAGGCCTGCTCTGGCATCGTCACCAACTGCCGTGAGTAAAGTTGGAGTGGTACTATCAGAACCGAACTTGGTGATCGGAGGGTGCTCCCCGCAACCCAGCCCCGCCGCGCGCTCACACGCTGCGCAAATGGAAGCGGAAGAGTGGATGCTGCCCACGCGCTACTATCTTTCGCCTTACGCACTGAGGAATGTGCTGCCGTGCGATCTGAAACTGTTGGACCAAGAATTTTTGTCAGTTCTACAACCTGTAGCAGAGTACCTTTGACACAAAAATCCATGCGTGAACATAGACGTTGTCGTTGTACTCTGAGCGGACTAAAGAGAGACGACCACATGTATGCTTGTGGACCTGCTAAAGAGTGAGCACTCTGCACATGATAATGTCAACTGAAGAATTCTTGTTTTTGTGCATCTCGATGAATATTACAAAAATTCTGCTTCCGTCAACCATGATCGTTCCACGACACCTTTTTCCTTTGAATGCAGCGGGGAGCAGCGAGAGTTTTCCGCGGAGATTCCCCTGCCGCAGGAGCTCGTGTTTTCGAACCGCTTGGACGAGGGCGCGGTCACGTATCCACAAAAAAAGAACCAACCCCATCTTCCGATTTGTCATGCAAAACATGCATAAAATCCAGTATTTGTCATGTAAAAAATGGATGGGGATTGATTGTTGTTTCGTTTTGGATATCACGGAAGACGAACCCTTCGTGCACCTCGAGACGGGCGACGTGCACCACTTTGTGTACGGCCGCGTGACGCTCGAGCACCAGTACGACATGCGGCAGTTCCCCTTTGACGGCCACAAGCTGCCTGTATGAAATGCAAAAATGTCTGGGTCTGGAAGATTCTGAGACTTGTCAACATGCATGTTTTGCATGACCCAGGACGACTATAATGCACGCCCTAGCATCACAGATTTTCAGAGGGCTTCCTGATGCCTACTCCGCATGACAAGCGCTCTCCTCGCGTAGCACAAACTACACTCCTCTTGCTGGTCATGCAATACAGAGCTTCTTAGATTCCGAAGTTAGCATCACAAGTTCCAACCTTCCAGACCCAGACATTTTTGCATTTGATAGCCTGCGCAGTTGAGCAACTGCTTCTCCGGGGACCAAAGTTTGATGGATGTGGTGGTCTACGCGGTGGACTTTGACTATGGATGTGTCAGGATCAAAATCGACAAAATCGAAAAACTTGTGATGCATAAAATGTAGAGCACTGGAGGCCTGTATTGGGGAGCAGGCATATGAGGCCGAATGTAAGCCTGTGTAGGGGTATGCAATCATGTGCTGCCAGAGTAGCATGACAGGAGGAGTCTTCTTTCCCCAATCAGCATGATAGACTGGATTTTGGTGCTCCCGAAATTTGTCATGCGCCACTTGAAAGCTGAGGCTTCAACTGACATCGATTTTGTGCATCACAAATTTTTTGATTTTGGCAATTTCGCTTCTGACACTCCCATATTGACCGCCGCTGTTGCCACGACCCGGAGTGGGACGTGTGCGTGCCGGAGGTGGACCGCAAAGGGCCCGCGGAAACGGTGATCTACCTGCCGGTGCAGCGCTACCACTTCTACTACACCCTGAACTTCGTCGTCTTCATGTTCTTCCTCAACCTGATCGGGCTCACCGGGTTCGCGGTGGTATCCCACGAAAAAAGTGTTACAGTTACACATGTGTTGTCAATTCAGCAACACAAATTTTCTCTGCATGAGAGAGAAAACTTGCAATGCAGAGATCATAAGGGAAAACACGTATGAAATGAGGCTCCTAAGCATTTTGTGCATGACAGAGCTTGTCTCTGTTGCTTGCTCTGCAACACAATGTGTAACTGTAACAGTTTTTTCTTTGCATAGGTGGCCACCGACGACGTGGCGGACCGGATCGCGATCTCCGCCACGGTATGCATTGCAAATATGTCAGTCTGGGTCTGGAAGATTGCGAGACTTGTCATGCTGGTGTCTTCGGATTCTATAAAAAATTTGTATTGCATGAGCAGCAAGAGAAGTAGATTTTGTGCTCCGCGGAGATGGCATTTCTCATGCGGAATAGGGATGAAGAAGCGCTCTAAAAATCTGTGATGCTAGGCCATGCAATACAGGCAATATGGATCATGCAAAATGTGCATGACAGTGACAGATCTTGTTGCATTTCTCCAGACCCAAACATATTTGCAGTTGATACACGGTGGCGCTGGCCGCGATTGCCTACAAGCTGTTCTGCTCCGACGTTTTACCGAAGATCAACTACAACACCGCCCTGGACTGGTACATTCTGCTGTCCTTCCTCTGGATCTTTCTCCTGAACAGCTACTTCGCGACGGCGAGCTCGCACTTCCTGTTCAACTTCGGCGGCGACAGCGCGGCATCGGAGGCGGAGGTGCGAGCGTTCACGAAGGAGGAGGAGCGGGTAGCCTGTGGGTCGCTCACCTGCCTCGCCATCGGCATCTTCGCCGGGTGGCCGTTATTTCGGTACTTTGTCGTAAAACGCGACTTATCCAGTGCAAAAGTCTCGTTACTCGTACTCTACTAATTGCGTTTATGCATTACAAATCTCTTTACTAAGGCAAATCCGCATTACAAATTGTAATGCTAAGTGAATTTGTAATGCAAGTTAGACTAGTGCGATTGCGATACTTTTGCAATGCATATGACTGGGCAGTGGTGGATCCCAACGCCACGGAAGATCCGTACATCCTCTACCTATTCTGCGAAAACGTGTTTTTCTTGAAGAACATGCTGCGGATGTAGGAACGAGATCCGCAGGAGTTGTTGGATGAGTGACCAGGGATGTAGTTGTGGCCACACGAAGACCACAAGATGAAACTTGTAAGATGATCTTGTAGAACTACCGTCACCAGCGGTAACTCGAGATGACTGATAGGAGAAGTGCACCATCCATGAGCATGACCAACAGTGCCATGAGCATGACCACATTTCGACACTTCTTGAATAAATTAATACCGTTCAAAATGATAGTACTCGTGTCTCGTGTGCCCAGATAGAAAATGTTCCTTCTGTTTTAGTACGGAGTACGACTACGTCTCGCTGATTGTTGTTGATGAGTCCACAAGCTAGGCACAAGACTGCCCGTGATCAGAATGATCTTTTTGATCATCATATACCTGCTTCTTGGTAGTTGCATCAAACGGAATATCGAGAAAACGAGAACGGAGATCAGAATTTAGCTTGAGAGGAATGTGCCTTTTCTTCGTGTGCCCTGTCAGAAACGGTACATCATATTTAGGATCCTCAGACGAGAAGGAGCTCTGTATAGACAAGTGCCGATGTTCAGGATCTGCTTACCACGACGTACGGGAGTAGGAGCAGTGCGTCAAGTACAAAAGTGAGCATCTGGATCTCGCATGTTTTTTTACCGTCATGGAAATGCGACGGGCCATTCATGCTTGCATTGAACTTGAAGTACTAGTAACTTACAACCTTCAACAAACCAGGACTGTATAGGGAGAAGCATTCGACGTCTTAATAGCGTTTCAACAGACTGCTCTTTGAATAAGTACTGATTTTCTAGACGTAGACCTAAAGGCTCACTGTGCCTTCTTGTTTGATTGAGACCTGTGGTCATCTCCAACCTACCCCACAATGGCTCTCACGCTGGACCGGTCGCGGTTGCAGGAGATCGAGCGTCTCGCGAACGAAGTGCTCATGGAGCAGGAGGAGCTTCGGGAGCGGATACGACGCGCCGATGGAATACGGCAAGGATTAAACGCCTTGACGACGACGGCACACAGCAACGTTTCCAAACTGGACCGCAGCTCCAAGGTGCGGGAGGCAAACGTGTGGCTTTCCACGGGGCTGAGCGACGGCGACCACTTTGTACGCCTGTCCAAGAAGAGTGCGCGGGAGAAACTGGAGAAGGAGCGCGTGCGCACGCAGACGGAGGAAAAGGAGAAACGGGCAGCGGTGAAGAAAGCCCTGAAAGAGTTGCACAACAAACACCCGAGCAGCGCGGAAATCGCTCCGGGCGTCCTAGACTTGCTCATTCAACAGGAAGCGGAAGAGAAAAAGGCCGCGGCGGAAAAAAAGGACCACAGCAGCAGTGCGTCGAAGTCGGCGCAAGGTGTGGTGCGCCGCGACCGCTTGGATTACTCGCAGTGGAACGCCATAACGACCTCTGACAGCGAAGATGATGACGATAGCGACATGTAGTGGATACCAGTAGAGCAAACATATGAATTTCAACGTGAAGCAGGTGAACAAACTACGCGACACAAGTGCTCCAACTACTCATTCCTTCAAGAACCTTGATTTTGAACCATTGGCGTGTATTACTACAAAGCGAAAGCAGGCATAATCTACCTTTCGTCTGACACAGGCAAAAAGCTGTTTTTTTTGCTTCGACTTGTTGCCAGTGGTGGTACCGGCGAGTGTCCCAACGAAAAAATGAGCCAGCAGTGTGCGGTCGTATGAGAACGAGCTGAGACTGGGTCTGCTCGGAGCTGTGCCGGATCTAAATTTCGGTCGTGAGCTCAAGAAGAAAGACGGGAGATCAACAGATAATCGCAGATCAGAAAATTCTTGTCAACAAACCAAGTACGAAATAAAGCCAGAGAAGAAATACAAAAACCGTCACGAAGATCACGCGCTCTAAATGGAGAAAACGGTGAAGTCAAATCGCTCCTGGTCTCGTATTAACTCACAAAGTATCCTCTTCCACTTTAGTTTATTGATGTTTTTCATCGTCTCTATCTCTCCCAGTTCGTACGTGAGAAAGTAATAACTCTGTACGTAAGTAATAAGGTTGGGCTGTTTATATTCAATTGTCCTTGCGTATTTCTTTCTTTTTGCTCTGCACTTGTTGTTTCAGTTTCGCCAAAAGACATCAAAATCTGCTTTGCTGAATTGTCCTATTGGGTAAGTTTCGTGGCAGTTCCCAAATCATGACTAGATTTGAGCTGCTGCTCGGTCTGTTCTCCACTTGGCGATCATGACGAAAGTTGAATTAGAAGGTCACTTCCACCGGGTGGAGGTGCCGAATGCTGTGGGGAAAAATGCTTCTGCTCCTGCAGAGTTCGCAACAAGGAGCAGCAGCAGCTCTGCGGCCGCTGCTGATTTTCCTCCCGTCAGTATTCGGGATTTGGTTATCTTGGAAGCGGGTACTATCGGGGAACAAAGGCAGCAGCTGAAGGCCGATGGAAGACCGCGCCCCGAGTCGCAAGCGATAATACACTGCCAGCTTTACGGTCGTATCGTAGAAATTGCTGCGTCAAAGAAACATGTGTCCTTTGTGTTTGAAGATCTGTGCGGCGACACTATTGCGGTGAATATCAGCAGTCCACCAGCGGGAGCCCGGAAAACGGAAGACGGTCCTGCGGGTAGTGCTAGCGCCGGACCGCATGCGCGCGAAGAACAAGGTTATTTTGAGAGTACTAAGACGAAAAACAAGAAGGAAAGGCAGTATAATTCCGCAAGTGCGAAGTTCCTTGCCGCTGGCCGCGGCTTGCGGATCCTGAAGCCTAAGATCGTGGACCTGCGCGACGTGACCTGCACCGCACGGCAAGCTCTGCAGACGCTTTCAGCACGAGACACAAGTTATTTCTGTGCCAAAACTACAAGTAACGGCTCGTCGCTGACCCCTACTTCGTCCTCTAGCAGAGCGACCACGACTTCTTGTGTAGTAGGCTGCGTCGATTTTACTCCTGTACTTGAAGTCGACGACCCTGATGGAACGGTTTTTGCTTGGAATTTCCCAGACACGCATGAGGAGTGGCTTCAATTGGCATTACACTTTTCGAAGACTGGCGATGTAGAAGCAGAAAAATTTTTGGACGACGGTGAGGACCACGCCCAAGAAATAAACACCCGACAGGACCACAACTCCAGAAGGGCAATATGCTTTTCGCAAACACAAAACCTCCGACATCTCCAACTTGCCCTCACCTGCTACCACCGGGCACTGGAGTCGGTAAAACTCCGTCGCGAGTATGCCAACCTGCTTACGAACTACGGTTTGTGTCGCTACAAGCTAAACCATTATCCGGACGCGATCCGCGCGTGCTTGCAGGCTGCCTTCCTGAACAGCGGAGACTACCGGCCCTGGCGCATTCTGGCGGACGCTTTGCGTGCGCTAAACGCCCCCGTCCCCGACGCGATTGTGTATGCGATTGGCGACGAGCTTGTCAGAACCGTTGTTGCCGTCCGAAAGCAACATGAGAGCCTCGGTGGAACCGTGTTGAACTCGGCGCTGAGTAATTCATTTCTTCGACGGGATGAAATAACTGATAGCACGGACGAGGTCTGTAGTACAGGTCGGCAATGTAGTGACACGGATCATGTGAGAGTGAGGAAGCAGTTGTTCAAGATGCAGGACGAAACAGCGAGAAAAAAGTGGGACGGTAACACCAACACATTGGAGTTTTACAAAACTTTCGCACACGACGTTACAGAAGAGGGCAGAAAAGCGATTGGAGCTCTCGGATATGCGGCAGTTGTTCTTCTGTCGGGCGTTATGTGCTTCAAACCTGACGAGCACGACAGTTCTACAGCGGGAGCAAAGATGAAAGATGGCCCCAAGAACTACGACCGCTTCTTGGGTCCACCTGCGAGCACGAGCGAGGAAGTAGATGAGCATCTTCACACCAAGACAGTTGAGAAGGGCCGCTCCCACTTCCGCCGCCAGGAATTCGCCGAAGCTATGCCATTGTTCCAGCGGGCGCTTTTTGGGACGCAGTACTACGAACAAACTAGACGACAGTGTGCAGAAGCCCTTTCCGCCGAGAGCTGCCTCCTGCAGCAGCTTGTGCAACAAAAACGGGCGAAAAATAGTAAAAGCAGCAGGAGCCTTGTGCAGACGTCTGCTCGCAACTTAACACCAGAAGACGAGCAAAAAAGTTCGCAATTGCGGGAACTTGAGAGCCGGGACGAGTCCTGGGAACAAGACTGCGGTGTGCTGGATGGCACGGCTGTGCGTCTCGCGCGTCTCGGAGTCTTGGAAAGTTGCGTGGCCACGTTGCTCGATCCAAATTGCGGGAGAGGTGCAGCTTTCCTCCTGCAGCACGCGTGTTTCAAGGCGCTGTGGCAGCGCGAGAGTAGAGATCTGCAACTATTACCAGAAGCTGAAGAAAGGCCTTGCCGTGAAAGAGAAGCGCCATCGGCGTCGTGGGAGAGGTTGTTTGCGAAAATGTTCAAGAAAGACGTCGAAGGTGATCTGCCTGGGCAGAAAATAGCGCTCCGCGCCGGACACGAGAACAATGGTGCAATGGAAATAGCAAGCACGAAGCACGAGGCGTCGAGCCCGTGCGGCCAGCTTGTCAACTACTTTGTTAGGCAGTTCGGGAGCGAACGAAATGGCCAGGCGGAGTCGGAAAGCAGCACTGCTTCAAAAGTGGATTTTCACGACGAGCAGGGCTCCTCCGAGGCCGTTCTTACGCAAGAAACCAGGGAAAATGTGCTAGCACATCTGGATTCCTTGCGCCCTGCAGGATCTTCTACTTCGGAAAAGCACGAGGGACGAGTGCAGTTGTGTGGTGCGCCGTTCGATCTAACAACTCTAAAAACTCTCTGCAACATCGCCACCCCTGCATCAACGCAACTAGCAGAAAGCGACGGTGGCACCAGCAGGCAACAGCTTGCATTGAAGGTGGGAGAGGACGGGCGCCGTCCTGATGCTGCTGAAGATGATGTTGTTGAAGATTCTTTGAAACTTGAACTAGAGAAGAAAGCCTCGTCGTTCGCTGTTGATGTGCAGGGGGCACAAGTAGAGCAGCAGGCCGAGGAAGTAGCCACTCCGTCCACGATATCGGTCGGGACGCCTAGTACAGCAGATGAGACAAAAACGGATGTCCAAGAAGAAGACCAGCCAAGTGCCCGACTCCCGACGCCCCAGCGGCCAGGTCGGCGGGCCGAAAAGAGGCAGAGGCTCCTGGAGAAACAAGAACGGGAAAAGGTAGCAGCAGCAAGGAAGCAGCTGTATGAGAGTAGTGTGAACATTCTGAAGGTGGATAAACGACATCTGGAAGTAATAACGCAGTGGGCTACAAAGGCGAACGAGGCCTTTTTCTTATCTACCGCTGCGTTTGACGCTCATCGCGAGAGCTCACAGGAGGAGCGAGTAGCTCGGCTGAAAAAGAATGGCAAAGGCCTGGAACCTGCTCTGTACAAAAAGATGGCGCGTTTGGTTGACTTTCTCCCAACGTGGGGCGAATGCCTGGCCCACCGGGACTGCGTGCTGCGGTTTTCGCGTGACCGCTTCCTCGATAAAAAAACACCAAGTGCCTCATCATCCACAACGTCAACACAGCCCGGTGCGGCAGGATCAGGATCACCAAAAACGAACTGGTTTGCGGGAATCGAAGACGATTTTGCGGAATCAGTATTGCATGCAAGCAGACTCTTAGCCGAAACAAACCCCATTCTGGAGGCGATACAGCTGGCGGTGTCCGCTCACCCGAACAGAGAATACGAAAAGTCCCTGCCCATGTATAGTTTCGACCGAACCGGTCGCTGGGCGGGCGCGGATGCGCAAACCGAGGAATTTCTTCGGAATGTTGACTTGAAAAACAAGCTGGGTCCTTATTTCGTGGACGACAAGATAGTAAACAAAGATGGAGATAAAACGATGACGCCTGCTGCTGGAGCTGACCCTGTAGTTGACGCTCAACCTAAAAAGCAAGCGAGAATGTTTCGTACCGGGGCGCATGTGCTAGACCACCTGCGCAAGGAAGAGAATCTGGGCGCATTCAAGGTAGCCTTGACACCTGACGCAACAAGCAAAGTTACCATTCTTCCTGGGGAGTTCCGCGCGCAACCTTGGGATACTCGTGGGGTTCCGCCCGTGGTGCGTGTCACGCTAGGGAAATCGATCCATATGCAAGTCGGAATGCTTGACCTTCGCGAATTATTGAACTTGGAGATAGTTGAGGACCACAACAAGAAGAACAGCGAGCAGATGATAAAAAACGCGAGCGAAGGTGGCAAGAAAGATAAGGAAGAGCAGCTCAAGCCCGGAGCGTCGCAAGTCGCAATCATCGGCCTCAGTAAGAGCCACAGATCCTACGCGAAGTGTTGCGTGCTTGTGCACATGTTGCGCGACCCAGCCGTGCCGGTACTTGCCATTCTCGAGGTTTGGTATTCCTCGGTGTGGGCGCCCGCCACGCTGACAGCTTTTCGAAACGCCTGCAAGCAGCTCGTGGAAGACCCGGGCACGTTCGGGATGACGGCCTCCTGTAAGGCAGCTCTGAGTGACTTCCTGCCATTTTGGCTCAACCAGGAACCGCTCCCGCTCGCGGAAGCGTACCGGAGTTGGATGCGAAACCACGGGGAACTGCCGGACGAAAGACCGGCGGACGACGGTCATGGCCAGCCTTTGAAATGGACGTGCTTCCAGGCGTGTTGCAACCTGCGGGAGCCGCACGACAGCGAGGCCCTAGTGGATTACTGCTTCACCGGAAACCTAATACTGCAGCCGCCTCCGTGTTCTAGTACTTCGTCCCAGATATTAAACGAGGGTGACAGCACCAGCACACTCCCAGAGTACCAGCCCGATGAAGAAATCAAAAGTTTGCATCGCGGTGGGAACAACAACAACAAAAAGTCCAAAAAGCGGGGCGGATGCAAAGAAAAGGAAAGAGAAATGGAGGACAAAGTGGAGGCGTTCTTGAACGAGCGCGGGGACGAAAAGAACAATCCCCGGTTCAACAACAAGTCTTTTGTGGGCAACGTCACCATCTGGAACACTCCGGAGGCCGACATTCAGCTGCTGCAGAATAGGCTCCACGCGTTGGCAGCGATGTCGATGGCGGAGTATCTGGAAGAAAGGAAGGTCCGATACAGTCTGGCTGAGCAGAAGGAAATTTTCGGGTTCCAGTTCGAACCAAAGACCATCGTCGACTTGTTCATCAGTCGCACGGCGAGAAAGCTTTGGAATTTTCGCAAGCTTTTGCGTGCGGACAAGATCCTCTTTAGTTTCATGCAAATGCCTCCGCTGTCCCAGCCGAAGAGCCAACGGAATTTCTACGAAGCGATCGGGGAAGTGAAGCCCACCAGCATTTCGTGGAACGACGAAATTGACCGCTTTACCTGTGAAGATTTCCACGAGATCGCCAGACGTTGCTGCGCCGCAGACAAGCTGCCGCCGGGACATTCTTCCGTGACGAAGCACTACGGCTACTCGTTTCGCTGGGTGTACGAGACGCTGGGAACGCAGCTTACAGATTTTGGTCATCCCGACGGGGGCGCAGAGAACGATGAGGGAAGTTGGCGGGTGCAAGCCATTCTCGACGAGCTCCTGGGGCGCGAGGGGACGGAAACACGTCAAAAAATGGAACAGGGCTACAGCCAGGAACTCGAAGAATGGGTTTCCTTGCCCGTCCGCGCACCACTCTTGCCGCTGAGCGGGCATTTTTTGCAAAGTTTCGCTTGCCACACGTGGGTCAAGCATTTTGGCGACAAGGCGGAAGCGGGTACGGCCGAGGAGGGTGAAAAAGCCGTGGTGAAAGGAGAAGGTCATGATGAAGCGAAAAGCGCGGGAGATGAAACCCGACAAGAGATTCAGTGCGACCCGAACGTGACTCCAGGATCTTCCGCAGAAGCAGTTTCAGCTCCTGCAGCGTCTGTACAGCAGGTGGAACGGAAACCACACAGATTGTTCAGGTGCGACGCTAAAACGGATGGTATGCGACTTTTCTCGTTTCTTGAAGAACGTAACACTCAGCAGCTGCCGCTGGAATGGACCTATGCGAAGTTGGATTCACATGCGGTCGAAAGCGCTCAGAGTCTGTAGCGTTGTCAGCAAACGGACCAAAAACAAAATTCTTCGAAACGAAAAGCAAGAACCCAAGCGAAAATTTAACTGCTCGTGCTGTCTGGCTAGTGTAATGCTACTGCCTTCGGATCGTCTAATCTCTGCCTGGAAGACATCTCGTGTGAAAGCACATGACGATTCTTAGTGTACATCCATTTCTGGGGTCACTGGTGAATCTCGCTTTGAATAAAGTAAAAGTATGTTGTTGAGACGTGGCAACCGTTTCTGACGGCTGATAAAAATTATCGGTGGTGCGAGGACTGCGAGCCAAACGCGTAATATGGGAAGACGGTCGGTTTCTGTGAACTTAGTTCCATCTTTAGGTTTCGTTTGCCCATGACTGTAGCACGAAATAACTCTAAATCCTTTCACTATCGCAAATAAAGCCTGTTCCTCGACAAAAATAAGTCGAAAAGTCCACATCCTTCGGTGCAAACGCACTTCCTTGGGCAAAATATTCACCAAGGTAAATTCTGACCAGATAAATGAAACAGGCAAGGATCATGATCATCAAGAAGTAGGTCTAGCTCAGCAGGATCCAAAATCGCGTAATTTTATCGAGAGCAGACAGAAAAATTATGGAAACTACGCCACAGTCGGTCATCAATCGAGGAAGGAAATGGTTGATAAGTATTCTGGTTTTGCACGACTGAACTACGAGCCCAAATGCAACTGTATGCAAGACACATCGATTTCGATCCCCATCAGCATTTCTGCGTGTGATGTTTCTCATGGCGCCGTCCTCTATCCGGTTCAACCAGGTAAACAGCAGAAACAGGATCCAATTCAGTCATCAAGCCCCACCTTAACGATCCCTCATTCTCTTACTTACAACTTTTTGGGAAGTTGTGTCAAAGGAGAAGATTGCAACAACTATACCATAGGGAAGTGCATCTGCATATGCATATAAGAATTCATGCGTGATAAAAAGTACAAGTAGAGGAACCTCGACGTTTATTTGCATCGTACAGGAAATTCCAATTCTACTTGCTTGGTGTGCAACAACGGATTAAATCATACATACACATACTATCCATTCAATTCATCTACATACAGACTTAAGTTGTACTTCATCAGCAGGGTTGGAAGCTTTACAGCTAGGTTTCCGATTTTTTATTCAATCCGAAACGACAAAAATGGTCGGACGTATCCAGTGCTGCAATGTGGTTGTTTTTGCCACACTGTTGGGTCACGCGAGGAGCATGGTCGAGCACCCGAACAAGACCACCCCCGACGTGAGTCCCAGCACCGCCCGAGGCGCTTTCGGTGATAGCAACAACTTGCAAACAATCACGGAGTTTTTGAAGAGATATGACCCGGAAAATGCACAAGAAATCCTGACGCAGTCCTTTGTGGGCGCCATGAGCCCCATGCCGATGCCACGTGGTGGTGAAGCGAGTGAAACTCGTGTTCTACGAGACGCTCTCGTTGGGGACCACTATCCGGTTTCTGAGGTGGGTCTTGGTGATCTTGATTCTATGCGCGCTCAGACGATCGCGGAACCGGCCGCGGAACTGGAAAAGACCGACCAGCGCCCAATCGCGCGAGCCGACAGCGCGTCCTCATGCACAGCAGCACCCCGGCTGCCGTGGCTGCCGCCCCGGAGCGAAAGCAGCAAGCGTTTGCGTTGGGAACCGCCGTCGTCAACCGGGAGCCTTTTGTACGGCAGCCCGGTCGAGGGAGTGGCAAACCAAGCTCGTGCCGAGCAGCAGTCTGCACGCCAGAGACTTGATTTTGATGCCGACGAACCTGAAACGACGTCGTCTTCTCCCGACGGACGACAGGTCCCCAACCGGCGTCTCGCGTGGGCCGCACCTGGAGCCCTCCAGCAGCGTGCGCAGCCGCCGGCGGCACAGCCGACGCTGCAGCAGCTACGCCGAGAGCGTGAAAGCCGAAGAAGCACAAGTACGCCAGCAGGGGGAGCACATGCACAACAGCCCTCTGCGACTGGAGCTGCTCCAGCAGTCCAGAGGCCACAGATTCCGCCGACCTTTCAAGCTGGCTACGGAAGTAATCCTTTTCAGACCACACAGACTCTCGGCAGTTTTCCGCTACCGCAGCAGTCGCAGCCGGCCCCCGCCGTGTACGAGCAGCGCTACAGGACCCCAGAACAGCTCGACGAAGAACTGGCGCGGGAGCCCCCGGTACCAGCACCCATGCCGACGCCAGACACGACAACCAGCGATGATCAGGAGCAGGAGTCCACGTCCCGTTCGAACTACGGTGCAGGCAGTGCTTCCCATCGTGGACGTCATGGCTACAGCCATTCCCCGCAGCGCCGTGAGTTTCAACTTCGCCGTCAAGGGAGCCGCTCTGGTCGACGTGAACCCTCTGGCAATTATCCGGACACGACAAGTGCGGGTAATGATCCTAGTACTTCTTCTGCCCAGGAGGAGACAACCACTAATCCTACCGGACCCACCGTCCCAGCTATTAACTTGTATTCCACGCCAGAACCGCAGCAGCGCCGTATTGCGGATGACACGCCCATCCGCCAGATCGATCTGACGACAACGCCGAGCGGTGCCGGGGCCACTTCCACCTCCGCGCGCACGACCCCTCATGAGACCGCAACCGCAAGTTCGTCCTCCCGGGAAAGACGCTCGCAGCCTTCGTCAAGTAGTCGGCCGAGATCGGGCAGTCGCGAGGCCGCCTATGGTTTGTACGGCGGAAGTTCTTCCTCTAGGCGAGGACACCGCAATGAGCGTTCCGCAGCAGCAGGAGCGGCGCCCGAGACTGGTGCAGAACCGGGTCAACATCTTCCCGGAGGTGCTGCCGCTCCGCAGCGACCCGAGCATGAGGATCGTCGACCGGTGAGTTCCACATCCCGTGAACACCGCCGTCGGCGATCGGGCCCCTCAACGTGGCGTAACAGAAGTTCAGGAAATCCCAGCGCCGGGCCAGTGTCGTCCGCGATCAACTCTGTGCTCGGTGGCGGCCTTGGCCTCGCCGGTCCCAGTCTTCCGGCATCCCGTTACCCGGCGCATCCCGGTCCACAGAGCGATGAACGCGCGATGCGACGCGTGGCCAGTCAGCCACGATTGCTGCAGCCGGCGGGCCCCGTGTCCTCCGCTCCGGCGCGCCGACGCAACGATTCCAGTCGAGTCCGCGCCTTGCTCTTCATGAACCCGGAACCCATCAATCTCCGAGCCGGAGGTCCTGGAGTTGTGGATCAAGGTGGACCTGCAGCGGGTGCTGGTGCGAGTGGTAGTGGAGCGGCTGCTCCGGCTCCGGGAGGTGGAGCTCGGGTCTTTGTGGCTGAGCCCGAGGCAGAGCCCGAGGCAGCTGCACGTGGGCGTTTGGATTTTCATCAGCCGTTGCTTCCTGACTATCCGGCAGGGTCCGCGTTGCCGGAACGACGTGCTCGCAGCAGCGGAGCCACCATCACCCGCGGCGATCGAGGACAGCGGAACGGTAGAATGGTGCCTCAGCCCTTTTACTGAGCCGTGGTACGAGAAAAGCGGCCGTTCTTCTCCTGCTTTACATCGGGAAGATAAAAAGGAAAACTAACGGCATACTATGAGGATTGACTACTTTATGGTTCTGATTTCAAGTTTTGGAAATGCGATTTTTTATTGATGTTTTTCCGTCTCCGAGGTATCGCTTGCATGAACATTGCTTTATTAGGCACTCGCTGTACTATCGGTTAAGTTTTTTGATGCTGATTTATCGGGAGCGAGAAAAATTACAAAGCCTGCAGGAACCACCAAGCGAATCGAACTTCACAGCGCTTCATTCGCTACTGCAGCCTTCAGCACCTCCTGGGGCAAGAGGGTAATAAATTAAGTAAGTAAAAACATTCCTACGGGTTTGATGTGGACATAGGGTCCTTGTATTCTGAATTAAGTGAATTTGAACCTCAACGACTACGTGCAAACTCAAGAACCTCTGAAGTGTTTGACACCACTGTCAAGAGGGGCGCCCTCTTTAGCGGCTAATTAATTTCAACGTAGCTAGAAAAATGACTGAATTAAGATTTTTGTTCTGTACGATGAGTAATTCGATGTAGAAATGCAGCTTCACCCTTTACTCTTACTCATGCTACCAAATTAAGCACTGTATTGAACCTAAGTGATTCCGCCATTTTTTTTATTCCTTTTCCATTCTAGAAAGCACCTGCACCTCCTTGGCGATTTACGCGAAACGGTCACGCATTGGTTGTCGTCCTAGACAGCTGCAACTCGTCGCCTACAGTATTGATGAAAGTAGCCGAGGGTCTGGGAAGAATAGAATCAACACGAATTTATTTTCATTTTTTTCAAGTAGATTCCATATCCATCGTGCTAACGTAACATCATTGTGGTATTGAGTACAACGGGTGTCGTTTTAAGCCATAGCTACACGACATCCCATCGTCTTTTCGCATCTGAAGCAACCACACGACATGCATTCATAGCACAAGGCAGCAGAATTCGCTCAAGTCCCATAGGCTCATTTTATTGCTTTCATATACTAGCGTAGGCTCATGTCAACATCATAATTTTCTCTTTCTTGCGTGACAAGCATCGTGGCGTAAATCTAGAAAATAAGCAAAATACAGAACGTCTATTGACGCGGTGTCGGTCTGCGCAGGTAGCACGGCCGCGCATTGTACCTGAAAACGAACCTCCCTTTTGTTCGCTGTCTGTGATTCACTACGTTATCAGGTCGGGAGAGGAGCACGGCAAAAGTGTCCAGGATCTCGTGGTTTGATGTGTAGATTTTCGTATATTGTGGTTCGCTTTATTTCTTCTGTGTCTACCGATCGGTCGCAAATAAAGATGATGTTGCGTGGGCGAGGTGGTGATTTGTATGCCGCTGGTGCACGGCCCAAAGCTCAAAATTCATCGAACACGGACCGCAAAAATCAACTGCCAAGGTTCGGGAACGAACTTGCGGGCACCACGGAACAGGACGCTAGAAAAGCGCAGCCAAAAATCCAATCTCAGACAACAACCACGAATTCCCCGGATTGGGTAGCAGCGCAACGAGCCCAGGCGGAGGCCAACGAGCGGGAAATTGTGTTGCTCCGGCAGGCCATCCGCGACCTGGACGAGACGGACGAAAAATTGCGGGATGCGCAGATTGTGGCGCTGCAGCAGGAGGAAGACACCAGTTTGGTGCGGGACGAGGTGGTCCTGCTGCGCAAGCGGGAAGCGGAGCAGCAAGCCAAAATCGATGAATTTTCCATGGAGGTCCACCTAATGCGCCAAGAAATCGCCGCGCTGCAGCGCCAGAGTGCGGTTCTGCGCCGTCGTCGCCACTTCGACCTGTTGCGCCGGCGGAAGGAAACCTTCGTTTGCCCGGATGCACTGGTGTCCGAAACCGAGCTTCAGCTCCTGTTTGCGGATTACGCCTTTCGACTCGACCAGTCGGTTGCAGTAGACTTTTACGAGCAGGACGAGACCACACCGGAAACAATTGCAGTGCGTGCAAAGGACCTTCCCGCACTGTGGAACGATCTGTACATCGCCAACGCGCCACTTGGATCACATGAGCAGGGGAACGAGCAGGGTACTATCGGTTCTGCACTCCGAGGAAGTGACGCGCACGCGACGACAAAATTGGCAAAAGATGTGTACGACAGGTTGATTGCACCACACTTTCGACACGCGAAGCACGTCCGCTGGACGGATTTTGTCGAGAGGTTTCCGAAAATTTGGGCCAAAGTGGCGCACCACATGCAGCAGAGCACCGGCAAAAAAGGGCTGCTGCACGACGACGAGGAAGACGAAGACAGCGACGAAGTGCACGACGAGAGCTACAGCTTCCAAACAGGTTTGGAAGATACTGGGGCGAAAAATCAATCTCCAACGAAAAACGGGAAGCACCGCGCAGGCACGGCCGCATCGACGGCGATGAAGCGTGACCGAGCTTTCGGAGCAGCTGGAGCAAGCAAACGCTTTTTTTCGAATCGCGAACACCAGAGCAAGAGCAAAGTTCAGGACAACGTTCTTGACGTAGATCATGAAGAAGTGAATGACGACGGTGCTGGTGCAGAATCCGGAAAAGAGGAGGACCTTGAGGAAGAAAATGAAGAAGAGGAAGAGCTCGAGGAGGAGCCGCTAGAGGAAGAAAATGAAGAGCAGGATGATGTGTATGACCCATACCACCCACCGGACGAAGATGGTTTCAGTTTGATGAAGTAGTCGGGTTTTACTCAGTCGTGACGTGCAGATGGAGCCACTTTCTCTCGTATCCATAGTTTGTGAGAGACATGATGAAGTATTGATTGTTCCTAGAACGTTGTCAGATTCTTGAGACACCGTGCAGCACCTATCAACCATAATATGGTTTCGCAATCAGCGTTCGCGTGGTGATGTTGTACATGCACTTGCTGTTTTTTCGGTTTTTTTGCTTTTGTTTTCCCGTGTACGCGATTTGCGCATCCTTCGCAACATTCTATTTCCATGCGGGGCCGATGCGTCGACGATCAGAGACTCTTTAAATCGATCTTCCTCCTGGATGAGGGAACAACATTACGATTACAGCTGACTCGCCTGTGGTACTTCAACACTTGTGAAATCGACAGTGCAAGTCTGTGTCGTTTTTTCTGACAAGATGACAAACGAGAGGAGGAGAGATAATTGGATTATTGCATATACGAAAAAGACCGGAATCAAATCCATGAAAACTACATAGCGTTGACAAAACATCTACGTCAGCAAGCAAGCTAATCCGGTTTCCTCTGGTGTGTGGAACTTCTTCTCGACTTTCGTATGCTCTCTACTTTAAGTCGTTGGAATCCCAGCTGCGCAACGCTAGTTCGTACCAGTGGTCATACTCGTCAAAACCTCAGGAGACTTCATCGCCTTTCGTTACTCATTCGTTTCTTCGAAGTCAAACACTCAACAAGTGCGGTTTGAGATGCCAGTTCCAGTTCCCCACGTGGTTCATCTCCATCTCGTTCGTGATCGCTCGTAAAGGTCTTGGTCGAAATCGTTGTCAGCAAAGCAATTGTCGCCTCGTGACACTTTTCGCAATCCTTGACATTCGAAGTGGTTGCCTCGCATAGAATCGCTGCAGTTTTCCTTGGTTGTCTTGCTGAAAGCCAAGAGGCTCAGAGTTCTAGAAGTAAGTGTGGTTATGGATAGGTGTGATTTTTTCGCTAGTTCCGAAAACCAAATTCGTTTTTTGTATCTTTAATTTTCTGCGTTCATTCCAGATTCAGATTGTCATTCTGAATGAGAATCTCACCACGCACTGCCTGTATTTGCCGAGTTCATTGCACTTTGTGTTCATCTTGTAGTGTGTTGGTGGTGTTTCATATGTCCTTCTAATCGCAAACGCAATGAACGACGACCCTATCATCACGGACGCTCTCTCGTGTGAGCTATGTTTTGCAGAAATCTCGGCAGACGAAGGAGAGACGAGATTGACCTGCCAGTATGGACACTCGTTTCATGACGCGTGTGTCGTCGCGCACCTGAGACGTTTGCCGGCCTACCAGTTGCGGTGCGTGCATACCCTCCCTTGCCTGGTTCCAGGTCACTGTTTTAGCAAGGATGTGCGGAAGCAGTTCTGTCAGCGAGTTCGTGCCGACACTTGTGAACCTGTCTTGGATGCCGACGAAGTGGCTGTGGCGAAGCGGGTACTCCTTTAATTGATGCTGCGTTGTTGTAGCTCTGATTAGTTTTTATTTTATGTGGAGGATGTCGTGATCGCTCATGTTCTGTAGCGCAGTAGCCTTACTACGAACGGAGCGGTACTGTGAAAGAATACTTACATCATCGCCGATTTTTTCTTTTTCGTGAATCACAATATGTGACCGAGATTGATAGGTCTATATCATGGTTGATTTTCTTTGTCCTGCTTCTTCTTGCAATTCATTGCTATTGCGGAATTCCTGCAACCAGTCTATAATCTACTGACAGTGCCTTCACATGGGGGTTTGCCAGGAGTGCCTCGAAACGTGCAACACAGCTACCGAAACTTGTACACCTACAGCGGATGGTGAGTGCGTCCATGACAGGTGTGTTGTGAAAGCGATCCTGAGACGCAAGGACGCCGGTCTCTTGCCGGAAAGCACTGGTGCGAACGAGCAGAGCATCCGGGTAATCAACAAACATGAATTTCGCACTACCGATCTAGCTTCCTTACGCAATCGCATTGCACAGAAGCTCATCTTCCCGTCGCTGAACGTCACTACCGAGATTCAGATCCGCTCGTTGCTCAAGTTCAAGGACTGCGCGGCATGCGGAAAAGTGATCGACGACCTCACGGAGACAAGCGTCTGGGGATACAAGAAAATCATTCTTTCTCCTCTGATCGAACCTGATCCTATTCCTCACGGCCTGACGGATCCGGACGCAATATTTGCTGCAGTGGTGCCTCACTGGAGGTATGAAGAGCAACAGCGGAAGCGGACTGAACGGGTGGATCGTTCAAACAACAAGCTTCGTTCTAGGACAGCCGCTCCAGCCCACGAAGACACGCTCTTTTGGCACGATAAATGCTTTCTGGAGCAAGCCATCCAGCGGAAGACCGATCCGCAGCAACTTCCGCACCACGAGGAAAACGCGTTGAAGCAGCGGATGGTGTTGAAAACGTCGCGGCCACCGCTGCCGTTGGACACTCTTAACCAAGGCATCAAGATGTACGGCATTGTCCAGTGCAAAGTCTGCGCCGCAGAAGTCAAAAGCGGAGACACATCGCTCCAGGTGAAAACCGCGGACGGGCACCACGGCGCGGTACATGATTACTGCTGGATTCATGCTGAATCTCGGATTCGGCTCACATCCATCAGCTGTGCGGAGGCCGTTGCTAATACCCCTGTCGCCGTTGCGGACGTACTGACACAAGTCTCCGCCTCCGAGCTGCTGAACTTGCAGAATCGCGTGCGTGCTAACCGCGTGATGGTTTGCAGTTCAGGAACAACGCTGGCCGCAGGCGCTGGGGCCCCTGTGCAGCGGAAACCATTTCTGTCGGAAACAGGTGGTACACTGCTGAAAGCGCAAGCCTTTACCCTTTTCGGGATGGACGGTTGCGAGGCCTGCTTCCGGGAAATCGGAACAGCAGAAACATGCGTGACAACCCTAAAGGGCTTCAAATTTCACTGCGTTTGCTACTTGAAGGCCCTCGTGGAGTTGCCATCTTCCCAGGTGAGTGTACAGTCCATCGCCGGGACCGGGATGCAAGTGATTCACGTCGAGGATCCGTGGCTGCAAGTGTCGTCCGAGGAGGCCACGATGCTCCGCCACCGCGTATTGGACGAACTCTGCACTCCGGCCGTGAAGGCCAACTGCGTGGAGGTGAAGGCGAAGCAGCTGCTACGCATTCCCGTGTGCGGGAAGTGTTTCGGTGTCGTCAAAGAGAGCGATGAGGCTGTATGCGGGAGCGCCACAAACGCAGATCAAGACCAAACTGTTTTGCACGCTGAGTGTTTTGTCAACTCCTTCGCTATTCCGGACCAATCCCGTTTGCGCAAGCACCTCCTGGCGAACCGGCCCACTGTGACGCTCAAGGGGATCATCTTCCAGACGTCCGAAATTTCGAAAATCGGGCGGCGGGTCTGCAACATGCCCGAAGAAGTCGAAGACGCTGACACATCCGCCCCCGGGTCGGCCTCTGATTCGTCGCCATCTTCGCCTGTTGATGAGGTCCAGGGAACGGAATGCCCCGCAGCGCCTGCGGCGACCAGCACGGCGACGTGTTTCCAGGCTTTGCTCGTCCGCGTGTGCGGACAGGCGTGAGTCACAGTTCCAGTTTGAGCTGTATAATGCTGAAATGCTGAAGTAATACTGCTTCCTTGTCAGTGTCTGCGGTTTCCAGGACGACCGGGGGCAGACCAATTCCAATGAATTTTCAAAATTTACAATTCGAATTCTAATCGTGTTTATCTTTTACTGAGAACTTGTACCATGATGATTTCGTTTCTCTTACTATTTCATTTATAGGAATAAACAAAGTAGTGCCAAAAGCAGCGATCGAGGCACACATTCTCCCCGCGTTCATTTTGTACCAAATAAAAAACGAAAAACAAGAAAATTACTTTTTACAGCGTTGCTGATTTATACCGAAAATGAAAATAAAGAATCATAAAGAGTACGCTGTAAAAACGAGGAAAAAAATATTGCACTATCAAAATCAATAGGAGGCCAGCAACGATGACTGGGAAATTAATAGAACTTGATTTATAACTCTGCTATAGATATTCTATGGGAGACAGTCACAGTCCGAATCTATGTAGCGATTTATTTTCAAACGTGCGTTGCAGGTTATGTTTAAAGATTTTCTATGATTTGTTGTGGAAAGAAAAGTAATGAAGAAGATGATGCTTTGATGCACGCACGCCGATCTCAAGGTCTCTGAGACAGGTGCCTTATCGCTTTCGAGCCCTCAAGGTCTCTGAGACAGATGCTGGTCTAGGTGCCTTATCGCTTTTCGAGCCCAGAAAACACTCAGGTTTCATCGTTTCTCTTGTCCGAGTCCTTTCGGCGTCGTGGCTCGATTCGTAATCGCATCGCCTAATTCTCGTGGTGAATATTCATGGACGGGTCTTTGCCATCCAACTTCGAAGGCTAGGTGTAGTTGCTTGATATATATGATCGTGAAACAGCGTACCCATCGATGCGGTACTACATCGAAGCAAGAACGTCAATCGTGGTTCGTGGTCAGCATTTGACGCTCCCGGCAAAAATGCTTTTGAATAACCGTCGTCTCAGTGGGGTCTGTCTCGGTTTAGCATGCAAACAAGGAAGATAAAGTACCATTTTCAGATTCACGACCGGTCTAGTGTATTTTTTTTTGAATGTTACAACTCCACGGGGACACCATCATCGACAACTCAACGGAGACGTCGAACTGTTCTATCGACGGTCCTATTCACTTTCACAAAAGTAGATCGTACGCATACAGTGTCGTAGCGTGCGCCCCGCGACGTCATCCTCGTACCTTGTTGTTTTCGGACGTTGCTGGAGCCAGAAGCACAAGCCTCGCGACTGAACGAAATCATGCGCAACGGAATTAGTAGTAGATCCAGCACTAAAGAATCCGGGAAGGCGGATAGCGGTCTTGCATCGACAAAGGGAGAAACCAATTATATCGTGCACGAGCGGTGGCTGTTGCGAACGGAAGTTGTTGTGGGCAGGGCGGTAGGCGCGGACCTAGGGTTCGAGATTGTCGCGCAGTGTCAGACCGCGTCCGGCGAGGCGGATCGACGGAAGCAAGCTGCTGCGGAGTGTTGGTCGTTTTTCGTCGACAAGGTAAAGCCGTACAGCTTTGCAGCTTCGCATGGACTCCGACCCGCAGACCAGCTTTTGCACGTAAATGGCGTCCCGGTTCTCGACCATTTGAAAAAGGATGGTTTCCTCCAGGAGCAAAGCGCAGCCACACGCGGCGCCAGTGGCACACCAGCCTCAAAGACGAGCAGCGGCTATTCTGATTTCGTCTCCCAATTATTGCAGCGCACACGCCCACTTCAGCTAGTGTTCCACCAATTTTCGCTGTCACGCGAGGAGCGCCGACGGCGCACTCGGCAGCTGGGGCTAAAAAGCAAGTTTGGACTGAACATTCACGAACAAGCTAGTGGAAGCAGTCCAGTGCAACTGCAGGCTGCGAACTTCAGGAAACCCTTCTACGTATTGAAAGGATCAGGCGAACCACGAAAGTCTCTACCCGTTTTGGGTACGGCTTCGCCACCAGGTGTCGAACAAGCCGAGATAAGTCTAGCGACCGGAAAGCGGCAGACAAAAACTTCTGTGCCTTCGTTGCGCAATCGGAAAATAAGTGCTAGTTTTCACACAAGGAGTCGATTTTCCGTTTCCAGGCAAAGCGCTGCAAACACCAGTCCAGTGTTTCTCCAGGACGCTCCGCGCTCGTCAGGAGAAGCACGCAAGGACCACGTGGTTGCTGTGAAATCTCCCAGTACAGCCTCCGAAAGCGCGGATGTCTTCGCGCTCGTCTCTTTCGAGCCTAAGCAGAGGGAAATATTAGTGACTGCGGGTCCTGCCGAGGCCGTCGGGCGCGACGAAGCTGACGTGACTACGCCAACAAGCAACAACGGAGAACTTCTTGATGCGCCGACCAAACTACCGTCCCCGAGGGCATCGTGCGAGCGAAGTGAGGGACCACAGATGGTTCCGGAGACCGTTGAGGACTATTTCCAGCTCTCGCAATTTGTCCCCTATTGTGACCTGCTGCAAGTGCGGGATTCGTCGACCGTTGATGTACCGGAAAAACTACAACGACCACCACAGGTAGAGCCCGAGAATCATGATTGCACAGCTACCAGTGCACTGCAAGTACTTCACTCTGCTTGTCTTCGGGAAAAAGATCACAGATTCGTGCAGGACGAGATCGACGCCTCGTCACTCCACAGTAGCTGCGTTGAATCTTCATCTCTCTGTCTGCAGGAAAACATCGCTGGATTGCACACAGAGAAAAGGGAGACCGAAAAGGCCGGAAATTCGAACCCTGATGAAAACACGAGTTCGCCACTGCAGGACAAGACCGAGCCGTCGAGCCCGAAGCCGTTTCTTTTCTATCCCGACAGTGCGGGCGAACGCGAAGACGGCGCGAAAGAAGCGGAAAGTTACGATTTCTTGGGTATGTTGGAAAGCATCTTCTTCAAGGGCTCCGAGATATTGAATCCCGCAATAGATGAAGTTGTTAAACCACGACAGGGCGGAGCGCAAGAAACCGTACCACCACCACCACGAGACATTGCAGAACTCCAAGCATCAGACGGAACTGGCTCTTCGGAAATTCTGCGTAAAAATCCGAGCCCGGACGCGGAACGGTCTCGGGCAAGCGGCAACTTTTACTCCAATTATGAAGCTCCTCAGGAGCATGCAAGTACAAGCTCGGGCCAGCCGGAATTTAGCGACGGCAAGGTGGAGACCACGGATAGCGTCGACTTGGCAAACACTTCAACATCGACGACCCGTCGCTGCAAGCGAAAGAGGGCGCGGAAGTCGAAGGTGGCAGAGAACGTAAAATCGGTGACCTCAGATCTCGTTGCCGCTGCGTCGGAGCCACACTACGAGGTTTTCGGGCTCGAGGCAAGGGACCTGTACGACCAAAAATCTCCCAGGATTTTCCCCGCGACGCGACCAGCTATGCCTATGCGGGAGGTTCTTTGCGTCTCCGGTTCCAGATCCAGCCCTATTGCGAGCAGCGCCTGTGCCTCTGCAGTGCTAGTACCTCATGAAACTACCGTTGTTACCGGACGAGATCTTCATGCCGACAAGGTCACAACCCGGCTGCGTGCGGTCCAGGCAGAGCCAGAGGGAGAAGCCGTGCCGTTTCCTTACGAAGACGAATCCATTTGGAAAATTCCAACACCTTCCCCGGCACAGCCACCATCATTTTCTCCGCCTCCACCTCGCATCTCTGAGACCGCAATATTTTTTTCGCCACAACCGACTTCCAGAGCGAAGGCGAATACACGTCGCGCACCACCGCGTGATTATGCGGCTAGAAGCCATGAACCCACCGAGGAAGCGCCAAATAAAGATGCAGTAGAAGCGGAAGCGCCGTCGCGTCTGCAGTTTACTCCTTCTGTCACAGAGCTGTTGGCGGGACCACAGTGCGAGGATCGCGGAAACAGCACTGGAAATTTGGACGCGAGTTCGATCCTAGTAGACGTCGACCGTGGTTGTGGAGACCAGGAGTTCTTGCAAGAGGATGTTAACTACAAGACACGGACGCGCGACATTCATCAGCCCCAGTATGAAGATGATTGGACGTGCTCCATGGCGGAATTCTGTCCCATCCCGGCAACCGAAGTGCTCGCGAGCACGCCCAGCTTCTGCGCCGACACTGCAACAGTCGCGTTGGCCAAATGGATTCGTGACGAGGAAAGTTCGAATTCAAGTAAAGACCAGCATCCTGCTGAGCCAGACGAGAAGGACAAAAACAGTTTTGTCGTTGAGAATACGAGCCATACCGCCATTCCGCTCGCAACGTCAAGTACGTCTACGGCTGTGCACGAAAACCGCGTCCACCACGAGACTGCGGCGACAATGGAGACAAATCCCCACCGACATGCAAAAGGCAAAACGCACGAGGAAGTGCAAGGTAACAGGCCAACTAGCGGCCGACAGGCGGAGGTGCCTCCTGCTTCAAGAGAACTACTCGAGGACGACCGAAAAGCATCTTTCTCGCGGTGGAGCTCTGTCGTGACGGATTTTCTCACGAATTACACGAGCATAGCTGCCGGGGCTGCACCCGCGACCTTGCATCAAGCTAGCGGACTTGCTTCGACTTCCACCGCGCACATCAACTGCACATCAACCGGCGTGAGAAGTAACACTGACGAGATGCAGGCGAAGCCGATTACCCAGACCAACCCGAGGGGAAGAGAAGTGCCGGGCTCACCAGCTGACGAGAAAACGATTGTCGTTGAGCGCGGAAATCTATCCAAGGGCGCTGTTAACTACGCAAAATTGGAGCAAAACAAAATCGAGCGCGAGCAGTTGCTGCGAGTGCGCCGCATCGAGGCAGCAGACAGGAGGCGTGCGGCTGCGGAGATTCGGTTGCAAAACATGGAGGAAAAACGAGCACGGGTGAAAAAGCAGCTTGGAGCTACGAGATCGCGGTCTGAACAGAGAATTGCTGGAATGAAACTGACCAAATACGCTGAGCAGCTTGCCGAAGCGAAAAAAAACTACGCGAGCAGCAGTTCGAAAGCGACACAGGGGACGTCAAATCGCGAGCATGGGCAAAAATGGGAAATAACCGGTGAAGATGCGGAAAGTGCAGTTAGCTTCTCGACACCAGCGAAAATAATGGGAAGCATTGAAGATGCAAAGAAGGTAGATGAACACAGTACCTCGAAAAGCGACTTCTTCGCAACCCCGGAGGTGCGAGCGGTTGATACGTTGGAGGACCAAGAAGCGCAGCGGACCACGTCTTCCCATACGCGGTCTTTCCGAGGAGGCCGCAACAGTACCAGCTGGTTGGATCAACAGAAGGAAACCAACAGTTATTGCTCCATCGATGAGGTATCTTCATCCGACTTAGACGTACGCCCCCGCACTGACAAGAGTACTAGCAGAACGATTTTGCCGATTTCTCCCGCTACTATCCTTCCGACACCAAGAAGTAGTGAGATGCAGACGCGTTTTCACAGCACAACTGAGCGACACTGTGGTTCCCGAGAGCTGCCTGAAGATCAGCGCAGCCGGCGCCAACTGTCGCCGGAAGTGAAGTTTCAAGGCGTGTTTGAACGAGTCGCGCGGAACCGCAAGAAGATGGACACCAGTCCGGAGAGGTATGATGCAGTGGAAATGGAGAGAAAAATTCGAGCCAGGTTGCAGACGAAATTTAGGCGGCGACAGCACTGGAGCAGGAAAAATCATGCACCTGGATCTCTACTAAGTTCAAAGTCCTCCACGAGCAGCAGCCCGCTTTCCGGCCTTTCTCTGTCCCCAGGCGAACTTCGCCGGCTTGCGCAGGTATCTCCGGGAAAGTTGGAGAGGATGCTGGACAAGAGTGGGGGACTTCCTCCTGAGCTAGCGCTGGTGCTGGCCGGCGTGGGAAAGATAAGAAAACACGAGCTTGACATGGCGAATCACGATGAGGATGATTTTATTTTGCAAAGGGGGCACCGCAACGACGATCACGATACAGAGAAGCGTACTTTGCCCAGCGTCCTGTGCGATCTTGCGGAAGTAGAACCACAACGCCGTCAAGTGCTGCGAGGGGAACATCCAGGTACAGACGCGCAGCGCAAGAAGCACCGCGCCGAGCTGTCGCCTCTACATTTTAGCATCCAGCTCTGGAGTGATGACGAAGATGAGGGAGGGGACGTTGAGTCTCGAAAAGAAGAGGTAAGCCTAGATTGAGAAACGACGCGCTCACTTAGACCTAGTAACCCTAGCTAGTGTATGATAGCAAGAAACAGGAACGTGAACAAGTAAGTGCCGGTACCTGGGAATACATAGTAGAATTGAAGTCTCAGTCTGCGCTTCCCGGCGGGGTGCAGATAAAATGAATGTAGGCACCAGCTTGCGTGCTCCCTGCACCAGACTGATGCGCCTAAAATTTATTTTGGTGCGACGACGTTTGTAGCTGTTCTGCCTTGTTGCGCTTTTACGCTCTTTGGCTTTATATCACGGGGGGTTTCAAGTATGTAAACCTGTCTGTCATCAGATCGTAGCAAATAAGCACAAGTTCTTACGAGGAAAAACTGCTCGTCCTTGGAGTATGTGCTGAAGTTGACGAAAAAATAAAAATGTCAAGAAACACGTAGGAGGAAAGAAACGTAGAACAACAAGTTGAATTAAGAAAACCTTTAGAGAGATGAGAAACACGACCCGTAGGTGTTTTCCAGGTGATCTAGACCATGATGTTCGGATCATGATGTTCAGAAATTACGCAAGAAACCATTGATTGGCGTTTATCGTTTGCACCGACCTGCTCTACTGACAAATTCCATTAGATCCTTGTCAAGCCACTACTAATGTAGTATCTATGCATTCACCGCCTTCAATATATACCTTTTTTGTATCTTCAAGGTGAAGGTGAAAACAAGTTGAAACTGTAATTGTGGATCTCCTGCAAGGCCGATCTGATCGTTAACAAGGAGATTTGCAGGTGCGCTAAGTACTAGTCTTCGTCTTGCACTTGTTCTCTAGCACGAGCACCGTCCAGTTCCTGTATCAAGGATCTAGTATCAGCAAGCATGACTTATTCTGCGAATCTGCAGCACATCATTGTCTTTCCATTTTTTCACAGGGCGTCATTGGAGCGATAGAGCGATGTGTTTGATTAAACCCCTATTTGACGATGGAAATGAGTTTCGCGATATTTGTTCTACCCGACCTCTTTACTAAGTACCATGTTTTCACGCGATACCAAATACCAATTTAGCGACCAAGGAGTTGAAGACGCACTTCTGACTCTACTGGTATCCTGCGCACAAGAACTTGAATCTACCTTCGACAATCCACGAAAAAATGTGAAGAACCATGATTAAATACGAGTGTCCTTCCGCAACGAACTTGACCCCCATCTAGATAGCGCATCATTTTCTTCTCTCTTACTCTCCCTCATACTCGACAGTACAAACTCAAACATAGACAGGCCAAGGGAAGTAGGAGAGGAAGACCGACCTGTGATAAACGGCCTTTGTTCCGGACAGTTTGACCACATCGACTCCAACATCTCAATCTAACTGTAGGATTGTGCTTTTCGGGGTCATACCGATTCTTGAATGTCACTCATTGGAAAGAGTTGTATCTCCAAGTACTGGTGAGGAGCTACTACTTTGTATATGAGAAAACTTTTGATGACAACATCAACAGATGGATGGGCCTCGAAGCAACACCGATCCTGAGAGCCGGCCACGCGCACAGCCATTACTTCTACCTGGTGGAACTACATGGGCGACGTTGTCTTGCGTACCCCGGCGACAAGCCGCCGCCTGTTAGAACATTGTTGAAGGCAAGAAGACCACGGGCCTCCACCACGACCTTGCCTTCCCTTCTACTCAACCTGTGAGGACTTCTCGTGGCCAAGAAGCTCAACAACTGCAGTACAGGAAATCGCGTCGCAGCACCGTCTCTCAACATCAAAACAGCAAGAACAGCGACACAACAAGCAAGCACCGATCGCACGACGCGAGAGGACGCAGTGGTAATTTACTTGCTAAACAAGGTCAGAAAGTAGACATCCCCCATCATCTGTTGCCTCAAACGCGCGCCGGCGACTTGAACCTCAGTGTGGTCGAAGAACTTCCAGGCGCATCGGTCGGATCACCACACCCGCCGTGCTGTCCTGTCGTAGTCTTTGATCCGTTCGGGTCGGAGGTTTCCACCTGCGCGAGAGCTGCAGTAGGGTACTGTACACTGATTGTTTGTTTTGTGATCGATCTTCATCCTCGCGCCAGAGAAGTACCTACAGCTTTGTTAAGAGTCTATAGACTAAACTTCTAGTTGTATAGCTCTTTTCAAAGAATTTCCCTGATGGCAGACCGCTCGCGATCCCGTAAGCGCGACCGGAGTCGGGGGCGGCGCGGAGACCGCAGCCGCAGGCGGGACCGAGACCGCGACAACAAAGACAAAAAAGACCGGGATCGCGAAAGACGGGGGGACGACAAAGACAAGAAGTCTTCGACGCCAGGAAATGCCGCTGCCGTGCCCGAGAATGCTCAGTCAACAGGTGTCCTCACCCAGTCAACCACTGCCGCCACGGCAGGGGCAGCGAGCGCGTTGCCGGTTAATAATTCCTCTGACAACAAGGCGGGTGGTGCAGCAGCCGCATCAGCCACAGGTACGAAGGCTGATGCTAGCTCATCTCCCGCAGATGAGGACCAGCACCTCGCGAACGGGAAGGCGTCTGCGTCCAAAAGCAGCAACGAGGAAGACGCCAAAAAGGACCACGACAAGAAGGACCGGAGTCGGGAACGAAAAGACCGGAAGCGCAGCCGGGATCGAGACCGCAAGCGCAGTCGCGACCGGGAGCGTGAACGCCGACGCGACAAGGACCGGGATCGGGAGCGACAGACGAAGAAGCGAAAAACCGAGGACGACGACAAGAAGGACCACAAGCCGACAACGTCGTCCACCCTACCCTCCAGCGTGCGACCCAAAACGAAGAACGAGGAGCTGATGGCGAAGCTGCGGGCGAAGCAGGCGGCCGCGGCCCAAAAAGAGACCCCGCTCAGCAGTCCGGGTACGCCCCTCGAGGGGGGCGCAGGAGTGGCAAGCAGCGCAGCGGAGCAGGAGGACGACGACCTACTTCAGTTCGTGAACGAGATGCTGGAGCAAGAAAAAAAGCAGGAACGGGAAACGAAGATCGTGGAACTGCCCTCCTCCAGCACGGCCGACGCCGCGAAAGTGATCACGATGGAGGACATTTTGGCAGGCGACTTCTCCAAGTACGACGAGCTGTACCTGAACACCACGAAGAAGAAGTCCGATGATGTTGAGCCTAAGGTAAAAACTGATTCATCATCGCCTACTAGCCTTAAAACTTCTGGCGCCCAGGATGGCGTAGTTGTTGTACAAGAACCTCCCAAAGAACTACCTCCTGCTGGCACGACAAGAACATCTGCGAACAATGATGAAACTTCAAAAGCACCAACGGCGGCCGCGCAGCCTTCATCTGGTGCCACGACAGACGCTGGTGGGGCCGCTCCTATTCCGGACACGAATAAGACTGCACCTGGTGCCAGTGCGGAATCTGGTGATGTGCCCCAGTCTACTTCCGAACCCCCGGTAGGAAACCCAGCAGCAAAGGAAGCGAAAGCAGAGGGCGAAGTTGCAAACAAGCCCCCTTCATCAACAGGCGACAGCGCCGTGAGCAAAGACCTCGTCCCACTAAGTCAGAAACTCTCTGAGGCACAGAGAGCAATCGAAAAAGCCGTCTCCGGGTCCTTTGACGAAAAGGACGTTGCGGTAGCAGGTGCAGGAGCATCCTCATCAAGTAAACCCGCTGACGTTTCAGCAGAGGCCGGTAACACTAAAGCCAAAGAAACACCAGAAGCAGTTACCGGTGCGGTGAGCAAGGCTTCCTCGCCACTTGTCGCTGCCACTACGAAACCTCCACCCCCGCCTACACCAAAACCAATCGTGATCGACCCAGAAATCAAGATTGTAGTCCAAAAAACCGTCGCCGAAGACCGCAAGGAGGAGAAGGAGGCCAAAGACTTTATGGCCGAGATGGCGAAGTTTCTGGAGAAGAAAAATGTGAGCGCAGCGTCGGTGGACCCGAATTTGCATACCATCCAGGAAGGAAAGCGCGGGGCGTACATCGAACAGGACGAGGAACTCCAGGAGGACGAGGACGAGGTGGCTGCAGCAGTCAAAGAGGCCGAGCGGCAGTACAACGAGGAACAGGAGGAGAAACGCAAACTGATAGAGCAGCAGATGCGCATGCCTCTCGCGTACCAGGAGTCCGCCATCGTGGGCCCGCTGCCGCCCACGGCGGAGGAGCTGGCCGAGATGAAGGAGAAAAAGGAGAAAAAGTTCAACCACGGGGGACAGGCGCAAGTGGTGAACCCCAACAAAATCAACCCCACGGACATCATCGGCAAGTCTTACGAAGAGCTGCAGAAAATCTTCACCGCGCGGAAGGAGCTCCCCCGCGTGGACCACAACAAGATCGAGTACCTGAAGTTCGAAAAGGACTTGTACCGCCCCGTGGCCGAGGTGGTTGCACTGCAGCCACACGAGATCGAGAATCTGCGCAAGGTGCACAACGACATAAAACTCGCGGGCAAGCCGCCGCACCCAGCCCCGGTGACTACCTTTTACCAGTGCGGCTTTTCCCAGGAGGTACTACAGTTTTTGGAGCGACAAGACATCGAAATGCCGTTTCCCATCCAAATGCAGGCACTGCCCTGTCTGCTATCCGGCCGGGACGTCATCGCCATCGCCCCTACCGGGAGCGGAAAAACGCTGGCATACATGCTCCCGATGCTCAAGCACATTCAGGCGCAGCCACCGATCAAATTCGGTGTCGAAGGCCCCATCGGCCTCATTCTCGCCCCCACAAGAGAACTCGCACACCAGATCGTGATTCAGGTACTCAATTACGTACTGCTTGTTACATTTTAAGTCCCCAACACCATTCCAAGGTCTTCTATATTCCACGATTGGGATTGATTCCACGGGTTTTACAATAAGATGAAGATGCGTCTATCTACAACTCGTAACGACCCCCAACACATGTAAATACAAAATCACAACATCAGGCGAAGAAGGTGTGCGTTCCGGTGAACGTGACCGTGATAGGTGCGATCGGTGGTCAGCCGCTCGGCGGGCAACTGTCCGCGTTGCGGCGCGGCTGCGATTTGATCATCGGAACCCCGGGGCGCATGGTCGACGTATTTTCGCTGTCCAACGGGAACATCACGAACTTGAAGCGGGTGTCCTTCGTTGTCATCGACGAAGCGGATCGCATGTTGGATCAGGGTTTCGGGCCGCAAATTCAGGACTTTCTGAACAAGACCCAGCCGAAGAAGCAGCTTTGCATGTTCAGCGCGACCTTTCCGCAGCAAGTGCAGGCGATTGCGAAGAAGTATTTGAAGAAGCCGCTGCAAATCAAGATCGGCACCGAGGGCGCGGCAGTGGACCGAATCAAGCAAACGGTGGAAATCGTGATGCCGGACAAGAAACTCTTCTCTCTCCTCCGGCTGCTCGGCCAGTGGGCGCAACACGCATCTATCATCGTCTTCGTCCGCGAACGGAAGGACGCCGAGGCGTTGTTCGCCAAACTGTTGGAGTATCATTACCCCTGCCTGTTGCTGCACGGCGGTGTCAGCCAGGAAGACCGTGCGTGCGTCATTAAGGACTTTCGCCTCGGCCAAAAGGATCTCGACGCCAAGGCAAATATCCTGCTGGCGACCGGTGTTGCGGCCCGTGGCCTCGACACCGCTTGCAAATGCGTCATCAACTTTACGGTACTATGTTTTTTCACGCATTTGAAGATCTGGTTTTGGATTTTTTCCTTTTTGCTTTTCGGATCAGCTGCTTGGTCGTGGTATGCGATACCGATTGCGAAGATGTGAGCTGCACCTCCATCCCTTGCTTGTCGCACTGTGCTCGCCCAGTTCAGTCGTGTCTGAGAATAGTCTCGTGTTAAGATGATGACTCCTTGATGTACAACGAACTACTCAATATGAAATGAAAACCCCACCAGGTCCCCAACACGCGGGAGGATTACGTGCAGCAGATAGGGCGCACCGGACGAGCGGGGGCTCGGGGTTGTGCGTACACGTTTCTGGAACCCCGACAGATGGACAAGGCCCAGATGCTGATTGACGTGTTGAAGTCGTCGAATCAGGTGGTGGACGCCCGGTTGCAGGAGTTGGCGAACTCGTACCAAATGCAGGTGAACAGCGGCCAGGTAGAACAGGTGAAACAGCACTCCGGGTACGGTGGGCGCGGCTTCAACTTCTCCAAAAAGGAGAAGGGCCAGGAGCAGGCGCGCATGGCCGAGTACAAAGAGCGGGAGGGCATTGTCGACGACAACATCCGGCGGCAGAAGGAGTTCAAGGAAGGAATCGGCGCGATACACGACGACGACAAGGAACTCGAGCCGGTGGTGACAGGCCCAGAAACCGCCGCAAGTGGTACCTTTGTCTCCCCTATGGAGTGTAAAAATGTCTGGGTCTGGAAGATTCTGAGATTTGTCATGCATGTTTTGCATGACCCAGGAGGTCTGTAATGCACGACCGCGCATCACAGATTTTGAGAGGGCTTCCTGATGCCTACTCCGCATGACAAACGCCCTCCCCGCGTAGCACAAACTAGACTCCTCTGCTGGTCATGCAATACAGATTTTTCTAGAGTCCAAAGTTAGCATCACAAGTGCCAATCTTCCAGACCCAGACACTTTTACACCTGATATCCCCCGTGCTCGGCGGGACCGCACAGACAGAAACGACGACACCAGCAGCAGCATATCAAATGTAAAAATGTCCGGGTCTGGAAGAATGTAACTTGTGATGCGCATTTCAGAACACAGAAAAATCTCTCATGCATAGGCAGCAAAAGCTGCCCAGTTTCTGTCACCAAAATGGGGGATTTGTTATGCGGATTTGGCATTGCGGAAGCTTCTCGAAACCTGTGATGCTAGAGCTTCCATGCCAGACCTTCTGTGTCATGCAAAAATAGCATGACTCTTCCAGACCCAGACATTTTTACATTTGATACAGCAGGGGCTGAAACCACTCCGGCTGAGCAGTCTTCTGCAGCAGACGGCGATGAAATAAACGACGAGGAGGGAACTGCTGGGACGACCAAGGCCAAGAAAAAGCCGTTCATCAGCAAGAAGGACCTGATTCCCTCTCCAGTGACTAATGAGGGGCCGATGGCTCTGTTCCTGAAAGCGAAGGCCGAAAAGGAAAAGGCGGCGCAGAACAAGGTGAAGCAAGACAAGGCGAAGGAAGCGACCGAGAGAGCGCAGCAGGCCTTGAAAAAAAAGATGATCGAAGAGAGGCAGGTCATCTTCACCGGCGGCATGGACGCGGACGCGAAAAAAGCCGCGAAAAACCCACCTCCGGTGTCCGTACCGAAGTCCGGCTCGCCCGTCTCCGAGTCAGCAAAAGACGACGCCGCTGCTCCGGCCGGGGGGGTGGAACAAGCCGCAAAGGCGAAGGCACCGCCCCCCGCCCCGAAGGCCGCGACGGTTGTGAAGGAGGAACTCACCGAAGAGGAGATCAAGGAGTGCGAGGAGGAGGCACAGCAGAAGGCCGAAAAGATCGTCGCGGTGCTGAAGCTCACAGACGAGGCGAAGAAGGAGAAGATGCTGAAGGAGAAGTACGACCACGCCCTCAAGATCGCGCTGGAGGCGAAGAAGAAAAAGAAGCTGAAATTCATCGCCCCCGCCGGCCAGAAGCCCAAGGGCCCGCCCCCCAAAGCCAAGCCCACCGCGATGCAGGCGGGAGGCGCCTTCTTCGTGCCCGCCGGGCAGCAGGAGCTCCAGGGTGCGGTGGCGAGCAAGGCCAAGGTGCCGATTCTTGCCGGTTGGAACACGCTGGTCGGGGCGGTGCCGGTAGCGGGCACCACCAAAATGATCGAGACCTGCAAAGACGGCACGCTACGCATTGCAAATGGTTGAATCCGGGTCTGGAAAAATGACAAATAGAAATTTCTTATTGCAGACTCCAACTCATGAAAGTTAAAGTTGTGACACTTTTTGAGAGCAGACGTTGTGATGTGTATAGTTGTGCAAGAAGAGACACGTATTGGCATTAATACATGCAACTGAGTGGCTTCATGCACATTGGCATTTTTCCGCAACAGGAGCAGCACCATTTGCATGTGCGAGCTAAAACAAGTCGTCTAAACTAGCCAGTATGTAGTATGAGAAGCCTTGCAAGTAGAATTTTCTCACGAAGACCTGGATCGACGATGTTTGCACTCGATAGCCGCTGATCCACTACGACTCGTTGGAGATCAACATGTACCCCGAATTTGCGCGGCGCGAGATCAGTCGGCGCGAGCTGAAGGAGAACATCGAGGAGATGACCGGGTGCAAGCTGCTGGTGAAGGGGCGGTATTTCCCGCCGGACGAGCCCAACCCGGGCAACGAGCGAAGGTTGTACGTGGAAATTTCCGGGCCGACCACCTCCGCGGTGGCAACCGGGAAAAAAACGGTGCGGGACACCATGGAGGAGAACGCCAAGCGCACGCTCAACTTGGGCCACCACGCCCACATGATTCTGGGCAACATGGGCCGCCGGTACGATCCCAGAACCGGCACTTTCACCGACAAATAAAGAGTGTGAATACGATTTCTTTCTTCGGCCACGACAGGAGAACAGCTCTGCGAGTGTTCTTTTTATTTCTCCCACCAGCGCAAGGAAGTCGAAGTCCTGCTCGGCTACGAGTAAGTACATGCGTCTGGGTCTGATGAGGTTCTATGTTGTACTTTGCTGCCTTTGATGCAACTCGTCAAGAGTACTGCTACTGGAAGGCAACAAGTATACGTAGACCGGGAATGATCGCGACTAACGACCACGACGACCCGAGGGAGAACTTGATGTTTCGACCACATTGAAGATGAACGAAAACCCCACAGAGCAGAAACGAAAAACGTAGTTCAGTTGGTATCACTTGTTCCTCTTTTTTCAAAGCTGGGACAGCTTTTCAAACTCTGTACGACCCCGTCTTGCCGTAAGCAGCACCTGAAATTTTTATCGGTACTCTTTTGTACTATCCTGTCGCACAGCCCGCGGAAAAGTCAATTTGTACCAGCGTGAAAGAAACTTTATACAAAATGTACATGTTGTAGTTAGTAATAGTATGCATCAACTACACAACGAATGAGAATTGTGGTTCGCGCATACTATGGATCTCGAAGAAAAGCTGTTTCACGCTTGTGTTCGTAGTTCACGAATAGTCCATACTCAGAATAGATTACGTACATGCAGCAGCAACAAACCGCGACAAAAACAGGCACAGCACACTACCTTTTTTTTTCCACCGAAATGACGATCCGCCACTGCCTGATCGGTGATGTTCCCTTCTCAATGAGATAATAGTAGCAAAGTGAGCTCCAGAGTTACAGATTCTTTCTCGGTCTCAATGACGGTCAGTTGGAGCTTTTGAATCCACGCCGGATCTTTTTAACGTGTTATTGAAATTTTATGTGGATCTTTTCGTTTGCATTAGCATTTCCCTTTTTCGTTTTCTTTCGTCGTTCACGTTCTGTATGTGAAACGCCAACGAAGAACAGCGAATCCTATTTAGCTTTGCCACTGTGTGTCAGGTATCAAGCATTTAGCATCGGTTCCTCAACTAAAGACTTTTTTTATTTGGTTCTGTGACTTCGAGCACCTCCTTTACAAATCTTCATTTTTCTAAAGGTGTGGCCTTTTTCAAGATATCGACCTCGGGATTACAAGTATAACGTACGAACACGAAGGAACGAATTCTATATTTTTGTATCTATAATTTTTGGAAGCAACAGCAAAGCAATCGATGGCACTCCCGTCGTAATCATTCTTCTGGCCCTCCCAGTGAAACAAAACGAAAAAGCTCCAGCATTTCCGAAACACCAAGCAATACCTCCCGTCCCGGTCTTCAAAGGAAGACCTTCCCTTCGTCAGAAGGACATCAGCATCACGTGAAGATCAACATTTCACTGCTGCTGGTTTGGGTCTGTTCACTGCTGCTGCTGGTTTGGGTCTTTCGGGACACGAACAAGACGGACCATCATGCCGGCCATGCAAGCGGGAGTCGACTATGAGAAAAAGGAGGATGCGCCGTACCAGCCCGACCTTCCAACGGTAAAAACCGAAAAGGCGTACAAAAATCTCGTTTTCCTGAACACCCCGGCCGCGCGGAACATACGGATACAATGTGAATTCCAAGAGCCCGGCTGTCGACTGCTCGAGGAGGTTCATTATAGATACCCGGTTTTTTTTCCAAATTACTTTCGAATCTCGCATCTATTCGGTCCTCTAGTTGATTGCGCATACACGTAGGGATTGTGCGCAAAATTCCTCACTTTGTTTCAAAAGTCCGGACACATCATGTTCATCGATCTAGACAACCTACTTCTCACATCACCAGGAAGTGCACAACATTGTCATGTTTTTCGGTAGCGCGCGGGCCAAATCTCGCGAGGAGTTCGAACGCGCGTTGGAAACCGCCGAGCCCGGGAGCCCGGAGCGGGATAAGCTTTTGCGGACCGAGTTTATGGTGAAATTCTACGAGGGTATTCGCACTCTGACCGAAAAGTTTAGCGACTGGAACCACCAACGCGTCCACGATGGAAAGGGAAGATACGTCGTCGGTACCGGGGGCGGGCCGGGCATGATGCAAGCCGCAAACGAGGGCGCGTACCGGGCCGAGGCACCCAGCGTTGGATTCGGAATCTCTCTCCCCTTCGAAACAGGACTCAATCCGTACAGATCTATTTCCCTTCACTTGTTGATTTGAAAATTGACGTTAATGCTGTTTCTTGTACTATGCTATCACCGTCCTTGCTGCAACTGCAAATGATAATTCGTCAAAATGCATTATCGTCATCAAGATCAAATTCAAAGTGAACCTCGGGAACAAGTCCCTATAACAAGGCCGCTAGTGCGGTACCACCATATGCAAAACATGTGCAGCACAACAAGATGAACAGAGAAACACCGAACAACAGGTACGTATCCCCCCCGCTAGCGTTCGAGTTTCACTATTTCTTTACGCGTAAGTTTTGGATGGCGTACAAGATCTGCGGGTTGGTGTGTGCCCCCGGAGGGTTCGGCACCCTCGACGAGTTGTTTGAGATCCTGACCTATCAACTGCAAATATGTCTGGGTCTGGAAGATTGCAAGATTTGTCATGCTAGTCTGGCATGACTCTTGCTCTTCACTCTGTATTGCGTGGCCACGAACAGCCTGTCTCGCCTGTCATGCAAAAACGCAGTTTCTCATTCGGAATGCGTAGCGCAGAAGCACGAAAAAACTTGCCATGCTTGGCTGCGCATTACAGTTCACTCGTTGTTCACTGACTTGCATCACAAGTTTCCAGACCCAGACATATTTGCATTTGATATGACCCTGAAGCAAACCGGGCGGATCAAAAGACCCATTATCAGAAGAAAGAAGTGTTACAGTTACACATTGTGTTGCAAGCCCAGCATGAGAGACAACCTCTGTGATGCCAGAAATGCTTCCGAGCTTCATTTCATACGTGTTTTCCCTTACGATCTGTGCATTGCAAGTTTTCCCTCTCATGCAGAGAAAATTTGTGTTGCTGAAGTTACATCAAATGTGTAACTGTAACACTTTTTTCTTGTGATACCCATCCCGATCATTTTGTTCGGAAAATCGTACTGGGAGGGCATACTCAACTTCCAGGCGATGTGCGATCATGGGATGATTTCCCAGGACGACGTCAATTCGCTCTTCCTCACCGACGACGCCGATGAAGCTCTCAAGTTCCTCTGTCAGAGCTTGGAAGACGTACTTTTACAGAAAATGTTTTACCTGGCACGATACTGGATGATTGATTTGTTCTTCAAATGTCTGGCCGGCATCGCTCTTCAAGTGGACCAAACCACATGTTGGTGTGTGTAAAAATGCACTACCTATGCCAAATACGTAACTCTATCTCTAACAGAATCTAAATCCTAAAATAATCGCAGGTCGAAGCCGATTTTGAGAGTCAGGGATCCCCGTTTCTGGCGCCCATGCGGGACAGCCAGGGCGGTTACGTGCACGACGCCATGGGCCGCATGCGCCGGCAGAGCGGGGAACAGGCTCGGAGTCCCGAACTCTCTCCGCAGACGGACACCAATAGTCCCGGAGGTGGCGGAAGCCAGCCCGAGTTCCAGATGGTGCAAGGCCAGCAGGGCAGCGGGGGTCAGGGCGCAGAGAAGAAGAAACCCAGCGGCAACAAACCCACCGAGAGTGTGATATAACTTTAACAGCTGACCTATTTGTATTTGCAGTAAAGCGATTGGAACTTGCGCTTGCTGCGTTGCGACCAACTGGTACACTTCGATTTCTTTTTGCACCAGCTGCAGTAACTCAATGAGAGCTCTCACACCCCAGCAATGAAAATACAACGATAATATCTGAGTTACTAGAAGTCAACAGGAGCAGCTTTCTCTTGTGTTTTCCCACAAACGACCTTCGCATCATCTTGGCTCCGATAGTAAGAATGGAAACAAAAAGCGCACAAATTTGAAGCCTTCATATAATGACTTTTTCAACCTATGACTTCCTCTTCAGTACCGCAGATTTCATGAATTGCGACCTAAAGAAAGGATAGGTACTGAATCTGAAACTTCAGATGAATGCTTTGGTCTTATGGAAAGAACAGCGGTTCTGCTCTTCTTAATCTTGTAAAAAAAAGAAACAAAGAAAAATATATGTTGGGCACAACCTGCCGATGCCTTTCGCAACTAGCTCCGTGTACCCACTCGGCCTCAGAGTTGTGGGCAATGATAGTTCTATGTGATGTATGTTTCTTTTCACCTTCCTGTCGATGTCGTGGTAGTGGCCGCCTTTTCCTACCTCGAGAGATGGCACAGATGTATGCGTGAGAGTGAGTGTGATGAAGGGCAGAAAAATCTTCAAAGGAATAGGTGCACAAGGCAAAGCTAGAATTTGCACTCGTTGTTGAGTTGCCCTTGATACCTGCCTTCTTTCCGTCCACCCACATTTATTGTGATCGTCCCAAATAAAGCCGACGCTTTCCAGATACAGTATCAGGATTTTCAAGTTGGACGACAACAAGAAAAGGAAGCAAATATAGCCGCATGGAGCAACTTCAAGAACTTGCTTGGTTTGTTTTACCACGACACTACTCGTTCCTATCATGCCGAACCACAAGAAGGCGAAGCAGCTGAGGGAGGCGAAGGAAGCCAGAGTCGCCCTCGCTGCTGCGGAGCAGGCCGCGAAGAAAGATTTGAGTCAAAAGGCAGTGGCTGCGGATTATCCGGCCGGGGGAGGTGGAATGAATAAAGCCGGTGGAGCTGGTGCACCTAGATCTTTCGCGAAGAAGCATGCAACGAGTTCCACTTCACAGCAGGACCTCTTGACGAGCACGATGACAGGGGTTTTGGAGAAGCTGCGCCAGCAGGCAATGGAAACAAAGAAGATGGCCGACACGTATCTAAGCCAGGGGTTGCTAGACGAGTACAATCACTATGGCCGGGAAGTGACCGACTTTATTTCAACAGTTGTGTGGTCCTGCTAATACGAACCAGAACCATACTAGTACCTCGTGTGGTTTTGAAGAGACAGTAACATGTTCTTTTTTTCTGTGATCGTGATGCACTGTTTGAATCCAAAATCGCTCGTGACCGGCTGAAGCTCACTGCTTGCGGGTGTGGTTTCGCCATTTTTACAAAAACGAGGAGGAAGGTTCGTCTGCGTGACAAGAAGTTTAGGGCTAACACCAGGTGCCACAAGGAATAAAAAGTCACTTCCTTGAACCCTATAAGCAAGCACGGGAGATGCAGGAGCGCATTGAGCAGAACGTGCGACAAGTGGAGCAGAAACTAGTTTCCGCACTTGGCCTTGGCCCGGCTTCGGTTCCGGTCGTTATGACTGGTGGGGCTGCAGTACCTTCAAGTACAAGCACTGCGAAAAGCACAGCTGGATCGGCAGCAGGAGCGAGGACCGACGGCGCTGAGCGTACCATCGACGGTGCTCATTTACCCGCACGAAAAACAACGAAGGATTTGGCTTATGGCGGCAACCAAATCGGCGGTGCGCATGCGGCGCATGCAAGCGATGTTGGCATAAGACATTCTAGTACCACTACGTCGCAACAAGAGCAAGTAGAGGCTGAATGTGTCTCGGTAGTACCGACGTACAAGCGGCTCCCCGACCGGTTCCACTACACGTGGACATTGCTGAAGAACCAGAAGGTGCTGGAAATTTGGATTTCCCAAATTGAGCACATTCCCGACGTGGACCTGGCCCCCGACTGGCTGCGCATCACGGGGCTTCCAGACGAGGACCTCGTTTTAACGTTGCCGATCTCGCCGCCGTGTGTGCCCGATGCGGTAAAGGTCTCGCGGAAGAAGAAACTGGAGAAACTGCTTCTCGACTTTTCCTCCACCTGCAGCTCGCCGGCACTGGCAACTTCCGGCAGTTGCGTGACGAATCTGCTGGTGCCACGGCTGAAGGACGCCAACTTAGGCTTCGGAAAGGTCGACGGCTTCGTCGACCTCTGCACAGCGGACCGGTTGCGACAGCAAGTGCTTACCCTGTGGAAGGACGGCAAATTGCGGCCCGGACAGATCGAGGGACCCGCCGCGCCCCCGGGAGCGAAGAAATCATCTGGACAAGAAGGTCGTGAGGAACAAAATCTTGTGGCTGCTGAAACTTCTTCGCCGCAGCAGGAGCAGCCTGGAAGTAAACCAGCGAATAAAGCAAGGTCCGACATGTACGCCTACTTGGATGAGCAACTTTCCGAGAATGCAGTCTTGCGGCAATTCACGCAAGCGCTGGATCTCCTGCTGCTCGAGCTCAGCTCCGCCGAGCACAACATCGAGGCTTTGAGGAACCGAAAGCTGATGCGCGGGCGGCCCATGGTTACCGTGTACACCGGACTGGGGTCCCGCTACACGCCCCACTACGACTGCGTCCAGGGCGACAACGGGCGCGTGGCCACCTGTATCTTGTACCTGAACCCCTTTTGGTCGGCAAAGGACGGGGGCGTACTCAAACTCTGGCCGGAAACGCGCGGACGAAGGTTGGACCCGGTGGGACCCACGCACCAAGTCGAGCCCTTGCACGGGCGGCTGGCGCTTTTTCTCTGCGACAGCCGGAATCTGCACGAAGTCACGCCGATTCAGGAGGAAAACGCGGAACCCCGCGTCGCAATCTCGTGCTGGTACTATGACACGAACCGTGTCAAGGAAATGGACTGCGAAGACTAAGTAAACTTTTTTACAACCTCCGGTGAAGATGTCCAAGACGAACACTTGTAAAAGCACTTGATAAAAACCTGCTTCTACGAATTGCAGCTTGTCCTTAATATATAGATTCTGCACCTCCATCATTCGCAAAGGAGCGCATCTTCTTTCTGCTTCTGCAATACAGGAGCATTCATACAGACTGCAGAACCTGAATCAATGTTCTTTCTACAGCTGCTTTCTTTACGCTTCGTGGTGATTTTCTTAGCGAACGCTGAACCAGTCGTGCACTACCGTCGTGGTTACTTAACTACGATTTGCCAGCAAGCGATCAGTCACACTGATGGTTACGACCCGTGCAGCTTGTGATATCTTGTTGTGCAGATTGTTTTCGATAGAGGCGACACTCGGATCTCCAGCGACGTTCGTACACATACAACTTCCAATGCCATAGTACACGACTCCAACAGTTCCCACACAAAAGGGCACTATTCTAGGCCACCCATATTGTCACATTACTTAACCAATGCTGGATGTATCATTTCATCTTCGTCCCCGCGCACTAAGAAAATTGCGAACAGATCACGTCCAAGACTCGACGAACGACTAGAACTCTGTGTAAGCTATGTTTTCTATGAAAGAGAAAGGTGCAGCTTTATCGGCGGCCCTTAGTACGACCACAAAAAAGAAGAAGGAAATAACCCAAGGATGATCGTTGATCGGTTTCCTGAGTTTCGGCAGTATGCGCGGGAGGCTGGCATCGAGACGACGTCGATGGAGGAGCTTCGGGCCAGGCATCAGCAAAATGCCAACTCTATGCAAGCATTGCAGCTATGATGTTGTACTTAGTCTGGGTCTGGAAGTTTTCTGCAAGTTGTCGTGCGAAAATTTGATGATCATGCATGAAGATGAACGCCAAGATGAGCTGCCCGCTTCTTCCTCAGGAGAAGGCGGATTTCTCATGCGAGATAGGCATGAGGGACGTCTCGCGAAATCTGTGACGCTTTTGTGTGCATTCCAGCCCATGCGTGTGGTCCGTGAGATGCAGGATGAATCGCGTAAAGGGTTCTTCTTCGAGACCCAGACATATACCAACTAAATTTGCACTACATAAACTCCCCCGACGCCTCAAAGGACCCGAGCGCGAGCAGCAAGAAAGCCGCGGATGACCCGATGCGCGAGTTCTTCGAGCACGTGCGCGCGATCCAGGATCGCATCGCGGACGCACGCAGGAGCACGGACCTGATTCAGCAGTACACGGAGGACTTCCTCGTGGCCACCAGCACCGCGCTCGAGACGAAGGCACAGCAGAACTCCGAGGAGGAGGCATCCAGGACGAACAAAGTGCTGCAGGAAGCGAAGCACATGCTGGAAGATTTGAAAAACCCGCCGGACGGAGCAAAGGGAAATAAAACCAAGAAGGTGAACTCGAAGATACGGCAAAACATGTGCAACAGCCTCGCGAAAAAGCTGCAACAGGAGGTGCTGCAGTTTCAGCAGGCGCAGTCGAACTTCACGAAGGAAATCAAGGCGAAGACGGCGCGCCAGTTGCAAATCACGTGTCCGGAGGCGAGCCTCGAAGAGATCGACACCATGATCCAAAACGGCGAGACCCGGGACACGCAGGTGCAGCGGCAGATGGCGGGCAGCCACGCGGTGCTGCTGGAAAACCTGCAGCAGGTACACGACAAGTACCGCGCCATACGAAGGTTGGAGCGGTCGATGGCCGAGCTCCACCAGATGTTTCTGGATATGGCCCAGTTGATCGAGCACCAGGGCGAGATCCTCGACGTAATCGAGGTGAACGTGGCAAAAACCAAGGACTACACGACACAAGCCGAAAAGGAGCTGATCACAGCGAGGAAAGGCCAGTTCACGGCACAACGCCGCATGTGCTGCATAACGGTCGTTATGCTCATCATCGTGGCAATCATCATCTTCCCGATTCTGTTTGCCCCCTCAGCCGGGGGAGGATTTAGATGAAAGCGAGTTACTTTTCAATCATTGCCAACATAATCGGATCGAACTGAGAAGAAACCAAAACAACTTGATGAGCCGCGGCGGCGCACCCGCGACGTACTGCAGCAAGAGGCTTTGCTTTGTATCTACGTATATTTATCTTCTTGATGTTCAGCACGCGGCTTTTACTCGATGTCAAGCTTTCGCAAGCAGCTGCATTCTTGTAGTTTGTTCTTAGCGAGTGCAAGGAACTGATTTCGTCCTTGTCATGTTCCAGATCCACCATCGGAGCTTCTGCATTTTACGTTGCTGGTGGAGTTCGGTGGAGCAACGCGATCATGATGTGATTTTCTTTTTCGAGGAAAACAAGAAGGTCGAGATCTGACGAACGCTCACGACAGCTACATCAGCCGAATGTTGAGTAGCTAGTGCACACGCAGAATGTACAAACAAACCAACGCGTCCCGAGCGATCGCGCGTTTTTTTCTTGTTGGCTCACAAGATAGATCGCCACCATTGAATAAGTATTTCATTTTGATGCGTATGACGGCGACGGGTCCGCACGGCACGCACACCTTCGGCTAACTCTATTCGTTTTTCAAAAAATGAATCAGACAATAAGGAAACATATTGAGAACGAGAAGTTTCGTGATCTGTTTTCTTCACCCAGCACCAGCATTGTTTTGTGACGATTCCGATTTAAGTTTGATTTATGCCTTTCGAGGAAGTATCAGTATGATTCCATTTGTCTGTGTGTTGCCGAAACCCTATCAATCGGGAATCCTTTTTCATCTGCCGTTTGACATATTAGCTCTTGCAACACTTCACAAGTACGCAATCTAATCGACAAGATGACTAGAACTGAAATTGATCTCTTAAGTACTCTGGACTTGCGCGGTGCGCGACCGAGTAAGGAACGGGTGGAGCAGCTCACAACGTCCCCGGTCGTCAGTAACTACCCCGCGAAGTTCTGGCCTTTCGATGGGGCTCCGCACATGTGGGGACCGGGCGAGGTCTGGGTCCGACTAGGAAAGGGCGCCTCCTCGTGTGCGGCTGCGCAGGAGTGCCGAAGGACGCTCGACGCAGGCAGGCCGCTCGATGTGGCGCGCGTCGTTGCAGAAAAGGACCCGCAGATCGCGAAGGCCCTGGCGGTGTTGAAGAGCAAACCGGAATGGTACAGCGACGCGGACGGGTTTGCAGAGGAGGCGAACTTGGGCAATGTCTTGGAGGAGTTGAAAAAGCAGGACTGTGTGCCGGAGTGGCTGGACTCCCGGCAAAAGCTTGGCACCTTCTGGCCGGAGTTGTCAGTCAAGCCGGGGCGTTTGTGGGTAGTTAAGAATTGTCAAATGACTACCGAAAAAGACAATGACGCACTGGGAGAAGTTGCCGCGTTGCTTACGCTCATCGACGGGAAGGCAACCTGGGCACTCGCGCCGCGCGGCCCCATTGTGCCGGTAGGCATGACGGACACAGTGACGCGCCACTCCATCGGTCTATACCGCCGCTGCCGCTTCATCGGAAATGTGCCGGCCCACCTGGTCCGCGACAATTGCATCTGCACGAGCCAGAGACTTAACAAGCAGGCGGCGCTGCGGCTCTTCGAGCAGTTACCCCTCTGGTGGGGCTTTCGGGACAAAAAGGAGCACTCTGACAATTGGGACGACTACCATGCTGAAGTGAAGAAAATGAAGGAGCGAACCGGCGCTGCCGGGCCCGTCCGCGCTGATAATCCGGAGAGAACTCTGGTCCTGCCGCTACCAGCAGAAGTCGAGGAGGCCCTCCAGTCCCGCAGCCTGGAGAAGCAATACAGTGATGTGCTCCGTGAATTCGCCACCTTTTTCACGACCGGAAAAGTTAAAGTCGCGAAGCGGGCGAACATCTTGAACGAAGCGGACAAAGAGAAAGCGCGAGAGGGTGGGAAGAAAAACCACAAGTCGGGAACACCACAGGCGATAACGATTGGAGCGACCACCTACCGCCAGTCTTATGCGGGTGTGCTTAGTAAGTTTTCACGGCCGCTGCGGGGGCAATACCTCTCGAGGATGGTGGTAGAACTGCACAGAAAGGTTTGCAGCGTGTACGAGACGCCAGCCGGAGCCACGTCTTCTTCCTCCTCATCCGCCGCTGCCCGACCGGTCTCAGCCAAGATGAAGCGCCCAGCCGCAGAGGCGCCAGCCGAAAACGGTGAAGGCGCGCCAGGTCGTGCGCTTGGCACTGATGCGCTCTGGACCAGCTGCACAGTCAACTACGACGTCACAACCATTCTCCACCGGGATTCGAATAATTGCCGAGGGTTATACTCTATCAAACGCAGAAGTGTCTGGGTCTGGAAAGCAACTTCTGATGCGCGTCTTGCGTCCCTGAAAAATCTGTGTCACATAAGCAGAAAGAATGCCAGCGTTTTCATGCTGCAACGCAGTGTTTAGTGCGTACTAGACATCAATCTATGACTATGAGAAAGATCGATAAAAACGCGTCATGCTTAGCAGTACTTCGAAGTGGAAGTGGTTGTTCAATTGTCCAGAGTTCAGCATCACAAGTTTCCAGACCAAGACATATTTGCACTTGATGCGCCCTCTTGTCCTTGCTCTAGGAACTTTTCAAACAGGAGGTCGATTATTCGTCCAAGATGAGGACGTGGCGCGCAGCAACCCTCCGAGGCGCTTGGACGGCAAAGAAGCAAGCGGCGCACCCGGGCACTTTCACTGTACACAGACAGGGAAGAAGGTCAGCGGATTTTTTTTCGACGTGAAACAAAACCCACTGCTATTTTGGGGCGGTGTGCGGCACGGTATTTACTTATTTACCGCTGTCGTTTTTCGGCGTCGAGTATTCATCCGCATATCCTAACTGATCACGATGTGTAGGCGCATACGTAAGATTTCAGAGGCGAAGTAGCGAAAAGCGAGCAACTCGTTGCGTCTGCCTAGCGGTAGTGCATTCTCCTCTGCATATTATCAACTGAAAAACACATACAGTCGCAGCAAACATCAAATGTAAAACGAAAATGTAATGATCAGGTACAGAACCGTACACGGGGGGAAGTCGCATGGCGTTTGTCTTTTTCTCGCATTCCAACATCTACCGCGTTTCCAATCCCGCACAGGAAGGTTTGCGCGATGCTTTGCTGGAGGATCTCTCCGCGCTCGGAATTCCGGCCCCCACGCCACAGCAAGTCGAGGATGCGGCAGCCAGACACCTGGATAGCACCAGTAAGACCAGCAACAAGCGTGCAAAGGTCCTCACGAAAAAAAGAGACGAAGCTGCAACCACGACCACGAGTGCAGAGCCAGATGCAGCTGTCCCCGACCATCCAGACGGAGAACATGAAAACTTTGATGAAGATCGCCGAGATCCCACGATTGAGAAGTTTGGAGACGTTGCAGACGATGTCGGCGACATGTACATGGGATTCGTTGCTAGCGGGTTCATACAAATGTGTGACGAGCGACGCAGGGCGCGGGCTGTCGAAGGAGAAGATGGGAAGTCCAGCAGCAGTAGCAGTGGGCGAAACATGCTCGCAGATGACAAAATTAGTCGACAAACGTCCAAAGCGTCCAGTACATCGGATCCCTCTTCCAAGACAAACGCGAAAGCAAAGTAGATGCCTATTCCGTTGTGCGATGCCATCGATTTGAAAACAGAAACTCCTACAACACGAACAAGTCGCCTCGGCCGCAACAAATATTTACTTGCTCGCCTCGCGTTGCAACGCTTGCGCTGCTACTGCTTCTGCTCGCTCTTTTTTTTTCTGTTCTTGTAGATGTAGTTCGTCTTCGTATGTGTTTCGTGTGTGTTGTGAACTATTCGCCAAATTGTCTTCATCAGCTCGTGACTCATGTTAGAGCTCGTTGTTATTCCATATCCACGCACAACTTGCGATTGAGTCTTTTCCCTCGTTTAATATTATACCGACATTCAAATTACATTTACTTTCTTCTGCACCAGACAAGTAGTTCGTTGTCGCAGAAATTTTCGTTGGGTTTTCCCTGTTTACAACATGCATCTCTGCTTTTGTACACAATGACGGAGTCCGGCGGATCTAGTTCTTCCAAGTCCTCGTTTGCGCACGTGCGTTCACTAACGGCGGGAGGTCGTCCACCCTCGGAGCAGCTTCTACATGCAGCCGGATCATCAGGAGCTGCAAACGGAGCGGCTGCAACAAGCAGCACTGGAAGCACGACCGGCCCCAGTTCTCTTACTTCTGGTATTTTTTCATCTCCCAGCACGACTGATCCAGCGGCCACCGCACCTTCCGGAATTACTAGTTCAACTGCTCCCGCAACAACCGCGGTAGAGGCTAATATTGCTGCCGGGGATCTTCATGCCACCACCACGACCGCAGCGGCCTCGTCCATGCTTGCGAGCGCGTATGATTCCATTACGGAAACGTACCACAGTGCCGTGAACGCAGTTTCTGGCCTCAGTCCTTTCTCCTCGGACAGCGCCGCGGAAAATGGGAGCGCCGCGGGCGGGTTTCTTACTGGCGGAATCATTCAAAGCATGGCGGAAGCCGCCGCTTACACCGGGGACCGCATTACGCAGGCCGCTTTTTCACCTCTGTTCCTGGTGATGGCGACCAGTTTTGCGCTTTCCTCGATGAGCCATTTGGCGTATCGGACTCCACAGCACCCCCCCCTTATGCGGTTAGAAGGCATGAGCAGCAACATAGAAATATAGGACGGCACCAGAGCAAGAAAAAGAACGTAGCTCATGGTAAGTACGCGTGACACACAAAACTTCATGTGTGGCACCAGTGCATTTTTGCATGGTTTTGTCACCACGCAACATCGAGCTAAGAGGTAACACCAACTCCAAGGCCAAGGGCTGGAGTTGCTCATTTGCATCACAAACTATTGCAGGGGAGGAGACGCTGCGCACTGTCATAGGGCGTTGCTATACCAATCGCGGAAGGCCAATCGCATCATCACCGGTTTTTATCAGGCCGTAGTCGGCGAGTCGTGTATCTTCCAGAACAACGTGCCATTCGGTGATTTTGAAGCACGGCTGGAAACGTTGCTGGTGATACTGCGAGGACTACTGGACGAGTATGTAAGCGTTGGAAAAAAAGTAGCGCGCTTCTACGTGTTGGACGGACAAAGCTCTTTTGTTCGGTACGTGAACGGAAAGAACAAGATGCGGAGAAGTTGTGCGGAAGAAGATCAAGGACAGGGCGTTGGTCAAGCCTTTCCCCTGGGACCACAAGCTGAGTTATTCGCGCGAGACGAAGCAGATTTCGAGGACGTACTGGAGGAGGTTCGCATCTGGCGCAACGATCATTTCCTAGGTTTTAACGGCTTTGCTACTCCGAGACCTTTTGCGTTGGATCCACGAAGCTCGCCGGACATGACCAAGAGGAAGCAAACTGCAGGGTCCAGCAAGCCGTTCGAATACAATTATGAAAATGCTCATGAGCTGCAAGGAGCTCCTTCGGGTTCGGAAACAGATGCAGCTCCTGCTGTGCCCCAGGAAGGCCTCGTGGTGTTTTACTTTTCCAACTCCGCGAGCACTGTGATCGAACCGACAGCGTACACGCCAACATCGCTCGGCGCGGATTTTTGGAGAGACAATGGAGCAGCGGCTCCTGCTGCAAGTATCCCGACATCTGCGGTGTCCACCCCTGCTGGTGCTGCCGGTGGACTACATGCAGGAGCCACATCTTCTCAGTTAGAAGCTGGCTCCGAAACAAGCCGGGTGTTTCTTTTTGATCATTTACTGGGCCCTTTTCATGTAGAGGGAAATAATGCTGCGCAGCGCAATATGGTTACGTTGGGCGGCGAGATTCTGTTGGGTTCCAACACGAGCGGCACTTTTCGCAACATCAGCTTTCGGAATCCGCCTTTGGTTCCACCCGAGAAACAACAGCCAGCATCCTCATCGGAGGAGGTCGCGGAGCAGCAGCTGCATGGCGGCGCAGGCGAGGGACTTGGTGTGGATGCGGAAGTGCAACATCGCAGCCTGCAGTTTGTGGACCGAACGAATACTGAAGCCAAGGCAGCGCAGGCCACCTCCCAGCCACCTAGACCGGCAACTCCTCCAGCTGCAGCTCAAGAACTTCGATCACCTGGTCCTCGTGGTGGCACAGCCGTGGCGACGCTGCAAAGCAGCCGAGGTGCTCTGCGCTACGAAACTACAGGAGGTAGTACTACTTCCCCGTCAGACGACCACGTGGCCTCCGCTCCTACTTACGTCGAGTTTTCCCGCAGTTGCGAAGTTTTCCGCGCCTCTCCGTATTACCCGTACCTGGCTGGCCGCGGGGCATCCACCGCGCAGCGCGCAACCTCAAAACAGCGAGAAAAGTTTCTGCGCGTCAGCTCTGTGTACCCAACAACGACGAGGGGACGGAACAAGCATGAGGTGGACTTCTTCGGTCGCCAAGTTGTCACGGCTAGGGACGCAGGCGAGCCAATAAACGGAAGAGGACCACCGTCGGCCGGCGGCTACTTCCTCGAGTCCGCACTCTCCTTCATCGAGTCCAGTGCGGAGCGAATGGTGTCCGGCCTTTTCCGTCGGGCGGAACAGCAGGAGGATCACCCCGAATTGCTGCAAAACGTCTCAACTCTGTCCCCACATGGTACAACAACCCACACCGCGCAAAATCGCGCCGTGATTCCGCTCTTGAAACGCCAGGTCGCAGGGTCGGACCCACTGATCCACCGCTCTTTGCCACGACAGTGGTCCGGATCCTCTGTCGAAGGGGGAGTGCAGTTCGAGGAACCCGCGCCCGCAGTACCGCCCAGAGTGCTTCAGGCAGCTGGCGTTGGTGGACCACAGCCGCATCACGCCAAGGCGTTTAAACAGCAGAAAAAGTAAAGTGCTCTTTTTAATTGTTGCAGGAAAGTTGTATTCCAAGCCCAGAGGCTGAGGCGAGCTCCAACTCCCTTTGCACGCTCCCGCAGATGAATTAAACGCATAAGCTATTGCCAGACTGCTGCTGCTCTGTGATACGAGACACAATCGTAAACATCATACTGGGGGGACGATGAAGAACGCTTCTTGTTCGACGGGTGAAGACGAAGTCAAACTGTGACCGCAAGACTGTGCTGAATAATGTTGGAGCGAGCGAGAAAAGCAAGAAAATCTGAGCGAAGCATCTGCAAGATCATAGAGTATGAGTGGGAGTTTGCGTTCTGTATATAAGAATAAGTAGGATGGCGGAGGGCGAGGGGGTGCTTTCAACAGTACAACAAGGAAAGCTCAAAGAATTTTTTTCACCACAGCTCTACTCATCGAGCCTGGTGGTACTTGCACGAAAAATGTTGCGTCACCACGATGGGATGATGACGATCACAAGATTTGCGGATCATTGCTGACCTCGACCAGATCAATCATGGCCTCATCCGGACTAGACCTGGCGAGGAAAAACTCTTCGCATGCCGCGGATCTTATCTACCGCAGCCGCGGACCGAGCTATGCGAAGCTGCGGTACAACGAGGAAGCTGGTACATACGAGACACGGGAGAGGCGAGGGGGGAGTATGTTGTTTGCCAAGTCGAGCGGGCGGGGACTCCACGTCAGCTCCCGAAAACTTGCAATGGAAACAAACACGACTCGGTATTATTAACTTAGCGATATGTGTTCTTGTTCCACATCCAGTAGATGCGTATAGATACTAAGAACGTGCTGGTGCTGAAAATCATGCGCTTCATGTTGGTTCGTCATTTACTTTCAGCGAGTAAAAATTCGTTTCGGCGAGCGAGGGTTCCTGTTCATCTGTTTCCATGATCTCTCATTCCGTTTCGAACGCATGAATGAATTGAAATCTTGTAGGGATCGACGAAACCTTCGGCAAACGGGCAATATCGACACTGTGGCCATTGAGCCTCTACCGCCTGAGGGGGAAGCAGAGAGCGCCGTACACGACCTCCGCGGTGAGTCTCTTGGCGAGGAAGGCGAGAACGCTGCTGCGTCACCATCTGCGAACAATGATCAGGCTATTCAGATAGAGGGTGAGGAGACCGCAAACAGCTCGACAAGCAATCGGAAGAAAGAGCCTAGCCGCGTGAATTCTCTGCGGGTGTTGCTGTTGGTGGCAATTTGTGCCGGTGTCCTCTTCAACGTGCTGAATGAGTGCAGACGCAAACTAACACGCTGGAAGCACAGCTTCTACGACCAGCCTGCCTACGTGCGCGCCGCCTTTGTAGAGGCCGACGAGGCCCGGCTGCAGGCCTTACAGGTCCTGGGGCTTGATTTCGCGTGGCTTGCAGCATCCGCGGGCCGGGACGGTGCACGGTTGCAGCACGAGGTTCCGGTGTGGGTCAATGAGACGGAAACGGACGTTCGCAGAGGCATCTCTGCCGGGACCGGCACACAGCATGTGGCTCCGGAAGGGAGGAGTGCATTCGCACACGATTTGTCGATTTTTCTGAACGACTCGCAAAAGGCAGTAGATGACGCGGACGCGGAAACCCCCTTCAACGAGACGCAGCACGCTAAGCCGGCAGCAGGAGTTGTTGCGCGCGACCCCATCGAGAACAACAGAGACGCAGATCGAGATCGTGCTGCACATCGCCGCTCGCGCGACCGTAGAAACCGCGAAGCAACTACGTTGGAAATGAATGACACTCGCGAGGGTGGTCCACGTCGGGTAGAGAAACGCTCCGATACAACCACCGCCGTCAAGGACGTGCACTTGCACAGCCACAAAGACCACGAATATTACAACCAGCAGCACAAGAACAAAACCAGTAATGGCTCCGCAAGCGCGATGAAACGAAACGGGACGATATCTCCTATAGAACTTGAACTTCTAGCAGCTTCACCTTCGGATTCTGATCCGCTACCAAGCAAAACTACAGGCGACGACGAGGACCTGGAACTACGCGCGAGAGAGCAGGGAGGTGCGGAACTCTGGCGCTTGCTGTTTGAAGTGCTTTACGCCGTGCTAGCGGCCATGTTTTGCATCCCCGTCCAGGCGGCCGCTGGTGGGGGGATTCCGGAGGTGAAGTGCATGCTGACCGGCGTGCTGCTGCCCGACTACGTGTCGCGGTCGGTGCTGGTGTGCAAGTCGGTTGGACTCGTCCTCATTTTGGCCTGTGGGATCCCTTCGGGACAAGAGGGGCCCTTCGTGCACATCTGCATCTGTCTGCTCTCCATCCTGTATCAGGGAAAGATGCAGGTTAACACGCAGACGGTGCTCGCGCTCGTTGCCGTGGGGGTGGGAAACACCTTCAATGCCCCGATTGGCGGGGTGTTGACCGGATTGGAGCTCATGATGCCCAACGTCTACGACGTGACCACCTACTGGAAATGCTTCCTGGCTGCCATGCTTTATCCTAAGAAATCAGTTGATGTGTCGTCGCTTTCCAGGTTGGTATATTCATCGCGTCGGAACGGACACAAGATTGAAATACATGCTGGCACTACTTGTTTCGCATCTACTTACTCCTCCTAAAAAGTCGTATTTTACTGTCGTGCCGCATTGGCAACTCATAGATTCAATCATTTGTTGAAGGCAGAGGTACCATCCCTATCCTCCAGTCCGTTTCGTGAGGCAGTTCTGTGGGCCTGGACAGCGAAATAGAAATTTTCTTTGAAACTCGTTCGACTTACATTCGGTACCTGCTTTGCTTCGCGACGGACGAGAATCCGAAACCCTACTTGTCTTCCGATCTCAGCCTGTATGAGGGCACCTTCCAAGTCAGCAGCGTGGCTTCGGCGGGCACCGACGGACCGGCTACTTCCGCATCCGTTTTTCCGGGCAGAGCGCAAGAAACCGCGAGCAGTGACCAAGAAGGTCACAGTACTTCTGCCACGGTAGCAAGTCGAAACCTGTTTGCCACGGTGGGCGGCTGGGTGTTTTACTTGGGGGTCGTGCAGATCGTTATTGGTGCGGTTTGCGGCTTCCTAAGCGGGGTCTTCATTTTGCTACACCGAGCGCTGGTGCAGTATTTCATGAAGCCGTACATTCTCCAGGGAGGCGGTTCGCGCAAGCGGCGGGAGCGCAAGTCGGCGGGGAAAAGGATCATAGAATATGTAAGCCGCACATACGACAGGCTGACAACAGGCGCCAGGCTATCCACCCCGAGCGACACGAAAAAATCGCAAATTATGGGCGGCGATGTTGCAGAGAAGAACGAACGCAACGAAGAACGAGAAGATGCTGCCGCTCCCACGAAACAAAAGCAGCACGATGCTGGGAACAACTACGTTTCCGCCGATACTTTCAGTGTCAACGTGCCCGACGAAGTAGATGCGGATGCGAAGTCCAGAGCTCATGATGGCGAAGGAGCAGGCGCCACAAAAACATTCGCCGCCGCACGCCCGCCCTCTCTCCTGCGGCAACGCATCTCAGGGCATTTGGCTGAGTTGCAGCAGGACAAGCGCTCGACGACACGGACCACCGTCTCTGCTGATCGAGCAGGCTTCGGTGAGGACCGAGAGGCCCACACTCCCGGAGACGCGAGGGCCCGCACCATAGGCGTCGCGATTGGACAGGAGCACCAGGATCTCGAACACCAGCACCACCTCGACTCCGATCCCGAGTACACGTCCGAAGCGGTGTCTACTTCCTCCTCGTCGGGAGACGACCGGCACCCGCAGCGGGATCGCTTTCGGCACTCCGGCAAAGTGGTTCTTGCGAGACTGTTGAAACGCAATTTGCAGAAGCACGCCGACGACCATGACGGTGCGAAGTTGGCCGATGTTCTCCGCGCGGCGCTCACGCGCGAGCGCGTGCGGCGCAAGCCAAAGTTCCACTTTTTCGAGGAACCTCCGGCGAGCGGCGAGGAGGACGACGAGGAGGAATTATACCGCCTGCAGAAGGAAAAGAACCGCGAGGGAGCTGCAGAAGAAGATGTGGAAAGTACTCGCGAGGATGACCACGACCGGAAGAGACAGTACAAGCCCCCCGCACTCGTTCTGCCCACCAGAGTCCTGTCGCGGGAAAGGCTGCTGGCTGCCTCACCATCCCCGAGGGCTGCGAGAGCCGCAGCGCGGAGCCCGAGAGCAGGTGGTGCCGATGGTGTGACGCCGACTGCGTCCACCAACATTTTTAACTTGGTTGCATCGCCGACCGAAAAGAGTAAGCGAATGATATTCGAGCTGCACCAGCGAGCCGCTAAAGGAGCGACAAGCGGCAAGGATCTGCAAGGTGCTCCAGCGTTTGCGTTTCCTGATCTCGACGAGTACGTGTTGCCAGCCTTGATTTCGCCAAGCTCTAAAGATCGACTAATTTTTGAGCATAGACGTGCCGCAAAGAAGGACTCGGGTAACAACACCAGCTCGGGCGCTGCAACGTTCTCCTTTCCTGGTGCCTCGACAGCCGATCTTGAGGAGGTGAATAGTGCCGAACAAGAACCGATGCCTACAACGCCACGGCAGATCTTTGCACATCACCAGCAATTATCATCGTCCGCAAAAGCGAAGTCCCGGTCTTCGAAGGCTAAAGCATACTTTGCGTACCCCGGAGCATCGACAGCGCAGTTGGGCGAGGGAGCGCTCATGCGGCGACGGTTTGCCTCTGGTGCGTCTTCCGCGGATCTCGACGCGAGTGCGATGCTGGAGGTACTCACTTTGTCGCACGTCACCGCAGACGACGAGCCAGGTTCCCTTGGAAAAGCACAGGATGACAGTACCGACGAGGCAGACCATATCACGACAACGCAGCCACTCGTTGAAGCTGATTTGGCGCAGCGATTTCTGCACAAGACACGCGTCCCCTCACCGACGAAGAGTTCGAAATCCAGTGCCTGTCCGACGCCGATTCGCAAGAGCAAGAGGGGCAAGCCGTCGGAGCTGCTGCGGAGCTTGCCTGATGACGACAAATTGCACGAAAGAAGAACAAGAAGTACCAGTGTCGATGCTAGCATGCGAAAAAGCAAAAAGAGCCAGCACAAGGAACTGTTCGCGATGGAATCGTTTAATCTCCGTGGTGACAGGGCCGAGATAGAAGCTGCAGATATTTCGGCGCTACCGGGAAGTCGGTCGAATTCACCTGCCTGGAAGCGGCTGTTAAAGCATCATACTCATTCAAGTATACTAAGCTGATGAAAAATATAGATATACATCACGTGTTATCCGAATCCGATTCTGATTGTGATTTCGACCAAGTCGAACGTACAACTCCCACTGTCCAGCTTGTGTGTCGTGCGTTACTTGTCGAATGCGTGCAAAAGTGAGTGATCGCAAAGATGCTGATGTACATAGTTGTAGTTCAACTTTTTCAACAGGATTTCAGTAAAAGCATCTGCCTAGATGTGGATCATATTCACAATAAAATCACATCTTCGCAGGTCAGCGGAAGCGACAATCGTACATTTTTTCCGATGCTCTGGCTCGGGCTGCTTACGATCCGCACGCGCAAGCCGAGGTTGAGCGGATTCAAAAGCGAAACGAAAGAACGCGGAGTAACTCCCGCGAGCGGGAGCCCGCAAAGAGTCCCGATAATTACAACCTTTCCAGCAGGAGTCCACCTCCCGAGCAGGACAACCAGAACCAGACCACTAAGGCCGCTGCGAGAACAAATAAACAGGAACAGCGTCCGCAGTACCGCAACGAGGAGCGCGAGCGTCGCTACGCTGCGTTGCAGGCGGGCACGTCCCCGCACCGCGCTGAGGTTCGGAAAGGAAGCTGGAACAGGCCATGGGGCACGCCGGTGCGCGAAACGCGGTCGCAACAGCTGCGCCGAGAATCCGTACGGAAGCAGCAGGAACAGCGAAAGTTGTCGAGCAATCTCTTCGATGGTACGGGCATCGCTCAGGGGCCTCTCGCTAGTACAACCGAGGCTGTCCTACCTGGCAGCCCAGAGAACAAAACCTCTCGCCGGAGCCAAGTGCAAGAGATTGCGCGGTCCAGTAAAACGCAAAGTGACAAACATGCAGTACCTACCAGTGGCAAGCTACACTCCGACCTCGCAGATCCGCTACTGACCCGCGCCTCTGCTGCAGAAAACGTTCCCGCGCGCGGAACTGCATTGTCATCTAACACATACGAGCAGGTAGGCATGGGACAGAAAAATCCGGGGGAGTACGAGGAGGGTTTATCCACGTCATCGGGCGCCGTCGAAGATGAAAGTGAGGCCGACGCGGATAAGAGAGCTGCCAGCACGTCGACGTTTACTGTTTCCCAGCGCCGCCAGTCCATCAGGCTAGACAAGAACGACCGAGGGACCGAAAATAAGAGATTGGGAACAAAAAACAAGACATCCGTGACCACTTTACTGAAGGGTCGTCGAAAAGTGGCACCGGATCATGCGCTGCCGGAAAAGCGCCCGAGTACCACCGTTACTGATATTCACATTTACCCGACGGAAACCTCCGCAGGCGAGCCACAGAACAATCGCGCACACGACCGAGGGCAGTTGACGTCAATCCTCGCGGGCTCCGACGATCATGTGGTCACCTCCAGTGCGGCCGCTGCCGGGGGCGGCAACAAGAAGGCCAAAGTGAAAAAGCCGAAAGTCCGTCCGCCCTTGGCCACGTTGATGTTGCGGCAGTGGAGACGTTTGCTTTTCATCGCCTTCATCGCGGTCGGCTTTTTCTACCTGAACCGCGTCAGCTCTCTCTTGGAGTTGTCGGAGCCGGCGTTTCTCAATTCGTTTTTCTCGGTGGCCACGTACCAGTACTTCAGCATTCCGGACCTGGCCGTGGTTTTGGTCCTCAAATTTTTCCAAACCATTGTTGCGATGGCGCTGCCCGTACCCTTGGGATGTGTGGCGCCGTTCTTGGTCATCGGCGCACTGGCGGGTCGCATCATTGGGCAGCTCTTTCTGCAAAATGCGCAATCTCTGCTGCTGGACAGTGGCTTGAGCATCTCCGATCATACACCGGAGGTTCTCAGTACCGCGTTCCCCGGACAACACGGACAGGCCGGGATGAACGGCGATGTCGTGTTGGAGGCCGCAAGGCAAGCACGCTGGGCTTTGGTCGGTGCAGTTGCGTTCACGGCCGGCGGTTTGCGCGCTTTCTCCATTGTACTGATTTTATGATTTGGTGCATCTTTATTTTGAGTTTGAAAATGTTTTCAATACGACAACGACCGCGTCGTGCCATGTTTTAGACATGCACGTACTTGTTTTATCGAAAGAATTGGGAAAATTGACAAGCACCAGCGGAACTCAAACAAGGTTGACTGTTGACATTCATCGAAGCACTTCAAAAATATTTTCGAAACAAAACTGCAGATTGCCATCGTGATTGAGTTAATTTTCCTTCCGGGCCTGTCGACGGAACTCATCCTGGCAAGTTTTGTGAGCATTTTTGTGAGCGTGCAAATTACGGACTTTGGCATCCTCGACAGCATCGTGTTGATGAAGGGCCTTCCAGCCATGCCGACCCACCCCCCCGGCAACTTTTCGCAGCGAACGGTGCTGAATTGCGCGGTGAGAAGGTTCGTGCAGGTCCCCAGGTTCTGCAGTTACGCAACTCTGTGGCATCAATTGCGAAAGGCTGCATACATCCACCACAAAATAACGCATGATCCGAGGACGAATGACTCGTCTGCAGAAAAAGAAAATCCGTCTGGTCCCGCGACACAGGTAGAGCGAGGCCAAGCCACACATCAAGTCGGAATAGACGCGCCCGGGGCTGCTCCTGCACCTCCGCATCAAACTCCAGCTTTCAATTTCGCATCCTCATTTTTCAATAAAACGAAAAGAACTAAAACGTTCGAAAGCGGCGTGTTCAATGCCAGCTTTATGTCGAACAATGAAATGCAAATGTACGAGAAAAGTGACGAAGAGCGAGAGGGCAGCAGCACTTTTGACTATCCGGCGGACCCGCCGCCGGAGGGGTTTGGTCAGGAAGTCGTACCCATCGTCTCGGACGGAGCGCTTGTGGGAGTCATCGGTGCTGTGGATATGCGCCTGCAGTTGCAGGAGCTGGGGCTCCCGCTGTGGAGATCGGAGTTTCCGAACGAGGCCGAGTATCAGACGCTGCTGAACTTCAACCACGAACGCGAAATGGAGCGCACCGTCATACAGCTGAGCGCGGAGGAGCATCTCCGGAGGACCACCAAGCGCGCAATGTCGTCCACAACTCAGAAAACATTTGGTATTGGTGCAGCCGACAATTCGGGTAAAAATTCTAAATCTCTTTCACTTTCACCTTCTCCCCCTGATGAAGATGATCCATCTGGCCCACCTCCTGCCGGAAGTACAACCGGCACGACACAACTGAAGACACAGTCATCGTCATCCTCCTCGAATGCTGCTTCTACCCAGCACGACCTCACTGCTTCTCCGCATGTTGGAAAAAAACGGCCAAAGGCCGAGGGGGAAGCGCTAGACTTGGCTGTCGAATCCGTCATGAACCGGCCTCCCAGTTTCCGCATCAGCGAAAGAAGGTCCAACCAGGTCACCGAGGCTTTCCTTCACAGCAGAAACTTTCTTTTCAGTGCGAAACATCAAAACACGACTCAATCGCTGCTTGCGTCCCTGCGCGACGAGGAAATAACCGGAGTACTACCCGGTGGCGACACAATGATCTCCAGCAGTCTTCGGGGTGCGAGCAACCTGCAAATAATCAAGGAAATCGATCAGGAAACCATTGGTGGTGAGCCTGATACAATGGAGGTTACAGAGGGAGCAGACGACGACGAAGACATTATTCGAGCTGCACTTTCCAGCACCCATGAGCACCAACGACTTGCGCTTTTTCGCGAAGCAATCAGCGCCCCGATCGACCTTTTGAAGAGTTTGCATCACGTGCACACGCCCCTGCTGATTGGGCACGAGATGCTGGCAACCGACGCGTTCACCCTGTTGAACTTCTTGCAGATGAAATACGTTTTTGTGCTGAAGCCGCACGGCGAGGACGCTGAAGCAGATGCAGAGGGAGACAACGAGCGAGAGAAGAAAACGATGCCAACCCCCAAAAAGCACGTCCTCGCAAAGCCGGACAAAGCAGTCGAATCGGAGCTACTCGGATATTGCACCATTGAAACACTGCTCAAGAAGGGTCATATTGCTCCTACATAGAAATGATAAAGTACGGAGACGCTCGACTACACCGAGGTAAACTGCATGCAAAAGCTGATAAAAAATTGTGCATGCTGTAGATCAAATTCAAATACGGATACCAATTATTGACGAGTTTTACATGAAAAACATGTCGTCCTGCTGCACATTCGGGGCGACTAGCAATCCAAGTCGAGCCTGAATGTTGTTGTCACGTTTGCCTGTGCCTTTTCTAGCGGTAGTTGTGTGTTGATCTTATCCAAGATTGAAGCAGTATACCGACCAGTAAGCAGTATTTCGAAGAAGAAGAACAAGAAGAAACTCTCTGGGTTGTTGTGCCCGCGAGTCATTTTTGGTTGATCGGGGCGCGTCGCTCACCGTCGTCGCTCAACGTGTTTGCGAGACGTGAAGAACGAGTCGTGCCCGGAAAGTATCGGTTTCTGAGAAGTTCCGCCAGAAGATTTCTCCTCGAAGATCGGTGTTCCACAATATCTATGCATTTATCTTTGCGTTTTCCTTTTCAAATCTCCTGGCATTGATTGCAACCTCAACCTTCAAGCGTGGAAAGCGCCATATCCTGTGACTGCTGTGGTACATACACAGCAACAGGTCCTGATCCTCTCAGACGTCTTCCGCATTCCTCTTCCAGTACAAAAAACGCGGCCACTTCGTATCTCACTGGTACTAGCGTTCTTCATATATAAGAAATTGATTTCTTGAGGCCGCTCCTCCTGTGTGTCGAAAACTAAACAACAAGTCAGTTTCAGTTTTTGTCTTTGTTTCACAGGAAGGAGGTCGGCCAAAATATCGGTGTTAGTGCAGATGCAGAAGCTACTCGTGCTCACTTGAGCAACGGCCTCTACTTGATGCACGTACATTAAGAAGTTTTCATTCGAAATCGTCTAAGTACCGTTACCGGTTTTAGAGCGCTCAAACCAAGAGGCCGTCGAGCTACAAAACGTGATTAGTATTTATTAGATAGATCGTTGTGCCCCGCTCCCGCTCGTAGTTTTTTCTGCTTCGTATCGACATCGATGAAATCGTCGTAAACGTACTAAAACTCGTCATTTTCTTAATGCCCTCTTCCCTGTAGCTACGGGACAGTCGAGAATATTAAACATCGTGCCTTCTAAAACTTAAATTCAAAGGCAACAACCAGTAGAAATAAACCATGTCCGTCGTAGTTTAAGGACAAAAATCTCGTGTCTGTGTCGTCCATTGCACAGACAAGCAGTACGAGGACAGCAGGAATTCCGAAAATCTTTCGTTGCCGCGGGCGCCGGTCGTCTTCATTTCTTTGCACAGCTACGTGGAAACGAGCCTTCGACTTCCATACGGCGATCCTTTTTTGTCGTGTTTCCTCCGTGCGTTGCCGAGCACGACGATCATGCTAAGCGTCAGCCTTGTCTAAGTGGCCGCGAAAGACCAGGCCGGGAGCTTCAACCTCCGATCCTCGGTCGCTTTGTTCGATGTCGACCACGACGGACCTGCAGTTCGTCGGGGGTCCCCCGGAATCACCCCGGGTGGTGGACAACTCGCTGCTGAAGCAGTGGCAGTTCGTGAAGTTCCAGGGCACGCCCCCGCGGCAGCGCTCACTGCACGTGGGTATCGTGCTGAACGACTGTTTGTGGATTTTTGGCGGCTACGATGGCAGCAACCGCGTGAATGACCTGCACAAGTTTGACTTTAAGCGGCAAAAATGGAGCACCATCCAGACCGGCAGCAGTCCCTCGGTGCGCGATCGCCACGTCGTCGTAGCTATCAAATGTAAAAATGTCTGGGTCTGGAAACTTGTGATGCTGAGTGGCGTAGCATGAGGAGGCCACAAGTGCGCGACAAACTGCGTCTCCGCATGACAGAGAAAAACGTCTCTTGGGCAATGTGCATGACAGATTTAAGAGTCATGCCAGACAAGCATGTGCATGACAAACATGCATTCTTCCAGACCCAGACACTTTTACATTTGATAGTAGCCTACAAAGACTCTCTGTACATCTTCGGAGGCTACGACGGCAACAACCGGGTCAATGACTTCTGGGAGTATGATTTTTCTACGAAAGAACCTGTCATCTGTGTCTGTAGATAAAAGTTTTTCGTTGACTTAGACCCATCCGCACCCTCCTCTTCGTGATACATATACCTGGAACAAGGGTCCTACTCGGCCTAGCTGATGATCAAGTAGATCATCTGTGTTTATTGTCCCACACGACCATCTTCAGGTTTGACACCGTGCAAAGCGAGTGGAGACAAGTGTTGGGGGAAGGCGCGCCACCCAGTGCTAGACATAGTCACGCTGGAGTGGAACACCACGGATCGACCTACATCTTCGCCGGATATGACGGCAACTACAAGAACGACTTTCACGAGTTCAATTTCGCAAATAGAAGGTGGTCTCCAGTCAACGTCCGCGGCCATCCACCAAAAGCAAGGTGCTTACTTCAGTATCTTAACAGTAAACGGAAACGCCACGGTGTATTCAAGTTCTGCACTCAACGCTCATAGCGCAGAAGTTGAGCCGTCCTTTCTTACCACACGACTTGCCGCTCTGATTTGTTGGCAAGGCAGTTGTTGTCGCGACTGAGTGAGGCGATGCCTGCTCTCGATGGTGGAAAAGATGAAGACTTGTTTTAGTGGTTTCGCAAATCATTTATACAACTGAAGGTACCGCACGTCCGCCGCGACTTACAAGAATAAGATGGTGGTAATCGGGGGCCACGATGGCCAGAAGCACCTGAATGACTTCTACCAGTTCGATTTTGAAACCGAAGTGTGGGCGCTCGTGGAAGTGAGCAACGGGTTCGCACCAAGCCCCCGGGATAGTCACTCCGCTTCGGTTTACGGGGACTGCCTCTACCTTTTTGGCGGTAGTACGGGGGCAGCAAGGAACGATCTGTATGAGTTCAGATTCGAGACAAACAGTATCACATGAAAAAAAAAAATCCACCGGCGCCTCGGATGAATGTGGCTTGGCTTGAGCATTATTTCTTGCTAGCATGTAATCTATGACTATGGAAAAAGCCTGCAATAAAAAAAGTGCGCTGTGGTTGTGCTTCCTTTTTGAGGCTCCACGTTGAAGTTTGCGTTGACATGTTTAGCTGAAGTCACAACCAACCAAGCCGGATGCCGGACCAGCAACCTTTTTTGCAAATGATAAACGCGTGGCGAGAAATAAAACCACTCACCGCCGACTCGCCACAGCAAAGCGACGGACGCGAAGGTATTAGTTATTCGTATACCTAAAAAAAACTTCGTTTGTACTTTTTTTAGCTGTCTTTCATTTCGCTTTTCTCGTTTCGACCAACACCAAGCCTTAGCTTGTCGCGGGCTCGTGGACCTGTCACAGTCCGATTTGTTTTGTTTATGCAGAGAAAGAACAAGCGCAGCTAGCGCACTGGTATTGGTGCTAGTAAGGAGCGCATCCCCCCCATCACCAAATTGATCATGAATATATATGAAAAATCCAGGCTCATCAAGCAGCAAGTCCCAGAGTTGTACGCCCTGTCCCCGGTTTATGGCGTTCTCAAATGTTACATTCTCAACTGTTACATGATTTGTCATGCAAAATTGCCTTCAGAATCGACACCAGCAAGCTGCTTCGCATGACAAATTCTCAGAGGGCAAAACAGGCTGATAATCGGCGCCAAATCTGTCATGCAAGACGCGCAAGATCCCCCCTATCACTTCTGGCATTCTTGCATCACAAACTCATGTAACAGTTGAGAATGTAACGTTTGAGAACGCCATACGGTTTTGCCACACCGGGGTCGTGTACAATAGCACCCTCTACATCTTCGGGGGCTATGACGGACAAAATCGGCTGAATGACTTCAAGGCGTTTCGGCTCGTGGATGAAGTCAACGTGGATATACCGCCCTCAAGCATCGTCGCCGACATGCGCAACGCGTTGAATGACCCTAAATTCTCGGACGTCACGTTCCAGCTCGATGGTAAGTTCTTACAACTGGGACTCGGACTCTATTTGAGTCTATTTGAGCAACGAAAGTAGAACCGTTGCGCGATGGCGACGCACGTCGTCGAATCGCAGATGGAAAATAAATCAATATACCAAAATAAAACAGATGGCCGGGAGATCCACGCACACAAGCTTTTGTGCATCAGGTGCATGTATTTCAAGGCCATGTTCGAAGGGCAACTACGGGAGGCGAATCAGCGGGTAATACCCATCAAAAATATTGCGTACGAGGTATAACCTGCTCAGGTGTTACAATCTCAAACGTTACAATAGAATCTGGAATTTGTGTTGCAAGAAGTGCATGATCTACCCTACTCCCACAGGATTACGCATGACAAGTTTTGGAGTCCCAATCCGCACTACAATCTGGCGAAATTTGTATTGCAGAAAGTGGAATGCTGTCCAAGTCTGTCGTGTTGATCATGCAAGACAAATCTCAGATTCTATTGTAACGTTTGAGATTGTAACGCTTGAGCAGGTCATACGAGGTGTTTCACTCCCTACTCGAGTACCTCTACACGGACGACATCGAAATCTCCTTGAGCATGGCCATGGACCTCTTTGTGGCGGCAGACCAGTTTTTATCCAAGTCCACATCACAACTCTTCTCCCGAGCCCGACCTCATTAATTTGAAGGACGTGACAAGATGACCTGCGACCAACGAGGGAGCAGATGACGAAATGTAATTTCTGCGTGATGACAAGTCTGTGTACTATGCCTATGCGTTTGGTTATGGACGCTATTGGAGGTCTTTGCGGTCACCAGAAACTTGTCATGCAAGGTGCTGCTAAGACTAAAAAAAAGGCAACAGTATCTGTAAATTTACAGTTCTTGTTGCGTTAAGTAAAAATACATAGTGCAGGATCGCAAATGAGGGAGAGCGCTGGGAGGAGTAGAGGTTGTGGACCACCGTGATACCTTGGCGTGGAACGTCTCAAGAAACTGTGCGAGAAGAAGATTCTGGTCTCCATCAACACGGAAAATGCCGCTACCATCCTGCAGGCGGCGAACTTGCACCATGCTCTCGGCCTCCGCCAGTCCTGCATGGATTTTATCCTCACGCATTTCGATACCGTCTCCAAGACGTCAGCGTTCGAAGGAATGGGCCGCAACAACGTCGAGCTCGTCTTTGAGATACTCAAAAGACGCTGACCAGACCGCTGCTCGGGGTGGGATAAGGTGGCGTGTTCGCTCCGAGTGTCGAAACTTCTCCGGCCGAAGATGCACTTGGAATTTCGTTTTACTTTGTCACTTCTAGAACACAGACTGACCAGACGGTTTTTTTCAAATTATACTAATACCACTTATGATTCACATTCTCGATAATGTTAGTCAATCAAGGAAAAAACGGACGCACTTTTTTACTCCAGATATAGTGCTGGATGGATGAAGATAAATTGAATATTATGCTAACAAAACTGCGGAGCTTTCCGGTGGGAGAGACCAAATCCCCCTCATTAAGATGATCATCGAAATTGTCGGCGGATGTTGAGACATGAACTGCAAGCCCGTGCTGAGTACTATGAAAGACGTCCTCAGTATTTTTTGTTCTCTGTGGCCCCTCCTCTTCGAGGGTCGCCATCGATGTCGTTCGGCGTAACCACAAAAAAAGAGGAAGATCAAAGATGTCACTCGAGTCCGTCGTGGGGACCACCGGAGTGAAAAGGGGCATCGATATCTCGTGAGAACGCACTTCCTGCCATCGAAGGCAGCAAGGCGAAGTAAAAAGCCTGGGTCGTCCTCGTCGTGTGGGCCCGTTTATATTATTGTTTTCGTTTCTTTCTGGAGCCGAGCGGAACTGGCAAGTGTCACTGGAGGTGTAATTGCTAACAATTCTTCATTGCACAGACGTAGGCGTAGCTCTCACCCTCTAAACTTAGTATTCACGAGAACACGCTGAGCGCAGTTTTTTGGGCTCTTTGTCTATAGGAAGCAAAAAATAATGGTGTTACCTTGCGCAGCATCAACACCAGGAAGGTCGCAACCAATGCAGCTGGTGTTGTTGGCATGCTTGGCGGTGTTTGTCCACCGCTCCGTGGCTCACGGCAATCTCCGGCACGGCAGTACCACCAGCGTGGCGCTGGAGGCGTCCGGCGAGAGCTCCTCCGAGGATGCAGCCAGGATGTCGAAGGAGAAGGAAGCGGAACTCGCCTTGGTGAAGACCCTTGTCGGCATCAGTGAGCCGCGAATGGCCCAAGGAATCAACTCCCCCTTCGGCGCTGTACTGCCCCCATTCGCGGGGGCCCTGGTTCACAATGCGTTGCAGCCGGCAATCAGTGATGCGGGTTACGTGATGTGGGAGCGAGAATTACACCAGGAACTGGAAGGGATGGAAAAAAATAACCGCTTGTGGAACGCGCAAGCGATCGCGGATTGGCGGGAGGGTAAGGCGGTTGCCAGGCTTGTGCCGGACGTGGAATTTTACTGGGACTTTCCCGGTCATAGAGTGGAGTACTTGCACTCTTTGGTGACCTTGTTGCAAACAAAACTCGACATCCACCGCAAATCCGGACCACCCGCTTTCCTGGTGTACCTGCTCGGCGACAGCTCTCTCGACAACAAGCACTGGCTGTACCCCAACGATTGGAGTAAGCCGGACTTCTTTTTGAACAAGAACAAACTCGACTTGACAAACACCGCCTTTACCGCCCCCGCGTGCAACCGCTACGAGCAGGTGCTCAGCCAACCAGCGCGAAGCGTGCAGGATGTGTGTTACTGGCTGAACCGCCGGGCCGCGGACCATGGTGCGCAGCTTTTGGAAACCGAGCCGACATCCGTATTTTTGCACACGCCGCATCTCTACTTCGTCAACGCCGCGGTGGAGGCGTCCACCCTCGCCATGTGCCACAGCACTTTGCTGCCCCAGGACCAGGTTGTCGCGGACCGCGTGACGCCGGACGACGTTCTCGTCGTTTCTGTGGGTCACAACGACATGGCTTTTTACCGCACCCGCGACGTCGAGCACGTGCTGAAACACGGCACCACCGACGACAAGGTGGCACGGATGGCGGTCGAGCTTTTTCACGATGTGTACAAACGCAATTTAGAAGCCTATCTGAACAAGGTTTTGGACGGAAAGCGATGCAAGCTTCTCGTCGTTTGTATGTTGTACAACCTCGATGAGAACGACAACCAAGACGACGACTGGAGCCTTTTGAATGGCGTCGAACCGATGTACGCAAAAATCGGGTTCCGCAAAAATCCGGAGCTCAAGCGCCGTTTCAAGGTCGCGCTGCACGCCGTCTTTGAAGCCTTGATCTCGAAGGTGCAGGTGGCGAACGAGGACAAAGTGGTTCCGCTGGAGCTGTCGAGAGCGCTCGACGGAACGGATACAACCATGTACGAACTTATGAAAGCGAAATCTTGCGTCACAGTCACATCCGAGACGTTTTGCAAGGCGTTTGGCCTTACAAAACGCCTCTGGTGTGGCTGTGACGCAAGATTTCGCTTTCATAGAACTGCGGAACGAGCCCAGCGTCCTGGGCGGCAAGGCGATGTCCAGCTTGATCTTTGATACCATCATGGAAAACTTGTAAGTGTCATCGTAGAAGAAATCGATGCGACTGGAAGATACCGCAGCACAAGTTTTAGGGTAGCTGTTGAATCAGTAGAAAGTTGTCTCCAAGATGAACAATGAATGTAGTACGCGGCCGTGGCTATAAGCAAGACGCACAACCCTGACTATGTAAATGTATCCCGACAAGCTGCTCCAGCTTAAGCAATTTTTTAAAAGTGCGGAACTTGTGCTCGTTGCAAGGAAACTATGTTTGTGTATGATGGACGAGAAATGAAAAAAAGAACATCAAAACAGACCCACATCCTCTTCAATCACACCTGATACAGATGAAATCAACCTAGAATGTGAATGTGAATGTGTATTGTCAAAGATTGTGTGGCAGAAGCAGAATTTCATCCATCTATTGCAATTCACTTGGCAATAAAGGCAAAAGCAGAATCCGCGCTCAAAATCGGCAGTCAATCTGTCAGAGGGCGTGTATGCCGTAATTTTTCTTTTCGATCATGATCTGATGCAGTTCATGTCCATGTGACGATCTGGAAGCCCAGCTACACCTACAGTGCTCATCCGGTAACGGTGGCACCGGAGCAAATAAAGGATCTCGTTCTTGGTTGCCGCCCCCGCATCTGGGCCCAGGCTCTTTTCTCGTAAAAGATCATATTATCAAGTTTTTCGCTGTCGATGTTGTACGTATTTTTTTAATGATTTCTAATTCTATCGCGCAGATGAGTGAAAAAATATATAAGGAGGTGGCCCTGGTGTTGCGGGCCGAGAGCTTGATGGAAGAATGTAGCTAGGAGAATCATTCAAGTGATCCGGTGTGTATTGAGACACAACGGACTTTACTTATTGCTGCGCACCGTAGGTAGAGGACTATTTCTACTTCTTCTTTGCTCCCGCTCGTGGCATGATCTGCTGTGCTCACGGTGCATTTCATTTATACACTTTTACTTTTTTGTTTTTTCCAATGTTAGAGATAGTGATAGAGGCTTGCGCTCGACGTTTCACCTGTGTAGAAGCGACGTGGTGCTCTCATACCCCAAGAGCAGAGCTACAACAATCATGCTAGTAGTGCCGACGGCGATGGCCCGGGTGAAGTAGACGTCCAGCTGAAGTAAGAAATTGACAGACAACATGAAAAATTGCGAGGCGTCAGAACCTCCTCCAGCGGATCATGAGGCGATACGCTTTCACATTCCGCGCACGGATACTCTGGAAGAGGTTTTGCGAGGTGGTGGCACATCCAGTAGTCAACCGGCCGATCTTCATCAGGACAGGAACCGACGTGCGGAGGACATCACGGAACACAGCCAGAATTGCGGATCTAGTTCTCTCTTGTCAGACAGTCTTCCAGCGAGTATTGCGCAATATTCTTCGACTGGTGCGAGGCGCGACGAAGCAATCCATCAGCATCATCCGTCAGACGGCAAGACGAGTGATGTTTGCAGCCAGCATGGGACAACTCACACAAGAGAAGCGGCCTGCACTGCTCCTCCCGGCAGCAACGACACGGTCAGCCCACCAGTGGACCGGAAAAACTATAACATTATACCAGCAGGTTGTTCTGGCATGAGCGCGTCAACAAGCGTAAACCACGACCGCGGAGAGATGCTGATGCGCGGCGCCGATTCATCAAATGGTCACCCTCACCACCGCTCCATCGCACCGTCGCTGACTGCTTCGCCAACTGCGAGTGCAAGCAGCAGCTGTTTTGGGCCGTCGAAAACGTCAGCTGGAGGTGGGTACCATGCTCAAGAACAGTTCCACCAAGTCCAAGGGCAACAAGGGATCCCGACCTCGTCAGCCAACACGACACATAACCTTCAACAGCGGAACACTCTGCAGGAGCGCACCACGCCGGCGATGTTGTCGCACCGAACAGGATCAAAAAGCAACCTGGTAGCTGCGTATAATGCACAACATGATGTTGTAGCGAATCTACATCAAGCGGTGAACAACAAGGCCGCGGGGGGTGTTTATGCACAACAAGCTACTTCGGCGGCCGCAAGGACGACTAGAGGTACTGTTGGGCCACCTCTGGGAGGAGCAGGTACTACACCTATGTCCTCCTCGTCGTCTGCCTCTGGTGGGTACGCTCAAGCGCACCATCACCAGCAACAGCACTACCACCGGGAGAATCAAATTCTTGATTTCGGCACGTGCTCCGCAGCCGCGTCGGTGTCTAGCCGTGCAGAACAACGGCCAAAAATCAAAAAGGTCCCGCAACTGGGCGCGGAATCAAGGATGCGGCTGCTGGGCCGACGGGAGAAGAACAAAAACTCTCCGAAAATGAGTACACAAATGACAAACCACACGACGTCGGCGCTGACTACAGCAGGAGCTGGTCTTCTGGGCGGGCCCAGCACGTCGTTCCACGGAGGTAGTAGCTCTTCCAGTGGTGCGGGAGCAGCTGGACCACCCTACCACGGTACGATGAAAATGAAACACAGCGAGTCGTCGCAACAGCTCGCACGAACGCATTCTGTACGGTCGAACTGCACCAAAATAGCCAAAACCTTCAGTGCATCACCCAGCTCCAGCGTGACCACAAGCAGACGCGGCGGCGGAGGTGGAGGGCCCGCAAGCAGCGTGGGGGGCAACACCGTGACCTCCAACGTCGCCAATCAGCTAGGGCGTTCAACATCTTGCTCCTACACGAACGGTAAGTCCTCGTCGCTTTGGAACTTTCCAGCATTGCCCGGCGGGGGGCCATTATCTCACCCGAGAACCCCGAGCGAACAAATAACCTACGACCAACATCTGTTACAAACCGAGCAAGAATCACCGATGTCCAGCCTGAAGAACTACCAGCAGAAACTAACTACGTCCACCCAGCATATTAATTATCTCCAGGCAGGTACTCGCACCGCAACATCGAGCCGTGCGAGCAGCATAACTGCGCATCACCAGGCAAGAAACTACGGACAACATGGGCAACGAGGTTGCGCTGGAATTAAGGGCGGCGGCGCGATGTTGGTGGATCCAAGTGACGGTGATGCAGGGTCGTCAACCTATCGCGCCATGATTGAGGCCTCCGGGACGTCGCCCGACCTGTTAGTACAACGACCCCATCATCATGACGAAAGCAGGCAGCGTCGCGATAATTATTACGTCGGCGACCACTCGGACGACGAACGCGGAACCGAGGAACGGCTCCTCGTGCGCGGCACGACGCACCAGCACAACGCGGACGGATCGGGGCTATCTTCCGGCATGTTATCCGACAACCTGAGCACCTCGGAGGATGACCTTCCGCCCGCGATTCATCAGAAGCCAGCAAGGGGCGGGACCAGCACCACAACGTCGAAGCGCAAGAACGGCAGTAGAGTGTTGAAAACTAAACAGCAACTCTCTACCGCTCGCTCCACGTCGCTAGCTCGGACCTGGTCTTCTAGCAAGAATGCAGCTTCCACCTCTCACGCACAGTCTGCCACCACCTCGAAGAACCCGAGTGTAAGGGGTACCGAAAATGCGGGGGCAGAAGCTGCGGACGAAGGTCCTCGGAATGACGAATCTTCCGGGCACGTGGTCGCACCAGGTTGTTCGCGAGATTTCAAGTTCTTCGCTCGGAAACCACGAGATTTGGGTGCTGCGCCAGATGGTGCACCCCGCCCCGGGGAACGGTATTACGGCGGTGCGATGGTGCACGGAGACGGCGGCCCAGTCGTTGCCGGCGATTCGGCCCGGCAGAACAAGAACCGCCTGCATTCAGATTCAGGTTCATTTATTTGCGCTCCGGATGAGCATGCAATTATGAACAGGGACACCGAAACCAGCACCAGCAGGCCGCCGGGCGGGCGAGACGGTGCGCGTAAAAATATGCCGACCACTTCTATCATGGAGCCTGATCTGCAAAATCCCTGCGAGAGCCACCTTTTCTACGGCATCAAAGAATCGGAGGAAGAAAACGAACAGGATGTTGAAGACGACCCATTACTGCATGGTGGCGAGGGACTCGGGGGAGAAATTCTTCGTGGAGCGGCTGTGCAACGGAAAAATCTTGACCGCCCAGAGCCGCATCTTAACGCAACAAGAGATCTTCAATTGCGCGACGACGAAGAGAACGACGACAGAAACCTCTGCGACCTTGCAGAAGACGAAAACGAAACGGACGCGGAGGACGAAGACGTCAACGAGGAGTTCGAAGCTGGCGAGGAAGCGGCCAATTTTGCTGGCGAGGATGGTTGTAATGAGAATGGCAGCGAGGTTGAGGAGGCGACGGAGCACGAAGACGAGGAAGAGGATGACGAGTTCGAAATCCCCCCCGAGCACCTCAATATTTGCCGCGCAAACCGCCCGCACGGCAGATTGCTCATTGACATGTTCCACACGCTGCTGGATCAACCGACGCCGCGCCTTTTATCACTCGTCTCTATCATTTACATCGCGCACTACCTGCTCTTTGCATTCGTCTACGTGCTGCTGGATTTTCTCCCACGAACAGAGTTGCTCCTTTTACTCAGCGACGCTTGGTTCCATGTCTCGGACACTTCTTCGCCGCACGACACTCCTAAGGTGAACTCAGCGGCCGGGGTAACTACAACAAGCGTGATAAGCAATAGCGCCACTGCTTCCAGCACGACAGGACTGACCACTGGTGGAATAGCTGCGGCTGCTCTTGCCCCCGCGGCCAGAGATGAATCTACTACCAGTGCCGCGTCAGGCTACTGTAATCTGGGTTTCCAGCCGGGCTGGAAGGCCTGGGTGGATGCCATGTACCTTTCCATCGAGACGTCCGCGACCATGGGGTTCGGCGCGAAGGACCCCTACTTCGGTCACTGCATGGGGATGTGGGTTGTCTTGTCCCTGCAAATGCTGATCTCCATTCTGCTAGACTCCCTGATCATTGCCATGCTTTTTACCAGGCTCGCGCGCGGGAAGCAGCGGGCCGCGACGGTGCTGTTTTCGCGGAAGGCCTGCATCGTGCAGACCAAACGCGGGGAGCTGTACTTCCTCGTACAGATCGGCGAGCTCCGGGCGAGCCAGCTCCAAAACTGCACGGTGAAGGCCTTCATGGTGCGGCAAAACGAGTGCGGCGACATGATTACGGACTCGCTGCGCCTGCAGAACCCAGATGACACCCTGCCCATGAATCTGTGGCTGGCCTTGCCAAACGTCATTGTGCATCGAATCGACGCGTGGAGCCCCTTTCTTCCCCCGCTCGATCGGGAAAGCTTGGACGGGGGTATTCACCAACAGAAAGCCAAGCCTGGAACTGCTGGATCCGAGGAAGCGGAGCAGGCGCTCGATAGAGATAGTGCGACGAGAGGACAAGAACTTCTAGCGGCAGCTGGTGATCCTGAAGTTCTTGTTGGAAACAACGATGGAAATAATTCTATCAGAGACACGACTCGTTCGAACAAGCCGAGCGGCCCACAACAGGACCACGCTATGGCGACAACGCGCCAAGGCATGACGCAGTCACAGTTTCACGACAGCAGCGGCAAGTGCGGAGGAGCGGTACTGCCAGAATGTGGTGCGCATAGCAGTGCCGACGGAGTTGGTGGCCAACACCGCAATGTTCCCGCTGCAACTAACGAAATTTCTGCGAGTTGCACAACGCATTCCACTGTCTCACCGTCTTCGGACCGAATCGACCCAACGCAGCAGCCTGGACGAGAGCAGACGCAGAAGGACCACGACGGCGTGCATGATTTACGCTACAGTTCTTGTGCAGGTGGAGATGTTACCACTGGGTCTAACGGGCGCAACGACCAAACGACCCGTGACAGCAGGATGGTAGCTCCTGTGGTAGATCATGGGCGACATCATCAAAAGGGACACCAACAACGTGGCGCAACTGAGCTACAAAACTCGGATGATGAGAACGAAGGAGACGAAGAAGACGCGGAGGGGAGGGAGCCACTCTTGTACGGTGGCGGGGAGGGCGAAGAGGTTTTTTTTCGCCGCCGCTTACGATTACAGAAGTTGCACGACCGCGGCCAGCTCGTGGATGCCGATACCATGGAAGAGTGGCGGAAACGAAAGAAGAAGGAGCTTCGCAAAAAGAACACCTTAGGCCGTGAAGCCTCGTTTTCCCGGCTCGCGAATGCGCTGCAGCAACCTCTGCTTGCGAATTGTTCATCGTCATCTTCCCCTGCCGGTGATAGTTGCTCACTTTCGGCACCATTGCTGCAACAACCTGCAGTTGAGGTAGAGAGGGGTCGACGTGCAGATGGAGCGACGGTGTTGCCAAACGATAATGAAAATTCGGCGGACCTCCGTTTGGACTTGGAGAGTACAACGGGAACAAATAGATTGACAGCGAGAGCAGGAGCAACCTCCGACGCAATTGAGAATGGAACTGGAAACACAAACAGCGCTTACAACTCTTCTCATGGCTACACACCACCAAACGCGGTCTTAAATTCTTTCCCTGCAGCTCCACCCCACGTAGAAGTGCTGCCCTCACCCCCGGCGACCGCCACACTCGCCCAAACCGCGGCCCAGCCGCTGAGCTCCTGCTCCATTCCGGAGCTTGGTGTTCTTCCTAGTGGTAATGTAGCAGCGCACCATCCGCAGCAGCCCGCCTCCGGTGTGGTCGTACCCATGACGACCACGCTGCCGGGTCTAAACAGCACCAGCGTCATTCCGGACCCCGCTGCGGGGCCTGCTTTGGAGAAACCTTTGACCCGACGGGCGGCGCTTTTGTACGACCACCCCTTTCTTGTGGCAAAGGCCGAGCGCCACGGGTGGTCGTGTCGGCTGCCCTGGGCCGGGAGTTTGCGTGAGCGGGTGCAAGATGCGGAGAACGGCACCCGGACGGGCTTTGTGTGCACCGCCTGCGGACGCGGCTTTCACTCCCGCGACGGCTTGATGCGGCATTGCCTCTACAAAGTGGAAATTGCTCGTCCAGTTGAGAAGCACTCGACGAGGATGAAGCCAGGAGCAGGAGAACAAATAACCAGTACGACCCTTGCTGGTCACGGAGCTCCACTGCAGCCGCCGCTCGAAGATCACCACGCGTCGCGACAGGCGCATTTCAAGGCGGTCAAGCGAAAGTGCATCGTGCAGTCGTGCGAAGACGAGGCCCACCGGTCGCTCCTGGGCGAGCTCCTCCAGCACCAACAGAACAAGATGCGAGGAAGTCCGTTGGTGGTACTCCCGAGCAATCAAATCGTAGCTTGTAGTTCCACGGCAACATCGATTGATATGACTGCGGCAAAGCGCGAGGCGCGGTCGACGACGGCCTTCGTTGGAAGCACCGGTTTTGAATGTGCAGCTACGCAGATGTCGCAAACAACAACTGGGACAAGAACTACAAGCGTGGGCAAGCCAGATCAACATCTTCAGGGCGGGTCTTTTGTCGCCCAGTCACAACAACTGACGAATCGTTCTCGCCAGCCACAACTGACGAATTTGGCTAGCACCGCTCCTCGCGGTAAGAACGACCAAAGTTCAGAAAAGAAACCCATGATGAAGAAACCGCCGCTGAGAAAGATTTTGGAGCACTACTTGCAGACGAAGTGGGTGGAAGTCTTAGTGGTGCTCGACGGGAACGAACCGACCACGGGGCATGCGGTGGAAGCGCGCCAAAGCTACCGTCAGCAGGACATCGTCTGGGATCAGGTTTTTTCCCCCTGCGTCACCACCACCTTCGACGACGCAACCGGAACGCGCTCGGCGCTGCTGGATTTCAAGAAGTTTCACAAGCTTCGCCCCTTCGATGGGCGAGTGGAGGATTTGAAATTGCAGAGTTACCTCTGACGCAGCAAAATGATCGGGCATACGTACTCTGCAAAGCCGGGTGCTGTGTCTTCGTTGTTGGGGTGACAAAGAGCCAAATCGATGTGCTGTAGTATACTGGACTTCAGCGAATCTGGTCTACATGCTAGCGCTGACAAACACAAACGACTTTCGACAGCATAGCCAAATGCGTGTCACTTTTTGCTTTGAGTTTCCGAGGATCTTGAAAAGGCTCGACCTGTTACATACTTACAGTCACACTTCTCAGGTAATAAAACCCTTTTGTTCTTGTTTTGCTTTTCTTTTTTCTCGTCATCAAAAGTGGTAAACTACCTAGAAGTGCGGTCGCTATCGTGTTTATCGCGTTGCTTAGTTGCTGTACTGCTACTAGCAAGGTCGCCGAGATCTGAAAGAGGGAAGAGCGACGAGCGCGAGCGTTTGTGTTCGTTGTCGTACTAAAGTATAACCTCTCAGGCGCGGCAATCGTGGTGGTGGCGCACCGGAACTACACTTGATGCGTTTGCACGGTCGCGAGGTGGATATGCATTACGCACACGTCGAGAGGGTGACCGTGTCGCAAAACTAGCGAAATAAGTGCTTCTCAAAGTAGTGCCTTTTACTTGCTTTTAATAATCGTGGCCCACTCATTCTCAGCGGGAACGTCGCTTGTCGCCTCGTCCGTTCTCACCTGCATTCAAGATGTCCGCAAACTTCACTGTCCTCATAGAAGAGACGTTGGACTTGAAAATGAAGAAAGACAAAGAGGAACTTGAAATGCATAAATGAATAAAGATTTTTTCCAGAGAAGAAGAACAAGAAGATGAGCGCGGAGTTGTAGCTCTATGGACCACGACCTGTTCGTGCAGAACGAGGTTGGACCAAGAGAAGCAAAATGTCTGCCCCGGTGTTGATATCGATCTCTGACATCGAATCTCCGGACAACGCAGAGGAGGGGTTCTTTTTCGCGGACTCCCACGCGCACGAGGAGGAGCGGTTCACCAGGCTCGTGGCGTCTCTCGCAACCCTGGCCTTGCTGCTCTCCTTGATGGTGAGCGCACTGCTCTCCGTGCACGTACTGCGGAGGATGTTTCGGGTGCAGCGGACCCGCGGAGGCCTCCTCACCGAGGACGAAGACAATTTTTCAGTGTGGTCGGATGAGCCTCTGTCTCTGTCACCCCCGCCACCTCGGTCCAGCGACCCGAACGAGGGCGGTTTATCCGGGAAGATGTTTGGTGCATCAACTACCCGGGGCGAGGGAGAAGGACAGCGCGAGGACGTTGTGCTGGATCGTGGGTCCACGAGCTTGTCGCCGTTCACGAACCCGGGGGAGTGGCGCGCAATCGTGTGCGGGAACACCGTGGCGAACAAGGAAGTGCGTGTGCTGACCGAGGCCGAAGAAAAAGCTGCGAAGCGGCGCCGGTCAGCGAGGAAAAGCAACAGGGCGCTGCAAGGAAAGGACAACTACACCGTGCAGTGGAAAGCGTTTGAGCCAGCGGGACCCCGAGGTGTTGCACACTGCGAAACATGGATTGAGTACGAGCAGGACTGAATCAACGACCAAGAAGTGGCGTAGACGGGGATGATCAACGCGTTGACGGTGTAGTTGTCCTAGTCGTTTTGCAGAATGAACGACTACAACTGTGCTTCATCAGGAATTAATCTCTCTGAAGCGCACACTGCAAACTTCAACTTCTTTGCGGCCCTCTTCGTCGCGGTAGTGCAGGTAACACGGAAGCCAGAATGCCGGAATGTTAATGTACTGACAATCCAAATCCAACTCCGAGGCCCGCATGACGTCTTTCTCCTGTGTGGGCCGCCGGGTCACGGTTCCGAGTGGAAGCAAGTGCGTCCTTGTTGCCAGATTGCCAGTGCAGCAAGCGTACTTACTTGTTCTTCCAGTTGGAACACGGCGGGGGACAAGCATGCTGTGTGTGCGTGGAAGACCTTCCGCAGAAATTGTGGGCGTCTACTGCGGTGCAGGTACAGAGGAACTCCGGCGTGCAGAAATCAAAGCGTTCCGTCGAGTACGGCGCGAGGTACTTGTGCAGCGGCGCTGCCTCAAGGCAGCACGCGGCGCACCTCATGGTAGCAACCACGCATATGATCTGAGGCGCCTGCAATTTCAGTTTCACGGCATACTGGATCTGGATGCGATGCATCCCGGTATCTGGAACGGAGCCTTCGCAAATCAGGAGCCGACGCTGACGGCGGCGAAATACTGGTGGCAGGAAGGTGAGGACGGGTTGTAGCATCAGGTTTCATTCTTGCTCTACAAGGTGGAAGGACAGGATCGATAATTTGGTATTGCTGCTGCTCGTTTGGTCCTAGTACGTTACACTATGAGCACACGCATGCATCAACCTGCGCTGCATGCTGTTGTGTGTGCACCCGCAAAACCAACATGGATGAACACTGCTAGTACTGGAGTATGTTTCACGATGGCGCAAACTACAATTAGCACCAGGACAAGCAGCGACATAGCAACAGGGTTTTTACATCAGCGTAGAGCATGTCATTCTCATTTCGCCCAGGTTGCCTGATCTCATATACAGATTGGCGTATGCGCAAGCTGCGGGCGGCAAATACATTAATAGAGGGCACCGAAACAAGGCAATTGCATTTTTGTCTACGGTACTGTTTATGTGCTTGTTTCGATATTATATATGCTAGAGCTGGAATCACGCTAAGTGAATCGGACATTATAAGCTTGTCCTTTCAACACATTTGCGTGGCCTCAGTTGCACAGCGTGCCCTCGTGTTCAGAGCAAGTACGGAACTGCACATTATGGTGACGACCACTCAACGCGGGCGCAGATCATGAAGACAACCTTAAGGAAGAAGAAACAGAAGAGCAGCACTTTTTTCTGCTGCAGGTCATTTTGTTTTTTGTCTCAGGTCCAAGTTTTCGTAGCAGATCAAATGGTAACGATCTCTCCGTATTCCTTGAACCCCAAGAAATGCCAACAATGCCCACATTGGCATTGCGTTTGTTTTCCTTGCTCTGCGGAAGGTCATCGCTTCTTTGCGTCTTTTTATCACTGCTGTTCCTACAAGAACTCAGTTCTATTGTCTACCAATAAAAACCCAAACCGTAGCTGCTCTGTAGGGTGAAATCGTCCTCCGGGCCTTTCCCCAGAAAAATCTTGCTAACGCGAGACGATCTTGTCGTCGTGCACTTTATCTGCTGCTCTACTACTTACACGACATCAGTAATCCAAGGATGCGTTCTTTTGTGCTTTCTTGTGCTGCTGCGGCCTGCTGCACCGGGCCACTGCAGTTTGCCGTTGGGTTGCGACCGGGGGCCGGATCGTCGTCCGGATTTCTAGAACGCGTTCCCAACCAAGATGTGGACGAGGAGCTGATGAACCCGGACGCCATGGAGATGGACGCCCCGACCCGACGAGCGCAGACCTCCTCGCGCCCGGGCCTGATTCCGCGCACCCTGAAAAAGTGCGCGCTGGCCGGGATTGCGCTGACGGCTTTGTTTGGAGCCGGGATGGAGTGCGGGAAGCATTTTGGGGCCTCGACATCGACTGCCACTGCCACGGACAACTTCTACGCGGGCTTGCAGGACAAGGCGGCCGTGTCATCGATGTCCTCGGCTTCACCGTTTGGTTTCGCCTCGGTGCGTAGCAAATTCCCCCGATTCAACGAACGCGGTGGCGTAGACGCCATTGATTCGCACATCGACCCCTCGGAGGTATGATTGATTGTGGTCAGTAGAGTTTGGGTTTGCGTGCTGAAATCAACATCAACATTGTATTTTTGAAACTCATACATCATTTCATACTGTCGGTCCTCGTTGAATTTATATATGGATCGGTAATACTAATATCCATATCTGTATGATACTAGCCTTATCCCGCTTCCCGTGTCCAGTAGCCTGCAGACTTAATAGTATTCCGCTAGATGAATAATAGCCCTCAGCGTTTCTCTGTGGAAAATCGTCGTCGGCGCTTCAGCACAGGCAGGCCCATCTGCCTGCTATTTTCAAAGCGCCAGAACGGCATGGCCACGATCCGGCACCGGCGCGGCTGGCAGGTTGGCCCTTGCCGCCATCTTGCATGCTGGCACTGGCGGGGCCGCGATCTGGCGGCGGGGGGCGGGCATGATCGGGCACCGGCTTGGCCAGGGTCTGGCACCGGCTTAGCCAGGGCCTGAAACCGGCGTGGCCAGGGTCCGGCACCGGCTTGGGCATGATCGGGCACCGGCATGGCCATGATCTGGCACCGCCTACCTTCGCCGTGATTTGGCACCGGCTTGGCGATGCTCTGACACCGGCAGGCAGGCTTGGCCATGATCCATCCGGCACCGGCTTGGCCATGATCTGGCGCAAGGGCTTGGCCTTGCCATGATCTGGCAGGCACCGGCTTGGTGGCTGGCCTGGCCATGATTTGGCACCGGCTGCGGCTCAGCCACGACCCGGAACCAGCTTGGCTTGGCCATGACCTGGCACCGGCTTGGGCATGGGCGAGCACCGGCCTTGCTGTGATCTGGCACCGGCCGGCCTGGCCATGATCTGGCACCGGAAGGCCGGCAGGCTTGGCCGTGTATGATCTGGCACCGGCTCGGCTACAACCTGGCACCGGCTTGGCCATGATCTGGCGCCGGCTTGTCCACGACCTGGCACTGGCTTGGCCACGACCCGGGGCCGGCTTCGGCGTGATCTGGCGCCGGCTTGGCCATGATCTGCCTGGCACCGCCTTGGCCGCGACCCGGCACCGGCTTGCCTGGCAACGACCTGGAACCGGCGTGGCCATGATTTGGCACCGGCTTGGCCATGATCTGGCACCGGCTCGCTTGGACGCGACCTGTCTGGCACCGGTTCGGCGATGATATGGCGCCGGCTTGGTAACGACCCACCTGGCACCGGCATGGCCATGATCTGGCAACGGCCTTGCCGCTTCCTGGCACCGGCTTGGGCGTGATCTGGCAGCGGGCTGGCCATGTTCCGGCACCGGCGGGCCTGGCCACCAGAATCACTCGGAACCGGCCTGGCCATGATCTGGCGCCGGCGGGCAGGGTGGCAGACGGTGGCAGGCGAGGGCATGATCTGGCACCGGTTTGGCCACGGCCTGGCGCCGGCACGCAGGCTTGTTTGGCCTGGCGGTTCGGACCGCGCGCGACCTGGCGCCAGCGACCCGGGCCATGATCTGGCACGCACCGGCAGGCTTGGACACGGACGACCTGGCGTCGGCTTGGCCACGCCATGATCTGGGTGGCTCAGGCTCGCCCATGATCTGGCACCGGCTTTGTCATGATCTGCCGGGCACCGGCCGGGGGGGGGGCTTTGCATGCCCCGATCTGGCACCGGCCGGCTAGGCTTGGCCGTGTATGATCTGGCACGCATCCATCGGCAGGCTTGGTTTGGCCATGATCTGCCACCGACCGGCCTGGCCACGACCGGGCACCGGCAGGCTTCGCCAGGAAGGATCTGGCACCGGCTTGGCCACGGCCTTGCATTGGCTTGGCCAAGATCTGGCACCGGCTCGGCAATTATGAATGACGTGGCGTTGGCTGGTAGGCTTGGCTGGCAGGCCATTGGCCCGGCACCGGCTTGGCCATGACCTGGCACCGGCAGGCTTCGCCACGACCTGGAACCGGCCCCCCCGACCCTGATCTGGCACCGGCGCGGCCACGACCTGGCTCCGCTGCGGCTTCGCTGCGGCGTTGTTACTTCGAGGCCGCGTTGCTTCGAGGTTTTGTTGCGGCTTCGAGCGGCCTGCGCTGCGGCTTCGAGGCTTCGCTGCGTCTTCGGGGCTTCGCTGCGGCTTCTAGGCTTCGCTGCGGCTTCGAGCCGTCGCTGAGGCTTCGGGGCTTTGCTGCGGCTTCGGGGCGTCGCTGCGGCTTCGAGGCCTCGCTACGGCTTCGAGGCTTCGCCGCGGCTTCGAGACTTCGTTCGCTGCGGCTTCGAGGCTTCTATCTTCGCTTCTATCCTCGCCTCGGGGCTCCTTTGCTTCGGGGCGCCTCTCTTCGCTTCGGGGCATCTCTCTTCGCTTCGCGGCTTCTTTGCTTCGGGGCTTTTATCTTCGCTTCGGGTCTTGGCCATGGTTCGGCTTGGCCATGCTGAATGGCCCGGCACCGGCTCGCCTCGGCCATGGTCCGGCACCTTCTCGGCTTGGCCATGCATGCTCCGGCACCGGCTCGGCTTGGCCATGCATCGTCCGGCACCCACCGGCTCGGCTTGGCCATGCATGGTCCGGCACCGGCTCGGCTTGGCCATGCATAGTCCGGCTCGGCTCGGCCATGGTCCGGCACCGGCTTGGCCTTGCCAGGGTCCGGCACGCACCGGCCCGGCCTTGCCATCCATGGTCCGGCATGCACCGGCTCGGTCTGCTCATGGCCCGGCACCGGCTCGCCTTGCTTGGCCATGGTCCGGCAGGCACGCACCGGCTCGGCTTGGCCATGGTCCGGCACCGGCCGGCGCGGCTTCGTCGAGGCTTTACTGCTTCGGGGCCCCGCGGCTTCGGGGCTTCGCGCGTTGTTTCGTACGTTGTTGCGCCGTGGCTTCGTGCGTTCGTTGCTGCTTCGAGGTTTCGTACGTTGCTGCCTCGGGGTTTCGTACGCTGCTGCCCCGAGGCGTCGCGCGCTGCTGCTTCGGGGCCTCGCACGCTGCTGCCTCGAGGTTTCTCACGCTGCTGCCTCGAGGTTTCGCGCGTTGCCGCCTCGAGGTTTCTCACGCTGTTGCCTCGAGGTTTCGCACGTTGCTGACCCGAGGCTTCGCACGCTGCTGCCTCGAGGCTTCAGACGCCGCTTCGAGGCTTCAGGCGCTGCTTCGAGGCCTCAGGCGCTGCTTCGAGGCCTGAGGCGGTGCTTCGGGGCTTTGCTGCTTCGACGCTTCGCTGCTTCGAGGCTTCGCTGTGTGCTTCGAGGCTTCGCCGCGTGCTTCGAGGTTTCGCCGCGTGCTTCGAGGCTTCGCCGCGTGCTTCGAGGCTTCGCCGCGTGCTTCGAGGCTTCGCTGCGTGCTTCGAGGCTTCGCCGCGTGCTTCGAGGCTTCGCTGCGTGCTTCGAGGCTTCGCTGCGTGCTTCGAGGCTTCGCTGCGCGCTTCGAGGCTTCGCGGCGCGCTTCGAGGCTTCGATCGCTGCGCGCTTCGAGCTTCGCCGCTTCGAGGCTTCGAGGCGTCGCTGCTTCGAGGCGTCGCTGCTTCGCTGCTCCCTTCGAGGCCTCGCCGCTTCGAGGCTTCGCTGCTTCGAGGCCTCGCTGCTTCGAGGCTTCGCTGCTTCGAGGCTTCGCTGCTTCGAGGCTTTGCTGCTTCGAGGCTTCCTTCGAGGCTTCGTTGCTCCCTTCGAGGCTTCGCTGCCCCCTCCGAGGCTTCGCTGCTCCCCTCGCGGCTTCGCTGCTCCCCTCGCGGCTTCGCTGCTCCCTTCGCGGCTTCGCTGCTCCCTTCGAGGCTTCGCTGCTTCCTTCGAGGCTTCGCGGCTTCGCCGCTCTTCGAGGCTTTGCGGCTCTTCGAGGCTTCGCGGCCCTTCGAGGCTTTGCAGCTCTTCGAGGCTTCGCGGCTCTTCGAGGCTTCTTCGTTGCTTCGAGGCTTCGCTGCTTCGGCGTTTCGAGGCCCCTTCGTTTCGAGGCTTCGTCGCTTAGAAGCTTGGGCGCTTTGTCAGCATTTCGTTGTTGTTGTTTTTCGTTTCTATTCTTTGTTTTCGTTTTTTGTTTTCATTCTTTGTTTTCGTTTTTCGTTTTTATTCTTTGTTTTCGTTTTTTGTTTCCATTGTTTGTTGTCGTTTCTCGTTTCCATTCTTTGTTTTTGTTTTTCGTTTCTGTTCTTTGTTTCTATTGCGGAATACTATTAAATAATGGGTTTTCTCACCTTTCGCTAGTCATTGTAGAGATTTGTGACTTGAGTGGAATGCGGCACCGAGTCATGCAGCTACTGTAGGATTTGTGACGCGGCATTGGCCCCTATTTATCCCAGGAAATTGTGATTTGCAAACGTTCTATCTTCAACCGCCGCTAATTTCATTGTCTCACAGGGTCCGGTTACGGTGCCGGTCCAGGTTGGTGGCGGTCCTTGGTCAGAAGAACCCGGCGCAGCGGCCCCTTTCGACTTCCCCAAGCTCGACGGCAAACAGGAGGTCGGGTTCGGCGGCAAGCTCCTCGGCACGCTCCTCAGCATGGACCTGATCAACATGGGCCAGATCCCGTGCGGCTGCCAGAGTATAAACACATTGCTTTTAGTTTTCACTGCATTTTTTTCAGCATATTAATTTGAATCGATCTCTGTCTCTCCATATACTGCGCCTGGAGCTTGATATTCATATGTGTTCCGCAGATATTGACAGTAACCGAATCAAGAGTTCTCATACCGGACCTATTTCCTTTTTCAAGGTAGTCTAGAAGAGTTCTTGTAGGTAATGTCGTAGCACATTTTTGATAATTCGTCAATTTGCTTTATTTTCCCAATATATAATCACAACAGCGAACTTCTACTTGACCAAAGCCCCCAACAACGACTCCCCAATGACCTGCGACTCCGGCGCGAACGGCTACGGGTGCCCGGAATTGGACTTCATGGAAGGCAACTCGCAAGCGCTCGGTACCACTCTGCACCTCTGCGACAGCACTGGCGGGGCCCGCGGTGTCTTCACGTGCGGATGGCAATCGGGCTGCCTGACGAGTAACCTGGCCGGAAAGCAGGGCGGAGTATTTTTTTGTTCTCTCTGTATGATGAAGAGAGCTTGAGGTCGCTTTTCCAAGTTACTTCCCATGGAGACTTGTGGTTGCATCTTCTGGATCAATCAACTGCCACGATAAATATGAAAATCATAATCAGTGTGATGAAGTGTAGCACAAGGAGAAGGTAAGTATCCCATTTGTAACAAGCACATGGACGACGAACACAATGTCAATGTCTTGTTGCTGACGACAGTAATACCGCATCTCTCAACAGGGTGCCACTTGCGATGCGTGGGGCTGCCAGACGAAGACTGTCGGCATGAAGCACTGGGGTCAGAACGCATATGGTCCGGGCGGGTACATCGACTCTAACAAGGACCTCAACATGCAGGTCTACTTTCAGCCCGTGGCCGGCAACCTAGAAAACGTGTGGGTGCAGCTCTCCCAGAAGGGCAAAGATCCGCTTGTCTACTCGGTATAATATCGGTTTTCTCTTTACGTTTTCTTGTATCCCTGCATGTACAGAAGGCTTAGCCTCTCGAATACGACGAGGCCATTGAGCCTGCTGCTGCTGCTCAGCTCAACTAGTGCAACACAAGAAGCGCGTTGCTGGTAGCAATTCTGCTCGGTGCTCAGCCAAAATCCAAGTACGTATAATTATGCGCGTATGGTTGTAAATAGAAATTGTTCACGAACACTCGTCATAACACACTTTAGGCCTGCGTGAACGCCGACTACAAGCGCGCCGTGACCCACGATTTGATGACGGGGTGGTCCCACCATTCCACCTACTGGGGCGGCTTCGACGGCATGGAGTGGTTGAACGGACCCTGCCCGAACCACCCGTCGACTTGCAGTGGCAACGCGGCGGACCACATTCACAACGTCAAAGTGTACAAGATCGACAACGTATGAGCAGGAGTGTTGTCTACTAGCGCGCGAGCTTGTCCTCCTTCGCAGCCTGTGGTCCAGCGACGTGTCGTTCAGGTCCGTCGTTGATCAACGCGATGCTTGTTACTGACAGGTCGCTAGTACTAGACTTGGTGAAGCGACCAACTCTACTGAAGATATATTCACTGTGTTACTTTTTTCTCCCCATCCGGACGTCATGTGGTTCCTACAACATGGCACTGGCATGGTGAGTTGTACTTGTGTACGTGTACATTATTCACAGTACATCCTTCTTCGACTGCAAAAGTTTACTTCTGCTTGTGAATATAGGTTTCCGTTTGTTTCGTTGAGAATGTTCACTGTACTAGTCATTGCAGCACGCTGTGATTTTTACTCAGTAACAACTCTTCAACGTCTTTGCTAAAAGTAAATCCTTACTCGTTCTTTCTAGCACGTCTTCTTCTGAATGAAAAATGGTAAATTTTGCGTATTTGTTCCCGCCGATGCACGATATCTGTGTCGGTGGGTCTTCTTATCACGCTTTCGACAGTGATCTACTTCTTCTAGAAATACATGAGCACTTCTACGACTACGCGTACATTGTTTTCTGCGAATAAAGCTCTAGTTCCTTCTTGACTCACCACTCAATGCCAATATCCGCTTTAACCAAGCATGCCACGACAAGCCGCCTAATCTTCCAAGGCGGTGTCGATATTTTTCTTCTTCGCTGCTTTTTTGCCAACTCATCTGTTGAACAACTCCATCCTCCGTGGTTAACCCACGAGGAAAAAATTGAAACTTCTACGAAGAACAAGATAGGCACTGACCACACGAGGGTCCTACAAAGATGTTACACAGCCTGCATACTGGCTTTTCTCGTGTGCTGCGCTGTGTGCTGTTTCGACGTCACTCGTATGGACCGTGTATGAGAGAAGCAATCGTTTGGGCCGTTGGTCGTGTAGGGGTTGCGTGGGGAGAAACAAGTAGACTTTTTCTGTCGTGCTCGTCTGCTATTACTCGAACGTCGGTCGTCACTCGGTGTCGCAGGGATGCCAGTCGTGCGTGTGCATGTGTTTTAACGCAACTGGGAAAGGTTGCATCTTCGTGGGGCAAAAATGCGCCACCTCGCTCGTGATGTCGGTGGTAAGTATTGAATTTGGATATTAAGTACTGTGTCATCTGTAGCAATCACCAAGCTTTCACAGCTCAGGAGTAAGGTAGAGTTCCTTTGAACCAGTGAAAAAGTATCAAGTAATAGCTCGATAGTAATCGTCACGAGCGCAATCTCAATCACAATGTCGGATGGTGTCCGTCCGTCGTGGCGGGTAGGGTCAGCGGTCGCTTGGTTGCATCACTACGCGCTGCAGGGCAGGTTTCAGCAGTCTCATGGTCATTGCGACAAACGTGGTCGAAGCAAAAGAGCGCCGTTTTCGTAAAGCGCGTAAGCCAGAGGACGCAGATGACGTCGCGCAACATACGCAATCCCAGTCTGTCACATCGTTCATCGACAAGAGCAGCACCGAAGAAGCAAACCCCAGTACCGACGGCGCAGCGAATCGCATGGATGTCGCAGCTGGAGTGTCGCCAGACGGACAAGTCTCTAACGACGCGGCTACTCATGGCGGCGAGAAAGTGGTGTCCTTTGCTAACACTACCGGGAAGGATGCTGATGGAAAGGATGCGGCAGCGGAGCTGCAAAAGCTGTCGACCCAGGATCAAGAAGCGATCGCGGCCTCCGCGCCCAGGCCGCTAGAGGTCTCTCCGTTGGAAATGAAACGAATTTCCGCAGCGGGTGATTCCGATTCGCACCCCGGTGCGACGTCTGCGTCTACCACTTCTACCGCTCCGATGCCAAACGGGCCCGGTCCTTTGCTGAGCCAAGAAGCCTCCGACCTTGCTGCTACGAAATGGTAGAAGACTGGTCAGTCTTCGACTCTGCACTTGGTCGCTTACCGCCGTAACCTCGCCGAAAAAGCAAGGACGGGATTCCTGGGCATGATGCATGGGTCCACGTACCCGTACGACATCTACTTTGCAACGGACGACGACATCGCATCCAACTTGCGCCAGAGTCAATGGAACGACTACGCAGCATACGGCACGGCCGCCGTGCCGGTGGCGCATACGAAAGAAGTAGAAGAGCGGCTATTCTTCAAGCAGCGGCTCACGCTCTTCCTCGGCGGCACTTTCCTCCCGAACCGATTCCTGACGCGCGCCTACACGGAGGCTCGTGGCCGGTGGATACCGGAGGCAAAATTCGAGCACCGCTTTCTGTATGTACAACGGAAGACGATGGTACTGGCGGGGAACTCCACCAGCACCACCAATGACGGGGCAGGAAGCGCGAACGGCACCATCTCCCGCAGCGTCAACAATCTTCCGCAGCGCATCGCCGCCGGCATGCGGGGCGCGACAAACGTGGCGCTGCAAGGCACAGGGCTGCGGAATCTCGGCACGAGCGGCAGCATCTGGGAATTTGTTTCCGGCACGCCCAGCTTCGAAGGACAGCCGGAGATATCCGGCAGGTTCGCTGGGAAGATTTTCGACGGACTGCAGCCAGCTGCGTATCAGTTCGGATACATGCAGTGGATCAAGGTACGGAAAGCACTTTAAGAGTACTTCTAAGTATTCCGGGCTAGACTTGTTATCCGCGTTGTAGTATTCTCAAAGCATATCGTTGAAGTTCTTGAAAATTAGAAATGTTAACGGCGTCTATATCAAAATTAATGTTGCTCATGTTGACATGAGTAACCATAACCTTCACCACTAGGCTCCTAGTCCTTCTGTTTCAAGTGTCTCACGGCTATGCTGAATGCAAACCAAAAATGTAAATCAGAAATCCGCGCGATCATGAATCCAGCAAGAGTTAGTGCTTAGAATGATTAATATATAATGTCAGCTGATTTGTCCGCACTGCGCGACGCACTCGATATCTTGGCCGCGCGATTTCCAGAAGAAAGTTGGTGCGCCCCGACGCATGAAGACGCACGAAAAGAAGTGCTGCGCGCAAAGAAAGCTCGATTTGAAATGCGATCCGATTCTTGAAGAAGAAGATGAGAACGACACTAGTGACGTTGCGGAGAGTTGAGGAGTTCGATAAATTGGTAGTCTTAGTACACGACGAGCCACGATGTGCGAAGCTGCAGTGACAAAACCCCGAGATGCAGCTTGAAACGAACTCGAACCCCAACCCCTCCGCACGTCCCCCCCTAGTGCAGGATAAATGATGATGATGATAATCATAAAAATCAATCACAAGGTTGGCGATCGTTTTGGCTACAAATACAATGACAAGAAGGAAAGCTGGATGAAGGCGGCGGAATGGTTTTTCTATCGCTACACGGCAGAAGATTTTCGCGTCGGTGTGGGCCAGCATTTCAGCGGCTACAGCAAGCAGAAGGACAGAAGTGATTGGGTGTACAAAATGTACATGCCGGATCTCGACGTGATCGGCTCGCTGAGCGCCTTCCACCGCCCGACCATCGTCATGAAGGACCGGCGCGACAACTTGGTCGCCAAGCTGGAGTACTTTGGTGGGCGATCGTGGCGTCCGTGGGAGTGGTGGTTCGGCGGCCGCTTTGCACTGCAAAAGCATCGCACATATCATAAATCGCATGACATCAAGTAACTCAGTACAAGCAAGTAAAGTACAACAACTAAGAAAACGAGGATGAATGCAGAAAGCAGAGGGCTATGCAATTTAAGAAAAAGAGTCTTTTTCGTTTGTCTTTAAGACAAAAGGAAAAGAGGAGACTTGGCCTTGTCGAGTTGTCTTCATCTTCTTGTGGTGTACTTGCGTGTACTGTAGTGCTGGTATTATTCGCCGGGTTTTGAAGTCAAGAGCGTTATGCTAATGTTGTTTCCATGAATGCGATACTTTTGCCGGGTATAGCCGCAAGATGAAGCTGACACTCTTTCAAACAGACGAAGCGCAGCACGATCCGGCTTTAGTTACTTCGCTGTTACTCCGCTGCGACGCCGACAATGCATCCTACAACTTTCTGAAGAAGGCCTTTGTCGGACTCGGCCTATCCACGAAAATATCATAGACTCAAGAGAAAAATAATTCTTCGCGCTTGCATGCCCTTGCACTGGCACTGCCACTGCAGTTGCACTCGACTCCTGCTTTTTCATCATCATCGACGCCGAAAGGCTATGTATTGTGCGTGCGAGCGATCATGGGCAACCTACGCTTTTCTTTAAGAGACGGAAACGGAATGCATGAGCATGGATGTGGCCCGACAACTTTGATGTATTATTTGCAGTGGATATGGATTCGGTCTCGGTGCCGACCACCTGCATGGCTGGTTGCATCATACGGAAAACCTCGACGCCTTCCCAGGCCATCCAGTTGGCGAGATTGTGACGTTGATTCCGCCGATGGCCGCCGAACAGGCGGTTGAAAAAATCACACTGCTGGAGCCGCTGGTCTACGCGGTTGACGAGCAGGTCAAAGCCCACAACGCAAAGCATGCAAATGCGGCCAATCCCTCCACCACGCAACAACTACCGGAGTAACTCGTGGAGGTCGTCTTCTATTGCATCGCATAGGCGATGGGGGCGCGTGCGTGCTCTGGGGCGCGTTTACCGCCAAGCCTTCGGCTGCCCGATGGGCTCACAGTTCGGGACGCCCCTCTCGAACGGCTTCGCGTTGGCTACCGAAACTGCCTTTCAGTCCGGCAATAGGCTGCTCACGGCTCGGAGATTTGCGGACGACAAGTTTGCCATCAAAGCGGCGGGGAGCGCAGCCGATACGATGGTCGAACATTTTTACCCGGGTTGCCGGCTTGTTCTGGATACTTCGACCCCGCTGAAGGTCTGCGGCTTGCTTGTCCACATTCTGGGCACTACGATCAACACGGAGGCGACGCTGACCGGCAAACCCTTTGCGTCCGCCTACAGTGCCGGGATGCAGAAACGGCAGCGCGGTGTTGTTCGGGGCCACCTTGCCCGCCTGAAGCTCTCCAGCACCATATTCCCAAAGACCGCACTGCTTGGCACCATCTGCATGCTCACACAGCAGGGATATAGTGCGAAGATCCTGCAGCAGGAACTGATGCGATGCCTGGACGACATGCGGGAGCTCTACATGAACAGGCGCGGCGTCGGCTGACATACAGTTTTGAAGTGACCATGTGGTTTTGTTCCTGTTATTCGGGATGATGATGGTGTGTTGGTCGTTGCTGAATAAGTATTATTACCTCCCCACTGGATAGCTCGTTTTTACTGATCTATAGTGCTAATTTGCTACTCGGCACAGGAATGCCATAGACTGCGACTTTTAGATCACGCGCATTACAGATTCCCGATAATATTAGCTCCCCACTGGATAGCTCGTTTTCCTTTTTACTGATCCTGCACGACGCGCCTTGTCCCCCTCTATTTCCATCAATTTGACCGGTAGCACATCTGTAAAAATCTCATGATCTTCACGCTCTGAGCATTTTCATACGTCTCGCCTTGTTCCACTGTATAACTCGCGGCATGATCTCTCTAGCTTACTGTATAATTGTTACACTGGCATGCTCCGAAAACTCCCCACACGAAAACTTTGCTTTGTGTGAAATTCTGACAGGTTGACAGGGATTGAAGTTAACTTTGCCATGCTTCTAGCTTTGGCCTTCCATGCAACGCACTCGAAAGCTGTTCTCTCTTCTTTGTTGTGTAGATCTATCAAGAATTGCAAATACAATTGCAGCAGCTCAAGCAATGCAATCAACGACCTGCATCATCATCGATTACTAGTCTCGTTAAGTTTAACCTTCGCACCAGCAATAAGTGTCTTACACAAAAATTAGTCTTTCCACCTGACAGAAATACAAATTTATTAAGAGGAGCCCATCATACTTAAATCGAAGAGGACCCATCACAAATCGAAAATGTAAGAGTAATTGTTTATCACATCATCGTCTATGTAATAAGACAGCCCGGTAATCGAAAAAGATAAATGCACAACAATGCGCTCCTGTTCCACCAGAATAACATATACATTGCGACTCTATCCAGAAATATTGGGGCAACCACGAACACGACAATGATAATGAAAAACAAAAGAATGAATCACTCACGACTGAACTTTTTCGAAATCGGAACACATGGGAACACCACTGGAAATTTCTTCAATATAACCATCCATATGTATCTTTTAGGAAACAAATTCTTGTTGGGATAAATATTTCATGATGAATTCCTCTTTCTCATTCTTTCTCTTCCTCATGATTTCCCATCGAAAAATTTCATCAATATGTTGTTCTATCAAATCAGAAATTCTTGATGATTGATATATTTTTTCCTCTTCCATTGTCATATTGCCATTGTTGACTTAATTTCGTGAGCAATCGATTTCGTTGGTTTTAAAAAAGTTTCGACCATGGATATGTGTTAAAATCGAAAATTTTTTGATTCTGATTCTAGATTATGAATGATTGATGGATTTCTTTCTTTCTTCTCATTTATTTCTGGTTATGTTTCAAATTATTTATATCATGTTCTTGGATCCGACCCGAGATTTTCTGACATTCATCATATATTCTGTCTGATCATCATATCAATCATTCTCACAAAAAAATTCAATAATTCAAATTTCAATATCGAATTGTAATTTTCTCTTTATTATTCAAATTTAATTTTCATTTCGGAATTATTCATCCAATTTCATGATCAATATGAACATGAATATATTCTCAGATTCCAGAAGAAAATATTCATATTTCCCCAAATCTATTCGATCTCATCATCGAAACAAGAAAAAAAAAATCTTTCATGCATTCCTAGAACATGGAGAGACCAAGAAAAAAAAATTATTTTTTTTATCGAAAGAAAAAAAATAATTTCATGCCAAAATTTTTTTGAATTCGATTTTCTTATGATCATGATAATTGGAAGGATTTATTTCCAAGAAATTAGAAAAATAAATTCAAATTCGAAATAAAATAACAGAAAGATCTTGTGAGAAATGCTTTTTTTTTTTTCCATATCTCCCGCGAGTCGAATTCAGGTATTTGATTCTGAGAAAGAAGAGATGGATAAGAGAGAATTCATAATCTTCAATCTCTCTGATATGTCATGTGAAGGATTTAGATCTATAATGGATTGGTCCAATGGTAAACAAAATGTATAGTTCTGATATGAAAGAATCATGGGGAAGATGAATGTAGTGGTTGTCTTCCATGAGATGAATTCAACAGCTTCGGTGCCCACCACGACCGGGTATGGTTAATAGCCCATAACTACAGTTGTGCACGACCCATTGTGGTCTAACAATATGTAGAGTGTATTTTCATAATTTCCATTTCAATTCAATGATGTTGATGATGTTCTCAATGCAACCATGATCATGTGCGGTGTAGTGACACAACTGAGGCCAATGAATATGATTTGCATGTGTATGCCGAGCGATACAATGGTTTTTGTCAGTGTGTGGCTCGGAATGAGGAAAAGAAGAAACGGAAAAATGCAACAGGGAGCTGTAAACCCTAATATTATTTTCCAGAAATTGAAATCGCTAGACGTTGCAGTCGTATCATTTTCTCTAACAGAGGTAGTCGTCGGCACCATCTTCCCTGCATGCTCACGCCCATTGTGGTAGTTCGTTTCGGTGTCTCCTATCGTTGCTGCGCTATCCGTCCTGGTTCCTCCAGGACAACTCGTGTATGGACGTCGTTGCGAACTCAGTGTTTGAATTTTTCCTTTCGAAGTGCTATGCTGGTTTCGGTTTGTCAAGACCTCAGCCTGCATTTTGGTTCCGTCCGCGGACGTCCCGATTTCAGGTCGTAGCCCCGTGGGTATTGATTGTGCTGATGTACCAAATTGCGTCAGTTCGATCTCATCCGCGTCATTCTCATTTTTCCTGCTGCTGGCAACATCAAAAACTTCAGAATCATTCCTCATGCCGGCGGTGCGGCTGCGGTGTGCTGGTGGCGCTACAACATTTCCATCTTGGGCGAGGGCTTGGTCCTGCAGGTGGAATTCCGCCCAGATGGAGTACAAATGCCGCAGCGAGTGGTAGAAGTTGAAGTAGATTCCGAATGCTATGAGTGGCGGCAGCTGGCGAAACAACAGGTAAACGAGGATGAGCTCCACAAACTCGAACAACTGGAGGTTCAGGCGAAAACAAACCGTTGGCACGCTGAGGCATGTAGAAGATGCACGAGAAGTTTTTACTGGCCTTGGAGCAGAGGCAGAAGGTGTGCGAGCAGTAGATATTTTCGCCCTCGCGTCGCGAAAGAACGTAAGGCCGCCGATCACGACACGGCGAAGATTTATAGTGATCACCAGATCGCGGTCCTCGGAGGCTTGAGCGTATCCAGGTGGGTGCCCTCCGTGTTCACAATATGCCGACTTTTGTGGTGTCGTCTTTTCTCCTTGCATAACGAGAACGAGAAAGAGGAGAAAAGCCAGGAAATGTACCTGGTAGAGGCTTTGCAGGAACTGGAACAGCTGGAACAGCGCCTCCTCTTGGCCATCATCTGCAGTCACTTGTTCGCCCGCCACGAGTTCGATGGTGTTTTCAGCGCCGGCGTTGTGTATTCCTTCTTGGCTTGTTTGTGCCGTGATAGGCACGAACGCGCGGAGTGTGTCTAGGGGTGCTTGCGCTATCGCCACCAGAAACATGCCACCGCGGACGTAGAAGGCCAACATCGTGCGGAGGTGCGAGGTGAGTTTTTTCACCAGCGCGCGTTTTCCGGTCCGGAGTTGCGATGCACCGCGCATTGTCGACGACGGGTAGGTGGAGGTGCTTCCTCTGGCGTTCTTGTATTGATTGTCCTCTCCAAGCGGACGAGCTGACTTGAGTTCCGTCCACCAGAGCGTATCGCCTTCGCCGAAGTGGTAGATGGAGGTAATCAGGAACAGCTTCAGAGCCAGCACGGGTGCCACCGACCACAACACGAACGTAAGAAACATCAGCGTCAAATACCACACAAGCCAAATTTGAAACTCCTTGTCTCTCAGCAAGAATTGCACTATGCTGTCCGTCGTGCTCGAACCACTTGACGCGCTGCTCGAGAAGGACGCAGGAGTGGATGCTCGCGATTTGCTTGGTGGATTCTTTTGCGTCTGCTCATAATTTTTCATTCCTCGCAGTCCCATTATCGTCAGAAATATTCTTTGCAGCGTCCATGGGTGGGCTTTGTTTTTGCTCAGTCGTGATGTAGTGTTGTCGGTATAAAAATTTGCGCCGCTGGTCGTGGTAGAGAAGTTGTTCTGCGATAATTCCGATTCCGATGCCAGGGTTTCGATGTCGTCCCTCTTCTTACTCACACCAGCCTGCGGAGTGGTTGCGAGGTAGTTCCACGTGCGTCGTTTGAGAAGCCACCAGAGAATGGGATCCGAAGCGCCGTGCGGGAGGCCGAACAGTGGAACCGACACGAGTAAGAAAAGCACCTGTGTCGAGAGCGACAAGGGCGTTTCGGACGACCCGAATTGAAATTCCAAAAACAGGGTGAACAAACACCCCGCCAGACCGATCGCGTTCGAAAACAGCGTCGCAAGTAGCGCGAGGTCGATATCACTGTAGTTATTTCTCTGTGGTGCAACTGTTTCTGTTCGAGCAGACGGCGAGGGGGGAGCCTCCTCTGAGAGCAGAGCACTTCGTTGACCTAGGTGCTCGTGCTCGTCTGGAGTAGATTTGATGACGTTCTCGTCCCGCAGATGGATGGCCCATAGATGGACGGCTCGGAGTGCGTCGACGAAGGTAAAACGGTGGTCCTCCGCTGCCTGCAGTTTGTACACACACACCACGGTCATTGCCAAGTGCAGGCCCGATACGCACATCGCTGAGGTGACGAAGAAGAAGAAGGCCTCCTCGAGCGGCAGCGCGAAAGAGAAGGGTTGCAGGCTGATCGGCGCCACAAACACGGGGTTGATGCGCCACACCCCGTTTCGGATCGCCCACACGTATAACAGTGCACAACTCCCCCTCGTCCCGCTCAGTTGCATAGCATGAACGGCAATACAAGTATCCACAAGAATGCCGGTTTTGCACGACACATTTGCCGCGCTGGAGTGTAGTGCTATTTGGGCTACCAGAACTTGTCATGCAACTAGTGCCAAGAACGAAGCAACGGGTGGATTGGGTATTTTGCATGACAAATGAGGGGGAGGGGGAGTTGTGCACTGTTATAACACGTCGGTGAGGGACAGAAAGATGGTGGAGAGGAGCGTTATTTTCAGAATCGACAGCCGGTTCTTGGCGACGCAGGCCGCACCGTACACCCATTGCAGCCAGAGGACGGGCATGGACCAGACTAGAATATCGCAAGAAAAAACTGTTTCACTGTGAACTTGTGATGCATAGCATGGAACACAGAACTATTTGTCTTGCTACACCTGCAAGACCTTGACTCTTTAGGGGTGTTTTCCCTTTGGAAGCGCGCAAGGCAAATTTTCTGTGTCATGTGTAATAAACTTGTCATGCAGATCTTGCAAAATCATCACAGTGAAACAGTTTTTTCGTGGGATATAGAATCAGGCCCAAATAAAGTCCTGAGCTGCCTTCCGTTTCGCGAAAGGCCGTAGAAGAGGACGTGCCGGCGTGGTCAGAGATGGTGCGGAATTGGAGCCCGCCTGCTAGGTGGATCAGACCCGTACCAATAAGGAAAAGCGCCCAGAGCAGCACGATTCCGCAGCGGCGCACCCGCGGTTTCAGGGTGGTCGTCGCTTCCGAAGTGATGCTGAACATGTTCATCTTGGACGAGTCGTCGTGTCGCTCCTGACCCTGAGCCGTTCTTGGGGCATTATCGAAAGTTGGCGTGATATTGCGATGAAAATGAATTCTGTCCCGCACCACCGGCGGCATTTGCATCTCATCCACATTTGGGAAATGCAGCGCCCAGAGCAATGCGCAGAGGATGGTCTCCAAAGAGAAGAATGCGTACTCCTCAATGGGCACGTAGCCAATCACGAACAGCACACGGGACCCTACTTCGTAGCCCCACACGCCGCGGTACACGAGGTAATTGTCCCAGGCGACCGTCCACGTAGTCGCAACGACGCACAACACCACAGTCCAGAACCGCCACGCGTCGAGGTACCATGACGTGTTGCCATCCATAGTCGGGAAGAAGTAGCTTGCTACGAGCGAGCACTTCGATGTGGAGGTGCGCTGTTGCGTGTCGAATGGCGTAAACTTTTTCTTTACCACACGGACGTCGCTTTGGTGCGAAGTTCCGTCATCTTCGGATCCGGAAGAATCTTTTGGACCTTTTCTCCTTTCGGTATCATATGGAAAACCGAAAATTTCTCCTTCTCGTTCTCCCCCGCGGCCGGCGTGATTTCGATTTGTTCTACTTGTCGTGCCTGTCGTCGTGCCCGGGCCGCGAAGGGGTCGGCTGCCGCACAAAAACAGAGCTGAGAGCCCGAGTCGTTTGGAGCGCAACCCCACACGAATGTGCAGGAGTCGGCGGAGGATGTAGATACTGGGGAAAATCCAAATGCAGTGGTACTGGAAATACGTGAATTCGGTGACGAACTCCGGTAGATTTTTCATCTTCTGCAGGTCCTCTACTTCTCCGTTCGTGTCAACGTCTTGGCCAAGGATCTCGAGCACCAACGTCGCAAGAGCCGACTTCCCGAGGCGCAGCAACTTTTCGAAGTGCGGCGAATGCGTCAAGAAGCTCAAGATCCCGAGCACCACCACGGGGACCAGCATGCGCATAGCCCACGAACACAGGACGCTGACGAAGAAGATGCGCAGCAGCTTTTATGAAATGCAAAAATGTCTGGGTCTGGAAACTTGTAAAAATGCTGGGTCGGGAAGAGTGAATGCTCTATAATGCACGGCCAAGCATGAGAAATATCCGCGCTGCTTAGTATTGCGCTTTCCGCATGACAAAGTGGGTTTGTGCATGACAAGTAAACGGATCTCATCTTGGACACGCATCACAAACTTTTCAGTCATGCCAGACACGCATGACAGACTTCGCATTCTTCCAGACCCAGACATTTTTGCATTTGATACCTTTTTGATCGAGACCAGTCTCGTAGCCAGCTGGAGCTTCTTGCGGAAGCTCACGCGCGCGCGGTTCTGCTTGCCGGCGTTGTGCGCAAAGATGTGGTAGTTTTTCGCGAACCGAATTTCCTCGTGAATCTTTTGGTAACAGATACTGGAGAACAAAATCAGGTCGCTGACTTCTTTGGGCAAGGCCGCGATTCCGGGTCGGGCCTCGGTGTAGTACTGGTCCGCGATGGCCATCATGAACTCCATGAACCGCGTCCATTGTGAGTAGTGCTTGGCGACCGGCGGCTGGTCCACTTTGTGCCAGAATTGCTCCAGTGCCTCTCGGCTGCTCCGGTGCATCTCGAGCTGCCCACTTTCGACCTGCTTGCGCTTTTCGTTGGTCGCAGCCAGCCACGAAAGCGACATATTCTGCTCCTTTTTCTCCAGGTCAATGTCGAAGAAGTCAACGAGGTCGCTGGGCATGTAGACGCGGTGGTAGTCTAGGTCTTCATCGATGTCCCGAATCATGTTTGTCAGCTGAAACGCGTTTCCGAGCGCGCGCGCGGTTGGCAGCAGCTTTTTCCGCACGTCCAGCGCGCGTTCGCACAGGTCTGCGGCCTGCGGGTCGTGCTCGAAATACTTCAGTATGATATTTCGGGTCGACTTGTGTAGCTGCGTTGTAGCCGTGTGCTGCGGTTGATGTCTCACTCCTAGAGCAGTCGCCGAGTTTAAGTTTTCATCTACAAGTCGCACTTCTAGTTGTACCTGCTCGTGGTGTTTGTTCGAACTGCTACTGCGGCTCTTGCCTAGTCTCTCGTTTACGCAAAAGGCGCGGGCATCGGCTTCGAACGTTTCGACTTGAGCCACCAAGGTCTGGATTAGCTGCGAGGCGGGCGCTCTTGGTGTTGTCGCCAAGTGCGAGCTGTCTTCGTAGTTATGAGGCGTGTTGTTCTTGGAGGTGAGCTTCGTTCCCAACAACTCTTGAGAATGATCAGTACCAGCGGTTGTGGTGTAGCCAATGCGTGCTCGCGGGCCATCGGGTGTTGCTGTTGCAGCGGTGCAGGTCGGAGTAGAAGACGACGCCAAACTGGAGGAAACCGACGTTGAGGCCAAGCTCTCGGTGCAGCTTGCAATGCTGGTGCCAGAAGTGGTCTCAGTGGCTTTAGTAGCAGAGGGACTTCCACTTAGCTCGCTTTGGCTTCTGTTACGATCATTTTCCTCCTCCTCGCAGCACGCGATCTCGTTCTCCAGCACTTCTCGCGGCAAACACGCGGACAGACCGGGGCACAGAATTGGCAACATGAAGTCGCCGATCACGGCGGCAGAACCCTTCATGTATTCTACCAGGTCGTCAAAGTTGCGGCAGCGAACCGTTTCCGCGCCGTCGATGAGCATGGACTTGAAGAAGTCCCGAAAGAGGGTGGAGGGGTACTCGCGCCGCAGCGAGGCGTCCATCACGGCGGGCAGAATCGGGTGCCGCTGGTAAAACAAGTCCATCAGCAAATCGGCCTTGTCTTCATCCGCATCGTCGGGCCCGTCGCCGTCGTGGTCGTCTCCAGATGCTGAATACGCAATTCCAGGTCGTGGTCCTGCAGTTCTTCCTCCAGGAGCACCTCCGGATCTTCTTCCGTCGTTACTCCTCCCGTTGCGCACCGCTAGCTCCCAGCACTCCCAGAAATCTTTGATGAAGGCCTCCAGACGGGCTTTGCGTGGGGCCTCGTTGTCCACGGTGTCGACGTAGTCGTCAGCGATGCGAAAAAGACCGTACATGGCGGCGGTATCCAGGAATCGGCGGAAGTCCATCAGCGTGGCTGCCCCGAAGTAGGTTGTCCCGTGCTTCCACATGAGATAAACCGCGAGGCAGTAGGACCTTGCAAGCTTGTCGCGCCGGATCTTTTGGATGGCGAACAACAGAAAAAGAACCAGCGGAATGGTGACGCACAGCAGGCTCAGGTTGACGTGCCGCAGTGCTTCCGCAAAATACCGCTGGCGGGTGGCGAAGGCGAGCGTGGAGTCTGGGGCTCGAAAAGGGCGTTCGTCCTGCGGGCTGGCTCTGCCGGGATCCGCTGCTGCTCCAGGCACGTCGTGGAGCAGCAGGTTCTCACGCGCAGCCAGAGATGGTGGACCTGCGTCAACAATATCCGCCGACGTAGCGGTACTACTAGCGCCAGTCAACATGATCTCCTCGGATGTTCTTGTGCCCGGCATCAGTTTGGCCAGTGTCCACGCTACGCTTTGCAGAAGGCTTTCAGGGATTTCGTGGATGCAGAAGTAGTAGGAGTAGCGCACAATCGCCCACAGCGCAAGCAGGACGTGATTCGCGAAAAACAGGAGATACTCCGGACGGGACAGCGTTTCCGGATCTTCTGCTGCAGATTGTCCTGATCTTGTTCCCCCCGTTGTGCCACTTTCTTGAAGCTTACGGTCCAGCAAGTTCGCTGCTACCACTCCGCTAACGAGCGAAGGAGGCACACCGGGACCCGGACTCGTGAGGTGCCCAGCGAAGACGAGGTTGGAGACCTGTGTTACGCACAGAAATTTGAACATGAGGCACTAGGGCTGCGTGGGATAGTACACCAGGTTGAAATAACACCGTAGAGGTTTTATTTCTTGGCCTAAAAAGCATGATACCTGAATCCGACGAGGCGGCTTCTAAATGATACTTGATCAATCTATTGGTATTGGTATTGATGTCATACCTTGCTCTCCAGACTGGGCTTGAAGATGAGCGACTGCGTCAGCGTGTTTGCGAGGCCGAAAGCGTTTCCGCGGAAGGAGTTGAACCCCTGCTCAAATTCCCGTGTGCCCGCATGCCGCTCGTAGACAAGCGTTTTCTTCAGCTGCCCCGACGGTAGCTGAAGTCTCTGCTCCATGCGGATGAGGACTTGGTGCAGAAGCTTCTTCCAAAACTGGGCCTGGCACGTACTAGGTTTGATGTTGGAAGATGATGATATCTCGCGTTCATCTTTCCCGATCCCGACCGGGGGATCATAATCGATGTCCGCGTGCTGTTGGTCCTCGTCCTTGTTACACCTGGACAGGAGGTCGTTCATCGTGTACGGAGTCGGAATGAGAACAAACAACGCCTCTCCGCCCCGCACTGCGCCCTTCGGGTCCGTTTTGGTCGTCGCGCTCACGTAAAAAGTGAAATTCTGTACCGCGGCGTTCAGTGCCTCGTCCAAAACACTTGTTCGCTCGTAGTTGCCATTACGATGCTTTGCCGGCTCCAGGGCGAACACAGCCTCCAGATGCGTGTCCAGGTCGGTCTCGAAAAAGAAGTTGTGGTGCAGGAGGTTGGGGATGGTCTGGTTGAAACCGAGGTAGAAGAGGAGAACCGACGGGGAAAAAACCATCTGCTCGGACCAATACTTCTCCGCGTCATACCGCCGATATCCAGTGCAAAAATATCGCACTCGTAGTACTTGCAATTATGCATTACAAATCTCCATCCTAAGGGAAAACAGCATGACAAATTCCATTCGAATCCGTTATGCTGAGGTAATTTGTGATGCAATTGCTACTAGTACGTGTACGATACTTTTGCAATTCATAGCCGAAAACGTTTCGGCAGCAACTTCTGCTCCACAAACCGATAGTCGGCGGCGGCGACGACGCCAGTGTAATCTCCGTGGCAGATACTAGTAGGGGGCATCTTGCTGGTCTCATGGACGTTCTGTTCTTCTGCGATGTGCTGGGTGGACAAGCTAGAGGTTGGCTTCTCATAACCATCTGTGGTCGACGAAACCTTATCCAGTTGCAATGCGTTTTCAGTTTTCTTGTGAAAGCAGACGGCGTGCACCTTTTCCTCTCCACTGTCCGGGTGCAACATCAGGCGGGACAGTCGCTCTGCTTGTGCAGTCCTTGGAATATCCGGCCTCGCGGAGGGTTTGGCGTGAGTACCGGGCGGCTTGGTCATTCTTACACCAGAGGCTGGAGGTGTTTGAGATAGAGTTGTAGCTTGCGGCCTCGTCGTCCCTGCAGCACGTACACCGTCGTCAGACTTAATGTTAGAGCGAGCAGCTGCGTCTTTCGAATTGTTTCCGCCTCTATTTCGCAGGTCGTGGTCCTCGGAAAATTCCAAAGCGTCCACCTCGGCACTGAGTTCAAACTTGACGCCGTTCCTGCGCGCGAGTTGCTCGAGGGCCTTGACGGGGGCGCGGAACCCCTCCCCGTTCTCGGGGTACCAGGTGCCGAGCATGTGGCCGCCGTAGGTCATCAGGCTGTACAAGGACGGGGCCGCCTGGGGGCTGGCGCCGACAAAGATGACTGGCCACTTCAGAAACCGTCGGTTCCAGGGATCTTTCACGAACTTCGCGATATGGTTCTGGAACGAGTTGAACATGTCCATCCGGAGCGCTGCGGATACCAGTTTGGGGTCGAGAAACTCGGTGAAGGAGACCATCGGTTTCCAAATCCATTCGTAAATGCCCGTCTGGTACTTCTCCTCCGCTTCCGCCATGAATAACCGCAACGAAATTCGCTCTGCGGTGGCAGCTCCTGGGGAGGCTGCATATTTTCGACCACGTGAAGACGCTGCGGGTGCGGCAGGAGCTGCATCTGAGGAAAATACAAAGGCAAGTTGTTTTGATGGCACAGCCGCATTTTTTTCAAGGTAATTAAGGATCGTCCCCTTTGCCTCTACAACACGGTTTCTTCTTTCTGAAGGCGAAGGGGAAGCATGTGCATGTACATGTATGAGCACCAAAGGTCTTTCTACGTTTAAAAATACCTCCGATCGATTCCAGCAGGTGCCTGCGCTCGCGATCTGCGAGGAAGTTCAGGAGATCCTCCGGTTCGCCGGGGATGTCGACAAAGCTTTCGCTTTGTGGGCCCGCGTCTTCACGGGTTGTAGAAGACGTTTGTTCCAGTCCCCCGGATGACGGATCGTGCCGTGGGGGAGGAGGAATCTGGACTCGGTACGCGGGGTCAAGTTTTTTCAGCGTGTAGAATTCACTGACCTTGCCACCAAACCTCTCGAAAATCCGCTCGAAGACATCCGGAAACCAGTACCAGGACGGGCCGAAGTCGAACTGAAAGCCGTCGCCGACTATGTGCTGTGCGCGACCCCCAACGGCTTCGAGCCGCTCGTAAACAGTGACATCGTACCCTAGACGGTTCAGTTCCAGACTGGCGGCCAAACCACTGAAACCACCGCCGATCACGGCGACCTGTGGTCGAGCGAGGTAGTACTTTTTTACTTCTTTTTTCGTCGGCATGATCAGCATCAGAGTGACGAAGTAAAATAATACGGTTACTGGCGGCACGACGGGCCACAGACGACGCCCTGAGAACCCACGAAGATCCTGAAAAGATCACCCCCGACACCCCAGGGGGAGGGGTCGGAAAGATTCGGAGCGTCCGCCCCTCTGTAGCTTCCAGGGACAGCCTGCCGACGAAAGGGAAGCATAGACCGCTCGTGTAACGCGCGTTACACGAAGGTATGGTAGATGTGAGAAAGGGCCAGACGCCCCGCGGGCGTTGCCACAGGCGCTAGCTTGCTGGGAGTGACAAATAACCACGCCCAACAAAGGCGAGCGAGTGGTCGCGCGGTTGTAAAAGCCCTGGCGCGACGCGGAACAATCTGGGGCCCGGCAATGGACGGAACTGCCCCCGTCCGCAGGGTCCATCTCGCTTCCATGGGCCAGATATACCCGAGCCCGAGGACAAGGCCAGGTCGGAAATGGTCCAGCAAAAGACGGCGCACTAGCCCCAAAGCGAGTTTTTTTTTTGATTCAAAAACGAAGCCGCTGAATTTGTTGAATCAAAGAAACAGCCCGTGTTTCAAGGGTAGAAAGGCCACTTCTTGAACCCCGAACAAAGGATCCGACCAAGGTTCAAACAATGTTCAAAGTCGCCAATCACGGCGGTATGGCGAAAGCTTCAGAGGCCAAAAAAAAGTTCCTAAAAAGTTCCGTTCAAGATCCGATAAAGTTCCGATCAAGATCCTGTCCAGAGGACACTTTTTTGGCCACTTTTTTGCGCCGCCAAATCCATAGATTCTAGGCGGGGGAGGGGCCAGGAAAAGCGGCGAAAAAAGTGTCCTCTGGACAGGATCTTGATCGGAACTTTTGAAAATGGAGATGGCGGCCATGAACTCTGGAAAATGGCCCCGTGCCTGGCCGAATTCCACTGGAGAATGCTCCTGAGTACAAAAATTGTGCCGCGGGGAGAAAACTCCCACCCTTGTTTGACATGCTTTCTGCAGGATTGGCCTGCCGATCCCCGCGACCCCAAGAAGCAAAACACTTGGCACCACATCGCGCCAAAGGCCATCGCCTCTCTGCGGGCTCCCGGATGCTGGGCAGGTAGAATGCCTGCGGTCGAAACACCTCCGCGCCACCCCCTTTCCAATGTCCAAGACTACCGCGAAAAAACTACAGAAGCACACCAGAAGGGGGGGCAAAAGGACACGCTGGCCGCGGCGGGCGGCGCGTTCCCTGGCGGCTGGCCCGCGCCAAGTTTTGCGTGGCCGTAAAATACCGACATACCCCCGCAACGGGAAAAAAAATCGCGCTTCCCAAACAGGGCGGCCCTCGGGATAGGCTCGGCAGCTATGCGACACGCCCAGAAAAGGCCGCGCAAATTTGCTATACAAAGGAGGCAAAGCGAAGGCCAAAACATTGGGCCTGATTCGTAATTTCGGGGCGCCGAAGTAGCCCAGCGGCCAGGATCTTGATAGGATCTTTTTCGGATCTCAGACGAGCTGAAGTGGCCCGGCGTTCCGTGAGTAATACGGGTTCCTTGAAGCCTTACAACTGGACAACTTCTGCGATGATATGGATGACACTGGACAACTTACAACTTACAACTTACAACTGGACAAAGACCGAAATATTTACAAGGCCGCCACCCAATAGGAGAGCGGCCAAAAAAACAACTTGGAAGAAAGCGCATGGCAAAGCGAAAAGGAAACGTCCCGCCCAGGTGTGGTCTTGTGTCATTGCAGAAACATTGCAAAAACCCACAAGAAAACTTTACTAGGCAAGAAAGAAACGAGAAGCCCACGCGGTTTTGAAGCCGCCTACTTCGAACACGCATGCTATGACGCGTTCGATGGAGCAAAAAGACCCAAATTCAAAAAATGACAAAAATCGATTTTCGCGAAAAAAAAAATGAAAAGAGAAAAAAAAGAGAACGAAAACTCTCGGAAACATTCGCAAAATCTTTCCGACTCCGCTCGTGTTTACGGAAACTTTTTGAAAGGGTATGAAGTTGGGAACTTTTTTTGGTAAATTTAAAAGGAGCAACAAGGCAAACCGGAAAAACCGGAAAGCGCCTTGTATATGATCACAGGGTCGATGGTGTTGTCGATCCGGCAAACGGAATAGAAAACTAACTGCGCCCACCACACAACCTCCAATCGGGATGAGAGGAAGCCCGCGAACTTCAGCAAAGCGCTTAAAATATGAAGTGAATCGCGAAGCAAACTGGAAAAATAGCCCACGCATGACTTGAAGCCAGGGAGCACAACGCGCCACGGTGTGTGGCGTTCCTCGCCATGGGAAAAAAAGAAGTTTGCAAATTTTTGTAGTCTTTTTTCCGACATTTGGCCCTCATGATCCGGAGCCTCAAGCATCAGAGTGGCAAAGTAAAATAATACGGGTTCCTTGAAGCCTTACAACTGGACAACTTCTGCGATCTTCTTGAAGCCTTACAACTGGACAACTTCGTCCGCCCCTCTGTAGCTTCCAGGGACAGCCTGCCGACGAAAGGGAAGCATAGACCGCTCGTGTAACGCGCGTTGCACGAAGGTATGGTAGATGTGAGAAAGGGCCAGACGCCCCGCGGGCGTTGCCACAGGCGCTAGCTTGCTGGGAGTGACGAATAACCACGCCCAACAAAGGCGAGCGAGTGGTCGCGCGGTTGTAAAAGCCCTGGCGCGACGCGGAACAATCTGGGGCCCGGCAATGGACGGAACTGCCCCCGTCCGCAGGGTCCATCTCGCTTCCATGGGCCAGATATACCCGAGCCCGAGGACAAGGCCAGGTCGGAAATGGTCCAGCAAAAGACGGCGCACTAGCCCCAAAGCGAGTTTTTTTTTTGATTCAAAAACGAAGCCGCTGAATTTGTTGAATCAAAGAAACAGCCCGTGTTTCAAGGGTAGAAAGGCCACTTCTTGAACCCCGAACAAAGGATCCGACCAAGGTTCAAACAATGTTCAAAGTCGCCAATCACGGCGGTATGGCGAAAGCTTCAGAGGCCAAAAAAAAGTTCCTAAAAAGTTCCGTTCAAGATCCGATAAAGTTCCGATCAAGATCCTGTCCAGAGGACACTTTTTTGGCCACTTTTTTGCGCCGCCAAATCCATAGATTCTAGGCGGGGGAGGGGCCAGGAAAAGCGGCGAAAAAAGTGTCCTCTGGACAGGATCTTGATCGGAACTTTTGAAAATGGAGATGGCGGCCATGAACTCTGGAAAATGGCCCCGTGCCTGGCCGAATTCCACTGGAGAATGCTCCTGAGTACAAAAATTGTGCCGCGGGGAGAAAACTCCCACCCTTGTTTGACATGCTTTCTGCAGGATTGGCCTGCCGATCCCCGCGACCCCAAGAAGCAAAACACTTGGCACCACATCGCGCCAAAGGCCATCGCCTCTCTGCGGGCTCCCGGATGCTGGGCAGGTAGAATGCCTGCGGTCGAAACACCTCCGCGCCACCCCCTTTCCAATGTCCAAGACTACCGCGAAAAAACTACAGAAGCACACCAGAAGGGGGGGCAAAAGGACACGCTGGCCGCGGCGGGCGGCGCGTTCCCTGGCGGCTGGCCCGCGCCAAGTTTTGCGTGGCCGTAAAATACCGACATACCCCCGCAACGGGAAAAAAAATCGCGCTTCCCAAACAGGGCGGCCCTCGGGATAGGCTCGGCAGCTATGCGACACGCCCAGAAAAGGCCGCGCAAATTTGCTATACAAAGGAGGCAAAGCGAAGGCCAAAACATTGGGCCTGATTCGTAATTTCGGGGCGCCGAAGTAGCCCAGCGGCCAGGATCTTGATAGGATCTTTTTCGGATCTCAGACGAGCTGAAGTGGCCCGGCGTTCCGTGAGTAATACGGGTTCCTTGAAGCCTTACAACTGGACAACTTCTGCGAGGATCGCCGGGCGAAGCCCGGACCGTCCTGCCGAAGCAATTTTGCGTCCGATCACTTGCCCGCAGCGGGCCGGCAAGAGAACAAACGGCCGGAGCCGGCGCCCGCGTTAGCAGCAATTCTGCGGCTTTGCCGAACTGCTAAGCACATTGAGAGTCGCCACTCTGGGTGATCTGGGGCACGAACGGTCTTTCGAGACTAGAACTTCTTTCAGGACAACACCCACAGAGAGGTCTCGGACCCCCTCTCAATAGTTGAGAAATGTGCCCTCATTTTTGGGCTCCAAGATTCACCAGACTGCACGGCATGGTCCGAAAAACCTCAACTATTGAGAGGCCCTCCGAGACCCCTCCGAAAGGGCTCAATCTTGGAGCTTCTCTCAACTATTGAGAGCAAATCCGGACGAACCTTTGTCAGCGAAGAAGCTAGGGGACTTCTGCCACTTTTCCAACTAAAAGAAAGCGATGTGGCCGCGCCTAGGCATCGCATGAGCGTCCACACCTTCTCGCCGGGGTTGTGGGGTGGGGCGTGTAATTGAATGGGAGAACTTGACGCGTCGCATTCATGTTGCGTTAGCCATGGCATGATCGCAGTAGGGCTCTGCTGGACAAGCCCGAAAGATACCGCCGAAAGGCATCAGCTGCGCGGCCCAATGATCTCCAGAACATTGGCTACGAGCTGCGCCCCCCGTTGTGGCTCCGCTAGGGTGCGCTGCACTTTCGTCGACCCGGAATAGCTTTGGGCTAAGCTTGCGCCAGCTCCGGCTGCGCGGCAGATACGCGGCCGACATCGTTGCAGAGCTCCGCCGCCCTCAGTTGCCCGCACGCGCCGGCGCAACTCGACAGCACTGGCGCGGCAGTCTAGACAGTGCCCGCTATATCGTGTTGCCAGACATGACAGATTCGCCCTGTTTTGGGATCAAAAAAGGGGGCAATAAGTGGGCACAAAGACCACACTGTCATCCGCTGCAAGCCAAGCAGCTTTGCGTCACCTGTTGCCATTGCCTCCCTCTGCTTTGCGGTCTGCATAGTTGGGAGCTTGATGGACGTTCTCACACGCCGCAAAAATTTTTGTGAATAGTTCAGATTTCAATACCTGAGAGGCTCATAAAGCCTTACAACTGGACAACTTCTGCGATGATACGCAAACTTTAAATTCAAAATCTAGGGGGGGCAGCTGCGCTGCATGACAACATATATCTAATCTTAATACTTTGCTTTTGGTTGTGATTCCGCTCGCAGCGTTGTGACGTTGGTTTCCGGCGTCGCTTATTCCGCGGCCGACGTAATAGAGAATGGTCAGGAGAATGGCGCCATAAAACGTTCCCACGAGCGCAGGGAAGACCAGGTCAGCTGCCCGTGGGGGAATGTGGGCGGACAAGTTCTGCAGCACATGCAGCCGCCGCCGCGAAATAAAGTGGTGCATGATATTCTTCAAGAACAGGAGCTGGCACTGAGTGAGCACGCTACTTCATTCTGTTTCTGGTTCGCATTCTTCGACATGGTCGTCGATGGGTCTCCCTCGTTTAACGAAGACGAAAAGATAAGTTAGCTTTTTTATCGTGAACAGACTCAAACCTAAACTTTAACTTTCTTATTTATCTTAGTTGTAGAAGTACTCTGTCACTGTCTGTGGTCGATTTTATCGGGGACGGATCTATTATGTGTGATGTAATGACGAAAACCGACACCGACCACGTCAATGACAATGTTGTTTCCAGCATCTTCTCATCGATCTAGTCCACGTTTATGACAACCGACTTTTTTATTTTATGCGCAGCCAGGGCATGTCGGGGAAAAAAAAAGCCTCAGCGATGTTTTTGCGTTGAAAAAAAAAACACAGTGACACTATTTTCGAACACGTCGGACACACACGAATTCTCGTCTCACACGAGAGCTGAGCAGGAATTTCATTAAGATTTCTAGTGGATACAACATATTTATACCGCTAAAGAGAGCAGGAGGCCCTCTGGGTTTTTTTTGTGGTGTCGTTGCATCTGTAGCAGCACAGGTTTTTGAGTCGTTCGATGAGCAGACGCCATCGCTCTAGGGAAAGTGTGAAATTAATTTTCAGCGTTCCGCACAGATGCAATGCGTCTTTTCTTCAGTCGACCCAATAATTCGTACTGGTTAGGTGAAGTGCTAGTGCACTGAAATTGTTCGAAGAACGTCGTCGAAAGGCAAACGCCACAGAGACCAGTTCCCGATTTACTTCGGAATGAGGGCCACGCAACTGAAGTAGTGTGAGTTGGGATAGTTTATTTTTTGAAGCGACAACAACAACATCAACACCGTCAAGATCCTTGTCAGCATGCCAATGCTTGCGCACTTCACAATGGAGAAGAAATCGAGCCGCGCAAATTCAAAAACCAAAAGTGGTCAGCAATTCCATGCATAATCATTTTCTGACTAGTCGACGGCTTCGCGAAGTGTAGCAGGTTACGCAAGTCCTCCTCTTTGACTCAGAAATGTTTCAGGGACAGTATCCATTTGATTTTCGTTCCACACGATCAGGATTTCGTCGAATAAACTCCATTCTGATTTTCGTCAGGATTTCGTCGAATAAACTCCGCGGAGAGCAGCAGTTTCCGACTTCTTTCAAAAGGCTGTGCAGGAGCTCCTGTAGTGGTGGATGCAAACGGGGATTGTAGTGGTGGATGCAAACGGGGATTTTTTTGTACGGACGAGTAGAAATTGAAGCGAAATAAATTGTGCGGACGGAAACAAGACGAAAATAATGGAACAGCCCTTAAATTTATCGCTCCGCTTTTCGTTTTGCATATTACTGTGTTCTCGATGTCGTGGACAGAGTCGAATTGTCGTTGAAGAACCAAAAACGCAAGAAGTAATATTTTATACATAGAGCACAGCCTCGTCTTTAGCTGTACTAGGCGATGCGCTGCCGCTTCTTGTCCGCCTCCGCAGATTCCTCCTCGCGATCTTCATTTTCGACCTGGTCTTGCTCATCTTGGTCTTCCTCGACCTGCGTGTTGTCGTCAACCCCTCCCTGGACCTCGCTCGCTTCTCCTTCTTCCTCCACGGCGCTGACTACTTCCGCCTCTTCCTCCGCCTCGCTGTCATCTTCTAACTCGCTGTCCTCCTCGACCAGGGCCTGGCTGTGCTCCTCCTCTTCCTCGATTTCCTCGTCGCTCTGCTCCTGATCCTGTTCGACGACGATAACTTCTTGCACGTCGACTAGCTCATCGGAAATCTCCTGGCTCCGGATGGGATCCGCTTCGTCCTCGGCGCTCACACTCCTGATTGTGTCCTCGCCTTCCCATGGAATAAGTTCGTGGGGTACGAGCTCGCCGTCACTGTTCACAGCCACTTCCACGACTTGTTCCGCCTCTATTCCGGGCAAAAACGTCCCCACTCCATAGTCAAGCTCGTGCTAAGTCTGCAACACAAATCTCCAGTTATGCATGACAAGTAGTTTCGGTCTGTGCCTCTACCTGTAGTATAGTTCTGCCTAGCAAGGACAGTCGCATCTTCACAAAAGCGCCTCATTATTCTGTTAAACAACATATACAAATCTCAGAACACGATGACTATAAACCCCCCACATGTTGGGGATGCGCACTCCAGATGTTTCATTTCTGTAGGTGCAAATCTGCGCGACAACTATGGGGCGGGAACGTTTTTACATGCGATGCCCTCGCTGTCTTCATCTTCCAAAACGACTTCCTCCACCAGCACGTCGTCATCTAAATCATCTCCTTCTTCTTCCACCTCGAGCAGCTGCACGTCGCCGTCTGCATCTTGGACTTCGCTGACATTTTGTCCGTCTTCGTGCTCGTCGAAATCCTTGTCGTTGTTTTCGCCGTCACTGCCGTCTTGATGTTCCTCCTGGTCGTTGTCTTCCCCGCCACTGCCAGCACTGCCAGCATCCTCCTCCTTCTCCTCCTTCTTTTCCTCACTCTCACGGTCGACAAGCAGCGGCCCCTCCTCTGCCTGACCGATGCGGTCTAGCTCGTCCGCCACTCTCTGCTGCCACGGGGCACGACCGCCCTCGCCGGTTTTGTCCTGGATGTCTTTGGGAGAGGACATCTGGGAGGATGTCTCTTTCTCCGATTAAAGTAAAAGAATTCTTTTCGTCGCCGATTTCAAGAAAAATTAAAATGTAGATGTGACCGAAAGAAAAGGCAGACTGCTGTGCGTGAAAGCGTGAATAGAGTGGCAGTGTGCTGAAAGAAAAAGTAGACCACTGCTGTGGTATACGTATCTACTTTGCAAAGATCGATCAATACCATACGTGGGACGAGTATCCACGTCTAAGAGTAAGAACGTCGCAAATGAGCCGCCGCATCACGATACTTGTTTCCTCAATCTTTAATCATGATCGTTGTCGGGATCATCTTCACCAGATAACTGGCCATGCCATGACCTCCCCGATGTTGAAGACAATATTAGACACGACGTAGCAATAGACCGCTTGTTTGATCCAGTATAGTGAACCTTGGTGACCCGCGTGGGCATATAATGCCGCGTTCAGATGCTGATCATGATCCATCAAGGATTGGTTCAATATCTTTTATCCTCGAGATGTTGATCACACAGTTTAATCCGTCAGCACGGTAAAGCAGACAAGGAAATGGCACATCACAGACGTGTTTGATCTATGCTGGTCGAGGTTGTAATATGCCGTGATGAAGACGAAGAGGAATTCCTTGGCCTCATTGGTCGTGGAATCGATGTTGCCTTGCACTTATTGTCTATGGGAAGATTAGATCTGAAGGCCGAGCACTTGCGTTCTGCGCGTTCTACTGGGGTGGCTTACAGCCAGGAGATCTCTTTATCTTGGTCCCGCACTTACTGCAACAAGCGCAAGTAGAACCCACTAACGATTTTACAGTTTACAGTAGTCGCGCTTTGCGCGAGGGCGAGACCACTTCATCCACTCAAGATAAGGAGTCTAATTGAGGAACTTGATCTTGAAGAGCTTCCCAATTTCAGATCAATGCACTCGCCAGTCTCCAGTCCGCGAGGCCCCGGGCGCAGGGGGGGCCTCGGCTCGTTGTGCACGTTGCTTTCGGGTGGCGTCAACGAGCTAAAAAAAACCGCGCGAAGTTGTAGAACAAGTACAACGCTCGACCTCTCGTTCCCTTTTCCCAACTTAGTCAGCCAACCTCGCTCCACCTTGACCTCATTTCGCCAAAGAACTACTTTTTGGCTGGCGTTTTAACTCAAACTTGTTATGAATGTATCAAAACTCTAACTCGAATCATATGAGCTTTGACTAAGAGGATACAAAGAACGAGGGCGGAACGGAACCAGGCCACACCTGCCGTATGCGCGCCACCGCGAGCCGGTGCAGACGCGCTTCAGCAACTACGTCGCTTCCCTGTGCCTTTCTCAACGCAAGTTCCTCTGCTGCCGCAGAGTCCCAGTCTTCAACTGTGGTTTTCACCGCCACAGCTACTGGAGCCCCAGTGCCGCCCGTAATTCGCCGCGCACGAGGTCGTGGCACCGAAGCAGGTCGTGGGTCCTCTGAAAATATTTTACCTTGTGCCCCCTTGTTGTCCACCTCTCGTCCTCCCGGATCATCAAAATCATCAAAGTCCAGCTCAAACTCGACCTCGTCGTTCTTTCGGGGGAGCCTCTCAAGCGCGTCGCGGAGGTGGAAAAAGATGCGGTGGCGCTTGCTAGTATTTGGAAGTCGAATGTAGCCCCAGAATTCCGAGAGGTTCTTGATCATCTGCACTCGCCCACGCAAAATCCTTCCCCTGTCGGTCGATGGCGAAAACAGTGGTCTACCCGTAGTCCGCTGCGTTGGGAGTTGTGGCGCAACTACCGGTCGTGCAGCCGGAGGCCTGAGTGAAGAAGACCTGCTGCTCGTCGTCGTGGTCCGTTTCTCGTCCTCCGCTACAGGAGCTGAGCCTTCAACCAAAGAAGTCGCTTTGATGCCGTTTTCCTGGTTTTCGCACACGATACTCGCAGCCGAGCCCGGGGGACGCAAAATTTCGTTTTTTTCATCGGCGGAGAAAGGACTCTGCGGCTCGAACTTGACATCAAAACTGCCAGAGCCGTGTGCTTCCTTGTCCTCGCCAGCAAGACCATTCGCCCGCCGCCCCATGGCGCTTCTTGCGGCTGCTCCACGAGTCGGAGTCGCCCGTAACTTTGTTCGGTGCAACAACCCCGAGAGTTCCGCGGGCAGAGAACCCGCACCGATACGGAAGAAGGTTGGCCTGCACCGAGAGATGATAGCCATACTCGCACCTGCAGATGATAGCCATACTCAACTTATTTGTCTTTCAGATTATCTTCACGGCCCATCTTTAACTTTATCTGTTGGCGTTGCTGTTCAGACCTTCGTGATCTTGTTCACAGGTTCAGGAGCGAACAAGCTAGGTTCATCTTCACGAGAGGAACCAGGAGCACTTTTTTTTCTCGAATGCCAACGCCGTGTAGTTCCACTTTGTCAGCTGGATACAGCGTACAGTCTGTTCAAGAATTGCCCACATGCTATACGCTTTGGGTTTTGGAAGTTTTGTTGTTTCTCTTCGAGATCTTGATCGTATGCTGAAACTTACATGTGGAATACCAATATCAATGTCTAACGAACTCGAAGATTTCTTGTGCCTTAACAGGAGTCAGTTTTCCTCTTGCCTTTCAAAGATCTCCATCCGTCCTCTGTGACCATCCCTGTGATTGTACACCAGGTTCTTCAACACTGCTGGTCTTGCTTTTCAACATTGATTTTGGCGCAACTACCGCATCAATAGAGGGGAAGTAAACTGGGCCAGGGTTGTTGCGATCAACAGAAGGACCAAAGCCGTTGGCTATCGAGCGGATGCCACCATAGCCATTGAGGTAACGTGAACAGAGGTTACGCAGGGAGATTTTGTCCTTTGCCGGTTGTAGTTCCCCAGATCCAGTGCAGTTAGCAGCGTGTGAAGTCGATGATAATTCTGTGGTGACATCATGCGTTGCCTTCGGCGTCAATAATGCCTCGTCCGGAAACGAAATCGCCGTTTGCGCCTCCACGTCGTGGTCCCTAAAAAAACTGTAGACGGACAGCCCTCGCGCGTCGTGGCTCGTGACATTGGGCATCACACGGTAAGCCACGACCCGTGAGTCCAGTTCTACTTCCGTTGCGCCGACGCCGTGTGCGTCGTACGGAAACTCGGATTGAAAGAAATACACCCGGCCATGCTGTCCGTACCATCGTACCTGGTCCCTGAGCACGTGCTCCGCTGCTAGCCCGTAAATTGTCACCGAGTTACCGTGAACTTCTAGCGCGTGGTCCACGGGGTTGCGCTCTTTCCGCACGTCGCCGCCAATATCGTGGTCTGCGCGCCAGAGCCAGAGGTTCTCGAGCACCACGTGGGAAGCGAGTATGGTCATCATGCTTTTCGCACGCACTTCTACCACCCGGCTGTCGGTGTCCCCACCCACCCTGACGAAAATGTCGTATAGAAAAATGTGGTCCTCCGGTTCTGGGGTGACTCCATGAACAACATTCTTGCGGCTAGAACAACTAGATGTGCAAGTGCTTGCCCTTTCATCTTCTGCTCTATTTTGGTCCCTGTCGTTCTTTTTCCCGATTTGCACGAGCGTGTCACCCCTAAAATCGGGCGCAGGCTGCACAATCAAGCCGGAAATGCGACTGCCACGCGCTTTATCAGTGACGACCAAGCACGGCTGGGTTTCGCCATGCGCAACGAGAGTCGCGAGCCCGATGCCCAGCAGGAGAGTTTCCGGACGGGAAATGGTGACCGATTCATTTCCGCGACAGTGGTAGATTCCCGGAGTGAGAACTACAGCAGGCGGGAATTCGGTAGCTGAGGAAAGAACGTGATTGATTTTCGCAATCACGTCCGCATCGCTCGGATCTGCAACGAATACACGCTCGAAAGAAATCCGTCTCGGTTTTTTATTCAGGGCACGCGGTGCCGGTGCCGCTTCATCTTTAGGAATAATCGTAGCTGTGCGCGACGTGGTGGTCTCTGCAGCCGGAACGACGATGAAATATTTCTGGTGTTGTAATCCTTGGTTGTCTTGGTGTGCGCCTGCAGGGACATGTTCATCACTCTCGTTGTTGCGCTTGGTGCCAACATTTTGCTCTGCCACAGTGTTGTGTGCCACGAGGAAGGGCTTTTTGGCAAAAATCGGGAGGCCGTCTACTTTCGTAATTTTTGGCAGTGACGCATCGTCTCCGCCTTGTTCAAAGACACAGTCTAACAGTACAAAATTCCACGAACCCGGGACGAATCTTCCCGCTGCCTGGACGTTCCGAAAGCAAAATTGCTGCTGCGACCCACTGTCTACGTCTTTTCCGACGACTACATCCGCCACGAAGCCGCCGCTACTGTAGCCAAAATTGAAGCTCGGCCAGTCCATGCCGGACAAAAATAGACTACCGGCCACGGAAACCCGCCGGAGCGTGCTGGCTTGTGACACCCACCAATTCAGGTCGTTGGGAGTGTGGAAATTCTCGGCCTTGCGCCAGAAATTCGTCAGTGCGCCAGCTCTGAAGTCGGGGGACCCGTTCAGCACCTGGACTTTTTCGATCTGAGTTCGCTTTCTAGAACGCGATTTGTGATTTTTGTGAGTAGTGCGAGAAGTTGACGTTGCGTCTGAACTTCTCTTGATTTCGTCCGCAGCTACTTGAACAAGATGATGACTCTCATCTACTTCCCCATCTTCACCCAGCCCCAGGACGTGGTGGTAGTAGCCCACATTTACCGTGACCGAGTGCTTCCCGGGTAGGAACAGGAAAGCGTGACGCCTCTGACTGAACTCGCGCCCCCTTTCCTCGAAGTAGCCCCGGGCGTCGTGTACCGTGTACGTGCCGTGTTCGGAGAAAATGTCGTCCAGAATGGCCTGTTTATCGGCCGGCGACTGTTCCTCATCGGGGCGGAAAACGGTCACCGCTCCTTTCGGCCACGCCGGTGGATTTGGGTACGTAGTTGGGGCGGGTGGCAATCCCTTCGATGTTGTTCCCAGCAACGCCTGGTCGGCAATCGCGAAATTTGTAGATGACCTTGTCAGGAGCAACATTGATGAAAACCAAGCAGCACGTAGGCGACGAGGAGATGAGAAAAAGCAAAAAGCGGAAGGTGACATCTTGATTGATGCAGAATGGGTACTAGTATTGCCATTGAGTGTCAAATACGTTCATTTCATTCACGTGGAACCGCAGGGGATATTTACTTTCACAACATGAACAGCATCATACAAGGATTGCGCTACTTACTTATCTGTTCATCCAGTGTATGCTTTGACTTTGTACAGTTAGAGGCAATAAAAACGAGGACGATGAACTCAGAGTTTTTGGGTCAAATAGATCGATTTGCAGAAACGTGTACTTCGCCACCCCGATAGTACCTCCATCACGGAAAAAAAGTCGAGCGGCTTTGCTTTTGACGAGACATACTCTGTCAAGCTCATCGGCTTCTTTATCTTCTGGGGAACACACTCACACGTTTTGAATGAATCCACAAGCGAATATATTACTTCTTGTGCTTTACTATCAAGACTAAGTGTTAGTACATATTGATTTCTTATTTGTTCAGTACCCTTCTGTAGTTCGCGGAAGAACATGAAGATGCTCGTGGTCGTTTTTTTTCATCTGTCGCTTCATCTTTGCGGCCCAGCACCAGCTGCATTTAAGTCGTTCAACGTCTGCATGACTTGTTTGCATTTGTCTGTGACTCTATCGAATTCCCGTGGGTCCCGTACGAAGGGCTTCACGCGTGCCAAAAATTTGTCGGGATGCCACCGCAGCAGCAAGACCTTGCGTTCTTGCTTGGAGGTAAGCGAAAGCCAATCCAAGTCCATGGCCCGCTTGCTCTTGTTTTCGAAATCCTGCAACCCGCGGGGCCACGGGATGTCGGAGTAGGTAATTCTGTTCTTCTCCGCGATGCCCTGGCCTTGCACGAACGAGGACCAACGCCGCTCGTCCTCCGCAAGACCATCCTTCGCGCGTTCCGCCCGTGTCTTGGTAGGTTGGGACGGATATCAAATGCAAAAATGTCTGTGTCTGAAAGGTTGGAGCTTGTGATGCTAGCTTTGGACTCTAGAAAAAACTGTATTGCATGATCAGCAAGAGGAGTCTAGTTTGTGCTACGCGGGGAGGGCATTTGTCATGCGGAATAGGCATCAGGAAGCCCTGTAAAAATCTGTGATGCTAGGTCATGCATTACAAACATCATGGGTCATGCAACATATGCATGACAAACCCGGCAATATTCCCGACCCAGACATTTTTGCATTTGATAACGGACCGGCGGGGGTGAACTCGCGCGCCGGCGGGAGCCCGCTGTTCGGCCGCGGCTCCGGGCCCGCGGGGCGGTCGTAGGGAAGGTCTTCTGCGTCTTGATGCGAAGCACCCGCGGGCCGGTATTCCTCCCGCGAGAACCCGGGGTAGTACGTCGGCGGTGGTCGCGGCCCCGTAGGCGCCTTGACGTTTCGGGTTTCCTGTTTCTGCTGCTCCGTCAGGTTTTTGTACATGCGGTCCTGCCTGGTCTGGTGCGAGTTCAAGGCGGCGTCTCTTTGGCGCTCGCGCGCCTCCGCCTCGGACTCCAAGTGTTTTTGTTTTTTGCGCTGCCTCTGCTCCAAAATGTCGTCCACCCAGGAGTTGTTGAAGTTATTGGGCCCGCCGCCGGCGGCGCTCTGGGAGCTGTAAAAGCTGTCGAAATAGGAGGTTGACCGCGCGGAGGTTCTAGCGCCAGTGGTCTCGTCCTCCTCGTCGTCGTCGTGGCAAGCCGCATCGAAGGCGGCCCACGCGCGCGCCCAGTCCGAGATCGCGTTGTTCTGGGCCGTGGAGAGCCACGGCTTCCTCTTTACTGGCGGCACGACGGGCCACAGACGACGCCCTGAGAACCCACGAAGATCCTGAAAAGATCACCCCCGACACTCCAGGGGGAGGGGTAGGAAAGATTCGGAGCGTCCGCCCCTCTGTAGCTTCCAGGGACAGCCTGCCGACGAAAGGGAAGCATAGACCGCTCGTGTAACGCGCGTTCCACGAAGGTATGGTAGATGTGAGAAAGGGCCAGACGCCCCGCGGGCGTTGCCACAGGCGCTAGCTTGCTGGGAGTGACGAATAACCACGCCCAACAAAGGCGAGCGAGTGGTCGCGCGGTTGTAAAAGCCCTGGCGCGACGCGGAACAATCTGGGGCCCGGCAATGGACGGAACTGCCCCCGTCCGCAGGGTCCATCTCGCTTCCATGGGCCAGATATACCCGAGCCCGAGGACAAGGCCAGGTCGGAAATGGTCCAGCAAAAGACGGCGCACTAGCCCCAAAGCGAGTTTTTTTTTTGATTCAAAAACGAAGCCGCTGAATTTGTTGAATCAAAGAAACAGCCCGTGTTTCAAGGGTAGAAAGGCCACTTCTTGAACCCCGAACAAAGGATCCGACCAAGGTTCAAACAATGTTCAAAGTCGCCAATCACGGCGGTATGGCGAAAGCTTCAGAGGCCAAAAAAAAGTTCCTAAAAAGTTCCGTTCAAGATCCGATAAAGTTCCGATCAAGATCCTGTCCAGAGGACACTTTTTTGGCCACTTTTTTGCGCCGCCAAATCCATAGATTCTAGGCGGGGGAGGGGCCAGGAAAAGCGGCGAAAAAAGTGTCCTCTGGACAGGATCTTGATCGGAACTTTTGAAAATGGAGATGGCGGCCATGAACTCTGGAAAATGGCCCCGTGCCTGGCCGAATTCCACTGGAGAATGCTCCTGAGTACAAAAATTGTGCCGCGGGGAGAAAACTCCCACCCTTGTTTGACATGCTTTCTGCAGGATTGGCCTGCCGATCCCCGCGACCCCAAGAAGCAAAACACTTGGCACCACATCGCGCCAAAGGCCATCGCCTCTCTGCGGGCTCCCGGATGCTGGGCAGGTAGAATGCCTGCGGTCGAAACACCTCCGCGCCACCCCCTTTCCAATGTCCAAGACTACCGCGAAAAAACTACAGAAGCACACCAGAAGGGGGGGCAAAAGGACACGCTGGCCGCGGCGGGCGGCGCGTTCCCTGGCGGCTGGCCCGCGCCAAGTTTTGCGTGGCCGTAAAATACCGACATACCCCCGCAACGGGAAAAAAAATCGCGCTTCCCAAACAGGGCGGCCCTCGGGATAGGCTCGGCAGCTATGCGACACGCCCAGAAAAGGCCGCGCAAATTTGCTATACAAAAGAGGCAAAGCGAAGGCCAAAACATTGGGCCTGATTCGTAATTTCGGGGCGCCGAAGTAGCCCAGCGGCCAGGATCTTGATAGGATCTTTTTGGGATCTCAGACGAGCTGAAGTGGCCCGGCGTTCCGTCCAGATCGCGTTGTTCTGGGCCGTGGAGAGCCACGGCTTCCTCTCGTCGTTGGGCCGGGCGTAGGACGACCGCTTGTTGTCGGGCTTGCCCAAGCTGGGCACCCGCTCCCGCAGGTTCGCCGGCAGCCTTAAGACGTCCGCGCCATACTGTACCAGGATCGCCTATGGAACTCTCAAACGTTACACTCTCAACTGTTACATGATTTGTCATGCATACCCGACTGCGCCACATCAAAAATCTTTGCACCGTCGCCGCAAGCAGCTACGGCCGCAGGAGATCTAGGGTCAGAACATGATTTGTCATGCAAATTTACCACCAAGATCGCCGCGATCAAGCTGCTTCGCATGGCAAATCTACGAAGGGCTAAACAGCGTCGAAATCTGTGCCAAATCTGTAATGCAAGAGGCGCAATCTTCGCCAGTTCTGTTCACTTTTGCCGGTCTTGCATGACAAACTTATGCAACAGTTGAGAATGTAACATTTGAGAACGCCATATCGCCGCGAGCGAGCCGCGGTAGAGCTCCGCGGCCTCGCGGAGCAGCGGTGCGAGTTGGTACCCCGTGGCCGTCGTCTCCCGGTTTTGCCGCGAGGAGGAACGGAATTCGCAATAGTCGAGGAGCACGGGAAGCGTTTCCGTGGCGAACGCGACATCTTCGTGTCGCAACAAGTCGGAGAAAACGCTGCTCGACGTTCTACTTTTGCTGTTTGTCATTTCCGCGGGGTCCTCGCTTATTTCATCCGAGGATGAGGACGAGTCTTTACTCCTCTTCCTCGAAGACGCTGACGATGCATGTGAATCTACAGTGGAAAGCAACAGCTGTCGGAGGGCGTCGGGCGTGAGCTTCGTAGTCTGTTTCTTTTTCTTCTTTGCTTTCTTCTTATTCGCCTTCTTGTCACCAGCAGCAGCATCTACCCCGCCGCTCTCGACGTGCTTCAGAAGCAGTTCTTGGAGCTGGAAAGCGTCCGGATCCTTGAAAAGAGCCTTGCGCAACTGCTTCAAGAGTTTGTGGCTTGCCTCCAGCGTCGCGTTCTTCTCTTTTTTGTCAAAGGAAGAAGATACTGAACTACGACTGGAATTCGAGGACTGAGCAGAGGAAGACGATGTCTCGTTTTTTCTTTTCTTGGTTGGTTTCTTCTTGTCGTGCTTGCGAGAACGGCTCCGGCTCCGCCCGCGATCCTTTTTCTTTTTGCTTGTCTTTTTGTCGCGAGGCATGCTGTTGCTGTGGGGTTAGAATTAGTCGACTCGAAAAGCGAAAAGGAAAAATGGTATTTATAGGATTGTTGTTGACACAGGAAACATAATGATAAAGTGGTTTAAATAAGTGCCAAGGATGAGGGAAGCGGGTTTTCATGTTTATTGTGTCGGGAAATATCAAAAAAAGGGGAAGCAGACGAATTAAATAAGTACAGAGGCCCAAGAAAATGAAAAAGATGCGGACACAACTTCAAAACCATATTGTCCGCAGCCCTGCGCAGAAGATCATCGAAAAATGCCGCAGTGGACGAAGGAAACAGGAGACTGTTTAACTTTGAAAATTATGACCATTCCTCTTGCAGTGGCAGCAGAGAGGTGGTGGAGCGCTGCAAGCCGTGATCGTGGTGAACGGCTGCGATTTCTCTACTTTGCCTTCTTCTTCAATTTTCGTTTTCGATCTGCGAATTGTAAAAATTGTTCAACAGCTTCACTGTTCTTTCTTTTCTGCTTGTGCTTTTTTTCTTGTCCTTCGCGCGACAAAGAAATCCACAGTTCTTGCGCAACAAATTAAGCCTATGATAAGCCCGAGATAGTGTACAGTGGCTTCCACAATGAAGGCCGTGTAACCCTCGAACTGATTGAAAATGGAGTCCTTGCCGTGCGGGGCCAGCTCGAGAACCTATGATAAATGGATCACAATTACTTATTTTGCGACAATAAATTTTTAGCGAACCTCCAATGGCGGCTCCCTGCTTCGTTGATCAGAAAATATTATCTAATATTGATCTTGTAAATACGGCACGCAGGAGGCCGCCTGCGTGCCGTGTTTACGAGACCATCCATGTGTTCAAATAAAAGAAGAACGAAAATTATACGAGATAGATTACCATACGAATACAACTTGAACATTATCGCAAAAAATACCTGATTGTAGTATTCATTTGTTCTGACGGCCCGCTGGTACAGAAGTGCACATCTGGATTTCTTCGAGCAGGTTGCACTGCCTCCGACTCCTGGGTTGTCGCCTGATTTTTCTTTCTCCATTGCCATTTCTTTGCTCGCCGCCGGGCACTTTTGTTTCTGCAGCATTTGCGCGAAATCGAACTCGACACCGCCTTGGTATTTCAAAAGGTCTCGCACCGCCAGCACCCCGCGGTGCAGCAGAGTGCCACGCTTTCTGGCTGCGTACCGTGCTTCTCTTCTTGCCGTAACAGCTATCCGAGCGGTCTCGCAAACGTTGCGGTCAAACTCAGACTCGACCTCAGCAGCTTTAGTGGCAACTCCGTTTTCGAGGACGATCGGCACTTCGTTGGGAGTATAATTGTCTGGTACACCATTTTGGCCATCTTCTTTGCTCCTGCTCGTGGAGTAGTACAAACTTTTCTCTGGCGGTGGCGGAATATTTTTCTCGAGCTGGGAGTGGTACCATCGGCGGACGTCCGCCGCTGGCAATCCACCATCCGGGTGAAGAAGACATGAGATGTCCAACAACCAGGTCAAACTTACCAAGGTGGCAAGGAGGATCTGGATAATACGGGATAAACGACTCACAACCACCATCATGCTCGTGCGATTCTGCTACTGCGATTCTGCTGCGTTGGTTGTGAAGAGAAAAAAAATATGAATGCCTATGGTGTCCAGACGACAGAAGTTTATAGTTCGTAATTCTATGCCCGAGGTTTGGGCGTCATCTTTACAGAGAGAGACCACATCAAACTACCTGTTATTCAATATTTTTGTGCAATTACTACAGGTCGTTGGACCATTTTCATGCCGCATCGGTCAGGTTCATACACCCACGGACCTGCACCATATTAACATCTCTAATAGATGACGATGAGAAAGATCATGGGAACATAAGCATGCGATTGCGAATGGAAAATTGAGTCAAACAAAAATATGCTCAAAACGGGCACGGCCACGGCCACGGGTCAAATGAGGGTGACGAATAAAATATTGACATCCTATCAATGGATCAAAATCAATGTGATTGTCGCTGAAAGAGAAGTCACGCCGTCACAGCCGGACGGTAGCATCTTGAGTTGACACGTTCACCATGACCGACGAGGAGATGCTTCAAATAAACCAAGACCCTACTGCGATCTTCATCTTTCATTTTTCCGACGAACTGAAATGCCGGCTGCCTCCTTCCTGTGTATTACTATCAGTTGCAAGAACTAAAATTAAATTTTTTCTTTCTGGAAAGAGTGTCAGACGAGTTTTCCGGTGCTGGTAGTCGTAAGTAGGTGATCTTCATCTGAACAAGAAACTCAGCTTCTACTGCCATATTGCAATTAGCTGCAACAAGTCGCCCCCCTCAGTACTGTAGGTAACGAGCGTTCGCTTCGATAATGATGCTCATGCTGCGCATTCTTCTACATTACATTTTACATAGCTGAGTGCTCTGATTCCCGGATCCGAAACACTTTGCAGATACTGCTAAACACGATCACTGACTCCTCATACAAATGGAGCATTCCGACCGACATCATAACTAACACGCCTTTTTGTCGCGCAGCTATAATTGATTCGGAAATAGCAAAGTTTCCGGCACAAGAAGAACTGTTTGGGGCTCGCGCCACTGTGTAGGCACAACGGCGCGGAAATCTACTGCGCATAACATAATATAAAAGAAGTAAGTTGTAGTACTGGTACTGCATTTCAAACTTTCCGGCAGAGGAAGAACTATGATCAGCGCCAATGCATTTCTACTGATTCCGCTTGTTGTTGTTACAGAACTATCATTATACACGTGTAGAAAAGAGGGCGATAAACTTTTGTTGATAGCTGGTGTGTGATCACCTGAAAACTTGCATCCGCGCGCCTTTTGGAGTCGCTAACGATGCTCGTCTGGATCGCCAAGGGCTCAGAGGTTCTTGAGCTTTTTCGTTTTCACCGCTCTCTTGGTGCCATTGAGCAGCACCTGCAGGGCCGTCTCGAACAGAATCTTCTTCCGCAGCTCAAGTCGAAACAGCCGTTCTTGCAGAACCTGTTCGAGGAGCGGCAGAAGCAATACCCGGACAAAGTAGCGCGCGGCCCCGTGGCGAATGTCCTTTTCATCCTGTCGAGGAGCGGGCACCTGCAAAAATTTGTTGTCTAGTCCCATATGGCTTCGGGAGGCCATGACGAACTGTACGAAGTTCTTGCGCTTTTCGACTTCTTGGAACATGGCGTCGACGATGCTAGGAAGTTTGGTCTTCTCCTCTTGTTCCCACTCAGCCGTTCCGGGGACAAATCGCTCCTCCAGGTAAAAGTGTGACTTTTTCTATCCCATAGAAAAAGACAGGCACGGCATAGCTTTAATGCGAAAATAACCTAATCGAAAAGACCGGTATGGCGTTCTGTTTATGGTACACAATACAGATTCTTTGTGTGTGTTGATTTTTGCGTGACAAATAGGCTTTGCTTGTCTTTTTCTGCAGGATACTTGCCAAGCATTCACGTTCGTCCTCACCTCCAGCTCCCCGCGGAGTTCGTCGGCCGTCCTCGTATATCCAATGCAAACATGTCTGGGTCTAGAACAAGGATGCAAGGATTGTCATCCGCATTTTTCATGACAGCTGATGCCTGTGATGGACGCCCCAGCATCACAGATTGTTTGATGGCGTCTTGCTGCCTATATTGCATGACAAATACCCTCTCCGCGTAACAAAAACTGGATTCCTCTTGCTTCTCATGCGATATAGACTTTTTTTCGAGTCCACAGGCCCGCGTCACAAGCTGCATCCTTCCAGATCCAGACATATTTGCGCGTGATATATCATTGCGCGACTGAGCGTTGTGGAGTACATCTAGCTGACGCAGGGCGGTTAAAAATGTGAGTCCTCGACCGGGGGGCACCTGCCTGCTTCCCCTGCTTCCAGTACGCGAAGATGGAAACATTGATGCAGGTGCGTCGCTGAGCCATTGATTCATTTCATCACGCATTTGGTCACGTTTTCCACCGCGCAGAAAGCCATGGAAGGAGCTTCCTGGTGGACGAGCGGCTGTCCGTAGTCTTCGTGGCTCTGGGAGGAAGGCGCTCAGCAACCAATCGCGCAGTTTCTCGCGACTCTCCAGCCCTGTGAGGTAGTCCTGAGCCCAAGCCGCGCATCCAGCCTCACCAACCACAGTGCACAAAAGGGACTTGAAGCGGTCCCCTAAATATGCGATGATCTCGTCTCTGCTGGCGTCTTCGTTGTGTTCGTCAAAAAGCTGCTTCGCGTCCTTCCGGTACCGGCTGATCGGATCTTCTGCGTTCTTCTTGCCGTCTTCGCTCATGGTGATAGAAATGGCATCAGGAGGAGGAGTGTTCGCTGGATAGGACTCGCGCAGTTTTGACGCAAAAGCCTGGACGTGTTTCTCTCGCTCCGCCTCTGTCCACGACGGACGCAACATTCGCTGGACGCGGATCGCACAACCGTACTTGTGCAAAAAAATGCCCAAGCTCTTTTCCGACGGGTCGAACAGCCAGTCTGTAGTCAACTCGTAAAAGCTTGTCGGTTTATCGGGATCGTCTTGTTCCTCATCAAAGTCCTCTTCTCCGGCGTACAAGTTCGGCCTGTCTGCGCGCTCCCGCATTGCTTCAACATGTTCGTCGTCCTTCCGCGTAAGAAAAGCGAGATCTCGATTTTCGTCCCGCGTCAAGTCAGGGTCTCTTTTGTTTTGCGTGTAGCTCAACATGAAGTCGTACTCAGGCCGGAAGAGTACAGGCGCCAAATGTTCGCTGTACCGTTCTACATCCTGTTTGTAAGCGAAGTTAATGCGGGGCATGTTGTCCCCCCCGCCAGCAGGCCCAGGCGAAATCTCCTCCTCCGGCTCGTAAGGCCCCGGCAGCATCTGCCTCTCACTTTCGCGCCAAAGCGTCTTCATCGAATCTAGCAAGTACTTCCCCTTGTGCTCCTTCTCCAAACTTCTTTGCGAAGGGGAATTCTTCAAAAAATACATCCCGACGTCCGCAGACGGCTCGATCGTGAGCCGATAAAGCTCTTCCATCAGTTCGATCCTGTGCTGAATTTGGGCATGCGTTGACTCGTGCTTCCGAACCATATTGGCGTTGGCGCCCAAGACGTCAACGTAGCCCTGCGAAAACTGGTCCCCTTGTTCCCTCGCGTAGTCAACAAGGGAACCGTAGGCGAACAACAGCCCGGCACGCCGCTCGTCGTCGTTATTAGCATCTTCATCTTGTATTTGTGGCTCGGGATCGGGAAATAGTTGTTGGTCGCAGACGAGATGCTCCGCATTTTTTTCGACACTTTTTTCACTCTCCTCGGCGCACGTATTCGGAAACATTTTGCTGACCCGGTTGTAAAGCCGCGAGTGCTTAATGATGCGCGCGATTTTGCTGCCACCTAGCGGGAAAAACGAGGTGACCACGCGCCCCACTGGATCTTTTGGAAGCCCTTGAGCTTTATCGGAAAAAATACTCTTCATCCTGTTCATGAACTTAGACGCTGGCCCCGAGCGTGGGGGAAGCTCCTTCATCTTCAGGGCACCGTAGAGTTGTTCTACCGCCTCGCGATGCGCAGCAGCTAGTTCTCCTGAAATCGCCGACTTCAATGCAGCCAGCGAGTCTGGAGCAGCGATTGGGCCCCACTTGACAACAAGACTTGACCGTCCCTGGCTCCGCGTCTTCGCCCCCACGTCGAGAAGCGCCGATCGCCACAATCCACCAAAGCGTTCGGTGAACCAGTCGAGCGGCCGATCCCCGTCAACCAAGGGAGCCTTCGTCCGAAACGAAGGCAGGGCCGCCGGTGTGGCTTCTGAAGTAACCAAGGCATGACCCCCCGCGATGTCCAGCACCGGCTCTGTCATGAGGGCGCCACCTGCACGCCCGATGAAGTCGGTGCGGGCGCCATCGACGTTGTGCATTGCAAGTTTTTTCTGTCCTCCTCGCTCAGAACAACTTTGAATTGCTGATTGCCCAACATGATATGTGTCACTGTAACTAAACTTCTCTCCTTGGAAAATCGGACTCGCAGACGAAGAGTCTCGGCTTTCCTTTCCCCGCTCGGTGACAGACGAGGCCTGTGGCTGCACCCGAACCGCAAACGCAAAAGGCGAACCAGACACAGGCATACCGTCTGGCTGGAAGACATCAAACGACAAGGCCGTCATCAGAAACTGCAAAGACAAGATTTTTGTGATGGATGCCTTTCGCCCACTCACAGGGCTGCGACTGTCTTGTCCCTCCATTTTTTTTTTGCTGAAGACGACAAGAAATGGAAATCAACAGCTGAAAATCTATAATATAATTGGTTTGTGAGAGAAAGAGAATGTAGTCGAGCAAACTTATACTTATACTTGTACTAGTACTTTTACGAAATTCTACAGGTATAGCTATACGTAGACCTAGACACGGCAGAAGGAGATATGGGCTACGACAAGTTAATCTGTTAGTTATACGAGCTAATATGCTCCTCTAGCTCTGGCAGCGATCTTAAAATTCAGCTGGGCGAACTTATGTGATCTGCTAGGCTTCCTTTGCAGCTTAAAGAAGCATTATTTCTTTCTTTCTTTCCGTGCCCGGGCACGGCATCAAATGTTCAAGGCCCTAAAGGAGCATATTTCTTTCTTTCTTTCTTTCTGTTCGTGCCAGGGCTTGGCGTCAAAGGTTCAAGGCCCTAAAAAATCCTCTTGGTCCACATTTCAGATTTTTCTCTTGATCATTTTGATCTTCATGAAGATAATTCTCATTCTTGATAAATGCGCGAGACCGAGCTCCTGGACAAATTCTGAGGAACTTTCCACTGAGTAGTCCTGCTTCGTCACTTTCTCGGGAAAGCCATCATTTGCATTGGATCTTTTGTCGCCTGATCGTGTTCGTAACTGGATGTTTTTCGATTCTGTATGATCTGCGAGGATCATGTTCTCCCATTCATGGATTAGTAGAGTCTACTGTTGAACCGTGTCGTACCTCGTAGGCGAAAGGAGTAGATCAAATGACCTGTATAAAGTGGTAGAACACAGTGGGTATATCTTTGGCTCCTTCCCGAAGACGAGTTTTTTCTGACCTTCCGTTGATGTTGAGTTGAAGCTACGTTCATCAGGACCAAAATGTAACATCAAGATGTTGGCGTGAAACATCGCGCTCTTTGTCTTTATCGTTTGACCTAATTTTCCCCTGAAGGTGCAGACGTGAGACTGCTGAACAAGTATGGGCATGTGCATGTAGACGGACTAGAAAAATCTTTTCGCGGTACGTTAATATCTAATATTTCAGTTTTTTTTTTCACGACAGCACTGAGGCTGCCGCCAATCTGCAGTGCTCGTGATCTTATCGCTTACTTATTGTCACACGTAGGGAGGTAGTATACGAAAAAAAAATGAAGTAGCATGTTATTGGAAGCTGCAAGTAGAGGTTTAAATAGAACCTACTCGCCGCGGCCGCGTAAGCTACCAAAAAAAGAGAATGACACCAGTCACGCACAAGAGAAGCAATACTGCTTGACCCGTCTCGTAGCTCGTTGCACAGAGGAGCTCATGATTCTTCCTTTCGTTCTCATGATGTTCCACATCAGTGGCTGCGTTACTACTGTGCTCTTGTCCTGCTCTTCCACTTCCACGTTCGGAAAAGTTCCGGCTAGAAGATTCCTCTAGACGACACGACGACGGTAGTTGTACTATTTTCTCCGCAGGCGTGTTGCCTAACGACGGAGAGGCACGGGACGAGGACGAGGCGTTCAATTCTGGCGAGGCGCTGGTGCGATGCACCACTACAGTTATGGTGTGACCGAGGTCACTACAGGACGTGGTTGCCAGGTCCTCGCGGAGATGATCGCCACTGTCGGAGCGTTTCAACGAAGAGGAGGTTGGCGCGCCAATGGGCTCCGGATCTTCGTCTTCAAAACTGGAGTAGCCACTCTTCCGCTTGGTCACTACGGGCGAAGAGTGGATATTACTTCTCGAAGATGACGAACTGGAGCGACGAGACATCAGATTCTTGCTCCGCGTGAAGAAACTCAGGTTGCGCCGGCTGGGACTGGTCCCCTTCTTCCGCGACAAGCGCAGCACCGAGTACACTGTTCTGCCTTCCAGCTGCGAGGTCGAGGGCGGCTTGTCACGGAACAGCGTGACGGACAGGAATACCATGGTCAAGAGCGAAAAGAGGAAGAGCTCCGTCGAAAACCAGAAGAAGCGCTCACATATCCACCAGCTGTCCTGCAGCAGAGGACTGGTAAACGTGGTAGTTGTTGCGTCAGCGGCCGCTCCAGGCGTCGTTCCCGAGAGCGTAGTGCTGTTCGTCACGGTGGTCGTTGGTTCTTCATCCCCCGCTCTGCTAGTTTCGCTGTCTTGTTCTGTGTCTCGTGCGGTGCAGACATTGTTCCCGCCATACGACAGGAACACGATCGACCGGGTGGCGAAGCGGATACAGCCGATCGCCGCGCCCAATAGCAGCCCGGACAAAGCCCCCTCGGTGTTCACGACGGAGGTGAACATCCCGCACAGAAACAGCGCCACCAAGGGGGGCATCAGGTGCCCCATGATCTCCTGGGCGTAGAGGTAAAAGCTGGTGTCGGAGCGGGTCACCAAAGGGAGCATGGACAGCGTTAACAACGTCATAATCACCTGCCACACCTTCCCGGCGTACACGCACTCTTTCTCGCTGGCGTGGGGCCGGTAGTGGCGGTACAGATCCAGCGTCACCAAGCTCCCCGCCGAGTTGTAGATGGACGAGAGCGACGACAGCATCGCGGCCAGCATGCTCGAGAGGATGATGCCCTTGATGCCCACGGGGAACTCGCGCAGGACGAGCAACAGGTAAGCCTTGTTCGCCTCCCGAGGGTTCGACAAGTCCTCGGCACACCACTTGGAAGATCGCGGCGCGGCGGGGGAGCTAGGTATAGAAAGTAAAAGTTTTTGTTCTGATAGAGGTCATGGTTAATTAGGCGGATCCTTCTGATTCTGTTTCTGACTATGCGTCATTTTTCCAAAAAGAGAAAATGTGGAAAGAGCCCAGTCGTACTAGTTGTATCTATACCTTTCCCTGCAGTTGAATTCGTAAAGCGCCCTGGCGACCATCCCTGGGAAGCAGATCAGGATGGGGGAGAACATTTTGAGAAGCCCGGCGAAGAGCACGCCGCGGCGGACGTGGTAGCCGGACTTCGCAGAGAGGACCCGCTGGATCATGAACTGGTCGAAGCACCAGTAGTACAGCGACACGCAGATGATGCCGAACAGGGGCGCTGGGGCCTCGTAGGGCCCCTGGTCCCGCCAGACGTGCAGGAAATACGAGGGCACATTGGCGCCGAGCGTGGTGTCGTGCTTGGTGTGCAGCGTGAACAGCGCCACCGCCAGGCCGACGATGCCGCCCGCGAAAAAAATCGTGAGTTGCACGGCGTCCACGATCATCACCGCCCGGAGCCCGCCGAGGATGGTGTAGAGAGAGCACAGACCGATCAGCAGGACAGACCAGAAGTACACGGAGTACCAGGTACCGAGCGGGAAAAACACCTCGAACAGCAGGGCGCCGGCGTAGAGGGTCATGACTGATTTCGTCGTAATGTAGGTGATCAAGCAGAGAACCGCCAAGCCGCGCCGCAGTCGCCCGTCAAACCGCCCCTCGAGGTACTCGCCGATGGTGGCGATTGGGTGCAAGGTGGATTGGACTCTGTACGAATTGTCCTTGTGCGAGTCGTGAAGGTGGTAACTGCGACTTTTCCCTTCGACTCCGCGCACCAGTATCGGGCTACCGTTTCTGATTGTAGCATGATCTTCATTCTGCAACACTCCGAATGATCCACCGTCAACAAAAGCAGTAGAAGAGGATGTGTTCGTGATTCTGCCCGTGATTGTTGCTTTTGTCGCTGCGGTTGAGCTTGAGCTACTGGAGCTTGTGCTGCTTTTCCGTGGTGCCGTTGGGGACGAGGAGTCACTGCTCGCGGTTTCCGGGATGACAGCATTGGCGTCCGCCAAAAACATGAAACTTGAAGTGCCTTGCCTTTGCGTTTTCTCAAGAATCTTTGTATTTGTTCCCGCTCCAGCACTGGGATCAAATCGAAATGTGTTGTCTTCTTCCAGTTGAATCTCTTGCATCTCAATATGAGTCATCTTCAGCACGCCTTTGCTAGTACTTGCAGTCGCAGTTCTACTTCCGGAAGGCATCATACTCGCTGGGGACGGAGACGATCCAAAACTGTGGCTTGTTTTTACCTCGGGGGACTTGATGTACTGTAACTCTTCGGTCGTCTGCTCGCGAAGGGTTCCCGCGCTGGTACTAGGCGCTGAAAATTCGGTAGTGGAGCCGGTAACGCCACTCGTGCAGTAGACTGGGTAAAAGACGTACCCCAGCAGAACGATCAGGTAGATTGGCAACCACTCGTGAAGCGCAACGGCCAGTCCGTCGTACGCCGCGGTTCCCGCCATCCCGACAAAGTGTTCGGCGCCGATATTCGACGCAAATAGAGACGCTCCCACCAGGTACCACGGCATCGCGCGCCCAGAGAGAAAGTAGTCTTCGGCTTCGTGTTCGTCCTCCTGGTCGTCTTTGTTCTTCTTCTTCGACGAGGAAACGTAAAATCCTACACCCAAAGCGCCCACAAGAGACATGGCGACGATGAAAATATCCAGCGCACCCAGGGCGGGGGAATCGTCACCAGAAGCTTGTTGATCAGACATGGTGAGGCTGGTCGAGGGTTGAGATCGTGGTGTTTCCCTTGATGGCTCCGTCTGCTACAGCAACAGATACGACGAGCTCTGGGGGCCGCTCTGCATCAATAGCATGGTACTGGAGGCAATAATGTATGTTGAAAATAACCTACTATTTCCGCGGGCCTGCTCCTGCTCGAAGCGCGATGCAACTCCTACACACGGTAAAACGAGACGAAAACACACTAGCACACACGCCCATAATCCAGAAATACAGTGCCAAAACCGATCTCGACGCCACGGTCTAGATCTTTGGCGGCGTTGTAGTTGATGCACTTGGTGTCACAACCACTAGTTGCAGATGATTATCATGACAACGTCGATTTGGGAAAGACAAAGAGTAGTACTACGCTTGTAAAAGCAGGTGCCTCACATCGCAGAAAACGCAAAAACGCTCTGCAAAGGTCGCTCCTGATAATGCTAATTGCGTCCATATTTTTTCTGTGTTCCTAAAGTTCGCTGTCGCTCAATAATTTCTGTGCTCCTAATGTCCGTCGTGCGTATTGTACTGTCGCCAGCAGTGCGAGTGACTCTCGAAAACACTCAGTCGAGCAGAATTTCCGTCTGCCAGAACATGCCGCTCGACGTCGCACACACAAAACACTCACTAGTAAACTGAGATCCACAGTAGACGTACAAGGCGAAATCCGTTGCCCCGGAGCCTTTGTCTTCCCTCTTCTCCGAACCAAGACAAACACCGTGTGGTAGATGACCCAAAAAGAAGAAACAATAGACCGTCCTGTCCCGGGCTGCACCCGTTTTGTTTTTGTCCGACAAAGTGCGTATAAAAAGGAATCGCCGGCCACATGGAGGCCATCGTACAAAACCGCATGCCAGCGCGGAGGCGGCAACATCCGCCAGATTTTATCCACCAAGTACCAATAACAACGGCTGGAAGTGCTAGTGCTTTTAAAGTAGCTATTTGCATGGGCTTCACATGTCCTGTGCTTGTTTTCTCCTTCTCGTGCGAAGCTGACATAAAAATTCTACAGAAAAAATGACATCGACAAGTGGCGCAGAAGATACAGAAGAGTTACAGGTGAAACAAGTTGTAGCGTCACCACGAAGATCGAAATTGTTTTCAGATTTACGTGTGACAACTACATCCAAGAGAAAGTGCGAGGCATCATGAATCAGAATCATTTCTCCCGTAGTTTGGCCAGATACAACAAGCTTCTTCTAGCGCGGTGGTCTGACACGACTGTGTTGAACGAAGAAGGCGTCCAGCTGCTGGAGAAAATCGGGGTTGCACGCAGTGTGTCGAAATCTCGATCGCAGCCAACCGGAGATGTCCCCGGCAACGCGCGGAGCGTTGTAACGGTGATCCAAGAGAAGCAAAGCGGCCCAGTCATTCTTGTGCCTGATCGCCCGCCCGATGCACTGGTTTACGGCCTTCATACACCGCATCTGGTAATAGTCTTTTCCGCACAGCGGCGCGGACGCGTGACTAGGTGGATTCGGGCTTCCAGTGGCGGCGCTAGAAGAAGTAATGTCCGCAGGAGCAGAAGAATTTTGGCAAGAATTCGAATTCGTCTGGTTGTACAACTCGTGGTGACTCCGGACGCGCGCATCCAGGAACTTCATTTTCTCCTGCAGAACCGGGTCCTGCGGGTTGGGGTACGGCATCCCAACCACGCAGACGCAGCGGCACATATCGTCTTTGAAGTTGATGCCCTCGCTGACTCGCCCGCCAACCACCGCAAAGAGCAGGCAGAGTTGCTTTCTTGTGTGCGCTTCGAACTCCTTCAGCATTGCATCGGCAGACTCTCCTTGTTTCTCAACAAACACGTAATGTGCGGATTCATCACTTCCAACTACTGCCGGTTTGTTCTGGTGTGTGGAGCCAAGTAGAGCAGCAGCTCGACCAGTAGCTGCTGATGTTCTTGCAGCCTGGTTTTTTGAAGGTGCGTGCTGCCGCATGTTTGACTGGTAGAAGCCTTGGGCAAACTTCTGCATGTAATCGAAGCTGGGAAAGAAGACGACCATGCCACAGGTTTTCGGCCCCGACCGGCGCAGGCTGCCCTCGATGGCCTGCAGGGTGGCGTGTAGGCCTCGAAGCATGTCCTGCTGTAGCCGGCGGCTGGCGCGAAAATCCAAGGGAAGGTTGGTGCACGAAGATCCCTGCTTCGACGACGCATCGAGAACGCCCATAGTTGTTGATGGTGTGTGTGTCAACATTCGCGCAAACGTGTTTTCCACCGGGACAATGTGGTCAGCTGCGGTCTCGAAGGTCCTCGAGGCGCGGTCGCGGAGCAGCGCGAATTCCGCGCGAGGCTCGAGCGTACCGGCGACGAAGAGCACGGTTTTTGCCTCGCGAAGAAAGTCAAAGAGATGCGACTCGACGTCGAGATTCAGAATTTTGATCTTCTTGTTCTCCGGCCCGGCATCAATCAAGATTCGGTCTTCCGCGGCACTGAAGACCAGAGCGTTCAAGAGCTCCACGAGGTTGTAGATGCCGGAAAGCTGCTGATTAGTGCCTCCTGTGTCCGCTCCAGGGGGACCACCTCCGGCGGGGAGTCGTTGATGCCGCAGGTGGTCCGTGTTATTTGTGGTTTGCCGAGAATGCCACTCAGCGAAGCCGCGCAGTTTGCGACACAATTCTCTGGCCTGGATGAAATGCAGCAGAGAACTCAAGTCTTCGGACTCCAGCTCAGAGACTAGCATGAATTTCGCAATGGTCAAAATTTTACTCGTCGCGGCCGAGGCCGTGGGCGGCTTCTTGTTCCCCGTCGGCGGAGCAACAACAGATGTGCTCGCGACGGCGCCGCGACCTGGAGGTGCTTGTTCCATTGCCCAAACGTTGGATGGGGATAACAGCTTATCTAGGACGCGTTTCAAACTAGCCACCCCTGCTTTGGTATCTTCGCCGAAAACCGGGGTGTATTTCGTTTCGTATGCTGCCAAGTAGTCGCGCGTTTTTTGCAGCGCCAAGAAAGAAACCTGGCAGCTGTGCGTGTCGCTGCAGGCATCGAAGACATTGTGCGCCTCATCGAAAACGACAATGTTGTTTTCCAGCCGGAGCGACAAAGCCTCCCGCGTCTTGGGGTGCAAGATACAGGAGTAGGGCACGAGAATGAAGTCCGCTTCCTCCACGGCCTCTCGAGCCCCATAGTAGGCACAGGCTTCCAGCTCCTTTGCCTGCGAGACAATATCCTGTGTCGATAAAATCTGGGTCAGAATTTGGTCCGTGACCAATTCGCTCTTCGCCTTGTACTTGCAGCCCTTCCGGTCGCGCAAAGACTGACACGCTTCGTTGCACTGCGCAGCGTTGGTTTTGGGAATGGCCGGGTTGCAACAGCCATGGATTCGAGAGGCAAGGCTGACGACGCGCAGGGGCGGCTCGTCTGTCTCCTCATTGTTTCGGTGAGACACAAACTTCGCAATCTCCTCGGCAAACTGCGAGAGCTGGGAATGCGTGCGACTGCACACGATCACCTGGAGCTTCTTCGCGCCGTTGAGGTACTCGTTTTTTGTGAGCTCGTCTGCATCTTCGTCATCCTGTGCCGCGTGTGTCGTGCGAGATCCCGTATTTCCTCCGGCGGTGTTGGCCTTGAGCTTTTTCTGGAGCAGGTACGTGGAAGAATACTCCAGCGAGAATTGCGCGACATCCGGCTCCTGCTCCTCGTCCGCTGCAGGGTTCTTGCGGTGTCGCTTAGCGGTGCGGCGGGCCGCCTGCTGCTGATCCCGAAAGTACGTTCCTTGTCCCAAAACAAAGGCTCCTGCGTCGGAACAATCTTTTCGCAGCTCCTCCTCGTGTCGCCGCTGCAACCGCTGCAGACGCGCCTCGTGGCTCCTACGGAAGGCGTTCTTGGTATTCTCCCACTTTTCGACCAACATCTTCTGTGCGTGTTGCTTCACCCACAGGGGTTGACCGTCGTCGGTTTCGTTCGCTGCGGGGAAAGAGCCACTGAAGAGCGCGGACCTGTTCTTTGTGCCGCCACATTGTAGTCCTTCTTCGGTCGCAGAGTTCGAATTCTTGGAGGACGTAGGTGCAGCAACATGCGGTGGCGTGCGATTCGCTTGGTCGAGGAAGCTGACAAGGCCGCAAACGAGAGACATTGTTTTCCCCGTGCCCGTAGGTGATTCAAACAGCCCCAACGTCGCTTGCTTCCGGCAGGTGCTGTCGTGTGGGTCCTCGGACACATCGATAGAGCGGCCATATCCACAGGCATCTACAATGGTATTCATCAACTCCACCTGCAGTGGGTAGGGCGGGTAGGGGAAATCGTACGGATGCTTCGACGCCACGGCTTCCATTTTTGCGGGGCTGAAACTAATGGTTACTAAGTAAGTGCTAGTGCGAGAATCTTCAGACGAGACGAGATCCAAAAACACAGCTATGCGTAATCATGTACCACAATCTCAGTCACCGTGCTGTCCCCTCACTGCAAAAAAGGGAAACAATGCAGACAGGGCGCAGCGACGGCAATTAGAAGATATTCTTTGCTGCACATCTTCGAAGCCATCGCGCTCAAAACCCAAAATAAATATTATTTATTTTGGTCATCACCGCTTCACGTGTCTCACGCGTGAGACCGGCGGGGGGCCGCCCGCCGATCTCACGCAAAGCCAGCAAATCGCGCTGGGGGATCTGCTGGCTTTGCCTGGTCGGTCCGCTGCCCCCCCCCCCCGTCGAAGCGGGCTGGCAAGATACATTAGTCAAGAAAGTATCACTCTCGAGCAGCTTTTTTGACGCTTCCCATTGCCAGCCACGCGCCCGCAGTAACAACTGGCGCCAGCTCGGTGACTGTGAGGCGCATGCGACTGGCATCGGGGCCACCTTATCTATAAAGCGACGAACAGCGTCGGTGGGAATATTACATAGGGCGGCGCTGTGTGTTTCTGTTTTTTGGTTGGTGGGTTGCGTTGAGAATCAACGCAGAGCCTTCGCGGCATTGATGCAATTTGCGCGGGGCCTCTTCTATCGGTTTCAGCGAAGGCGCGGGCCGCAAGGCTGCGTGTGTCTGTTGCGTTAGTTACTAGGCGAAGCGGCGCATGCAGCAAGTGGTGCGCATACTGTGTGCTTCGCTGAATGCCCAAAAGCAGAACGCGTTGCGCGCATGTGCAAAAAATACAGCGGCGCGTGATGGCTTGAAAAATTCGCAGCAACAAAAAAAGCCTGCCACTTTGTTCCAACTCGGCCGATCATGGCACTATCTCCATTGATGCGCCTTTTTATTCCAACTCGGCCGAGCCGTTGGAAGTGGAACGGCCGACAAAGAAAAGCCAGCCGCGGATCCCAAGCCGGGATCTGCTGGCTTTGCGTGAGATCGGCGGGCGCCCCCCCGCCGGTCTCACGCGTGAGACACGTGAAGCGGTGTGACCCCACCCTAAAGCGGATCTCGACGCAATATCAGCATCGACTGGCAGCGGCTTTCACGATGTTTCTGTTAAATCATGTAACCTCCAAAAACTACACGTCGGCACTGCCGCTTCGATTTGCCGATGGACCTTTTTGAATTTCGTTTTTATCTTCCATCTCACAGGTGGTCGTGGCAATCTATTCGTAGAATACTACGCACCCAAGTACAAATCAATAAGAGAAACGCAAGCAACAGCGGAAATATCAATGCTCTCATGGAAGATCGGACACTGACACACACGCACACACACACAAGAAACATATGTATGGATACATTCATGTTGGAGAACACACAATAGCAATATCTATGATGTACACAACCGCAGGCGTTAAGTCATCACCTAGTGTGGTAAAGTTTGTAGTAAGAGTAGATTAGGGCCGAGCGCGAGCGCAGTAGCCAGCACGCTGACGAAGCGAAGCGGCCGCAGAAATGGCCGGCACCGAGCGGGACAGACACCGACCGACGTGGCACGTTGCGGCCGGGCCAACAGAAATCACAGCGCGCCCTCCGTCCCCTCCAGCCCTCGCCGCTCACCTGGCGAGGCAGGCGGGCGGCCTGCCGACGCGTGGCGTTCGGATGGCGTCCGGAAAGAATGCGCGAAACACGGCGGGCACTCGCTCCCCCCCCTTCATAGCAAAAGAACAAGCCCGCTGCCCGGTCTCCCCCGGGCGCCGCCCACTGCCTGGAACACAGCACCCGGCGGAAGCAGACAGGGGCCCGGGGGGCGCAGCCGGGGTAATTTCCGCCAATCCAGCGGGCGCGCGCGCGTCTGAATTGGCAGGCCAGACACAGGCGAGGCGGGCGCCCCACAACGTAGCAGCCGCGCCGCAACCTGGCGCGCACGCTGCGCGGGCCCCACAAAGTTTTGCGGCGTAGGAACTCCGTGCAGCCGCTGCGCGACCTTTTCCACAGGGAGAGGCGGGAGCATTGGTGGTTCGACTTCTTGAGTTTTTGCTGTAAGTTGAAAAACTTGGGCGCCACCCGGGGGCCCTCCTGGGTCTTGTTGACCTGGTGGAAGTCGCCCGGCACCAGGGCCGGCCCCTTTGAATCGGCGGCCGGCCGGGCCCCCTTCCTCTCCCGATAGGCCGGGCGGGCGGCAGAGTGAGGAAGGCCCCGGAAGAAGGAAACAAGGGCGGCCACAAAGTAAGCGGCACGCGGGCCCGCGGGCTGTCTAGATAGCGGGCCGCTACGGAGCGCGCTTGCTGCGATAAATGTCGCGAATTGCGCCACCCCGCGAGCTGTGCTGCGCTTCTGCAGGGGGAAACCGTCGCCCGGTCGGGTTCCGTTCCCGGCTTCCGCTTTGTCGGGTGAGACAAATTGCGGGCCGGGTAGTTGTTCACGCCCCGGCCGCGGAAGGATCCCCGGGGCCCTCGCCTTCGTTCGATCGCCCGAAGCCTCCCGGCCCAAAGCGCCCGCAGGGCCCGCGCGCTACGGACAGAGGTGGGCAAACTAACAGGCCCAACGCCAGGGGCCCAACATCTGCAAAGCGCCCGCTGTATCAGCTTGCGCTTCCGCAGTGCGGCGCGCCTGGGACGAGGCGACATGCTCCAGGTTCTGGCCCATGTGAACCTGGGCGCACTCGCTTGCCTGCGTGCGAGGGCTCTGAGCGGCCAACGCGCATCCTCGCTCCTTCACCCCCATGACACAGGCGGGGAAGGGGGGCGGACAAGTTTGGGCGCACCCTTCGGGGCCGCTATGCCCCTGCGCCCTGTTACCCTCCGAAGCAAGCCGGGAGATCTTCGCCCGCAGGTCTTTGCTTCGCCTTCTTAAATCGGCACAACACTCGGCAGCTGCTGGCAGTTGCTCCCGGGAACTTCCACAGCCGCGCCAATAAAGAACACCCCCACCGGAGTCCAAATCTCCACAGCCTGGCGCGCGTACTCCCGAACGATGAACCCGGGCCGGCGGCAGGGCGACTTCACGGCACGCCCCACAACGGTAACAAACTGCAGGCCGGCGCAATAACCGCCGGAAACTTCGCCCACTGGGGCTCGCTGCGCTGCCTGCCTGTTCCCTGTACGGCCTCGCGCTCGGCCGCCGGCAGAAGAAACCCGGGCGGCCCCAAAAACGCACGGGGCCCAAACGCGTGCGGCGCACCCGGGAAAGGGATGCCCACATTGACGGGGATCGCCCACGGCCAAATTAGCGGGCACCTGCCCCGGGTGTCCAATCATGTACGTGCCGGCGTCGCGGATCTGCACAGCGGTGCACACCGGGGCCATCGTCTACGACTGCCAGCCCGACGACCGACCCCGCGGCGCGGCGGCGCCGCTTGGCCGGGCTTGCTGCGCCGGCCTTGTGACAAAGTTGCGCGCGGCCCTCGTCCAACCCGGGCGGCTGGGCCCAATCCACCAACGGCACCGGGGTGCCTTTCTTGTCAGGAAAAGGAGCAATGATCCGTCAACAGCTGGACCGCCGTTGCTTTTTAGAGGAGCAGCACGTGGTCACGCCGAACGACGCCGGGGAACACAAATCACTTGCACACACACGGCCTAGCCGTGAGTGAGTACATGAACATGCCTCGTGGAGAAGTCTAGTAGAAGAGCTACCAGGCACTCCTTCCAGTTCAGGGTCGCATTTGCGGCGGAATGCCTTCTCTTGGTTACAGTTTTGAAGTCGTCCGTTTCTTGCAAAGCGATGCAGGAGAGGGCACAAATAAAACCAGAATCAACGAAGGCGCATCGGGTCCGCACTACTCACACTTACTAACAAGATATACTCGAGAATGTAGAAGTTAGCTATCATACATGTTAAGCGCCGCATCTGCGTAGCACGAGACATCATGATTGACGCAATGAAATAGAAACTCGTTTAGGTAAACAATCCCAAAAAGAAAAATCGAAACACGTGAGTAAAAATTTGTAGAAGTCCGCCTGCAACTGGGTACTTAGTCAGTTTATCCACTAGTTCGTCGTGCTCCTAGCGGGACTTGGAGATAATTTTCTGATCGAAACATATCAAAGTGTAAACGTTCGAAATAAGTAGTTAATGCGAAACGCAAATAATCGTAATCAGTATCGAACTTCAATCCGTCAGGGCCATGAATTTTAAAAAAATTGCAAAGATCATAGATGATAAGCCTAAGCCTCCTCTTCAACCCGCATCTCCAGAAGGTCCAACGCCGCCCCAGCCGCGCCATAACGCGTGCATGCACGTTAAGGAAAAGGTTGCGCTACGCCTCAGTTTTCGGCTTCTCGTCGCTCAGCTGCCAGCGGCTTCGCGTTCCGCAATTTTGCGTAGAAAGTCTAGTCCTGGCCGGTTCTTCGGAGGTGGATCGGGAGCGGTTACGGTTTGCATGCCGGGCTCGTCGTCAGCGCTACGAGGGAGAAATGACCCTTGAATCGCCTGTGACTGTCCACCTTGTATTCGCCGCTGGAGATATCGGTCGAAGTGTGCTTGACATTCGAGTGACTGTGTCCTCTGGTTACTCGGTGGATCAATGGTACAATTGCTTTCATCATCACTTGGCTTGGGGGTCCCCACGACAAGACCCACTTCGTTCTTCTTATCCTCGTCGTCGGAGGCTGGTGCGTCGCGGGGGAAGTTTCTTTTGGATCGCTTAATCAGCTGAAGATGATCGGCCTCGCAGAACACGAGAGGCACCACGCCGTCACCGACCCCAGAAATGACCCCCGGATGATAGAAAACTGCACTCGTGTTCTTGCTCTCGTCCATTTTTACATCGTCCACAGCACCTGCTGCTGTCGTTTTTTGGCGCCGAGCAGTACTAGGGTCTTGGCTACGTGTCGGATCAGCACAGTGTAGTTGACGTCCGTGAGCATTTGTCGTACTGCTGGAGGAGCCAGCACTTCTCGCGTCGAGCGGGTGGAGATCTTTCATCGAAGCGAAGTGCGCTGTTGTCCTCAGTGCGTCTACTTGCTGACTTCGCGGGTTGCTCCTTTTGATGCGCGTGGAAGCAGCAAACGAGGGCTCGTCTCCAGGAGGCTCGTCCTCGAAAGGAGCTGGGCGTGCTGAGTCATGAGCTGAGCTGTAGAAATCACCCATCGGTTGCGCCGCTTCGCGGAACTTCTGGTCGGCATTGTTCAATGACGGATCCAGATCGAGATTTCCTGCTGGTACTTTGCTTCTTTGTCTACTAGCCGCACCAGCATCTGCTGCTGCTCCTGAAGTAGAGTTGGAGCCGGGTACTTCTTGCGTTATCCCGTCACGACCTAAGGATGTTGCTGTACATTGTTTGGATGCTCCGACGGGGTCGACGTCGTCGTCCGCCACGCCGAAGTTCTGAAGCATACTCGCGAAAACCCCGCTCTGCACCATGTGGCTCAGGCTCAAGTCAAACCGCGCAAAACTGTTCCACACGTTGGTTTTCGAACCACGTATCGAAGATAGGAACGAAATTTCTCGTTCATCGTGCTGCGGAGTAGCTCCGATTTCCTGGTGGACTCCTGAGGCTGAGGCATTGACAGGTCCAGCACTTCCAAGGTTATGTTGTGGTCGGCCAGAATTATGTACGTGTTCCAGCAGGGGGCTGCGGAAGTGAAAGTCCCGCACTACGAGAACCAATGTTGCGAGTTCGTTCAAGACCCGACAGACCGACTCTCCGTAGCCGTGTGCGAGCTCAGTGCGCAGCAAATCGGGCGAAGGGCACACTTTCTCGATGGAAATTCGAAGCATGTTCTGAATTTCATGCTCCAGCGCGGATTCTGGTGATCCTTCTTGTCCCGCGAAAGTGTCGCGGCCGCGAAGGGTCTCCACTTGTTCCTCTCCTTCTCGTACAGCTGGCGCGGACAGGTGCAGCACTTTCGTGACCAGACGGCGTAAAAAGTCCGCGACGGCCTGGTCGAGGCTTGTAGAGGGCCAGGATGCGGTGCTGCTTCGTGAGCTGCTAGTTCTCGAGCGCAGCTCCTGTAGCTCGTGCGCAAGACTTTCTACAACAGCGCTGCTGCTTCTCGCCGTCGAGTGACTGGAAAGAAGCTGGCGCAGCAACCACAGCAGGAGGTCCGCGGTAGCAAAAAACTGAGAGTACCGCCCCAGAACGAACTGGAAAGAGCTGCCGCGTTGATGGGAGAGGACACCGCTCCGGTTGGTCCTCGCCGTCGCCCGAGGGAGGCCGTGAGCTGAAGAAGCGGCGGTGGACTTTCGCATGGCTGAGTGCTCGCTTGTCAACATCATGCACGACTCCCCAAGTTCAATGGTCCCTTCTTCGTCCTCACCGTCCAGCAAGTTTGAGGACAGAGCCAGCGACTCTTTCACGTTGAAAACACTCGCCGCGCAGCTGGAAAGCTCGAGATCATCGTCGAGATCATTCATTGCAAGACCATGACCACCGTCGGATGAAGAAACAGGAACAGTCGAAGGTGAACCAGTATCATCCATCAAGAAGAGATAGTGCAAAAAGTGCGGCTGCCGAGCTCTACTCGCTTTTGCTGTCGATTGTCTGGATGCGAATACACTATCGACCGGCGAGGATCTTGATCCATCACAACTTCCGATGTAGCCCAGAAGCTTCAGCTTTTCGCCCAACTCCTCCGCAACGCAAAGCGGGGCGGGGAGCAGCGGATCTCGTGAAACCCCCGAAGTCGGTTCGACATTCCGCGTCATGAGACTAGTTTTCAGATCTGTCGTAGCGGCCTGCTGGAGAAGCGAACATAAATTCATACGTGAGGACGAGCCGTGAGTGGCTACTGGAACTGCGTCCTCAGGAGTTTCGCATGGAAACGGTGGGAGTCGACGCTGTGTGGACGTGGACGAAGATGAGGATGCTTCCACTGTTTTGCCCTTTCGAGGCTCTCCATCGGCAGTTACGTTGTGGGAACCATTTGAGGTTTCGTCATCGTCGCCTTCGGAAGGGAAAGTGTTCGGTTGCGCGTGTTCTGTTGATGCTGTGCCATCTCTGTTTGATGACGAAGATGAAGACAGGGGATGCAGCTGTTTCGGTTGCCCGTCTTGCTCTTGGTCTTCCCGTGTTGGGCCGAGATGAAGATCTCTGAAAAGGGAATCCAGATTGCGATCCGCATCCGCCAGACAAACTGACGAAGCAGTAGCGTCACAAGAAGATATCGGTGGCCGGAGATGATCTCTTACCCCGTGCGGGCCACAACTTTCTTGCAATTGTGAGTTACTCCTGGGTCCTACAGGAACCGGCACAGAGGGGGCAGCAGGGACGTGATGGAACAGCAGTTGCTGCTGTTCCGAGGCCAAGGACGGTTCATCTTGTTCCCGCTCAACAGTATCATCCTGTTGCGAAAAATGCTGCGGACTCGCAGCTCCCTCAATCATCACGTCGTCGTCTGGCGTTACAGCGGCCCAGGCGTTCTGTCTCCTGCTTTCCGCGTTGTGCGTGTGTAAAAAATCCAGATTGTCCCGCAGGGGCCCACCTCTCCTAGTGGTGGCACTCACAGACGGCCGGCGCAGGCAGAACTGATCGCGAATGAAAGATCCGCTTTTGCTCAACTCGGAAGACGCTCCGGAACAACTGCGCGGCCTGCTCTGATGCTTTTCCCGACTCTTTCTCCGGCGGGTCGCACAAGACGACGACGAGGAGGAGCTGGTGCCTCCTCCAGCAGGCTCACCGGGACCACTGATCACACTACACGAACCGTGGCTACTGCGCTTTTTGTCCACGATCCTACTTCGGGTCACTGTACTAGATCGCGGCGAGGTAGGAAGTTTCTCGAGCACGACGAGATTGCCCCGGTTGCTGGAGGCGCTGGAGCAAAAGGACCCCGTTCTGCTGCGGGTGTCAGAAGTGTCCTCGATTGCCATCGGCTGCGGCCGATGTTCTCGCAATGAACCCGTTGTGGTGCCAAAACCCGTGTCCTTTTCCATGTGATGATCGTGATCGACACCTCCCTGTTTTTTCGCTGCTGTTGTGTCGAGCAGCTCCTCTGCAGTCTTGCCGAACGCAGATGCTTCCTTGACTTGTTGAACTTGCTCCACACGCATGTCGACGTCTCCCCTGGTCGTGGTAGCACTACTACTAGCAGTGTCACGGAAACCAGCCGGTCGAGATTGCTCGTTGTCTCGGTCGCTGTTTCGCTCGAGCGGCGCCGTTTTGGTTTCTGCGGTAGAACTACAAGTGTTAGCACTTCTACACGCGGTCGACGGATCCTGGACGTTAGCGTGAAACCTCGTTACAGGCACAGGGTCATGTTCTACTTTTGCTATTCCTGCAAGCGCAGCCTTTGATAGCAGCACGGGCTTCAAGTCGTAGGCCTTCCGTAGCGATGCGAATTCGCGCAAGGCGTCCGCTTGCTCTTCTTGGCCCAAAATCCCGTCAGTTACGCAATGGCGCGCTTGTACTGCGCTAGGCCGTCGCGTGGGCTGGACTTGAAGCATGTCCGTCACCAGCGCGGCAAACGCAGGATGAAAGTCCACGCGCACAGTGGCCGCGTGGTGCTTCAGCTTTTGGTACTCGCCCCGTTGAATGCGCTGGAAAAGCTCGTACAGCGACGCGTTTCCGTTTCCGCCGCTTTTTTTGTAGCTTTGCAAAGCAGGTGGTCCTCCACCAGTAACCAACTGGGCACCAACATCCTCGCCAACTACCGAGGTTGTCGTGGTTAATGTGCGAAAAGGTTGCTTCAAGGTGAGTAGCTCATACAGAACGCATCCCAGGCTCCAAACGTCACAGCCGCTGTTGTAACCTTTGTTGGCTAGGACCTCGGGGGCCATGTAGAGTGGCGTTCCTACTTTCGAAAAGAGTTGCATTTGGTCGCAACCGTCCTCCTCGTCAAACAGAAGTTCATCTGTGGTGTTCCGCGTGCTGTCAGTCGCCCTAAGATTTGCGGTCGCGGGTCGTACCTCGATTTTCCGCGCGAGGCCGAAGTCCGCCAGTTTGCAGACACCCTGCGCATCCAGAAGAACGTTCGCGGGCTTGAGATCTCGATGGAGAACCCCGGCTGCGTGGACGGCGTTCAGCGCACTGGCCAGCTGAACCGCGTACTGCCAAATCTGCGGCTCGGCAAAGAAGTAGTCTTTGTTCACGCAGCGACGGATCCACCTGACAATGTTTATTTTGTTCGAAGCAGACACTAAAAGGAAATACTTATGAGGCGAGAGAGACAAGTAAGTAAGTACTCACAGATGGACATGCACGCAGGATCTTTGGGGAACTTCTTCTACTACCCGCAGGTGGAAAAAACAAAAATAGCAGTCTCCTGCTACGTTCTCTGAGAACGGTTAACAGCATATAATCTTAATCCACACCTCTTCAAATCTCCCAACGCGCAATGTTCCAGTAGGAGGTCCAGAAATCCTTGCGCAGAGAAGTAGCTCGAATACATCTGGAGGACATTTGGGTGTGCCTCCATATGGTCCAGAATGTCGACCTCGGACTGGCGGCCGTTCCGAATTCGTTTCAACGCCGCGTGGGAGCTGGAATCTTCCAGGTTCTTCACGAAGTACACGACGGAAAATTTGCCCCGGCCAAGCACGTTGGCGACCTTGTAGCCATACAACCGGTCTCCTTTCTCCAGGTCTCCCAGTTGCCTGTTCGCTGCTTGATGATGTTGTGCAGTCACAACTCGAGATCGAGGTGGTGGTGGCTGCCTGGGCGCGCTTGATGATGCAGTTGCTGGATGCTGCAGAGGTTGATGGTGCTGGTGCACCAACCGTTGTGCAACATCTTCTCCTTTGCCGAATTCGAGTGCCTGGAAATCGTATGCGTGCGCCGATGTCGTGCTCGATGCGCTCTTCTTGGGCGATAGCGCCAATCTGGCTCCTGCAGAGACGCCAATACTCGCCGTACTTGGCATGCTAGCACACTGGGACGATTACTTACCCCCAACGTGTGTCTCGGGGCCGGCAGAGTTTCAGCAAGTAGCCAAGGTGTGATCGATATCATATACAACACGGCAGCTACATAGAAGTTCAGAAGTTTGTATGGAACTCGCCGGCGCTTCTGACTTCGGTACACAATTGTACCCAGTGGCACATAGCGCGGTATGCGAATGCGGTACCAACTCCAACAGCTGTTTCGTTACACTTACAACAACGAACAATTTCTTCTTCTACACAAACGCATTGATGTATTTCTATTTCATCCTTTGGCAACAGAACTAACACTAAGTGAGTGGATTTTTTCGGAAGACGCGGAAAGGTGAACACGAAGCATTTCGCCGAACGGAAAAGGTGTTGAAGGTTGATCCTTCTTCTTGCCTCTATTTTTTTTTCGCCTTTGTCAGCCTGGCGTTTCAGCAACGGTCTTTCTTTTCAACATAAAACCTGCGCTGACCACAGCAGATAGATCCAACCTATTCAGCAACTAGGAGCCGTAGCCAGGCGGAGCAAAACTGCGTGTCACCTACACGAGTGACTGTGATCATAAATTCAAACACAAACACATCTACAGCTCGCTTGTCTGACTTAGGAATCTTCAGGATCACTGACTACATTCAAGATTTCTTCTTTTAGCATCGCATTCGCATGCTGAAATCAAAAAGTTCCGCTAGACAATTTCATTGACCGTTTTTCATGTAAAATCATGAACTTTTACCTTGAAAAATCCTTTGACTTTCTTTCAATCACAGCTGCGCTGAGGGACGATATTCCGCGACATCAAGCTCATCCTGTTCGTTCTGGTGTCGATGGAACAACAACAAGTGTTGCTGCTATCTGGCTGCGACTGGTGTTTCATCGGGTCCCATCGGAAACCCGCTTTGGCTCATCACCGAGTCGATGTCCTGCCCGTCCAGAATTCGGTTTAGCCGGGCGGTGCGGCCTCCTTCGAGCGTCCGCGGTTTGAACGTGTATTCTTGCAACCTGATAATTCAATTTCAACCACGTAGAGCGCTTGTTCCTTCAGCGAGCCTACAAGGAGGCGGAAGGCAAGGACGCGCTTCGATTTAAGTAGGTAGCTAGAGGCTAGTTGTACAGCTGTATTGTTACCAAACAGAAGTAGACCAACGAAAAAACAAAAAGTTATTGAAGAAAGTACCCATACCTCTTTTCTGCCTCCTGTTCGGCACGAAGCATTCGCCTACCGTCTCGTGTTTCCGACAGGTGAAATGGTCTCGGGACCGTAACGCCGCCGCAGCGCTTTTCCAGGAGACCTGATACATCAAAAGCAAAAAGCTAAAAAATGAATTCGAAAGCATGTCCACGTCCTGACTTCAAAGGCCCATGAAGAATCAAGGACGTTTCTTGCGCGATTTTTCCTTTAATAGGTTCGAAGGTACGTCGATGACAAAAGTAGACGGCAGGGTCTAATCTTGTGTGAATAGTTCTTACCCTTGGTTTTTGCTCCCCAGGCGAGCTCTTGTGCAGCTTTTTCTTCTTCGGCTTTCTTCCGCGCGGCTTCTTTCTGTTCGAGAAACCTGCGTTCATTTGGCCATCTAGGTCGACGTCGGCTTGTGTGCAATCGCGATTTCTTGTTCTTGCGGCGGTAAGCAAAAGCTGCAAGACCACAATTCTACTGCCACAGAGAAGAATCCTATCATGAGTAATGAATTCATGCTGTACAGTCAGAAGTGTAGGAAAAGCAAAAAAATACCTGCTGAGGCCGTTAACGATGATGGGTCCTTGCGGTTTTGGCGGTCGGGTGCCCCGTTTGGGTTTGAAAGTGCAGTTCTTTTTTTCGCTCTCCTCCAGCAGCTTTTTCTTCTTCTCGATCTCGATTTCCCGTCTCCGCTGCGTTTCGGCGATGTTTTGCAGCAAGTTTTCCTTCTTCCGCTGGTCGTAGAGGGACTCTGCTTTGGTTCGGTACTTGGGCCTCACCTCCGGGCGAAAGGTGTAGTTCTTCTTGAAGTCGTCTTCTTTTTCCTGTAATTGCTGCACGAAAACCTCCTGCCGCCGGTTGTTCTCCTTGTACAGCCGTTCGTGGACGGGAATCATATTCCCCTCCGCGTCAAACCCCTTTTGCACGTAAGCCGGAGGAGCTGGATGTACCTCCAATAAGGATGCATCCTCTCGCTCGACTCCCGAGGCCGTCGACTTGTCGAGGCCGTCTACTTCGCCAACCGACACCGACCGCGCTTTATTATTGCCTCGCGGGGAAAATGCCGTCATGGACTTGTTTTCTCCGCCAACTTGACTTTTGTTCATCACCAGCTTGGAGCTGACCGGATTGATCTTGGGCTGAAACGTGTAGTCCTTCAGGTGTTCCTGCGCTATCATCTGCTGTTATCACAGGAAAAAGCGTTAACGTTAACGGAATTTGTGACGCAGGAACGCATCAGAAAAGCAAAAGGTACCTAAATTTGTATTGCATAGCATGTATTCTAGGCAAAATCTGCCATGCATAGCTGCAATCTGTGAAAACCGTTAACGTTAACACTTCTTTGTTTGATAGCTGTCGCTGCTCCCGCTCCTTTTGCTCCGCGGTGGACATGCGATCCTGCCACGCACCTTCCGCGTTCAGTCGCTTCACGTTCGTGCGCGCCAGCGCCTCGCTCACCTTACTGATGGTCGGCTGGAACCTGAAAAGTGAGAGTCAAGTCGTGTAAGCAGGCACATAGTGTGGCAGAATTGTACTTTTTATTTCCACGAAACACGGCACCCGAACACCCAGAAAAGCAGCAATACGTCGAGAAGACATCGGAGCACGGAAGTATCGTTACTTACCTAGCCTAAACAAAACCAAAAGTCGCTTTATTTTGTAAGTACTTCATGTCTGCTTCTTGAATTTTTCGTCTCAATTCCCTTCGCTGCGTGCGAGCGTCTTCAAAGGTTTGCTGACGCACGAGAAAATCGGAGCAGGGGCCCTGGAAAAAGACGCTTTGCTCAACGATGGCATCTATCAAAAGTAAAAATGTCTGGGTCTGGGAACTTGTGATGCTGGGTGGCGTCTCATGATGAGGCTACAAATGCTGGCTCAGCATGACAAGTTTCTGAGCTCCTAGGTGTGGCCTAATCTGCATGACAAACTGCGCTTCTGCATTACAGAAAAGCGGAGCTCTTGGGTGACATGCATGACAGATTTAAGAGTCATGCCAGACAAGCATGACAAACATGAATTCTTCCAGACCCAGACATTTTTACAGTTGATAGCATCGGTTTTCGGCGCAGACAGTTTTGCGGTGGCCGCGTCCATGACCATTTGCCCGGCGCCGTCCTGCTGCTCGAGCTGCTTTTTCAACTTTCCCACGTGATACAGCCGGTCAGCGGCGTTCTGCACGAACAGCGCCGCCTCGCCGTCGACGTCTTGCCCGCTCTCTATGGCGTTCTCAGGTGTTACATTCTCGACTGTTACATGACTTTGTCCATGCAGAACTACCATCAAGAGGATCCACACGAGAAAGCGTCTTCGCATGACAAATTTGCGAAGGGCTAAACAGCACATAAATCTGTGCAGAACTTGTAATGCTAGAGGTGCAACCTCCCCCATTTCACTTTTGCAATTCTTGCATCGCAAATTCATGTATACAGTTTAGAATGTAACAGTTGAGAACGCCATACTCGCGACGAGGCGCTGCGCCTCCTCGCGCTTCTTCTGGATCATGCGTTCCGAAGCGGCGGAGAGCTTGGGGCGAAAAGTGGCGTTCTCCCGTCGCTCCACCTCCATCTGCGTCTGCAGCAGGTGCTCGGCCTTTTTGCGCTGTTCCTCGTCGACGCGCTCGCGCAAGGGTTTGTCTCGCCATCGACCGGGCGCACCGGCTGAAGCACTCCGGGGACCTGGGTGTGAGGAGCGAAAAACTTAGCTCGGCACAGTATCAATGAAAGGAATGCATCATATATGAAAATGAATGCTAGAGCTAGTTTAGAAATAAATTTTCATCCGCCTGGGAGCAGGAGACTGCGATCACCAAAAGAAACCTATTCAACGTATGACCTTCCGGTTTTTAGACTCAGCTTCAAATCAAAACCATTGTTGCGCTGTGGGCAATAAAAGATCATATTGTAGTAGTAGTGATTCCCAATCAGGAGTATTCATAACATCAGTTCCACGAAATAAAAACGCATCTACCTCCAGTAGTTCTCCTGCCAAACGCGTTTTGCCGTCCCCGGCCGGGCTCAAGATTTGGCTGGAACGTGAGTTCCTGGACTTCACTCTCCTCGAGGAGGGACTTCGCCTTCTCTCGTATGCGGTTTCGCTGGTCGGCTTCGTGGTGAAGGCGTTCGAACATCTCCTCCGGCGATTCTTCGTACTCCACGGCAGATATCTGATTGCTGTTTTTCTGGATCCGCGTGTTGGGGCGAAACGTGCACTCCTTCATTTTTTCTTCCTCGAGCAGTTGCTTTGCCTTCCCCCGCGCCTCCAGCTTTCGTTTGTGCTGCAGGGCCCACATGGCTGCTCTGTCCTCCAGCCGCAGCTCGGCCTCCTGCCGTGACACCACGAGGGTTTGATTTCCCGCTTGGCTCGTCGGTATCGACGAACTTCCCGCGATGGCCGAGGCCCGCGACTGCGACTTCTTCGTCGAGTGAACTACGGTGCTCGTCGTTCCTGGCGGCCTGAGTTTGCTCGTCATGGTACTGCTGCTGCTACTACTTGGTGCATTAGCATTCGGAGGAGCGCGCACGTACTGGCCTCCCCCCTTGTAAACGAGGTTTTCGTGCAGGGGATCTTGCCGGCTGGCAGCAGCCCCCGCCGCACCACTCCGAGGCTGGTGCAGCTTCGACATGCTACCCGTCGACGGGGTGGGTGCGTCGGGGAAGTTGGTTGCACCAGCTCCGATAGTATCCCGTGCAAAAGCATCGCATTCGTTTCGTATAAATGCAAGTCTTGCATTACAAATCTTTTTCTGAAGGCAAATCCGCATTACAAATTTTCTTTCTCATGCTGAGGAAATTTGTGATGCATTTATACGAGAAGTACGATACTTTTGCAGTTCATAGGTAGATGAAGATCCCGTCGGTGCGAGCGGCTGAGAGGAATGTGGATTTGTTCCCCGCTCCTCGAGGAGTTGTCTGACCAAATCCTCCGTCTTGTCCCATCTCGCGCCCCACTCGGATTCCTGCTTCGCGGCCAAATCGTTTGTCTGCTCGTTCTGCCGTTTCTCCGACAGAAGCTCCTGCAAAAATATTGAAGATTAAGATTATCAACATAGAGTTTCGAGCGTCTTGTATCACTTCTCGTTTGGTTTTCCCGAACGCTAAATCGAAAAATCAAATAGATGAAAAGGAAATCATGATAAGATGAAACTCATCCAATACCTCAATCAATTTCTCGCGCGGGTCCATTTTTTTCTTGCTTGTCTTTCTGTCTAGGTAGTTCTTTGTCTGTTTCAAGAACAGTTTCACTTTCTGTGAGCGTCAAAAAACCGATGTGAGCTAGTACTTGCTACGATGCGGTCTTTTCAGATTCTATCTGCCAAACGCAAACCCTAGTGAGAGAAAAGCCGGTGTTTGTGCGTTTTTGCGATTTTAAAGGCAGTAATTGCAGACTGAAGGCGCCACATATTTACACTTAACAACTGAAAAACAGAAAAAGGAAAAGCGAAGAACGAAAGACGATCGAGGACTGTCATCTCTGTCGTATCATAACAACGGCTCTCGTCCGGATGTCAACTCTCTGCTCAAGTAAATTAAAAACAAAATCATGATTAGGATTACGGAAACAAGCATGGCAAAAATGACGAACGAAACATATGCCAGTGACAAATTTGATGAAGAAAGCAACACTCGAAAGCATTACCTCCGCTGTGCCTGTGGCTCTTGGCTCCACTGCAGGACAAAAAATGAAGCCCCGAGGGACCATCTGCGGGTGTTTATTTCCGATATTCATTGGCATTCAAAAACAACCGTGGAAAGCTGCGTCTTTATGTCGTCAGAGATACTCTAACGGTCGTGAGTCCGCCTCCGGCTGGAATCATTGATTCCGGTTCATCTACTAGAATTGTTCATTAGAGTGGCGAAACAAGTCGTGCATTGGAATAGCAATCGCATAAGCATCCCATACGTGCTCGTGGCATTTGGTCGTGACCGTGTGCGCGCCGTATGAAACCGAATCCGCGCAATAGTTTATTTGACCCGGTGATATAGTACCGCACGCATGGATCTTTATGTAGTTCGATCTGGACTTTTTACATAGACTTTTGAATCTCTTGGAGACGTCGAGAAAGTGGTGTCAAAACTGACCGACACGCGAAGTTGCGTCATTGCAACAATGAATCTTCTTCTAAAAAATCTGTCCCACCTGGCCTACGGAGTAGGGCATAACATCCTCGAGATACTTATTTCTGGTTTTTAGTTTACAATATCAGTTGTATTTTCTATCATGCTATAGATAGTTTTATTTCAGTTTCACGAAAAAAACGCGAAGGACAAGGGGTAGTCTTAGACTACGTACAGGTCCTACTTCCCAGAACGTGATGCTTCTAAAAAATGGCGAAAGCAGCAACGAACTGAATCCGTAGACACACACGCGTACCATCCACCGCGTCGGCGTCCTCAGGATGATATCCATATCAATTTCACTAGATTTGTATCATGTAACTGTAAGTAACAAGTATCATGTCACATCTTTGTCAATGCCGTAGGACACGACTTTCGATTGCTCATACTACGAAACGGAAACATTGAAACCAAAACAAAAAGCAGCGTCATACTACTTCTCGACGAAAGAAACATATACAACCGCGTCGGAGCAACTTTATTCATGGGTGTTGAATGCGTGCGCGCGGACTTCCCGTCTTTCATCGCGTCGCTTACTTTGGCGGGAGTTTTTTCATGCTCTCCTCCGCCTCATCCCCGTCTGTCGACGTTCGCGCCATGGTTTGTCCCAGCGCGTCAGGGGCCTGGGTACTCATCAGGAGGTCCGTACTAGCATCCGGATTCGTATTTCCCCCAGTACTAGGCCCTGCGCTCGAAGAGGACGTGTTCATTAAGGACGGCCTGGTTGGTTCGTCATCCTCGGCGACGTGACGCTGCTGGGCGGAAAAGCGACTTCCTTTTGGTGCCGCTGGCGCTTCTGACTCCTGGGCAGCTGGTCTTGCGGGTTGAGAGCTGGTTGTAACTTCTGCTACAGCCGACGGCGCGGCTGCTTTACCCGCTGGTGGTGCAGCTGCCACGGCGGCGTCCTCTTGTATTCTTGTTTTCTTCTCCGCCGTTGCTGCTGCGGCCTTGGAAGCTGCAGCTGGCGCTGCAGTAGTAGTTCCTCCGCCGGAATTTCTAAGGGCCCCAGCAGGTGCGGCAGAAACTGAAGCTCGTGGATCCACCGCCTTGTCACCTCCTGCCTCTTTTTTCTCCACATCGGCCAAATCGCTCGTGCTTGACAGCCGGGCCTGTGATGCTCTTCTCTCGAGCAGCTGCTTTGTGTGGAGCGGCTCGGTGTGGAAGAAGCTAATTGTGGAGTGCTTCTTCTTGAAGCTGCCGACCGGCTTCAGTGCGAGGTCATCCCGCACCTCTTTCACGGCGAAGTCGTAGTTTTGCAAGTACCCCTTGCCCACCGCGAAGGGCAGGATGATGGCGTCCCCGGGCGCGTCGGGATGCCACGGCTCGGTTTTGTCCAGGTAGTGCTGTCGGAGCACAAAAATGGGGTTGCTGTTGAAGTAGTCCTTGTAGATGCCGCGCTCGATCTGCAAGGCGCGCAGTTCGCTGTAGCTTGCCCCCAGGTCCGTGCTCACGGTGTTCAGGGAGGAGCTCTCGGAGCTGGCGCTCGGCGCTTTGGGCTCTTCCGTCATCTCGCGCTGCTCGCGCTTCAAAATGCGCCCGACGAAAAACGAGTACACCGAGAAGTGCACGATGAAGAAGATCGTGAAGAGAACTGGATTTCGATTTGATTCGAAACATATGTTGCACGAACCCGAAACTACAAGCATTGACTTTCATCTATGACTATGCGTAGCAGGGCTAGGGGCTACGGCTAGAGTTATGTGGTACAAGGCAACATCAGAATTATGAAAAACAAAAACTCACGATATTACGCCATGGTTCTCGGATGTAAAGCGTCTTCACCCACTATGGCGTTCTCAAACGTTACATTCTCAATTGTTACATGATTTGTCAACATGCAAAATGGCAATCAGAATCGACGCGATCAAGCTGCTTCGCATTACAAATTGTCGAAGAGCCCAACAGGCTGAGAACCTGCGCCAAACCTGTAATGCAAAAGGCGCAACTTCTTCCCCCCTTTCACTTTTCCCATTCTTGCATTACAAATTCATGCAACAGTTGAGAATGTAACGTTTGAGAACGCCATACCCACCAGATGGCGGCCATGAAACCAATCACGGCAGTCGGGAGGGTATAAAAGTGCACAACTCCCCCTCCCCCTCATTTGTATTGCATGAACAGCAATACAAGCGTCAGCAAGATTACCGGTTTTGCATGACAATGTTGGCCAGGATTGTAGTGCTATTTGGGCTGCTAGAACTTGTCATGTTGGGCTGCTAGAACTTGTCATGCAAACAGTGCCATGAGGCAAGGCGTAAATTAGGCATTTTGCATGACAAATGAGGGGGAGGCGGAGTTGTGCGCTTTTATAGAAGGACCAATAGAACCAGAAATTGAGCGTGACCAAGGAAGTTTCCGCGTTGCAACAGGTTTGCCCCCGCAGGATTCGCAAGTAGTCGATGCAGTAAATTAAGGCGATCGCGAACGCAATCGCGAGGAAAATGTAGTAGTTGTAGATGGAAGCCATCCCTAACATCACCATCGTCGCGGTAAAAAAGTTCGCCATATCGACGTACCTAGAGAAGTTGTGGGATTTAATTTGTTTGGGTGCCTATGTTCATAGGAAAGCAAAAAACTACTGCAACGCATGTAAAGTTTTCATTCACAACTGTGGGTGAGACACGACCAGATGAAACAAGTTGAACCATGCAGGACGCCCCAAGAGATAAGGTACATAAATCAGACGCACCTCCACACGGGATTCATTTCTGGCCCTTCGAGCGCTTTCTCAGCCAGCCAATGACTCATATCAGGTCGCGCACCAACGATGATGGCTCCGACGTACCTTTTTTCGAAAAACAGCAAAGCTATACTCTGGACGAGGGTACTAGCAGTTGTGGTCCAAGATGAAGAACTGCTATCTTCTCTTCAGTCCTTCATGATCATGAGACCATGAATAACTTTTCCACCGTTTCATCTCTTCCATTGATGAGAAAAAAAGTCAAAAAAAGCTCTAGAAATCGGCTTTCAACAAGAACGTTACCTTGGCATTAGGGTGTCGAAAGCGGATTCTGCGAGGTACGGGATAATGAGGTACCCGGGCATAATCATCTCGTAGAACTGCTGTGCCAGCGCCACCGTGATTACCCTACCCTTGCCTTCCGCAGTCTCGTTCATCTGCTGGGCCTGACTCATCGAGAGCACAATTAACAAATCCGTTGCCAGCACAAGCGCGCAGAAGAAGTAGCCTGATAAAGAGTAATGAGTGGAAGTAGCCCAAGCCCTGTCAGTTGTTCATCCGAATAGAGCACATTCATTGAGGAAAGCCGTGCACATGACCGTGGTTAGTTCTGTTCTGTTCAAAAACTACAAAATGAGCAAAACAAAAAAAAACCAAAACCATCTGAAAAATGGCTACTTACCGTAATTGTACATTCGCTGGAATTTTTCGTGCTTGTACTTGTCGCACCAGTTCGGCACGACGGCTTCTACAATGAGGCAGATGAGCACAGTGCCTACCGCGATCGAGATGGAAAGAATTGTCTCTGCGATGTAGTCGCTCTCTGCGCCCGCTACCATGAGGCCCGTCATAAAATCGTACGCCAGCGCGGCGTACATGGCAATGTAGACGATGAAGACGACCCACATGAGCACCCAGCCGATAATGATCGCGGTTTCGAGGTTCGTCTTCGTGAACGCCTCCCAGACGATCTCGTCCGGGGGGTAGGCCATCACACCGCAATTTACCTTCTGATCTCGCAGGATCAGCGGGTTTTGCTTCGTTCGCCGAATCACCGCGCCCGCGGCCGCGGGACTGTTGCATACGAGGTAAGCCGTGCCCTCGCACTTCACCTCCTCCAGTACCGGGGTGATCTCCTGCTCAACCTCAGTGGAGTGGTAGTTTTTGTGCGCTTGTTGTATCATTTTACATATGACAATGACTGTAGTGATTCTGAGTTGAGGGAATAGGGAGAGTGGAACAGGGGGAACGAATAGGGCAATAGGGAGAGCAATAGAAGTACACCTAATCCCCTACTCTCCCTAATCTCCCCATTCTCCCTGCTTTCCCTGTTCTCCCTATTCTCCCTGCCTTCCCTAATCTCCCTGTTCTCCCTGCTCTCCCTATGCTCTCCCTATGCTCTCCCTATGCTCTCCCTATGCTCTCCCTATGCTCTCCCTATGCTCTCCCTATGCTCTCCCTATGCTCTCCCTAGGCTCTCCCTATGCTCTCCCTATGCTCTCCCTATGCCCTCCCTATGCTCTCCCTATGCTCTCCCTACTCTCCCTTTTGCTTTTGTCCCTGTTCTCCTTGCCATCCCCATTCTCCCTGCCCTCCCCATTCTCCCTGCTCTCCCTATTCTGCCTGCCCTCCCTATTCTCCCCGTCTCCCTATTCTCTCTTTCTCTCCCTATTCCCTATCCTATTCCCCTGGATGGTGCTTTCCGTGGTGCCTCTTCAACGGCAACATGGAGTCCCGGCATCAACGTCGCGCAATCATACGAACATGATCTATTTAGCGCCGAAACGCTTTGCACCTGTACGCACTTACGTAGTTATTCAAATCATTTACCTCTGCTGCCCTGGCGAGGGTGTCTCGTTTGTTGACCAGTCCCCCTGCGGGGGTGCAAAGGAGCAGCAGTGGGTCCAAGATGCTAATGAAGATCGAACAGGCTTTTGCACAACAACCCGCGTCGTCGCCGACGTCGGCGGAGTGGTCGTCGAGAACCTCGTTGGCCTCCGCGTAAACGTCGTCGTTGGCCTGGATGACGAACTCGCAGGCCTCCTGGACGAGGTCCGCATTTTCCTCGAAGTCGTACGCGATGGACACACCCACCAGGTCTTCTTTCTTTGCCACACAATCGTAGGCCTCCACCCCATCATGCCCCTTTGTGGGAAGCTTGGTAGTCAGCGCTGTTGGTAGAAGTAGTTGTATAAAGAGAAAAATGCAGCTACAGCTACTGCAACTGCTAGTTGGCGACCACTCTGTCTTCTTTCAAAAAAGGGAGAAGTCAACACACGTGGCTATGTGTATTTCACATAACTGCCAGTTCTTATGTAGATAGGACTTTGTTTCGTGGTGTCGCAAGAATGTTAATAGGCCTAGAAAACGCGGTCGCGCTTCAAAATTCCAATGAAGAAAAATCATACCGTCTAGCACCTCTTGGGGCTCGGTGACGTCCTCAGGAACATTTGTCAAAACGACACAGTAGGTGGATACGCTGGTCTGTGAGGACCGTATGCGCGAGGAAATTCGCTGCGTGCGCGCGGCAGACCAGACGCCCAGCGCGCAGGTGAGAATGTACTGGATGAGTACCACCCACCGCATGCGTTCCTCGTAGGCCTGGTGCGCCGCGCGGGTGTCGTCGTTGTGCCACTGCGTGACCATCACACGCCACATGGACACCACCACGGCTTTGCGGCACGTTTTCCCATCCACCTCGTTGTCGTGGTACTGCCACGCCCAGTAATTCATGCCGGCGAACAAGAGCGACATGAAAAAAAGCATCGACGTGGTGTCGAAGTAGCACTTGTAGTCGAAGCCGGCGATGTCCTCTGTGTGGACATTGGTTCCCGGGCAGGGGTACCGCGCGTACTCGAGCGTTCCCGGCTCCCGTGGGGGTGCGGGCAGCGCCCCGTGGATGGCGCCGGCCATCTGCTTGTGGTCGATGGCGCGCAGGAGCCCCCGGGTGTTGTCCTCCACACGTATTATGCCGATCCAAATCAGCAGGATGAACCCGAGGACGAAGGCCACCACGATGGAGATCTTCACAATGATCCAAAACTGCCCCGTCGTCTTGATGCACTCTTTCCCGTCCTCGCTTAGCTCGAATTGACCTGTAGGTAGTTGCGGCGCAATGAAACAAACAGTAACCAGAATTTGCAGCAGAGACGCAAAGCTGAGTGACGATGAGCTGTGCAACATACAAGAAAAAAAAAAAAGATTTTTACATCAAAAAAATTTCGTCCGTAGTTTATTGTCAACACCTAAGAACGTGGAAACGCACTCTTTGCATTTCCCTTCTTTTTCGCACGTCTTGCAGGCGGGGACGCGGTCCTCTTTGTCGTGGCCACAGGGAATTTCGCAGACTTTCTGCCCTTCGTGATTGGTGGTGGGGAATGTGTACAAGCTGGAGTAGTTCTTGCAGCCAACATCCAGGAGGCACACCTTCGGACACGTCGGCCCCCCAGCCATCGGGGTCTGGTAGGGACAAACCGAGGGACACCTGCAAAGAAAAAGAACCAAGATGCTACGGAGTCTTCATCGCATCGGCATCAAGCGAGTCGTGCTCGAAACCCAACAAAACGTCACCAGCACGAGAAATTTATACAACAACCGAAAGTTGTTTCAAAGAAAGAAAAAGAAACATGTATAGATGCAGTACAAGACGTCGTGTTCGATATAATGCCAATTGTGGAAATCCTTGGCGTTGATGGTGCAATCAGCGGGGTATCCGGCTGTGCTGACGTTCCTACTTGCCGCGCCTGCCGGATTGTACTCATAGGCGGGCTTTGCGGAAGCCTTTTTCCAAGCATTCATATCGATATCCTTTGCGAACGAGACCACGCCGCCGGAGGCGTCGATTGAGGAGCTCTCTTGCAATATGGAAGCGGCGTGCTGGCCCTTCGGTGGGAGATCGTTGGCAAACCTGACTTTGTCACTGCGCTTCAGCTCTTCTTCCTTCGCGTCCACGATGGGTATCAAGTTTTGCGTTTCCTCGGGCGTCAACTTTCGCACGTCATGGACTTTATTTCCCCTCGTTCCGGAGGTAGTTTTACTGGGCGTTACAGCGCTGGGCGGAGCTATCCGGTATGAAGCTGCGCTGAGCTTGTTCTTATTGGTTCGAAGCTCGTACCCGGCAGCACTATCGCCGGCAAGCCCGAGGAAAATGAAGGCGACCAAGAGCATCATCATCGGCGTGACCGAGACTTTGCCTTGATCTCCGCCTCGGATCTGCGCAGGCGCACCAAGAGGAAGAGCAACAGCAGCAGGCACTTGTTCGAGAATTCTCAGCATCTTTTTTGTATGTACCACAAGTGTCCGCTTCCGTAAGAAGTATCCAATCACGCTTGATGGACGAGTCCTCGGCGTTGCCATGTCATTTTCGCAACATCAGCATGCATCTTTTCGATGCCCATCTTCTCTTCGTGGTGCGAAGATCACCTCTACCTCTTTCGGAGGCACTTTGCTCGTCCTGCCTACGTAGTTAGACTTCCTTTATGCAATCGACCTGCAGGGCACCAACTCCCTAGCAGTGATACAAAGACGGCGGCGGTTGTAGATGAGATCGCTACCTATCCCTTGTTAGTAGAGGATAGGACGCACGGTCGTCCGCCGCCCTGAAGATGATGCTCACTTCGCTCGGAAACAGGGAGACAAAAAGAAACGGAAAGAATAGAAAACACCCAGCACCACTCTCTTCCTTGCTATCTCTACTGGTACCTTTTGTTTTTCCCCATCACACACCTCTCTAGTTCTGTTTCGTTGTGGTCAAGGTCCGAGACATACCAAGAGATACACGCACCAGGACAAACTTTTCGGCTATCGTACAGAAGATAACCATTGCTCGGCAAAGAAAGAAGAGAGAAGCTTGCACCATTCCGGGAATGCTTAATAAAAGCTTCACCTCTAGATCTAGAAGAAACACCCCGTTCTTGCGCGCGGGCGAGTCTGGGATGGAAATTCGGGAGAAACGAAGATCGTCATGTGTAAATCAATCACAATCATGTTCATGCGTGGGCTTGCTGTGGTATGATAAAGAAACTGTCTTGTTCCATGGCATGTGATGAAGCGCGTCATCTTCACAGATGAACCGTAGTATAGTCTCACGTCAATTTTCGTCTTTTGGCGTCGTTTTCATTTTTTGGGACCACGTGGTCAAAAGCGTCATTTTCTCTCAATGCTCGTTCCCGAATGTCCGCGTCCTCAGCGAGTAGCGCAAGAACCTCCTCTTGACTGTCTCGGCGCATGGCGTTGTCGTGGAGAAATTGACCACACTCCTGCAGAATGTTCTTTTCCTCGTCCTCACTCGCAGACAGCTGGTTTTTGATATTTTGCCCCTCGTTGCCGCTCGCTGACGAGGCAGATGAGGACGAGTTGGGCTTTGTTGCGTTCCCTGGAGGAAGGTTTCCGTTTGCGTTTGCGAGACCTCCACCACCAAGTGCAGGTGGTCGAGAGGCGGAGTTTTTTTTCTGTTGCTGACCATCAAGAGCAGGAGCAAAAGCAGCGGCGTCGGCGTTGCTGGACGAAATCAAGGCCTCCTCCAGCTCATCGCCTTGTTGTAGCGAATCCATATCGCGCTCGTCGTCCAAGATGCGAAGGTCATGATCCTGGTTAACTGTCTGTTGTTGTAGTCCGCCGTGGGAGGAACCGGAACCACCGGCGTTGATTTGCTGCCGCTGTCCTCGAGGGATCGCGTCGAAGGTTTTCCCGATTGCTTCGTCGTCGAACCGAAAGAAGCGGTCGAGCCGGTCCAGGTGGTCGGAATCCAGGCGCCGGGTCGTCTTCACGTTGTCCACGCAGAGGCGTGAAATTTGCTGCTTGTGCACCTGGCGGTAGTACATCTGTTCCTCGACGGTTCCCGCAGCCAGCAAGCGGTACACGTCCACGTGCCGGCTCTGGCCGATGCGGAAGGCGCGGTTATGCATTGCAAATATGTCCGGGTCTGGAAGAGTGCCAGCCTTGTCATGCAGGTTTTCCATGATCCACGAGGTCTGTTATGTAGGACATAGCATGACAGATACTGTGAGAGTTGTATCATGTCCATCCTGCATGACAGTCTGCCTCTCGATTAGGTCAAAAGTGGACAGCTTTTGCTAATCATGCAACACAGATTTTGACATGATTTAGATTTAGCATGACAAGTTGCTTTGTTCCAGACCCAGACATATTTGCATTCGATAGCGGTCCTGACACTGCAGGTCCATGCAGGGATTCCAGTCGGGATCGAAAATCACCACCTTGTTCGCCGCGGTGAGGTTCAACCCCACACCGCCCGCGCGCGTCGAGATCAGAAAAAGGAACAGCTGCGGGTTCGTGTTGAACTCCTGGCACAACCCCTGCCGCAGTTTCGCCGGCGTGGAACCATCGAGGCGGAGGTTGCGAAACCCGTGCGCCTTCACCGTGGTCTCGATGATGTCCAACAGCTTGGTGGACCGGGAGAAAACAAGCACTTTGTTCTCCTCCGTCACGTTCACCTGCCACAGTCGCAGAAGTTTCAGCAGCATCTGCAGCTTCCCACAGTTTTTCACCGACGCATTCCGCAGCAGACTGCCGGCACTGGATTGGTGTAGACTAATCCGCTTCTCCAGTTCTTGGGAGTCTGCAGCAGCACGGTCTCGGTCTGCTGCACTGGAAATCAAGTTCAAAGCGCGACGAGAAGCACCTTCTTGATGATGTTGGTCTAGGACCGAAATAACGCCAGTTGTAGTACTGCTCCGTCGTCCCTCTCTTCTCGCTTCCTTTTTTTCGTGTTTTTTTACCAGATCCTGAATTGTCGGCTCCAACTCGGTACCAGCGAAAACCACACTGCAGAGCTTCAGCTCAAATGCGCGGGCCTGTTGGTCTGCTTTGGACAGTGTTGAGGTTCGATTCGCAATTCCGTGAGGCGCAGCTGCAAGGACATTTGAAGTAGACCGTGAAAAAGAGCAGGCACCCCCGTGGGAGGCCGCATTTATTTCGTCTTCGTGACCGATGTCGTACAGCTTGGTCTGTAGCAAGTCCAAATGGTTACTGATCTTCTGCAGCCACGACATCACGGCAAGCCAGTGGCACTTGTAGGGGTGTAGCCAGCTCTTGCAAGGCCGGTCTTCGGCTTTGCACTTATCGTGCATGTTCCGCCAAATCACACCCATGTTGCAATCGCACCTCTTTGGCCCCAGGTTGCACGCACACTTTTTGAAAGTCGTCTGCAGATCAGCATTTGGTGCCTCTTCCGCGATTATTTCGTCGGTTTTTTGCTGCTGTCCTTGTCGTGCGAGAACTTCTGACACTGTGACGCTTTTCCCACCAGCAAGGATGGAGAGGACGTCGCTGGACCGGAGCAGATTTTGGTAACACTGCTTCTGCAAGTCGCTCAGCGGACACGCTAGGATGCGGTCGCGCTTGCCCGGAAGGTTCAGGTTGGCCTCTGCCTTTGTGCGCCGCAGAATGTGCCGCTTCAAGATCACGTCCTGGAATTCCTTGGCAGCTCGGTCCCGCGCAGCTAGCCGGAACACGTCGGTGGATTTCCGCAGCCCCTCCTGGATCGGCTGGGAGTACTTCGCGTCAAATTGTTCCTTCGTCCCGACTCCAGGCAGCTTGTGCGCGCCAACACAGCGCAACAACGCCCACACTTCGGTGACATTGTTCGCGACCAGCGTGCCCGTGAGTCCGAGTTTGCGACGGGACTTCAACTTGCTGATATTTAGGCTGGCCGTGGTGTTGGGGTTCTTGCACGTGTGCACCTCGTCGATAACCACCAAGCCCCAGAGCTCCTGCACGAGCTTGTAGAGGTCCAGGTTGCGCTCCAGGTCTTGACTGAACATCCCGAACGACACCAGCACCACCTGACACAGTCCCGCGTTGACGCGCTGCAGCACGCGGTCGCAGCTCCGGGGCTCCAGTTTTTCCACCTCGAGCTGCGTCCAGCGTTCCAACTCCTGTTTCCAGTTATCGAGCAAACTGGGCGGGGCGACAATCAGGGTGGCGCGAAACCTGCGGTCGTTGCGCGTGTGGTACATGGCACCCAAAAGCGTCGCCACCTGGACAGTTTTCCCGAGCCCCATGTCATCACCCAGCAGGCTTCCGATCGGCGGTTCGGTGCCGACCAGGTTCGTCAGCAGCCACCGGACGCCGGTGCGCTGGTACGGTTTCAGAAAGCTGCCGATGTGCGGCGGCACGACGTACAACGACTGTGACGGTGCGTGTCGCACGATGATTGCGTTTTGTTGCGCTGTTGTGGTTGTCGCAGCTGTTTTAGACGAGGAAGACGACGCGGCTGGTATTGCAGGCAACAAAGGGTATCGGGTCGACCAAATCGACTTTTGAAGCTCATCGTGCAGGGTCGCACTTGCGGCAAACGATTCAACTGGTGTAATTCCAGGAGTTTCCATTCGTTCCGAGTTGCCAGTTGCGGCCGGCGCAACATCGAGCAGCCCGGCAGAGGACGCCGACGCAGCTGCGTGGTGCGCACTTTCTTCAGCATTCGTGCCATGGGCGAGTTCCCTTGTGCCATCCGTTGGCTCGGGTACTGGTACTGAAGGAACAGCTGTCGCTGCTCTTGAATTCGATAGTCCAAGGGGGTCCGTGATCGTCGTTGTTGGATGATTCGGCTGCAAAGTGCGGTTAATGTCGGGCGGTGGTCGGAAAAAGTCTGCAGGTATGAGCGTGATGGAGTTTCCGGCTTGATATTTACGTTTGTTCAACTTGAACGGTAGCTGGCGACGGTTCACAGCGTCTCCGGCAGGCTCCAGTCTAAGTGCGGTGTCCGTGGTTTTCGCTGCAAAACGGGACGATTTCTGTTCCTCTCGAACTGGGTCAGACAATGCTGTGGATTTATTTTTTGCCGTGACAACTCTGGGCCTTCGCGGCTGCCCTTGCTGCAACAGGTTTGAGGAGAAGCTTCCTTCGTTGGAAAGATGCTGGCGCAAGCCTGGATCATTTGTCGCTGTCTTATTTCTGACCGCATTTGCTGGAACCTGTTGGGGGGGAAGGTCATGGACACTATCGGTCGTGCCCACAGACATGATTTCTGTTGACCGTGCCAGCGCCAGTGCCCCATTTTTGCTGTAGTGGCCCGTTTCGCTAGAAGTGCCACGCGAAGCAAGCTGTGTTGCGAAATCTTGCGGGGGCCTCGCAGCTCCGTTTTCACCGCTCGCCGCGCCCGCGGTATTTGTTGGCGCTGTTCCTGAAGTCGTTCGGTGCTGTCCATCTGTCGCACCACTCGTTCTCGGTGCGAAGGCTTGCTCTTTTGATGTGTTTCCCCGTCCCTCGACGTCGTCAGCTCCCCGTCCCTCAACAGCACCTGTACCTGGCGTCCCTCTTCCTGGCTGCAAGTTAGGAACACCGACACTGCTATTGCTTTTTCCATGTGCTGGAGGACTACTCTCCTGCTCATTTCCGCTCTCCTCGTCGGTCGTGTCAAACAAGCCTGCGATGATGTCATGTGTGGCTTTAGACATTGAGTTGGTGGCCGCTTAAGGTCCATAATTGCGTGATGTGAATCAGGATGGATACAATCAAAGTCAGGAAATCTTCTCAGTTGTACTGAAAGGACAAAAAGTGGTGGGTATGAATTGTTCTAGCCGGAAAGACGACAAGTGTGAGAGTTGGGGGACGACAAATGAATCTGTCGTGTCTGAATAGTACTGCCGAGTGTTCCAAAAGTGATACATTTTTCATGGCTTGACTACTTGTATATAGGTGCTGAAATGTGATTGTGAAAGTCAGCCACTTTGAACTTTGACAGGCCCCCCTTGCTTGTTTGCGGGTGATTTCATTGCAAATTAACTTTCTGTTGTCACTTGTCTGGCTGCATTGATTGTACGTTTCAAAAACTGCATCTCCGTTTAATTGCTATACACGAGGGCGGACACGGACTCCTCACTCGCCGAGTCGGCCAACCGCCATATACGCGAAATGACCACACGTTGCTTTCCTATTTATTCCTATCGTCTATTTCCGGGTAACATAAAGCTTTGCATATCATTATTTGGCACAACAACCTCAACCGCCCTGCAGAAGGAGATTGATAGCAATCACGTACAGGCCGAAGTAGGCCTTTGCAAACAATCGACCAAATACATATCTATACAAGAGCGAACACATAAGCCACACACCGGCATTGGACCGGCACACTACACTATGTATTTATTACACTTCCTGCTTTTCTAGCCCGTAGTCGCTTCCTTGGCTGCTCAATCCACACCGAACAACCGTCGAGGCGACATACTATTACTAGTATAAAAAATAAATATAGTCGCGCGGCGGGAGCTGCAAGGCGAAAAGATACAGGCGCGGCGGGCCGCGCTCGGGCAGGCGGCCCTGCCAGGCTGAACGAGCTTGCGCGGCTCGCTGCTGCTGCGTGCAGAGGGCAAAACCGGCCAAACCCATTAGAACCAGCCACCGGAACCGCTCCCGCGCGCGCGCGCGCGGGCGGCGCCAAAGGAAAGGCGCGCGGGGCCGCCGGGCGGTCGGGCGAACGCCACCCACGAGGCCCCGGGAGGCCGCAAACTAGCGCAGGCACGCAACCAAAGAAATACCAACCCGACCCCGGCCCCTCCCGGGGCCTATGCCCCGGCCTGATGTACCTCAGGCGCACGCATTGCGGGCGCCTTGCCATCTTTTACCTCACGACGCGCGCCAGGTCGCGGGCTGCGCCTGGTGGCGCTTCGGGCCCCGCGTGTCCAGGTCCTCAGCCGGACGCTTAGAACTGTGCCGCAACATCTTTGCTGGCCTAAGAAAGTCACACGGAGCCCGGGGCCCCCCACTTTTCTCACTCTGCCACAGTCGCCCGGAAAGCGACCCCCACTTGCTACGTGTTCCGGAAGACAGTCCATCTCCCCACATCCGGCCGCCCCCGCGCCCAATGCGGCGCCCTGGCCTGTCTGTCCGTCGCTCGTTGATCCCTCGGGCGGCGTCCTGCATCGCTCTGCCCCACCCGGGACAGGAGAGGGCCGCGGAGCGCCTGAATGCGGAGCCGAGGGGGCGCGCAGGGTGCGGGGACAGCAATTCTCCAACCAACGCCGGGCGCTGTGGATCTTCGTGCGGGCGGCGTCCATAAGGGGGCCGCTCGGACGGCCGGCCCCCCCGCGGCGTTTGTGGTGTTGCCCGGCCACTCTTTCTTATCTTTTACAAGCGGCGCCGCGCTTCCGGCCCGGTCGGGGCGCCCCTCCCCCAAATTGCCCCGCAGCGTCGCGCACCCGGCACACCACCCCCCGGGCCACGCCGGCAATTTCGGCGGCAAAGCGCGCGCCAGGGCGGTCGCCCGGTCGCCCTAGGTACGTAGGGGCGGCGCTGGCGGCGGGGAGGTGGCTGGGCCAACATAGAGCGGCCCGGACGTGCGCGACCGGGGTGCTACTGGATTCCGGAAGATTCTGCCGCACCCACGCACCTTCGCCGATGGCCTTGCTGGACACAATGGCCGCCCTGCACTGCTCCGTGCTCCAGTGTTGAGTCTTTGGCCTCCGCCATTATTTAACGCGGCCGCCAGTTCTTCGCGATGTTCTCCGCAGCCGCCGGGGGTGTTCGCCAATCGCGCGGATGCGCTTGACGGCGCAGCCTGTTCCTGTTGCCGGCCAAAGGCTACGGGGCGCGACGGCTTAAACGGGTAGACCTCTTCTTCTGTCGCGGCGCGCTGATTGCTGTCGTTTTTGCCAAGCACCGAGCCCCGCTCTGCCTCGTCTTCATTTGACAAAACCTGAAGGGGCAGCGGGGAATTTGTACCATTGCACGCGCGTGCGCCGGCAGGCCACGCAGCACACTGCTGGCGCGCAGGCGCATAGCTATTGGATTTGCACGCCCCAGCTTCCAGATCTGACGACGAACCGCCGAGGTCCACGTTGTAGAACACTACTCGCGCTCCTTCGAAATACACGCGTCGCAGGCCTGGCGATTCGCGATCATCGCTTTTGATTCATCAGGAAAGTTGTCTTCGTATTCTCATCAAGGGTATTCTTCAATTTCCATATTGATACATACAGCAAACACATTGATAATTTGCCAAGTGTGCTGCTGTACGCTTTTTGAGTTGCACTGGGAGGTACAAAAAATTGAGGCAAAGGGAGCGTCCTGTCGAGATGGCAAAGAGGACGACCATGTTTCGTCGATACTAGGGCGACACCAAGATAAGATTGCAAAATCGTTGAAGCCGTGTTCATTTTTTTGATATTGAAATTGATTTTAAGTATTTCGTAGCTAATTTCGTTCCAATACGTAGTCAGTCGCAGTCGTTGTTGTAGCTCAAATCGGTCCTCTTTGATGAGGGACAATCCGAGAGCAGGTGGCTCAAGTTCTTGCATGTTCAAATTCATGGAAGTTGAAAAGAACTGGAGAAAGCCCTGATCCTGAGTAGGACAGCAAGGGTTGGGTTCTTCATTTCAGTATTCCCACAGCAAAAAATATAGTTTAGCGTTAGCCAGCTTGGTATATACGACGAGCGCATTAGGCATACACTTCGAAAAATTCGATGTCCCCCTCCACGTCAACGTCGCGGTCGCCGTAGCAGGTAATGCGAAGCAGCAGGTTGGAAAAATAGTGGTGTTGTAGCAAAGTAGACGCATCAGACCACTATACTTAGTCTACCTTCGGCTACAGGACTGTCCTTGAAAACTTCCGCAACGATGAATGATCCGTCCAGTAAATATTCCAACCAGCGCTCGAGGAAAGCAGCAGCACCTGCGAAGCTTCTGTTCTTCTTGACAAGGTGAATGTGAAACAGTTTCCACATGATCTATCGAATCCCCCGAGGGCCCACCACTGTACCCGATGCAAAGGCGTGCGTGGTATCTCCACTCCGAAGCCCAGCTTTCCTTGCAAAAAAACCTGAATCTTGATCGTCGTGTTTTATTTCCGGCAAAGCCGCAGTCAAGTGCAAGTGGACAAGCACGCTGTCTTTTATTTGTTCTGCAGGATTTTTGTATTAATTGCCCGCCGGCGTCGACGACGTCGGGATCTGTTCGGACTGGGGACAAGAAACCCGAAGGGCTGCCTGGTGGTGCACCTATAATTCATCCCACCCCAGCGACGCGTCTACTTCGTTTCTCTTCAGCTGCGCCGGCCCAAGAGGAGTAAACGCAAGCAAGGCCCAGCGCGGTCGTCGAAACTCCAATGATGGGTGTAGTACTGGAGAGCAAGTACGTAGAGACTGAGGACGCAGACCAGCAGAAGGCAGCGATCGAACCACAGGTCATAGCCTTTGGCCAAGCTTACCAGCGCGCAGGTAGTGAGGATCAACATGCCGTAAGCGAAGGAGAACCACAGCTCAAGCACCACTAGGAAAAACACGATCCACCCGAGATAGAGTCGCAGTCGGCGTAAAAAGGAGCAGGGCGGTCGGGGGAGAAGCTGTTCGCTCTTTCGTCTTTCCGGCAAGAATGCCCCAGCGGGACCTGTCGCGCGTTTCATGGCAGCTCTCCGGCGGCGCTGCAAAAGGCCAGTGCTGACGCCATCCTGCTCGTCCTCATCCTCTGTGTCGCTGGTCACGACCTCCTCCGCGCCAGCATCTGTGCGCGTGGTGGCTGTTCTTGAGTTGGCGGCCTCGACTTCAAGCATCGCTGCCGCACTTTCCCGGTCGTGTCTCGGTTGTATATCATGATCCGTCCTCTGTGAGTTTTTTCCCATAGTTTCTGCGGGAAGTAGGTTGGTAGTTGTTCTGGCGCGGTCCTCTTCTTGGTGGTGCGACGACGAGGAAGATACCACCACTGGCGCTGCTGAAGCCATGATTTCGTCCGATGTCTTGATCATGGCGCCGCGTAGTTCCGGGGCAGCTCTGATTTTGAAGCCGCCGTTCGCATGTCCGTTGAGCATGTCCTCCTTGCGCTCGAAGGAAGCCATCAGGCAGGCCTCCACGAAATGCTCGCCCGCCAGATCGGGAACGCTTATCTTTTTCACAGGGTCCTCCTTTCGCTTGCTGGCTCTACTTTTCAGCCACGGCAGAAAAGAACCACGACTGCTGGCAGACGCAGAGGTCGCTTGTGATGAATTGAGTGGTCGTAGGTACCCGCCCCGATGATCAATAAAAGGTCCGCGCCGCACAGGGGAAATGGGGATGGGCAGCCTGGTTTTATTTGCAGGGCTTTTCCCACCAGTTGGAGAGGACCGTCGGGCCGCGGGGCTGGAGGCATTTACAACTCCCGCCGGGCTGCCTGGTCGCGACAGAGGGCGTGAGAGCGGTTTCGCCGGGCTTTGGGTAATTCGGTGGTACTTCTCCATCATTTTGGTGCAGTGGTCGAGGTATGAATTGCAAAAGCATCGTACTAGTACAAAATGCATTACAAATTTGCTCAGCATGACAAATGCGATTTGTAATGCTGTTCTACCTCAGGGAAAAGATTTGTCATGCATGACTGCAATTACTACGAGTACGAGACTTTTGCACAGGATACGAGGCGCCGTTTCACGTAGAGGCGCTCGAATTTCTCGCTTTCGGTGGAAACGGTTTTCTATCAAATGTAAAAATGTCTGGGTCTGCAAGAATGCAACTTGTAATGCTGTCTGCGGATTCTGAAAATATCTGTGTTACATGAGCAGCAAGAGGAGTTAGTTCGTGGCACGCGGAGAGGGCATTTCTCATGCGTGATTAGCATCAAGAAGCTCTCAAAAAATCTGTGATGCTAGCACCTGCATCACAGACCTCACGGGTCATATAAAATGTGCATGACAAGTCCTGACTCTTCCAGACCCAGACATTTTTGCATTTGATATTTTCTTGATGGGCACAAGACGCCAGCTGCTGTTCAAGTGGTCCGTGCCGCCAAACGCCTCCTCGACGTCTATCAAAATGAAAAATGCCCCCACCCTCGAACTTGGGAGCATTTGTATTGCAAACCTTTGCAAATGAAACATTCGCCCTCGTGCATTTATCAGCATCACAGATTTCCGATCGTGAATAGAAAAAAATTGTATTGCGCAGGATCCCAGCAAGAGCGGCGCCTGTCATGCACGCAATGCAAATTACGCCTAGACTCTGCATCAGAAAGATTCGTAGTCCTTTCATGCATGACAAAAAGTTTTCATTTGGAAACTTTGCATCACAAATTATTGCAACTTTGGGGGTGGGGGCATTTTTCATTGTAATAACGTCGCTGCGCTTTTCATGGTCGTCGTCCTCTCCGTGGTTCGCACCGTTAGTATAGTCCGGATCCCGCGGGAACGGCCCGGAGTCGGAGCAGTTGTGCGACGACGAGTTGTTGTTCTTACTGCCGTGGTCTACTGCAGGCCCGCCTTCTACAACTAGCGGGGACCGCTCTTCGACCTCGGGCGACGAGGGAGCGGCGGGACTCCTAGAAGTGGAAGAAGAACTACTGCAAGAACTCCCGCCGCCAACAGTGGTTCCGGAGGCAGACAGAGATTTAGCACTACCTTCCTCAGCTAAAGCAGGAGCGTCAGTCGTGGTCGATTGTTGCGGTGATGAGCAAGAAGACACGACTACGTTTTGCACGTGATCGGCCGACAAGATCTCATTTTTGCTTTTCTTTCGTCCTGACGCGCTTATTGAGGTATTTTTACGACAACCAGAGAGACTTCTTCTTCTTGCCCCGCTTGGTGCAGCAGAGCACGACTCATGACGTTGTTCTGGCGCTTTTGCAGAAGCTGGAGCTGGTGCACACGATGCGGTGGAACTTGGCGCAACGCCAGACGCTGCAACTGCAGGCTTATTTTGTGATCCACCCTTTAGCTGCTGTTCAAGTTTGTTGCCGTGTGTGCTGGGCGGTTGCTGCAGAGAAGTACTAGTTGAAGATGGTGTTGACGATGTACACGATGACATCTTCACTTTTTTCACCCAATCTCTCTTCACCGCGACGTTCAGGTACTTGTTGTCGCCGTACGGCCCGGTTTGCGCCTCCAGGTCGGCTATCCTGGGCAAAAGTATCGTACTCGTCATGCAATCATGCATTGCAAATCTTTTTCTTGAGGTGAATCAGCATTACAAATTTCATTTCTCATGCTGAGGAAATTTGTAATGCATTCATACGAGTACGATACTCATACTTTTGCAATGCATATCGGCCGCCGCGGTGACGTCCAACCGCTGCACGTCGATGTGGAGCAAGGTCGGGCAATCGTTGGCGGGCCCGAACTATCAAATGTAAAAATGTCTGGGTCTGGAAACTTGTAATGCTGCGTTTGGAATAGGGAATGCTCTGTAATGCACAGCAAAGCATAACAAATGCCTGCGCTTCTTTGTGTTGCGTTTTTCGCATGACAAACTGCGTTTTTGCATGACAGGCAAAAGGGTCTCTTCTTGGACACGCATCACAAACCTTTTGGTCATGCCAGACAAGCATGACAAATCTCAAAATCTTCCAGACCCAGACATTTTTACAGTTGATACGAACGTGTGCCCCGGCGTGAGGTAGTCGCGGTACCCCTCGTAGGCCATGGTCACGTCGAGGACCACGAAGTCCCGGGGGAGTTTGCGCAAAATGGACACGCACTCCTTGAAACCGGTAACCCGCGGGGTCAGCACGTTCCACCAGACCGGCTTGTCGTTCTTTCGCGCAAACTCCTGCGACTTCTCCAGCCCGGTCTCCAGGTCGGTCCCCTCGGGAAAGATCAGCAGCGTCGACGGTAGCCCCACTCGGTCCTCCTTCTTCAAATCTGGTATACGGTGTTTTTTTCTATTTTCGTCGGAGGCGGACACGATCACGAAGGAAAGCATCTTGCTGCAATAGAAATAAATCAGCGCTGAGGGAGGTGAACTTAGTTATAGATCCATACAGCACTTTTGCGTGTGATAGAGTTGGGAAAAAAATGGGCACGATTTCGGTTTTCATCGAAACAGCAAATTCTAATTCGAGTAGAGGTGGACGTCTATTCATATGCCACGAGAAGACAATACACTCGTAAAAAATGTATATCAGATTTACTTCGAGCTATGGTTCGCATGTCGGCGGCCCGATCGTTGCGGCAAAGAAAGACGAAGCGGAAGTAGTAGCAGGCCCAGCCAAAAATTGGCACCCGGGAAATGTCTTTCAGGATTATCTTCAAACTTCGCACTGGAAATTTTTTTCCATACATCACTTTGGATATCTGAACTGCAACGAACTAGTACTGGGCATCGTCATGAAAGTGCCGGAAAAACAAATCACAAAACGGCCGTGAGGACCCTCCTACCAACTTACAGAGCGAAAAGTAATCGAAGAAAAGAAAACGAGACAGCGAGGCATAAGCATAAGTAAAGATGAAGGGACGAGATGCATAAAGCAGCATGCACGTGCGTTGTAAAGAAGCTTTGTATCCAATTCCAAAGAAAACAGTAATAGTAAAGCGCAGTACGTCTGTCAAAAGCCGCGAGAAGGGGCCAGAGGAAGCACCAATCCAGCTCGGAGGGGTGGTTCGAGAACACGAGCAAATTCCAGTCGTCCGGGATCCACTTCAAAGCTTCCGTGTTATAGCAGCGTATTTCTACCCGCATGACGTCCAGCAGCAGGTACGCAATCGTTTGCATCCACCACGATTTCCCGAGACGGCACATCATGTCAAAGAGGGCACTACCGCGGCCTCGCTGGCAAAACTCGAGACTTGTCAGCAGTTTGAACGTGCCCATGAGCCAGACGACGCCGACCACGCCGCAAAACACGGCAATGAAACCCACAATGGGGCCTGCGGGAAAGCAGCGCCACGCTGCAGGCGCATCCTTGCGTCGTACCGAGTCCGCGTACCCATTCCGGACTTTTGCACCGACCCGAGCAGTCATTGCTTTTTCGTGTAGCAAGAAGGGGCGGTTGTTCGCGAGAAGATGTCCTCGGGGCACGAGTTCATCGATGCTCTACATGTACTGGCCGAGTCAACTTTTTATCTTCGCCTCCATCATGATGCGGCATGTCATCTTTAACGTTTTGTGATTACACTCGGACTTGTTCTCCGACGCAGCAAAAAAGAACAGAAAGAAATGCAGCAAAATTGTTTATGCTCAAGATCTACTAGTCGTACTAGCTGGCGTTGATAAAAAGTGCGAAAATCCAGCTCCTGCTTAAATTTACAGTATGCGTATGCAGAAGAACCAACCAAGTCGTGCTGTTGCATCAAGTCTGGAAAGCTGGACCACGACCTGTGTGTGAAATAAAAAAATTTGGAGTAATTGCAACGTACTGTAGTTCTTCGCAAAGTAGACATAGACAAAGAAGGAAGATCTTTCTTTAGTACGCTGATGTCGATGTTCGCCGGTCGTAAGAACCCAAAATCAAAATGATGATCTTTTTGCGCGCTCGCATTACTGTGCGTCTTTTCTTCAGACAACGAGCTCTCCAATCACAGGCATTTCTTGTTCGACCCTGCTATCGCACACGACGCGTCTACCATTGTCGCCCCTGGCATCCAAGAGCATGCGTCAGCACCAGAGGTGGAATACACAGCCGTTAGATCGGCAGCCGGGCGAACAGGGCGGGCAAAAATGAGGAGACCAGGGTGAATGCTTCTGCATCCATCTGAGACATTTCACACTTTTTTCTTGAGGCGGTCTGCACCCGGCACAAGATAAAGATTCACATTTTCCCCGCCACGCGTCTTTGGCTGACAATAGCAAAGTGTAGCTTAGCATGCAGGTGTAATGAAGTCCAAGTCCATGACCATGGCGATGCATGGCACCGCCTACCTACACAATTATTGAAAAAACACCTCGTCCGTCGAAGCATCAAGATCACCGACTTTTGCGAAGCCACTGTAAAAAAAAACTGCAAAACTCGTCCAGCTGATTGGCATACGCGTGTATAGTATGGCGGCTTTTATCCAAGATTGTGCATGCGTTCTCCTGCTTGCTCTCCCGGTCTTCGTCTTTTCCTTTCGCGAGCGACGGTACGTTAGGAGTACTTTCTCAGGACGCCTTCACGCCTCAGCCACTCGCGGGTGGGACGGTGGTTTGGTTGCTTCGCAGGAAGTGCTGCAGCGCGTTCAGTCTTGCGTCCACATCGCTCTGCTGCCGTCGCGGGGAGCAGCTACCCGTGCGAAACGAGGGTGGTTTCTGAAGTAGCCCGGGACTGGCGTAGGGTGACTGCCGGTTGTAGCGGTAGGGAGAAGAATTACTGTCACCTACTACTTCCATCTGCCCTCCACCGCCACCGTCGCGACTGCTTCCCCGTCGGCCGTTTGCACTACCAGGCCTGCTATTGTTTTTTGGAGGTCCTCGCATGCTCGCGATTCCGGCGCTGTGGTACGGTGAGGTTTGCCTCGGCGACCACCCTTGCTGGCTGCTCGGAGAGCGCCCCCGGCCTGCGCTTGCTCCGCGATGTCCAGGGCTTTTGTTGGCCACTGCACGCACAGCAGCGGGATCTGGTTGGTAGCTTAGCGGGCTCGAAGATGTGGCACCACCACGCCCACTTCCAATGGAGGTCACAAACAAACCGGGAGGTGGTCCTCGCTCGCCACGGTCAGAGGCAGTAGAGCCGGTGTCGAAACCCCCGTTCTTATAATAGCGCCCCTCATGTTGATCACCTCCTCGACTGGCAGCTCCGGGATGAACGAAATCTGGAATCGGAACACCGTGGTCGAAACTGCTGTTCACGCTGATGCCTGAGCCCGCGTTGTTCGCTGACGCGTGGTCTACAGCTCCACCACTTGACGAAGTAGGTGGCAATGCACCCAGGTAGGTGTTTCGTTCTCCATAAACAGGGGGCCTGCTGGCTTGGCTGCGCGGCTGGTTTGACGTCGATGGACTACTTCTACCTGTGGGCGGTGCCGGGTGAGCGTTGCGTCCCGCGCTTGGCGGTCGTTTATTGGGATGTGCCATGAGCATCCCAGGCCCTCGATCGCCGGCACTGGGACTGATGGAACGCACGCTTCGAGACGCTGGGCTTCTGTGTTGTATCGGCGGCCGCGCGGAGGAATTCATCATATGTTGACCACGAGAGGACGATGCAGTTGCTCCTCCACCACGAGTAGCTCCTGCCGAACCTGGGTTCGAATTTCGTCGCTCGCCGAAGAATGACCGCGCGCTACTAGCAGGGGACGAGGAGTGGCGCGGCTCGGGCATCGTCCGCCTCGTTCTCGTCGACGACGCCACAGACCGCACGGGGCTGGGTTCGCGGCTGCTCGCGACGCTGGACGCACGCGAAGCTGCGCGGGACCGGTGGGGGGAGTTGAACGCGCTTCCTCGGGCGCTACCCGGGCGACTGCTTCCGTTACCGTAGCCACTGCTGGGCACGTGCTGGTACAGTTGGTTCTTCCGCGCCTGCAGCTGCGCGCGGCGCAGCTCATCGTTACTCGCTTGGAGCCGCTTCGTCGTCGCCTCCAGTCGCTTCGCCTGGTTCTTGGCGAATGTGAGTTCCTTCCGGAGGTTCTCTGTTTCCTTCCGATGCTCGAGTAAGAGTTTTTGGCGCATCTCCTGGGCTTCGAGCTGCTGGCGGGAAAGCTGCTGCTTCAACTCACGGATCTGTTCCACGCCACCTGAAGATCAGATAATTCCATGTCGACTTCGTGTTATAGATGGGGATGACGAGGACGAGCAAAAGCAAATACGCGTTAGCCACATGTAAAAATCAGGTACGCGACACACAATTCCACAAAAAATCATGGGCAAAAAATCATTTCTGGGAGTGGACGTCAACGTCCTTCCTGCAGCCGGCAGCAGTGCGCTACCTGTACCACTTGTATCACAAGAAAAAGGAATGCTGGAAGGAATATATCAATGAAGTGGCGCGGTCACAACTTTCTTCGTTCGTCTATTTTATACCAGCTAGAGCACCAGACGAGAGTCCTCCTTTATTTTGCGAGGATGATTGCTGTTGCAGCGCTTGGCGCAGGCGATCATTTTCGGACCGGGCTTCGTCGAAGGAGTAGCGGAGTTGCTGCAGCTCTTGTTCCATTCGTCGCACCATGTGGGGCTCGTTCAGATTGCGATCCGACAGGGGCGAGGACTGCGGGGGTTGCTGGTGGTGGTACAAAGGATGATCCACGGCGTGCATTGATACGTCCGACTGGCTAGCCGCGCTGCTGGACGACGAGGGATAGGATCGGGCGTTCGTGTATTGCGACATGGTGTCGTTGGTCATCCGAAACACACTCTGCCCGTGCCCCCCCGCACCGCTCTGGTCGGCAACCACGGATTGGTTGATATTTGCAGTAGAGGATGCAGACGAAGCTGCCGCCGGCACCACACTACGCTTTTTCAGTTCCATCACTTGCTCCTTCAGGTGCTGAATGGTCTTGCGCATTTGCTCCGGGTCCTGGGGCGGGTCCTCGGCGGTCAGGGCGAGCGGGTAATGGACCTTGTCGAACTCCCCGGTATAAGTCAAAATCAGGTACCGCTTATTGTTGGGCGCTAGGCTGCTAGAAGGACTCGCATCTGAGAGGGTCAAACATGATTGATTTCAAGAAGGGTCGCAGACGCAACGTCTATACTCATCATTTTGTGGCTGTGATGATCAGATCTTGTTTCAGAACAGAAGTGAGAATGTAAGTTGTAGAAAATCATACATTCAACAGCTGCACGTGATAGTCAATGGAAGCTTCTTTCGCTCGTGCGTGAAAAAATTCAGCACGAAAAAAGATACTCGGAGGGCCACGGTCGGCTCTTTGGCGGAGCATATCCAGATCGCGGGAAGTGAGCACGTCCAAGTAGACAGAGGTGTTCCCCGCAAGAGCCGCCTCTTCGGCTGCCGCTGTGAGAATCATCTTCGCGAAGACCGCAAACGGCTTATCACAAGGAAAAACCCCCCCTCCCCATACCAAACGGAAGTTTCTGACGCTGGATTTGCGTATACAAATCAGGTCTGTCTTGCAGTAGAGGACTGCAGGCTCCTGCCAAGCCTGAGTAGAGAGGTTGTGGCCTAGGCGTTTAGCATGAGAAACGTCTATGCTATAGGCCCAACAGCATCACAAACCGCCTGCATAATGCGGCGGAGCCTGTGGAGCTGTCTTCTTGCAAGACATATGTGATCTGTGGTCTCAAATCAGCAAGACAAATTTTCGGAAACATACATTTTCGATACGGGGAGGGGGGATTTTTCCTCTCGATACGGCTTGAAGTTCCCGGTGCGCCGGGTGACCTCTTCGAGGAACGAGGAAGAGAGTATGGCGTTCTCAAACGTTACATTCTCAACAGTTACATGAATTTATAATGCAAGACTAGCACAGGTGAGAGGGAGACCCTTGCGCGTCTTGCATTACAGGTTTGGTGCGGATTACAGTGCTATTTAGCCCTCCGGGAATTTGTCATGCGAAGCAGCTTGATAGTCTGGCGGGTCATGGTCATTTTGCATGACAAATCATGCAACAGTTGAGAATGTCACGTTTGAGAGTCCCATAGAGAACGTCGCGCTCCATACCTGCTGGGAACCGTCGGTTTGCTCGATCCGCGCGGAAAAGCTTTTGTCGTCGGCGGCCAGTTTGACCATGTACTCCACCCCGTGAAAGACACGCGGAAACTCCTTGGCGAAGTCCACTGCCATCACGCCGCCCGACATGGTCTGGTGTGTTTCTTGTAGTTGGAATTAGTACGTCTACTCAGAATCGTTTCGTCATCATGTGTGCGAGTTTTAGTGTCGTGCGGTGAAATGGCAACGCGACGACTCAGTAGAGGTCGTGCGTAGACTCAGTTCATGTGGGAAGCCAAAAAATAAAGTGCGGCGCTGTTGTCGTAGGCCAGCACAAGTGCGTACGAAGCTGGTACCAAAATTGCTGGTACATACGAAAAAACCTTGAGACTGGCTGCTTTCGCACTTTGGATTTGGAGCAGGTCGCACTACGACGTCTGAAGCAAAAAGGACTACAGAGCAAGACACTCGGACTCACACACGCACACACACACACGCAAGATTCAAAGAAGTTTGCAGAATTTTGCTGCTCTGCAAGCTGAAGTGCGGAATACGAAGAAAAACACATCACGAACAAATTTACCGCTTGGCAGTTCTGCCTATGCGTTTGACAGACTTTGCCCCTTTGCGCTGTCGAATTGTGGCGAATCATCTTACGATGAGCGCAGCGCGTCTACTGTTGATTTTCTTCTCTGATGGCGTGTCAACAGAAAAAAGGTCTACCTGGGTCGGATGTAAGTACTACTTGCCGGGAGCGAGCCGATGATCCCGTCAAAACCGGTGGCTTCGTGTCTGATAAAATACAACGCTAGTCGCGAGAGTAAGTAAGTACATTTATTCGTGCAAGAGCCATTGCTGCACGTACACTGGATGTGCATCCGCTGCTCACTCCTTTGAGCAAGAGCACTAATTGACGCATTTCGAAATATACAAAGTGCGTCCGAGCGGGGATACAAAGCGTTCTGCCTTCACTTGAATGAAAACAACACTTTTGTTGGTGTTGTAGAAGAACTTGAGAGACGTAAGAAAATTTATAGAAAGTTCACACCGACAGCAGTGTGCTGCTTCTGTAGATACAACTAGCACTTGCTCTAGCGGTAAGTTCGCATTCGAAAAATTTCAGAAAATTTTCGCTCAAGCATGCTCATGCATTCCCATGATATCCATGATTTTTTGCGACGTTCAACATTGTTTCTTGTTAGTACTATGCGTGTTTTGATTTTTTGTTGTGGTGTTTCAACCATAGAAAAGAAGAACATGCCCCGTGCCTCTCAACGAAGGCTCACCTCGGTGGGAGGGCGTTTTCGGCGATGCTTCCGTGGCGGGAGGTCGTGTCTTGGGTGCGGTACAGGGTGCAACACTTCTCGTATGTCACTACTCCGTCCCAGCATCCTGGATGGCCCGTGGGACCGTACCTGTTGATATTCACGAAGAGAAAATTGATTCGCGTTTTTCTCTGTAGTGATTGCGTTTTCTTCTTACTTCTACCCACGAACATCAATATGCAGTTTATTGTTTCTCCAAGACACTGAGATCGATACTCCCATATTTATCGCAGCGAGAACAATTTGCGACCCAAATTTGAGCCGCGTGACAAGAATAGTTTTGTTTCTGCCTTCCTTTTATTTGAAAACAATTTGAATATACAAAACGGAAGACAACAACCACAAGCACAACGAAGAGAAAGATCGCAGAGTTACTGCTTATTTCAATACCACGGGCTGCAGCATATCTCCGGGGTGAAAGTCTGGGCCCAGCACCCCATGGGATCCTCCAACACGGGACCTCGCCTGGTGACGAACATCCTCAGCATGTTGAGACTGGTTTCCGACTTTTTGTACTCGCCGATCGCGCGGTTGTATTCTTTCATCATGCTGTGATACTCGTGCTTGTAGGATAGCAGTTCGTCGGCACACCTTTGCACGGCGGGCTCGCAGGACTCGGCTTTGGTGGTGCCTTGGGTGAGCGCTTCCAGCGTCGTTGTCACGATCTGCTCCTGCTTTTGGGGTGGCAGTTCTGGTGCCAGTTCCATTTCGTGAATTTTTGGAACGGGCTTACTGCAGACAAACGCGTTCTTCTTACTGTCTTTCACCAAACAGCTTCCATCGTGGAGGCGGTAAAATTGGCAGGCACGCGACGCGACAAAGCTGGTGAACGAGTTGGCTGCTCGCCAATTTTTGGTTATCAGTGTAGCTCTTTCCGTGCTGCCGTCACACAGCGTTGACGCCAGAGCGTCGCTTGCAGACGTGAGACCGAGGGTGTCAAGTAGGAAGGAGTCAGAACCGGCAGAAAAGCTCTGCTCTCGTGCTATCCCTACATAGGTTGCGTACTCCAGCAGAAAGTGCAACACCGTGAAGAGGACGCAAAACAGGAGAAGTGGTAATTTGACTATCCAGTTAAAAAAACGTTTCTTCATGCTAGTGTTCTTCGGACCCCGCGTGGATTGGTGTTCCCCGGCCGCTGCGCCAAGTATCGTTCCAGCGCGACCGGTATCTGCACTTCCATTTTCTCCTCCTACTTCGATTCCCGCTTTTCTCTTTAGCTCTTCGAACTGCGCCTGCCGCTCTTGTTCCTTTTCGGCCAGAAAGGCGTTCACCTGGCTGCAGAGCGTGTCTGACGCGTCCCGGAGCACCTCGTTTACCTTGTTCATCTGCTGGCTGCGCTCCTTGCGGAGGTCCCGATTTTCGTTCTGCACGTGGTCCATAAACTGCATCATCTTCTGCAGCAACTGCGGCTGACTCGACAACTGACTCGCGAGTTCAAACCGCCACTCCTCAAACATCGACTCGTGGTCGTTTTCCATGTCCATTTGCTCCGTTTCTGATCCCTCCATCGGCATGTCCTGGTCTTGCATCGAAAACTGCTCCGTGGTCGCGGAAATTACCGAGCGTGACCGGTTGTTGCTAGTTCCGTAATCGTAGTGCATCTGCTGGTGGTGCTGCTCTCCTGCTTGATGTCCTGTAGACGAGGGCGTTGTGCCGAAGGGTCCGGAACCCGCAGCACTAGAAGCAGGTCCCCCGGGACCGGTCGTCGTGGCACTACCACTACCAGCTGCTCCAGGATGCTGGACGAATTGCATGCCGTGCTGACTCGGGCTCGCTTGTGCCAAATCGAAGGCACCACCGCCGATTTCTGAGGACTGGCTGATGCGGCCCCGCTTTTCCGGCGAGCTGCGGGTGCTGGAAGCCGCGCCAATCGGGAAGTCAAAGTGCTTGCTGCTCGCGGTCGACACGGACTCCTCCAACAGATTGCGCAACACCGTGGGCGAGGAGAGCTTGTAGGCCGGCAGCTCCTGCATGCGCGGGTCCGCGATCACGCTGGTCATGCTCACGTTTTCCACGCAGGAACTAGAGTCGGAAGTTGTGCTGCTCGCGCCCTTCACGATCTTCAGCTCGTCAGAAGACGAGTTGGAACTGGAATCGATTAGCGTGAAGTTCTCCGCGTTTGTTCGCTGGCTTTTTCGTGTCAGCGCTGGGGGCTTCTCGTTCTCCTTGTTAGAGGCGGCGTTGGTCGCCGTTGGCGCGCGCGGTGGTTCGATCTGCGAGGCAGGCTCGGTCGGCGCGGACGCTGAAGCTGAAGGTGAGGGTGAGCCTCGGTCTTCTGCGGCTCCGGTCCTCGCGCCCGAGGTCGTCTTCTTGTGCGTCGGGCTGTTCGGGTCAAAGCCCCCCAGATCTTCCGCCGCCCCTTGCGAGGCAGACTTCCGACGAAAGAAGTTCATCTTGAAGAGCCGTGGCCAGGTGGCCGTTGACAAGAGAAACAATAGCAATACTAGCCGTTGTACTTCTTTGGTAGTGCTGGTGCTGACTCTGTGCTATACTTCTCTTGGAGCAAGATAAACAAAAAAATGGAGTTGACTTCGCTCCGTGCTGAGATAGATGAGCTTCAACAAGTTTCGCGCAACAAGGCCAGCGCGCTCTAGACGGAAAAAGAATTGTTTCTGAATGACACACGGGAATAAAATACAAATAGGCAAAATCCATGCTGGATTCCACTGGACCTAATCCATCAACTATGCTAGACGACAGGAAAGATTGATTCAGCTGCTTCATGATGACGAAGTTGAAATATCAAAATCTTCAATCTGCTTCAATAGGGCGCGCAAAAGGTAATAAACGGGTCAGAACCAAAAGTTAAGTGGCTGGATGGCAACATCAAAAGTAGATCAAAATTAAATTCTAAAGTAGGTGCGTTGGTGTTCCGCTCTATTGAGTTCTCTACAAAAGGAACTTAGAGATAAGTTTATTAAGTCTTGCCCTTCCGTGCTGTCTTCTCTACAATTGCGACTCCTCGTCCTTTGTGCATTCGCGTTTCTCAGAATTTAGAGCTGTGATGCTCAATTCTCACTCTGACTAGGATTCTGAATTCAGAATTCTCACTCCCCACTCATTGAAACTACAATCCTATAAGCATACTAGCTGCTAACATCACATCACGTCTGTGATCATCAGAACCCACACTCAAGGCGTTGCTTCATGGGACCAAGCCCTTGACAGACTTCGCGATAGTATATATCGACAGAGAAAGGTATTGGTATGTTTTTGTTTCCGGTGTACCACGACCGTGTGGAGCGAGTCGTTATTACCTCCCACATATATTCAAGGTCTTGTCCTATTTTACCAATAATAGCCGCCTCAGCGGGGGTAGTGAGGTCATGGCTGTTTTTTTGTCTTCACGCCAAAAAAAGACGCGACTTCTTTGCCCGCCATGCCATCGCGAGTAACGTTATGCACGACGGCACGGCGGTCACTGAAAATCTCGACCCAGGGCTGGCCTCCATTTGTTTTCGAATCGAAAAGCCTTTCCCGCATGCTATGGCCCCGCCAGGGCCCCCGCCAGGGTTGGCCCCTTGGGAGCCCCAAATCTGGCCCGTAGCATGCGGATTGGCTTTTCGCCTTTGGCGGATTTTGTTTTTTTTTGTTCTTTTTGTCAAAATGCCGCATCTTCTGGCCTTGAGTCCGCCTCTGAAATGGCGGATTTTGGTGGCGTCTTTTACGGGGCTGGAATGTGAGCCAAAACGAGGCCCATACCATGCGGATTCGCTGTTTTTTCCGGACTGCTGCTTTTTGGGCGCCCCTTTTTGTCAAGTAGGTCAGTTCTACCACAACCGCTAGGGTCTTTAAATGCGTTCAAGATTTTAAATATTTTTTTTCATACATGGGATCCGCCCAAAGCGCCGCGCCTCCGACCGGGGTCGCCACGTTGGCCGCACAGCCCGCCGCCATGATCTGAGCCAGGGTCTTGCCGCTTTTCAAATTTAACACCGAGAACGCCGCACTTTTTTCGAAAATGCGACAGCACTCTTAGCCTGGGGCCCCTACCTTGTGGCCCGAACACCTGGACCACCAGCGGCCAGGCCCCGAGACTTCCAGCCGCCGCGAAAGCGGCGGCCGCGCGCCCACGACCGCTCGCGCCGCTCGGAATTCCGGCCTGGCGCCGCCCGCGCCGCTCGGAGCGCTTCCGGCCGCTCGGGCCCTTGCCGGCGCTCCGGGCCGCTGCCGGGAGCGGGACGGGCTCGAGCGGCGCAGCGAGCGGCCCGGGCGGCTGCGCCGCTCGGACCGCCCGGGCCGCTCGCGCCTCTTCGCTGCGTTCGCGGCGCCCCGGTGCGCTCGGTGGAGCGAAAGGCTTCCAGGGGCGCGAGCGGCACCGCCCTGCGCCCCGGCGCGGGGGCGGCCGAGCGGCCCGGACGGCTGCGCGACGGCTTCGCGCGCGCGACAGTTTTTTTTTTTTTTGCTGCTACACATTAATTTGAAAAAACGAGCGCGATTTTCTTCGGTCTCGCTCTCCTGCCATTTTGCGAATCCGAAAAAACGAACCGACGAGCGCGCGCGCCCCACCATCTTTGTCCCCCATGTGAGCCAGACTAGAATAATCTTGCGTCACTGGAATGTGGTTAGCCATGCTAAACCAAGTGCAAGCTTTCATTTCGTGAACGCATTTAAAGCGCCGAGCGGTTGTGGTAAACTGACCTACATAATTTTTGGGCGCCCCAAATCGCCAGAAACTAAGGCGGCGGGCGCCTCAGAAGGGCGCCCCTTTTGCCGGCTCCCCTGCGTCGTTTTATCAAGCGAGAATCGATAGAATCCGCCCGGGCTACTTTGCCGCTAAAGCCCCGGCCGCTTAATAATTGAAAATCTTTTTCGTCAAAAAACACTTCCGCCCGCTTGAAAACTGCCGGCCATTTTGCAGGTGAGGTGGCAAAAAAACAACTAGGATAGAACGTTCGTGACCTCACTACATACAACTGCCAAAATCTTCCTCGTTCTAGCATCTCGTGTTTGTTTCTGATATGATAACTATCCGTAAGCGCGTGCGCGGCTTCTTGGGTCATAGATAACTACTTGTACAGTAATCTCGATTTCCTCACTGCAGCTGCAAATGTAGTTCATCAACAAATTTTCATCCTGTTGGTAATGGTATTTTTTCTAGATTTAGGTGGATAACTAGTAAGGATAACAACAACAACATGCACATCTACTACATTCTGCTACTAGGCAGAAGAGTTTCTCTTCCTGTCTCCATCCCGAATCGTGATAAAGCACTTCAACAAATTCAAAACTGTTTCTTCTGCTCCCCCTTGATACGAATCACACTGGCACAAAAAGCGAAAGGTCAGAAAATGAAAAGAAATCAAAAAAAAAGTAAATTTTGTGCTTGTAGCACCTGTGGAGCTGCACACCGAAATATACACGTAGCACAAGATAAATTTCATCTTGCTTGCAAAAATCTTCCGAATGTCCTGCTCGAAGTTATTTTTTGACACAAAACTTTTTTTTAGCTGCTTTAGAAACTGTGTTACAACTTGCAATCTGCTGCTACTAATATCTGTAGTGTCGTCCTATTCGTACAACAGGAGTGCTATCCCTGGCGGGGACGCACGCTATTCCTGCGGATGGAATGGCGGAAAAAACATCCCTGCGTTGATCGTACTGAAGTCCCCATCTTCGTGAGCGCCGTCCTGAACTGCCCTTTCCTGGCGCTGCTGCTGGGTCATATTGAGTAACGCTCGCTGCTCATCGGTCAAATTGTACAAAAATGGTCGCGCTGTGGTACTCGCCGGAGGTCCGCCTGCGGGCCCGGAATAACCGATCGCACCTCCAGTTGTCGAAGTTGTCATTGCAGCTGACGGTGGGCCCGCACCGACAATGGGGCTCGATAAGATCACAGAAATGGGCTGCTGCAACTGTTGTTGCTGGCTCACTTGCAAGTTGTTCGACGTCGCGGCTGGTGCCGCCACAAGAGCAGGCGCAACGGAAGTAGGTCCGGATAAAATTACGAACCGCGGATCTACTGCCGGCGGGAAGGGTAAAGTGCCTCGGTTTATTTGCGTTTGCTGCTGTGCGGTTGTTGTGCCACCTCCACTAAGTTCCGCGTCGCCTCCTGCGCGATAATGTTCGCGAGGCATTGTCGTGTACTGCTCAGTTTCGTACGCTGAATTGCTGAAAAAGGGTGCCGCGGACCTCGCCTGTGCGTTGTTCTGATTGTCCATGATCTGCCGGGTTTGTGGATGGTCACGCTGTCGCTGCTGCTGGGTCTTCGTGTAGCCGTGATTGCTCCAGCGGTTCCAGTTCCTGTTTGTCGCTTGTTGCTGCGAGTCTTTGTCTTGATGATCTGATTCATCTGCTGGCGCTCCTCCTGCTGGCACAACACCTCTTTTAGAATGTTGCACCGTGGCCGCGCCGCCTCGCTGCATTTGATGTTGCAGCGCATTGATACGGTTTGCTTCTGATTGAAGGTGGATGAAACGTGGGTCATTCTGCATCGCTGAGCTGTCTTGCTGATCTTCTTGACCACGCTGGCGGCTGCCTCTTCCGGGATTCTCGTAAGTAGCTCTGCTGCTCCAGTTCTTCATAGCACCAGTGCTACTGTAGGAACTGCTGGCGTTGTAGTTGGAATTGCTAGTTGTATACGCAGGAGCGTCTGAGCTTGCATATGGGTAGTTGCGTGAAGCACTAGCGGAACTCGATTGGGGATCATCACGGGCAGGAGTGGTGCGGTACCTGTCTACTGTGGTCGCGGCACCTCCCGGAGGGCCATAATTATATCCACGACCCTCGGGCGCCATCATCCCTTTCGCTCCTTTACCGCCACTTGACTGGTTCTTCTGGTGTTGAGCGTGAGGAGAAGCTGAAGCTGTTGAAGCAGCAGGCACAATGGCAGATCCGTGTCTACTGGTGATGTGCGAAGAACCGTCGTAGTAGTTGTTTCGATACAAGACTTCGTAGCCCGTTGTACTTCCGGAGGAGGTTGAGGCTCTCGGAGGCATATTCAGCAGATGATCATTGTAGTTCACATAGGTAGTTGATGAGGCCGCGCCTGCGGTGGCGTTAGTGTGCGCGTTGCTGCCCGACATGTTGATACTCCTTCCAATTGTAGAAGTCTCCCCCCTGGCGACGTCGGGACGCAGCCTGATGATATCATGCAGGTTTTGATCAACATCACCGAACAGCTGTTGGCCAAGCTGTTCGTGTTCCTCTCTGAATCGGCGCTCTGCCTCCGCAGCTAAAAATCTCTGCTTCGCTGCTGTGCGCCGCTTGCCACCACGCCGCCGCTTCTTTCTCTGACGTGGTTCTTCGCCCTCGGCGGGATCTTGGTCCTCCTCCTCTTCCTCCTCCTCGTCCGCATCGACGTCGTCCATGTTTTGCCTCACCTCCGGCTCTGCCCTGTTCTCTGCCTGTTGTTCCAATGGGAACGGGCGGCTGCCTCTTGCAGGAGTGATGCGCGAGTTTTTACCTGTGTTTGCATTTTTTTTGTATTGATTCACATCGGCTTTTTGGGCTTCAACAAGTAGCTTACACGTTGCTTGTCCAGTATACTGACTGTCACATCAACGCTCGGTGTAACGCAACTGCGCTGGGATTACGAAAACCTTCTACTTGACCTGTTACAAAAAGCACCAGATAAGGTGGAACCAGTTTCCACTTTCTGCGGCGCGTGATCTGTTCCAGATGCGGCAAGGCCGCCAGCACCAGCAGCTGCAGAAGCCTTTGTCTTCTTGCCTTCGTGGTCCCGCCGACCGCTTGCGTGCTGTCTTGCGGTACTAGTAGTTTCTGGTGCGACGATCCGGCCACTGGTTGCTGCAGGGCTCTTCGAGCGCTTTTTCTTCCCGATGGCGATGGGTGCCGTTGGATCGTCGGCATTGACCTTCACGGGCACCACCACAATGGCACCGGAGCCGTTGCTGGTAGAGTGGGACCCCGTGCCGTCGCCGTTGCTGCCGCTGATGCCGCCCGCGGTCGTGAAATTCTTCTGCACGGTGAGAGCGGTTTTCGCGGCCTGCAGCTGCAACTCAAACTGCTGCCTCTCGGCGAAGTGGGCCAACTATCCTGTGCAAAAGTATCGTACTCGTATTGCAATCATGCATTACAAATCCTTTTGTTGAGGTAAATCCGCATTACAAATTTTATTTCTCATGTCGAGGAAATTTGTAATGCATTTATACGAGTACGATACTTTTGCAGTTCATACCAACTCGATCTCGACAATGTGCTCCTCCAACTGGTTGATCAGGTGCTGTTGCTGCAGCGAGAGGGTTGACAGGTTCTGCTGCTGCGCCGGGTTCGTATTGTGGACGATGGTCTGCTGGTTCAGGACATTGTAATTCAGCGTAATCGATTTCGTAGAGCCGCTTCTGGTTCCCGTTCCGCCCGCTACCGCTTCGGACTTTTGGCGAACCGCCGCAGGGGGCGTCGGCAGCGGGACTGGAGACGGAGCTGGCGACGGCGTCTCTCCCATGTATTGCGGCTGGTTGACGTCGTCCTCTTCAACGGTTTGGTGCAGCTCTGTAGCAGCATTTCGTTGATGATCCTGTTGCGGAGGCGGAGTCTTTGAGGAGTGCGTTTGAGATTTTTTACTTCCACCATCTGAAACCACCACGTTCTGCACCTTCGGAGACTCATCTGAAGATTCCAGTGGTCCTTTACCGATATCGTCCGTGGTGGAACTGGATGCTGGTTTTGTGTTTATCACTGGAAGAACAGCCCCGGTGCTAGTACCGCCCTCTGCATTTGTAGCCGCAGCAGTACTAGAGTGGAGCCCCTCTTGCGTCGCACCGCTGGAACACCTCGAAACTGACGTTGCAGGAGCTCCTCCTGCACTACTCGTCGCTCCTTTTGGCAGTTCTTGTGAGTCTCCCCTACTGGCGGGCAGCTGCAGCTGCGCACCATCCTGCGTCGCTGCCTTGGTTTCTTCGGCTACGCCAGACGAGCCGCGCGACTGGCGCGCCGTTCCGGAATGCTGCGAGTGTGACTGCTGCGACTGCGAGTGCTGCGACTGTGAAAGCTGCTCTTCGCTCAAAATACGGCCCCCGCTGACGCTCGAGGAGTGCGTGGACGTTGCCCCGTCCACAAGGAATCCCGCCATGATGTTGAAATGACCCATCGTGGAGCTGTTTTCCGAACTCTTTGCTGGCCCGGAGCTGCTCTGCCCACTGTAGAGGCCGGTCTCCGAGAGCCGCGTGTTCCCGTGGACCCTCCGGTGGTTGTTCATTCCGCCAGCGCTGCTGCTGTACGTATCACTGGATGTCCCGCGTTCCAAGAGCTCCATGGCCAGCAGCTGAACCGCCTCGTTTCTGTTGTCGTCCAAGACCAGCTGCCCGGACGACTCAGTAGCCGGCTGTAGTAGTCCCTGTTGCAGCGTCGTGCTGGATGAAGAAGCCGCGGCGAGCAGCACCGGTCCCGGTGCTGCACCGTTGGTCGCTTTTGAAGATGAACCGTGCAGGAGCAATTCCTGCTCAAGTTGCGGTTCTCGGCGCGTATGACCACCTGTTCCACCTGGACCTGGCGGAGTCCGTTGTTGCTGCGCGACTGCGTTGGAAGTGGACCGGTGGCGGTGCCATTGTAGTTCCGCGGGGATGTTCAGCACAGCACTATCCCGCTCGTGTACGAGCGGCTCATCTCGATATCTCTTCGCGTTGATCGTGTCCAGACGACTGTTCTCTTTGATGACCGGCTCCACGACGATGTGATCCGCACCCACACCGGTGCCACCTGTGCCGGTAGACGACGACGCGACGTTGGACAAAAAGAAGGGCAGGTCCGGCGTGTTGTTACTTTGCTCGAGAACCGGAGCGTAGCTGTTGTTCGGCACGAGTCGGAAACCCTTCTCCCACGGGGCTACAAGAACCCCGCTGCCACCAGCGGTGGTTCCGGACGTGCCGGAAGTAGATTCCTGTTGCGCGTTGCTGCTCACAGAAGGCACAAGATTGTTGTGCCCACTGGTGGTGACCGGGGGTGGAAAAACGCCCTTCGTCGTGACCGTGAGGTAGTAATTTTCAGTAGACCCACGAGCTGGTGGAGATGACGTGGACGAAGACGACTTCTCCTTCTGATTGTGCATGAATCCAGGGGCGGATGCCAGGGGCGGCTTCAACTGCTTTGCCAAAAACCGATTCAGTTTCTCTGGCGCGGACCGGTACATAAGCGTCTCATCATCCTCGTCCTCCTCTCCGCTCACAACGGAATCTGAGTCGGAATCTGGGACCTGAAATTTTTTGATAAAGTTGTACTCAAACAACAAGTGTTGCAACTAGCTATTCGAAATTCAAATATGCGCCGTTTGTGCATTATTTCCTCAAGTGTTGGACGAGACCTCTGCATTTGATGGCTACCGTGACGAGCAGAAGCATTCCATATACCTGCCGAACTTGAAGTGCCGCGTCAGTGCCATCCCGCTGCTCGTCCAGTTCTTCTTTCGCAGGCTGCAAGGACGTCCCTGTTCGAGAGTCTTTCGAGCGCTGCGACGTGGTGAGAATGTCCTTCGGTGCTTGATCTCGACCGCGCGTCCTCGCCGGCGACTCGTCGTCTGCTACATCGGGAGTGCTGGCGCACTGCAGCTTCAAAACGCGGCCCTTTGAAGACGCGGATGGGGCGGGTGTGAAAGATGAGTCGCCGTCCGCATCTACTACAGCTTTGATTCGCGGCCCATTTTTCGTTGCTGCGTCCGAAACCGCAGCTGCCATTGTTGATGCCGTTGTTGCGAGCGCACCACCACCAGCACCTCCTTGTTGAGTACTAGAGGTTGATGCTCTTGACGCGGCGAGCATTTTGGAGAACGACAGGCTGCGGTTAGTTAGCACGCGGATGCGGCGCTGGAGCAAGTCGATGTGATGCAACAACCGCTGCTCGATAATGCGTGCGGAGGAGAGCCGCGACTCCACATCCTGGATCTGGTTCAGGTAGGCCTGCGCGGCGGAGAAGAGGTGTTTGGTTAGGTCAAACACCTTCTTGATTAAGTGCGGCAGCTCGATGAAACTCTTCATACTGTACCCGGTGGTCTGGCGCAGCGTGGACAACAGCTGAAACATGGCTGCGTCCTGAATGGAGGACTCCATTTCCGGAGCTTCTTTCTCTTCTGCATGAACAGCATCTACTTGTTCCGTCGCTGGTACAACCTCCAGAGGGGAAGTGATCATGGTGGTTGTCGAGGTTGTGGTAGTGCTAGTGGTGGTGACCACCTGCTGGTAATTGCGAAAACGGTTGTACTCCGTGTTTCGCCCGAGCTCCGTCTTCAAATACTCGTCGTAGGTCAGGCCATCGTTCAACTCGTCGGGCGACCCAACATCAGAGTCTTCGTGTGCAGCACCAGATGTAGTTGCACTACGATCAGCTCCGCTTCGGTTCGAAGCTTGTCGCGTCAAGGTCTCCGCGGCCGAGGTAGCTTTATGATCGTCGAGCATCATGCGTCCTCGACTGGTGTCCTCACCGGCTGCAGTGCGTTCTCCGCTCTCGATACTGGAACCGATTTTATCAAGAAGTTTTTGCGATGAAGATGCTGCGGGTTGTTCTGAAGTTGTGCCAAGCTTCGTTCGACTCGATTTGCGACTGCTGGACGCGCTCACACAGCCCGAACGTTGCAGCTGCCGTTGCGCAATTCTCGTAGACGCGAAGAAGATGCCCAACTCGCGATCTCCCTGCCGTAGCTTCTTCTCCACATTCAAAACGGTGCTGGCAATTTGCTTTTTGATCTTGCGGAAATTCATGGCCATCTGCTGCGTGATCAGGTGCCGCTCCGCGAGGTTCAGCGTCACTTGTGGCTGCGGGGGCGCCTTGGACGTGAAGCTGCCCATTCGACCGAACTGTTCTAGGGAACTTAAGCCACCCGATCCCGTCAGGTCGGACGACGTTCCGGTGCCTGTGCCCGCTCGATTGGCGGCAGAAGTGCCGCCGCTCGAGGTGGTCGCGTGCGACAGGAAGGGGGAGTTCACACCACGCACAAACTGGTTGGCGCCTTCAAAGGCGGTCAAAGCGGCATTGCCCGAGGTTTTGTTCGCGTCATTCTGCTCTTCATCAGGAGCGCCAGCTACTTTGCTGCTACTCGACTCTACTCCGGGCCGTGCAGCGCTTCTTTCCTCCGCTCCTCCAGAAGTTTGCTGAGCGGCCGAATTATGCGAGTCGGTGACGCCAGCCCCGTTCTTGCCAGTTGGGGTCCCAGCATCTGCATCTCTCGCCACCCCAGGAGCCCCTCCTGCGTTTTCTGCTGAGGTACTACCAGTTGTTAGCTGATGTGAAGATCGGCCCTTCGACCGTCTTTTGCTCGCACCGCCCTCCTGGACCTCGTCCGGGTGCTTGATGGGTAGTTGGGCGCCGGGGCCGGGCAGCCGCTGCAGGTGCGTGACGTCCTTCAAGAGACCCTCCAGAAAGTCTACGGGCATGGTGGAGGAACGGAGACAGAGGTCGGCCGTGCAGAGATGGGTGATGTCGAGGCCGACCCCCGCCTGGCCGCGCAGGGGGGACTGGTGTCCTTGTTGGTGGCTTTTGGGCGTTGGGCCGCTGTTCCCGGACGAGGAGGTGTTGATCGTCACCTCCTTTCGCGTGCTCGGTGGTACGCGCTTGGGAATGCGGCTCAACGACATCGAAATGGTGTCGTTTTCGCCGGCGGCACCGGTATCCTCCTCGCCGTCCGCGTCGCCACCGACGTCCCCACCACTGCTTGTTGTATCTGTCGTCGTCATTAGATTCCGTGTGGTCCTCGTGCTGCTCGATGGCTGATCAACATTAAGAGGATCATCTCGGACGACCAGATCTTCTTCTTCATCTTCTGTGGCCGCGCCAGTTGTCGGCGGGGCGTCCGCACCAGCCGCAGTGTCCACCTGCTGGTTTTGGTGCTGTTGGGCCGAAACATCCACGTTGCTTGAGTTCGTCAAACCAGACCCCGCCAGGCCATCGGGGTCCTCCCCTTCCGTGGTTACCTCACGACTGGTACCGGCACCGCTACTCGTGTCTTGCCGCAGGGCCGGCTGGGGCCCTCCAGCAGTCGTTGTGCCGGTGGAGGTTCGCAACGCGCCCTTGTATCGAAAAGAAAAATCCCCCCTCCCCATATCGAAACGGAGATCTGTGCTGCTGGATTTGCGTACACAAATCAGATTTGTCTTGCTGAAGGGACGGCAGGCCTACATCAAGCCTGAGTAGAGAGGTTTTGGCCTAGTCGCTTAGCATCAGAAACTCCTGCGCTGTCGGCCTAACCGCATCACAAACCGCCTCCATAATGTGGCGGAGCCTGTGGAGTTGCCTTCTTGCAAGACAGAGATGATTTGTGGTCGCAAATCAGCATTGCAAATTTTCTGCGACGTACCTTTTCGATATGGGGAGGGGGGATTTTTCCTTTCAATACCTTGCTTGGCCGCTTCAGAACGCTACTAGCGCCCTCGCTGCTGTGCGCACGGCGCCGGTGGGCACTTTTTGTCGAAGAGGAAACCGCACTCGGGGGGTTCAAGCGCTGCATTTCCAGAAACTTCTCGATGATCCCCGCTAGCCGCTTGCAGGTGTTCTCCCAAAAGGCGTCCGAGCGCTTCTTACCGTGCTGCATGCCGTGCATTTCTGCCCTGTTCTTGTTCAGTTCTGCTGACAAATGAATGGTCATTTTTTTCAGCTGCGACGATTCCTGCGTCATCTTTTCGTACTCTTTCTGGGTAAGCTGCACGTTTTCCGCGGATTGCTTTTTGATGTAGCCCTGCAGCACCTGGATGCGATCCTCCGCGAGTTGCAACTCCCTCTCCGCGCGAACCCCACGAGATGCTTGCAATTCCAATTCGTGTATTCTGCCCGGGGTCCTTTCATCAGGATGTTGGTCTTGTTGCCCCTGGTAGGAGAAAGAAAGCTGCCTTTGCTGCTGTTCCCGTTCCCCTTCGGTGGAATTCTCGGAGAAGTCGTGCTTCAGGACTCGCTGTATGTTCTCCTGTTGCATGAAGCGCCGCTGCGCTTGCATCTTCACATGATGGCTCAGCTCGTCTACGCGCGCTCGCAGGGCTGCGTTCTCCGCGAGCAGCTGTTGACTGACTTCTGCTGGAGACGTTTTAATACTATCCTGCTTCTGTTGGGCGTGTTGGAGCGCAAAAAGCTGGTGGCGCTGTTGCTCCACTTCATGACCTCCAACTCTTCGAGGCGAGGATCCGTTCACTGCACCGCCAAACTGAATTGATCCGCTATCCCCTGCAATAAACGGTGGTGAGTGCAGCTGCTGGGCACCACTAGCACTACTAGGAGCGACGACGTGCTGGTGCAGCTGCTGTGAAGAAGACCCGGCGTAGCGGGGAGGCTCGATGCCTGGCGGCGGTTGCCAGAACAAACTTTGGTTACCCCAAGCGGGATCAGGGTCCTCCTCGTTGGTGCCAAGTAACGCGATCGACGGCTCCTTTGGCTCCTGCTGATACTTCTTCACATTCGCTTGTTTTGAGGAAGACACAGCAAAGCCGTCGTCGTTGTTTGCGTTGTAGGCATCAAAAATGCTACGACCGCGGTGGTGCTCGCTGAGATCCAGGCCACCCTTTGTCCCCTGCTTCCCGAAATGATCTGGAGAAGTGGTCATACTCATTGAGCTAGCTGCCTGCGAAGCCTGTTGTCGGCCAAACGAAAGTGCGGCGAAAATTGCGCTTTTGTTCTTCTCCACCGGCTCGTCGCGACTGGCCTTCCGCGTGGGCTTCTTGTTCATCACGTGGTCCAACATGTTGTTCATCTCTACCGAGGTCGTCGCCCTGCTACTAGTCTTAGTACCGTCGCTCGGTAGTTCACCACGAAAATTCTGCTTCAGTTTTTCCAATGGGTTAATATTACCAGCCCCAGGACCGCCGGCAGCGCCTCCCACCGCATAAACCTGTGCACCTCGTCCACCAGCAGCGGCTTTCGCCTTGCTGGTACTACTGCTTGACGACAGTTGACTCGCGCTCGTCAGGCCGCTGAACAAAGGCGGTTCGTCCGATTGAGGCCGTGGTGACTTGGACGTGCTAAGTAATTTTGGGAACACCTGGTCATACTGTACGAGGTTCTTGTTGGACCGCGCTCCCGCTGCAGACGGGCGGTTCTCCTCGCGGTCCGGACGGTCATATGAGAAAAACGACTGTGCTGCGTCCGGGTCCTTCCGACGGTCGCTGTTCCAACTACCCTCGTCACGATACATCTTGATCTTCAGCTGTTAAATCATTTAAGTATTTTTCATACAAAATAAAACAGACCTTGACCCGAGCCCGACACCGTTACCGGCACCGACTCGATTTGAAAAAGTACAGCTAGTTCGTTGTAGCCTAAGGAGCATATGCTAATGCTTTTAGGTGTATCTTTCGTATTTTTCCGCAACATGCAAATGCATGAAATTGGCCACGTGAAGCTGGTTTCCAGGAGAACAAGCGAGCGCAACCAACAGCTGCCCAAGCCCCAGAGAACAAGCGAGCGAAAAAGATCTTCTACATCAATTATGCATACGCCGGGCAGTACGTCGCTGGTGGACGCTGGTGGACGTGGAACAAACAGACCCGTGTCACAAGATACTTCACTTCATAAGACTTGGACTTGTCTCAAATTTGTAGAAGATTATGAAGCATTTATTGATTTGGATTTTACGTGCCCGAAAAAAACAAAACCTAAATAGATATGGTACGCTCTCAGTCTCACTATATTTTGATGATATACACTTCTATCTTCTGAAGAGGGGTTTGCAACGATCATGCAGAATCATTGTAGTCTTAATCTACGACCTAGGATTAAAAGCCAGGGGCAAAAATGATTCGTCCTACTTCATGTTCATGGTGAAGAACAAAAGACGAAAACCAATACAACAAGTTTCAACTACATCACTGGTACGATACGTTTACCAGACGCTGGCACGGAAGAAAGAAACACAGACACAAGCGCTTATTTTCCGAATAAACATTGTGACAATTCATCATTGGATTCTCCCCTGCACGCCAGGTCGGTTATCGAAAAAGAAAAACTCATTGCCTGCTGAAGCATTGGTTGCTACCCGTACCCGCCAACTACAAATCATCAGAGACCAACATGAAACTGTCTTATACCAGCCGAAAAAGGCCAAGGAGAAGGAACTCTTACCGAAAAAAAGCAGCATGGACCGACACACTCACAGAGGACGAACCAATAACAACAATCGATTCATTTCTACTCTCCGCAACCGCACCAACTTCAAAAACGAAATACAACAAAAATAAAATCGATTTGGGTGCTAGATAACGAAAAGGAAAACCTAAACCAAACAGATCATCTGCGACCGACAACATGAAGATTTTTGTTGTTGGGACTGCACGACATAAACAAACCGATGACTATATTGTGTTCCATCACATTCAACATCAACACACGGTTAGGTTATGAGAGCGCGACGGGGCGGTAGTTCCGGTGCCTTTGATCACGAATAGACTCCTACACATCAATATAGCCTTCGTTATGCATTACACATACACACCCATGGCTGCGAAACATCTTCATTATGTTTTTTCATCAATCAATCCAAGGGGATGCGCTGGCTAACGCTCTATATTCATTCAGCATTTTCAACATTTTTGAACGTCGTAGTCTTTCATATTCGTTTACCTTTCCTCATTCTCGTCCCGATGAGCGGACGGGGAATGCTGCATTGTTAACCAAAGACAAACTTGAACGAAGATGATCGGAGTCACCGGATGCTGATCCCATTTCGATTTGTGTGTGGATTTTCTATTGTGCTAGTACGACACATCGAGGTGCGTCATTTTCATATTTTTTATGAGGTCGAAAATGTACTCACAAGCTAGAACCTCATGAATTAAACTTAAAGATCGGGCGCTGGTAGTTGTTCTTGCTCGACCTGCTGGTCTCCTGTCGGAACTTCGTCGTCAATCTGCCACCAGTACATCCAGTCCATGGCAAGGAAAACCCTTTGATTCGGTCGGTTCTCCCACACGGCACGCACCACTCCGGGCCATTGAGGACTAAAATCGTGCCCGAGCACCAGCCCCCCAGGAACGATTTTGGGGATCCAGAGCCGGAGATCCTCCTCGACGCAGTGGTAAAAGTGGCATCCGTCTACAAAAACTGCATGGATGGATTGGTCGGGTACGTTTTTGACCTGTAAAGTGCGATCGGATTTTCAGTCCTCTCAGAAACCGTCGTGGTTCTGCGAATTGCAGCATACAACGCTTGTTGTGCATGCGTGGGAGAAGGGAGTTGGTTTGCATCTATGCAAATGATCATGTTTTGAACGAACGATGAAACCCGAACAAATACAAATGCACAACGATAAATTCTTGTAACGTAAATAAATTCTATACGGCCTCCAATGACGTGGTCGGCCACAGCGTCGCGCGTCCGGGCCCTGACTCTTCGTATATGGCCATGGCGTTCGAGTAGGCGACGGATGGGTCCAACGTCTGCGAATAATCGCCTGGAAAGGTCTCGTCCGTACCCACGTACGGATCAATACCTAAGGAGGTGGAACGTTCATGCGCAAAGCGAATTTATTATTCGACCTGAACGGACCGTAAAATACACTATTCTCACAGCCATGAATAACATCAAAAACAATCAACAAGCCGAAATGTTGAGAATAATCAAAGAAACGCACCTATCAGCTGAAGTTTGGGGAACTTCTCGAGAAGAAACTTCGAAAAGTGGCCGGCAAACACGCCTACTTCTACCACCCGCAGCTCTTCTACTCCATACTCTTCCAGCAACGAGTTCACGATTTCCCACCGCATACCAAACTTCTCGCTGAAAAAGAAGCGTGGCTTCGACGTTGGGAGGGGGTACGTGTTGTTGGCGTCGTTAGCCCCGAGCTTCTCCCATCGCTTTATATTGCCCCACTCCGTGTGAACCACCTGCTTCGCCTCTATCACGTCTTGGACCTGTGCAAAGGACGATAATCGGATGAGTGCGGAATAGCAATAGGTACTTACCCCGCAGCTGGCACGATTCCCACCTCTTTTTCATTCGCATTCCTATTTGCATATAATATGCCGACGATCATTTCAATTTTTTCTCTGTTATATCCTTATTGGATTTCGTGCTAGTGCTGGTCCTCTGGCTTGTTCTGCATTCAATCAATACGATTCGGTTTTCCTGTAGTTTCTAGACTTAAACCACATCGGTTGCAGTCGTACCCACAGAAAGTGGTTAGCCTGCCACGCGTTCCATCGGACCCACTGCGACACGTCGTTGACGACGTCCACGGAGAGGCGCCAGAAGTATGAACTGCAAAAGTATCGCACTCCCACTCGTATAAATGCATTACAAATTTCCTCAGCATGAGAAATAAAATTTGTAATGCAGATTTGCCTTGGAAGCAAGATTTGTAATGCAAGACTTGCATTTGTACGAGTACGATACTTTTGCACAGGATAAGAAGGTCGAGGGCGGAATTTTCCCCGCGTTCTGGTCCTGCTTGGCCATTATGCATTGCAAAAGTATCCCTTGCACTTGCTTTAGTAAAATTAGCATCACAAATTTCATTGGCAAGAGCATAAGTGGGATTTGTTATGCTGACGCAGCTTGGAAAAGACATTTTTCATGCCTGGATGCAATTTATACGAGTCAGTTGCGCGATGCTTTTGCAGTGCATAGCTACCAGGCCTTCCAGGTACTTTTTGCGCCACTTGCCGACCTGGTCGGCTACGTAGTATTTCAGGGGGCTCAAGTAAAATATCAAGTGCAAATATGTCTGGGTCTGGAAGAATGGAAGGTTTGGTTGGTTGGTTGGTTGGGTAGCGCCTGTCGCCGGTGCAGGTCCCGCCCTCCATCGATTGCGATCCGGAGTAGCCGGAACACAAGGCCCTAGTGGCGCAATCAAGGTTTGTCATGCATATTTTGAATGACCCATGACGTCTGCAATGCATGCCCTAGCATCACAGATTTTGAGAGCGCTTTGCGATGCTTCTACCGCATGAAAAATGTTGCCCTCTCAGCGTAGCACAAACTACTGGAGTCCTCTTGCTGGTCTTGCAATACAAATTTTTTTTAGGATCCAGAGACAGCATCACAGGTTTAGAACCTTCCCGACCCAGACATATTTGCAATCCATATAAAACCGCTCCTCGCACCGCTCCATGCGGCCCCGGATGTAGTTCGCCGCCATGTTGAGAAAGGGCTGGCAGCCCACCGTGTCCCCGTACAGGTTTACCGCGTTCTCGTGGTATTTGTCGTCATCACTGCCGCACAGCACCATGTAGCCCAAGCTCATGGCCATCAGGTCGAAGGACAGCACCGTTAACGCCTCGCAGCCCCGCTTCTGCACCTTCTCATTCCCAGTGACCTTGCAGGTCAGCATGGTCTCGTTCACGCCGATAATCAAATCCTCTATCCCAGGACTGGTTTTGGCGGCACTGTAGGCCTGCTCGAGGCAATACTCGCTGTCGGTATTCATGAAAAAACTAAAACACCCATCCCGATCCATTTTTATTTTTTGCATGACAAGCAGAGGAGTTTATGATTACTTTGCATGACAAATTGTATGGGGATGGGTGTTTTAGTTTTTTCCTGGATAGTCGGCGAGCGAATGTTCCTCATCGGAGAAGCAATCCAGAATGCTACCAAAGGTACGCGTCGCGAATGGCTGGAGCGTGTAAAGTGACAAGGGGACGCCGGTGCTGGTGTGGGTATCGTTCTTCGCGCTCGCCAGGGCGAAGTTTGCCACTAGTCGGAAAAATGCGTAAGAAAAGGCTACCAGGCTGCAGTGGGTCGCGGTTTTTGCCCCCACATTTTGTCTTGGTTTCGAGGACGCTTCACCCATTCTCCTGCTTTGCGTGTCCGTGTGTCTAGTAGCGTGTGGTGACATTCTTGTAGAAGCTGACAGCGTTCTACTTCTCGGAGCTTCGCAGCTACATCGCGCCTCACCTTTCTTGGGTCCACCTGGAGCTTCCATCAAGTCGACAGCTTCTTTTTTTCTTACTTTCGAGAGAGCAAACGACCAGCAGTTGAGAGACGACGAAAAAGAGCTTCTGGTTGAAGTGCTGCTGCGTGTAGAGTCGCAGGAAGACATCGACGAGGGCATGCGCATGGTGCTGACTGTACGAACAAACTCACGAAAAGATATAAAAAGTAAAATCCCAAAGTAAACTCAGGAAAACATATGAATATACACAAACTGTATACAAGATCCACACAACTTGTTTACTTGCTTGAGCTTGGGTACGCTTCGCCCTCGCTGATGTCACACACTGTTGATCGTGGAGCAACGACGAGAGGCGGCCCGTTTCGCACTTCTGATGGTGCGCGTAAGGCTCGCGTAAGGCTTGCCGCTGGTACGGCGTCGGTCTTATACGGGTAACGGTGATCGTATTTGATCCTGCCCCCGTGAAAGCGATCTAGTCAACGTTGTGCGGACGATTAAGAATCATGTGAAGCAGCCACACTCTGCATTCGTGATCTGGGCGACCAACTCAAGACGTGAACAAGGATCCTCACGGTGCCTGGGCCACCCGTGGCTGCTGGGCGGGGCGACTTAGCGCGCACCGGCAAGCTCTATTTCCGATGTTTTGAATGGCGGCGGCGGGCTACAAGCCTTGCGCCGCGTTCACCGTGCATTCTGCACTCTAGCGGATGCTGCTGCCCCTTTGCAGGAGCAACATACAGACTAGGTCTATGGAAGACGCCACCTTTGGCATGGCACTGCTGTCCCGGCATGGGCTGCGTGCTGCTCGTCATCTGTGCTATTGTCTTCAGTTGCCTGTGCAATGTGCGAGAAGATCCGCGCGAGACGTTTTTTCTAACACTAACAGAACAACGGAGAGTAATCGGGGAGTTGTCACGTCGTGAAAATACAACAATCCACGACTCGTCTCCAGCACGACCTTCCGATATATATTAAGCAATGGCTAATATAATAGAGATCATCATCTTCCAAATCCAAAGCCACGCGTCAAAGCAGTCGCGCGAAGTCCCCTGCACTGTGTGATCAAAGACGCAGCTATTGTTCCCTGCAGATGTTGTAGATGGTCGATCGCCTGGTTGTACAAGAACCAGGCTCCTAGTCAATCTTAATCTAGGAGACTGCGCACACTGTCGCAGCTGTAGGAGATGCTACTCGGAAAATGAAACTCTTCTACGTCCTGTACCTCCAACCGAGGGAAGAAGAAGAAATCTTTCTTCCGATCTGGAGGATTGCCACGCAATTATGGGTCATGCATTGCATCACTCGGTAAAAGAGAATGATTGTAACTTTGAGTGTTTCGTTTGTATTTGATAAAATTGCTTCCGGATGAAAAGAAGTGAAGATGAAAACCTATCAGCAAGGGATTGTATCTTTTTCCGTCGCCGCTGTACGGCAAGGAAGCAGACGAAGAGCAAGAGCATCTCGATGAATAAATACTTAAAAAACAAACAAGGCTTGCACCACGTTGTTCTCTATCTCTTACTCTTACGAGAAGCGTTGGCTGCTTGTGTTACTGTGGTTCTTTGTTGCTTATTCGTATTTCTTAAAAAACTTTTGTAATCATACACGTAGATCTCGAATACAGTGCTTGCTCTATCCTTCTTTTCGCTGTTAGTTGTTGTTTGCAGTTGCTAGTCGCCCGCAGGTCAGTCACTAGTCTTTTGTAAAATACGAAGATACGACATCACTTGGCATTGCACTTTTCTGCCACCTCCCACCTAGCATAACAATCGCACCGGACAGAAAAAAAGCAAGATGCCTGTCAAGAAGTAAAGAGTATTCTAGTACTTGATCGTTGTTCTTCCAATTGCCACCTCATCTTGGTAACATTCGCAATGGGCCAAAAGAGGTCAACATAACTTTGCCTGTCATGCAAAAAAGTATTGTATTACTTTTGGTTTTGCCATCACGCGGAATACGCAAAAACTCACATCAATAGCAGCTCAAAAGCTCCTTGTCAACAAGCTTGGCTGCGTATTGCAGTGCGCACATCATTCACTTTTTTTTTGCACGATAACTTTTCAGACCCAGATGTAGTTGCAACACATGATGCAGTTTCCTCGTCTAAAAGTCACATTAGCATTACACCACATGGTACAGGTGCAGGTCTCGTTACAGCAGGTTATACAGTTGCCTCGACTCTGAGGTACAGACGATAAGAAATTCCTCGAGTGCCCCCATAGTTCTTTTGATACACTTTCGCAGTTACGAAAATATGAATTGCAAAACTATCGCACTGATACTACTTGCAAATCGCATGACAAGTTTTTCCCGCAGCAGGAAAAAATGGAGTTCGTAGTGTTCTTTGAGCCGAAGAAGGTGAAGGAGGTTTGTAATGCATGAACCTTTTTACCCCTCAACCACTATCATCCAGATTTGTAATGCATGACGAACGCTCTTAGTACGACTACGATACTTTTGCACAGGATAGACAAGCTTATTGGACAATGTTGTTGTGGTGTCCATCAGCACGAGGAATCCCCCCGCGACGCTCCCGACCACTGCGCTCCCACCAATAGAAATTCCCAGCTTCCCAAGGTCGTCCTCGGAAAGGTCCGCGCATCGCAGGCAAATGTGTCTGGGTCTGGAAGAAACCGAGTTAGTTTGTCACACTAGGTCTGACCGAGACCGACGCAAAAATCTGTATTGCATGAGTAGTAAAAGTCCACGCTTTTGGTTGCCAGGAGAGAATACAACTTCTCATGCACACAATTGGCATCGACGTCGAGCCATCGCGAAGCTTGTGACGCTAGAGCTCGCAATCCAAACCTTCTGGTTCTGGCAGGTGGTGGTAGTATTTAATGCTAATGCGCAAGAACCTGAACCCGTGTGACAAACCTTGCAGCTACGATCCTGGAGACCCAGATCGACATTTGCAGCGCATATCACGTAGTGGCAGTCAACGGAAAGGCTGCCAACGGCGACGACCGGCCTCTGGTCCGTCTGGCCAAGAAAGAAAATCTTGGCCTCAACAGCGCTCACACGAGGGCGCACAGCTGGGGGGCGAGGAGGGGCGCCGAAATCGTAGTGAATATGCGCGTAGCGAAAGAGGCCATTTTCGTACATTGGAATTGTACGGTGATACTTCAACCCCTGTCTTCTCAGGGCCCCGTCGACGAGTTTTAAGAAGTGCAGGCGGAACGAAGCAGGGCGGGCAGCTGGTCCTCGTCCAGCTTCGTGTAGGCCCTGGCGTTCGACGGCTGCAAGCACGTCGCCCGCGTGCGCGTGGTTCAGGGGGTCCCGGCACTTATTAGCGCCGTTGGCTTATGCACTGCAAAAGTATCGCACTGGACTCTTACTAAGTAAATTCTTGCGCTAGTTACATATGCACTGCAAATCATGCAAATCTCTTTTCTACTGAGGGAAGTCCGTGGCTAGCAATTTGATCATCATGCTGAGTAAGTTAGAATTTATCGAGTTTGTCTTTGTGAGTGATGTAATGCGATTCCTACTCCTAGTACTTCTAGTAGGATACTTTTACGATGTCGATGCATATGGCTCCTCCGTAACACGCCAACTGCGCAGCCAAACCATACGGATGGCCGATAACTGGAAGAGTGTTAGGAAGCTGGTGGTGCAGACTCTCAACAATTCGATGGCTGAGGATCAGAGATGAAGAGGCATATCTCTCTTGGCTCCGAAGGTTCTCGTAGAATACTTGCCAGCGTGCCTCGAGCTCCGTCTCGACTAATGCTTGCCAGCTTGCCTCGTCCGTCCAGCTTGGTTGCGGCGTGCCTCCCGGAAACAAAGTGTCAAAAATCTTGTGCAGGGCAAAGGCGTCCTTGTTGGCGAAAGAGGCAACCTGCGCCCAGATTGCTCTGGGGAGCAGTGGGGACGCATCAACACCACCAGCAGTTGCCCTTGGTGCTAACTGTTCAGGCGCAGTATCTTCCCCATCGTCCGCGGCCCCAAGACTTGAACTTGATGGCGGCAGCATGCTGGGCACTGCTGTTCCGGTGCCTCTATTGCGCCGGGAGCAGCGGCCTGGGCACCTCCACAACCCTTGTTGGGACTGACTGCGGCCCTGCACTTTTCCCACAAAGAAAACGGATCCGAGGACAAGGAAAAAAAGAACACGCGGTAAACCGCCGCGCGACATCGGCATCGCTGCACTTCCGTTGCTGTTCATGGTTATGATTATGCCTTGTCTTATTTGATGCGCGGGGATACTAGGGTTGAATATTTATTGTAAACTTGAAGAAAGTAGGAGGAGAAAATGATCGTGATCGATGTAAACGTAAAGTCACTGCTAGTTAGTAGACGAGCCCAATCTTGTTGCTGTTACTGAGAAATCAAGGTGAAGCAGGTGCAAGTCTCCGCGATTTTGGCTTTGAAGCTCGACGAAGTAATCTCCTGCAAGAATCAGAATTCTACACGAAACGTCAACTCAACAATGGATTAGATTCTACACGTATTTATAGTAAGTTAAAGCGGAAGTAGCTGGACTTGCAGTCAGGTGAAGATAACCATAACTCTGCAGCGAAAAGGAAAAGGCAAGGTAGCCGCAATGAAGGTAATCACATCACGACGAGCTCCTGCGCCTGCCGAGCGAGGATCATGGCCCGCTTTATTTTATTTTATTTTTTGCGCTTGTTTTGATCTTCAAGTTCCTGTTTCTCTGACTCTTATCTCGGTGAAGGAGGAGGAGGAGGAAACCTCTATAGTCAGCTTCTAACTACTAAGCTACTTCTGTCTTAAGCTTAACTATAGGACATAGCTCTGGAGACGACTAGCCGAGCTGGGGATAGGTTTTTATATCGTGGACAAATAGCCCTGCCAGGTGTACAAAACCTAGGACTTCAGTGCCACGACCCATGAAGATCTCCTTTTCTCCGCTCAAGGCCCGTCCCCGAGTCTGTACTGCAAACGCCCCCATGGTGTCGCTGGCCGCTTGAATGTAGTGGCTCGCTGGATCCGCGGTAGTTGTATCTGCCTGCTGTACGTCTTCACTTGATGTCGTAATTTCCCGGTGGAGAGACGACGCAACATACTAGCTACTACACCGTGATGCGTGTCAAACCACAGCGAGAGAGCTCGGGGCGCAAAGTTTGGATTTGTGGCGCTGGAGCGACAACAGGGTCGAGACCGAAGCCCGTAACCAGAGTGCCCAACGCCACGCCTGCTCGACGAGAAGAAGTGAGCCACTACTGTCGAATGGTTGTGAGGGCGAAGCAACAGAGTTACCTGTCGGCTGAAGCCCGCAGTGGAGGACTCCCTATCCCTCCACCGTCGACATGAAGTACTCCAGAATGATGATATTATGAAAACGCCGCCCGATCCGACGCTGTACAGAATGCTCCCCCGTCGTCGATCCTCGGTTACCCCTCCCCCGTCGTCGGCGGAGGTCCTTCTGTCGCGCGTGTAGGCGCGTCCACGTCCGACTTCGTTAAGAAGGGCGTTGTTCTCGAGCAAGCTGGCTGTGCTGATGCACAAAGAAAGATAGCCTGGGTGAAATCAAAGAAATAACCAGGGAAACGACAAAAGATCGATAAGGACAAGCCCGCGGGTTCCTCTCACTGACATGTCCTGCGCCCTCGTCCCTAAGAAAAACGCAGGCCCTTGTCGCGTCGCTCGATCACGGCACGAAGGTCACGACCACGGCGGGCGCGGAGGTGGAGTGTGTTATTTACTACTAGTCGTTATGTTGTAGGCCCGGTTACTAGTCTTCTGTTTTGGTTTTGGTAAAAGGAAAACGCGTAAAGTAAAGTAAATGCCTTCGACACGCGCCTGCGCTGTGATCGCGGGCGGCAGTTTCCGTACCCGTGCCTGCAGTGTGCCGGGGCCATCGGAGGGGATCAATGCACTATGCAATTTCTCAAGCCTGAGAAGTCTCTTTTTCAAAGTTCTACCTGTGCAATCTAAGTGAGTATTTGTATCTATCCGCCCTTCCACTGCCTAGCGCAGTTGGCACCTCCGCTCACACATGACATCATGCCGACTCCTGTTGCGGCGGGCAAGCATGCCTTTTCGGTGCCTGGTGCACGACTCCCCCCTTCCGGTCCCCATCCGCGCCGGCCCTCATGGCACACCGCGGCTAGTCTGCTGTTTGGGATCTATGCCTCTTTTCCACGATATCCCGCGGGGAGGGGCGTATCCCTGCGGGTCCGGAGTTGGCGGGCACGCCTCGCGTATCACCGAGCTTGTGTCTCCAGCCGCTAGTCTTACTGTTGCTTTCTATTTACTACTCTATCCGGAGCCTTCTATCTAACTCCACGACGGGGCTATGCGTTGGCCCGTGCTGCGGCGGCGCTGTCAGTGAGGGGGACGACGTCATTGTTTTTGTTCTACTTTTGACCGACTTCGTATGTTCCTAAAGGGGCGAGGCTCACCGGGGTCATTAGGCTCGCTATGGCCAACCTGCAGCATCCAGGGACCCTCACGAGGCCCTCGCCCCCACGGTTTTTGGTTGAATTTCAAGTAGTATCCGGACTCTTATCTCGGTGAAAGTGATGTCGTTCGCTTTCGAAACATTTTCATCTTGATGGGGATCAGCATTTATTCGTGAGCGCTGCAAGAGCACCTTCGATATTTTTCACAAGGAAGAGAAATCATAGTACAAAGAATTCACGAAAAGGAAAACATCTTCAAAGAAGTCAGAGACTGACACAGCTGCCATTGCCAGTCCGTCCAGATCATAACGATAGAAGTGGCCAGCGGCAGCGCTCCAGCTGGTGCGCGAGCTTTGACACGGCTGCTGGGGAAAGCATTCGCGAAGCAGACGCGAATAGACAGATGCAAAAAGGAGGACGGACCTACCGTCTACGAACCAGCAGCGCACGAGGACAACACGGAACCCAGGTAATTCCGGTATGTTGAAACCTCGTCGCTTCTTCAACAAATTGAAATTTCTTATACCGCGTCTGTGTCTGAAGAAAAAAAATATCAACGCGGCGACGTGCCTTCTTCAGTTTCGTCTTCCTTCATGATGCGTTAGGGTAGTTAGCGTCATATCAATATTTTCACAAAAATCTTCACATCGACATCGTTATCCATTGTTGTGGCATATCTGGGAGTGATGAAAATTTAGCGCTACTAGTCGTGTTGCTACATGCCCACTTCGTGAAAGCCTGTACGTTTCTCTGTCTCCAAAGCCCGGAACGGACTTTTTTCTTCCTACCCAACTCCACATTCATTTTCTGCAGCTCCGCCGTTCGCGCAGGCTCCGGCATGGCGGCCAGGGCTCTTCGCTGCTTCCACACAAGGTAGCAGAACACCACAGCTCCGCTGCGCCCCTTCCCGCCCTTACAGTGCACGTAGACGCGCTTTTTTTCTGCGGTATACTCCACCAGCATCTTCACGCCGGAGTAGAGGTCTGGCAAGGCCGGCTCGTGGTGGTCGAACGTGGGAAGGTGAAGGATATTTTGTTCCAAATCCAAATCCACTTGCTTCGCAACCTCTTTCCGCAACGTCCACTCGTCCTGCATGTTTATCATACCCGAAATTTTCTCCTGCGCCATGAGCTTTTTCAGGAAGAAAACCTCGCCTGACTCGGAATTCCGTAGACTTAACGCCCCTCCTAGTAATAACACGGAGGGAAGACTACCGTACAGCATCGGGCTGCACCCAAGCACCACGGTTTCGTCCACGCTCTGCCACGGATTGAAGTAGTGTGCGAAAAAGGAGACCCAGCTGAAGGGAAAAGAGGGGGAAATTTTTCGCGAGATCAGCCTGGTCAACCGGGGATAGTTGTCCTTGCGAAACACCTTCCACGCGAACAAGCGATCCAGGCACACCGCGACGGAGAGGTAAATCAGCGGGAGAATTGCATAAATCGTTGGCCGGTTGCGGTGGTAGAAAAACGAAGGAACGAAACTCAACGTTCCAGTACCAATTCCACCCCCCGACCCTGACGCCAGTTTCGGCCCATCGGTAATATTGGCTCCTGCTGTGATGTTCTCCGGATGGATTTTTCCCGAAGCCGCCCCTGCCGACCATTTCTTCTCGGCACTAAACAGGCCACCCATGATTATCCGCGGATGCGGATAGAAGAGTCGCAAGCGAGGAATAACTACAAATCTGCTTGGTTTCCTGACTCTAACTTTATTCATGTTTCATCACATTCATCATTGCGTATAACATAATGTCAAGATCTATGTATCATGATCTTCATCTTTCTTGTTCTTGGATAAGAGACTGTGACAAAAAGGACAACAAGCTGCATCAGCCTGATTCTGATCGCATTACCGACGGGAACAATATTGAGGCGCCACGGCACACGACTGAATGATCCTTGGATCCATTATCTTAACCTGGAGGAATATTCTTTCGTTGGTGCTGGCTTCTGCTTCGTCATGGACCCTCTTTGTCGGCATCAATGAATAATCCACCGAAGTCACGGAAACCCCTCTACAACGCACTTCGTCTTCGGTAACGCTTTTTTTTGCCTCATCAAAATGCGCAAGCGCAAATCATACAGGAGCGAAAAGACCCACCTTAATGAACAAGAAAGTTTCACTTTCATCAATACCGTAGGGATAACCGACAGTTGTATCGATGAAGTGCCTTACCTATAAAATCAATCATCTTCACATTTCTCTAGGAATCGCGTAGAAAAATTCGCGATGCTGTAGAACTTCGTAGTTGAATTTCGTGAGCAGCCGCAGTACGTGACGCAGCGGAGGCTCCTTTTCTGCTGCGAAGTCTGCGAAATTCGCGTAGCCCAGTCCCCAGAACCAGTGCAAACGGATGAGCCGAGGCATCGTCGTGCGATGCGATGAAAGTACATGTTCACCTCCTGCTGCTCCTTCGCGAGGGCGACTACCCTCTTCCAAATTGAGTAAGAAGTCGAGGACTATGTCCACCGAATTTGGCGTGTCTACGATGAGAATGTCGACGGCCACACGATCTTCGTCGAGTTGCACTACCCCAGGAGGAGCTGCAGCAGGAACAAGTACATCGGAAGATAGTACGTTGATTACGCTCCTTTTCACGGGCACTCGAGTTTCCACTACGTAATCTGCCCACGGAATATCTTTCGGCACATCCTCGTCTTCCACTCTGCTAAAGAGCTCCAGTTGCTGCACCAAGTGGGTCGCTGACGAGTAGGCTTGGACGCCCACAGCATCCGCAATGCGTGTGGGTACGGGGGTCGGGGTGGCCGAACGTGGTACCATGCTGTTCATCTCGACATCGTTGGCATTCGCTGCTCTACTAACTCTAACGTCTCTTTTTTTGCTTTCGCTTTGGTACAGCAAAGGGAAGTTCACCGTGAAGAATGATATGGTCGTATATCTATATGCAAGGAAAAAAGTGTTACAGTATACACATTGTGTTGCAGGCCAAGCAAGACAGACAAGCTCTGTCATGCCGGATATGCATAGCAGCCTCGCTTCATAGGTGTTTTCCCGTAGGACTTCTGCATTGCAAGTTTTCTTTCTCATGCAGATAAATTTGTGTTGCTGAATTGACAACAAATGTGTAGCTGTAACACTTTTTTCTTTGCATATCGTAGTCTTCTCTCCTACTGCTCCGTCGTCCGATTCAAGAAGTGCTGGTGCTGGCGAAGCTCGTTCATTTTCAGCACTACTTTTTGTCTGCGACATGATCTTGGGCGGGGGCACAATGGCTGCCTGCACTATCCTTGTGCTGTTTGTCCACGAGGGAAAGCGGATGCGAATTGTGTTCCGCAGCTGGTTTAGAATAAAGGGATTTGCTTCCACTAAAACCAACTCCACTCCACCTGGATCAGACGAGGCATCGTGTCGCTCGGTGATTGCCTGGTAAAGCTCTGCTGTGGCGGGGCTTTCGCGCAAATGGTACGGTCCAACATGCACCACTCGAAAGGGCCTGGCCATAGGTCTCGTCGTTCGCTCGTCGTTATTTTTTCCCCTCATGTGATGATCGGAGGCGCCATCGCCATCGGCTACTTCTAGCCCCATCATATCCAACTCCACGCCGCTATTTTCACGACCTGCCTCTCGTGCTTTCCGATAGTCCTCTCCATGATCGCCCTCCTCGTCTCCCGATAAGAACTGCCCGATCACCTGGTCGCGGGCTCCTCCTGCCTCGATCGCGTCGTCGTGATCTCCCTGCCTACTTCGCCCTGCTCCAAGGACTCTCCCGGATATCGCCCGCACAATCCGTGCGAACGATGCTGGTTTTAGCGTGACCTCCGTGTCAGCAGCGGCTCTGCGTAACAACTTCTCCTTTGGAAGTACGCATGATCCGCGAGTTGAATCCACACTTTCGCATACTCCGTCGGAGAGCGGGCGTGGGGGCTCTGCCAACTCCAGCTGCACACTCGCTTCTTGGTCGATGAAATTTCCTCTGTTTCTGTTGCCCCCGTTTGCAACAACCAATACGTGCTGGTGACCAGCCTTGAGCAAGAAAATTGCGGCGAGCGCAATATATTTAGAGTTGGAATAAACAAACAACAACATGTGGCTCTGCTTTTTCATTCGCATGCCAGAAACACACGAGAATCCCGATGGAAAAGAAACACTTTGTGATGGAAAAGAAACACTTCTTGATCCTCATATGCCGCGATACTCTAATTGAATGCGGAAAACCAAAAGTGTTTCAGAACCAACCAGGTGGACGCCGATAGTAAAACAAATGATCTCACTTGAGAATCACCATCCTACCAATGTTGACCTGCGTCTTTCTGATCCTTATCAATCTACTCGTCAAGGGTCATCTACATGTTTTTTTGGAAAAAAACCGACGCCACAGATTTACCGGACGAGAGAGTGTTCAGCTTCGTCTAAGACCGGCGAATGGCCTCAGCGAACGAGAGCGAGAGGGCATTACAAGAAAGGACGCAAGGGAAATACCAGGTTAGAACCGTTCGGTGACCTCACTACATACAATAATGCCACATACTTCAAAATCTGATACGCCGGAACAGACAAACACAAACCACAAGAAGCACAACCCATGCTAAGAACGACCTCTTGCTCTTTAGTGTCAGGAACAGGATTCGTTTTTGTGGGCAAGTGTGATGCTTCTACCCATAGATTGCTTCTTTGTCATAGATACCAAAACCAGGCTTTCGTTTATCGATATCCGAACCAGTCCCAAATACGGTTGCCTCGCACTGCTCTGACAACTGACAGCGAATCGCCTCCTCACAGTCAACTTAGATCGAAGTATCAGATTCTGTTCGTCGAGCACACTTCTAGTACTCCCCGCAGCTAAGAATCATATAAAACAGGAGAATCAGCTTTCATTTTCTGAAGATAATTACAGTAAATTCGTGTGTTTGCTATTTCTATATTGCTCCATCTTCGCTTCTCGTCCCCGATCGGGGTGATGACACAGGAGCACGTCTTGTTGCGCATCTTGTGCATCTTCCAGGCAATAGATGTAGTGGCACCCATAATTCGCCGCCGAATCATGATACGGAGAAAAGATTGCTCAAAGCAGGTATATATACAGATTGGTATAGAGAAGTCCTCTTAAACAAACTTGTAAATTAAAAATATCACTCCGCGCTATACGCACTGGAGGCATGATCATAGGTATGTGATAGCATTAATGTGGTCTTTCTATTTTATATTTTTTGTTGCGCTCCTCCTTGTTCCGATTTTGTTTTTCGGTCACAAGATGCAGCCAGTATTTCTGATTGCTGGCTTACGGCTCCTATTCGTGAGATAAAATTGTTGATAGTTTCCTGGAATCCGTATTCTCGATCATACTACATATCAACGAAGAAAAGCATGCTGATAATTATATGATCAACGGCAGTCATCGGACAAAACTGCGTCCTCTATCTCCTCTCCCGAGCGTAGAGCGTGATAGAGGAGCAGCTTTAGCCGATTTGTGTGCTAGTACTAGTGTTTGTCCTAGTTGTCGAATTTCGTGTACTTGGACTTGCTCGCTTTGAAATGTTTGGTCATAAAGCATGAGCATCGATAAGTGTACTGAAATCGATAAACAGGAGGAAACGCCATACAGTTCTTCGTAGAGATGCTTGTCGTGGTTCTGTCCTCGTTCTAACGCTTCCGGGATTCTCTTGTAAAGACTTTACACCGGAAGACTTTACAGCAAGAGCAAAAAGCCACTTCACTTTAGCTTTAGTCTTTTCGTTGATTTTTTCATGTTTTCGCGAAAAAAACAATTCTTGAGTCCAACTTCTGTCTGAGATACAAAAAATCAGGCCCAGCCTCGCAATAGGCCCTTACCGCTTGGTGACGGATTACGGAACCTACCCGGATTTTTTTGCGTCTACTACTCATCCACAATGGTATCGTGAGCTACTATACATAGTTGGACTTCTATATAGCGATTTAGGTGCAAAAGCAAATATTCAATGTCCTGTAAACTAATAAAATCATTTCATTCATGCGCACGATAGCGGTTTCATGTTCCTTCCCCGTAATTGTCCGCCCAGTAGCACACCGTCAGTTACAGGTGTACGACTTCTGGCGCACGAGCAGAAAGTACGGGTGAGTCATGTTGGTGACCGGCAAGGTCGTTAATCTTGATATTAGAATGTTCTACTTCTCGCTTTATGTCTAGTTTCGCGGTCATCTTCTTTTCAATACACAACGGGACAGCTGCTTCGTAGCTGTTTTTCGTAAGCAGGAGACCCAGCTGGAATGGTCGCGAGGGCGACAACAATCCAATCAGCTACTTAGTATCTACGTCGGAAGATGTAAAATGAGTGCGCTAGACGAGATCATATCTGATGCCGAGCAACCGGGCAGGCTATAGTTCTGGAGTAGAAATCGCCGACTCGAAATTCTTCTTCTTCAACTAGTCAAAGGAAATCACATATGTTTGATTCCCTGGAGTCGTTCTGTAATATCTTCAAATTCTCATTAGGTGTGGGTGTGGCCTCGCTTTCTTTACAAGCACTGCAATTATCGCAGATCGCGGAATAAATCTGTCTGTCGAGGAAAGGATAGGCAGCAATTGTATACCTGTGGTCAGGCATTGCGCTAAAAGTAGAACTACGCGACCTTGTCGTCGTAGACTTTTTGTTGCCAGGCCCTTAGCAGAAACAGAATAGCTTACAGCGACAAGTAGATGCGAGTTGCATATGCATTCCTCTCGGTTCACATTAATTGCAACTACAACTCTAGAGCCAGCAACATGAGCGATAATTCACTCATAGCTTGGAGTTGCACTGGGACTTGAGCCAGAGACTCGCAAGGTTTACCTTTTTTGCATCATGATAAAAAGATTTTTTCGCAATCAAAAGTGGTCGAGCCGATTCTTTTAGCACCAGTTGCTCCACTGACTCCTTACCACTAGAACTTAGCCACAATTTAGAGGCTGTTCGTTTTTGTTTTATGCACATTATTTTGTTTACAATTTTTAGACAGCTACTACTAGTACAGCATAAGGATAGACACGAAGTAGTCGTGCAGAAGTATCAATCTCTGAGTTCATCAAAGCCGTGCTTTCGCCGGGAAGTCGCGCATGGCCATCCTGACTCCTAAGTCGGCCATAATCTCTTCGCTGCCGCCCAATATGGAGGCGAACTTGTAGGTCCGGTTGAATTTTTCGCAGCCGTCGCCCAGGCCGGTCTTTGTGATCGCCCGGCCGCCGAACACCTGGCACGCTTCGTCTGCCAGCATGGTCATCGTGCGCGTGGTGTTGTACTTCAGAAAAGAGATCGGGCCCGCGAGCTTCGCGACCTGGGTGAAGTAGTATGAGAGTGCGCAACTCCCCCTCCCCCTCATTTGTGTGGCATGAGCAGCAATACAAATGCCTGCACATCTGGAGCCTGTGCTTCACAAGTTCACGGGCCGATGGTAGTACTGACTTCTTGAAATTTGTCATGCAAACAGCGCCACAGGGGCAGGGCAGCAATAGCAAATGGCTTTGCAGTTTTGCATGACAAATGAGGGGGAGCAGGGGGTGTTGTGCACTCTCATAAGTAGTCCATTTTGTGCATCTGGTAGGTGATCTGTTCGAGGTTACTTTGCACCGCCTCCACCGCTATCAAATGTAAAAATGTCTGGGTCTGGAAGAGTCCGAAATTTCTTATGCTGTTTTTGCATGACACAGAATGTCTGTCATGAAAGCCCTAGCATCACACATTTCTAGAGGCCTTCCTGATGCCGATTCCGCATGACAAATGCCCTCCACGCGTAGCATAAACCGGACTCCTCTACTTGCTGGTCATGCAATACAGAATTTTTTAGAGTCCAAAGTTAGCGTCACAAGTTCCAAACTTCCAGACCCAGACACTTTTGCAATCCATAACCGCCGCAATCATTTTGGCGAGCTTCTGCCGGATCACGGGTTCCTCCGCGAGAATTTTGCCGAAGACCTCGCGCTGCATCGCCCACTGGAAAGTTTCCTGGACCAGCTGCCGCATGATGCCAAGACACTGGCAACTGATGAACCACCGCTCGTGGTTGAAGCTATCCAATGGAAAGATGTTCTTGTTCATCCCAAACACGTGCAAAATGCATCGCAAATTTCGCTTTTGCTTAAGTACTTCGAGGATATATATCACTTGTCATGCTAAAGTAAATAATAGAATTTTTGAAGAATATAGGAAACTTTTGGCATGCAGATGAAACCGCATTCTACTATTACGTGTGCCTGTAGTGAACAAGAATGTCGTGATATTTATCATTTCCAGTGGATAAAAGTTCGCCATGATGCACTTGAAGCCTTGGTTTTCCTTGCCCATGAGATTCGCGACCGGCACGTACACATCGTCGTACATTACCAGTGCCGTGCCCGCGCATTTCGAGTAGCTGGTTTGAATCTGCTTGGTGGTCACATCGTTGCCCTGGTTGTTGGCGAGCTGTTTGGCGTTACGCGGGACCAGCATCATGCTGATGCCTTTCATACCCGGGCCCCCGGTGCGCACCGCCGTGACGAAGTATGCAATACAAATTTCCCGCACATGTACAAAATGCATGACAAATTTCGCTATCGCTACCTTGCAGAGTCCAACTTGTCAGGCAAACTAGGATCGAAGCCAAGTTTTGTCATGCGGAGACGACCGCATTTGTACGTGTACGGGAAATTTACTGTGGATACGAAGTAGTCGGAGAACATGCCGTTGGTGATCCATTTTTTCACGCCATTGAGGATGTAGTACCCGCCGCACGCGGATTTTTTCCCAGTCAGCTCAATGCGGGCGACGTCGGACCCGGCGGACGGCTCCGAGATCGCGAGGCAGATGCGTTTCTGGCCGAGCAGGCACTCGGAGGCCACAGTTTGCGCCAGGTCGGGCTTCGAGAAAATCAGAACCGGGGGGAGGCCGATGCAGAGCCCGGCGCCCAGGCCGTCGCCGTAACCCGGCTGGCGTAAGCGGCCCAGTGCCTCGTGTGCCAGCATTTCGTGAAAGACATCAAAGTCGTCCGGCGATACGTTTGCTGGCAACTTGATGCCCAACTCCTTCGCGAGCTGATAGTCATGCGCGGTAGTAATAGTGAGCGTGTTTTCTTTATCTTTTGGAAGTACTTATAGGCGCCCAGCAGCAGCTGGAAAAGTGAAACGCACTCGCCCGCGCGAATGCTGCGGCAGCTTTGCGGCAAGAACGCCCGGCGGCACGAACCAACGAAAAGCAAAAAAATCCGCGGCGCAGGGATCGAACCTGCACCACCCAGCCGCTAGCGGTCTTCTGAAGCCACGGGGGACTCCTTCGAATTCCGAAGGCTCTACTATACACGAGGCGCCCCCTCCTACTTGGTAGGACGGCCATCGTCAGACTTTAACTGGGTGCACTACCAATTGTGCTAGCCGCGGTGTTGCCTTGAACGGAAACGACTTCACCCGGGTCGCCAGAATAGCTTTGCTAAACACGGGCATTCGGGCAAAAAATGCGACAAAAAACCAAAAGTTATTCGATAAGGAAGGAATTCCTTTGTTCTTGTGGGTGAAAAACTACACAAATAACTGAGAAAATCAAAATGTCGAACTCCAACAAGACCAAGGGTGACGAAGATTAATAATTGTATGTACCGGCATTGCGGCGGTTCCGATCCGGGAGGCGAGATAGCCAAACGCGCCCATTTTTTCGTACACCTCCTTGGTCGGGTATTCGTCGGCAAGTTCCCCCTCAACGGCATCCTCGAGCAACTCGTGCTTTACGAATTCGCGGCACGCACGGTAGAACTCCTTGTGGCTGTCGTTCATGTACGGCGAAACCGCCCATCCCTCCCGGTTTAGAGGTGCTTCCGCGTAAGGCACCTCACTGACCACGTCCTCCTCTGCCGCTGAGGGGATTGCCTGTTTGTGTTTAGTTTTCTTTATTGCAGAAAAAGTGCATATATTTTTAACTACAAGTACAACTTCTAACTGTGTCCGTATGGGTCTCGTCCCTTGTCGTCAGCATCACGTAGTTCACGAAGTGCACAGGTAATAGCTCTGGTTCCCAGAAGGCAAGAGCAAGACTAGAACTAAAAGTCTCCCTATGCACAAAATATCGAAGAAGCACTAGAACTACGTCCTCCGCCGCGAAATTTTCCAGGGATCCCACGCGGAGCCGCTTGTACTTATCCAAGATCGCCTTGTTGTGCAGCGCGTAGAACTGCTTGGAGGCGTCTTTTCCCGCCACGGCCAGGAGGACAGCCCGGCCACCCGGGTGGAGCTGCGAAAACTTGGTGAGATCGTAGACCTGGCCATTGATGGCGATCCACAGGTCATTAGGTTGGTCGTGCTTCTTCAACTCCTCGAAGCTCACGACCTTGTTGATGCCAACATTTTCTGATTTTGCTGTCTTGGTAGTAGAGGACGACGAGCTGCTCGAGGACGAGGCAACCGTCGCCATAGTTGTGTGTGGAAGTGGATGTGTATCTGATGCTGGTAAATAACCTTGGAGTTGGAGCTGGTGCGCGTAGTTCCACAATACCGCAGCTCTTTTCCTCTTCGCGTTTTCTCGTCCTCGCTACTGCTGCTGGAGCTGAGGGACCTGCAACTTCTAGAGGTTGCGGCAGCGGGGCGTCAGGGACAAGTAGTTGGAAGATTATATTGATGAAAATGACACAGGAAAGCTGCTGGGCTTTTTCAGCATCAGCGCTTGTTGCAACGAAGGACGACGAGACGGCCTTGTCCTCATCATCCGCTGCGACTCCGTGCAGGCGTACTATGGCAACATGATTTCTTTACACTTCCTTTACAACCACGGAACTACGTTTTTCTCCCTCGTCCCCTCAACACCAGCATCCTTCGTCTCTACACTCGTCTTTGGAAAAAAGATATTGGCACCGCAGGAAGGCTTCTTGCCGTTTAACTTTAATATTTCCGGGCGGGAGTTTTTGTTTTATGAATGCGGTGGAAGAAGTCCAAAAAGTGAAAGTTGAAATTTGTTTGTCGGGGAGCTTCTCAAGGACTTTAGGCGGATAACTCTATGCTGCGGGCACAAGCACATAGATGGTAAGCAAGATTGAACATAAAGCGGGTGGGTCCGGGTTGTCTATTTTGATGTTGTCAATTGCTGATGCTGGCGGGTAAAGAATTCTCATTTTGGTTCGAAGAAGTGAGAATGAACGATCTTGTCCACAAAGCGACAAGGACAAGAACCATGAAAAATGTTGTCACGGTCGAACGACGCTCCGACTCACATCTCAGCCTCATACTCAAGGCAACGGCAACGCAGTACTTACTTACCATCACAAACCGTCAGCAGGTCATCAAGCTCGACATCTTTGTTAAATGCAGTTTCTCTTTCTTACTCGTCGTTCGTAAACCAGTCATGCAATGCGCGAGTATCAACTCTGCATAGAGAAGCAAGTTCAAACACTTCTTTCTCGCATGGAACTTAACTGCTCGTCGCACATTCCAATTCCTCACGCTCAAAAAATTGCTTCTTACTACTTGTTCAGGGCCCATCCTTTTGGTCGATAATTCCGGATATGTGGCATAGTCTATTTTTCCATATATACAGTGATTCTAGTCCGCCGGCACGCGGCCGCTACCAACGATTCAATGAACGGCATAGCGCGGAAGGAGCGGATCATGAACAACTACTACAGCTTCTGGGACGCTTCATCTGCAACTTTGGTCTCTGATTTTGGGTTGCATTCCGAAAGCATTGCTGTCGCTGGATGGACACATCGTCCACATGGGTGCGTCTGTAGTGCCCGCGACTTTTTTTAAAGTCCCTGCCGATAATATTACTGTAGCTTGCACGTCGGATCGATGTCGATCATATTCATAAGTGAGCCGCCACTATTGTGCTTTCCTTTGTTTTCCTCATCAAGATGTTCAGCGTTGACATTTGTATTAAAGAGCGTTGTCCATAAACATAATTCATTCCCAGCGTTCAAGAAGAAGAACTGTAAAAAAAATGATACCTCAACCTCAGGAACACTTGAAGTACACGGCGGAAACTGAAGCCGTCGCGGAAAAAAAAAACGACATTGACATAGGAAGTGGACTCTTAGTACTCTTGATAGATAAACATCGGGTGAGCGAAAAAGAAAAGCGCACAGTAGTGACTCCACAGCTAAGATGGAACAGCGCAGGCGCGATGCAGAAAAGCAGCTTGTTTGTGAACCCAATTAATACACGCGCAATGCTGGAGCTCGCAATGAGGACCGCAACCTCACGAAATTTCCTGAAATTGTTGCTCTTGCTCACCACAATCATACATAGGAGACTTCACGCACCCCAGGCATCGAAAGGCGGTTGGGGGCTAGAGAACCCGGGCCACGTATCGCTGATAAACTTGGACACCCCGGCTAAGTGGGTCGGGGTCTCCTCCGGCGCCGGCTTCTGGTCCGCAGGACAACGGCCGTAACAGTCAAAGCCTCTCCCTCTCTCCAGCGATGGCTGACTCCATCCTGGCCAATAACGACGAGCTGGCTTGTTCTCCTTGTCGCCCGTCCTCCCAACGGAGGATGCTGTGGTAGAGGACTCCGCGTTATGAACGGACAAAATACAATTTGACCCCAGAAAGAGCATATACTGTCACGAGAATGAAACTAGCGGCCTACGAGAATGAGGAAGCAAATGGGGCTCCACCCGCTTACAACTTTTCCCGCTCCGGACGGGGTAGACGCTGCACTTTTCATAGGGCTTGTGCCCGTTTTTTCGCGCAAAGCTACTTGTTTTGCGCGCGGTTTTTCTTCGCTCGAGCGGTCGGGTGGCGAAAAACTGCAATACAAAATTGGAAAACCGGCCGGATGCAGATGCAGCTTTTCTCCCCGCAGGAGAAAAGCCGCATCACAAATTCGCAAACTCCGCTTCCTCCGGTTGGAGAAAGACCGCGCCTCCGGTTCTCCGCATTACAAATGCGGAAAGGTGCCCATTGCCATTGCATTTGTAATGCGGAGAGCCCGACCTTTCAAAGGTCGGGCTCTCCGCGTTACAAATGCAATGGGCGGATGAAAGGTCGGGCTCTCCGCATTACAAGTGCGGAGTGCGGGGCTCCCCAGAGCTCGGGGTTCGGGTTGTGGGTAAATGGGGAAAGGGGAAAGCCCGGAGCCTCGGGTTCTCCGCAACCCGGGCTCTTCTCCGCATCACAAATCCCTCCTTTCGCCACAAGCGGCTGCCGCAGCCGCTGCACACCGTCGTGCGTAACCTTTTGCGCGATGCTATCCCCAAGCAGCAATATTCGCGCTCCCGATAGCATCGGGCATGAGGTTATGCTGCATGGTATCGCTGCGTGCGAATCCGAATTTCCCTCGCAGCCATACCATGCTGCATTAGGTTACGCCCGACCTGTGGCTGTCTTTTTCTGCCCCCCTTGGGCGTTTGTGCAGCTTCTTTTTACCCTCAAACACGACCGGACTCCGGGGAAAACTGTGGCTTAGGGAGGAAGCACAACTTTTCCGCGGACCACCCCGAGCCGGCCCCATGGTCACCAAAAGGCGCCCGCGAGACACGCCGAGGCCGCGCGCAAAATTGCAGCGGTTGTCTTTGTTTCGCAAGCACGCACGCCCGTGAGAGTGGCCTCCCCATTTTGCGCGCCGGCTGCATCTTCTACGCCGGGCCCGGGCCGGGGGGGTTCTGATTGATGGGAGGCCGTCGGCCGTTCATTCTTTCTCTTCGCTACCTAGGCTACTCAAAATGTCGCGGCGCGACCGGCGCTTTTATTTTAAGGGCCAGCGCACTCTCGTGCACATTTGGCCCGGGGGTGTCGTGCGAAAAAAACGCGGGAAACCAGGATGGACCAACGCAAAGAAGGCCACCAACCACCCCCACAAACCGGGGCGGAAGACAGACTGAAAGACACCAGGTGGGCCCGGCAACACAATATGCGGGGCGCGCCCCGCCTGTTTAGTTTCTGCGATAGAATCACCGGGCGGGGCCCGCTTTTGCGCGTCGCCTGCCTTTCTTTTCGTTCCCTGTCCGTCGCCCCGGCCCCGGCAAACTTGGGCACATTGCGCGAAGCCCTTGGCGTGGTGGGGCTTGCACGGGGTGGGACAATTGCCGCCGCGCGCCCAAAGCTGTGCGCGGCCAGCGGGCTCTGTCTTCTCTGTGGACCGAAGGGCCGGCGCATGTATGTAACGGAGGGCGAAGGCCGCCGGTACTAGATGCATTGGTGGCCGCGTCATGCAATAGCGCAGCTCCTGCCCGCTGGCCAACAGGCTGGCCGCGCCCGTCTCGGCCCACAATGTCCAGGGCCCGCCGGCCGGCACGGCTTGTGGCGGGCGCGCGCGTGCGGGCAGGCGGTGCCTGCGCTGCCACTGCATCGGCCTTGCCAATATCCGCCAGCCCCGCCTCCTCGCCTCCCGCTTTCGCCGTTGCCCCCGGCCCCACTGCGCCTGGGCCCCATCCTGCGGGCGCCGAACAATTTTCAGAAAAAAGAACGTCGGCAAAGCGCTGGGGCCCCCCGGCCGGAAAGACCTTGGGCAGAAATTTGCCCGAGGGGCGCCACGCGCCTGCCGCCTCCCGCCCCCCCTCTGCCCTTCTGGCCGGCCCCGGTATTGCCGTCGGCGCGCTGCATTTTTGGCCAGCGCCCGCAGCTTTCCCCCAGTCCCCGGGCATTTCCCGTGTGCTTCCGGGTTGCTGCGGGCAGGGTCCCGTAACTTGCGGCGCGAGAATGATTCTCGTGGCGGGCTTCGCATCTGCATGAAATTCCTTGCCATTCTCGCGCAAACGTAGTGTTTCCGCGAGAATGAAGAGGTGTTTCACGTCGAAAGCTAGGCCCTGCGAAAATCATTCTCGCACCGCTCTTTCTCGGGTCCGCCCGGCGCGGTTCCGAATCCCACTTGCCCGAGCGGAAATATCGCGTAAACCCGGCTCGCGTCGGCCCGGCGGGCAGCTCCGCGCGAGGCATTGGGGCAGTGCCGCGCAGGGAGAAACAGGGAAGCGGGCGCGGCTTGGGGGGCGACATATGCGGGCTGGCGCAACGAACGGAACAAGGCGCCGGCGTGTGCCTCCCAATCTGACGACCACCAGGCAGCGGGCCCGCGCGGGCGCTGAATACAACAGGCCCGGGCGTCGGGCGGTTTCTTTTCAATCGCCAGAGGCTGTGGCCGGCCGCTGCTCGACGCGGCCGGCCCGCCCGCCCGTTCGTTGTATTCTATCTGGGGCCGCCCAGAAAGCCAACCGCGCCCATTGTTTGTGGCAAGAATGAACGGCGGCGCGCGCGCTGGGAGTTGAGGCCGGCGGGGTGGGTGCAAGCCGAACTCCCAAGGCCTGACTGTCATGCCGCCGCGGCCCGGTCCCTCCGACAGGGCTCACGACAGTGGGCTCGGAAGATGCCCTGCCAAACATGTAGAAGACATCGGGCCCGGGGCCCCCGCTTCCGGTTTTCAGTTTGTTAGTTCGGCCCCGGCTCCGCGGTTGCGCGCGATCGAAGGTCTGAGGAAGGTGCGTCACAGCGAATACTTGGCTGGGCCTGCCATGGCAGTGGCCCTGCCCCACGAATCGCCGGGGCCCCCGCCTCCTTCACGCCTTGTCGGCCGCCCGGGCAAGGCGGGCCACCAAGCTGGTATGCGTGCGCCCGTCGGACTCTCTCCAAAGGCATGCGCATAACCGGCACCGAGCCGCCAGCGGGTCGCGCTTTTTGCAGAGGCGCCCTCCCCCCTCCACTTGAAGCATCGCTACCGGCGCTGCCCCAGAAACACCGCCAGCGCACCGGCGCCCCTAGCTCCGCACCCTTTCTTTGGACCCCAGTAGGAAAAGAAACGGAAAAAACAAAACGAAAAGCCACGCAGCTTGCCACAAAAAGCGCGCCGGCTACACAACGAAGGCGCGCGCTGGCCCCTCATTGCTAGCGACCGGACCCTCGGGGCCCGGCGCAAAAACGGCAAACGCCAAAAATCGGCCGTGTCTGCGAAGGTGTTTGTATGCTTGCGAAACACCGAACGCCGCGGGAATTTGGGCCATTGACTGCACGAGGGCCCGCGCGGCCCCGTGGTTTGATGCGGGAAAAGGGGCACCGCGGGGCCGGCTCGGGGTGGTCCGCGGAAAAGTTGTGCTTCCTCCCTAAACCACAACTTTCCCCGGAATCCGGTCGTGTTTGAGGGTAAAAAGAAGCTGCACAAACGCCCAAGGGGGGCAGAAAAAGACAGCCACAGGTCGGGCGTAACCTAATGCAGCATGGTATGGCTGCGAGGGAAATTCGCACGCAGCGATACCATGCAGCATAACCTCATGCCCGATGCTATCGGGAGTGCGAATATTGCTGCTTGGGGATAGCATCGCGCAAAAGGTTACGCACGACGGTGTGCAGCGGCTGCGGCAGCCGCTTGTGGCGAAAGGAGGGATTTGTGATGCGGAGAAGAGCCCGGGTTGCGGAGAACCCGAGGCTCCGGGCTTTCCCCTTTCCCCATTTACCCACAACCCGAACCCCGAGCTCTGGGGAGCCCCGCACTCCGCACTTGTAATGCGGAGAGCCCGACCTTTCCGCCCATTGCATTTGTAACGCGGAGAGCCCGACCTTTGAAAGGTCGGGCTCTCCGCATTACAAATGCAATGGCAATGGGCACCTTTCCGCATTTGTAGTGCGGAGAACCGGAGGCGCGGTCTTTCTCCAACCGGAGGAAGCGGAGTTTGCTAATTTGTGATGCGGCTTTTCTCCTGCGGGGAGAAAAGCTGCATCTGCATCCGGCCGGTTTTCCAATTTTGTATTGCAGTTTTTCTCCACCCGACCGCTCGAGCGGAGAAAAACCGCGCGCAAAACAAGTAGCTTTGCGCGAAAAAACGGGCACAAGCCCTATGAAAAGCGCAGCCTCTACCCCGTCCGGAGCGGGAAAAGTTGTAAGCGGGTGGAGCCCCATTTGCTTCCTCATTCTCGTAGGTCGTTAGTTTCATTCTCGTGACAGTATATGCTCTTTCTGGGGTCAAATTGTATTTTGTCCGTTCATACTCCGCGTCGGAGGAGACTTCCAGAAACGACTCCACGGGCTCGCCCTTGGACCAGAATGCTTGCTCCTCCGCACAACTCACGACGCCGTCGTTGTTGATGTCCGCGCCGGCGCGCAAGAGCCGCTGCGTCTGCACAGAGCACTCAATGGCGTCCAGATCCGCCATCGTGACTAGGGCCGTATCATTGATGATCTTTTCGATGATCTTGACGGAAACTGATTCCGCCGCTGCGAGCATCGGCGGCTGTTGTGTGTGAAGTTTGGTGTGAAAGCGAATGAGCTGATGTCCTCAATGTACTTATGTCACAAGAAAAGAAAGAGCTTTATGTATATGTCACAAAAGAAAGAGCAACAGCTATTCCTACTGCCACGCGGACGGAACAAATGCTGGACCTCCTCAATACAGAAATACCATGATGACATCGGAGCTTTTGCGCGCGGTTTGCTGCAGCGACTGCGGCATCCCTTCCGCGCCGATCTTCTTGGTGCTCGTCCCAGTGAGGTCGAATTTGCCCGCTTCCATGTCCGTCATCGCGGCTTGGTTACCTCGGACATAGAGCGCCAAACAGCTCACAACGATTTTCGGGAAAAAAAGCCGCATCTTCACAGACAGTTTATTTTGTTTCACTCACCCCGGAGGGGTGAGAGCTGTCTTACTTCACGATAACTTGGCTTCGTCGACTTCTAGAAAAAGAAGAAAAACAACACGTCACGTTGTATTCAAGGAAGAGTGTGTTGAATACGCGATCCAAAACACCGATTTTCGTCCCGATCCTTTCAAGGACAAGATGAAGATTCTGATGTACTGCAGCTTTGTTTGGTCCTGTCACGAAACACAATTGTAGGCGAAGCGAGATCAGCGAACACTCACTGACTTGGGACAGCACACTGGGCCCATCTTGCTTCTTTATCGACTTCGACAATTCCGGATATTATGTAGCATAATCTATTGATGTTCCACGAGACTGAAATACAAATATTGCATACAACAACAGTATCTTCTATCAACATCAAGAAGCAATGTAAATTGTGAAGGGTAGGGAAGCCAAGAAAAAACGACCCTCGCGGATGTAATCTATGAGTTCGCCAAGAGTATCGTAGTGGATGCGGTGTATGAATTCCTCAGCGGCCGGTAAGCCACTCATGGCAGCTTTAACAATCTGTTTTAGTGCGAAATTGTGGTGCTGCCGCAGCGCGCTCTTCCCGTAAGCCTCTCGCCCCAACGCCCCAATGGACAGCTTCGAAAAGCGGGTGAGGCTCTGCGCCTTGGTTTCCGAGTAGTACAGACTGATCTGGCTGCTCTTGCTGGCTGAAGATGTACTTGTTGATCCTTCTTGGACAAGCGTTTGATCATGCTCCCCCAAAGCAGGCTCTACCACTTTGGCAATCAGACACAGCGCCAGGTCCATCGACCGTGCGGCCCAGAGAGCACCGACGGTTGCGCTATCGTCTTTGGGCAACTTTGGCTTCGACTGCTCCGCCTCGATATCCAACAGCTGTGCCAAACCCGTGCTCGATGAAGACGAATTGGCGTCGTTCAACAAATCTCCTGCGTGCGTTGTCGCTGCTTTCCGGACCTTCGCAACGTTTTTATCCAGATCGTTCTTTACGACGTTCATGATCGTCCCGAGCCCGCTCAGCACCTCGCTGTGCATCTCCAGGCACCGTAGAAAGCAGTCGACCGACCGCCTATCTACGTCCTCTTTTGCAAAGGCGCGAAAAGACTGCACAGCGCGTCCAACCGCACTAGTACTCGCGACGTGCTTGTCTGCATCGAAATTTCCCGCCTCGGCGCTCTTCTGAACGTTGGCCTGCGGCTGCGCCGCTGAAGTAGCGGTCATGATTGTGAGCCCAGGCAGCTGTCAGCTTCTCTGTAGTCTGACTTCGACTCTTGTTGTGAGTGTAATTGTGTCTTGGTGTTGTGGCTGCGAGCGAAAGAACACCTGCGTGCCCTTGCTCTACATTTGCTACACTAGTACCTATTCTGCACCTAGATGCCAGTACTGTCATCAATGAAGCGGAAGTCAGCTCTTACTGACGTACACTATATACATTCTCGTTTTCTAGCTACATCAACTCTCTAGCAGCCCTACACCTGCTACAACTCCTTTGGGGGCCACGGGATACTTGCCCTGCATTTTCACTTGGCAAAAAGGTAAACGGTGACACATCTCCCACACTGAAAATTCCTGAACCTGCTGCTGGTACGCTTTTTTCAATAGAGAAGAAATCAGACGCTGAAGCAAGATGGAAAGACATCAACCGCCAGCACTACGTTACACAGAGTGCTGAGAGTGCGGTGGTTCGTCCGTCAGCGCTCAAAACTCGGTCACATCATCGATCCAGACACAATGAAGACCAGAAAGATCACTTTGAAATTCGTCGGCGCACGCTGCTGCAATCCACTGCTTCAAATAACGGAGAAATGACATCCACATCGTCTGCGCGAAAACTGTAGCGATTCCCTGAAAAGGTTTGAATGATCAGCCTCGATTCTGATTGTGAAAGTTCAGATTTCTATGTTTCTCCTGCACAGCACCTTGGATAACATTTTGTTTTTCCTAATCATAATCAAGTTTTGCACTTGATGTTGTTGTTGAGTGATGTTGTTCTTCATCTCATATCGCTTGGCTGAGACTGTCGCATACTTTATGAACTTCAATATTTATTGGAAGTTGTCCGCTGCTGCATGATAAATCTGTAAAATCTTTTCTTCACGGGCAACTTTCGTGTTTCTTCACGTGAAACCGTCGCCGTCCCCCGTATTCGTGTTAGTTGCTGGATTGTGTAATTTAACTTTGCTTGCTCGCGACGAGGGTGGCCGCGAGGTACTTCGAACCCCAGGAGGTGGCTGTGGTTGCGGCACCACTTTGCCCAGGTCATCTAGGTCCACCAGTGGTGGGAGTGAGACCGACGACGGTCCTTTCTCTGGTGACTCTGCAGTGACCCGTTCATCCGGAAGTCTCCCTTGTGTTGGCTGCGGCGCAGGTCTATTGTCGCGACCTTCCACTTCAGTTACAGTTCCCGTTTCTTCTTCCCCTCCGACACGACCTGCGCCAGCTTGTAGTTGTAGTTCCAGCGGCAGCAACGTTTCCGCTTTCATCGCTTGTGCGTTGTCGTCAGAGTGCGATCCTTGATGATCGTGTTGCTGTGACGTTTTTGGTTCGTCTACTGTGGCCCCGCCTGCGCCTTCGTTTTTCCCCTTCTGCAGAAGCAAAGCATCTTTTGCTCCAGTACTGCTAGCCTTAGTCTCGTCGTGGGCAAGAACATAGTTCCGCTCCTCCAGTACCTCCGTCAAGTCGGCGCCGTCATCTTCGCCTTCTTCGTTCCGTTGGCGTATGCCGTCCTGGATCTCTTGCGCATACTTCTCAACGCGATCCACTGCAAATGTGTCTCGGTCTGGAGGAAAGCGAGGTTTGTCATGCACGTTTTTTATGTCCCACGATGCCTTGCCTGTAATGCATGACCTAGCATCACAGATTTTTAGACGTCGGCTTCCTGATGCCTATCCCGCATGAGAAATGGCGTACTGGCGTAGCACAGACTGGACTCCTCTGGCTGCTGAAGCAATACAGATTTTTTTCGAATTCAAAGACAGCATCACAAGTTGCAACCTTGTTCCAGACCCAGACATATTTGCGATGCATAAACGCGATCCACCAGATCTTCGTCGCAGTCTCGGCGCAGGTGCTTCTCCTGCTGAAGTTGGAGTCGGAGCTCGTAGAAAATTTCCAGGCAGTAGGCGTGGAACTCCTCTGCCGGAGTGACCTGCACGTCGGCATTCGGACTGGTATCAACGACGGGCGACACGCTGCGGACTGCGTTGAGGGAATGAAGCTTCTCGGCAGTCTCAGCGACATACTCATCCATCTTCGTGTTCAAGGTCGGGAAAAGCGTGTCCAAGGTGTCGGAGAAGACCTTGCATAATAAATCAGAATAAAGAGGGAACTTCAACATTTAGTTTTTCATTTTTCCGCCTCGAAAAATGAGAACACGTCCGTGAGGACTCGGCAGCTGTGTCGTCACCATTTTCTATTACACCTTGAACTTCTAGCTGTGAGTGGGTTCTTTTGCAGCTTTTACTTGTAACTTTAGCTAGACCAAGATCATCAAATTCAAATTTGAAGTTGTACAACTTTGTCGACAGCAGCAGCGCATGGTGTTGCTAAGTACCTGGTGCCCTTGTGGAGCATGGTCTCGTTCCTTCTCGAACACTTTCCGAATGCTCTCCGTGCAGTTTTCCAATCGAGACAACTCCTGTTGCAGTTGCTTGATATCTGCGGCGTTTTCCGTGTTCTGTTGCGCTTTTTTCACTTCGAGAGCTTCGCAGCGAACGTGCAGTGCGCGAAATGAATTTTGCAGCTTCTCCACTTTTGCCTGCACCTTCTGCTCGACGTGAAGGAAAATTTCGGTCCCCGCGTCTTCGTGCAAGTGGCGAAGTGCCTTGTAAGCCGCTTCCCTCCGTCCCTGTTCTGTGGCCAGCGTGCGTTCCAAGAGGTCGAGGTGCGCCTTCGCCGCTTTTTGCTCCTCCGGTACTTCCTCTAAGGCGGCAGCGTCTCGCTCGCTCTGCAGCTGCTGGGCGCATTCTTGCAGCGCGGCCGACCCTGCTGCTAACTTCTGCCGCAAGCGTGCATTCGGACTGGAGGCTTCGATTTTTGGCGATGGAGGAAATTCTAGCTTTTGCTCCTGCAAAAGAGTTGGCGACGAGCAGGCAGGAGAAGCTGTACTGGCCATCTCGGTGATTGGAAGTACTTATAGCAGAAAAGTAGAGACTGAGACCACAGGAGAAGGCTTCTTCAAGACGGTTCTAGTGCTCTTGGCTTCCGAGGAGAACCCACCCTCTGGACGCAGACGCTCTCGGCAAAGACAGCAGAATACTTAAACACTTACTCGACCACCACAATATTTCGTGGCTTTAATAGCGACCGAAGATACAACAGGGCGAAGGCATGAGCCGGCCGTATGGATGCTGTGTGGTCAGATCCTCGTCATGAAATGCATTTCGTCTACTGAGTTCGGGCCCTCCGGAGGCTGAGTGAACATTGTCGCATTTTTAGCGACGGAGAATTCATCCCCGCACGGAAAGAGCACGAGTGCAAGCCGTGACCGGCTAGGCAAATCATTTTTTTTTTCTTGGTATATTCGTCGTTTATTATCTGGGAAGTGGCATTGACATTGGTCGCGGAGGGAATACTGTACGGTGGTCCTGCCGATGAACGCACGTTGCATACCTCGGCTTCTGGGGTAGGAGCTACTTTTCCTTCTGTTCATAGGATGCTGGGGTAGGACTAGTAGGTTTCATCACTTACACTTGCGGCTGGATGTCTCAGAAAAAAACGCCTAAACTCTATTCGGGTCGTGCTAACGTAAAAGCGTCACTTCCCGCAGGGTCGCCAGATAAGTGACGAGCAATGTCGGCGAGCGCGAGAAGAAGGGCGCGCGCCCGTTCGACATACCTTTTCCTTGACGGAGATATTGGCACAGACTTTGAGTCAAATTCCGTTCCTGCGGAAACGTGACCGGTGTCTTGATGTTGAGAAAACTGGGGTACTCTAAGCATGCGTAGCAGCACGACGGTGCACATTGCCGCAACTGCAAGCTGTGCAGGGTGTAGACGCTGTACTTTTTTGAAACACAGACTCTAGGTACAAATACATTTACTGGCATTTTCAAATTCCTTTTCTGCTCATCGAGCAGTTCCTGCCTCTGGGTGGTGTACTTCGCTTCGACATCGTTTTATTTCGATTTCTGAGCGGCTGATATTAGTGATCATCGTATTTCTAGCAAATGAGTTTCTTTGAGCTGTTGAGCGCGACCGTGAAAATAGGTAATATTGTCAAGGTAAGAGCAAAAGTTCTTGAGTGAGTAGTATCGCCCCCACTGTGCGCAGTACCGGTGGGCGATTTTTATTCAAGGAATCGCGGCGCTGTTTACGACTTGGGTAAAATGCTGGTTTCCAGCTTGTCGGGAAACATGACCTTGGCCCTGGACGCGTTCGAGATTACGGACTCGAAATCTTCGTCGTAGCGGGCGATTACCATCGGGTAGCGACTCTTGAGCAATACGTTCCCTGATACGGACCCGAGGTACGATTTTGCCTGCTGCAACCGCTTCACGTTCGTGCCCATGCAGATAAAGTCGACCTGGAGAAGTGTATTGATTAGATACAGGGCACTTAGATGAACATGAAGACGTGAGTCGTAAGCTTCATGAGCACAACATATGGAAGACACGCATCATCAAAAAAGAGAATGAGAAGGCAACTTGCTACGAAGACAACGAGGCCGGGGCCGGTTAAGCTTAAGTATAGGGCTCAACGATTGAAGAAAAGATGCACAAAATTAAAACTGAATGACACTATTTATTATACGTCAGTCTCGGATTCGTCCGCCCACTTGAGGATGGTCTCCGAGACCCCGGCACCACCGCTGTTGACTGTGACGAGCTGGATATTACGTGGCTTGTGGAACTTCTTGGAAACTCGGTCGATCAACTTCTCGTAGTAGGCTACCTGAGACTTCTTGTCCGCGTCATCCTCAAAGATCACCCTCAAAACCGTGATTTTGTCCCCGGGTGACGAGAGAACCAAAGCGTCGTGGAAGGCTTTCTCCGACCTGATTTGTATTTTTGATTTATCCACCGCCCGACGTTTTCTTTTCTTTCCCGCCATGCAAATAATGTATGAATGTTCTTGCTGCCACAAAGAATGTTTCTATCGTCCTCGCAGAAACAAGAAAGCACGATCGTATTGATGTTGATTTCACATGATTCAACACCCGCAAGAGCAGTAGTTGGCCCACACGTGCTAGCACTTTTTACTGACGTTGCATCCATCACCAGGGCCAGGAGCTTCAACGTCGAGAAGTGAAAAGCAAGCAGAAAAAGTACCACTTGCTGAGATCGACTGGCACCAGGTAGTGCAATTTTTGGTTTGGTGCGTCTTCGGCGGGAACCCAATCGCGGAGGACGATCATGGAACACCTGCTGTAGGCCAGAGCGTAGGAAACATCACTGGCCAGGAGCTGCTCCTCGGACGCGTTTTTGCCGCCCTTGAAGCCCATCAGCATGAAGTCGATGCACTGCCCCTTCTGCTCGCGCTTCATGGTCCACTCGCATAACTGCTTCCCCTCCTTCTCGACCTTCTCTAGCATGAGCAGCTTAAACCGATCTCCGTGCGCGATATCAAGGCTGACAAGTGTTTTTTTATTTTTTTACGGCATGATTTCATTTCATTCTTGGACGGGTACATGACTAAGATACCCTGATGATCGATCTTTTATTAGCCACGAAATTTCGTTTTTTTCCGAATGATGTTGACAATGACAAGCTTTACTACGACGAGCGTGAGTGGGACGGGGGTAGAGCAAGAAGTTGTTTACAAGAACAGAAAGGCTGCAATTGCAATCGCTGCACCTGCAAGAAGTACTATACATAGTTCCTTTTATTCAACGTTAAAAAAAGTAGTACGCTGTGATGTCCGAGGCAATGACGTCCTTCTTGAAGGGTCGCATAAGGTCTCCCTGTGCTGTGGTGTCGTAGATGTGCACTATCTCGACAGTGGAGTTGGGCTTCTTCGGGAAGTACTGATTGTAAGCGAGGTCGATGCATGCGCGGGCGCCCTTAGAACCGTCGTGCGCAACGGCGAAGGCAACCGGCTCCTCGTCGAGATCCTCGACCGCCGTCAAATCGGGGGCGAACTTCGGGAGCTTCACCCCGGAGTGCCCCGTGGGCAGTGGCGCCGCCATGATGTCGCTCCTTCTTGATCGAGATAAACTTCTGTATAGCTCTATGAGGCGGCTGCAATGAATACTTTGACTTTGTGTGGGTTTCAAAAATTTATTCAAAAGTTAGTTCGACACTTTGGTATTTCAGGGGGAAAAAGTAGAGGACGCAGGTTTATAGAAACACCAGGAATTATTGTACTACTGGGTCGAGCGAGTTTTTTGATAAACAAGAGCTGGCTCATGACGACTCCTCATGACGGCATTGGCTACCTACTCCTACAACTTTGCGCTCTCAAGAGATATCACTCTCGAACGATATTTTCATTTGCTACCCACTCGTATACATGTACATCTCGCAACAAGTTCCTGTGCGATGAGCTCTCGAAATATAAATACTCAGAGCCTCTCAGTAGAAATAAGCTTCTGAGCAGGAGCGACGGCAAGTAAACGACGGCTATCTCTCATTCACAAGTTGTCATCAACAGATTGACCACCGAGGACCATCGAAGTAATGCGACTGGCGAGAGAATCCGGTCTCGTTTCTCTACTACCAGTTGCGATACCTAACGAACACATTAGCACGGTAGTGCTGCTTAAGTACCCTGTTGCCAACATTCTTGCAACATTGGAAGGTAACATAGATCTAGCAGAGAATCACGTTTCGTTGTACTTCTTCCACACAAACATCACAGATAGTATGTACAACAGCTGCGCGTGCGCATGAATGTCGTTTGAAAAAATCGTTTTCGTATCTTGCCGCTCGTGTTCTCACGATGTACGTCGAGTACGAGGTAATATCAAGATCATGTCGCCGTGAGCACCCATGTTTGCGCTCGCCAATTTCTTTGTGGTCAAGCCAGTACTAGGATGGCAAGAAATCATGTCTACGCGCCCTTGGCCTTATTCTCCTTGTCTTTTTCTTTTTCCTTGTCCTGTTCTTTTTCTTTGGCTTCTTTTTCCTTCTTGTCCTTTTCTTCCTTTTCCGCCTTAGCTTCATCCTCACGAAACTTCTTGGAGTTGATCTTGTTCTGGACGAGGTTGTGCAGCGCGAGCATAGACCTGAAGTTGTATGTAAATGGAGGAATTCGTGCACGACCATTGGCAATGGCATTAAAGGTTTTAGGGCGGCTGCAGGTAGCTGTGAATGAGTACGAAGTAGCCAGAATATGACTACCAGACGGCTGAGTTGCCTCCTAGCGGCTGAGTCGCCTGACGGAAAATAAAAGCACAGTAACAGCACGCTCCTGTTCGATGTTTCTACCGTACCTGAGCATGACTCCGGAGTATATTCCCATGTACTGGTCGTTCGTTTCGTGGGCGCAAAATTCGACCATCTCTGCACTGTCCTGCATTTCTGGAAGGTCGTTGAAGATTCGCTGCAGCTTCTCCAGTATGACTGCATTGTAAGGAAACTTGCCTTCATGCACCAAGTGCAAATACTCCTTCACGTCCTTCAACTTGCCGACTAGCGTACGCAGCGCACGGCTCTTGTTTCCTATTCTGGCGGCTAGCGTGGACGTCGCGCGGTTTTGGATGTCGCGCAGCAAATGCTCGGTGCCGACCTAGAATCATTTTCGATTACGAAAAATGCATGTGACGAGCTAGTACACATGCGAACGCGAACCGGAAAGGAATGAAGAACGGGAAAAAAAAATGTAAACTGCCTCTTTGTGCTGAAAGTGGATGTTGAAAGTGTAGGGATTTCATTCCGAAATACCTCTTCTGCTTCGTCAGCTCCGAAAGCGGAAGGAATGGTTCGGAATGTTCGTGTGAATGAGCCGTCGAACGTCTTTTCAGCGACCGAGTAGTACCTAGGTCGCAATGATAGAAGACACAAATTGCAGAGGGGAAGACGAAGATCACCAATTTTTTTTTTTGCAGATGTAGTCTCGCTAGAGCCGGCCGCGTGGGTGCGTGGTCTTCATGTAGACATACGCACCAAATGATGATGTAGAGGTTGAACCAGAAATGCCTGAAACTTACAAAAACAAAAAGTGATACGCTTCCATGGGGAGCTCGTTTTCCTTGGGCTGGACTTCCATGATGAGAAATACTGGCTCCTTGCAATACTTCCGATAGAGCTCGTGAATTTGTATATCCGCGGGTTTTATTTTTGGGCCGCTTGAGTACCTGAATCATTGTCATGTGCAGGAACATCAATGGCAATGGGCTTCGGCTTGGACACAATGAGAAAATGAAAAGAATCATCCTAGGACGAGGACGCGCCAGAATCTTCTTCACATAGTGAGTTCCGTTGCAGCTACTTGCTATTGCTTCCAATTTTATAACATGAAACAGCAAGAAGAAGAACAACTTTCTTACCAGCCTACTATGTGCTCCTTCGCGTTGACCTTTTTGTGCATTCCCGAGAGTTGCTCGTGATAGTTGTGGTCGAGGAACCAAACATTCGGATCCCGTGCTTCTTCTTCGAAGGGAACGGCGAAGCTTGTCAGGATGTGCATCTTATTATCTCTTACCTGTTGTAGTTGAGCATCGTCATGTTTTCTTACCTCTACTACTGCAAAGACAGGAGTATTGTGTAGTTTTTGATAACATCAAGATCAACTGGTACGTAAAGCCAAGGGCAAGGAGTCATGATCTATGAATGCATGCAAATGCCAATGCAAACCGGTTGTTTGTACGTACTACGTACTAAAAATACGCTACTTCAAAACAAAAATCCTCACTCTGATAAGATTACCTCCCCGAGCAGCGTGCCGACGACGCGCTTGCTGGTGCCCTTGGCAACTCGGTTATAGTGGTCCACAACGCTGAGCAGGACGATGGGGTGGACTACCACCTCCAACGGGGGTGTTGGACTCTCGATGAAAGTCTCCCCGGCTTCCTGTACTTGCGTCGACATCGTGTCGCAGCGGATGTAGTTTTGTCGTATTTAATACCAAGTCCTCGATATCGGCCCTTGATTTTGATGAGCAAGAGCAAGCCTCTCGAAGCTGCTTATTTCGGGTTCCTTTGGTCGTCTGATTTCGAGGAGATAAATGCGCTTGATATCGAACCCCTGTGCTGCTGGGGATGATTGAGGCGCTATAGGAGGTCGGTAAACTCACTGGTGGCTGGCGTTGGTGCGGTTGTCCGTTTCGGTTTATTTTTTCGGGGCACGGGGGGCTCCGGTACGGGGCGTCTTCCTTCGGTGCTGCTGTGGCGGTCAAAAATAACTGTCGTCGCTATGCCGTCTGTGCCAAGTTCGCGTTTACCAGCGACGACGTGCAACGCGGGTAGCGAGGATTGTTCGCACCCAACATCGTCAGTAGGTGGCCTTCAAATGAGGTTGTCGCGCTCAGACTTACTTTGCTTTCTTTGAAGACAGGACCAGGACCCAGCTAAAAGTTCAAAAAAGTCGCCTAGGACTAGTACACTAAATCAACTGCTATACTACTCGTTCTTCTTGCTTGAAATACGAAAATCTCATAAATTCTTTTTATGTCGCTATTTAAATTTGCTGTGAAATCGCTGGAGAAACTCAGGATGGATTCGCGCGAATCAATACAGATCTAATTGAACAAGATCTGGAGCATCTTGGCAACTGTGTTGTTCTTCTAGTTCTACGTCTGATGATCATTGCGGAGCTTGCTACCTTATGTATGTAGGACGGATTAATCCCTCGCTACTAGAGCTGCAGGAAGCCAAGCAATAGAATTGGCATCTTGATGAGATGAAAGGGATCGCCAAGCCGAACGAGAGATGCAGCACGTGGAAATGGAATCGTGGTCTCGAGGACGCCAAATAAATGCAAAATATGCAGGCGAAAGCGAGACGTTATTTCCTCGAACAAGCACGAACATGTTGCTGTTGTGAAACAATTCCAACACAGCGGTGTGATATCATCTGTTTTTTCATAATATTTTCATTTTTCTACTTTCATCAAATTATGTAGGGTGGTACTTGCTTCGTTTCATCAAGGACGTGCTACGGTTTCGTTTGAGCCTCACACCAGTTGTGCAATAGAGATACTATGCTGACGAGAGTAAATTGTGCTCAGCAACTGCTTTGTTTGTAGATGGATAGAATAAGTATTCGTGGTCAATCGGTAGGCACAAGAGCTTGGTTCGTTTTCTACGTAAATGTTTCCGTTCATTTGAGCAAACCTATCATGGGGCCGGCCCTCCGTGCCGGGAAGGAAGCCGGATTGTCTTGTCGTTTCATCCAAAAGCAGAAGTAAAGAAATCGCTTTCATCGTTTCTACAACATCTGAGGCATTTCAAAAAATATTCATTCGCAGCGACATCTTAGATGCGTGAAACTCAATTGCACATTGGAGAGGATAGTCTTTTTGTGTCGCCAAAATTTAACATCAACTTTTTTGCTTGATGTTTCAAGGTGCTATACAACTAGTGGCTGCACATCTGATCTGCACGAGCGCAACAGCGGTTGGTGTAGACAGTAGACAGAGGTAGACTGCTCGAGGACATGTGCGCCCATACGAGTAAAGCCGACACTTTTTGATGTTCCGACTAGTGTGTGTGAATGTCCGCAAAGTGAAGAGCAGCAATAAACCAAATCCTCCCGCCGTCCTCGCAGCATAAAGTTTTATTCTAAACAAAACAATATCCATATCGCACCACGTCGAAGGAATTACCGTCGGCGTGATGAGCGACAACTGCTTTTACTCCTCGCGCGGTCTTTCGACGTCGAGAGGCTCCTGCTCCGTCGCCGGCGGTCTCGTTCGCGTCCGTGTCTACTGTAGTCGCTTCCCTTTCTCGCCTTTCTAGGAGACGCCCTTTCTCGACTGCGGTCTCGGTCCCCACGAGGCGTGCGTGCGCGATGCCGACCACGGTCCTGGCTGCGGCGCGGACCACCGTTGGTGCCGTTATTTCCAGAGTTGTTTTGGATCTGCTCCCAGGACCGGTGCAAACGCTGGCACTTTTCCGGCACCTTCTGAGCAACCATCTGCAGATACTCCGTGTGCTTCTTGTTTAGAATTTCTACCTCCTCCGGGGGGTGATACTTGCTGCACTTGCCCTCACCATAGTACTTCCACGTGATGCAATCCACACCGCGCTCGCACCGCGGTTTCTCTTTATTGGTAGCGTTGTTTGCCACCAGCGGTTTCATCTGCAAAACATCAGCCATACTATTCGTAGAAGGCCGACGAGTTGTTGGTGCGGTCGCAAGTCCACCGCTAGTACCTTCTCTAGTACATCCACTTTTTGCGACCTCCTTGTCGCTCGCCATTGCAGCATCACGCTCGAGGAGAATGACCTTATTCTTCTCCACCGCCGCTTCTAATTTGCAGGTGTCTAGTTGGACTGGAATGGAAGGAATCAGGTGCTGGTGCGTCGTGGAGCCACCGCCGGCGTTTTGATCGACAAGGGCGCACTGTGGTTGGTCGGTAATCTGAATGTCCCCAAGCGACGGCGGGTGGATCCTGCTGTAATCGGCCAAGTCAATCGTTGCTGGGGGATAGACGGCATTTGCGTCATCATCGAAATCTTCCGAAGGGGATCGAAAGCTGGGCGGGCATTGAGAATGACTACTTCCAGTTCCACCCGCCCATTCTTTTGCTAAAATCAAACGCTCGTGCTGCAAATGGAACTCTGTGCTGAGTGATGAAGCCGTGGCTTTGTTCAACAAACTTCGATCTGCTACCGTGGTCACCCCCATCGGGACGCTGGAGCTGGAAGTAGATGAAGGTTGCACGACACTGAGATTCGGATGGTGATTGTCGCGGAAAAATGGGCTGTTCTGGTGATCACCTGTCGCGGCCGCCGCTGCACCAAACGCAATTTGTCCCGCAGAATGCTTTTGATGTCCTGCTACTTCTTGAAGATGAGAAAGTTTTTGTTGATAATCCGCGCCGTGGTCATCTTCTTGTTCTTCTGCAGTACGACCAAGGCCACCATTACGACGCCGACCACGCTCGGCGTTGCTCGTCATAGCCTGTGCTGGAGTCCGTGCTGTCCCCGGATTGTTGCATTGCAACGGAGTCGACGTCCTCTTTTGAGCATGATCTTGATCACTCTGTTGAGCCCCTACTGCAACTGCGTTCTTTTTGGTACTTGTGCGCGACGAGGACATCTTCGGCGTTTTGCGCTTGGACGACCCAGCAGCTGCAGTGTCGTTGTTCCGTTTTTTCTTGTCAGAAGCAGGGTCGTTGCGCCTTCGACGATTTTTCCTTCTGCCGGAGCTGCGTCGCGAGGACACGGAAGACGAAGATGCCTTCACCTTCTCGCTGTGCTGTCGGCGTCTTCGATCGCGCCCGCGACTGCGGCTTTTGCTGCGAGAGTACGTCTTTTTATGCTGCTTCTTTCTGTCCGAGGTGTTTTCACGGCCAGTGATGTGGTCCCTGCGGGCCTGTGTGTTGAGTCGATATTTGATAGAAGATGTAGATGTGGAAAAATCAAAAGGCACGCAAGAACTACGAGACGAGTTACAATACTCGATAGGGGTGCGAAAAGTAAAAATGCAAATATGGAAGATTTTCCAAACCTGCTTCGGTTGGAGAAGCACAAGCAAGTAAGTAGGTAAGTAAGTACCTCCGAACGTCGACTCCCTTCTTCATCTTCACGACCCGCAGATGACTCTTTAATGTGCGATTTTCGCTTGGAAGCCGTGCCTCCCCCTTTGTTGTCCTCTGCGATTTCCTCCTGGTCCGTTTGTTTGTTATTGCTGCGACGTGCAGAGCCTCCACCTCCTGCAGTATCCAGGTTTCGGTTTGAGGAAAACCCGCTCCGCACCGCAACGTTGGAGGCCGCTCCGTCGGGTGTGTCGTCGTCGAAAATGAGGTTTTCGTCCACAATTTGGTCCAGCATTTTTCGGACCGTCTCCGCGCCCTGCTCGTGGACAAATAGCTCTAAAACGAACTTCGTCACGTCTTGCAACGATTGCTCCACCTTGTCGTTCTTCTCCTGCAGCTTCTGGACCTCCTCCTTCCGATTTCTTTTCTCGTCCTTCAAGTCCTGCTTCAGCTGGTCGACTTGCTTTTCCAACCGCTTCCTCGCGGCCCTCTCTGTCTGGTCTTTAGTTCCGTGGTTTTGGTCCCCTCCTGCCCGTACCCGGTCGCGTTCCCGGTCATCGCTTTTGACTCTGTCCGCCCTGTTTTCTTGCTGCGCGGACCTGGTTCTGGCGTTGGCCGCATTCACTTCTTGCTTTTTCTTTGCCACGTCCTGCTTCAGCCTTTCAATCTCCGCATCCTTCGACACGCATAGACGCTCCAGCTCCGGCTTCTGCAGACCATGCAAATCTACTTCTAGCGCGTTCATCTTTATTCCCGAGGCTTTGTCTTTGTCGGTGCCACGACCTGTTTTCGGTCGCGTCGCCTCTTTGTTTTTGCTCGAGCCTTGTCTGGACTTCGATTTTGACTTTTTCTCGTCACCACGGCCGCGCTCCCGATCACGGTCTCGATCCCGGTCGGTTCGACGGTCTTTTGGGGACCGAGAACGTTGCTCACGGTCCCGGTCGCGGCGGTCCATTCGCTTGTCGTGGATGTTGTTCGCCTGATGATGGTGTTGGCGACTGACGTGTGAGGCAGTCGTACCACGTGTTCGTCTTCTACCAGCAGAGGCGACTCGAGCTGGCTCCTGCAATTACGAGTAGGAGTAAGAAGGAGTTGCGTCTTCAGATATGAACCCGGTGCGGTCGTAGTCGAAGGAATCTGTAGGCAATCGTGGAATTCGTGTCAAATACCCAAATGGGCTGATCGCGTGTCAACCACAAGTAGCCGTGGAGGACCACAACAACTTCAAAGAGAAGAAAGCGTTTCAGCTTCTTGCTCCTCTCTTCACGAACACGACTACTGGAAACGAAAGAAACAAAATGTGAAAATTTCTTGGTAATGCCCACGCTCACGCAAAATAAGAGCAAGACAAGATGATGATGATCAAGAAAGTACGAGGACAAATAAAGGTGAGGGTATTGAGGCAGTGGAAACTCGTCTGATCTTCACTTTGGTCTGGTTTCTTATTCTTGATCATGAGTAGGTAAGATCCTTGACCTTGATGCTCCGGAGTTACAGGCTTGCTTTTCACGCAAAAAAAAAAACTGACGTGCAAAACTTGATCCGCTATCAGCCACTTTGCCAGCTGCGGCAGAGAGGAAACGGCATCCAAAACCGCAAGAACACTTGGAAGAAAACCTCTGTCGCGGACGAGGGTTTGGCCATTGGGGGCATCAGGATGGATGCATGAAGCAATCAAGCTTCTATCCAAGGAGCACCGAAGATATATTTATAACTGGGCACAAGGATCATGATGCGCGCCGCATTCACTACAGGTTGAAGTTGTCGACATCGAGCAGGAGCATGCGGCAGCAAGGATCGCGTTCTGCTACACATCTAGTACCCCGGTGGATCTGTCTGCACACGGTGTTGAAACTCAATAGCAATTTGCTCCAGATCGAGTCGCTTCATGAGCTCCCGCTCCCAGACGTAAGCGCGCTGCTGGTGCACGAGCTGCTTCAAAGCGCTTTCCTTGCCAACAAGACTATCGTAGTCCACGTAGCAATACTTTCCGACTCTCTGGTTCCAGCTCAACGGCCGGTCCGCGGGACAAGTGGCAGGTTCCGCAGTTTCGTCGCCTTCGCCAGCAACAGCGGAGGTAGAAGAGGAACTACGGCAGGTACTCGCGAAGTCCGACGCTTGCCGCCCGTAGTGTTGCATTTGGTAGTCCGAGAGGTGGATGTACGCTGCTGACTGCGAGTACGCCAACCGGAAATCGACTAAGAAATCCTCGACGTTGATATCATACACGCGGGTATGAAGCTGCTCATCCTCCGTCGACGAACCTGCCACCGCATCCTCCTCAACTGGTCGGCGAGACGTCAGCCCCCGAAACCTCGACGGGGCCAAGTTAAGGGAGTGGAGAAAGCTGAAAAAACCGCTGCGATCGTAGTGGCCATGAACATCCGGTGGATACAACAACATGACGATGGCATGTTCCGGCATGAAGGCGGCATACTGCAGCGTCGCCTTTGTCAAAGTAGTCACATACACAGCACACTGGGAGAAAATCTGCATTCTTCGCGACAAAGAAGCACCACTACTCGACGTCCCGCTCTTGTTAGCTGCAGAAGGAACTGCTCCTGCACCAGCGGCAAGAGCATCTCCTTGCGTCAAATCTATTAGCTGCGATTTGGCCGGCGCAATGAAGAAGTAGTGACCGTCAGGATCGTGCAAGAGCGAGAGATGGTTCTGAATAACGTCGCGAACCTGTTTCTGTGCGACAGCGGAAATCCGGTACGCCGTGTCTTGCGGATTTGAAGTCCCTGCACCTTCACAACGATCCGGATCATGGCCTTCCAACCGGCAACTACCCGGCGTTAAGTCGAGTACCACCTGCATCCTGCGGAAGCCCTCGTCAACGTATCCGGCCTTGGAAAGGTACGCGCGCCAGTAGTGAGCATCGCGCATGCCGCTGGCGGGAAAATGGTATCTGTATTTTTCTCGCGGTTCATCTTCTTTCCGCTCGTCCTGCTGCTCCGACATCTCTGCTGTCGTCTCAGGTCCTCTGCCAGAACTCGAATCACCGGCGAAAACCAGACGGGCCCGCGACTCGAATTGGATCTCTCGCATTATCGTCGTAGACGGACCGGCGGCGCTTTGGCTTTGCTCATGATTCTGAAGAGAAAAAAGCTGGATCTCCTCGCCTGTCTCACCTGCGGAGATCAAGTGTGTCTTTGAATCTTCTTCAGCTGCACGACCACATGTAGCAGTGTCTTTCCTCAGACCCTCCACGCCGTCATCATCTTTGGCTTCCCCGCCGCCCGCCTTGTGTCGCGCCAATCGGTCGACTAGAGCTTCTGCGCTGACTCTTCCTGAAAGGTTACGTAACAAAACGTCATCCCGAAAGCGAGGAAGCAAGATTTTGTTTTCTTCCGTGACACTGCTGGCGTCTCTCGATCGGGACCGATAAACGACTACGGTCACGGCACGCCGTTTCTGGTGCACAAAAATCTTCACAAGAGTGGAAAATTCCGCAAGCTTCTGCCCGGCACACATTTCGAACAGTACACGGGAGGACTCCGAAGTCGAAGTGTTTCGTGTTACATCTTCATCTGCAACCGCATCTGTCTCGCTTATTGGTGTTGACGTGACCTCCGCATCTTCGTCCCGCACCTCTTCAATGAGCACCAGCGACCGCCAAGATCGAACATTGTGCCGCATTCGCGCACGAAACATGCCGTAAAGATCTGCGAAAAGGTCCCACGAAGAGGTGCTGTAGGAGTTTGGCTTTTGCGACTGTCGTCGATGCGTGAAAAGAACGAGGCCTGCAAGGCCAATATGCTGCTCGGCAGGTACTAGCTTGTGCAGATCGGTATCCAGGTCTATTGCGCACTCAGGCCTTGAACCTATTGCGCTTGTGGTCATCGAAGCCTCTGTGCGAGTGCCTCCGTCCGAGTTGTTCGATAGCGCACTGTTTGTACGAGGTTCAAATTCCTCCATCCCGAGCTGCTGCAGGACTTGGGTCAAGCTTATGCGGACTGTCCCGCTTTGCGGCGCTGGGTCCAATCTACAAAGTGGGGTGGGGCTCCAGTCTGCAGTAGAGCACTGCCGCTTTGCCTGGCCGTCATGATGGATGTCGGAGCGAGCTTCTCGGAAGAAAAAAGTGGACAATGGTGATGCCGTAGGTCGTGCTGGGTCATAATCTTCTCCTCCAAAACTAGCACTTTGGCGCAGACTTACGCTCCTTCCCCTTTCAATGTCCTTGCCTCGTCCGCTCCCGTCTCCTCCAGCACTGTCTTCATGCAGGAAAGCTGCAGGCCAGAGATCTTGAAACTTTCGCATAAAACGGTCCGGGTCCAGCACATAGCTGCAGTGACGCATGAGAAATTCGTAGTGGGGTCCCGTGCGAATGGACAAGATTCCGGCGCTCACATTCATGACACTCCATACCTCGGAGTGCACCCAGGGGTACATCAGTTTGTGTGCGTGCCGCCCGGGATGCGTCAGGTCGCAGAGCGGTTCCAAAGACTTGATCTCGCTACCGCTAGGAAGGTGTCGTTTCTCGTCTTGGTTGTTGTACAGCCGCAGCGGCATGGCTACTCGGTCCACCTGAACCTCGCGGAACACCGCAGAATTTGTCGTTCCATAGTAGGTTTCCAGCATGGTTTTCTCCGGATACAACAGGAGCACCATCGCGTCTTTGGGCATGAAGGCCATCCAGGCGCTGGCTTGCCCAAACACGTGCACCAAGAGACCCGCGCCCGCGAACAAGGCCAGCTGTTCTTCGAAGGGTTCGTAACCGTAGTGGATCTTCAGCTGCGTGCCACTAGTTGTACCGGTTCTCGTACTTTCTTGGCTCTCGTCGCCTTTCCTTTTGCCTCGGAGAAAATCCCGCACTCGCTCGAGGATCTCGTCCTGGTTCACGATCTCCCGTCCAAAGCGAATCCGGGATTCTGGCGCTGTTGCAATCCTCGCGCGCTTTCCGTCGTAATTGACAGCTGACGCTTTTATTTCAGCTTTTGGTTCTTGTGCCTGAGGAGCCTGAGCAGCTCCGCTTTGATTATCGTTTTCGTCTAGTCCTCCTCCCTTGCCAGAAGTTGAAGTGCGCTCCTTGTACTGTGCCTGGCTCTCGCGCAGCGAAAAAAGAACGTGAAACCGCCCCTGCTGCAGACCCGGAAAGAATGCTTGCAACATTTGTCGCCAGAGGTCGCCGTCTCGCGGCCCCGAGGCAGTGATGGAACCAGTTCCGGGAAAATGAACTCTTCCGTCGAAACAGGAATGTAAACGGTGGAGGTCGTGCGCTTGGTGTAACTTTTCCACCACAGGATAAAGTGGCTGGCTCCTTCCTTCTTGATGTTCGGATGTGCGGGCGGTGGCATAATTATCGCTTTGGTCACGCTGATGTTCATTGGCGTCTTCTGTATCCTCCTCTGGTTGAGGAGGGCGAACGAAGAGCACGAACTCGCTAGGTAAAGATGCGTTCGCGTGGTTTTCCTTTTCGCCTTTGTCTTCGCGGCCCCCTGGACCAACACTTTCGTCCACGTTCTCCGACAAGTACAGAAGAGACATCCGCATCGGTTTACCCGAAGAGTCGACGTCGGCAACTCGAGCATGATGGGACTCTTCCTGGAACGTTCGGAGCGCGTCTTGGACACCGGCCTGCGTGTAAACGTCGAAAAACACTTTTTCGAAAAAAGAGTCGTACAACGTATTTGTGCTACGAGACGACCGCGCGGGTTCTCCTGCGTCGCCTTGTTTAATGTCACGGTAGTACACGACGCGCCCCCCGTCGTTCAATATTTTTACCAACCGGCGCGTTTCTAGCGAGATAAAGGTCGAGAAAACCATGCGCAGGATCTTCTGGTTGACCTCGGTCTGCCGCGTCCAGGCACCCGCGGGGTCGGCGAAAACGATGCTTTCGAATGATGCTTCCTTCGTGCTGAGATAAAAGACACCGTAGAGCAGCTCCAGTACGTGCCAAATGTTGGTCACCACGTTTCCGGATGGCAGTTCCAGCGTGCTCGAGAAAATCAACGTGTTCATCTTATTCGCTGCACTTTGTGCTTGATCATGCTCCTCGCTTTTAATACCGGAGGTCTTCGTCTTACTCGTGTCCCTACTCCGACGTCGGAGAAGTCTCCAGCCGTAGGCGATGTTCTTCCAGGTGAAGTCCCACGTGAAGCCGCGCGGGAAGTCGAAGCCAATGCTTTTCTCGAGTGCGTGCACCGTCCGAGGATTCGCGCGAGTATCCCAAGTCGGCGTAGACCGCCAGGGCGCTAGCAAAAGCTGCCCGAAATAGTTCATGCTCTTATTTTTGTTCTTTCCTCGCCCAGCTGCAGCAGACGTGGTCTTTGTAGCATCGAAAGCTGCGTCGGCATGGTGTCTCTCGTCAGAATCTTCAGCATACATGAGCATGCGATTGCTGTGCGTGAGGCACATGCCGTCGTGGACGCACGATTGCCTTCCCAAGGAGGATATTTCGCAGTTCGGGGAGACCCGGGCCTGTTCGAAGACAGGAGCAGCAGCCTTCTGTAGCGGTTGGGCTTTATTTGTTTCAGATGAAGCCAAAGGTGATGTCGTCGTACCATCCTGCCGTATTGCTTCTTCAGCTGCACTGTGATTCAATGTAGACGAAAACGAATCCACGCCTTGTTCCTCTTCCTCAACCGCTTGTACTTGATCGAAATGCCAGCGAGGCGTTCTCGTGCTAGACTTTTTGGCCGCAAAGTTCCCCGAGTTGTTGCCCTCCGCACTATAATCGCTCACCGATGTACTTGTTGTTGTTGTTAGGCCGTACAAGTCGAAGCGGTCGGTTTGTGTTTTCGGGAGTCCGCAGCAGAAATCCAGGTGAATATCGGGGCGCACCCAGAGCGCGTTGGGGTAGTGGATGGCATACCACCGCTCGACCCCGGCCCAGTTTCGACTCGCGTCTTTCGCAAAGCCTCCAAAGGCAGCCAGGTCTCCGTCTTCATGCGCGACGCACGTGATGTGATCGTTCAGCTGCGTGGAACAAAACTCCGTCTGTTGATACAGCAGCATGTTGCGGAACTTCTGGTTTTCCTCGACGAGCCCGCGCATCTGCGCAAAGGCAAAGCACTGCTCAATCGCCGGAGATTCGATTCGCGCCGCGTGCGTCAGCCAGTCTTCGGGAGGAATCGTTCGCGAAGAGGAGGAGCGAGCGGTGGTAGTTCCCGCGTCGCTCTCCACTTCGTCTGGCGTTCTTGTTGACTTCCCATTTGCGCCGCTTTCGTCTGCCGAGTCTGGCGAGCCAAAAATCTCCTTGCTGAGTGCCGTGGCCGCCTTGACTGAGGTGTCAAAGAAGGCGCCACGCTGCGGATAGGGGGCAAGTAGATTTGGTTGTTCCGCAAGGCGCACGTCAAGCTCCTCGGCCAAAAGCTTCTCGCACACTGCACGGTAAAACACAGGCGTGTCCCGGGGGCGGCGTGCCCAAGCGGAAGCCACTGCGCCAAGGGACACGTCAGATTCTTGCCAGGACGGTAGACGGTACTCCTCGGCGACCTCATTCTTTGGTGATGCATGCCTTTTTCTAGTGGGTGCAGGTGCAGCACTTGCAACGGTAGAGTCGCGGGCAGAACACCAAGACACCAGGTCGCTCGAAAACAAAAAGCAACAGGCAAAATGAAAAGAAAAGCTTCTCCTCGTTCGCCCAATGAGCTGTTGATAAAAGAAACGCAGGGACGAGACTAACTCTAGATATGAGGCTTTCACATGCGCTACCATCTTCGATAATCTTCAGTGACTCTGCAACATCAGCTTTTCTCAGATCTTGCGATACAGTGTCAAACAGACACGACACACGTTTGTCTCACGTTGGAAACAAATGATGATCACATCTTGATTTTTCATTATGATCTTGAGGCGCATCCATTTCCGAACGCGGAAATGTCATCGACTAGAGCTAACTTATACCGCGGTCGTTTGATCAAGTACGAAGAACACATAAAAAGGGTGAATCGAAGCTCTCCACTGAGCGAGTGACGACATAGAACTTTTCCACCTTTGAGTACCACTGACAACTTTTAGCATCCTGGCCAGAGCCAGAGGACGGACAGAAACCTCGGTCGCACGCAGCTTCTTGACCCTTAACCAAGACTGCGTAGATGGTCTTTGACAAGATCTCTTGCGGTCCGTGCCTCGTCAAGCTCGACAGCGGCACGACAGACGCTTTCTGCCCAAAAATGCAGGTGGCTCAAAGCCGTGCCTTTTTCTTGGACCACCTCCGCTTCGTCTTCTACGGCAGCGTGGCAGGAGCTCAGAAAAGACAGCAGGTCTTTGGCGCTCATCAATTGAGCGACGTTTACGGATTCCAACATGCGCAAAAAGGTCGGACTCTTCATCAGGTTCACGTCGAAAACCGCGCTCGCGGGTTGCTGCAGCGCGTTGCTGTTCACTGCGAAGAACGCAGCTTTCGCACAGTGTAACGTTTCCAAAATCGTTGTTGGCACGTCCGACCACTCGGGTGGGGTGATCTTTCGGATGCGCTGCAAACCACCGCCATGTGCGTCACGGACCAGCTGTTCCGCCTTTCGTTCGCGTTTCTTGGCTGCCTCCAGCTGCTGCTCGAGCATCTTTTGTTCGCTTTGTCTCTTCACAAACAGGGCGGCCTCTTGCTCCTGCCGAGCAGCTGCGCCAGGTTCTTCTTGGAGAGCAGGAGGAGAGCAGACCTCGTTGATATCAAACGAGCCTGGAGGACGATCATCATGATTCTGAGTATCTCCATCACGACGGGCTGTAGTGTCTGACGTTGACGCCTGCCGCCTAGACGGCTTCGGTGTGGGCTTTAAATGCTCCGGCATGACACGCCATCCTACCGTAAGTTCCTCCACGTGCTGAAATCCTCCCGCTCCTGTGTTGTCGTACTTCCTAACTGGTGGTGGCACCATTTTCTTCTGAAAGATATTACCGCTGGGACCCTCCTGCTTATCCTTTTCCTTGCCATTTGTGCCATCTGTAGAAGTGCTGCCAGATGGGGGCTTCGGCTTGGGTTTCGCGGGAGCGTGGGTGCACCCGCACAATGTGCAGTACGAACCGGGCAACGCCCAAATCACAGTAGGCGCTTCACTCACCTCTTCTTCTTTTGCCCCAGCTGCATCGAGCTTCTCCTCAAAGGCCGACTTCGTCACACTGGGAATTGTAGTAGCTCCAGCCTCCCGTAACGCTGTGGGGCTAATTGCGCGCACTTGTTTCTCCAGCAAGTGGTGCGCAATGCCGCTTGTGACCGTCGCGTTTTTGTTCTTTTCCGCGATCATGCGTGGAGGCATTGTGTTCTTTCTGCTGATTTTCGCGATCAGCTTTTTCGCGGTCGCAGTGGCCGCTTTCCGCACCCGCGACTCCGCTTCCGCGCCGCCGACGACCCACGCCTCTGCACACTTGCGCTCCAGAAACCCGATGGGTTGTTGATCCAAAAGTTTCAGCCGCGGGAACGCGGCGACAAATCTTCGGCGGTACTGCCGAAAGGATTCTTTCATCTCGTTGTTGGAAAGATCCAGAGACTCCAGCGTTGCCTTACCAGACAGCGCGGTTTCCAACTCCTCCAGCGTCCCTTTCTGCAGCAAATTGCTCGACAAATCGACGGCCTTCAGGCCATCCGGGAGGCCGACATTCAGTGCCTCCACCACGGTTGGCCCCAGACGATTCTCCTTCACGATTAACACTTGCAGCCGCTGCAACTTGCACGGGACCTTCTTCTTTGTGACAATGCGCTCCGGGGGAGCGGACGATGGTCTGTTGTCGTAGGTAACGCCTGTTGCAGGAGCAGGAGTACTTCTACCGTTATCACCTCCGGCGGTCTCGTCCGTCTCTCCGGCGATGACGGTCCGCTCGGCCCAGAGATTTTCCAGCAGGTTTCTTGACAGGTCGATGGCTTGTAAATTTCCTAAATTAGTGTTGTCGAAGAGGCCCGAGACCGAGGCGATGCGGTTTTCTCGCAGAGACAGACACAGCAAACTGGAAAAGGCCCGACTGGCATTCAACCCGCCATGAGAAAACCCTTCCAGCTTCTGCAGGCGGTTGAAATCCAAGACCAACAGGCGGGACTGGATTCGTTGCACATGCTCCGCCAGGACGAAGCCGTCCACGTCTGGCCCGAAGCCAGCACCCTGCAGGAACAGACTCGGCTCGGCTAAGTGCAGCACTTGTTGTCCGAACTCATCATTTTCGCCAGCGCTCGGCAGTTGCTGCGATTCGCCAACATCGGCAGCAGGCAGTCCTCCCTGTAGTTCGCCTCTTTTGCAGGTCACGTCCTTCACAACAGTGTACTCTTGCAAGTTCTCGAGATCGATGCTGCCGCCAGGTAGAAGCTGCTGATGCTGTTGCGGCACCGCCCCCGACGTCGCAATGACATCTGGGACCTTCCGATGCAAATTGTCAAGCGCTTTGTAGTTTGCGGCAAAGTTCACTCCCGCCGTTTGCACTTTCCCCATGATCAGATCGTTCTGTCGCTGGGCGATCGCCTTGTCCTCCAAAAAGGTGGTCTTGTTGTGCCGCTCGTACTCGATCACAGCCTCGTTCGTCATGGGGACATCCACCTTCGATGGCGACCAGTGCGTCGCGTTTGTCGCATTCGTGTTGAGAAAATCGATCTGGGTCTGAATGGACTTCAGAAAGAACTCTCGTTTCGCCTTCTTCGCGACTTCATCGGGATCAACATTTTGGTCGTACCGGGCGGCGCTTCGCATCCACGCGACCGTAAAAATCCCGCAGTCGGATTCGAACCCAACGGCCTGGCTACTCATATCGGAGGAGAATGAACGTGGTCAAGGTCACAGGGCGGATTTATGGCAGAAATGCTACGCAGCTTGCTGCCAACGACGTCTCTGCGCCGCAACTTCAAACGCTAACACCCCGACGAACATGATGATCTTCACAACATTTATCGGGTCAGATATTCGAAAAATATTAAAACTTTTTTACTTAATTTGCTTGCAAGCATATGAATTTGTGCCGATACAACAACTGATACAGCTGCAATTATGAAGCAATAAAGTCAGGGATGAAGATGGAGAAGATTTTGGGGTATTGTAGCAACTATGGAGGACAAATCGTGGCGGATAGTGACGAAGTTAGTACTTTCTAAACCGACACAGGGGGCGTGGAAGAGTGCTTTTTTCATTCTGCTTTGAAATTGATGCATGAGCATGACTATAGCGAACGAGCTAGTTACCCGAAGCCGGGCCGGGCCCCAAAATTACATTGACATGCACGCTTGAAAATTTGGTGGTTTTGAAATACGTACCGAGGCGGTGCACCGATGTCATCGACGTGCATAGAAATCAAACAGCGACTCAGCCCTTTCACGATGAAGTGGAGTTGAAATTGCCGGCGTTGGCTTTCTTTTTGATAAATAAGCACGGAAACTACAGCTGTCTTTGAGATCTCTACAACTCGCGATCACAGACCGATTTGAGGAAGGTGACCAGGACCACTCCGGTTTCCATAACAGAGTCACAGACACAGTCATCATGACAGATACAGAAAACATCACGTGTCGGCATCGTATCGATTCCGACAAAGGTTCAGGTAGACCTGCTTAGCTTGCATTGGATCGACGACCACGGTGATATATCCTGTCATTGCTTGTTACATCTGGAGCGTAATCTGATTCAATTCGTGAAAGTCGTCCATGCTTTCCAAATGCTCGGTGCTGGGCTCAAGTCCTAGCTCCTCTAAAAGGAATTTCAGGAACAACAACGTGTCAGAGAACACTCTCTCCGTCGCCAAGTGCTCAAACGGGGTGGTCTGTCGCGTCACCAGCACTAGCTTACCGTCGTAGGAAGCGGACGGCGGCGGAAGACTGTCCAGGGGGTCTGGGTAGTTATCGTACCCCTCCTCTCCGTCGACGTCTTCTTCTTCCACAAAAACCGTATCTGGTCCCCAAACGCCTTCAGGGATGTCGTGTGGTGTAGTTGCATCTTGTGTCTGCTGGTGCGCGTGCGGAGCTACTGCCGCGGTCTCACCACCATTTGCAATCGCTACAGCTGCGCCATCCCTTGCTCCTTCTATCGCGATGTCATCGGGCGGAGGTTGCCGAGTGGTCATGTCGTCCCACCCTATTCCCGTTGCTGGAGGAGTTGTATCGGGTCCGGGTGGGCCGGAAACTACCACATACTTCCCGTCCGGAGAGGAATTTTGGTGCGCGCCCTCACGGAATAAGCGATCATTGCGGGCAACCAAATCCTGTGGCAGTGCTGACGGCGGCGGCTGCAGAAACGAGATCGCACCATCGGCCGTGTTTCTGTCCGGTAGAAAATTAGCATTAGCTGCTCCATTAGGTAGAGCAGTGTGCGGAAACGGCTGACCGCGTCTTGCCCCGGCAGCGCTGCGCCCGCGCCTTTGTCTTTGACGGTCAAGGTCGTCCTGTATCCTCTGTCGAATAGCCGCCATAGTACTGTCAAGCGGAAATTGTTGGTCTTGCGCTCTGAAACTCCCTCCGGAAGGAGGCTGAACGTGTGCAAATGCACTCGGCATTCCTTGCTCTGGTTCTTGCGACATTGTGATAGCAACATGTTGATGCTGGCCCCCTGCAGCTCTACCCCTGTCTACTACTTCCTGCTGATCGCTAGCACAGCTCTCTTGGCTGCTCGGATCGAGATCGCGGTCCGGCCTCGGGGTCTGCCCCTGCTCCAACCCCATAGCTTGCTTGCTCTCCCATAGCCGGTAGGCTCTGACCCGCCGGCAGCAACACCGGAGACACATGCACGAGTTTCTGTCGGAAAGCAGACTGCCGGGGGCCTGCAGTGGGTAGTTCTCCAAATCGTCATCGATCCCATTCACGTGGTCCCACACCAGGCGCTGTGCAATCCAAGCGACGTACTCCGCGGTGGGGTAGTCGGTCAAATCTGTGCTTAACGTGACACACAGGTCCGCAAATTCGCACACGTCCCACAGAACTGGCTCCTGCGGCCACACCGGCAAGCCGTGCACTTCTACGAACGTCTTATCGATGGCCCCGGCGAAAAACTGCAGCTCTTTTGAGCAGAACAGGCAGTATTGCTCGACCGCTCGTGGGTGGGGGCCGAATTGCTGGTCGCGCAAGGCAAACCGGTTTTCGGCAATTTGGGCCTGAATGCGCTGGTTTAGGCGCGCGTTCAGGTGCTCGGAGACGGTGCAGTAGTCGCAAGGCTGGCAGGTTCGGGCGCCTGCATCGGCGTCCTTCGAACTATAGCTGTGAAGATGCTTCGAAGAGGCAGAGGGAACAGAAAGCGGTAAAAACAGGTTGTCGCCACTCGTCTGCCAATGCAGCTCGTGGTTTTCCGGGATCGTGAGGTCAACTCTGTTCCCTCCTGGTATCAGCCTCAATTTCTCCAAAAGCGTTACCGATTTCGAGTTTGATGTGCTCGTCATACTTGCCAAGCGAAGCCGTTGGGTCTCGACACACTCGGGCGCCGCGAAGCGTCCACCCGCAATGATCTGCGCCAGTGGCGAACGCCGCCAAACCCGTGAAACCATATCGCGCAGCCCATGACTCCCCCCAGTGGAATTGTTGGGTGCAGCAACAGGAGACTGGACGTGGCCAGAAGCGCGTGTTTCAGGTGCTTGAGGAGGAGAAAAGAGCAGACCGCGATCGTCTGGTCGTGCAGCCGGAACTTCTGAAAGTTCCCCGCCACTGTCCGTGTTTTGTCGACCGGTCGTCGTGGGCCCCGTTGCTGTCGTGGCGGGCGGTGCGGGAACTCCGTCGACGCTGTAGGGATTTACTACATTGGTGCCGCCCATTGCTGGAAGAGGTTGTCCGCCGAGTGTGGCGGGGGGGTCTACTTGGGCGGCCTGGTAGCGCCGCGTCATGCGGACTTGGCGACATTGCATGTACTTTTCGCACTCGTCGTTGGGGCAAAACTCGAAGAAGTTGTTTTCGTTTCCGTGTAACTCCAGCACGTGGTTCTTACACCCCGATAACGCCTCGATGGTGCTCCGCAGGGTCCCCGTCGTTTCGGTTGTGACGACGAGGCGGCAGTAGCCCGCCTTACCCAGCTTGTAGATCATTCGGGCGACTTTTTCCAGCAGAATTTTCTCGAGGTCGCGCATTGTCGGCGCCGGATTCTGCTGTCGCAGGTCGTCGCTCTTCTCAGCACTGAGCCCAACATCGAGCTGCGGTAGTACTACCTGTGGTCTATCATGGTCCAACATAGCAGCGGTACTTCTGTAAGCCGACTGGTCGTCTGGTGTCGACCGGGAGCCACTCTGCGTGCTGGTGGCACGACCAGTAGCCGAGGATGAGAATGCCGAGGAACTTCCTGTGGCACAATTGTTCGACGAGGCGCCTGAACCGGAAATAACCCCCTCCGAGGAGTGTGAATGGGTCCGACTCCGCAGGAGCGACCCCGCAACCGCTTCTCTTTTCGCGCGGAAGGCCGCAATTTCGGACTGAAAGTCGTTGCCGACGAAAAGGATGGGAAAGGATGACTCTTGAAAGTAGCCTGCGGTTGCCCGCGCCTTTTCGCGAAGAACGGCGGTTGCCTCTTGATCGTGCGTGATGGCAAGTTTCGGCTCCAACATACCATCGTACATATCGCGCTGTCGGCTCGCCGGAAGGACGTCCCAATCAAATGCGCTGGCACTAGTTGGCGCACGACCGCCTGTGGCGGGCAGCCGATGTCCCTGCAACGCTACTGAAGAACCAGCACCCATCTTTAGATCGGTGGTTGGCTCAGCGCTCTTTCAATGCAACTATGAAGCGAGGACGAGGAGATGATAAAAATAAATCAAGCCCTGCTCCTCCCTTGTGTCCCTAGCCCGAATAAAAACGGTACATGAAAAAAAATGTGCTGGTGACTAATATCCAATGAAATACACTTCTTCCTCTGCGTCCTTTCTAGCGTGTCACTACGATCGGGACGAATAGAATACGAGTAGACGATGAATGCAGCAAGAAGATACAGGTAGTTCTAGTTATAGCACAGAATAAAAATAAGTAAACGACGTGTTGAGCATCATACGGGGTCCCTGGTAGCACGATGTGGAGCAATCTGAGCGACGGTTGACGACACCATCCGCGTTAGCACGAGAGGCATCTTCAAGTTCGGCTTGACGTCCGTCTCTTTTTTCCACGAAGACTAGATGACTAAGTAGCGACTGGTGCAAGGACAGAATCAGTATAGTAAACCGAAACTGATATTTTTACCGAACTACAGACACTGCGCATACTTATTTTATTTTAATCTTAACCGACTTAATCCTCGTGGTCGTAGATCTTGAAATAATCCGAACACGCACTATTCAGAGGTAGAAGTCGTACGTTTTTTGTGATCAATGACACACAGCTGTGCAAAGTACTTGCTGCAAGCCTGATCCGTGGACGCATATGCTTTGATGCTATTTGTTTTGCCATGGATACATGCAGTTGCAGCGTGCTTCGTATACATGTTGATAGTCGTAATACTAATACGCGAGAGGTTTAGAGGACTAACAGACTGCACAAGCAACATTGCTACCTTTACTCGGCGGCGTTGCAATCGGCTCTTGTCTGAAACTCGGTTTTACTGCTTGCGCTTCTACGTGCCCAAGGGATGAGTGTGACTTTGCTTCGCTTCCGCCTTGAAGAGCCTCATCGCCAAACATCTCGCGCAAGCACACACTTGCATATTGTCCAGCATCAAGCGAGAAACTTACGATGAGATTCTGACCCGAGCGCTTTGACTGAAGGCTGTCAAATGTTGAATCGTTTATTTCTTCTGTTCTTTCGTCTTGTTCTTTACCATCTTCCCGGACATCAGGAGACACCGGTGGGTTTCTCAGCCGTTTTCGCGCAATAGCTTCCAACGGGCCATGTATTTCGGGCACGGCAAAGAGTAACCGATCTTTGATTTTTTCCGCGTCGCAGGGTGACGGATCTCTGATTTTTTCCTCCTGGCTGCTGGATGCTGCATCTTCTTTTTGCGCAGAAGTATACAGAACACCTGTGGTGCTTTTGGATCCCAAACAAGAACGAGAATGCTTTACTTTCTCTTCGACCGGAATCTCAACGGACACGTTTTTCGGAAACGCAAATAGCTTTCGGTAGCCCCCCTCGACGCGAAACTCTCGATGCGCGCAGCTGTCAAAAACGGACCTCGGATCCCTGCCTTCCAACAGATGGGTGTACACCGAGTGCCAATAGTCGGTCAGCACCACGTTTTCGCTGCCCACGATGGGAACGACAATGTCCTCGACACGATCTGCTCCAGCCTTTTGTCCCGCTTGAAAGCTATTTCCGGGTGATGAATCAAAGCGTCTCACACGGGGTAGGGTAACTTCCATATGGTCAAATCCGGGTGTCTCACGATCGCGGTAGGCATCAGAGTGGCCAAGAGCAGAACTGCGCGCACCCAACGAACTTTCCATTCGCGACTGATCGTGCCCCGAGGAAAACAACAAGCTCGATTCATCTTCTTCCACCCGGTCCCGGACCTTCACACAGGTATTCTTAGTATTGCCGCCGTCCAAAAGCACTAGGTCGGCAGCAGAATCGCCGAGAGGAAGGGCAAAATGCCGCCTGTCCGCTGGTGGGGAGAAGGAGCTATCTCGATCAACATCTGAAGAAGGTGGAAAGCCTGTCGCCCCATACGATCCGCTCAGGGCGGATATATCCTGACATCGGAGACTCACCGCCTGGTTCCACAGGAGGGACACATAGGCACGGGCGTAGAACAGTCGCATGCACCGGGGAATGCCTTCCCGCAGGGCCTTCTCGAAATTCCCACCGGTACGGTGCAGCACGCGGAGCAGATTGCGCTCTGCTAAACGCGAGTGCGCTGTGAGTTTCAAGGCTTCCTCGTAGTTTCCACCGTCAAATGCGACGGCTGCCTCTTCGGCCCGCGGGTTTTCTGTTTTCAAACTGTGGATCACAAGTCGACAGGCAGTCTCGTAGTCTCCCTGGATGCATGCTCTGCCCACGTCGGAAGACAAAACGGAGCCAGTCCCGAATCGCTGCGGGCCGAAATAGTTCAAAAATCCAAACTGCGCAACCTGAGCCGCGCGTTCCTGCGCCAGTAAAAGGATACTTCCTTTCGACGTCGACGTACCTTCTGGGCTTTCCTTTTGCCGGTTCTCGATGCTTTCGCGAAAAGAAGTGTCCTGTTGAACATGATGCAGATGCTGTGCGCCGTCAGGTCGTACGAGTACCTGCACATTGCGAAGACCGACTTGGAAGTGATTTCCTGCCTGGCTCCCAAGCGCGCAGTGACGGGGGCGGGGCTGCACCTGCCCAATTTTGATGTAAGTGTCGCGGAAAGAATACAGCCGCTTCTCCAGTTTCCGCGCTTCGTCACCAGCGCGGACGGACATAAACTGAAAGGTGATGCCTCGGCGGTCCTTGAGACCGGCATAGCTGATGCGCTCCGTGCTGACTCCGAGGTGCTTCGCTATCAGGCTTCGTGCCTCTTCGCTGGTCCGGTGTCTCTTGGCGACTGTGAACCACAAATGTCGAGGTGTCCATTTGGCTTTCTTCCCCGCAGGAAGCGTTTCCTGCTCGCGATTAGGATTGACACCAAAAACCTCTAATACTGCATCAGCATTTTCTTTTTCGAGGGAGTCTTTGCGTGTTCCAATGTTTACGCTGTTGTCGTCACTCTCAGCGACTTGCTCGCGAAACGACACTTGAGGTTCTTTTTGCAGAGGCACAGATGTACATGTACTTTTACCGTCCAGGTCATATATGCTCGTCTTGCGCTGGCTGCCTTGATCCCCGCTCGACACTGAGCTGGTAGTTGACACCTTTTCTCCAGTTTCCACCCGATGAAGATCCTGGTGCAGTTTAGTCGTGGCCTCGGTCACGCATGAGGCACTCCTGCTGGTGTCCCCATCTCCACCTGGAGGGCGATACGAATCACAATCACGTCTCAGCTCTTTCGCTGTCACCTCCTGCTTTTCGACCCTGTGCTGCCCGGTCTTGTCCGCCAGATTCCCGCTTATTCCCCGAGGCTTGACATAGTGCTGATCCATGGACCAGGCATCTGGGTGGGGAACGTCTTGAACAGTGCATCCCTGCAGCGGCTTGCCGGTGTCTCCGTCCAGCTCCCGGACCACAAAATCTTCAGCGTACTTTTTGAAGCGCGCAACAAATTTTGGCGGTTTTCTGCTCATCGACGCTTCTGCTAACGTACCATCACGAAGACAAGTCGCGGCCGAAGTACCCGTAATAGCCGATCCAACCAGTCCGGGGGCAGTGTTCACATCCCAGAGCCGGGGGTTGAAGCACCAGATTCCACCTGCCTTGCCGTTGCAAATACTCTTTCCAACGTCGACGCCGTTTCGTGAAATATGTTTTGCCATTTTTTTAACAGTGTTCCGTCGTGTCTGTCGGTCAACGTGGCACGTCTATGTACGCTATAAGGGTTGCGGTGGCATCAGAGAAGACAAGAGATGAATGACTGTTTTGAACGTATGATCTTCACTGTGACTGTGATCGTGACACAGAAATGACATCGGCAAAAGCAGACACATCGTGCGCGTTTGGGTCGTCGTTCACGCAAATAATTCAAAGAATTATCATGACGAAGACGATCTGCTCCACTGGCGAACGATCTGAAGACAGAAAGAAGGTGAAAGGCCATTTGAAAACGACTGCCCGATCATTCAATTCCAAGCATGTGATTGGATTCTCCTCACGACCAGAAGTCAGAACACTTGTTCGAAAAAAGCTTGTTCTCAAGTGGAATAGAGATAGACCTCCAATAAAAAAAAGCGCAGAATGCATTAGCCGCAAATTATCAGCCGCAAAGCTTTCCATTTGCCTTTCTTATTCTTTTTGATAGAACTATAGACCTGCTTCGTCAGTCAGTCACTCTCCTGGTCGGCTTCGCTAGAACTTCCGGAATCTGTATCCGGCTTGTCATCGCAAGCCTCGGTATCGCACTGCAATTCGTGCGCCACAACAGAATCTACGGGATCCAGAAGCGGCAGATCGAGTCCTAGACTGCACCCAACATATCGCCACAGATGAAACAGAGACTCCGAGTTCATGCATATGTCGTAGTAGCTCATCAGATGCGTTGAGGTTGATGCGGGGTCCTCGGAACTATTGGTGCCTCCCGTGACAGGGTGGGCGCTGCTGTTGCGTTCTTGAGATGAAGCGACCACGTTTACGACCTTTCCCTTTTGATGGTCGAACTTGAAGTACGCGGGTGCAGAGGTCAACAAACCGTCTATTATTTCGGGTTGCAGTTGCTCCTCCTGCGGTAGTAGCGGGACTTGTCGAAACAAGTCTTGGAGTAGCTGCAGCTTCTTGACCACCGCAGGCGTCTTGTCTCTTTCCCCGCGTTTAAGGCCTTCCACTGCGACTTTGAAAGCCGCGCAAAACTTCTCGAACTCAGTTGGGTCCGGATCGCCCATTGGGGAACAGAAAAACTGCCCGGTAATAGCAGAAACAAGTTGTCGGGAATCCAAATCGTGCGGGTCTTGTTCGGTAAACCCAAAGTCTTGGAAGAAGCTCGGAGGTAGCACGGTAGGAATCAGTCGCAGAGCCTGTTGCGTCGGCGCTGGCACCGGAAAAATATCAGTGAGGTAGGCTTCTCGAAACTCGCCACATCGCAAAAACGCGATCCAATGCGCATCCCCGTCAAAATCGCGACATACCTTCTTCAGCCACCCATAAAGTTTGCGATCAAGAGTGCAAATACACTGGCGCGCGGGCTTATCTTCTCGTCGAAATGCCGGCTCGGATTCCTGTTGGGTGTGCGGAACATCAGAGCCGCCGGGTCGGCTCGTCCGGTCTCCTTGATGTCCTAGTCCCATGTTCTTCATCGCAAATTTTAATTTGCGCACCGTGAGTGTGGCAAGAAGGAATATCGCTCTCAACGCTGGACACTGCTGCTGCGTCCCCGAAGCTGCCTTACGCTAGTACTCTTACTCAATCCCGGCGCACAATTTTGTACTTGGAAACATAGTCGACGATCTTTTCCCCCGCCTGCAAATATGCAGTGACGAACTGCTTTACATAAGGGCTCGTCTGCGGGCTCACACGCGTCAGGTCGATGGCAACTATCCCGCGTCTTCGAGCTACTGCCAAGGCAGCACTGAATGCCATGCTGTCAACAAAAAGTTGCAGAAGAACCATAATTGCCTGCTACTTGGAGCAAGAAAAAACGCAACAACCCTTGTAGTTTACGCTCTTACTCGCGCTTTCCGAGCTACTAACGAGAATTGTCGTCGTCCTGATCTTGGTAAGCGTAAACGTTTCCCTGTCTGAGTCCGAGTCTGTGGAACTTTTTGAAAAGGCTTGCTGCTATGCTAAAACCTCAAACATTATTGCTTTTTTGACTGATTGGTGGGATAAGGAAAACTACCACCCAATCGAGTGAAAGTGACAATAAGTACTTCTGAAGTAGTCGGTACTGAAGCAGATCAGGATCGCACGGTGCAGCCGCAAGTTTACAGTTGCTGAAGCTAGATCGAGCGACAGGGACAGTACGTAGACACAACACACATGCTCTGGACTGACTTGAGCGTCGTTTTGGGATCTACAGCGATATTTTCTTTTGGGACTGCATCATTTCATCATTCAAGGCCACGAAATAAAAGGACCACGACTCATCTTCTTCAGACTGTGACAATTGATTCGTGCTGTCCTGTTGCAGGAGTTTTCGCTTCGCTTGTTCAGTTGTTGCTATCAAGGAGGAGCGCCAGAGCGTCAAGAATCTGTGCGTCATTTGTTGGCATCATTGACGATTGATTTTGCTTGTTTACCTGCTCCCCAGTTTCCCTCTCTTCTTTTACCTGCGCCGCCGGGGGTGCGGGTGCCCGTACCAGCACGGAGAGTAAAAACTTGTAGAGACGTTCGCGTGACGCACCGCTAACGTCGACATCCACTGGCGTCCCGGGAAACAGAGCGCGCAAAGCCCCCGGGATAGCTCGGGCATTCGATGCTGCCGCAGTGGCGGCAACCTTTCGCGCCATTCGTTCTGCCATAGGAAGGCCATCTTCCAGGAGAAATTCCACGCCTGGTCTGACGTACCTCGCTTCTTCTTCGACTTGAACAGCACGCTGGGCCAGAGCCTCCTGGCAGGCAAACTCTGCGAACTCCTTTCGCAGCTTGTGGTCGGATGGAATGGAGGTGAGGCCGAGTGCATCTGGATGCGCAAGAAATTCGCGCACATAGAGCCATGTCCTGGCGGGAATCACAGCTCCTGCTCCCGATTGGTTCCACGGGGACGTTTTTTCTGTTCTAGGCACTTGCGCAGCCTCCTGGAGCATAAGCAGAAACAAGGCACGACCAATCTTGGCAAGTGGAGTCTTGAGGGAGGAGCCCGCATCTGTTGGCAGCTGAGACATCTTCGCACCACCCGTGCTGCAGCGCCGAAGAACCGCAGCCCGGCAATGCAAGACGAAGCAGACCCAATTCATCTGGTCGAGGAAAGAGCGGCGGGGTAATTTGCGCTTCCCGCCCGTTTCCTTTTCCGCGGCACGGCCTCCTGCTCCTCTGGATCCAAAATGTCCACCCCCACGACCTCCAGCATCGCTTGCGCCCTGGTTATTTTCGGCTCCGTAAGTGGCGAACGCGCCGTCGCCGAGCAAGAGAACGTCACGTACGTAACCTTCCAGTTCATAGGCCAAGGAAAAAATTTCATCGTCTGCCGCCTCCAGAAAACGCTCTGCAACATCCGGAAAAAAAATGCCGTGTTGGACCGTCTCTCGCGGTGGTCCAGTGCTGCTGCACAGCAAGTACGCTTTGGTTAGGGGGTGCTGGAAATAGCGGCCCACGTCTTCGACTTGGTGAACGAGAGTGTTCGAACTGAGCGCGCTTTTTTCAAGATTTTCTTCTTGAAACAGGCCTTCAATCACGAACGCCTCTGGAAAAACATGGCGATACAGGTTCCGCTTCGCCGTCACTTCAGCGTTTTCTTCGAGCTCTATGTGCTTCTGCTGTCGAATCGCAGCTTCTGCCGATTGCAGCCAAAACAGCACCTGCGCCGCAAGGTCCGGGGCTCCCATCTCAAATAGAGATTGCAGCAGATGCTTTCTGATTTCACTCGGTGAGCATGGATCTTCGCCCTTCTTTAGTTTGGGTCCCGTAGCCGTACTAGTTGCAAACAGTCCCCGTCTGGAGTCCTGCGAAATCACTACAGGAGGGTCAAGAGGTACGCGCAAAATGGTCGAAAAGTAGTCCGCAAGATCCTCTCGATCATCCGCGTCACCAACGATCTTGCTGACGAGAAGACTGCGTGCGGGCGTCTTCGACAGCACAGCTGCGACAGCCTCGCAGAGTCGCTGTTTTAGAAAGGAGTTCTGCGTCAGCATAATCGCCCGCAGGCACACCCGGGTAGCTGCTGCTCGACACGCCTCGGCATCGCAGAAGTACAGTAGCGCTCCCAGCGTCGCTGGCGGCTCTCTGGTGCGATCGCCAGTGAGGTTTCTCTGCATTTCCTGCAAGAACGAACGACCGAGCGAAAAACTTGAACCGCCATTACTGCTCGATCCGTGGTCCGCAAGTTCCTCCATTCGGAGAAGCGCCAGGTACGATAAAGCCGCGTCCATCACGTTGACAATTTCCGCCACCCGGTAGGCGTGAATCGCTTGACTACCAGCGCGCAGGTTTGTCTGCCACAGAAAAGCCAGCTCCTGCAGCATCGTCCGGGGAATGTCGAGGCGCCGCAGCACCTCTTCGTGCGTTTGCGCGAGACTGGCGAGAGATTTCGGCTTTGCCCCCAGCACTACTTTCGAAGATTGTTGCAGCACGCGAAACTCCGTTTCCAAGCCGCAGTATCGCTTCGCCAGCCTCGACGGTACGTGCCGCATCATCTCGCTCGTCCGCATTTCCGGGGCACGCGCCACAATGCCAGACAGCTCTTCCTCGAACAGCTCGGAGTAGTCCACCAGTAGCTGCAGACTTTCGCGGGTGTACTGCTTGCTCCCGACCTCCGCCTTGGCGAGATCGATGGCCTCATCATCGCGCCCCGTATCCTCGTGCTCCTCCATAGGGCGAATCTCCAACAAGCGGTCTTTTCGAATTTTCAAAAGTTTGCCTTTTTTTGTCCTACCAAGAGTGCTGGTTCGTCCAACACGCCCGGTAGGACTACTAGAAGTACTTCCGAATGCGCGCCGTGCACCACGACTTCGCCGCGCGAGAACGCGATCGCAAACTTCCTCCACCTCCGTCGCGGCCTTCTGTCCGAAGAACACCTGAAACACTTCGCTCACCGGGATCGCCTGCGGAAAGCGCAAGTTCTGGATGACCAACATGCGGTCGAGGAAGTTCTGGATCAGCTTGCGAAACTTCGCACGACACACCGCCCGCGCGCTTTCCGAAAACACGAATAGAGTGCGCGCACTTTCTTCGGAAAAGTCCGCGCACACCTGCGCATACACGTGGTCGATGCGGTCGGTGCAGTCCACGAGCTCCGGGTCCTTCGTCGCCGCGTTCGTGCTGCAGAAAAACGGCTTCCACTTCACGGGACGGAAAAATCCGATAATCGACGGAATCGGCGCTGGCGCCCCACCGGCCGCGACGCTCTCCTCGTTCGGAAGTTCTAATCCGTTCTGAAACTGCAGAAAGTGCCAGCACGTCGCCTCCCAGGCAGCGTCGGTCGTATTTTTTTTCGGACTCGTGGCAGTGGCACTTGCTATTGTGGTGCCGCTGCTGGGGTCGGGTCGTGCAGGCTGTTCAGCATCTTTGTCCATACCGATCCTCAATTCCACATCGAAATACGCACCCGTGGCCCCGAAAAGCAGGAAATCGAGCAAGCGTGTGATCACCGGGGTGGTCAAGGGGGCTTGTCCACCGACCGTCTCGGCGTCCATCGTTTGCACAATCTTGTCCAACACAACGGAAAGTTCGCACAGGAGCCGCTCCGCGCCAGTGGCATCGAATTCGTGCATCGCGAGCCAGAAAAACTGGTGCAACACTTGGTGGTCAAAAAGCATCAGGTAATCCCGTTCCATGCGCCCCTCAATTACCTCAAACACGCGGCGGAGCGACAACGTCAGCGTCTCGCCCTGGAACGGTGCGGCCAGGACGCTGGTTGTTGGGTCCTCCCGAGACTCGTCGCTCCCGTGGTCTGCACCACGACCGGGGAGGGACACGTCTTCGCCTCCTGTGAAGGTGAACCGAACCGCCTTACTGTTCGGAGCCGCGGCTGCTGAGTCAGGTGGTGCCTCCGTTTCGTTTGTGACAGCACCTGCGGCATCTCCTGGTTTATCTACAACCTCCCGTGGACGTCCTGTGTCCGCCGCCCTTTCACTGTCGCCCAAAAGATTTCCTCGTGGCGTTTCTTCATCTTCTCTCTCCGCCGGCTTTTTTCCGGTCAAGATGTCGACGAAAATGCAGTCCATTTCAGTTTTAGCCGCTGCCAGTTCATCATTTCCCACGCCACCAGCTCCTTTCGCGTCTGCAGGGCTGGTGGCGTTCTTTCTGGTATAGTCTCCCGCGCCACCAGAAAAGAAAAAAGCGTTGTCTGCTTCGGCCTCCAGGGCTTTACCGAGGTCAACCGAGCCGCGGCCGGGTAACCGCTGCCGCATTTCCGCCGCCCAGTTCAGGACCAGCAAGCCGCACCGCACGCGCAGCTCCTCTTCCAAGCTGATGATCGCGAAGTCTGTGGGCGGCAGCATCAGATGCTGTGGCGTGATGCGCTTCCCGCTGATGGCTGCTTTAGCTAGAACGTCTGCTTTTTTGGAGTACGCCTCCCGATCACCGCCAAAAAACAGCGTTTTCTGTTGGTACAGCCCGAAGACACACGACGCACAGATCTGACTGCGCTCTAACAGCGGATAGAAGACGTGTTCCGGAATGCGGCACTCAAACGCAGCAGCCAGCTCTTCTGCGGCATCAGGTAGTTGTTGATGTTCCTCAGCAGCGGCAGCAGGATCAGCAGCAGTTGTAGTGCTGCCGACAGTGGTGCGACGCTCTGCAGCATCAGCCGCGTCAACGTCGTCAAAAGATAGTGGCAAGGCAGGTTCTTGTGCTGGCTTTTGATGCGCAAGAATCTCTCTATTTGTCTTCGTGAATTTGCCCTTCACCTTGTCCCGCCAGAAAGCCGCTGCTGTAGACCGGCTCTGCGGTTGAAACGACTTTTCGTATGCGGGCGCGTACTGCCGAAAGACCTGACGGATTGCTTCCATTTCGTCGACTACCTTTGGCTCTTGATGAGGTGGCCCTTCCCCAGGTAGCAGGGCAGTACTACCAGCAGAAGATTTGAGCGCTGGCATTTTCTGTGCAGCCGATTCCCGATGGAGCGAGGCCGCGTGTATCGTGGAGGCAGTGGATGATCCCAGTATTGCGCGGCGGCACTGTGTGTAACACCAATCCTCGACCCGTTCCTGCCACTCGGCGCGGAAAGCGATGGAAGAGAAGGACAGCCCCGGGGGCTGGACCCATTGCAAGCGGTGCAGCACCGGTCCAGCAATAATGTCGTTGCTACTTCCACCAGAACTTGGCGAGCCTGGGGCAGCTGCTACGAACGGAATCACGACTTCTTGAAAGAAGTGGTCCGTTGCCTCACGATGCAAGATGGATTCGCGGGCCTCCATTCGCTTGTCGCGGGCGACCGCCGCAGCGATCGCGGTTTCCACCACTTCAGACTCCAGCAGCTCCTCGCAGAAGGTGGGTATGACGAAGCTCCTCAGCAAGTCGTGCGCCATCTTGACAGCCTCCGCGGTTGCAACCTCCTCACAGTATCGATGGACAAGGGGGACAGTCACAGGCACGTAGGGTGGAGTTCCTTTCGTACCAGGAGTTGTAGTAGTACCCTGCAGCTCTTGAGCAGAAACGCAGTCTGGTGCGCACCTGGTCATTGCGTTTATTTCCTCGTGTCGTACGGTTACGGCAACGGTAGCCTGGTGCGAATCCGCTGCTTTTGTTTCATCGTGACCACTGTCTTTGGCCTGCTTTTGCAGCTTTGGCTCCTCGTCATCCTCGTTGGCTAGCGCCTCTTCGCCTGCCGAGACTTCTGGACCGCGGCCATTAGGTACTTCCGGAGCAGGTGGTCGAGAAATATGTTTGGTGGAAGTCGAAGCTGACGCAGCTATCGGTTTTGCATTCAAAACGCCAGCTCTGCTTGCCGAGCTCGCCGACTGATGTGCACCAGCTTCCAGCTTTTGCTCCTGTGCTGCAACCTCGTTGCCCAATCGCGCTGCTGCGCGCTGGAGGTTTTCACCGCTGAGGCCCAGGTCCCGGCCTTTGCTGATCATATTTCTCGAAACCTCAGCCTGCAAAACTTTCCTGAGTTTTGACAATGAAAAAAAGGGAACGGCTTCGATCAGCTGCAGCGCCTTTTTGTTCGCCTGATTAGCACCCGCGCCGGCACGGAGGAGGATCTTTGCAAGAGTCACTCCGGGCACATTCTTGTCGGTAATCTTTGTGCGGGGAAATCCAGCAGCCATCCCGGGATCCGCCGCCGAGGACGGTTGTGCGCTGAGTTCTAGCAAGGCTAGAAGCTGCTTGCGCTGCTGGATGGGAACGAATTTTCCAACCAACCGCGACACCGCAACGTCTGGATTTTCCATTTTTCATCCAGAGCGACAGCGAATACAACGCTGCGGCTGCAACAGTACAAAAACCAACACGTATACGAAACTCAAACTACTCTCTATGGTGGCTTTGGCACTCCCAAAAATCGTTTTTTTATCATTTTGGCGAGCCGCGCAAGAGCGAGAACTGAGCCACATTGCAGCACATCAATCTCAAGACGACGCTTTACAATGCCAGTTTTCTCCTTCATCTGGTTCTGCTCATTTATAGTCACATTTTTGGGTCTTTCGCAGGTTGTAGTCTGCTTGGATGCATCAAGCCCTCGCTCCTCTCGCAATCGCACCTTCAAAAGTTCTCTCGAAATCTTCAAGGCTGATCCGTAGAACGGCATCACCAGGTAGGTAGGATAGTGCATCTTCATTTTACTCCAATGAATCCAATTCCAACAATTCTGGTGGAGCATTTCTATCATTATGCGCAGAGAAATTGTCTGTACTCAATTTTGTTTGCCTTTGCGTCAAAGCGAAAACAAAGCGCAGCATCTCCATCTTCATCACGAAAACAGGGCCAATTTCACTTAGCCACCTTTCAGGAACGACCCTCTTACTGGTAACAGACGGGAATTTCCGTGCCCCCCTGCGCCCAGCATCCGTCCGCGCCGTCGTCCCCGTCGGCTGGCGTACTCAGTGGCGTTCTGAGGAACCGGACAGCGCCGGGCGTGAAGATGTCCCGCCCCGCATTTGCGGCCTCTGACGTTTGCTCCATTTCTTGGACGACTGTGGACGGTGGGGGTTTATGTTTGGAGTGGTCCGCCCGAGATGTCGCCGCGCCAACTGCTTTTATTTGTGGTCCACGAGATGTTCCCGAGCCACGTCTTGGACGAGGACCTTCGAAAACCTGCTTTCCGTGCAGAGCGTTCCGGCTTGCATTGGCGTCCATGGGATGACGACCGCGACGGGAGTGCGTTTCTGATCCGTTAGACGGTAGGTAGACCGAATACATCTCCTCCTCGTCGTACATCATGTCCACATCGTGCTGGCCGTTGTAGAAGCCTGGACTGCTGTTCGCTTGATTCCGACTCGCAGTTGGAAAGGGTTCCTTGGTTGTCGTGGTCAAGCCAGCATTAGTCTCGTCAGCATCGGCAAAGTAGGGAACGATGCGCATGTGGAAACTGAGCGCCACCTGTCCCGCAATGTGTGGGTTCTCCAGACTCAACGCGTGCGCGCGAAAGGGCTGGCTGACCAGGATCGACTCCTGTTGGATTCCTTCCAGCTTGGCATGCACGTAGCCCAAAGCGGACAATCGGACCAGCTCTGCGCAGTGAAGGGTGCTAAAAGCGACGAGAAAAGCGCCGACCGGCGGCAAATTCGTTTTGCCGAGATTGTTTTTGTTTTCCGTGAGCAGATCAGCGGTAGTAGAACAATTTCTACCCGCTTCATCAGCATCCGGCTTCTCATCATCGGTCACGTTGGGATTTGCGTCGAGTGCAGTTTCAGCGGAAGTAGCATCCTCATTTGGAGTGTTATCTATCATCTCTTCCGGCACTTCGACTCCGCCCCGCGGGAGCGCGAGCAGAGCAAGCCGCAAGTCAAAGTCCGTCGAGTATTTCAGCTGCACGTCAATTTCGCTGGAAGCAAGATTCGACGGCGCGTGTTCGTAGTCCTCTAAGTCGACAGGGGGACCAGAGCTGGATGCAGCTCGGCGCAGCGTGACACGATACCCGGTCTCAGAAAGCTCGAAGATCAAAGCTTTCCCACGGCCACCAAAATCCAGGACGCGCTTTTGGTCAAACGTGGCGTTGTCCAGTGCAATCAGAACGGGCGGCAAATTCAGCCAGGACACCTGCAGAACCGGTTCACAGTCGGCCAGCCGGTCCGAAGCCAAAAAGGCCTCGGGGAGGAGCATCCGATCGAATACCAAATCCAGCGACAGCAACATCTTGAGGTCAGGCAAGCTGCCAGTGTAGCCCAGTAGAATTCAATTATGGGTAGTTGTACAGCTGTTCTGCTAATAGCATCTTTCAAACGTCGTTCTTGGTGTTGCAGATACGAAGTGAAAAGTCGTGTCAGCGTTCTCCGAATTGTGCCATGCGCATGCAGCTGCTCCAGACAAGAATATATAGAATTACGATTTCAGTGCGTGTTTGCCTTTCGAAACCTCTTCTCGCTAGAAATCGCTCTTGTCTAGCACACGTAATATCTAGAAATAAACGTTTTTTTCTAGCCGGTGGACAGGAGCCAGAGCCACAGAAGGAAGATAGCCTTCACTCCCGGTCCCGACTGTGCTGATGCTGTATTTTTTTTGTCTTGAAGCAGTACAGGGCACTCGCATGATTCCGCATTTGCCTTTTTTCTTGGCGCTCGCAGCTGCGACGTCAGTATGGTTTGCAGACCACAGCGACAAAGAACATAGAACACGACACCCATTATTTGCTCAGGCCAGGAAGTGCGCTCTTCACCACACATTTCACTCCCTAACAAAGAGAGGACTTTTGGTGTTGCTTTCTCCGGTTTCATGATTCCGAATGCTCTGCTGCGATGCATCTTTTTCTTCCGCTAGAAAAACCTTCTGAGCAGCCTCGCTTTCATTTTGTTCATTTTCTCGTTGAATGTGACATTTGGCAACCGGTAGCCCCCTTTTTGGACTTGCGCGCGGTGATATAGGAGAGTGTTCCCGAACAGAATCGCGGAAAGGGAAATCAGAGCGCTTTCCGGTGACAGTTGCTCGGCAAAGTATCCCGTCAGCGAGGCTCCCAACAAGTATCCCAGGTCGTTTGACGTCCTCAACATCGACAGGGCCTGTCCACGCTGCACCTGTGAGTGAGTTTCTTGTTCAAAATCTCATGCGACGAAATTCAAATTGAAATCAACAAATTACTAGCATCCTTGCTTCCGATGCAGACACAAAACCGACACAACCCACAGCAAAAAACAGCTTGTGACAACAGGAAGAAGTAAATACCGGGGACACCATGTCGCTGACGAGCGAGTTCGGCGCGGCTCCGTAGGCTGCACTCCCGAGGCCCCAGAGCGCGAAGATCGCGACCGCGCTGGAGTCCAAACCGTGATGCAAGAACGGCAGGAGGGCCATGGCGGCGCCCATGGCCAGCGTACCGCCGACCAGCACCTTCTCCTTCCCGACCGTATCGCAAAGAAAGGCTATCGGTGGCCCGGATAACACCTGGATACCGGCCATGCCCGCAAACACGAGTCCCGTTTGCCCGACGTCCAGGCCAAACTGGGGCCCAATCAAAACGAGCGGCAACACCGTGGCGTGTCCACCGGTATGAGAGTGGTGCACGACCCTACTAGCTACTACCTGCTGCCCGTCATTTCATGGAATGTATCACGAACAGCGACAGACAGCAGCTGACTCACATGTAAATGCTCTGCAGCTCGTTCTTCTGGACAAATACACGTGTAAGTCTAAGTTCCGTACGCGGTGCATAATGTTGATGACCGGGGGCTCGGATCATCAACATCATGCAAGGAATTGCTAAATAGAGCTAGAGGGGAGATAGCAAAAGGCAAAATCTGGCTTAGATGAGCTTGTAATATATTTTTGCGAGAGAAATGCGGAGCAAAAAAATCATGTTGGTTCGTGCACTATCATAACCGGCGGAGCTGATCCAGAAGGCCCCGCTCAGGACCAGTAGGTCTTTCAACCGCGCGTTGTCTTGCCACAAAGTTCGCCAGTGGCTGACCGCCTCGCGCATCGCGTCTTTCATGGAACCGCCAAGCAACTTCGGTGCTGTCTCCACGATGAGAACTTGATTCGCTACCATGAGGACCATGAACGTGGACCCGACGGCCAGGAACGTGGGCTCCATACCGATGCGGGAAACCAGCAGTCCCCCAAGCGCCGGGCCCATCGCAATGCCGGCGTTGAAGGCGACCTAGAATCAAGAGCACCGAGAGATTTTGAATTTGTTCAGCCACAACCTGGCTGAAGAACCATAACTGATGAATCCCTCTATCCAAACTCATCTCGCAGACTACACTTTTGCTTTTCCGCCCATAACTTTTAGTATCATCAGTACCCCAACTGGCGCGATGGTTCGTGTCATGTTCAACTTTGTCCCGAGGTCCATCATGCTCATAGATGCGGAGGAGGTCAACGCTGCGACGCAGCCTCCGACCAACATGCGCGAAAGACACATTTGCTCGAAGCTGGTTGCGAACGCCAAACTACCAAAGGCCACCCCCACGATCCCAGTCGGCACGACGAAGAACGGCTTGCGCCCGTAGCGCTCCACCAAGAATGCAGCAGGGATGTTGGCGACTATCTTCGTCATCTGAAATAAATTCAAACTCATTCCGCACGAATTTTGGGTGGAATAAGAGGCATTGATGATCATGTGACGTTTAGTTTTCGCCATGCAATGCTATTGCTAAATGACGCAGACGCTTACGTATTGATTGTGCTAGATCTAGAGCTAGACGCCAAATCCACTAAAAGCAAAAGATTCGGAAGCAATGGCGTCGTTGTAGCTGACCAGCAGTACTTCCCTGCCAAATAATCTGTACCGCGAACGACGCGATGTAGATTCCGAACTGCGCTTTGGAGAGGGCGAGCTTTTCCGCGAGAAAGGGGATCACGGGCGTGAGGATGCCCAGCGTCGCGCCGGTCATGAAGCACGAGAACGCGATGGGATAGACGCGGTGGTCGACCTTTTCCGCCAAGCGCAAGATGGTTTTGGTCCACTGGTCCCGACTGATCCGGGGCTGCCCATTCTCGGTAGAATCGGTGGACACGCGGAAGACATCCAAGATCCGCTGCGTCAGCCGGTGGTCTTCCTCCTGCGTCTTCTTGGAAGTCTTCTGCAGCCGCTTCACCAGCTCCCGGATTTCGGGTTCGGTTAGGTACCCGTCGTCATCTGCATCCAGTTCGTCAAAGCGCTCCCGTATCTCCCGAGAGGAGAACTCCACCAGCCCGAGGGACTGGAACATGTTGGCCTGAATCGGTTTGCGGTTGAAACTCTGCAAGTAGCTGACCAGGGACGTTGGCGGCCGGGGGTACGGGCGTTTGTTTTTCGGCGGCGCGGCCGGGATGCGGGTGCTCTTTTGCCGCTTCGGAGCAACGCTTGTTGCAGGCACAGCTTTAGAAGTGCTGAGCGGGTTTTCGGCTGATGCCTTAGGCGGCCCGGCGGCGTTCTCCTTGTTTCTCGTCGACGGATTCGATGCCCCTGAAGTGTTCTCAGCAGAAAGCGCTGCAGCAGGTGCAGAGTCCTGCTTTGAAGTGGCGACACCCTGCTCGTTCGGTGCATTTTCACCGACATCAGCTTCAGCTGGCGCTGCTGGCTCTCCTCCAGCATCCTGCTTCCCTGGTGCAGTGTCTTTTTCGCGAGTAGTTGATGCGCTGAAAGTTCTTCTACCAGATGAAATGCAACTGCATCTTCTGGCATCCACAATTTTCTTGCCACTGCAGTACGAGCGCGAGGGCACGTCTCGCGCTGCTGTAGTGCAGACCCTTGCTGAGGCGGCCGTGCGGTCGAAGATTGTGATCGCTCGGATGGCGGTCGAGTGGCAGCAAAAAAGTTCGCCAATCGGTCGTGTCGGTCCTCTGGTGACCGGCTGAGTCGTTCCTGGCCGTAGCGCGAAACGCCCAGTTCCAGATGGCGCGCTGCAAAGCAATTGTACTCTTGCTGTGGCATGATTTCTGTAGTACCAGCTACGAGCATACATTTGTGGAATTCAGACGCACATTGCATGTCTGCACCCGTCGATCCTGATCACCGAATCCTCTCTGAAGGACGACAAAAGCTATGGCTTTCTTGCTGTCTTGGTCCCACTCCTGGCAGCCTGGATCAGAACTACTTGAACTTCAACTCTTTCTGCTTACATCGACGATCCATTTTTTCGACATGATCTATTCCCGAGATTACCGCTTGAGCTCCAGTGTCATGACCGAGAGAGAACTTGAAACGAGATCTTCAGAGGACTGCAGAAACGCTTCTACAACAGAAACCAGAAGCCCAGCTGCAACACCAACACCCCGTTGATTATCAAGGAAACATAAACAACTCCTCTCCAGACGTAGTTGCTTGCCAGGTTCTGCCTAACTTTGAAATGACAGTACTGCTGCAACAGGATAGACACCTGTTCTGTTAAGAGCGGTTTGAGTCAACATGCTTTTTGAACGAAGTAAAAGTTGTCTGTGGTGCAACGGGGATTTCATTTCTCGTTGATCCGACCAGCGAAAAGCGAATGCGCAGACGAAGTGCCAGCATTCGCCGAAGCTTTCGCATGACTTGCTGCTCGCGCGCCAAAAATGGACGTGGAAACCGGCACTGGTTTAGCGTTTGGCGATGGCTTTGCAAACAGGCTCGATTCCTCGCTGTTGATGCCCCGAGCGAGCTGTTGAATCGTCTGGTGAATGATTTTTTGTTGGTCCCGCTGCGACAGCTTCTGAAACTCCGAGGGCATTTGCGCCATCGGCTTCATGTTCATCGTTCGTGGCACAGCTGCCTGGACTTGTGTTTGGTTCAGGTGGTGCACCGCTGTTGATGCTGGTGGCCCTGCCTCGGCTCCTATATGCTTGGGCTGCGATGATTTTCGCTCATCCGCTTTCAGTTCTGAGCCTCGAGGGTCTACTGGTCTCGGACGCGGCGCTGTCCCTTTTTCGTCCGATACTAATACTCAGGGAAAATTTGTCACCGTCACCGTTTTGGCATATTCATTTTTTGAGCAAAAAAATTTGAATTTCTGCTGGCTTTGTATGCGTGTCCGTGTCTGCCACATGTTGCAACTGCGGCAAGCTAGCTACTGCGTTTCAAGCGCGCTGACCTAGCTCGCTGAAGGTAGTCCCGAAATATCCCAGAACGGCGCTGCCGTTATACAGGCCAAAGCCGCGGCTCGTCCAGAAGGTCCTTGGCTGGGAGGCTGTCTACTGACACTAGAGCAACCAGATTTCCGTCCGCGGAGGATCGGAATACTGCGGCTGGTCTTGCTGGGTTGCCCCTCAGCATCTCGGGCACATCTTACTCCTTGACGAAAGACCTTCAGCAAAGGACCTCCACAACCCGTGAAAAAAAGGCAAACTTTTAAGCAAATTAACCGACGACCCGGTGACAAATCTCGAAAATCGTGCATTTTGCACGGTATGGTGGACTATGGGAGCCCAAAAGCGGAACTGGTGACAAATGCCCGAAATTTTGCATTTTGCGCGGTATGGTGGACGATTGCGCACTGATCAAAAATTCTTGCAGCTGCAAGAATTTTTGGTCCGTGCGCAATCGTCCACCATACCCTGCAAAATGCAAGAATTTGCTGATTTGTCACCAGTAACAAATCTGGCTCGGAAACGTCCACCATACCGTGCAAAATGTAAAATTTCTGGGATTTGTCACCAGGTGGTCGTTAAATTTGCTTAAAATTTTGCTGCTTTTTTCTGGGTTCTGGAGGTCCTTTGCCGGAGGCTTTTAGTCAAGGAGTGACAAGGGCCCGACATTCCCAGGAGCAACCCAACATCACAAGCCGCACCATGCAGAAGCCCCCCCAGCAAGGATCGAGCCCCTATGCGCCAGCAGCCAGCCTCCTCGCAACGGGCCTTCTGGAGCCGCGTCTTCGGTCTGTACGACGGCAAAGCCATTCCGGGGCGCTTCTGGATTGTGTTCAACTACACGGGCCACCATGCTCGAAGTGTAATGCCTCGCGGGCCACATTTGCAACAACTGATCAATACGGGCATGTGTGGGATATCAGGAAAAAATCAATTTTTTTGGGTCGGAAAATGAATATGCCAAAACGGTGACGGTGACAAATTTTCCCTGAATAACTAATACGTCAGTATCATGTGCTGGCGGCTTGAAGAGTGAGGCTAATCCTGCCATCGGCCGTGAAATCGGGTTCGTTGTCGTTGTACTTACCGCGGATGCGGCAGCCGCAGGTGCAAGTGCGGGTCCGGGCGATCCAGCGACACGACGCATGGGTGCAGGACCGAACCCACCAGGTCGCGAGGGAAAATTGGCAGCATTCACTTGCTTCACCTGTCAGACAAACGATTCATTCGAAGTAGCTTCCGAACAATTCATTACTCCAAACAAACGAGAGTCCAAGTCCGCATTTCATCAGACACTCCAAAGCAAACAGTTGATAGATTAGATATGCATCAATTCGAATTCCAACTTCACGCACCGGAACAAGTACTTACCTCAGCTGCTGCAGATGAGGATGCTACAGATGCAGCCAGAAGAGGCGTCTGTCCGGCAAGTGGTGGACTCGAGGCGAGACCATTCTTGATCCCCGGTTCTGGATTCGCGCGTCCGGTGCCATATTGGTCTCGAGTATGACCTGCAGAGAATCCGGTACGAGCAGCGACGACCACATCAGGGCCAGGCGTGTTAAGCGGCTTCCTCTGCAGCGCCCCTGGTCCGTCTTGTTGCGCCTCCTCCGCTCCTCCTGTTTTCAAACGCTTCGCGGGCCGCAGTTGCTCCTGAATTGCTCCGTTGAGTGCATCTTTCACCACATTTTGAAGAGGGAAAAATGTACAGCGAAGCCGAAAAACGGGTGACGGTGCTATGCAAACAAAACCATAGTCATAGAGAACTCTATTTTTTGAGTTTGCAAAGGTCACCTACAGTCTGTGGAACAGTTAAGTACAGTATCACCCTGTAGTTTTCCGCGCGATCGCACATTTGAACACTTTCATACTTCATATCCAGTATTATCGGTGGGAAGGTCCCGAGAAGCATCGTCTTCAGGTCCTCGAGCTGTAGAATGCTGTCCTGCAAATTTCGTTCCAGCTCTTTCTTGATTTCGATGTACGCTTTCTCGCGAAACTCCGTCTCGACCGCACTGCATGCTGACGTAGTGGTTGACGACGGGAAGCTCGTGGCTGTTGGTAGAGACGAGGACGAGCTCGAGCCGCTGGAACCTCCGCCACTTGATATGCTGGTCAGGATCGCGTTCGGGTTGAACAACCCGGCACAGCTGTTCATCTTGTTGCACTTCTACTTTTGTATTTCAGAAATTAAGAATGACCACGTGAATGACGAAGCAGACGGAGACGACTAAAGGAGCTTCTACTTTGGTTGTGTAGCTCCCGGGCTGGCACAAAGGTGTAAACGCACCACTGTTTAGAAGGGCAAGAAGTTGCTTGGATTGAACTACACCAGTAGGTGGCCTAAGAGACTGACTTTCGTCCTCGCAATCCCTGAACGAAGTCCAACTGAAAGAAACTGACGATAAGGGATATCGAGGACAAATCGAAACTCGACGAAAAAAGGGTAAATCAAAACTCAAATTACTGGACAACTACGAAAATCAAGAATGTACAAGTAGTGGGCGAGAACAGCGGGTACACAAAAAATGCATAGTCACCACATCAAGTCATGGCTTCCACTAGCACGACTGGCACTCGTCAGTCACCGTCGCAAGTAGCGGACTTGCTTTGTGTTCCTTTTACACTTATACTTAACCTTGTTCTTGTCTTTTTCCAAATTTTTGCTATTCAATAGCAATTTAGAGGAGGTCCGAGGTCGAGGTCACACTAACAATGAATTGAGCAATTCACACAAGGTTTGCATTGCGATTGGTAGTTGTTTCAAGTGCTACAACTAACACGAAGGTATGTTGTCGCTTTCCTTTTGTTCTTTTCTCGTTCCGTGGTTTTCGCCCAGCATTACAAGTTCCTTTCGTTCCATAGTAAGTACCACAGTCCACTTTTGCTTGTTCGAGCCAGCGCAGCCGCTGTTCGTTTTTTTACAAAAAACTCACAAGGAAGATGAAATTTGGTTTTTCTAGGGAGCTCTATTCGGGTTTGCTTTACTTCTTCTTCATCACGACCATCTTGGGCTTGGTTTGCTTGGCGTTGGCATTCGTAGTTTTCGCCGTCTTGCTATTATTTTTCGTGTTTTTCATGTTCATCTTGTTGGCTCCATTCTTCTTCATCACGACCATCTTGGGCTTGGTTGTCGTGGCGTTCTTGGCATTCATTTTCGCCGGCATGCTATTGCTTGTTTTCGTCTTTTTCTTGTTCATCTTGCTGGCCGCCCCATTTTCATTTTTTCCCCCGCGTTTTGATTTTTCTCTACCTGTTGGTTGTATTGATGATCTTGGTCATGCACAACTTGTTAAGGTGTGATCGTACAATGAGCAACTCGCAACAGGAAAGCGAGTTCTTTGTGCTTGTATTCCTTTCTTGTCCATACGCCGTTCCTGTGTAGTCCGCATCGCACTCGCACAAGATTTTAAAAAAGCACTCATAATGGAAGGACTTATCTATCACGACCGGCTACGCAGTGGCAATACGGCCGAGAACAAAGGAAAGCCGGCCTTTTTAAAAAAACACTGCACAAGTACTAGCCGCAATACCAATGCCATCGCTTCCTCAGGCTCTTCGTCCTCGGCCTGCTCTGCGTCCTTCTTTTTTCCATGATGCGCTTTCCACTCGCGGAGGAGCAGGTCCGGGTCGATCTTCGCCGCCGCCTCGTCTTCGCCGCAAAACTCGCCAGACGTGACATATTTGTAGGAGTCGAGGTAATCGAGGCGGTCCTCAACCCACTTGGTTTCGTTCTCTACTTCAGCTTTCTTCCGCCCCGCTACACTGCGCGCCAATTTTGCCAAGCCATCGCTAAGCACCTGAAAGTTTTTGCCTTTTGAATCCGAGCAGAAGAATTCGATTTGATGTCATGGAGTTTCTCAATATCATGGCGAGATGAGCTATGATAAGCAAACGAAAGATCCGGGTCTAGAGCATGAAAAGCAAAAGCGACACATTACCTCATAAATCTTCTCGACCGGAAACCCACACGAGCTCATTACTCCTCTGTCATGAATGTGCGAGCACACGTTCAGCACGATATCAATTTTGCCTTGGAGGCTTAGCACCTTCCCCGCTTGCTCCAGCGCCTTTTCGTGGAGGCGGTAGAGCGGATAGCGCATCCGGGAAAACAAACCACTTTTGACGCTCCACACTTCGTCTTCATAGAGATCGAGCCACGCCTCGATCTCGTTTTCCGAAGCGTCTTTTTTTAACGCTTTCATGTTGATTCCCTGCGGTCACGGGGAAATGAAATGGTGGTCAGGAGCTACGGTACAACAAATAGGTCTATTGTTTTGTTTTTTTTTCTTTTGGAACGATATACACGACAAAGGAATGCTCAACATGAAGTATGGGCGGCGATACTCTTTTGCATAAAGATTAGATGTAGATCATGGCATGTTGTTGGCACGGCGTTTTAATCAGCGCACCACAATTGTGTGCGGCGTTGATTCTATTTCGAGGCACGTTTGAGCTAACGAGTGGTGCTGCGTCCCCCATACGAAAAACAATGGCAGACCGACACCGACGATCGTCGTGTTTATACTTTGGAAAACATGATCAGTCACAATCAACCGAGATCGAGAAACCATATTTGTAGAAGATTTGTACGCTCATATTCATCATGGTCCCTGCTAGGTAGTAACACGAAACAAGATCCCGGACCCAGCTGTTCCCCTGAACCCAGCTGAAGATAAGCCGACGTAGTCCTGAGTGTGCCGCCGAAACCCAAACCTGGACCGATAGGGAATGCAGAGACTTCCCTAGTACAAGCGACACGTCGTGCTCGTGATCGATTTCAGCACGGACACGCACACGGAGCACATCTCGTACGAAGGAAAACGACCGGCGCGAACAGGTTCTATTTTTCTCCGATTTTGGATTCTTGCGCTAGAAACTCGGTTTCAAATTTCCTTTATCGCCGTCATTTGCGTATTGAAATGTAGGTCCCTCCTTCAGGTCGTGCTTCACGTTTTTGTTACTACGCAACCTTCATAGCAATACACTGGTATGGATTTGAACTTTTCCACTTTCGTTGGAGCCACGTTTTCGATAGGCAGGCGAAACACATACGACACAACCTTGCATTTTCTCGTCGTCAGCGCCGTTTCGAGCACATCCACGATGTGCTTCATGCCCTCCGGAACCAAGTATACGAAAAATATTGTTCCAGTTTCGGCAATTTCTGTCCGAAATCCGCATACATCAGCGAGCAGCAGCTCGGGGCGGAGCGTGTTTTCATTTCCGCTATTTGGTGTTTCTGTATCTGTTAAAGTAGTTTGAGAAGATCTTCCAAAGCGCATCGCCGCTAGTACCTGGCCGGCAGCTTTCGAAGACAGCACGGCGCCCTCTCTGTCTTTGACCAGGTATTCTCCGCTCGTGGCCGCAGTTTCTTCTTCAAGAATCGCCGGCGCAGTAGATGAGGTTGAACATAACGCAGCAGGAGTTCTTGTCTTGCCGTGAAGTAGCTGACAGCTTTCTAGCCGCTCCTGTGCCTTCTCGAACAAAACGGGATCGTACTCTATCCCGATGGCCGCTCGTGGTAGTCGGTCCGCAAAGCGCTTGACGAAAGCACCCACTACACGGCCGTCACCGCAGCCAAGATCGAAAAACACGTCACGGTCCGTCACACCCGCGCCCTCCGCGTAGAAATCCAGCGCCAGCTGAATCACTTCGTCGCTTGTCGGATTAAACGGCGCTAGCTTTGGCCCGGAGCAAAGGGCGGGGTCCCCAATCTTGGGCATTGTCTTCGTTCCATGATCCGCTGTCTCGGGGGGCGGGGCGCCGTAGGGATTTGCGGCAGCACCACTCGGTACCGGAGCGGAAGAACCGCCACTAGTACTAGGGGATACCATGATGTTCTGTTGCGACGCTGTCGCTGGATACCACTACTAGTACCTCCGGAAGGTCAATAAACCGCAAGACTGTAGTACACTCAAATGGAAGTGATGAGGTGTTCATTGATTTTGTTTTTGTCTAGGAGCACGAAGTGCAACTTCTGCAACTACAGTGCCTACTTCTAATGGGCCTGATACATGATTTGGCGAGTTGTTTGTGTTCCTCACAAAAGTTTTAGTCAGCGCATATACACACTGTATGTTCCTCTTTGCTGAATTTCGTGATGGTAAGGAGGTGATACTTTCTCTTCGCTCCCTGGACCTTTGCGTTTGATCGTGGCGGCTCAAGGCGATATCAATGCTGTTCAAGGAGCAACCCACACGACCTCCTCATACGGACCCATTCTGGGATAAGGGTGAAGATCACGGCCTTTTAGCGGTTGGCATTGATTGCCCTGCACCAGAAAGAGAAAAGACGTATCGGTCGTGGTTTTATCTTCATTTTCGTTCTTGCACTTGCACCGCTACTTTCCTACGTTGCAGCCTTGCACCAGCACCAGTAGTACTTTATTGCGTCGCAAACCCGCAAACAAGTGCCACCCTGGTGACGATGAAGACGAGAGCAACTGGGCCATCCTCCTTCAGCTGCATCTGGTCTTCGGAACTCCCTATCCGCAGCTGTGCTCCTCCTGGATGGTGGCGTCTCGTCTGATTGAATTCATTCGTTCTACTTGTGCTACGGATTGGTAACAGGATCAGTTCAGCAAAAAGTTTTTCATACGCACGCATACGCATGTTCATACGCTTTCGCTGGCAAGGACGACCTCATACGTTGGTGCCCCACGGCCGTTGCTTACTGTCAAGAACTGAAACAACCGTAACGGTAACGGATGCAACATTCACATTCATCTGATGTTTGATAATCGGATAATTGTTAAGAGGATTTCTAGGAAAGTCTGCAACGTCAAAATTGTCAAAGAAAGTTCAAGAAAAACAGACCGAGCAAGTGTCCATAGGACCTTGAAGAAGATCACTTAGAGCGGAACCCTACGCCTATAGAATCTCTCGACATTGTACAATGGGACAAAGCTGCAGGGTTCTCGCTAGACATTCAACTGCATGATGTTGCATTGTTTTGGTAATTGATGGTCTAGTCAGTGCAAGTGCTTCTAGTACGGCTAGGGACAGAGGCGGAAGAAAACATCATACATACATATACAATGTGGTCGACACCACGAACAGTTCTACCTAACGTAACCCGCCTCTATCTGGGATGAAAATGAGTGAATTGAAACGGAAATATTAACATCTTGTTCTCCTCACTCGATTAGGACTACATGGACAACCACATCCTACTCCTAGTCCTACATCACATTTCCGAGTATCGAGTTCGCGGTTCCTCCGATCGAGTTGCCAACGGACCCCAGTCCCGTAATGCCTTGCTGGCCCAGGTTTCCGAAAGTACTGCCGACACTGCCCAAAGCCCCGGACACGTCTCCGTTCGTGAGCTGCGTACCCAGGCCGCCCGCAAAGTTCGCCGCATCAACACCACCCTGGCCAGCCAGCTGAGCCCCCTGCCCCGCCAGCGCAGCTGCGTCTTTTCCTAGTCCCACCGCGCTTTCCGGTGCGTTGCTCAAGGCGGTGCCGGCGGCGCCGACCGCATTCCCTGCTCCGTGCGCAGCATCTCCCGCGGCGGCGGCTCCCTTTGACAGAATGTTCTTGTCCTGCGCGTTCATCAAGGCGCTTTGGTGCCCGTCCTCCGTTTCTGGTGGGGGGTTGTGCGCCATGCGCAACTTACAGCGGGCATTCGCGTTTCGGCCGCAGTAGCACCCTATCAAATGCAGAAGTGTCTGGGTCTGGAAGGATACAAGGTTTGTCATGTTGGAAGGCTAAGGGCAGGGCGTCCCATTCGTTTATAAACTTAAAACGGTAGCCACCTACCCAGCAAACTCTGAGTGGAATAAGCACGGGCAAAGCGATCTCTACCGAGAGACAGTCACAAGAGCTCCTGGGACGGCTGCGGGATGAGCTTTGTAGCCATCTGAGTAGGGATAACTTTGCCGGCAGATACAAGGTTTGTCATGCACATTTTGCAAGAATCCTGATGTCTGCGATGCATGCCCTAGCATCACAGATTATGTGAGGGCTTTCTGATTCCTATGCCGCATGAGAAATGCCCTCTCGCCGTGGCCAAAACCAGACCTCTTTTGCTGTTCATGCAATACAGATTTTTGGATAATGCAGACGCAGCATCACAAGCTGCAATCTTCCAGACCCAGACATATTTGCATTTGATACACCCGAGCCGCGGCTCGGTCCGAAATTCGAACATGCACCCGTGCGGGTACTTGTCCTTTGGACAGTTCCGGTCGGACGTCGTGTTACTCAAATGCCCGTTGTTGTCGTCGTGAAAGGCACACTCGTGATCGGACATCACCTTGGTCGCGCAGTCGTCCCGTAACGCTTTCATGACGCTCTCCTCCTCTTTCGCAAGCTGGTCGCGGAAGTGCTTCAAGCCGTCCTTCTCCAGGCCGTCGAGAACTTTCAAATTATAGCCGATCGTCTGCCCGAGCGGCATGCCGACGCCCCCGACTACGTGCTCTTTGATCACGTCATTGGAGAAAAGATCTGCATCTACTTCTGGTTCTGCGAATGAGGTACTACAAGACGCAGGACTCTTGTTGTTCTTCATGTTCATTCGGTCTCCTGCTCCGCTGGACGCTGTATAAAAGCTGGTTGTGGAAGACGACGACCTCAATCGCGGTGTTGTTCTCGAGACCACGGGTGACGGGGCCGTACCGCCCCCTCCGCTGACCATGTCTGCGAAGAGCGCACCGATTCGTGAAGACAAAGCCTGGGTTACGCGACCAACCGTAAGCGCCGAGGCCGACAGCTGAAAGGCGGCGCTTAGTGCTGTCGCGGTGTTACCACCAGATGATCCCGCCATGTGTAGCATGTCGTATTGCGCGTTACCGTCGCTGTGCAAGAAGGATGTCGTACCACCCAGCAAATGCGACGCGTCGTGCTCGTCATGTGTATCATGCACGAAGTCAGAACCGGAGAAAAAAGACGATCTTGATACAGTGCCGCTCGTCGGCTTGAGCTCCTGGGCACACCCAGACGCCGAACCTTTCACCCATGGCGAAGCGAGCTCATCAGAGGAAGAAAAGAATGTGGTGGAGGAGTACTGGTGCTTTTGGGATCGCCGGCCGCGGCCAGCAAAACTTTTTACTCTTTGCGAACCCGTATCTTCGTGAAGTGGTGAGATATTTGAACAAGATGATGTGGAAAAATAGTCCACGTACGACGAACGTGTCGGAAGAAGAACCGAACCCTCCTTCTTTGCGCCTCTATTCGCGACTGGTCCTCCTGTAGTTCCCGATGTGCTTAAGAAACTACTCGAACCTGCTGCTGTAGTGCGGAACGTGGTGGAGGGGACGCTGTCAGGTTCTTGCAAAGAACCTCCTTGCGTCGTCGAAGGTTTCAGATCGTCGCCAGCACCTCCGCCCCGCGCAGCCGCGTCTGCATGATCCACTCCTTCGCGAAGATTCTTCGTAGATCGTTGCGTCTCCACCATGGCAGTGATGTTGGTTGGAAGTCCCATGCTTGCCATGGGATTCATGGAGGGCATGCCACCGCTCAGCGGGTTAGACATCATACCTCCTGGCATTCCGCCCAAAGGGTTTGACATTCCGCTAAGCGGGTTCATTGAGGACATGTACCCCTGCGCAGCGGCGGTTGCCTTCTGTTGCGCGGCTTCGGGGGAAAGCGCTGCGGGGTCAAGACCTTGCTGGGCCGCCAAGGCTGCGGGATCTAGGTTCGTCGGCAGGTTTTGCGCCAAATTCGCCCCTGCAGCAGCTCCTCCAGCACCGGGAACTACCGGAGTGGTCGGTGGGGCCTCTGGCAGCTCCTCTTCCGGCTCCAGGGTTTCCAAGAGCGCTTCGGCGACGTTCTCCTGCTTCGGAACCGCGTGAAATTGCTGCAGTGCGTTTCCGTCTGCGAATCGCATCACCCGCTGGTAGTCTTCGTCCTTGATCAGACCCAGGGCAATCTCCGCTTTGATGGTGGCCTCGCCCGGGTAGAGGGAAAACACGCTCGTCGCACTCTTGTACGTGGCGGGGATCTGCGTTTCGTCCACCTCGTGGTCGCCCCACAGCGGCACGCCGAACTTGTCGTAGGTGGGCGTCGGCACGGGCTTGGTCACCCGGTACACGTTGGTTCCGAGCTCCTGACGGGAGGCGTCGTCGATCAACAAACTCACGCCGCCGGCACAGTCGGCGTTGTCGATCCTTCCGCACACGCAGGCCTCCTGACCCACAGCAGTGCGGAAACTGAAGTACTTGGTCGTCCCACTTCCGCACTCCGGGTCGGCCCCGGCCAAGACAGCGCACCTGTAGTAAAAAGCACCAGATGATTTTTGATTCGTACTTGACTTCACTTGCAAGTCATGATCTACAGAAAAAAAAACTCGCGCGGCGTCGTGCCACTTCATGTAAAAGGTTTTTGACTACTAGTGTCCGAAGCCAAAAAATGACCTCCACTGAGCCTGACTCTGTATGTGCTTACAGGAAAGAAAAAATGGTCAAAAAGAAACTCAGTACAGCTCTGGGGTTTTCGCGCCTGGTAGAAGCTTCACGTCTGTGGTTCCGTCGCCACATTTGAGGTCCTTGGCGACTTCCTCGAACAGTTGCTTGGTCCGGAACTTTTCGTCGATGGTGCCGCCGCCGTTGGGGCGGTCGCAGCGCCCATTGTTGATCGCGGTGACGCATGTGGCCGACGTCACAGGCTCCCCCTCGTGGTTCGCGATGTTGACGGCCCCACTTTCCGGCGAGAGCTTGTGGCAGCAGTGGTTTCCATCCTTGGTCAGATGGGACGCACACGTCGCCTCGTCTTGGCTCATTTGGCACAAGTTTGCCGACAAGGGACCCTCCCCACCAGCGTAGCTGAGGTCGAAACCCCCGGGTGGCTGGGGGTTCCAGCCAAGTGCGGGCGGGTGGTCCACGTCTTCCGCGGTGTCCAGCGGGGCTTTGGAGGCGACCGTGTCGGTAAATTCCTCCGGGTCGCCGTACCACTGCAGCGTGTCGTCCACATGCGCGTTGGGATCGCGCCACGTGCGCTTCTCCAGCACCCACTGCGGCTTCGCGGGTGCGGGTGCTGCCGCGGCCTCCTCGCCTTCGCCCGCTGCCTCCGTCTCTGCTGGCGGCGGTGCCTGCTCCACCCGGACGCGGAACAATGCCTGTTTCTTCAAGTCCTCGCTCTCTTCCAAAGCCCAGTACTGCGGCGTTTCCCCAACCGCGGCAACTTTTTTGTAGCGGCCAAACGGTGGCTGTGGCTCGGGGGTAGTTCCTCCAGCAGCTCCTGCAGTTTTTAACATTGCTTTCGAACCTGGTGCCGCATTCGCAGAAGCGGTGTCTCCAGTACCGGTCGCATCTCCCGTGGCCGCTGTGGTTTGATCGGCCGCAGCTGTTCCCACTTTTGCTGCACTTGCTCCTGCATCTGGTGCATCTCCGTCGCCTTCTGCAAAGTCTGTTTTACTTTTGCGAGCTTTTCTCTCCAACTTTTCGTGTATCGGCCAGTTGCTAGAGGACCCGGACATGAGTGGCCGCTCGTCTCGGTGCGGGGATGACAGACTTGAAGAACTTTTACTTTCTGAAAGAGCTGAAGCGGTTATTGAGCGCGGGGCGACTTTTTCCACTGACACTTCAAGCGCCGAAGTCGTTCCCGCGGCGGCCGTTCCGGCTTTAGCTCCTCCTGCACTTCCGCCCGCTGCGTCAGTAGTACCAGTCGGAGTTGCTCCACCTGCACCACCTTTGCCGTCACCAGCTACCTGTCCGCCCCCATCTGCGCCGGCGCCCGAGCCTCCGTCAGCACCAGCACCAGCTGCTGCAGCCAGAAGCCCACGCGCCGCACCCCCGGCTTTGAGTCTGAGATCCAGGATTGGATCAGTGCCTCCTTCCTCCTCCCCGTTGTTGAGCTGACACTTGAGGTAGTACGCCGGTGGGCCTTTGATGCACGTGGTTTTGCAACGATGCATCAGTTTCGCCAGCTCCTCCTCGTCTTTCCACTGGGAGTTCCATCCCTGCGCCTCGTCGCGCACGTCTTGCTCCTTCTGGTCCGCGGTTTCGGGGTCGAGCAACTTCGCGATTTCGAACTTGAGTTGCTTCTGCGGATCCGTTTCCAGGGGCACGGAGGTGATCTCGCACACCGCGCGACCGGTCGTGTCCCGGGTACCGCCCGGTGCGAGCGCGTCCAACCGCGACCGTGCCTTGGCGACGGTTTGATGCACACTGTCCACCATGTCCTCGCGGATGACGCAGTACGATTTGTCCACGTCGGGCTCTTTGCCGACCCAGAACGACTGATCCTTCACCCAGCACTGCTCGTGGCGGGCCGAGGAGGTGTCAGTCCCCAGGCCCCGAAGCTCCGCATCGTCCATGCTTCCCATTAGCTCGCAACTCATGCCGCCAGCACCTGGGTGGAAGTTAGTTGGACAGTATAGAAAGTCAACGAACTACTTACTACAACGCGAAAGAGCGACCAGTACTAACTGCTACCGGTACCGACAACACAAATCTAGCTAGCGCTTGGAATGACTACAAGTGTGAAAACTACAACTTCACTCAGTATTTAGTATTTTTTTAAGAGTCCAGACTTGGACCTTTCTACCAGGTCCAGGTTTGGAAAGAATCTCCAAGTTTCTTTTTTATACCTTTCAACATTTTTGTTTGCATGCCCGCGAAGTCGACGGTGATGCCTTTTTCCGCGTTGTACCCAGATTCCGGTGGCAGGAAGTTCTGGGGCTCCGGGTACACGGTTGGGTTTTTTGCCAACACGCGCATTGTGGTGGATGCCTTGTCTGCCGGCCAAGTCGGTACCACCGTCGGGTGAGAGGCCTCGGCGTCCGTCCACTTCAGTTCTTCGAGCTGCCACGGCGACAACGGATCCCCCTGCTTGCCCTGCACCAGCCGATAGCCCTTAGTTGGCCCCGCCGCTGCGGTCGCTCCGGTGTCGTCGCCGCCTCCTCCGGTTGCAGCCGGCGGGCTTCGCGGCATCACTTTTTCCCACCAACCCGGCTTCTTCGGCAACGCCAGTGTCACAGATGGCGGCACCACGGGATCTTTCGGGGGTTCACCACTAGAATCCACGACCGCAGCTTCAGGCCCGTTCTTCTCGGTATCCGCACCGGCTGCAGCTGGTGTGCCTCCATCGTTCGAAGCTGCAGTCCCAGTAGCCGCGGCCGCTGTCCCAGACGAGCCTTCTGCTGTAGTTGTTGTCGTGGCTGCACCAGTATTTCCGTCGCCTTCAGCGAAGCTTGTGGTCAGTCCCTCTGCTCGCGCCTCCGTTGAGCTTGAAGAACTACTTTGCAAATTAGGTTGCAGGACGTCAGCGGGCGGGCTCTTCAATAATACGCGATCTTTTTCCTTGATGGCGTGCATTTGCTCATTGAGCTTTTTTGCAGATGCCAAGCCGACATTTCTCTCAGAGCCTATTTCGAGCTCGCTAGTAGCTGTACTGGGCGCCGCCCCCGTCGTTCCTGCACCAGCCACTGTACCTGCACCCTCGGCCGTTGACGCTGCAGCTGCTCCTTCGCCCCCACCTCCCTCTGCCGCCGCAGTACTACCTGTAGCTGCAGCCGCTCCCGCAGTTCCTCCACTAGCAACGCCTTCTTCTGCTTTTGCTACCTCGGCCTTCGGGGTTGGGTGGAACACGTATGTCCCCGAAGCTTCCGGAAAGCTTGCGACGGCCACCTTGACGGCGTAGCTCGGCTGGAGTAAGTCAATGCCTTTGCACTCCGGATCGTACGCGCACTCGTGGATGCATCGGGTCATCAATTTGTTTCGCGGTTCCAGCTGGTCCGGCCCGAGGACTTTTGGGCGCAGCATTTTCGGTTGGTTCGCCGTTTTGCCAGGAAGTGGCTTGCCGGGCATGCAGGTTCGGCCGTGGATCTCGAAGCCCTCGGTGCTCGGCGGCGGGACGTCCTGAACGTCGCGCGATTCTGCTTGCTCCTGGTCGACGATGCTTGCCAGGGAAAACAATGAGCTGAGTGGCGCATTTGTTCCGCTCGATCCGCCCTCATTAGCGCAGTGCCCAGGTTGGTTTGCCGGTATACAACAATGACTGACGTCGGTTTCCGTGCATTCCGGGCCGGCACACAGCGCCTCGCAGTTCAGCTTTGGTGTCGTCTCCGGACACTGCATCTTGAACCCATCCCGCTCCGGTAGGTTCTCCCCGCGAAAGTAGAGCCTGCACGCCATGTTCTCATAAGGCTTCGGGGGTTCTTCGGGCACCTCTTTCTCCGGTAGTTCTTGAGGCGTTAATTCGTCTTCACCAATGCGCTGTGAGAGTTTCTGTGATATGCGCCGATAGTGGTTGCCTAGCTCCTCGATTTCCTTTGCAAAAGGAAACGCTTTAAGGTTGTTCACTATCTTGTACTCCTTTAGCCTCTCCCCGACCAACGTTTTGCACTTGACGGACTGAATATCACCATCAGTGCTACATTCTTCGTCAAGCTTTTGCTGTACGCTCCTCTCGTCTTTTGGTGCATCTCCAGTTCCTGCACCTGTAGAAGCATCATCTGCAGTTCCTGATCCTACATCAGCACCTGTCGTTCCTGCTCCTCCTGCACCTGCAGTTCCTGCTCCTGCAGCACCTGCAGTTCCTGCTCCTGCAGTGTCTGTTCCTGATCCTGCAGTGTCTGTTCCTGATCCTGCATCTGCTGCAAACGCAGTGAATATTTTTTTCCCCGTTCTGGTTGGAGAAGATGCCGACACCAGCGGCTCTTCCGCGAGCACGACGGGGTGGGAAGGACGCAAATAGTCCTTTCGCTTCGCGCATCCGCTTCCTAGAGTTCCTGATCTCGCGCCGGCCCCCCTCCTCGTTCTCTCTCCCATCGCGGCATACGGGAACGGGATCTCGAGAAGACCAATGACGCCTTTCACTTTGGAAAGGTTAAAGGGGTCCATGCTTTTCAAGGAGTCCAAGTTCAGGCTCTTCGCCTTGGTGGAGTCCTCTCCCGCCGCATTCGTCAAGCCAAGGTCCGCCTTGGTGGGATCAAAAGCGTTCGAACCGACGATATCGACGGGATTGGCCATGGTGCCTAGGTTTAAACCCACTGTGCCAACGTTCCCAGTCATCTTGTCCGCCAGACTCTGGACCTGGTAGTTCTCAACGATTTTGATCTTATGTTTGAGGCGAGATTATCCCTTGCAAAAGTACCATACCGCTATACGGTCGTTGCACCGTGCATAGCAAAGATTCTAATTATTTGAAATTTTGTTTCATCTTGAGTTGATCCACCCAAGAACATGCTGCTATTAAAGGCACATACTCACATCAAGATCGTTCGCAGTTGCGATGCAGTGCCGGATTTCGCAGCACATACAGTGCGATCATTACGTACTTACTTTTGCACGGGATAAAAAATCTAGTTCTGCGTCAGCCTCTTCGTAATCCTCCGGATTCACCGAACACTGCCAGCCTTGTTTTCCCGGCAGCGCTTCGTACTTTCGCTTTCGGTGTTCGTAGGCGTGCTGAGCCATCAGACCCGCGCCTGCTAGAGCGGCGATCCCGGCTCCGCCGAGCAGCATTTTTTGAGCCAGAGAAGAGTTCTTCAAGGCGTTGTACATCGCGCCCGCCTTGCCTGCTGCATACTCCGCCGCTCGACGAAGCCTGGACTTCTCCGTCTGTTTGAGTTGTGGGACAAGATGAAAAAGTGATGACTCTGTAATGCAGGGTGCTGTGGTGTCATCTTGAAATTGATGTCGATCAATACATATGCAATCCCATCGTAGTTCCGTAGTTTGTTCCGTATAGAAAACTAAACATGAAGAGTCATCAAAAAACACAGCTTTACCGCTTTCTGCAGTGCTAATGCAGTATTTGCGGCCTCCGCTTCCTTTCGCTCGCGTTGCATGAGGTCTTTGCTCTGGAGCAGATTCCCTTCTTGCAGGTTTTTGCCGACGTCCTGAATGGCTGTCTTGATCTCGTTCATTTTGTCAATCATTTTCTCCAGCTTTTCAGCGTCGCCCGTTCGATGCCTCCCGGGTCCACACACTTTATTCACGGCACCTGAGCCTGCCGATGTGCTCCCGGCGCCTCCCAATTTGACGACTGACGCTGGTGTTCCAGCCCCTCCAGCCAGGGCGCCGGCCATAACACCACCAGCACCAGGAACCGGAGGAGGTAAGGGTGACGGTCCAGCACCGATCGACGAGCCAGTTGCTGCTGCTTCCGCAGGGCCGGCAGATGCAGGTGGAGCAGCAGCACCTGCAGCCGCTGGAGATGCTGGTGGAGCAGCAGCAGCACCTCCAGCCTCCTGCGGCACAGGCACAGAACCCTCGCCACCCTTCGGTTGTCCAATCGGCGGTGGAGCAGGCACTGCAACTGCAGGGGCATAGCCTGCGCCTCCTCCTCCGGGCTGCGCCATCGCCGGAGGAGCAGATGCTCCACCACGTGCTGGATAATTATATGATCCACCACCGGGGGCTGCAACCATCGCCGGAGGAGCAGATGCTCCACCACGTGCTGGATAATTATATGATCCACCACCGGGGGCTGCAACGTTACCCCCGCCAGCTGCAGCCGCAGTACTACTAGATCCTCCAACTGCACCAGCTTTGGCCCCCGGCATGTCTTCGTAGCCCGCAGCCGTCTCTGCCGCGGACGGTGGCACGCAGAAATCCCAGTTGTGACGGGACACCGAAAACCACGAGCTGGTCCCGTCCCACGCACTTTTTTCCAGACACCGCGGGTTGGTCGGACAGGCGAAAAACTGCGTTTTCCCGTCGTGCTCGAGTGCCGTGCACAGGTCCGCGCCGGCCAGCGGCTCCCGGCTGTTCCGCTTCTCCATGCGGGCCATCAGCATCACGGCGTACCGGTCCCGCAGGGGTATCTTCTTGAAGGACGCCTCGCTGAACTCGCCCGTGTGGGGGTCCCTATCCACAGAAAAAAACCCATCCACATCCATTTTTTGCATGACAAACACAGGACGTAGGGTAGATTTTGATTTTATGTATGTTTTGCATGACAAATTGGATGTGGATGGGTGTTTTTTCCTGGATAGTCCCGCAGGTGGTCGTACTCCTTCAGCAGCGTGCTGTTCCAGCCGCAGCGGCAGCCAAAGTGCGCCGTGTGGTCCGGCTCCAGCCCGGAGGGTCGGCAGTAGTCCCACGCGCCCACCGTGGGACGGAGCTGGTGGTGGTTCTCGCCCCCGTAGGCGTAAAGCGCGTGGTCCCACCCGCCCGGGTCTTTCACGTCCGGCATCAGCACGCGGCAGTCCGGCGAGGATTTCACCTTGCACCACGTGAAGGGCGTCCCCTGGTGCACGCCGCAAGACAGCTGGCTGCTCGGGTCGCACTCGCAACCCGACGACGTCAGCGGTTGACCTTGACCAGCAGCGCCAGCCGCTGGCGCCGCGGCCGCCGCAGCTGCTACAACACCGGTGGCACTGCCCGGCTCTGGGTCGATTAACTTCATGAACTGGTCTTCGGTGCCCCCGCTGCTTGGCTCCACCTCCAGGTCGCGTCGGACCTTGGCCCGCAGGGAGGTGAGGTCCTTGTACAACAGGGAAATCTTGTCCGCCGCGAGATCGTTCTTTTCCGCCACGTTCTGGCCCAGTTTGCGAGCCGCGGCGGCCGAAGAGCTGCCGGACATGAGTGCCTGGGTGATGTCGTCACGCATGTCTTCCACCTCCCCCAGCGCCCCCACGGCGCCGCGCACCTGCTTCCCGACCTTCTTCAACAATCCGGCGAACCGCAACCCCGTCTCCTGCGTTTGCTTCTCGAGGGAGCTGATCTTCTGGTGCAGGGCGAGCTTCTGAACCCGTGTCATGATGGACTCGAACTGTTCCGCCATCGGATCTGCGAATGACGTGGCCTTCACCGGTGGCGCTGCTGAAAAGGAGCTCATCTTGGTTCCCGCTTGATTGTAGTGCCGCATGCGCATCCGTCCTGAGAGCTGCAGGGGTGAATGGGAACGAACACGCTGGTGCTCCAGGCCACGGCGTTGGCTGTCGCCATCGTCGCCATACCTCGCCGACGAGCTTGCAGCACTGAAGGACGAGCAACTGCTACTGGTCACACTGCTACTCCGATTTCCAAGCAGGTTTCCATGTTCGGTTCCATCTCCGGCAGGAAAAAACGCAGTTGGCCGCGGTGGCGTACCGACGCCGTGTTCGTAAAAAAGGTGCTGATGCTGTCCCTGCATCTTGGCGTCGATTAGTTTTTGGTGTCACACTTCTACTGTAGCATTTGCCATGTGCCTATTCCTGAACCTACTTAATTTACCGTTACGCGGCTACAACGCTCCTCCTCCTGTTCGCGTAGTTAGTGAGCTACGTATAAATAGCAGGCGCACGCATAACGGAACCCATACTCCTTGCTGTCATACTTTTGCATCAACATCTTGTTTCCTGTCATGCCTTCTAAATTTCATCGAGTTCTTGTTCTTCAATTTCAAGAACAAAACTCACCAAAATGCGGTCTGTAACAGGACGAGCAGAGTGGATACCAAGAAATCATCTGGAGTTTGTTCGTTGTGACGAGGCGGAAAAATTAAAACGATGAAACTCAGCAAAGGTGCTCTTTTCCTCGCGTAAATTTTTTTTTGTGACAACGCTGCACTCCTCTGGACGATCATTCAACATTTCACTCTTCGTCGTAGCGCTAAACACGAAACCGCTCTTCAACACAGCAACAAAGACCTCACCTCGAGCCGAACGACAACGTGAAATGCATTCGTGTTGGTGTTGGACGCGCGTTTCAAAGAACATAAAAAAATGTATCTCCGAGATGCGCAACGGCGCGAGCAACGAAAGCGCAGCGTTGCCTCCCGCTTCTAAGTCGTAGCACTGGCAGGGCAGAAGCTGTCATCATATCGGAACTGGCCTTTGTAGATGTGAAACTCAGGCTGACCTTCTCGCTCTCGCTGCTGGTATTCATATTCATATATCGTTCGTGTTTTTCTTTCACTTTCTGTTTCGTCACTAGATTTTTCTTATAGTCATCATCTATTTTCGTTATATGTCGGCATCTTGTTCGGGGGCCAGATTTGCCGTTTGTGTTCCACCCCTGTCCATCTCCCCTCGTCAGGCTCCCGACAGTGCATCGTGACCGGTTATGTGCCGCTTGTGTTCCCCGCCCGAATGCTTGCTGCTGCTGCTGCTGTGCGCCGGCGCAACCGGAGGCGGTTTTTCCATGCACTCCGGGAGCTCGCTGGGCAGCTCCAAGCCTTGGAGCTTCATCTCGATGAAGTGCTGGGCGAGAGCGTACTCGTAAAGCGAGAGTTTGCCGTCCTTGTCCACGTCTGCCAACTTCCAAATTTTGTGCAGCATTCCATTGTTCAGCTTCGAGAGCTCCATACGCGTTTTCGCTTGCAGCCCACTGATCTTGCCTTCCTTGTCCGGACCAATGCTTACGAAGTCCCGCTCGTATTTCCCTGTTGTTGAAAAGCAGGTGCAGGTGAGATAAACAGGAGAAGATGAAGAACAAATGGAGATGAAATATGGTATCAATCTTCACTTATGATGAGGCGAACCGAAAACAGTAGGAAAAATTCATTGTACGTGTGTCCGGCGGGCTCTGGAGATATTGACTGGTCAAGTAGGTCGCCTCGGTTACCCCTCCCTCTTTGTTAACCGCGAACGGGCTGGGATCCGGAGATTGGAACGGAAGCTTCGCATTCGGTTCTTGCAGGAGCGTCTCGCTCGGAATCAGCTTCAGCAATTTTTGGACGTCTCGTTCCAGCATTTTCTGCAGTGCCTGTGTTTATTGTCGGAGGTTGTCCTCGCGAAGCGGCAGTAGATCGGGAAAACTACGTACAAACACTTGCAGAACCACAGTTACAGGAAAAAGCACGACGTGGGCGTGGTAAAATGAAAATCGAAATATGGTCTACCGCCCTAAAAGTGGATGATGATATCTTTTACGAAGTCATTAGTACCTGAATTTGTTTGGGATCGATAGTTTGCAGCTTTGAAAACTCGAAGCAGGTGAGGCGCCTCTGGAGGGCCTGCACGTTGGGGAAGTCCCCCAGCGGAAGCGAATGCTGCTTCGAGAGCGACTGGCAGATGCTGCCCAGGTTCCGAATGAGTTCCCTTTGCTTGGAGCTCCCGCCCCACAGCGTTGGCATTTCCTTGCGGAAATGGTCCATCAGGTAGGAGTGTACGCGCAGGAGCCGGGCGCGCTTGATCAAGTCGTTCAGCTGTCGTGTGGCGGAATTTCGGGGCAGCGCCGAAATCGCAGTATAAAGGTCGTTCTCTTCCATCTCAAAAAGTTTGCGCTGCTCATCGTTTTCTAACGGCTGGTCCCAAAAGCTGCCCAGAAACACGCGAGCCACTTCGGGCGTGTGAATCACTTTTCCAAGACTCCACATCATCGCACCGTACACGCGCATCAGCTGCTGCGTTGATATCTGGAACAAGATGCAGTATAATGATGTTATCTTTCTCAAGTACAAGTGTATGGTGCGTTTTGAATCTAACGCAAACATCACTACACTGGTACACTATAAATTTACGTTGCATAAGTACATACATGCGTGAATGCTACAACAAGTTTGCGTATTACAGAAAATGCGTGTAAGTCACTCATTCGCAATTGTTTTCACTTCACAATAAACCGAATGTTACAAACAAAATTATGTTGTCCTATTTATACCCGATCCGCTTTGTTGAGCACGATTTTGATTTTGCTATCGTTTCCCTTCAGCTGGTGGATGCATCGTTTAAACTCGTCCGAGATATCCAACTTGTGCGCGTCAAACAAGAGGATCACGAGATCGCTGCGGTCCGCGAACCATTTAATGACACCCTCGAAGTCGTACCCGCGCTGCAGGCGCTGCTTTTCGCCCGACAGGACGCCGGGGGTGTCGATGAAGGTGAGTCCCTCCAGGATCGGATTGTTCAGTTGGACGCACTCCAGTCGCTGCAAAAAGTTGTTGCCAAAGTTCGCGAGCTGCGTGAAGGGCATCGTGTTGTCCACGACCAGGGCATTCCCAGGAATGATGCGATCCGTTTTCCCGTGCATTACCGTCACAAACTTGTCCGTCGTGGGCTCGGGGCCGATGCGAAGGCCCGGGTAGTCCCGCTCTAACAGGTGCCGGATGAAGCTGGACTTGCCCGTGCTGTACTGGCCCATCAGCAGCACCATGGGCTTGGCCGCAAAATCCGCGTCCGTCAGCCGGGGGGCGTAACACTGGTGAAACAGGGACGCGGATTCCAGGGGCAGCATGTTCTCCCGGTAACAGGTCTGAATCCCCTCGGTCACCGTGTTGTACAGCTCCTTGTAGGCGTCGCTGCCCTTCTTCTCCCCCAACATCCACTTCAACATTTTCTTTGGGCTGTTGATGGCGCTGGGGGTTTGCAACTAGAAGTAGAACGACTGGGTTACGCGGCTGCCCGAGGAACGGGCTTGTGGGAATCTTCTTCCTTGTCCTGGATCAGAGAACACAGTGGTCGTGCGTGGCCATAATTGCACTCAGGTTGGTCCTCTGCAGAGTGCACTATGTGTTTGCATCGAAGTGTCAGTACGATTAGGAAACAAGGACGCGCAGACGATAAAAATGCCTCGGAAGAAGGCTCCTTTCGGATAAGAAACCTTCAATCAAAGAGAATGTCACGACGAGCTCTTTCCAGAAGTAAGCGCGCCGGGCCTTCCTCGACCTTGCAACACACACAAAATTAAGGAAAACCGCGGTCAAGATCGGTACCTCTACCTTGAACTTGATCCTGAAAATGCACGATCACGAAAACAAAAGATGATCTTTATCTTCAGCTTCCTTTTCTTGCTGGATCTATCCTTACCTGGTCGTCGTTTGGTCGTACAGCTGTTTTTAGGTGAGCGCCTGATCTCGCAGCGCGAAACGCCGGAAAAAAATCATCTCCAAAGATGGCAAAACCAAAATCACGATCCCATGGAGTAGCTGTAGTTTTACACATGCAGCTTAAAGCAAAAGGTACATACAGGAACAACAACAAGCCTTGAACTTTTCAGCCGGCTACAAATCTTTATGTAGCGCCTCCTGCGCAATCGTACGCGCGCAGCGAAAGTTCATTGATTCGAAACACGTCGTCAGACACAATCACAATCAACAATTTCGTTACATTTGAAACATGGCAACAAGAAGATTTAGGTATAGAAATAGCTCAGTCTCACCAACCGCAACCATCCATTGGTAAAAGACGCCTCGACAAACGAGGCTATCCTGATGACAGATCGCCACAAGGTGGTAATCGGAGGACAAGTTCTGGTACATAGTTAGCTGCAACTGAAAGAAACTGCTGGAAAACGCTACTTTTCTAGCTAGTGTCAGGAACCCCACTGGGAAATTCACCATCTTCCAGTGAGGTGGTTCAAAGGCTCAGGTAGATGGAGCAGAAAAAGATATTCAGGTTGTAGTACATTAACGTATAGAGTCATTGTAAAAATGACCAATTGCAGGTGCGGCGCCGAAGTTGTTGAGCTATTTTCATTTTCTTCTCCTTCATCGCTTTCTTCGATTACATTTCTCGAAGTAGGAGACTCATCAGAAATCAAGCGTCCGACGACGTGCGCACTAAAACCCAAATCGCCACTAGCTAGTCTCTTTTACCTCTTGTTGTGCGTCCTCCGAAATAATCCAGTTGCGGTGTCCGCGCAGGGCCACCACCAACACTCAGTTCATGAACGCGTCCGCGCCGGCGCAGGGACGCGATCATTGTACGCAACGAGGTTCCTGTTCGTTGGAGATGTTGAGAGCAGGAGAGCTGCACGATGATTCAATCACGTCGACTCCCCACGAAAGCCGACACCCACAACAGCATCTGCATCCAGGCACTTTCCTAGAGATTTCAGTTTCTACTGACGTTCAGTTTCTACTGCCGGTGTCGTCGTAGTTGATGCTCTGCGCATGCTCGCCCTGGCGAGTCTCGTGAATGCGACTTGCGACGTTGAAGCGGCGGCGACTTCGGTACACACTGGTCGCCGGGGCCGGTCGGTCCTTTGCCGTGCTGTTCGCGGAGTACTTCTCTATCGTGGTCGCGGATAGACCCGCCGCTTTTCGTGCCTGGATTTCGACGCACTTTTGGTCCGTTACAGGACCACCTCCCGGGGGCGGCGAGGCACTGCGATCACGGTTCGGGGGAACGGGCGGTGCTAGAGGTTGCTGGTGATGCCCTTTGCTACCTGCGTGTTTGAAGATGGTGCAATGGCGGGTCTTGCAGTTTTATCAATGTCGCATCAATTATCTTGGTCTACTCGTCGTGATAGAGGTAGCACGGCATCATTTGTGAGTGTCGATGTTGATGTCTGATGTTCATACTTTCGACTACGTACTGGTACTCTCCATGTCTAATTCTATCGTTCATACGACAAGTACCTGCGTTCTCTGCCGAAAATTGTTGCGCGCTGTCGTGTCGACCTGGTGCACAGTATTCTTCTTTTGCGATTCGTCGCAGCGAGCCTGCTGATGGACCGCGATGCAGTTTCGCACCTGCCGGAGCAGATCTGGGCCGCGACGAGGACTGCTTCGCTTTGCTCGAAGATGATGAGCTACCACCACGGTCAGCCCGCGCAGCTCCAGGAACGCCCCCAGTTGGTAGAGGGTAAATCGTCTCGTCGTCCACTCTCGCCTCCAACGGCCACCCGACGGTGTGTTCCTGCTGCCCGGCCAACTCCGGATCCTCGTGCGCGCCACGCTTCTTCCTTGGACTGATTGGCACCTTGATCGCGTCATAGTTTCCGCTGTCGATCCTTTCCTTCCGCCGTTGCTCCCCGATTGGATCGCGCTCTCCCCAGTCCCGCTTCGGCGCCCTGCCCCCGGTGAGCGATCGGGAAGATCGCGCCTTCTTCAAAAACAGCATCTTCGGCGAGAGAGGCTGTCTCATCTTTTCACCCAACGACGAGCCCCTTGGGTTTGACGGCGAGCCCGCAGCGCCTCCTGCAGCGGGGGCCCCGAAGCAAAGGTTCATGCCGTCTCCAGTTGGGTCGCTGTCCCGCCTTCGGGTAGCAGTTCTTCGGCTGTGGTTTTTATTTCTACCGGAGAACAAAGACAGTCTTCGTTTGCTTTTGTAGCCGCTGGCGTGGAAGAGGTCGTGGTGGAAAAACTTTTGTTTTTGGTCGTCGTGGTACTCGGCGTCGCCATTGTGCCAGAAGATGCCCGCCTGCACTTCCCGGCAGTTTTTGTCCAAATCCTGGCCGCTGACGTAGTCGACGACCAAGTCCGGGTTCATGGCCATGCCCAGCGGCTTTTTCCGCATTCCCACCACCTGCAGTCCACCGCCGTCGCCGCCCCCAGTGGCAGCGCCCGACGAGGACGAAGACCCCTCTTCGTTGTGCACCCATCGCACCACACGACACCGCTCGTTAGTTCCCGTGGGCTGCAGCTGCAGGCAGATCCGCTGATTCGTCAGCTGCTCCGACAACGCGCCCGAGACAAAACTGGCCTTCTTCAGAGCCGCCTCCGACACGCTCGCGTGCATTTTTTCTTTCTTCATTCTTTCTGTCTTGTAGCAGAAATCGGGAGCACACTAGCGAAACGAACCGTACGGTACCTCCGAGGATAAGTACGAGTTTTTGTTTTTCCTAAACTGAATCAGTTGTGCAGCTGTTCACTCATACAACGCATGTGCTGCTCCAACTGCATTCACAAAGAGCGAAGACGAAGACCGACTGAAAATTCATTGCGATGTTTCTCACAGACCCAGACGAAAACGACTCTCCACCACTACAACCCTCCCGCTCGTCATATCTTTATTTGTTCTCATTGCAATCATTGAGATTATCGCGCAAAAACAAGTTCGGTGCATCGGAACAAATGCATGTAGAATGCATCTTCTTCCTTGTCTCTCACTCTCACTGAAGTTGAACACAAGCAACGACAGTGCTTGCAATGCACATATTCGTCGCACCAGGGAACCGCCGCCGGCCATATGATGGCCATGATCATGAAAGTGGCTCACTCTCCAGGCGGATGTGTCTTCTTGTTAGCAGTAGGCATCGCAGGAAAAAGCCACACAATGACACAGCAGCGTGCGTGCTGGTAATATTTGTCAATCACACGACTATGCGCCGCCTGGCGCGATTCTTGGCCCGGCGCGAATGGGAATGACCGCAAAATAGGCGCGCCAAGGCTTCGACCGCTCTCTGCGAGCTCCGTGGGGCATCATCGGGCGAAGCTAGCTGCGAGGCGGGCGGCAGAGCGGCCACTTTGAAAAGAACGCACCCCGCAAAATGCTTTCGGCTATCCCCGGCCGCGCAGCAAGCGCAGGCTTGGAACGGCGGACAGTTCGCGCAACCCGTCACGCCATGGCCTCCCAATCCTCGTCGTGTATGGAACAAAAAAGCGCCACGAGCATCACTATCACTAAAATGGAACTCATGAAGGACGAGAACGACAAGCAACGAGGTCGAGGCGGCTTAGCTATATACTCGCGCTGACAAAAAAACACGCCAACCAGCCCCCCTTCGAATTATTTCCCTTAGCTCTGCAAAACATGAGGGCGAGCGCGAGCGCATAGATTCGCATGGCAGTGCCTTCTACCTTAACCGAAGATGTGTGACTGCTCGCTTAGCTTTTTCGCGACATACATAGTGGAAGCAAGCGCCGTAGGCACCTGCGCGCCCACAGCCTCACGCGCACAAATGTAGGCCCTAGGGCCGAGAAGCAAGCAGGGCGGCAGACCAGCACCGGCCCCGCACTTGATGCGATCGCACCCCTCTGCTTTGTCTACCCGGGCGCGACAGTGCGGACACTGGTGACGAACGGAGTGCAGGAGTGCTCCCAGTTGTGCCGCCAGCTGCGCAGCCCGGGACTCGGCGGAACCTTCGGCCTCCACGCGAAGCCGTCTGGCAACGCTGCGCGAAGGGATCGCAGGGTGGGCCAATTCGTGGCAATGCATGCAAACCTCCAGCCCGCACTTGCGGCAGAGCAGCGCGACCACCTCGCTCTTCGCCACTTCGAACAGCACACAGCCCGCGGCGTGCCCTGTGGCTTTCACGTCGCCGCCCGCGCATCTCCTGCAGGCGTGAAAGCCACAGCTGAGGCAGCGCATCGACGTCCTGGCGCAGCTATGGAACAAACAACAACAAGTACAAGCATGCTCATGTTCATACTGTGGTTATTTTGTTTTTTTTTTCTATGGGTAGTTGAATTTCTTCAGCCTAGTGCTCATCGCCCTCTTTATATGCCTCCTCAAACAGCCAGGATAAACCACTCTCCGTATAATCATTGTAATATACTCGAGTAAATGTACATGGGCGAACGACGGCGAACTTTCTTTTCTCCTCGGGAGCACCATCCTCTCCACTCTAGTTCCCAACTTCGGTTCTACGGAACTGGTGGATTTCGCACCACTATAAAAGTCGCCGCACATCTACTTTATTAGTTCTTGTTGTTTCATGTGCTTTTTCTTTTCACAGCTGGCTCAAACCACTCACTGTCAGACGTACGACTAAGTCAAACCACAAGACGACTTAGAACAACACTCACACTTAGATCTTACTGAGTGCTCATTTCCATTTGCAACACGAACGGGAACACACGGGGAAACCCAGATGAGGTCAAAACACTTCGCATTTATTTGTGAAATGAAGTAAAAATAGAAGTGGCTTTGACCCAAAGGTCTGCTTCAGGGAAAGTTCGCTGCGTATTTCTCTGTCTTGATTGAAGACACGGAGCTTGATATCGATTGTGAAAAAGTCTTCAAAGTGTGGCATTTGAAATTGAATCCAAGAGAAGTCGTGTGTCGTTGTCGGTCCGTTCTCTCTGTCTCAGTGGAGTCGTGCGAGTAGTCTAGTGCTTATAAACAGGAACAGAAACAGACCAAATATCACGATTGCTTAAAGAGTCCATTTCTTCTTCTGATCTGCAAAAAAATTATCAAGCTGGTTCAGCTACAGCTGCGCCGAGCTGGTGGTGCAAAATTGAAATCACATATACAATTATAAACATACATATTTCAAATTTCATCATACACATCGATATTCCAGTGCATTTCGGTCTTTCTCTTTATTTCTCATTCTACATTATAGAGTTCTGCATCTAGAGGATAAAGTACTCCTGCACCTGCTGTCGTCACGCCGCTAGCGCGCTGCGGTCTGCGCAGCCCCGTTACTAGTAGCAGTTGTAGCGTCCTCGAGCACCACCGGTGCGTTCTCGATCTCCACCTTTTGACACACGGCGGCAGCCAGAATGTTTTCTGGAACGTGGGCAAGCAACGAGTTGGGTGTTGGGTACGCAGACGGACACCAGCTGTATTTCTTTCTCACTGCCTCGGTCCGGTCCGCTAGCGGCGTGTCCCTTGCACTCTTCAGAGCGGTACGGCAGACGGAGAGGGTACGCAAAGACAGCGGCACCACCCGCAACAACTGCGGATCCGACGCAACAGCTGTGTCGATTACTTCCGGCTCGAGGACCGCGAGGGCGACACGCGGCGACATTGTCGTTCGGCCTTTGCGCATGATGTTGTTTGCACGAAAGTGGTACCACTCTTCCCGGACTTCCTCGTGGTTTGGCGAGAGCAGCTTCGCCATGAAGTCGACAAGGCAGGAAAACACGTACGGATTCAGTTCGACCAGTTTTTGCACCAACCTTTTCAGGTGTTCGCCATTAGATCGGGCAGCGAAGTTTTTGGCCGTCGCGACTACCTTTTATAGGAAAGAAAAAACAAACATGTCCACCTCAGCGTCTCTGTCTCATGAGGCGTGGCGTAGTGACAATTCCGTGTACCGTGATTCCCAATCACGATTGATCGCGATGTGAGTGTGGGAGTACAACATGTCGGCTAGGCAACGAAGCGCGTCAGATAAAAGCAAAATGAAAATCAAACAACAATATGCTCGTACACGGATGTAGGTAAACTGGTACTCATGTTCAATTTTAAACTCATGGATACAACGTACGCGTACCCGAGCATAGCTCAGAATAGTTTCGCAGTGAATGTGAATCGGAAAGTGTTGCTGTGCTCTGATCAGATCGTGCAGAAACGTCGTCGTTTGCGTCAGGCGGCTATTCGCGATGGCAAGTCCGTGGAGGATTGGCACGCACATGCGACGAGTCAAATAGAACTCGTACGCTTGCTTGCCATCCGTAATGTGCGGGATCGAATCCAGGGCTGCATTCCAAGGAGTACGGGATCCAATACTAGGTACATCCTTTGGCGGGCGGTGCAGCAACATAAAAAAAATCCACCACACCTCCTCGTCCGAAATAAACCGGCTTCCCAAATCTTCATCGATGCCCTTAACCGGCACGTCATCGTCCAGAAATGAAAAGATGTGCAGTACGATTTCCGGTGGAATAGATTTCCGCGCTGAGACGGCTCGTTCAACGAGTTCTGCGCACCGATGACGCTTCAATGTCACGTAGGTGGTGTACGCCGAACTGCGTGACTGTGATGTTGTATCGGAAGTTTGTGTTTGAGTTTTTTATTTTTGATTTTTTGTGCAGTTGTAGTTGTTGCAACATGCTCATAGGCATTACATCCACCATCCGAATCACATAAGAGAGAGCACTCAATGCGCAATCAGTATAGCAATAGTCTCTCGTCCTTGGTAAATGATGAAGTACCTTTGTGTCGTTATCTGTTCTACAGCGCGGGGCGCGCGGGAATGCGTGAACAATGTTGAAAGCAGCCAGTGCATGAGCAGGCAGGTTCGCAGGCGGCGGGGGTCTTGGTTTCTTGCAGGTACAGCGAGACGTAAGGTGGTCTGCGACGAACTCCACCACATATCGGTCAAATTCTTCACGGTAAAGCGGTCCTTCGTCATTGAACCAGACCGATGCATCGCTTTTCGTTTTCTGCTGCAGGTTGAGGTGCTGGTAATTGTCCCTTTCTTCATACCGGTCTACAAACTGAAGAACATGCTGGTGCAACATCACAAAGAGGTCACAGAAAAGGCTGCTCTGAAGCCTTCCGATTTCCTTTGCGTGGTCTTTGTCGAAGAATTGCTTCAGTGCCTGCAATCTGCACTTCTTGGTCCCATCGATGGCGCTCGAGCGATCCGCTCCCGGCATTTCTGTCTCGTCTCGTCGTTCCATTTCTCCTGCTACAACTCAACCTACCGGGCTAATACTAGGAAAATTGACCAAGATCAGAAACAGAATTGATATTGAAATTGAATGTTCTACATAAGCAGCCAGGCGGACAGAGATGGTGGAGATTCGATTGAAATTGGCACAAGTAACTACAAAAGTTGTAAACAGATGGGAAAATTGCAGGGGAGTTTCGATTTGAGACAAGAAGAATGCCTCTCAATACAAACAGAAAACTAAAACTAGCTGTAGCTTTTGAACTCGAATGCGGTTCGAGGCGTAGTTATATTTCTGTACCCCTGTCATTTACATTTTATTTGAGAAGAAAAAAAGGAATCAGCTCCAGCACCAGGAGTTCCGGATTTCTGCACCTGCTACAAGACTGATAAGTCACGGATTCTTCATGTTTTTGTTCTTCATATTAGAAGAACGCCACAGTCACGGAAAAAACGAGGAAAAACAAATCAACAAAACAAGAAAAACAGATGAATCGAATCAAATCTAGCACGGGACACAGCTGCGCAAGAGCCTGTACTTAACTGGGCCCAACAACAACCGAATCCCATATTCAACTCGCACTCTTTCCGCTTTGATGGCGATACTCTTGCCGATCTTCACTCGGGCGATTTTGTTAGCGAAGCTAAGCACAGCGAAAGGCCTCTCCTAGCTTCTAAATGTAAAAAATGCCCTGCGCAGCAAAAGGTTTCCACTCACAACTCTTTTGTCGATTTCGAATCCACAATTCATACATGCTCTTCGTGACTAAGTAACAGCAACGTGGTCTAGCAACGGATTTAGTTTCGCGCATTCTTGTCGTGCGATTCCGATTGCAGCAGCTGATGTAGTTCAGCACTGATCCACGTATCGGCTTCACTACTACGGTAGCTCGCGTCAGACGCGCTTTAAACTCAAAACTGGCACTGGTTATTTCGAGTTCGAGGCTGCTTTATTTACAACAGGGAAATGTTGTCCACAGCCACTTGTCAGCTTTCGTTTCATACACTTACGCTTTTTGTGCATATAGAAATCGGAAAAACAAGAAAAAGCTCTGCTGCAGTTATTTCATTACCTCTCTGGTCATCATCCGTCATTATGTATCCTGAAGTAGCGAGGCGTGGACAAAGTTTAGGGCGTGCCCAACTTCTTAGTGCTACAACCAGCCGCGAAGCTCCTCTTCACTAATTCGTTTTACTGGCAGCCAGTTCGACGTCCTGCCTGTCACCCAACCGCAGATTTTACGATCCGACGCGAACTGAAACTCCAGCAATCAGACCGACTGCTCCATGGATAAGCCGTAGTCTGCCAGAAAGCATTGCACCATGTCCTGCATCCGTTGTTTGTGCATTTGCCGCAGCTTGGAGAGTTCGTCCTCGTGACCTGTTCATGTATTTTTGCAATTCCAATCTATTGGCATTGCGCATTCTTGAGCGCTGGTGCTGTTTATCTTAATTGCATTTTGGTGTCAGAATCCGTACGTGCTTGAGTGCATTGAAGTACATTGGCGAGTGGCTGGAAACCGAAACTTTGCTAGGTGGAAAAATCAAGGCCACAGCAAAAAAGTTTGTATGTAAGTATGAACAAACGAAGTAAACTCTACGTGCTTCCTGGTCCTCTAACTGTTGGCGCAGAACCGCGACTCGTGCCTGCGCCCGCCGAGCCTCATCCATGATTCCCCGTGCGTGAGACGCTAGCTCTGTCTGGAACGAAAGCGCCTCCTCCTCCGATGCTGGCAGCAAATTCGCGTAGGGATCGTCATTATTTGCTCCGTCTGCAACAAGAACCAAACCCACATGACTGCCATGAACTGAACCGGAAAATGTTGGAACCACAGAAACGCCTTCGAGGCCCTCCTGTTTCTCAACACTAAAACGCCCAGTGCGAGAGACGCGACGGACCCGTGGTCCCTCGGATCGCGAGCGCCGTATCACTACATTCGATCTGCCTGCTCGTGGCGCCGAAAGAACACCGGCCGGCGAGACGCTTGCACTGGTGGTGTCCGCCTGCGTTGTCGTACTCGTGTCTTCATTCTGATTGCTCCGCGCGGACCCGAAAGGCATCTTTTCTACCTTCATTCTAGGCGTTGTGCCAGAAGCAGGGGAGCGGCGTGGTGATGATTGCATCGACCGGCGTCGACGGAGCGTTCCACTCGTTCTCGACCCATGCTGTCGTAGTTCTGACCGATGTAGGTCCTCTTGCCCAGACGGGGCACACGCAGTTGCGTAAACTGGATGGCGTGTGTTCAGGATTGGGATCACCGGACCGCAGGATTTACTACGACGGCTGCCAATCGTATCGCATCTTGTCAAATCAGCATCAGCATCTTTAGGATCATCTGCTCCTGGAAACCCAACGTTTACGCGTCGCGGGCGACGTACCACTCGACGAACGACGGACGGACGGTTTCTGTTTCCGCTCGCGGATACCGAGACGCTGCCCTCCTGCTCCTCCTCTGTCACTGTCATCACGCGTGTACTTTGATTTTCTGCACCGATTGGGAGGAGCCCGTTACTTTTCATTTCGCCTGGAGACGAGCTGTGCGGAGTCGAAACAGGCGGCGCCTGAAATTGGTTCCCTTCCGCCCTCGCTTCTGGTTCTGAAGGGGAGGCTCCTGCGCCTGCCGTGGGATAACAGGCGCACCACTCGAAGAATTGCTGGGAAAGAACGCGATTGCTGTAGGTCTTGTCCACTAGAGTTTGGAACAGTGCCCACGTTCCGTCCGCGGTGAGATTCAGTTCCGCCCGAAATTTTTCAACATCGACCGCAGGCACGAGCGCAAGAGTTTCCACGAACTCTCTCCCTCCGAGCGTCGCCTCTGCACGCGCCATTTGAACAACCGACCTGCCCCAGTTTTCGAGATTGATCACCGACGCCAGTGCGCGGCCGCAATGCGCGAGCGCAATCTCGAACACTGATAAGGATACCACAGCCGTCTGCTCGCCCCGATAATTGGTTTTGCGGCCAGTCACGACATGTTCCGGAGCGACATCTTCCTGCCGCACTGACGGTGGTCTAGCCCGATGGGAAGCTTGCGACTTCTCCTCCAGCTCAGAGAATATGAATTCCGCCTCGTCCTTGTTTATGCCGAGTGCGTGCTGCTTGAAGAGAGAAAGCCATTCTCCTCGTGAGAGGTGTAAATCTTCTTGACCCGCGGGTTGTGTCCGCGAGTCGAGGAGCAACGAGCTGACGGAGCGACCGTTCAAACGGCGGCGGATGCGGCGCAGCAGACACCCGAGAACGCGAGGATCCTTCTTCCAAATGGTAGACAGAGGCTCCACAACATGAAATTGTTCATCAGCATTTTCCGCCTGGAGCGCTGCGTGATGATGTGATCGCAGATCGGTCACGGATGTGATTTTGGACGTCGAGGATTCTTGCAGCTCGAAGTCGCTTCGCTGAGACGGCGATGGTGCGTTTACGGTTGGATGTGGATCAGGATCTCGACGAACCATGGCGTTATAGCAATCAGGACGGGAGCGAGCTCGTGCTTGGTTGCCATTCCGACTGCTTTTGGGTTGTGTCGACGATGGTGCAACATTTCCATCGTCCTGCAGGACAAGTCGGCCGTGTTCTTCCGGCTCCGACGATGAAGTATCTTCATCTAGGCCGAAAGGATTCAGTGCGAGGTCTCGCTCTGATTCGGGTCCCGCCTCCAGAGCCAAGCTCGCGTCGGGCTCTCCTATGTACGAACTCTCCTCAGCCTCGAGCATCGCAAGAGCCGACGTCCTCTGCCCCGATGCTCTTCGCCTTCCCGTCGACGGAAGTGGTATCAGTTCCTCGAGCGGTTCGAGCCTCCCGCCGCGTCGACCGGCAGCGGGACTGCTTGACTCCAGGTTGTCGAAATCCAACCGAACGAGTACCGGGGTGTTGCTACGTTTCTGATCCGAAAGCCGAATTTGACCGCTAGGCGAAATGTGGCGCTGGGAGGGCGAGGTATCGAAACCGCACGACGCTGCAAACGTGGAATTTCCGTCAGCTCGTGGGCCGGCGGTTGTAGACCACTGTGGCAGTCGCCTAGCAACACTCTGCTGGCGGGAACTGCTCGAATTGATAGCATCTCCTTTTCGACGTGGAGGCGACTCGAATACAAAGGCGTCGGTGCCAACGTCGCAGCTCCGCCGAGGCGTGCGGGCTGCAACAGTGCTTGACGAATCAAAGTGATTTGATTCTAGCACCGCCGCCTCCTCGTCTCCGCACTCTGATGATGGGCAGGAGCGAATTATGTCGGTATCCCGATTGTTCCTTGCCTTGTGTTCGGCAAGTCTCCGGCAGCGGTCTTGTTGCGGGGTGTCTTCCCTTGTATCCATGCAGTGGTCAGTCGCTTCTGCAGCAGCGGTATCTGAGGTGGCGTCGAATGAGCATGACGACGCCGCGCTGCGGCAATGACGGCGGCCTTGCTGAGAACAAGCTGCAGCTGCTCTAGTAGAAGTACTTGCAGCGTTTTCATCATCTACAGAGGTGCTTTCTAAAAAGCGGCGCACGGAAGAAGACAGGTAGAAGCCTCCAGAAACGATGCGAGGTTTCGAACAAGAAGACGCTTCCATTGGTCGACCGGCGGTCGTGGTCGGTTTTCGTGGTGATCTGGAGTGCTCAGCAGCTTGCAATTGGTCGTCGGGAACGTCTTCTAGTGTGAGGGGGTCATGGTCCTGTGTTCCCGGCTGATACGTCACTCTCTCGGGCGCCGTTGCCCGAAGAACAATCTGCCGTCGCGGTGTGCGGCTTGCACGATCCTGCAGCTCCTGCGATGTTCGCAACAGCTCTGACTCAGATGATTGCGGCAGACGCACCGGCGTGGAAGCGACCGGAGCGGCTTCCACAAGGCGGGTCGCGCACGGCGTGCGCTCGTCTGCTTCTGTCACTGCGGTCCACCTTCTAGTGTCCTTTGCAGAGCCGGCCGTGTCAAAGAATGAGCGGCAACTCGGCAAAGCACCCGGACTACTTCTCTTTGGCCTCTCCGGATCTTCCTCTGGGCGCAGCGAAGTGGAAGGTGACCCGAGTCCGAACGCATTGTCGTCCAAAACGATCAATCTGTCGCCGTCCTGCGACCTTGTAGGCTCAAGGCAACGTGTCACGCGGCCTATCGTTGTCTCGCGCAAGTTGCTTAGAAAGGCCTCCTCGGTCGCAAGCTGCGATGCCAGTTGCACGTTTGCGCTACCCGTCTCCTTCTCCTTCCCCTGCGCAGGCTTAACCGGAGTGCTGCAATTTCTACCTCTTGCAGTTTGGAGCTGGAGGAGATCAGGTTCTACCACCTGCTGGTCGGTCAATCTCGCGGTGGCCCGCCCCGTCGTTTCAGTCCCTCCGGTACTGGTGCAAATCGATGAGGACGCGTGGCTTCGTGTGGTAGACGCGCGCGTGCTAGCGCTCGCACTATACAACGACACGGCGGAACAGCTCGAATTCGAAACGATCGAGTTGCCGCACACCACCCTTCGAGAAGTGCTCGCTGCAGACGAAACTAGGGAGCTGCTGCTGGGGGAGCTACATACCGGCGCACCGGGCTGCAAATCCACCAGGGTCTCACCAATACGTAGTGATGCTGTTGCATTGTCAACTACACTGGCGAGGAGCGACGTTCGCGAAATCGAACTCTGCAGCGTGTCCGCGTCGTGCAAAGCGGGTCGCAGCGTGTTCTCGTCGGCCGCGTTGGACTTTCCTGGCGGCGTGAAGTACCGCAGTCTCTCTTGATGTTGATGCTGATCCGCATGTCCTCGCATCGCCGTCGTAGTGCCCTCGCTATCGATAACGCCCAGCTTCGCATGCTGACGGTTGCGAGTCGGGGGTGTGATATCGCTGCAGTGTCGATCACCAGTGGCGCTATCGCTATGAAGATCAGCATGACGGTGCGCAGAATCCTCAATACCCTTCTTGCCCGCGCTGCTTTTTCCGCCTGAGGAGCTGGCGCTTTTCGATGTGCGAGAAGCAGAAGTTATTTCAGTCAAGTGGCAAAGCGCTGTGACGGGAGTACTTTTTTCATTTTCAGCCGGACTGACGCTGGCCTCGATCGTGGATTTTTTCTCATTGGAGCCACTGTCGCTGTTGACGCTCTTCCGTCGGACGATGGGCCGATCCGAGAGCGCGCCTCGAGTTTGAATCGGCGACAAGATTCGGGATGACGACGAAGAGCACCGAAAAACGATGCTGCTTCTTAGAGCAGGGGTCGATGCATCTACAGGCGAGGCAACAGCACTACAGGCGGTCCTGGTCGTACTGGAACTTGTAGCGTCGCCCTTCAGCGCAGATCTGCATTGGGTTGTGCTAGAGACGCTACTGCCGCTCAGCGGATCGCAAATGACAGGTCGCTGCAATCGTCCGGGGCGGGGGCTTTCTGCACTCCTCGTGTCTTCTTCGAAATCCCTTCTGGTTTCGCGCTTTTCCACACCATCCTCAAGTTTTGCGAGCGGCTCGTGGGCATGCTGCGGACGCGGTGAAAAAAACGTTCTCGCAGAAGTACCATCATCGACATCGTCGTGCTGGTGTTGCTTGATGCACGAGCTTTTGCCATGACCCCCAGAGGATGCAGCAATGATCGTGTCAGGCGAAGTTCCTGGAGAATCAGTCAAAGCAAACGCCGCTTCAGCCCTGCCTTTCGTCGGAGCAGTGCGGAGCTGTAGATTTTCGCGCAAGGACGCTGGACTGCTCGGTGTCAAGGGTTGCGCGACGACGTGGCTGCTGACCTGCGCGGACAGTGCGGCAGCGGCAGCTCGCTCCTCCCGGAGCCGACGATTCACAATCGCCTCTATTCGATCGTCGAGACAACTCTCGGCCACCTTCTCGGTCTGGAAATGGTGCTCGTGTGGAGGTGTCCTCCGCCCCGCACTACTGCTGCTCGACAAGGCGGTTGCTCTGCTGATATCGTCTTCAACCTGTACTTGGCTGCGCTTCCCCACCACTTTTGCGCCGTGCAAATCTGGTGACGGCAGGTGTAGCCGAGGAACAGGCGAGCGTTTATTTCCTGCGTCCTTGCTTGTGTCTGCGTCGACCACGAGTGGGCCCAAAAGCGGAACCCGCCCGGAGCTATAGCTTGAAGCAGTGTATTTGTGGGCTACATCATCAAAACGGAAGCCGTCTGGCGTCCTTGCAGCGTCCTCCGGGGACGCAGGTGAGTCTGCCGTTTTCCTCGTGGAAACTAATCTTGCTTCATTAATTTCGTCGGGGGACGGTGATAAGTTCTGGTGCCATGATGAAACCGAGTTCGACATCAACGTAACGTGGTTGTTTCTCCTGCAGCTTATTGTAGCAGCTGAAAGAGCATCAGCATCGTCCCTCGTCTTCTGATCGTCTGTACGCTGTGCTTGCCCTTCCGGTGAAGTTTGGGATTGGGCACGTTCCTGATCTCCGTATTGCTGCGCGTCCCGTGGTCTGCTAGAGGATGATCGCAAGGCGTCGTCGTCGACCTGCCCCCGAAAGACTGATGCAGGCGTTAGCTGGGCGCTAGAAGAGCTGACCACTTCGTCCTCCTCCTCAATTTTGTGCAGAGGATAGGCCGACGAGGCCGGTTCGGGTTCCTCGTGACCCGGACAAGGTTGAGACGGTGATGCTGCCGCGCCATCTGGTTGTGGACTAGATGAGCCTTCACCGTCGAACGAGCCCAGAGCACCCTCCGACGTCGCCCTGTTGCGGGTCCCGCAGGTAAGCTGGTCCGTGCCCTGGCCGCTGATGCCCCAACGCCCTCCTTCTTCTTGTGACACAAATGGCCTTTGAAAACGCGGCACCACCGTTGCGTTTTCGCCACTAACCTTCTTGCCAAGGCCGGAATCGCTCTGCACCTGCGATCCAGGGAAACTGCGTAGTTGCACACCAAGTTGTATCCCATCCTCGGCATCGGAGGACAAGCGCAGCAGCGAATGATCCAACTGCTCGTCATCTTCGTGACTGTTCATTCGAAAGCGCGGGCTGCGACTGCGCGCACTCTCATTGTTGTTCTCGCTGCTGCAGACCGTCGGGGACAGATCGCTGTTATCGAACACTCCGGCGTGGTTTCTGCCCTTGCTGCTACTTTTCGGCTGCAGCGGCGGATCCAAACCGGACGCAGTACGCGAAACTACGCCTGGTGGTGGCGTTATACCGGACAAACTAATGTGGTGTGCGGTTTCACTGAGACCCGAGAGGCGGCATGGGTGCAGACAGGATGCTTCCTCCTGTTCCTCTTCTCCATCCGTCTCAGTGCCCCCGTATACGCGGTCCAGAAACGGAGACATCGGCGATAATAGCTTGTTGCCCTCTTCTGCGAAAACGAAGCTGTCTTTGGGAGCACCCTCAGCGTCGTGGTACAGGTACTGGAACGACGTACTTTGCTCAAGGGAATTTCGGCAGGATTCTCGCCTGGAGCCCACTCGGCCAGCAAGTGCGAATGCCGACTCTGGTACGCGACTCGATGCCAATCTTGTGTCCGATTGCGCACTTGTTGAAAGTTGTTCGACGGCTGCAGCTGATATTTCTTCACGAGTTACACTTACACCTTGGTCTGTTCCTTCGCTGGACGTTGCTGCGCCATCACTTTCTGCTGTCAACGAGGACTGTGTTACAGGACACACACCGCACGTTGATGCAGCACCCTGTCCAATAAAGACCTTGAAGCGATCTTCTACATCTCGGTGTTTTACTTTTTCTGAAGTCGCACTGCCAGCTGCAGCTTCGCTCGTTGGGGTCGGATCCCGGTCGTCAGCGACCTTCGCAAAATCAAGCTCGGAGTAGTCTTGGTCTTGCATTTCGTTGTGCAGCGGGGTGATGTCCTCTTCGTCGGGAGCGCACTCGGAGGCTGACACATCTAGATCTCCAGCGCATCGTGGCTCCAAACGCGGGTGCTCAGGCGTCGTCACGACGGCTGCCCCGGCGCATCGTGGCTCCAAACGCGGGTGCTCAGGCGTCGTCACGGCTCCCGCGTTCTCCTCGACTAGACCTGCACCGATTCCAAAAGTCGGGGACCTTTGCACCACCGCTGGCTCCTTTTCCGTAGAACCCGGCACGCTGCCGTGGTGCGAAGACGTTGGCGGTGACGATCCAGAGTACGCTAGAGATGACGTCGTCGACATGGGAGTGCGACCTGCGAGCGGAGACTTCTTCGAGTTCAAACTTACCCGCGCGCTTCCGGATCCGACCTGAGAACCCCTTTTGTTTCCGCTCCGGCTTCGGATTTGATGATCCGCCTGGTCCTCGCCGAGACTACTTCTGGGCAGCAACGGGGGCGTTCTGGTTGCGGAGTCTTCACGCGTGCAGCTGCTGCCGCGCGAAGAAGAGGTCAAACCGGCAGCCGCTGCTCGTTGCTTGATCTGCTGAATGCGCTCCAGTGCCACCTGCAACGTCGACGGCTCCGTTGCGTTTTTGCCGGCTGCACTGGAAAATGTTGCCGCCGCGGAAACCGCCACGGTAGAAGTCCCGTGCCCCTGCTCCTCATCCTTCTTTATCGGCGTCACGACACTAGATCCGTCATGCGGCATCCACAGCGGACTCGATGTCAGGTTCTCCTCACGCGCGCGTGCTGATTCCGCACAGCTATCTTGACGGGGTGTCACATGCTCATCTCCACTAGTACCTCCTTCAGTCAAGGAAGGCAAGAAAGTGCTCGAATTGGTCGGAAACACAGACGCATCTTCGCGTCGGTTCTCGACAATCGTAGTGCAGTTTCGAGCGGGATATGGACGAAGATCGCTACCTCTGACGTCTTCCTCTCCTTCGGCAGCAGGAGAAAGCTCGAGGCGAATTTGCGGGCTCACTTGCAAATCCGGACCGAACGTCATGTCTGTCTCAACCATGCTGCAGTCGACCTCTTCCAGACAATAGGTCACGTCGCGGCAAAAGTCTGCCACCTCCTGTTCCCTAGTGGAGGCTGTAGAATCAAACTCATTTTTTCCGCCCGACGTCGCGAAGGTTGTCGAGTTCCCTTCGCTGCCGTCTAGTTGATTTTGATACCTTGCAGAGTGAGCGTCGCTGGAAACCAACTCACAGTGATCCTCCTGCGGGCCAGTCGTAGTCCCAACGCTGTTCCTGAACAGTGATGCTGATGCGCCGGAAGGAAAGCCGCCCGCGGCGTCGCCACGTACACCGGTTCTGTTCGTGCTTGTAGTGGCAGGAGTTACGCCCGTCTCTAACTTGGGCGAGCTTGCGCTTATCCTCGTCCTGCCAAAGCGTGGTGGCGCGCTACCAAATGGGGAAGCGCTTGCTGGGGTGACCGGCGAACTCTGACGACTGCGAGCAAGCACCGGCTTCCTGATGGCCTTCTGCTCCCCAGAAGGTCGCAGATAGCTACTTCGTTCTTCGAGGCCACGTGTGTGTTGAGTTTGGTCATTTATTTCGTCTCCAGCTTTATCCTTATCGTCGCAGGACACGACTTCTACATCAGCGAAAGGAAGCCGTGAATGGTCGATTTCGTTGTCGGCATTCGATGACGCAAAAGATGAGGGTCGCCCAACAGGCTGCCGCCTGTCGAATGCATCAAAAATGCCGCTGCCACCAGAACGTGGAAGTTCTGCAGGCCTCCGTCTCGCAGATGATGAAACGGGGGACGATAGCGCCGATTGCGATACCCCGGCGGCTTCGTCTATTGCTGGTGGCGAAGTGTGAGGGGTTGGAGGGAGCGAAGCGCGACTGTCGCGACTCAAGGGCGAACAATTTGCACCGGAAAAACGCCCCTGGTGACCAGGACGGGAGGGAAATCCTGATGCCGATGGTGCTGAATTTCCATTAAGAGGGGAACTCACCCGCGCCGCGGCAAAACTTTCCTCCATCTGACTCTGGTCAGCACGTGAAGACGCGCAGGAGGATGCCGGGGATATGCTGATGTTTGAGTAGAAAGACTGGTCGTGGCTGCTGTGCAGGAGGTCGTGCGTGCCGCTGACGTCCAGCAAATTTGCCCCCTCTGGATCCTCCGTTTCCACTGATGCGCCGGGGTCAACGTCGTGGATCGTCTGCTCCAGGTGGCAAAGCCCATTTAGAAGTGCGTCTTTGGTGATCCCGCGCGAGGCGCCGGCGCCCCGGTCGACGAAGGCATTCCATAATCGCCGTGCCTCGACCAGACCGCAATATCGTTCCTGAAAAGCGAGAATCTCTTGAAACTCGGCGCAGGAAAGTTGGCCGTCCTGCAGCACATCCATTTTCTCAAACGCCTGAGACACCGATCCGAAGCGCTGCTCAAAGAAGGCCTTCAGCTTCGCGCGCTCGAGGTCCGTCACGTGCGAGTGGCTACTTCGGCGCGGTCGGCTATGTCGGCTAGAGCGCGCCGTGATACCACTGCCTGCAATGCCGGACTGGTGGTTGCTCTTTCCGATCGCAGCTCGGTGCTGCTTGCGACCCCTAGCATGGTGGTTGGGCTCCGAGGAAGACCTGGCAGCAGATGAGGAACTCGAGCTGCTCGACGAAGCAGATGAGGTTCCCCGTGTAGTACTGCTGTCATCGCACCGCCGCGTACTCCATGAACAACCGGTGGTAAGAACTGGCAACCCCGCAGCGCGTGGACTCTCACGACCAGAGTTCATCGACCCGTCGCCCATATCTGGTGCCGATGCTGGTTTGATCACCCGAAGCAGCGGTAACCCGACGTTGGCAATTCTTGTTGTTCGAGTTCGTCTTTGTTCTTGCTTTACGTTACGGGTTGCTCTCACTGGCTGCAAGAGTTTCAAGATGTAGTTGCCGCAAAGCGAAATAAGTTGTAGTAGCTCTGTCGCTGGAAAGAACCAAATGACGGTGGAGAGGCTTCTGCGCCGACAGTGTCCCCTTGTGGAGAGTCGCCTTCGAAAAAGAAGACCGGGGCTGGGCAATCATCTTAGTTCTAGTTCTCAAAACGCACTCGTCTCGTTCTTGATGAGGCTGTTCGTTTTCCTTTTCTTTCTCTTTTGTATTCATGGCTTCCACGACCTCTGTTACACTTTCGATGTGTAACAAATACGCTTGTGTTCTATTGTACAGATCCTAATACTTAAACCAATAGTCCTAGCCCAGCTATAGTTCTTTGTGTGTTCATTGTGAACAAAAAGTGCCTCAAATACAAATTTAACATCTATCAGGGCTTTCAATCGGTATCGCTGGTCCGGAAAAATAATCGCGACAGACTCGACGACAAAACACTGGCTTTCGAAACAATGCATGAATTTGAATGTCGCCGTCGCGGCACTTCTGTCAGCAAACGAAACTCTTCCGAAATAAAGAAAAAAGGTGGGTAATGGCAGGTTTGATGGAGTTGCGATCTCAATCTCATGGTAGCGAAAGTGAACGACGCAATGCTGCGGAAAATATCTCGAAAAAGACAATTCGAAATCGACCTCGCTGGCACTAATCAGATGAAAGGCACGCAAAATTATCATCTATGGCGCATTCGGTCAAAGATCACTCGCGAAAATCAATCTCAACACCTGCAGGAGGTCGTGCAACAAATATTGCGAATGTACTTCTTCTTCATTTTCGTGTTCGCCTGCTATAAAACAGAAAGCTCAAGCTATTCTTTGGCTGCAGCGTCTGCATCAACGTAATGGTAATTTTAGTAAATTACCAATGACAATCTGCAGAGAAAGAAGAATCGCAGCTCAAGCTCTTGCTGAATAAAGGGTCAAAATACAAGAGATGCGCTGGCAATCGGGAAGAAGAACACGAGTGAAGCGACTAAACATGAACACGAATCGCCGACTACATGCAAGTACGTGCTAGCCACGAAAAAAGGTGCATTTTTTGTCTTTGCCTTTCATCTTCCTTGCGCCATTCTCAAGATGCAACCGCAGTCCTCACTTCGTGCAAAAGGTTTCTTCCGATTGAGCGAATTAAAGGTCGAAGATCAAATCGGCCGGTCTGCCAGTGGCATAGCCATGGGCAACACCGTTATACAGAAAAAGGTGAACAAATAGAAGGTGTCAGGGTTATTAATTTGGAAGGGAGGGGCGTACAGAAGATTCGAAGCACCAGCGATTAGCAAGCTCTCAGTGTCTTAATTACTCAGTTCGAGTAAATGGCGGCAAATACAGGCTGGCACTGTCCTTAGCACGGGCTAATGTAAGAGGTGTACATGGTCAGCCGCTGTGCCCGCGCACGCGCCACAGGTGGTCAAGCATCATCCGCAACCAGCTATGGAGAAAAGTTCAGTATCGAATTCAATCTTCGTTTGGAACATTTGTATTTTCTGTCCTTACAGTTGCATCGATTTCAGTTAATTTCAATTTGACATATTGACACAAGAAGACATAGCAAGAAGTTCTGCGAGAGCTACCAAAAAGGAGAACTTCTTGCATCTCGTGCGTTAAAGTTTAGACAATTGACATAGTCTCCTGGTTGAAGTTTAGTTTAGTTTACCGCTACTATTGAAGTCTTCACAAAAACTGTGATTTGGGGCAGATAGTTGTTATCATACTATTGTAAATGTGGTGGGGTTACTAGTCCTCTTCCATTTCCTCTTCCTCATCCGAGCCGTCCTCGTCGACGCACAGCTTCTCCATGATATTGTTGTGGTTCTGCGACACATCTTCGACGTTCTTCGTGAATTGCAACAGGCTTCCGGAAATCAGATTCGCACTTTCGAGCACCGAGATAATGCCCTCTCGCCAGCAATTTTGCACGTCAGACAGAAGGTCGCTCAGCTGCGTCGCCAGGAACCTGAAAACAATTCGTATTTTCTATTTCGCCGATGATGTTCTTCGCAGGAGCTTTCTCTACGAACCTACGTTTTTAGATGACAAAAACATGACCACCGGGATAGATAGATAGATTACCCAGCAAGGGTAGTAGTAGTAGTAGTACCCTCGTGATTCGGTGCACTTCTGATGGCACACGTGGAAACACGATTGGCACCAGCGCACTTCTGATGGTGCGTGCAGGCACGGCGTCACAGAGACCCAGTGGTCAATGACTTACGTTTAGTGTTTTTATGCTCCCCGACGGTGGAAGCAGCCACCAGGAGCCCAGGCCAGACGGAAGGTACTGAAACCCGGTAACGAACCCTCTCTCACTCCGGGGAGGTGCGAGCCACCTCGTGACAGCCACAAGCGGCGCCACCTAGTAATTGGGACTATTTATTAGACGGACTACCGCCGAGAGGCAAGAAAACTCGTTTAGAAGCCAAGCACGAAATGTTTTCTACCGCCTGGATTAGAAGACCAGACCCTAGGGGACTTAATGAAAGGCGTGCTGCGTTTGGCTTCCGGAGACGAATCTTCGAGCCTGTTGATCGCATAAGCTAAATTGCTAGAACTAATTTTTTTCCTTCCGGGTAGAGCAATCACTTCGCGAAAACCACCGCAGGGCCGCGCCAAAAACTCCGCAGTGGTGCTGATGAACAAGTGCGACACGTCCACGGCAATGTCGCGTCCGCCACCCCCCTGACAAACCCGCTGGCTAGGCGGAAAAAACAAAGCCCCTGCGAGTTCGCGGGGTCCGCAGACTAGCGCTACAAAGGTCACAGCAGTAAGACAACAGGAACAGACTTACAGAACCAAAGAAGAAAAGTAAAAGGGTAGAGACCTAAACCTACGGGGGCGCATGCAAGAGAGGGCAAAGGGAAGAGCAGTAGGAAGCCATCAGACTTAGACGAAACAAGCAAGATAAAAGGGTAGAGCCTCAATCCTACAGGGGCGTATGCAAGAGGGGGCAGAGGGAAGATCAGATTTCGGCAACGGAATGAGAGGAGCGTACGAATTTGCGATCGAGCTCCTGGAAAGCAAATCACACGAACAGCGGCGCAAACGTACGAACCGACGCTCTGGTAGATATGATAGCACGAGCACAGAAAGCATCAACGAGAACAGCAAATACGGATACAAAAGGACGACCATCAGCCAAAGCCAAGCCGTGAGCATATAAAAGCAAGCATACAAAGCAGCGAGCGAGTAACCAGAGGTCAAATCGCTGTGCAGGACATACAAAAGGATGCGCGGTTTCGTTTGTTTTGCAGACAACAAGTTAGTTAGTTAGTTAGGGGGGCCGCCCCGCTCCTCGCAGTTCGCACTTCTGATGGTGAAAAAAGCAAAGAACGGCCAATACTGCGCCGTTGATGTGAAACTGCACAAATTAATAAAAGAAAAATAACAGCAGGATTTTTTGGGCTGACGATGTTGACGCGATTTCTACATTTTATTTTTTCGGTAGCTACGTGCGGTTTGTAATTTTGATACTAGGAACAGTAATAATGACACGAAATTGAATCATCTACAACAACATATTTTGGTCTACTAGTTGGGCTAAAAGGAGCAAAGCTGCAGTATAGAGACAGTTTGTTAAAAGGAGCAAAGCTGCAGTATAGAGACAGTTTCACTCTTGATTATTTTTTTTTTCTATAGTTTTCTTTCTGCTTGCCGCTCTGCGTTGTTGAGGCATCTTCCGTGAAGCTGTGAATTTGCATAGGAGAAAACTCAGCAGCAGGTGGGAGTGCTTTCAGTGCGTCTTTGTGGTTTTACGTGATGGCTTTTTGTTGTCTAGGGAGCTGTGGTTTAGACCGTCCAAAGTGCAAGGCGCCAGAAGTGTTAAGAGATTGTAAGAGGGATCCTTACTTCGTGCTTCAGTGGACTTTCCGTATTAAACTTTCCGAGGTATTTTCTTTTGTTCTATGTTTTTGCCTCTTGTTCCGCGGGTGGAATACTCAACTGTCTGTGAAAAAACGATCGACATCACAGACCTGGGGCGGTCGGGACAGCAAGTAAGATCTTTCGAAGTAGCCTGTTGCGGGCACCAACGTCCGGCTTTTTCTTTTTGTCTTTTGTTTTTTTCTTCACTGCATTGCAAGTTTAGTTGCAAACGCGGTTTCTCAGCCTATGGCATTAGGATAGAAAGACTTTAGTCCAAAATCTCCCAAAACCTGCGAAACACGCGTTACAAACCCGCGAATGGGAGAAAAAGAAAACAATAAAAATACTCAGCGGCTTTGTCATGCGTATGAGCTCTCTGCACAGGAGTGCCCACAGCATTGAACTGAGCGCACAGAGCACAATGCTGCATGTGTCTGCGCTTCTTCCTTTAAAAAGCAGTTAGCATCAACCATAGAACTAAAGGCTTCTAAGTCGCAAGCTTTTCAAAAGATGTCGCGAAAGAGAAACAAAGTCAACTCCTAGCGCGGACCGTTTACGCCTAGAGTCCATCGATTCTGTTCTGCAAAGTTGTGTGAAAAGGTGGAAAAACAAGAGAAAAACAACAAAAACCATCATGATCGTGAAGAGAGATCAACAGTTTTGAGGTGTAAACTGGAACAAATAAGAGAGAGAGAGAGACCACCGAAATAGTAAACTAGTCCGGACTAGAGTACCGCACACCACACAGCTGAACAGAGACCTTGCTTCCGCTCCCCCGCTTGAGTGATGTCGATGGCCACCTCGCAACGCCCTTCTGTGGTTCGTCTGCTCTACCCTCGGAATGCGCGGCGGCGTGGCCCTAGGTGTCTGCAAAGCTGATAGAAATCCGCAGAGGGTTTGGTAGTCAGATTCGTCAAGGTCGACCGGAGGGCGTAGGGATGGTTTACCTGTTGCCTTGTAGCCCGAGTCTGGTTCGAACCGTTCTACGCGCTGATGTCATACACGAGATGTCCGTGAAGAGTAAGGCGGCAAGTTCAGGGGGAATTGAGATGCCGGGGAACTTAAAAAAAAAAATAAAAGGCAGTCGAAAGCAAACTAGTTCCCCGGCTCGACATGCGGCGACGCTGCCCTTCCACGCAGCGCCCCGGCGAGCAGTTGACGGCGTACTCACTCACCGGACAGGCCGTCTCCCGTTGTTCAGCGGCGCGGCTAAACTGGAACAAATAAGGAACATCTGCTGCGCCGATTGTGCCCGTTTAGGTGGTGAGCATGCAGAAGCGCATTCTTTTTCGCCCATCGTCAATTATTAAAGATAAACACCTTCCCTCTTGTTCCGCGGGTGCGTTGCTCGACTGATTGCGAAAAAATCTAAGTCAGAGCAAGTAACACACCAGGGAGGAAATGAAAGTAAAAACGAGTAACACACCGGGGAGTTAATTTTCTTAACTTGGCAGGCTTTGGTCTAGGAGGCTTTACTTGTGTTCAGGAGACAAGCGAAACCAAAAAAAAAAAAAAACCACCATTGCACCGGGACAAGGCGAGAAGTAATTGGGAGCGCACAAGACAGAGGTCTTTAGATGAGAAGGTAGAAACGAGTAACACACCGGGGAGGTAATAATACTGCTACTCTCTTTACTTGGCTAGGCGAAGATCGAAACAAGGCGTGCTAGACAAAGAACCAGAAAAGTGGTTACTTTCTTAGTGTTTTGCTTCGCTTTTACCTTCCTAAAAACCACCTTGGCACCGGGACAAGGCGAGGCGAGTGCTACTGTAAAGTGTCAGAAAGATATCTCATTTCCGACGCCCAAGGGGCGCGAACCAAAACCCCAGTTGTCATTCATAGAAGACCTGAAGCACGAAATACAGCACAACAAACTCGTGCTGCTCGTGGTCATTCACATACGTGGGTCGATGTTGATCTGACAAAAAAGCTCGCAAATAAGAAAGAAACAATACTTGATCTGCGGCACTTCCGTGATGTCGACGTCGAGCGAGGATTTTTCTAGCTTGTCTAGCCTGCTGAAGACGACTTCCTGCAGCTGGTTGATGGTTTCGTTTTCCGTGTCTTCCCATTCCCCGAGATCGTCCCCGTCGAGCCCCGCAAGTTCGCCGTTGCCAGCCCCGCTCTCCATGGCCTTCATGGCCCGGAGATTGTCGTCCTCGTTTGGTATGTACTTGAAGCGCTTGATGACCGCCAACGCGTCCGCACTCCCCAGGAGTATTCTCAGTGCCTTGTCTTCGTCGAGGAGGCGCTGCAACTGGGGGAGCCCGATGGCGCCGCCCATCGCGTCCGGGTTGTCGACGTACATACCCTTTGTGGATAAGCCCGGCCTGGTGGTCTTCGGGATCGTCCGGATTCCGTTCAGCGCCTTCTGACTGTCCGGCATCAGCGCAGACATGATTTTCTCCTGCAGATGTGTTGTGGTGACCAAACTTTTTCTGAACTCTTTTCGTCTTTCTGCGACAAAACGCGAGGGGTCGTGATGTCAGAAAATGCAGAATTACATCCAATTCTAATCTATCAGCATGATGTTGGCAGATGCTGGAGATACGCACCAGCTTCTTGTCCTTCAACAATTTTTTCTTTCCGGTGAAGTTGTGCGACAACAAAATCGTGCGTACCTTTATTCTTCCCATGCCCTTGTTGAAATTTCCGCTGAGACTGGGGTGCTCCGCTTGTGGCGCTTGGTCCTTTGGTACATAGTTTCCGTGCTCGTCAAAGTAGTCTTCCCCCTCCTCGTTGTCGTCGTCATCAAAGCCCTTCTGCGGGGGCATTTCTTCCCCGTTGACTCGTGCCACCGTTTCCATCATTCTCCTCTTCTTCATGAGCCACTTCTTAGCTACTACACCGGGCAGCTCCTCGAGGTCTATGAACCTGTGTGATGTATGCGGTGAGTTGTTACTAGTCAAGGCTTCGGCAAATTCATTGAGCGCTCAAAACCGCCTGAGACAGCATTCATTTTGTCATGACAGTTGTACGCTTTCTTATCCGGAGAAGGAAAAATTTTGACTGCGATATATAAATATCTTACTCAAACTCAGCGTCTTCTTCTTTCTTCTCTTCTTCCCCAACTAGGTCTATTCCTCGCAAGAAGTGGTAGTACACGTAGAGGAAGGTGATCATGAAATTCTTGGATTCCCCATCCTGGTACCCGACCTTCCTGGGTAACGTGCTCTGCGCTTTTCTTATTACCTGTTCAGAAATGGTAAAATCATGGAGTTGATTTTGATTTCTTTTTCCGTCTCCTCTGTGTAGGATCAAGATACGCATGGCATGGGTCTGGAAGTCACTCCAAAGCACATGAAAAAGTTACAAAATTAAGACCACAAACACAAAAAAAAATACCACAACCATGGTGTAAGAGTCCAGCACGATTGCCATGAAGACGTTGACGAGGATGAAGTAGGTGAGGAGCAGGTAGAGGAGAAAAATGAGCGGTCGTATTATGTCGCTGCCGGGAAGGAACCAGTCATACAGATTCAGCTCGAAGCCGCCGACCAGATAGAAGAACAGGATCAGGAACGTGCCGAACATGTCGGTGAACCGCTGGTCGTTGCCGCCAAACCCCACGTAGAAGGACACGGCGAAGGCGAAGAAAATTACCAGTACGACCAGGGAGAAGTTGAACAGGTTGCCCAGTGACTTTCCCATCACGCGCACGAGAGTCCGGAATCCCGTGAAAATACAGGCGTATTTCAGCGTCTTGAACCACACCGTGAGCGAGAGGAACGACAGGCACGTCCTGGCTTTCTGCAAGGGGTCTACCACCGCTCGCGAGAAGGGCATGAAGTATTCCGGGTGGCCTATTCTGCTCGGCGACAGGTTGACCTCGCTGCTGATGTTGGTGTAGGCGGTGATGCGGAAGGAAAAGTGGATGATCCAGAGCACGACGGACGCTATGTCGACGTAGTTCCAGCCGTAACCGAAGAACTTCAAACCGCACTGCCGCATGTGCCACGATATGTTCCACACTTGGTAGATGAGGAGAATGGCAAGCAGCGCCGTGTATATAAACGCATTCAGCGCTTGGTCACCTGGGAATACAGAAAAAATGGCGTTGATTTGTTTCATCGTTTCATCTGCAGTGGATTGTAGGCATACGCAACGCAATCCAAACGAATGGTAAATTACAAATTCGAATGTTAAATGGTTAATGCGCTGGCGCCCCCACGCCGATCATCATCGTCCGACACTGCGCTTCTACCGAGTCTCGACCATGTTGAAAAGCAAAAGGAAAAGCATGTACCTGCTAGCATGAACTCGAGCTGCCAAACCGGCCATGCGTCCACTTCTTGTCTCAATATGACATTGCCGGTGGGCGCGAACTCAAAGAGCATGCGATTGTTCACGATTATATTCACGTTGGTGTTCAGAAATGAGAACTCCAGCACCACTGCGCGTGTCCCGGAATCTAGCCAGCCGAAGTTCCACAGGTCGTGCACCAGCATGTGCGCTTCTGTCTCGTACAGCGGAAAATCTACTAGAAAACCGCTTGCCGGATACTCTGAAAACTGCCCTGCTATTGCGGTCGCCCCCGATGGTATGCAACCGAAAACCAATATCATAGCATGTGCATGGGACGTCCATCTCCCAGTAACTAAAAAGCGACACTGTTCGTATTCACCATGCAATGTTGTCAAAAAGTAGCGTCCTCTTCTTGTGCGTCTTCACTACGATTCAGTAGCGGCGACGGCGACCACCAAGAAGATGGTGCTGAGCACATGAACATGAAGATATAATTGGTCCTCCGTTTCATAATACTCTCGTCGGTTTTCCATTGGTAATTCTTCAGAGTGTACGTGGGCGCCTCCGAACTAGAGAAATCGCTTGTACCTTTTTTGCAAGGGTGCTAATGGTTGTACTCATCATTATCTATCATCTAAAGTCACTGCTTGATTTAGATTTTGCGGTGGTGGTGCCCACAGCTACAACATCGACCTAAATCTATTGAAGAATTTGCGTGTGCGCGTACACAAGTACGAGTGGGAGACAAAAGATAAAAAAAGAAACTAAATTACTTTGGTGTGCTTCCTTAAACAGCGCTCTGCAGTCCGAGAAGATGTGACTGAAGAGGGAGCTGACCGTACAGCCCTGATTCTTTTGGACGCGGACTTGCCTCATCCGTATGAGGCCTAGGAGTAGGTTTGCTGGCCGATGTGGGTCGCCAATGAGCCGTGGGTTCAAACCTATTTTGAACGAGTTGGAGTCGAAGGACGTTATTCGCTCCGCAAATCCCTTCTCATACTCCGGCTGGGGCGTGAATGCGAGCGGAACAAACTTCATATCCAACCTGAAATATTTCATTTTTGACAATGAAGTGCATTGATTCTGTAGCTCCTACTCGTTGCTTGAGCAAGGAAAAAATTTGTGCAAGGTAGCACTCAAGTAGTTCGAGAGCACCAGATGCAAAGGCATATTGAGGACATCGACAACTAGGAAAAAGAAAGAGTACCATGTCCAAAAGGTCTTGATGTCAACAACTGTTTCGACGTCGCACTTTTCGTAGATGCCCTCGCGAAACTCTCTCGCGGTCTCGGGTGTGGTGGAGTTGCAGCCTTGCCAAAACTTCAGCTGCTCCTCCCTTGCTAAAAACGCGTCGGAGGAACGCGTGTTGAGAATGTAAGCAGACACGAACCCCAGCAGCAAAAAATGGAAGATGACTTCGCGTGCCATCAGACGAATTTGCCGGAACTCCACCCCGGTAGTGATGTAAATGCGGTCGGTGTCTATATCCTCCGGATACCTCCACCACATCGGGTCACCGAGAAACTCCAGCCCCTCACCTGAAATTGGTTGATGTTCTTGGAGAACTTACGATAAGTTCACCCACATCCTCCTCGCCTGTTCAGAGAACACCGCAGCAAAATGCAGCTTCCTAATGCCTTGATTAAGTAACGTATCACTGTATAAAAGGCAGCAGCAACCGGTTTTTCGCATGTGGCAGCTCTATGTAATAAAATCACAGCATCTATGTACCTTCCTCGAAGACATCGTGCAGCTGCGCGAGGGTCGTTTGTTCCTTCTTCCTGAACTTCTCATGCTCCTTTAGCTTTCGGATCACAATTTCTCGCGAAAGCATCCCCATCTTCGCTGCGTGTTTTTGGGCACGTCAAAGAAGACTGCGGACGGCAGGGAGGTCGTTGATTGTGCTTACTACGGGGAAAAAAGTTGAAGCAGGCCTGCGTTGCCGTCGTTTCACACAATCAGCTGCCCATCGCAATTTCTATGTTACTGACGGTGATGCAGCCGTCGACAACGGCTTGGCCTCCGCCATTTTGCTTTGCTTATCACTGGTTTGAAAAATCACCGAAGAGAGAAAGACATCTTGATCGGTGCTCTTTCCCGTAGCACTGCCTTCCTTGTTGTTGTGCACATTCAATTCCAATCAATGGCAATGATGAATGATAGCACATTATCTTCAACAACACATGGCTTTGTAAATGCAAGAACGGAGGAGCGGCCTTCTACATACCACCACAGCTCAAGTACGATGCGAGCAGCGCGTACGCACCAGTTCGAATAAGCGAAGGACACATAAACAGATTGACAAGGGCACAGCGCATGGACAAATATTGAGACACAAGAATATCCTGTAGTTTCTTCTCTAGCTGATAAGATCGAAGAAAAACTGCCAGCCCAAATGGAGTCGGAACAACACGAACTCGTCAACTCTCCTCATTCTTTCACTGCTCTCTTGGTTTCGCTCCTACTCACTCTCAGTCTCACTCTACATACTGCACTCGACACTCGCAAGTAGGTATTTCTTCATATTTATTCATCTCATCACTCGGCAGTAGTACTGGCGCGTGGTCGAGTCTATGTCAATGACTAATTTTCAATTATATTGCGCTCCGTTTTTCTTTTTCACTCGTCAGGTCACGCGCATGCAGGTTTCGAACTTCTTACTAAACGCTATCACAACCATGACAATGCGACAAATCGTGGAGCCTGAAGGAACTTCTTCTCTTGCCTATCCCGACATAATCCTCTTTTTATGGCGATAGGATGTCAACACCTCCAAAACAAGAGCAGCAGAGGCAGAGCAATCTCCTCGCGACAGAGACAGACCAGTTGTGGAGTGCAGTTGGTGCTGGTGGATGTTTTCGTCAAGAACATCAACTCCCACAGTGAAAGGTAGGACGGCAATGTGCCGGCCAAACAGAAGCACCGACAGCGACAGACCGAGCCTGGTCATCGTGACACTGCGACGCGGAAAGATATCCGCAGCCAGCCCGCGCCATGGCTGCCGGCCAGCGCGCTGGCCGGGCGCCCCGAAACAACAAGTAAGGGCGTGCGAAGAAAGCAAACACAGATATGCCAGCGGCGGCGCCAATGGGCACTGGCACTGCCAAAAAACTGGGCGGCGCGCCGCTTGCCAATGCATGTGCAATGAGATAGCCGACCACCGTCAATGCCGCACGACGCCCGGGAGCCCGGGACCGACGGTGCCGAATCGGGGCCCCGACACTGGGCGGCAGGCCTGCCCGGCAGCCGCTCGCAGGTGGGGCGGGGCTTGCGCGGCCGGCGCGCGCACTTTGGGCGGCGCCCGGGACACACCCGGGCCACCGTTTGCCCGGCGCTCGCACGCCTGCGCGCTTGCCAGGACCGCGCGAGGAGGACGCCGCCCGAGGGCGCGCAAAGACAGCGGCACCACACGCAAAAGCTGCGGATCCGACGCCGCGTCGATTACTTCCGGCGCGGGGACCGCGAGGGCGACCACACGCCGCCCCACCCGGCCCGGGCCGCGCCGAAAGGCGAGGGGGCACACAGCTGAGCGGCGGCGCTCCACTCTCGCCACACGAGTAGCAAAAGTCCGTCTTACACGTAGCAGGCGCGCCGGGCGCCGCAGCGGGAATTTCCGGCCTCTCTCCCAGCTGTCCCTCTGCTCAGCCGTGGGCAGCAAGGCTGGCGCGCGATCTGTCTGCTGCAAGGCCACAGGCCGGCGGCCATAAACCTTCGCGACGCTGCCTACACTCGGGCAGGCCCGCTCGTCGGAGCATCGCGCCGCTTTTTTCCTCCGCCAAACGCGCTCCCGTTGCCATTTCCAATCGGAGAACCCGCTGCGGTCTTCATCTTGAAACGAACGAGCGCGGACAAAATCCAAGCACAGGCCAACCAGGTGGATGTAAAATCACGGCTCACATATTTGCTATATATGCTTCACTTACTGGTGTGGCTCTCGATAAGGAAGCAGAGGAGAAAGAGAACGACGATCAAGAGGTAGAGCTGCAGGAGAACTTTTATATGATTTTTCGCCATGCGCATGTGGCTCCAACAGTAACAGCTCTCTCGTCGCGCCGGTAAGTGACCCCCTCACTCGGTCTTTTGTTTCCTGGGTGTTTTATTTTTTATAGCAATCAGCAAAAAAATGAAACTATAAATAATGCTGTCCTAAACAAGAACGGCTACGGCACGGATGAAGAATCTGAATCACTCAAGATGAAGATAAAACTAGACATTGACTAGAACATTTTTAAAGAAGAGGCTGCTGGTCGCGGTGGAGCTGCAGAGAAATACTAATACCCTCTCTTCTCATTATCAACGCTCAATGGAAATTCGCATTGCCGTTGGCCTTGGCAAACAGAAACACAAAGAAGAACCGAGCCATGCGCCGTCGTCGATCTATTCGTATTCTTTTTTTGAAGCGCTTACGTAAAAAGTTGAAAACTTTATTCACTGGCGCCGATGATACACATCTGCTAATGTTGTCGTCTGTGTAAGATAGTTACTAGTGCAGGGGAGTCTAAGGAGCTACACCAAAGCCTTGGTGCTCACATCTACATCATGCCCCCGACTCGGGATTATTTTCTTTTCCTCTCATTTATTGTCTTTCCTTGAAATTAGTCTTTTCGATTCACGTAGCCAAAAAGGCAACATCTGCGCCTGCGGTACTCTCAAGGGCTGAATCATTGCAATTGCTAGCAGTCGAGATAGCCTGGTGCCCACGGATCTATGTTTTTTCTGTCTTCCTGAACAGCACGACAGTCCGTTTATTTCGTCTCCTCCGTAGAGCTGCTGAACCGTGTACAACCGCAGCAGCTGGCTCACATTCGCATTCCGTTGGTACATTTGAATGTGCAGTCCGAGTCGACAGCTTCAAGGTGCCTGAAGGTCTTCCTTCATTTTCAATTCTGTTGTCGACCCCCGAGCCTCACACCAGAACGACGGGAAGGCGAGCTGCGAGTTTTCTCCGCTCGGTCGCTGCTACTACGTATGTTCTTGTTACCTCCCGGGGAAATTGCTGACGATGTTATCTGCCCGAGGAGGAAGGGTCGAATCTTTCCTCACAGTTTCCACCTGGTGTCGTCGAGCTCGAAATCACATCAAAGTGACTAGATTCACCGAGTAGCAGTAGCAATACTAGTCTTCTTGTCTTCAAGCTCGCGGACACGGTCTCCCCGATCAAGAACTCGGCCGACCGCCCGTTTTCCAAGCGACCAGCCTTTTCACACTCGCACCTCCACCACCACCGCGGGACATGCGGAGGGTCAGCTCGTCATCAAAAGAACTCGTTGTTCTTTACTGGATCCATGACCACGCAGCTCATCATCGAAGGAAAGGGTAAGCCGCTGGGGTCGACCTCAATCTTCTTGACCTGCAGCTCCGTGCTCACGTCGGGGCTAGAAAGAACTTTTTGAAGAGCTTGCTTGGACTGCGCATCGGTACTGATGGCGGCTTCAAGCTTGCCACGGACCTCAGCGACGACTCTGTCTCGCAGTGCTTGGCTGGCTGGGTTTGCGTTCATCTTCTCCGCGTCTGCCATTATGCGCTCGTCCTTGATGTTGGGGTAGCGAATGAAACGCGGAAAACACATCATAACCTGGTCGGCCCATTTCGCGTTGAATTGCTTCGCCATTTTTCGAATAACTCGATGCTACGTAGTTGCTGAGCAGCGAAGTTAGAAGTAAGTACTCAGATGTGAGGACAACTACACATCACCCAATTACTCTCGAGCACCAGATGGTCGCAATGATAATGTATAGCGCAATTAGCTGAAATTGTACTGGCGCCTCTTTTCATCTAGAAATCGGCAATACAGAAGGACAACGGAGCCCAGAAATCAACGATACTTGGATCTCCAATCAAGCACAACCAAATCGGAAAGCGATAATTGTCGCCGACGATATGGATTTGCACACCACGAAGACACGACCACGACTCATACTCAATCAATATCAGAATACAACTCATTCATACTCCTCTTGAAACGTTCAACCGATTCACACCAAGCCTAGACATACACTCGCCTTCATCAGGCACACCACCGTACTACGTAGGCCAACATTACGAATTATGCAAGCTAAACTATATATGTTCCCGCCTGCGAGAAAAACATCAAAATCAAATACGAATACGATCACAACGCGGAGGACAAACTGTTTCGAAGAATAAACGAGGTATATTGAATACGTGAAGACTCACTTGTACTTTAATCATGTCCGTCGAAAAGACCGAGCGTGATGGCGCTCGCCACCTTACCAGTTACTGTAATGGAAACAAGCGAAGGGCACGTGTGCAGGTCCGTCGATGAACCCAATTATATCCAAGTCGGTTGATAACAACTTGCCGATGTTGGTCTAAGACAAACTTACGCGAAGCAACTTCAATGGAGTTTCTTTTTCGAGGAAAATGAAAATGATGGTTTTGCTGTTCTCTTCTTCAACTCTTACTTGATCAGGTTTAGACGCGGAAACAAGATGGCCTCAATTTTCTTTGCTACGTTTTAATTTCGATTTAATTTTCATTGAATACGATAAAAGGCACGGTTGATTGAATGGTCCTCGTCCCAAATACAAAAATGCAATGAGGATCCGAGATCATGATTTTGCGTTTGCGATAGCGATTCTACGAGAAATTAAACAAAACTTACGTTATATTTTTCAAGCTTTTTTCCATCTTGTTCAATAAACTCTTTTACAAATTGTAATTGATGATCGTGAAACTCTGATTGCTACGTTTTTAATTTGGTGGTTGATTGTGTTGCGAAACTAGAAGTTGCTCTGACCGTCAGGACGGTAGTGCTAGTGACGAATCGCTCATGGGCGGCAGCTTCCTTTTTTGGACTAGTGCTAGTCCGTATTAAATAAGCTGTTCTCGAAGCTTCCGATACCGGGCCTTTTTATTTTTGATGAAAAGTGGTGCAAACAAAACTGGTCCTCCAGAAGTAAACGCGAGCGTAACCGTAACCTAAGTAACGAAACTCGGAGCAATAGATTACAAGTAGCCAATAATATGAAAGCGCCAGATTTCGATTGGCAAGTCCAAAAAAATGCCGAGCTTATTGGAAAACTTAGTATTTTTAGCCCAGACATACATTGTTCCCGTTTTGGGCACGCCGGGTAAAGTGTCGCAGATCTTGCCGCTGCTCACCAGCTTCTTGCAGCAGGTCGTATACTTCTTGCGGGAAGCTGAAGTGGCGTCCTGTGTTTTTCGTCATGTAAACTTTGTTTTCAAAGACACAACTAATAATGTTGGTATACTACCATTTTGATTTTCCATTTGTCATGATCACCAGCATTAGTAAAGAGGACGACGACTGGGGGTCACAACTACTCACATTTTGAAAAATGCTTTGTCATACCGTGACTTCCTTGATGCGCCGCGTTCGCTCGGCATTGCGATCCGACAAGGCGATCAAAGGGAACTTGCGCCCCCGATGCCACGGATTGGTTTGCAGAAAAGCATCTTCGTAGTGAATGAAGAGACCTTTGAACGCCGACCTAAGATTCAAGTCGGCGTCGAGGAAGGGAGTCCGAATCGCAATCCAGGCACTGACGCTATTGTACGACCACTCGGGGATTACGATGTTGTTCGTATCACAAGTCAACGCAAATTCCAGGTACTTCAGAAATGCAGCCGGAAGCTCCGTCGCAAACTGATGGGTGTGTTTCATGTCCGTATATTTTTCCACACAACATATGTTTAGGCAATGCACGTGGACGTGGTACAACCGAACAGCAACATCATAATAATCAGACCCATCTCGTCATACTCTTATCGATAAAGAAGAAGTACACACATGGCAGTAAGTACCAGTTCGCAGGCGTTCGTGTGCTGGTCCTTGTAACGCTCGGTGGCCTCGATGAAGTCCCAGAGCAATCTCCGGAGGGAGATGCGATTCCTCGGATGCATCAGCGACATCAAGTACGGGTTGGTCCACGTTTCTCGGAATGTCATGACTTTGTTCGTATCCTGTGCAAAACTATCACACTTGTGTTGTATATCTTTCGCGAAAAGAAAGAGATCCAACGGATCTGTCTCGTGTGACAATATTTTTTTCTCTGTCTCCGGAAACATACGCTTCCGTAATCGAGACTTCAAATTCCTCTGCAAATATTCCTCACGCGATTCTTCTTTGTGTGATTCTTTTGGTGCAAGGCATACTTCTGCTCGTTTTTCTCCGCCAGCGTGCCTTTCCGCAAATACTTGATGTGTTCGCAGAGCAGTCCAGCCGCGATCCCCATGTCCTTGCCGAAAATACTCACAAGCCGCATCTTGCGGTCCATCGTGTTAAACCACGCGGATAATCCATGGTTGGCCGGCTGGCGATGGATCTGCCAACGGCGATAAGCTTGGCGTCGCTCCCGGTTGTACACGTCCATCTTCGCACGAAGACTGGTTTTCAATGCTACTTTCCTAGTTATATGCGAAACACAATGTACGTATTCGAATCGCGATGTTTTGCAAAAAAATCGTTTTTCTGTATATCCACTTCCGTGTAAAAGACTATCAAATCAGAACTTGACATACACATATCTATATCATGCCGAGGTGTTGTTATTCTCTCGAATTGAGCAATCGACAATCGACACCTCGTGAGCCCGGAGAAAATTATTAAGCACGCATTTTTCAGAAAACTGGAGACCTTTGAAACGCGAAAAAGTCAGAAGTAACCAGCAACAAGAACGAGAACGACATGCGAAACGAGACTTAGGTCCGAGATCCCGCACGACCAAGTCGAAGAACGAATCTAGGTGTCGAAATCGATACAAATTGCTTCGCCATTTTGAAGGCTTTCCTGGGGTTTTCGTTTTCGTGGTCGTCGCTAACCCTTTCTAGTTTAGCTCGCACTACAGAAGGCACAGAAAACGAGGCAATGAAATGAATAGAATACTAAAATTTCGTCAAAGCAAGCACGAAGCAACCCAAGCCCAAGGCCCTAGCCAGATCAGAGGACGAGAGCGACTGTTCTCGTTGGTTCGAGTTCGACAAGCCATACCGTATGTATCTCTATCTCTCAAGCTGGTATACCAAGAATCCACCTGAGACAGCGTCGGCCAGCACGGTTGTAGGGCAGCGATAAATCAAAATCTAAAAATGCGTCGAGCTGCATACTCTTCACGAAGACGACCTTCACGATGCAAACGAAGACTTTCACGATCTTCTCCGGGTCGATACACTATCGATGAACAATCGGCAACGACGACCCCAGAAGAAGCAAGATCGCTCCACCATGGTCCTGCTCATGGTCACGCCAACGCTACCCACACGATACGATAGTCAATCCCATACAGCTGAGTGCCCTCTCGCAACCCCACCTCAACCAGAGCACTACAACTTCTTACCTAAATGTCTTATCGAAGTTGCGATCGGAACTATCAACATAAAAAAGGGAAGAGGATGGGATGGGCACGGAAAATAGGCAACTACACCACACATAAAGTCAAGAACTTTATATGCTACATGTACAGACTCACCTTCTTCAGATGATCGCCACAAACACTTTCATTGCAGATGCAATCGGATCCGATCGAATTGGCAATAAGAAAAGATAAAGATAATCTGGATCCCGCACAATCAAACGAACAAAAGAACGCAAATTTTCGTGATCATTGTCTTGTCTCTGAACGCTGATCCCGATCCAAAAAACCCGAACACATAAAAGAGGCCGCTGAAGCTATCCAGCACGGCTTTTTCTGCTACCTCCACCCTTCAGTTCAAATTGTATTGCTCCTCTTCGGTCCTCAAATTAATAAAGATGTCGTTGCCGGTTTCTTTTATTTGTTCACGGAGGGCCTTCGAGTTCCATAGTGCCTTCTTTCGTCTCCGCAGTGTGCCTCTTTGTCTTTATTTCAGATTTTCGCTTTGCTTTGGTTGCGCTTCGGACGAATGTACACTCATCTACTTGCGCGCTTCTGTCTGAAAAGATTTTGAGACGAACAACTGCCCTGAGAAGCTCTTGCACCTCTTCGTATCGAAACTAAAAGTAAAACAAAAACCAAACCAGAACTAGTTGCAGTTCATTGCTAAACGACGCGATGTACATCTACTGATTTTTAGCGCGGCAATCATCTTACGCGTTAACTTCTGCGCGACTCGGTCTTCAGCATTTTCATAGGTCGCCGTCGCGCATTTGGCATTACAGACAACGCTATGCGAACCCGCAGTCTATCGCTTCCTCCATAGCAGTCATTTCAAGGCTACAGAAACAGACGCTGCGACATACCTTTTGTGCTTGCTGTAACCGTAACGATCAGGCAACGTTCGAAGTACTTCAAATACTTGTTTAGGTAGATCATACATATTAGGGTCTGCATCTTGATACAACATTTTAAAAGAAATCGTACAGTTTTTATTAATTTTTACTTACCACGACACCTCCGTTTTTTCATCATTTGTCTTTTTTTCTGGCATGCAAAGTTTATTTAACATTGGATCGAGTTTGTAGCTGAAATCGTATCGAGAGCGGTTCTGTGCTCAACCTCACCGCTCCGGCACGGCGGGTGGGCATAATTTATTAGCATTAGTTGAATAAGCATAGCTGCTAAAGGCATTTATCAAGAAAGAGATACTTGGTAAGCGTAGATGGCAGTACCTAAATTCCGATTATTAAGCACCGGGAAACTCTCTTGACTATGATTAGCGTGTGATGTAAAGTCGCTACTTTGCCGCTGGTGTTGCTGAGGTCACATCCGGCCGCCGCCTTGATAACGCCTCAACTACGCCGCAGCACAGCAGCTTTATTATTATTCTGTTGCAGGCAGCCTGCTTCCTATTACTATTAAGTTGGAGTATCGCGCTTTAGTGAGTGACTTCTAGCGACATTCGTGCCAATTCGAAGTGGTTTCTAAGAGTCATCATCTACATCAGGTCGTCGCCTGTGTTTCCTCTCGCAGTCGTGCTCACACGACTCAGCAGCCCCTCAGTTTCAGGACCGCATGGACCGTGGACGCGCCCCCTTCGATGCCGTAGAACTTCAGCGTCTTGCTGTCCTCCAGCTGGCGGCCGGCGTAGATGACACGGACCATCTCCGGCGGATATCCCTCACTCTCCTGTAGGAAGTCCTTGACGGCCGCGATTGTAGCAGATGCGTTGGTGTGAAAGACGGGGCTCTTCCCTGTCATGCATTTGATGGTCAGCGTAACCCCGGCTGCGGTCGAAGTACCTAACGTTGTGAAGTTGCGTTTCGTAACCATTATTTCGCTGATGATCTGTGCATTCATTTCATCTTCATCTTCAAGTTCAATTAGGTATCGTGCATAAAAACGCGTATGGTGGATGGATGGTCCTCTTTCTGTGCGTCGCCATCCGTTAAGTGGCTGGAAGCCAGTGCCAGTGCGTGTTGCTCGGGTTTATGTTTATCTTTAATATACTCGCCTGGCTGTACAAACGAAATTATTAAGCAGCATATTCCTTGCTACCCGTTTTGTCGGCAGCAGAACGGCGCCGCGGAGATCTGCTTCTGCGCTGTTGAGCACCCGTGCCGCTGCTTGACCCAGCACTGGAGCTGACGCCGGCAGTTTCGCCTTTCTTCAAGGCGTCGACGAGCTCCGCCATCAACTCGGACTGTTTTTTTCCATGACTGATCTGAAACTGCGCCAGCACCTTCAGCCGAGTCGACCGGATGGACTCCGGCAGCGCCTGCACCTTGTGGTGCACCAAACTGTCCTTCACCTCCTTTCCCTTGCCACCGCCGGCCTTGCCGTATTTCTGCAAGATGCAGCAGAACTCCCCGTACTCGCGCGTGCACAAAATATGAGCTATGAAATACAAAGCTGCCGGAATACGCCGACGCCAACACACATGTTACAGAAGAACCTGTGCACATTCTTTCATTGATCCCGGCCATTATTCATCGCATCATTTGCGGGCATTGATTGAATCAAATCCACCATGCAGCAAAAAAGCCTGGACCTGGTGATGTCACCATAACACAATTTTATCCCTATGTATTCTCACCTCCGCTGGTTTGCCTCGAGACTACACGACTACCGCTGAAAATGCTATCGCTTGGGATGATTCGAGCTTTTGCAGTTGGGGTGGCGCGTTCTGCAGAGTTGTAGTCTCGTATGGCTGTGCCAAAGTGCGTCGACCTCTGACGGCGGACTGAATACCAGGTCGGTTGCGTTCACCTTCGCGACGAGAAATTCTACGTACGCGCGTTCGAGATGCTTGTAGTCACTGGCTTGGTCGATGCTAGTCGCGATCGCATGGGCGTCCCGAAGGGCGCCACGACTTCCTTCGCCCCACTGTGCCAAGACGTTGTCCACGCGCGTCGGATACAACTTGGGTGATGACCCCGGCATCGAATCAAGGTGAAGGAGAAGGTTGCTGATATTTATGTGCTGGTACTTCGGATTTATTACGGCAAAATTCTACGATATGACATCGACGAAGAATAAACCGAATGCAAAGGTACAGTGTTGCACTACAACTAGCAACCAACACCACAGCAACCAATTCACTTTCATTCACGCGGAAGGATAAATATCGCAAGGAAGGGAATACCTGTGTCTCTGTTCCTACTAAGCTGCGGTCCGCAAATCGTGGTACTGGTAGACTTGGTGTGGAGCTTTTTTTACCTGCGGAGCGGGAGATCGTGACCCGAAATAATTTCGATGACGTACGCGTGCTAATGGGTTTCTTCGAATCCTTCCAGGAACAAGAAATATTTTTGAACTTCTTCTAGGACCAAAACTCATTTCGGACGAACACGAAAGCATAGTTTTCCTTGCTTCTAGTCATGGGGGTTGTAGGACGTACCTCGTCGTGAGTGTCCGTGTCGCAATTACGGCAGAGGTCGTTGAGGCAGTTCGTGCGCGCCGGTACACCGAAGCCGGAATCAAGAGCTGCTGTTGCACGATGTCGCTGAGCTTGAAGAAGAAGACCTTCGGATTTGGATTATATATTGCGATAACTGAACTAAATGAGCAGATTTGCATTTGAGTAGATGAAAGCAACAGCAACACAAAATCTAAATAAGGGTTTGTCGCTCTCTGCGGATCTAAAAAGCTCCAACTCACATCAGCATTACGATAACACCGCAGGAGCTGACTTCCCGAGTCGCCTTGTGGTCTGATCAGCAAATCGAAATCGTGTTCGTGGTCCGGCCAAATGTATATTGGAGACTAAAATCCGAAAGGGAAGTGTGAAAAGTAGCACCGTAGCATAGAGAGTTGAACTTATTTGATTATGCAAGCACGTCCTATGATTGTGGGATGTGGATTGTTTGAAAATGAAGAAGAAGACGACTGCTAAACGTCCAGTTGTATATACTTAACGCCCAATCTTCGTTGCCATACAAGCTGCTTGGATGAAAATCATGGACGAGTAGGTCACACAGAGGATCGGGAATATGATGCCTCTCCAAATGACACAGCGTTGAAGAGTCGAAAACTACACTTACGAGAAATCGGAATGCACCTATCTGCAGGAAACAATCCCGAGCTGCTGCTTCTCTTTCCAATGCTCAAGTCAAGATGGCAACGTGCAAAATTTATTCTATTTCAGACTCAGACCTCTTCACTTTGTCACACTCATACTCGAAGCATTAGAAAACATAGTCGATAGCCATCCGAAAAAGGCGACGTTCGTCGAGTCTCTTCACTCACGATGCGGGGGATGAGCATGTGTGCATGGCAGATGAGGAAAGAGCGAATCATACTGCGAGATCATCTGCCGATACACTTGCGACGTTGGTTCGAAACGAACTAGAACAAGCACAAAAGGGATGAACCACATCGAAACACAAGCAGCTTCTGTTCGGCGCCGACTTTGACAGAAATTGAAACAACATAAAAACTATGACAAAGGTGTGGCTCATGATTTCTATCATCTCCGTGTAGTTAGTGTCACCAGTTGTCAAGATTTTGTTCTTCGTTTTCATATAGATAGTACAATTACTATGCCTTTTGTCACATGACGTGACAACACAACGCCTTCCTCGTCAAAATTAATTAGTTGCTTTCAACATCTTACTCTGGTGCATACCGCTCGTGCAGAGCAAGGTCTGTCTGAAGGTGCACTGATGCGATGCGATCTGAGCTACCAACCGATATTGTGCGAAATTTTTGTGAGTCCTCTGTGTGTCAGGCTCAGGCGATATTCTATATTCATTCGAATTCGTTTGCGTTATGTATATATTTGTGCTTTTCATTGCGCGTGGTCATATCAGTGTGCTGTTCTCATGGCTTATATTTCATTTCCTGTATGAATATGTATATTTACAACTGAAACGTTCCTGCTTTTACTGCTCCTCGTATGAAGAAGTTTTGCTCCGATCTGATGTCACGAGGCTGGTTACCTTAACCTTTCGTAACGAAAACGAACGATCAGAGTCAACTTGTGTGCTGAAAAACAGAGCAGCTTCGCGCCGTGCTAATTTGTATATTCTTTATTCTCTGTGTTTGTTTACTGAGTTAGAGTTTCTCATGGATCATACATGATGCAGTATAATTTTCGAATTCATCAGTCTGTGCTTGTCATCAAACAAAACATGTTCCGTTTTATAAATAAATTCGACTAGTGTGCATAGGCGTATCGATCGGCTTGTGTGCCTGTTGTACCTAACCGATGCTTTCCCGATGACCTGGAAAATGCTTTTCTGTGTCTCAGTACCAGCAAACTAGTGCTGTTGTATCAACTACTGTTGCGCTTTTCGTTTTCATTCTCATCTCATTTGCACGAAGTATAGCGTTTGCTTGCCCGCACTACAGATAGAAGCGTCTTTCCATCATGCGTCCTAAAATCCTCGAAGTGGAGCGTTTTTTCTTGAATCTCCGAAAACGTTGTGACTTTGCCTTGCTGTCGCACAAAAGGTAAAGGAACGAAGGCCAGGGAGGTTGTTCTCATTGATTCTACTACATCTACCTCACGGTGAGGTCCTCACCAATCAATCCCGATTGTATAGCATTGCATGGAATGCTCGGAAACTACTCAGTGTGCGTGTCGGCGCCAAACGAAGACTCTCCTTGCCTCTAGCTGGCAACCGGAGCCCGACCACGCAAAGCGCAGCTCACAAGTAGACTGATATGCCTACGACTGAAGATCGCTACAGAAACATCGTCGAGTTCGAGTATGTCTATGTCGTGTATAAAAAAAAACTATAGAAGAAAAAGAAAAAACTAAAACATCAAAGATATGCAGCACAAAAGTATCAACTACTTCTTCTTTTTTTGATTATGATTGGCTTTGCCACTGGAACTGGACTTACTGGCTGGCACACTAGCAGCTGACGAGCAGTTACTGGCGGCGTTGTTGTTTTTGGTACTTTTCTTCTCCTTGGCGCCGGTCTTCTTGACCGCTTTCTCCATTTGCAATTGTCCGTCTGCCGGTAGGCCCTTTGCCTTTGCCTTACCTTCGCTTTTTTTCTCCGAATTCTTCGTATTCGCCTTACTTTGAGCACTTTTCGTTCTGGCGTTATTTTTTCCAGCAGCAGCAGCTTTCTTAGCCATTGGCGTTGGCTTTTTAACCGGCAGCACTTTCACTTTCTTCGCGCTCGCGGCTTTTTTCATTATCATCATCTTACTCGGCTTAGGTGGTTTATTCGGCTTCGCTTTGGCCTTCGCCGTCGCCGGAGGGTTCGTGTTCGCCGACGCCGAGCTTGTTGACAGTGGATTTTTCCCGAGGGAGGACCCGCTAGCTGCCATATTCGTGCTCCCGATCGCCTGCTTGTTGACCTCTTTCGCGACGAGTTTGACCTTGCCTTTGGTGCCGGCGGTCTCAGTGCCAGCCGTTGCCGTTGGCGCTTTCGTACCGTACTTTTTCATACCCGTGCCTACCGACGCAGCATCCTTACCAGAAGCAGAAGCGCCGCGTGACTTCTTTTGCTTTATTCCGTTTGGTCCTTCTTTGTCCATGATCTTCATCTCCTCTTCACTTTGCTCTTTTTCTGCCTCCTGCACCTGCTTATTTTCTGCTTTTTTCTTGCTTGTCTTCTTTGCAATCTTCCCTGTCGTGTTCTGCTGCAAATTGAGATCGAAATCAGAGAAAGCGTCGTCCTTAGTCCTTTTCGTCGCTTTTTTCCCGGATGGTTTCTGTGACTGTGCGGGGGCCCCTGCAGCTGCCACGATATCAACCTGCAACGTAGATGGAAATGGATGAATAATGTCTTCAGAATGAGTACAAGACACACCGTCGCTGCCCAGCAGACATCAGATAATGTCGTCCGGCGCTGCATCCACACAGCATTCACCAGTCGACAGTGGTTCTATTTACACATCAAGTAGTACATAGACAGATTTCGGAAACTTACCATTCAGTAGTACGTCGACGTACGATCGTGCTGTGCTCGTCGTAAGTATGAGTATGAATTTATGTTTTATAAACTATGTTAAGTATGTATCATCTATACCTTTTCGTGGTCGTTGACATTCTCGTTCGGCATCGACAAAGCGGTCGAGACATGATTGGATGAATCCGGAGGCGCCAGAAGTTTCTCCTCGTGTCCCAGATGCGGGATGGCCTTTTTTTCCTTCTTCATATTAAGCTTCATGTTTTTTTCACCACCGCCGGCCGCTCCGTCGTGGTCCCCCTGAAGTACAGCATTACCATCTTCTTCATCTTCCCCGACCGCTCTTTTACTTTTACCTGCGTCGTCCGGCAGCTTTTGTTTGGGTCCTTGCACGACTGGGCCTCCCTCTTCATGTTGGTGACGCTGGTCCTGTTGTTGAAATCGTATGAAAATGAATATATATCCAAGAAACAAAAATAGAAATACTGCATTATGCTTCGCAGTTGTTTCTGGTCCAGAACTTGACGCGGCTCGTTTGTCGATTTACAGTATCAATCGGCAGATACCTAGACGATAGGGGTAGAGAATTTCAAGTTTTCCCTAATACATAAAGATTGCGATGGACGCCGAGACACACTACATGATGTGGACGAGCCTTAGTAAAAATTGCTGTAGAGGTAGAGCAGCATTTCAGTAATGTCGACGAAAAAATCAAAATGTGTGCGTAAAAAAATTGTCTATCCTATCCACGACTGAAAATACCAAATATAGCCGCCGGGGCGGAGGTAGTGAGGTCGTGGGCGTTTTCTTGCCGGCCGTCGCTTTGGCCGCGGCTGTGCTTTTCCTGGGTTCGCCATACCGTCGTGAGTAACGTTAGGCCGCACGGTATGGCGGCCGCTTTGTAAACGTCGCAAATTTTTGCAAATTCCCGATATTCCTTTCCGAAAGCCAGCCCCCATGCTATGGGGCCGATCCGGGTGCCACTGGGGGCGCCCAAAAAGCGAAGGGAAATCGGGCCCGTAGCATGCGGGTTGGCTTTGCGCGTCTGGCGCGCTTTTGCTTTTTTGCGTTTTT